GTTTTGTACTTGTATCACAATCACATAACCCAAAAACACCCAATCCTCATGTAATCATAGTCCCTTAGTTGTAGTCTTTAGTATGTAGTCAAGAACTCAATCTCACTCTCTTTTTGTTGTTGTTGTTGTTGTTGCATAATCATTGCTGTCTTTCCTTCCTTCCTTCCTTCCTTCCTTCCTTCCTTCCTTCCTTCCTTCCTTCCTTCCTTCCTTCCTTCCTTCCTTCCTTCCTTCCTGCCTTCCTTCCTTTTCCCCTCCGTTCTTGCCGCCCGCCCCTTAGAACCGAAGGAAAAAGGTATTAGCAAACGACCCAACCTCACACTTTGACAGTAGCAATCCTCTCTTCTATTGCAATACAAAAATAACATGGAGAACCAACTCGACGATTCTGCCTAGCCTTGGGTTAGTAAAGGGGCAGAGGAAGAGTCAGAACAGCTAGCTAGGTTCCTATGGTGGTGACAAAGGGAGATATTAAGAGGAAGGAAGATAAAGATGAGCAGGTTATATGCGTCAAGACAAGACAAGACAAGGCAAGACAAGGCAAAGGTCGAGTCTTGTAGCTAACAAAAAATAAAAGAGAGAGGGGAGAGAGAGAGAGAGAGAGAGAGAGAGAGAGAGAGAGAGAGAGAGGTTTCCAGTCAAATCACAGTGGTTGTTGATATTTCATGGGCAAAAACAGCAGTCGGAGGACGTCAGAGAGACTGGTTTGTGCACTAGAAAGCAGAGTTACTCACCCAAGAAACACGGGTCCTTGTTATGAATCTGAGCTTTTCTTCGTTGGCTCTGGCAAGAGTTGTGTAATCATATGTGTGTGTGTATGACAAAGTAAATGCATTTCGATGCTCAATGTTCTTTTCGTATCTCAGACCAAGCTCAAGCGACAGAGTACATCATCAAGAGGAAGAGTACTATCTTCTCCTCTTGCCTTCATGTCCGCCAGGCTCACCCTCACCTCTTCTCTTCCTTTCCGAGCGTCCTTGCCCTTGACCCTGTCCTTGACCGTCACCTCCTTGTTGCCCACCACCGCGTCTTCCGTCATCGTTTCCTCTTCTGTGTCCACCTCCATTTCCATCATCTCTTCTTCCACTTCCACCATCGCCACGGCTCTCGCGACGGTGATAGTCATCACCTTCGAACCCGCGGTTTCTTCCACCGCCACCGCCATAACCAGAAGGATCGCCTTGTTGGAGAGGAGGTGCAAAGCCTTGGGGTGGTTGTGCGACGGAAGATAAGGTAGGTGTGGGTGGTGCAGCGCCTCTGCCTCCGCCATAGGCATCTCTCTCATTACCGCCACGCGAAGATCTAGGTGCGCGACCAGAAGATTGGTGGCTGCGGTAGTCGTCGGTAGGTGGTGGCGGAGGAGGAGGAAGATTGGCTGCACCATGTCCGTGGTTACCATGGTTGGAGTGACGCGATTCGCCTCCGTCACGACCATGACGCCTTGAGTCTCTCTGTTCGCGATCATCATGGCGTCTGTTGCCACCTTGGTCTCTAGACGAAGATGTCGGAGTGGGGAAATCGTTTCTCATGGCTGGCGATGGCATGGCAGGAGATTGAGAAGCAGCGGGACTGGGCATCGCAGACGCGGGCATCATTGAGGTGGGGCCTTGTCCTTGTCGTCCACCGGCTCGTCCTCTTATGGATGCGCCGTTCGCGTTTGAGCTCTGCAATGTATCGTTCAACCCAGCGAACCTGCGGTCTTGGCCGTTGCCATTGTTGCGACGATCACCTGCAGGTCCAGCGGGAGCTCGGGAGGTTGCTGACGCTGGTCCAGAAGGTGTGTTTGGAGTCGGCGGGTTAGCCATGCCCATACGAGGTCCCGTAGGTGTAGATGCAGCTTGCGGTGGAATGTCGAGAATCTGCAGACGGCTGGGGTGAATGCCGACAACTTCTGGCTGCACAGACTGTGAAGGAGCTCCTGGCGGTGGTCCTGAGGGTGGAGGTGGAACTGGAAACTGTGACTGTTGCGAGCCCTGACGGTCATGGTGAGGGCGTCTGTTGCGGTTGCTGCTAGGTTCCTGAGGTGCATTGTGTGGCACATCTCTTGCATCCCCAGAGCGACCATTAGGCACATTTTGCCCAGAGAAGTTCCGAGGGTTGTTGTTACCATAACCCTTGGGACCGAGTGGAGGTCCAGAAGGGGGTTCTGGTGCGGAGCTTAAACGTCCATAGTTCGGATCTTGCATTTGCGTATCAACGGCTCTTCTAGAACCGCTTGAAGGCTCGAAAAGATCGCGAGCATTAGGCTTGGAAGGCATGTCATTGCGGCCACCTCGTACACTTCTGCCTGCAGCAGGTCCGGTTGGTGGCGGCTCCTCTCGTCTCTCCATTCTCTCAGGTTGGGCACGAGCGGCCTCCCGTGCAGCAAAAGGATTGGGATCAAGCGGCTGTCTGCGTGGCGCCTCCTTTTCGCGCACTGGCGCTGGCGGTGGGAGATCGACGGGTCTCTTAGGTGATTGTGGTCTCGAGTCTCTCGATCTTCTGTCGTCGCGTGATGAGTCTCTTGACCTGCGATCGTTGGGAGCAACTTCCCCAGAAATCAGAGCAAGACGTTCGGGATTGACAGCAACCGAAGCCTGCGGCGGTTGAGCAGAATGAGAAGATGCTCGGCTCATAGATTGGCGATCAGAACGTTCGCGATCGGCGCGTTCGAGACGGTCAGAACGCTCAGCACGATCAGTCCTGTCGTAGCTTGGGCGATCAGAAGGAGGGGCCATTGGACTGGGAGCACCAGAGTATCCTCTGTTCTCCTGAAGCAGAGTTCTTCCAGGATGAGGTCTTGCAGGACCGTATTGATCACGCTCAGCCACACGCGGCTCTGGCATGGCTGAAGGTTGAGGTCTGCCATAATGGTCACGTCTGTCATCGCGGGGAGGATATTCTGGGGATCTTTGACGACTTCTGCCTCCACGTGCTCCTAGAGGAGGAGATGCTTCTCTCGGCATGCCTGATGTACTCGAGCGCATAGCTTCGCTAGGTCTATCTAGACGTCCATACTCTGAAGGATGACCGCGCTCGCGAGAGTCATGGCGAGGAGGTAGTTGTGCAGAGCCTCGTCCAGATGGTTGTCTCGCATTGGGCGGGAGCTCTGGTTTGCTAGGCAGAGAGTGGGGTGTTCTTGTAGGCTGGGTTGATGATGGCCTCGAGTCATTCCGTTGCGAGGGAGTGTGAGCTCTCGCTTGGCCTTCGTTGGCTCTTGGTAATGGTTTGAGGGCAGCTTTTCTCTCTGGCAGTGCCTCAGATCTGTCTCCGGCGGCCTCCGGCTTGCCTGGAGCTTGTTTATCGTCGTCGATCTCTCCATCTTCTGATTCGGCTTTCTGCGCTGGGGCAAGTGGAGCCTGAAAGACTTGGGCGGTGGGGTTGAGTGGAGTCGAAGTACGAGAAGCAGGAGTTTCGGCTCGAGATGGAACAGGTTTGGCGTTGGGATCGGGTTTCTTGATAGTGTCAGATTTGTTGGTTGATGGTGGTTGTGCAATACTCACTCCTGTAAAGTGCTCCTTTGAAATCCAAGAAGGCTGCCTCTTGCGGATGTCACCCAATGTACTTGCAGCAGCAAGCTTGAGGTCAGCTCTGCCATCGGCTTTGCTGAGAGCAGTGACGGCGTCAAGAATCATCTTGCCCATAGGCTCTGCCACAGGGAATTGTTGAGCAATAGCCTTGAACACAATGATGGCATTGCGGATGTGCATGTACTCTCCGGAGTCAAAACACATTTGGAAAGCAGCATTCAGATTGGAGTGCCACTTGTACAGCAGTACACGGTACTCTTCATAGCTGAGGAATGTTTGTGGTGTGTTGTCTGGATTGAGCTTTCTTGCGAAACCAGTCAGTTGTTTCTTTGTCCCAAAAGCATTCTTCTCGTATGCAGCTTTATCGGCATGCCAAGCCGAGAGTTCCTTCAGGACTTCATTCAAAAAGCGGCCAAAATTCTCAGATTCTCTGGGTGTGCATTGGAACATGAGTGAGGACATTTGGTTCTTGCGCAGAAGACGGTCTAGCAGGTGCATAGTACGGAATCCAGGAGCGCCGTTGTTGTGAAGGAACTTCAGCATCATGTAAGTGTAGTGAGCGTCCAGGGGAGAGTTCATCATTCTTGGAAGGAAGCAGTTCTGGAGAAGACTGGTGTGCAAAAGTTCAACCTTGTTATGGAAGTCGGTGAACCAGTGATCCTTCTCCTTGTTGAGTCTGTTGCGGACCTGGGTGTAAGCGCCGATTTGACTCTTCATCTCTTGAGTAAGCTTCTCTCTCAACTCGGTGATGGCCTTCTTCCTCTTCTCTTTGTCTTGCATGCCCTTGCCCGTAACATCAGCACGGTCATTGTTGATTTGGTTGATGAGATGAGATTGGGTGGCGAGTTCCTGATCGTAACTGTTGGTGTTGACAAGAATGTCTTCGAGTCCAAGGGTCCAGAAAGTGACGTAGAAAGGTATGCTAATGTTCTGCTCAAGCTTGTCGCCAAGCAGCTCGCGTGTCTTGTCGATCAGCGGAGTCAAGACAGGATGCCAGTGTGTTTCAGGCGACGGAGTTGGAGTTGCAGCATCAACACCATTGGCGTGGGCAACGCTTTTCATCTCTGCGTCTGTTTCAGTAAGGGAAAGCATGGGCTTCTCCTCTGTAGGTGTCGAGGTGGCTTCTTCGTTCTTGACATCTTTCTCATCAGCGTCTGCCATGCTGACGTCGCCATTGGCAGCAGCTGATTGGCTCGACCTTCTGGCTTGTTGTTCGGCCTTCTTGGCAGCATCGCTCTCGGCAATAGCATGGGCGATACTTGCGCGACCGATCATGAATGCAATTGATGGCTCGAGGCCAAACTCACCCATCAAGCTGACCGTATCTGGAACGACGGCATCAAATTCGTCTGGTGAAAGTGTGCTTCGGAGTGTTTCGAGATATTGGTTAAAGACCTGGTAGAGCTTGTCCATGTTGTTTCCGAGAACTTTCAAAGGCGCATCTTGAGTAGATTCATGGTGAGCATACATCTGACTCTCCTGTGCGACAGATATCAGAAGTTGACCAGCCAGTCCAGGCTCGATGAGTGCCTTGATCAGACGACGAGACGGCTTTTCCATCTTGTGTCTTTCATCAAGCAAGGAAATGAGTGTCTGAGCCTTGAGAACAGGACCACCCGCCATGGCAAGAACTTGAGACTCGTTGAAGGTCATGTCAGATTTGATACCGACCATCTCGGTAATGATTTGTTCAAGAACCTCGAGATCGGTAGAATTGCCAGCGCGGAGCTCGTTGGTTACATACTGAAGGATGGGGGAAGGATCCATGGCAGAGTAGCGCTTGAAGATTGAACCAGCGAAGGTCGAAAGTGCGCGCAACCAGGGACTGGTGAGCATACCATCTGCTTGCACACGATTTCTGCCACCACCTCCGAGCGCGTTCATCAGACACCAGGTCAGTACATCATATCCGAGCATGCTAAAGTAACGAACACATTCCACGACAACATCAATAAGATTGTCGTAGGACTCCATCTGATGGATGGCGACTTGCATGACAATACCAGGAGAAGAAAAGGCAACCTTTGACAGTGCCTTGCCCATGGCTCGCACATTGGTCTTGCTGATACGCTTGAGAACATCCTTTGTCTCGGCCTTGGTGAGGTCAAAGGCAGATTTGATGTCAGGCAAGCGGGAGGTGGTACCATAGTGCCATTCGGCATAGATGGAGTAGCGAGTGCTGGTAGGGAAGAACTTGAGAAGCTCAAACATCTCATTGACGTCGCCAGTGTTGTGCTTGGTCAGACTGAGAGCAGGAACAAGAAGACGTTTGCAAAGGTCAATCCATCGAGCATAGTTGCTCTCAGAAGGATCATCGGTCAAACTCTTTTTACCAATACGAGCAAGCTTCATCAGGAGTGCAGAGTCTCTACCAATCTTGACGCCAGTCAAGTTCAAAAAGGTGCTGCAGAGTTGGAAGACATCATCTACTGATTGGCAGATGGGAATGTTGTCGGTCCAATCGTCCCAATAGAACTTGTACTCAACAGCATCGCCATAGTCAGGACGATCAAGATTGGCCCATCTCAGAGTCTTGGTTGGCGGAGCAGGAGTAAGGTTGAGCTGACCCTTGGGCAAGCCGGAAGGGTCGCCGATGTGAGGTCTAGCGGCATTCATTCCAGGCCTGTTAGCGAGAGGTCTGGCAGGTTCGTAGACCTTGGTGAGCATATGATGAAGGATGCGATGGATGTAGTCGGGTAACTCGTGGACGAGATCAGTCAACCAAGGGAACCTGCCCAGAATGTACAGAGCTTCTGGCAGACAGCCAATTGCCAGCAGACTCTTGACCAGAGCTACCTTTTGGTTGGCAGGTTCAGGCAAGGCTTCCTTTTCAGCATCTTCTGTAGCAGCTTCAGTGGTATCAGCTTCAGCCTTGGGAGTAGCTCGTCCAGAGGCGTTATCTCGCAGACCGCGCACAGCAGCATGCGGAGCAGGAACAGTGTCATCTGCAAGGGCACCTGCCATGGCAAGAGCATTGAGAGCACCACCACCGGGCTTTGCAGCCTTTTCTCTTTCGAGCTTCTCTTTCTCAAGTCTCTCCTTGGTCTCGCCCATCTTCTCGTCCGGTGGGTACAGATGAGGATAGAGGTCCCTGAGCGAGATGAAGCCAATTTTGATGAGGAAGGCGGCAAGATAGATGAGGTTGTCAGGAAGAACATCATGCTTGTCGCGAGCCGCAGAAGAGTAAAAGGCAAGTTTGAAACCAAGTAGCTGGGCGGCGTCCGAGTTGCCAGGAGGCACGACGCAACCAGTCTGGCGCATCCATTTGCGGGCGTTGTTGGTACGAAGGCGACGGATCATGTTCATCTCGCGACCTCTGGCATCCAGTTCGGGTTTGAGTTCTGTGTTGAGAAGATCGGCGACTGCAGGAGCGTCCAGATTTGTGATGCGGAGAGCGCCAATGTCGTAGAAAGCATCCATACCCACCTTGCGCACTTGCTGCCAGAAGTCCACATCGCGAGCCTCTTTGAGAGTAGCCAGTTGAGCACGCTGTTCCGAAGTCTGACTCCACGATGCTGAATGAGGAAGAGCCCATGCTGGTAGTGAAGTAAAGCCTTGTCCTTGAGTTTGGAAGCCCTCAGGGATGTGCTGTTCGGGCCACCACGAACTTGAGCGTAAGTACTTTATGAAGAAACGGAAGTTTTTGATGAGGAGATTTGCCATGACATCGAGGGTAATGTCCAGGACACGTCCAACGTCCAGATCAAAGGAGCCAACAAGGGCCTTGATGCGTTGGAAGGTATCCTCGGCAATGAAATCTGACGTAGAACCAGCGTTGGCAGCATTGAAGTATTCGGTGATGAGTTTGGAGTAACCTTCCGACTCTTCACGCAGCAGGTTGAAGTTGGCTTGACGGTAGATGAGGTTGGTCGTCTTGCGGTTGCGAATGGTAGAAAAGGTGTTGCGCACAAGTCCAAGAGCGGACAGGGGTTCGATGTCGAGCTCGTTGCGGAGCAGATGTGGTGAGAGACCGGCATCGTGAATGAGTGTCTTAAGAACGGGATTCTTCCAGTCTGCGTCGTCGAGCAGGGCCAGTGTGTCGGCAAAGACAGACTGCAGTTCGTCCGAAGGAGCAACTTGTTTCAGCACTTCTGCACACTCCCCCGCAGACAAGCGACCATCTAGCGTTGTCCTCAACAGCTCTTGTATGACTGTGCTCGACACCATATCCTTGTCCTCTGCATTCTCCAAAGCATCCAAAACTGACTGCTGTCCCTTTGCCTGCCAGGCACTCACGGCCTCGTCGGTCAAGTAGTCGTAAGCATAAGGAGCGGGAGGTTCCTTGGGCGTCGGTGGATACTGAGGGAGGACGAGAGGAGGAGCAGGGGTAGCTGAGGGTGTTGAGTTCAGAGCAGGGCGTGTTGGCTCTGGTTGCGAATGCTGCGGCAGCTGTTGCGGAGGCGGTTGTGATTGCGCATTCTGCTGAGGAGTTTGCGGAGGATGGGCGGGCGAGTTTCGAGCAGAGGCGGGCTGGGAGAAGTTGCCATGTCGGTTGTGAGTGGGAGTCGAGTTGTTTGAGCGATTCTGGTTTCCATTTCCATTGCGACGGTTGTTGCGCTGGTTCTGCTGGGCCAGATTGAGGTTTTCGGGACGGTGAGGGGAGGCGCGAGTCTGATGGTCGTCCTGCGGGCGCTTTCTCTTTTGCTGGGCAGGCGCCATGGTTTATGTGCGAGGCATGTGTTGGAGAGCGGGTTCTAACAAGTGCTGCTCATGGGTCGAGTGTTTGCTGTGGGTGCCTGGTTGCACCTTTCCAGTCTTGTGATTTTGCGCGTCGCTCTGCCTGCGATAATCGGCCAGTCCAAGATTACCACAGAAAAGACGCGTGGGATCCTGTCGATGAAATTGTGCGGAAAGCGCTTGGGTCGCTCCTCCTCGATGTTCGCCAAACTCTCAAGCTTCCCATCTGCGTCCCGCCGCCGCGGCCATTCAATCCAGCATGGTCTGTGCTCATACAATATCAGCCTTGGTCATTGTCACCAATACATTCACTTTTGTCACATGCTGTAATGAATACAACACCATCCATCATCAATAGTGATGTATGCTCAAAGTCATGATACAAGTCGTTTCCTGTTCCCCCTCAAACTAGGTATGCTGGACTGAGGTACAAATGCTATAACAAAACCCATCGCTATGCCATCCATAAATCAATTCACAATCATTCAATCAATCAGCGGCCGTTCACTCAGCGCAGACCACATAAGTTCAGGTAGAGACCGTTGCGTCAGCGCAGTCTACACAAGTCCTCCAGCCAGCCCCTTGGCCGTGCCTGTCACCCCGTCTGCCTTTTTCGTCACTCCATCCACTCCAGCCTGCTTGGTCACTCCCTCCAAGTTAGCTTGCTTGGTAGCCTGATTGGTGACGTTACCCACATTGGCGTTTTTCTTGATCGAGTCTGCTTGTTTGCCCATGTCGACTCCGCTCGACTTGGCTGGGTTGTCCTGAAGCTTTCTAGGCTTGCCATTTGGTTTAGGACTTGCTTCGTCCTTGGTGCCATTCTGACCAGAGTGGTCCGGGTACTCTTTACGCGCACCACCCATGATGAAGTCGAGTCTTCCACCAGTAAGAGCATTGATCTTGTCGCCGATAGCTTCGCCCTCTGCTGCGGGAGTCTCGCCCTTGTTGAACCATTTTAGCAGGTAGTATCCGCCCAGACCCCACAGGAAGAAGAAGCATGCGGCAAGACTGGTGAAGAAGACAGTCGGGAAGAGTATGACCAGAGCGATGACGACCATGAAAAGGGTGAAACCAATGGCGACAAGCAGGCCGACGAGCAGGGCGACGACAAGCGAGAAGATGAAGACGGTCAGGGTGAAGAGGATGAATAGGAACATGGGCGGGCCCGTGAGGGCAATGTTGGTGAGGAGGAAGGCCTGCAGTGCTTGTTAGTTGGCTGTGAAAGGGCTCAAGCAGAGGTCATGTCAGTACCGAAAGCTTTGGGTTCTTGACAGCAAACTGCTGGAGCTTGGTCAGGAGCTCCTGACGGCGCTCTGGCGGAAAGACAGAATCGACAATGGACATGGCTTTGGTGGTGACAGTGTTTGCCAGACCTTCAATGGTGCTGATGATGCCAGACATGGCGGGCGAGCTAGAGGTCAAGACGTAGGTTGACACTAGGAAAGGTAGCCGACGGAAGAGTGTCTCAGATGCGGAGCAAGATACAAGATGTAGTTCTAGGAAAGAGCGACGACAACAACTTAGCTGAGATTTCTTCGACTACTAATATGCGTAGGGCAATAGGGAGTTTAGCGAGTCTGGACGGGCCAGACGGCATGAGCAGCGCACAAGACGGCAGGCAAAGCAGGCTTCTGTCGTGTTTTGGCAGTCGCAACCCACGCACGACAACGTCACAGCACAGCGACTCTCCAGCGAGCTGCGGCCGTGACAGCTGCGGCCGGCACGGGCCACGCCGCATGACTCTGGACCGGCCGGAAAGCTGGAGAAGGCCGACTCGCTTTTGTAAAAAGTTTGGACGCTCGAATCTCGTTTGTCCGCAGACTGGGCAGGAACGAAGGCGCATCCACCGTTCACACTGCATCTCACAATGGCCGCACACGACGACAAGAAGAGAAAGCGAGCCCAGGAAGGCGCTGACGCTCCCAACAAAAAGGCCTCGAGCGCCGCCATCAACGTGCGCTTCCCGGCACCGCGCGACGAGCTGTTCCCCGTCATCGGTATGCGCATCGACTCGTCCGCACCCACCCCGTCGACTTACTGACGCCAGTAAACAGCTGCTGCTCCCGGACTCAACGTGCCCAGCGCTCCCTTCAAGCCCTTCGTCAAGCTCACCAACCCCAAGAAAGAGGCCGCCTCGCCCGCTCCCTCGACACACTCGCTGCTGCTGCACTCGACATCACATGCCCGTCTGGACTTTACCGCCCAACAGCAATCCAACCAAGACCTGTCCCACTACGTCGCCGTCTACGACCCTCAATCCTCTTCTCTCCAAGTCCTCCCTGCACATGCCGTCACTCTCCGCACAACCCTCCGCGCAGAAGCACAAGAAGTCGCCGCTCAGAATGCCGTCCGCACCTTTGCCCAACAACGTGAGGATCTAGGCCAGGCATTCGGTACAAAGAAGGCCAAGAAGGCTCTTGCCTCCAAGGTCGAAAACGCCATCACCTCCAATGCCGACAGGAACCGCGTCGGAGGCAAGCTCGATAACGTCGAAGCTGCCGTCATGGACAGCGTCAAGGAGGCCTCAGATGCCATGCCCGCCAAGCAGACTCAGCAAGAGGAGATTCTCGCAAACAAGCCCATTCCCAAGCCCAACCTCAGCGCCACCGAGGTCGAGAACGTCTACCCTATCGGCATGCTCATTCCTGCAGCAGACATGCGCAACTTGACAGTCAAGGAATGGCAGGACAGCAATGGCGAGGATCTCAAGTTCTCTTCGCGTTATGTCGCCAATCGTGTCTCCGCAATCGCCGTTCGTGATGACGTTCAGAGACTCAAGGCCCTCAAATACCTCATGCTTCTGATCGACTTCAACCTCGCCCTCAAACCAGCAGGAAAGGCGGGTAAGAAGGTACCACAGAAGGATCAATTACGAAGCAAGCTCCAGGACTGGCCAGAGACCTTGATCGAGAGTGTCAGGAGGAGATACTCAGACAACAACGAACTCAACAAGTGGCACATGGACAACCTGATTACACACATGGCCGCCATTGCGCTGTTCATTGATGGTTACAAGCTCGACACGCACGATCTGCGTGAAGACTTGCGTTTGGAGAACAAGCAGTACGTTACTAATCTCATGCAATCACATATCAACATGCTAACACAGTCTACAGAATGTCACAATATTTCATGGAGCTCGGCTGCAAGGTCAACAACCCCACCGAGAGGGAGCAAGCAGATTTCAAGATCCCCAACAAGGCTGTTGCTGCACAACGCAGGGTCGCCAAGTTGAAGATTCCCCTCGACTTCCCCAAGGTCAGAATGATGGCTCGCAGAAGATGATGACCTACCCATTACTGTTTATACTCAGTCTTGATCATCTGTCTACAGACATGGCTGTCGCATACAATACAAAATTTGATACCCCCTTAAATTTCTTGTTCGTACTTGTTGGAGCTTCAATCATCCACATCTTGGAATCCGATTCCAGCCATTGTGATGATCATAATGTTAGTCAGGGTCGTACCTCTAACAAATGCTGAAATCACATCTGAAACCGTTATGCAGCGACGACATGACCCTTGCAGCTTTCCGTATGATAAGCGAGTGCAGATAGTATTTCTCTGGCTTACTGCTACTTCCAAAAGTGATCAACCAAGTTCTTTCTGCGTGGACATGCCGAAGACGAAAATCAGACTGCGAACCCCGGATGGCTCACCCAATTCGCCTTGGTTCTTCCACATTCTCCACGATTGAACAGAAGAACAGCCAAATTCTGTCATAGAGGTAATTATCCTTGTCTAGGAAGACAAAAATCAACCAGAGACGCTCGAAATAAAACTCCCCATACATGCTTGAAGCTCCCGACTAAGTTATATCGTCGTTATCAGAACCCCGAAAGACGAGGCGCAGGGTCTCCTGTCAAGGGTCCACTTCCGAATTTGAACGCTTCCAATGCTTCTGTCTAGATTTCCAGATTCCAGAAAGATAACCTTGCTCTGTTGTGGCGGGTATAAATGCTGGTTGGTTTGGAGCGATCTCGAATCTTCTCAATGTTCATGCGTGCTCATGTTTAGTCTTGTTTGTTTGCTGAAGATTTGGTACTTCTATCAGATGGTGAATCAGCATTTCACCACAAGAGATTGAGGCTTGTCAGGACTCACTGGATGATCTTTTTGGCAACAAAGTAGGTTAAGGACCCGACGAGGGCAACTTTGAGTAAGCCACCCATAGCTCCTCTTCTTCCAGATCCATTGTTGTAGTTTCTCCAGTGTAGGGTGGGTTCATGCGGGAATGGATAACTGCGAAAGGCAGGCCGCGAACGTTGGACTGAAGAAAGCATAATGTGGTAATATTGAAGAAGAATAAAGTAATACTGATAGTGAGCAGACTGGATATGTTATGATTTATAGTTGCAGCAAGGCTTCGGAGCTTCCGACGTTGCAGCAGCAGGTCCGCGGACTCTCCCTAGGCGTGTTCGAACGGAGAAGGATCATGAGACTGATTTGGAGAACTGTCGGGAGAGATTTGTGCAAGAAATACTTGGATATTTGCTACTCAAATTGATTGCACTCAGGTTTGGTGTCGTGCTTCACTGAAAGTACGACATATGATGCGATCAGACAAAGGCGCAGGGATGGTAGAAGCAAGATCGGACTGCTGTTGACGACGGATGGCGACAGATGGCGACAGATATCTACTAATGTACTCTGCCTCATGACCTTCATCCTTGGGAAGTGTCCGTCCATACATATATCCCAAGGCTGGTGTGACAAGTCTTAGTACTGTCAAGAAGGATAAACACAAAACTCCTGCCATTGCTTGTCTGTATAGTCTGATTGCGTTCCATCAGTGTGTCTGTCCGTGCGATTGTTGGCGTCAATGCTTGCACTCAAGTGCCAGTCGTATACCAAAACGTGTGACTTCACTCGGTTCTCTGCTTGCAAACCTCTGGAAGGAACAGGCCGGCTGTTGCCCTCTTCGGAAGTTCTCCGATGGCGGCCCCGCATCGCTCCTCCCTGTTCTGCAACCTCACCCCACTTCTATTGCGGAGAGAACGCCTTTCCCAACCTCCACTCTCGCTTCTTCAGTCTTGAATCTCGTGTTCTTTCCCTGCCTTCTAGTTTATGCCTTCTTGCAGCATTGGTAAATGAGCTTTAGATCCCTAGTAGGTCATGAACGAACAACATGGCTGGTATGACTCCGAAAGCCATGACTCGCTCGGCACATCTCCATGGCTCGTCGTAGTCGCTACTCTAAGCCACCTTCGCAAAGATCGTCCCCGCTATACATCCACAATCTTGGCAACCAGCCTGAGCCAAGATGTGAATGTTGCCCTATCATGGATTGTCGTTGCATTGGCGGACGGCCAGGAACGAGTACTTAATATGCTTGAAATCCGCCGTTTCGAAGCCTAGGTCAACCATATTCTGTTCTAACGATGAAGTCAAGTCTCTCAGTCAATGCTTTGTTAGCATTGGCAAGCCCTGCCGCAGCATACACCTCATGGAGCTATACCAATGTGTCTGATCCTTACTATGGACAGAGTCCGCCGGTCTATCCCTCCCGTAAGAATTGTGCTTTTGATACCAAGTTCAGTATTAACATGGTCTACAGCTGCCGGCAATGGCTCAAGTAGCCCTCAATGGGCCAATGCTTATGCTCAAGCACGCAGCCTCCTTGCTCAAATGACACTTGAAGAAAAGGTCAACGTAACTCGCGGATTCACTGGAACCTGCGTCGGCAACACTGGTGCCGTACCTCGTCTAGGTATCAAGCCAATGTGTCTTTCAGACGCCCCAGACGGTATCCGTGGTCAGGAATTTGTCAGTGCTTTCCCTGCTGGTATTCATGTTGCTGCCACATTCGACAAGGATCTCATGTATGCCTACGGCCGTGCTTTGGGCGAGGAGTATCATGGTAAAGGTATTAACATTGCTCTTGGGCCTGTCGCAGGACCGTTGGGAAGGGTTGCCAGAGGAGGCAGGAACTGGGAAGGTCTTTCTGCGGATCCTCATCTTGCTGGTGCTGGTATGGGAGCTATCACTAGAGGTATTCAGGATGTTGGCGTCATCGCTACTGCGAAGGTACAAACACAACGCAAAGAAAGAAATATTCACGTACTGACAACTGCCTAGCACTGGCTGCTCAACGAGGAAGAATTCCGCCGAAACCCTGCGATTGGGGAAGGTGAAGGTGAGTTCCAGTTCAACAATCAAAGCCGATCTTGAAGCTGACATCTTCTTAGCCATGTCATCCAACACTGACGACAAAACTCTGCATGAATTGTACGTTTACCCCTTCATGGATGCTCTGCGAGAGAACGTGGGCAGTGTTATGTGCAGCTACCAACGCTCCAACAACTCCTATGGTTGCCAGAACTCCAAACTCCTTAATGGAGTCCTCAAAACCGAACTAGGCTTTTCTGGTTTCGTCATGTCCGATTGGGAAGCACAACACTCGGGTGTCGCCTCCGCGAATGCTGGTCTCGATCTTGTCATGCCCGATGGTGGTTTCTGGGGTGGCAATCTCACACAGGCAGTCAACAATGGCTCTGTCTCCATTGATCGTTTGAATGATATGGTCACTCGTCAGCTGGCTTCATTCTTCTATGTTGGTCAGGGCAATGGGTTCCCAACCGCAGCTGTGCACAGCAATCTACAACTTCAGGAGCCCGTCAACGTTCAAGACGACCACTCCGATCTGATCAGAGAAATTGGCGCTGCAGGCACTGTCTTGGTCAAGAATGTCAACAACACTCTACCTCTCAAGAACCCTCGCTTCTTGGCAGTATATGGATATGATGCAACCGTGAAGGCATCCCCTTGGCAGAATCCTACAAGATATGGTGGTGGATACGAAGTCAACTTTGGGTGGAACACCTTCAACGGCACAATGATCACTGGCGGAGGGTCTGGTGGTAGCACACCTCCATACGTCATCTCACCCTTCCAAGCCATCCAAGAACGTATCGCCAAAGACAAGGGAATTCTTCGCTGGGACTTCTACTCAGAAAATCCCACACCGCCTTACGTCAACACTGATGCCTGCTTGGTCTTTGTCAACGCTTACGCATCCGAGAGCTTCGATCGCACAACCTTGGCGGACGAGTTCAGCGACAACCTGATCAAGAACGTCGCCGCCAACTGCTCAAACACCATTGTTGTGATTCACAGTGCTGGTATTCGTGTTGTTGACGAGTGGATTGGCCATGAGAACATTACCGCCGTGCTCTTCGCAGGTCTTCCAGGTCAAGAATCAGGACACTCGCTAACAGATATTCTCTATGGCGACGTCTCACCTTCTGGCCGCCTTCCCTACACTGTCGCCAAGAAAGAAGAAGACTACGGCAGTCTTCTCAATTCCACCATCTCTTTTGCTCCTTATCCTCAGTCCACCTTCTCGGAAGGTGTATACATCGACTACCGCCACTTCGACCACTACAACATCACTCCACGATTCGAATTCGGCTTTGGGTTGTCCTACTCCACTTTCAACTACTCCAAACTGCACACGGCAAAATTGGCCGATGGAGACTTATCTCCTTACCCCAATGCAAACGTCGCCATTGTCCCTGGTGGTCACCCTCAGCTCTGGGACGAGATCTTCTCGGTTTCATTCGACGTCATTAACACTGGCAAGACGTTTGCTCACGAAGTCCCTCAAGTCTATGTGGGCATTCCAGGTGCACCTAAGAAGCAATTGAGAGGCTTTGATCGTGTGCCCCTGCAGCCTGGACAGACCAAGAGAGTCAATATTCCTCTCACGAGAAGGGATCTGAGTGTTTGGGATGTGGTGGCTCAGCAGTGGAAGTTGCAAGCCGGAACGTATAAGCTTTGGATCGGTGCCAGTAGTAGAGATGTCAAGTTAGAGGGTAGTCTCACTGTGTGATGCTAGACACAAGTGCACGAAACCAAATACCTCCTTTTCCGAAGAGCTTGCTCGTGTCTCGATCTCCATCTACATGTCATTGTCTGAGATGTCTAAGCAAAGACACGGATTTGGAGTGATTTTACGCAATCAACGGAGTTAACTCCATGGGCCATTTGCAAACTCCTGGGGGCCGAGTTACGGCTTTCGGCAGGAATGGCCGCTGACCATACAAGTTCCATCATGTGATCCTTGGAGAATTCTATATCGCGAGCCGTTCATTTCGTGTCTCGCGACGTAATGACCTGTCGTGGACACCTCGTGAGCTACCAAGAGGCTGGATCTTGCGTTGCGATCGCGACTGGGAATTTGCATACCTCTGGCGGATACCACGACTTTGTGTCAGAAGATGTCGGATCGACATGAGAAAAATTCCCTTTTCAGAGCTATGAAACTGCTACAGTATCCCCCTTTGATTTAAAAGCGCCCCCAAAAGCATGTTTTCACTGATTCAAAAAACCGAAAAAGAATTGTAAGGCTTTGTTGACGCAGCGAATGGCTTACTTAGCCGAATGCATGGCTTGCGACAACGGACCAAAGAACGTTCGTTTACGGATCGACATACGAAAACATCTCTCTCAGATCTCGACTCTGAAACAGAAAAAATTGTCCTGCTGATGTTGCGCAAGGTTTTTGTTTGAATGGTCAAAAGGGGGGGGATCTGCAAAAACGCAAACTATGATAAGCATAATCAAAACACACGATTCCGGGGGTGAAACATGCGTTAACTCCACCTTCGGATCCCTATGCGAGGGGTCCGAGATGGGGCAAAAGTATTCAGGCTTCCGAAAATTTCTTGTCGATCCCGCATCTTCCGAGGGGTTTGAGGGTCATGGTTTTACTTTGTTTCTTGGTATTGGAGCCGAATACGCTGGATACGAATGTGACTGGCTGCCGTCCGACCGCGACTCCTCTTGGGATCTGATTCGTCTTCTTCATCTCCCTAGTCACTGTCAGGGTCTCGTGCTGATGATCTTCTCAGGGTAAGGGTACAGGGTCCTCGAAAGTCGGGGAGATGCAAGTTATTTTTTCTATTTTTATTTTTTATTTTTTATTTTTTTGGATAGAGATGTAATCATGGAGATATGAAAAGCGAGATTTTTGCATGAACATCATTTAGATTCTAAGAATATTATGTGTCTATACATGTAATCGTGACAACGTTCAACCCACAAGGAGGTTGGAAATGGTATCATCGCGTAAATAAAGAGTGTGTCATCCATCCGAACTCCAAGGTATCAAAACAGTATATGCAGATGCAGTCGAAAAGATCGTGTCGAAATATGAAACACCTCATCTGCATACCCAGAACAAAATGTAGATCTCCAGAAATCGATGTGATTGGTATTATACATGGTGTAGTAGCTCGAGGGCTGTCCGCCTTGACAACGTCTAGAAGATTCAGACAGCAGGCATGTATGAACGTCTCAGCCTTTGGCGCGAAGTTGCAACAAAATCTGCTTGTTCGCGATAGCGTTGATGGCGATGCCACATCTTCTGACATCTTGCTGACTTGACGTGGTAATCTCTGGTCCAAAGTCTGTAGAAGGTTGCACCACACATGGGACACGCTAATAGTCGTGCATGCGGTGCGCGTTCGCGTTGGTGACGTAGAAGATTGCTGCGGGAGGAAAAAACACGTCCGTCGCAGCCGTGATCGTAACATGTTCGACTTGAATCTGATGGTGAACATGCTTTCGTTGCAGGCGATCCAGCGTCGTCAGAAAGGGGTGATGGAGTATCATTGCTCAGGAGACCTGGTTCACTCGAGGGGCTCTGCATACTCCAGAAACTCGGACTTGTTGGAGATGGAGTGGATGCATATACGCCCTGCATGGTAGTGGTAGTGGTTATTGGTTGTGCGGCAACAGTGTCCACTGAATAGCCAGCGTTGGTAACATTACAGGTTGTCCAGGCATCCATCAGATTGTAACAAGAATCCCGGCGGTCTGAAGCGTATGTGGTAGTCTTGTTGAGGGAATATTGGTCTGATAGTGACGCGATAGGGTCGATTTGGTTGATCAGATAACTCGTGTTTGACGAACATAGTTGGCTATGCTGATAGGACGGGAATGCTATCGTCAAGTCAGTTTGCATACAAGTGCAAAATCTTCTGACGGTCATACAATATGTGTTTGGCGGGATGCTGGGAGATGGAACGAAGCTCCACTCGTTGTTCCACGTCGAATCGGCGTTGATAGGAGCTTCTGAATATGTCCAGGCCATAGGTAGTTGATAGTAAGCATCCATGTTGAGATATCTCGATGTCGGTACTGATGTCGATAATGTCATCTCTGTGTGGACGGGGCGATGGCACAATATATCACTTCATCACTTTGCAGTATTGTAAGGCTGAACTCTCTACCTTTGAAATGCTGATAACCAGCCGGGTCGAGACTTGCGTAGTCTCGAACCCAACTGACATTGTCATCAATAGCCTTGTTGAAACAAGCCCAACGTCGGTGAGCTTAACATGCTGTCGCGGCGAGACCTGAACGGAGCGGAGATGGCCCGCGCAAGTCTATTGGCTCGGTGATCGTCCATCCTGAGGCGCTCGCCTGAGAATGGGAAGGCGCGACGGTTTGGATGAACGTAAGGATTTGAGCAAGGTGGCGTTAGCACCTCCAGAGCAATGACCAATGGATCGCCTCGCATTACCTCCTGACCGTTGACGAGAAGATGGACATGCCAAGGTTACTTGAAAAGACGATACAATCCTTTCGAGGTTCGGTGTTGAAAGAATTATAATATTCAGCATCATGGTTTAATTCCCATAGTGATAATTGAAAAAAATTATGTTTCCATATAAGTCGTAGGGCTCCAGCTGCCGGCCGGCGTCGGAGGTGAAGCATCCTTTGGCACGACCTTGTTTGGGTTTGAATTTGCATAAACACGTGGGATCTGCTTTTAACGTTAGAATTGCAATTGCGCCATGGTGTGAGGAAAACTCCACGAGTATCAAGCTGCAACTTAATGCACTGTACCGCTGCCTGCTTGTAGTCTAACCGTACCAAAAACGCGCAATTGATCACATGGGAAGGTGCAATTCTAGATGGATAGTTACCTTGATGGCCATACCTCAGTTCTGCGATTCGATGCGACATTTTGCAAGACACACGAAGACTGCTTAGTATGGTTCAGGTAAGGTATGCAATGCAAATATTGCCGTACTCACGTAAGACATTGGCTTGGGAGAGGGTACTGTAGGCGGCCACAAGTATTCGTCGAAGAGTCGTAAGGTGTATGATGCTCTGTAGACGATCGAAGGTATCCAGAAGAATTGCAAGATGTACAGTAGTATGATCAGCTTCAGCTTCCGAACAGTCCCTGTCGGACCGAGAGCCGGCAAGGGAGACCGAGCATATAACTTCCATTCATGGTCTATCGCTCCAGCGTTGACTTCTGTCTGCTCGGGAAGGCGCCGAATCTGAACCTTGATTCAGCCCCGGATATAACCCTTCTCGGGACCTCACACATCCGTATGAGGTACAATAGTCTTCACCGAGACAACTGTAAATACGACTCTGGCACAATGCTGGCATTTTAAGCGACCCGAAGCACGTTGATGATACAGTAGCATCAGGTCGGTAGGTAGGACAACTCGATCTCTGACAATTACCACATATATACGCCCTCGGTCGTCAGAACATGTATACATGTATATTCTTCGCCAAGACATTTCTCCTCGCCAAAATGTTTCCAGGCTCTTACTATGAGTCTTGCACAGCAGATGGAGCGGTCGTCGCGGACAGGTATTGACAGTCGCCATGCACAGATCTCATATCGGCCGCAACTAGTTCGTCCGTCGCGAACTCTTCCCCAACATCTGAATAGACTTGGGTTCATCATCGATCGTTGAGCTTGCAAAGCTTGGTATCTGCAAGTCTGAAACTTGCGAAATACATGATCCTGAGGCTGCAATGAACGTCACAACAATTCCATATCTTCAGTGAAAGAGATTCCTTCCGATACTCCTATTTCAAGATCAGCGGCCAACCACGATCTGTTGTTGAGCATTCTGTTCCGTCATCTGACACAAACGATGTCTGCTTGAACCTCGCGTTTGTGCAGCTTTATGGCAGAGTCAGTGCTGAATAACTGGTGGTCGGGATTGAGGAGATATGTCAAGTAAGCGAATTTGGAACTATAAGGCTGTCGTTTGTGGAACCACAGTTGATGATCTCGATTCCTGACGGACGGTGCTGAAAGACAGAACAGGTTCACAGCTCATATCTGCAACAATACTCTATCATTACAAGGCAGTTACCATTCAATACTTCGTGCATCTTGTAGATGTTGACTTTGTTGGTGCACGTTTTCATGCGTGCGCGTGCTCGAAACAACTCTCCTCGTTGTGACCTAAGCTTTCATTCTCCGCGGGCAGCACGATCAGTTGTGGGACCCAGTCGAGCGAGATTCAGCTGAACGGCACCGAGTGCCAAAGTTCCGTATAGAGGAATATAGGTTCTCCAGCGACATGATCACGGGAACCATTGATGGATTTGGACGAGATCTGACGGCTGTCGATCTTGCGCAACGAGAGATTCAACACATCTAGATATGCTTGAACGGTGTCTTACGCACAAGCGCAGAAGTAGCTAAGAAGGTGCTGTCCGATGTACGAGTCCGGCTGAAAGAGCCCTTCTAGAGCAGAGTGGGGATGGATCTCAAACAGTCAATCTGGCGACCCACTCGTTCGCGGTCTGGGGCCGGAGATTTGGGGCAGAGTGGGATGAATGGTTGATAGCATGAGACAGGAAGGTCCATCTTCTAGATGAAGTAGTCTGTAACCAGCTTAGTACAAGTCGAATCGCACGCTCACGGCCGAGAGGAAGAATAGAGAACCATCCTCATTCTCAGAACGAGTTCCAGTATAGCCCTTGGGCACTTCAGGGCGGATATGGAGATGGCTTGAATGAGAGGCTGTTCGCGGAAAGACACCAGATGCAGTCAATGAAGCACGAAGCTCATTGACAGCGGTACAATCTCAGCTCCCCTTCGATAAGTTCAACTCCGATCTCCGCAAAAAGTCACAGTTGAAGAACTGCGACTACGAATCGCCACGTTCGTTTCGAGATAACCAGCTATGGTGTCTCGAGAGTCCATATCGGTCCAGGCCTGACGGCTAGCATCAATCTTTTGCGACCATAAAGTTGAGACAGACAAGTGGTCACATGTTGAAGGCACCGACTACCCCGTTCTTTGGGTCGAACAACGCGATATCGCCAATCCAGACTGCAGCACTCTTATCGCTCAAGCGGCCAGTGATAGATAGCAACGTGATCTCTACTACGAGAAAAGGTTAATGAGATCGGTCAGTCTACGAGCAGTACAGATTGGTTGGAAGATATACAGAAAAGCGACTTACAAGGATATCTCGTCCGTCGTCCACTATCGCTCAGGAGTGGGAGTGTGGTGGATCGGAAGGATATCGTAGATGAACCACTATATGCCAGATCTTCTTGGTATCTCACGAGGTGCGATTTCCTTTTTGGTTGTATTCTGTTTTTCCTTATTGAGGAACGTGGCACGGCCCAGGCCATACCGTTGTGTTTCTTGGCCAGTGAATACGAACCACAAGCAGTACTTGGGCAAAAATTGGCGATTCGCTTTTACTCGAGAGCCTTCATAACAGCTGCGACATCATCCATGATCGATGCTCGTACACCATTTGGCAAAGCTCATTCAGGGGCGCTCAGCCTTCCAGACTCACGGCCTGGCGTCATTGCCCCCAAGGAGCATTTCCCTGGACGAGCATTTCCCTCAAGGAGCAGATTAAAGATCTGAAGGATTTGTGGCAACTTCAGAAAGCTGCAACTCAAGCCGATGACAAATGCAGGCGTGAGCCTATAGATTGAATAGACATGATCGCTGATAAGATTCGCGGTCCAACGGGGAATATAGACGCGGATATTGTTCTTGTGAATGATTTTGCTTGGACGCCCTGCAAGTCCAGTGGGGACATCTTGCTAGACCTCGTGCAGCTGGTCCACCAATCTGCAAGGATGCAGAGCTCTCTGCGAGGTGTTGTATGGCGATGAGTGCTTACAACCTGTTTCTCTCACGCATCCTCGGACCGAACGTGCTAATGTGTGTTGATGGTAGGTCAGCAAAATTGTCGCTCAATTCCAGCAGACTTCAGCGATTGTGTCCATGTACACATCTTATCAGCCACATACGAATAGACGAATTGCGATAAATCGACCTGATGGCGCGAGGACACCGAGAGGAAAGTTGATTGTTCCCGATTGACGCAGCCTGTACGCGCGTCAAAGATAAACTTCGGAGGAAATACATCCTTTCCATGTACCTACCGTATATGTGCCTACACAGTGCTATCTAGCATTTTTTCTGAACCAGGTCAATTTCTCATGAAGTAGTCGCGACGTGTTGTGGTGTTGTACGTCCAAGACCCCAACCCGAAGGTGGCGTGATAGCTTGGCACTTCTGGGCTACACCAACTCATCGACAACCTAATTAGGCTATACACATAACCGCTGCTCTCAACTCCCATCATATTCTCAACGCTGTCATTGTGTCGTTTGCTTCCATCAAGCGTCTTCTGACACCCAAACGCTTTTCCTTTGTCCGAACGCATCCGGGTCCTGCGACGGTGGCATAGTGACGCGTTGGCGACTGCTCAGTACCTCGAGCTCCATATCTGTATCAACAATAGCCGTCAGAGACGAGAATATCCGTCAATCTAATGACTCTCCAAGACGCATATTAGCGGTTGTGATTACCGGAGGCTTCACCCATGCGGGTGAGTATTAAGCGACGTCACAGACGGAATCTAACACATGACCGGCACCTGTTCTAGAGCTATGTAAAGTCTTCGCGGAAAGGGGACATGTTGCAGAGTTTGCTACAAACGCTGGCCAAGAGGATTGGGCCAAGTATTGTCCCCTCATTAAAACTGTGCACTCTTTCAGCCCAGGTCCATCAGATGAGGAGACGGAAGCACACTAACGACGTATGCTTCCATGGAGCCCGGCGGATGGGCTGAGCTCCATCATGTGAAGTCGAATTATTTCTGGGACTCGTACTGGACGCACACCTATCTTCATCTCAAGGAGATGGCATTGACTCCTGTTAGTCGTCCTGACTTCACCATCGCCGACTTCTTTGCCGACGCGGCTGTCAAACACACGATGGTCGAGCTCGGCATACCTATTGCGATTGTATGGCCACAGATGCCATTTCTGATGGCTCTTGTATCTTAGATCTCTGGTCAGCCGGGCTTTCAAATCGATATGAGCCTCACTTCGGAACGTGCACCTAGTGCATCGCGCATAAAGAATGAGATGGTGTTATTCTGGGCACTGCCTTCGCTCATAAAATGGCTTAAATGGACGAAGCAAATGCGCATGAAAGCCGGTGTGACGCACAAAAGCCCCTCAGTTTCTAAACCTGACTATCTCGTTCTTGTGATCTCTTTTTTCGGTTTGGAGGTGTCCAAGGATCTTCCGCCATCGATTGTGCCATGCGGGCCCATCCTAGCCGACAGCTACAATGAACTTGACGAGAAGCATGCGAAGTCCCTAGCCCAGCACAAGCGGGTACTTCATGTTGCCTTGGGAACACACATAATCCTGCAAGGCGCAGACGTTGCCAAAATTCTTGATGGTATCATTCAAGTGCTCGACGATCGCCACATTGACGGCGTCATCTGGGCTGTTGGACATTCTCCTCGACAAGAATTTCACTATAATAAGAGCCTCACTCGTGCAGGTCAACAAACCCGCACTCTTGGAGAAATACTTGACCAAGCAGATTCAGATATTATGTTCCCCTTGTTTGCTCCTCAGCACGCGATCTCAGAACACAAGAGCACCGTGTTGTTCTTGACTCACGGAGGCAGTTCTTCTGCTAACGAAGCACTCTACCACGGTGTTCCAGTCCTGACTCTCGGCTTTTTCTTTGACCAATTGAGAAATAGTGCTCGTTTGCGTAGCGCGGGCGTTGGTTTATCTTTGGACAAGCTACATTACACTTCTTGTGAAATATGCGACAGCATTGCGCTCATCGTGGGCGATCAGGATGGTCGATTCGCACAAAATCTCAAGCGCATGAAGGGCGTTGCAAGAATTGCATCAAGATGTAGATATCTTGCTGCCGACCTGATTGAGCAGTCCATGATCGATATCGATTCCTGGATGGTAAGGAGATGCACCCTAGATACCTGCAAACAGCTGATATGCGGATGTCAACGTGGACAGCGAAGAAATGGGACCTGCGATTACTGACTTTGGGCACCAGTCTGATCGTTGTTGCAGGTATGAGCTATATAGGTCGGGCGATCTACACTGCTTTTCGTTTCCGCACAAGATTGTTCGGGAAATAATGCTCAGAGACAGGATATTTTTAAGTTGTTCTTCATTAAACAAGTTTGCCCGATGGTGGTCATCTTGCTACGTCGAAGACAGTCCACGGCTCATCTCAATTCGACAATGTGGGGGACAGTCTTCCTGGACCACTCCGTCTGAGCGTAACATCTTGATAACGCGGAGATGTCTTTTCCAATCGTTTGGTAGAAGATGCATCGCCATCGTATGGTTCGTTCGTCTATTCAACCCTGCAAGTACCTTTAGTTGTGTGACCGTTGGTATGAGACAGCACAAAACTAAGGTGTTGACAGAACCTGGGCACGTTGACCAACGAGGCTAAAGCTAGAGATCTAACAACCTTCACGAAGAGGATAACCGGACGTCCATTGCTAGTATCAGATGCAGTCTGTCGAGCTGAATCCGGATCGTCGGACCGAAAGATGCCGCAAGGGGTCGACATAAGCAGCTTTGAACCAGCCGAACGAAGATCAGAGGTTGGCTTGCTTCACATATCCCAACAGCCATGCGCAGACTTCCACTGCGGTATCAATAAGACTACTCATAGACGCTTATCATGCAAGAAGATATACAAATATGTTTCGCACCTTCTCATCCGGGGAAGCAGCAAAGTCAACCGTAAATCTACATACAACTAGTGGATCAACGACAACCAGACTACACACTACCATTTTTGTCCTTATCATCTGGTTTCAAGTGGTGGCTGTGCACAATACGGCAGATCAGACACCTAGTAAGTTCAGATGTAAGGATGGGAACGAGCGAGATGAAGATGGGACTTTCGACATTCAACATCTTGGAAGATGATGATCTTCGGCAGTTAACGACTTGTAAATTCTCAATTCATGTTTCATGAAACATCTGTAACGTTATCTGTGACGTTCAGAGACCGTTCCTGACAGCTCTATCTCTGGCCAAAAAGTCACTGCGGCTCTGATTAAACTTGTATAAGCTTGTCCTGCAGTCGAGCCTCACTGACCGACAACAAAAGCATGTTTCGCAAAACAGGTAGAAATATTCAAGGAGATTGATGAGCTTAAAGTGTTACAATTATAGAGGCTATACTTGTGCTACCTAGAGTTCGCTTTATGTACTAATTCTATCAGGCACAACATGTCAAAGTATCGGGCGAACTAGAACAACTCGACACAAGCTGTTCATCCACCGCCTCTTCGGTTGCGGATGAAACAAAGTCGCCAGCTAGATCAGTGATGTCACAACCTCAGATGTTGTAGCACCAGAGGCCTGAGTGATCGTGATTGTCGTTTGATAGACTGACTTGAGAGCGGTGGTGCGAGTCATGATTGATATGGGACTCGAGCTCGACGGGCTACTATAGGAAGATCACTTGGTACTGGCAGAAGAGCCTGGTCCATCGTTACCGAAGGCAGGGAAACGAGGTGCTGATCCATCACAAGAGTATTGCACCAAGTAAGGACTCTTTTGCGTGGTCGAACTGTCAATAATGGTACTACCATCAGGTGCAGTAATCTTGAGCTCGTAGTTCCCGCCTTGCTGAGCATTGGCGTAGATGAAACGTAGTGGCGTATAGGTTCCTTGGGTGAGATTAATGCTGTATGTCGTTGCACTTGAACCAAGCCTAGGATCAACATAGTTTTGGACCAGATTGGCGTCTCTTCGAGTGTAGTTGTTGTATGCATTGGGCCCCAGCCAAAGTAGGAAGATGTCGTCGACGCTAGGCGCGGTGAATGTGTAGTTTCCAGATTCTTTGGCGTATAGGTAACCACGGTTGTTGATGGTGATGTTCGTAGTGGTAAAGTCAGGACCTTGGCCGTAAACTTGCTGAGGTGGAGAGCCGTCTGAGGCGTTGAATCCAAGTTTGGTCGTGGTGCTCTCGTATTCCACCGGTGCTGTCTGAAAATATGATGCATTGAAAGAAGAGTATGGGTCAGATGAACTGTAGTCGTTTCTGTAGGGATTGTCTTGAACGGCGTATGCAAGACCTTGGTTGTCACAGCTGACGTCAGGCGTGTTGGTTGGAGTCTGAGACGAGGTGGTAGAGCTGCTCGGAGACATAGAGGTGGAGCTCGAAGATGTTGACGAAGGCATGGACGAGCTAGAGCTCGATGGGCTTGGAGACATTGAGCTTGAAGACCTAGAACTTGATGGGTTTGGAGACATTGAGCTTGAAGACCTAGAACTTGATGGGCTTGGAGACATTGAGCTTGAGTAGCTGGAGCTCGATGGGGAAACATTCGGTGAGACGGAACCAGTTGGTGTAATGCCAATGATTTCAGTGCCAGGTACAGTGCCGGAGGGGGGTACGAAACTGGTGTAAGCCGACTGGCCAACTGGAAGAGTAGTGGTGCGCAAGACATAGTTCACTGGAGTAAAGACCTCAACGTGAGTAGGATCTCCAGACCGAGAAGGAATACCAGTGCTCGTGTATGTCGAATTGCGGGTTCCGGGAAGCGTAGTAGTCGAATAGCCTGGGTCGGTAGGATACAATCCTCCGTTGGTGCGGCTCGAGGTGCTTTCGAGGAGATTAGAATATCATGTGAAAGTCTCTTTGGAGTCATAACGAACCTAGTAGAGGTCACAGCAATGGATCCATTGCAGACATACTCGATGGGGTACAGATCCACTATAACAGTCTGAGCAAGAGCAGTTGCGCTGAGACCAGCAAGGATAGAAGCCTGCCACATTTTGGTAGCAAAATGCATAGTAGAGATGGAGGCAGAAGAAAGATGTGATGGTATGATGTGGATTTGACACTGGCAAGCAGGTGCTTATATAGCATTTCCATCTCGCGATGTTGTACATGGACAGCCTAAGTACATGGCTGAAAGGATTTGATCGTGGTATGGCCGCTTGAGTGTATGCAGATGATCATTCACTGGTAGGAGGGAATATTGTGTTTTACATACAGTCTGTGGGTCGACGATGGCGACGATGTGGCTGCTGGGATCAATAGATCTGAACTCCAGGATTTAGCTACCCCAGATGGAGTAAGACGCTTAGACTTTCTCTCTTGTTTCGTTCCCATGTTCCCCATCCGGGACGTTTGCGATCCCATCTGAAACGGTCATTAGGGTCCTTCAAAACCACTATGGGATATTAATTAGCACTACATGCCACTTGCATATGCTTGCTAAGACCCTATAGCCATAGCTCTAACTCTCTGTTTATTAGTAGCTATAGTAGTTCTTTATTTAGTAGATAGGTATATTAGCTAGCTAGCTCCCATACTGCTAAGAATTAAGTACTCTATTACTCTTTACTACTTTTAAGTGGTTATAAGCCTATACTAAGCGCTAGTCCTTTACTACTTAGCTATCCTTTCTTAAAAGAGGTATTTATAGTAACTACCTATACTAAGAAAGATCCGCTATAGTATTATCTTCTACTAAAGCTTTTAAGCTATTCTTATATTTATATATTAAGATACTTACTAGATAAACTAACTTTGTTTAATAGCACTATAATCTTAAAGCCGTTACTAACACTAAGAATCTCTAGACTCTAATCTCTAGAGACAAGGTAATTATTAAAAGACCTATATGCCTAGTTAAGCCTATGCCTACTACTATCCCTCTTAGTCCTATAACTTATAGCAGATTAGCTAAGGCTACTATAACTACCTCTAGTACTAATATACCTAACGATAGTAAGGATAGTATAACTCTTATATCCCTTACCTCTAAAGCATATAGAGAGGCTATTAAAGACTATAAGGTTTCTATTTCTAAATACTATCTTAATCTTAATTAGTTTAAAAAGTAAGATACTTATCTCTATCTTACTAAGGGCTTTCTAGCTATATTAGTAGACCCTACTATTTGCACTTAAATCTTAGATATTAATAATCTATATAATACTTTTATTAAAATTAAGTCTATTTATTAAATAATAGATACTAGAGCCCTTAGTATTACTCTTTCTAAGATAGAGAAGCTATACTTCACTAAGAATAATACTATCTTATTATTCTTAAATAATATTATACTACTTTAATCTAATATTAATAAGCTTAAGGGCTCCTACTTAGATCTCTAGATTATTATAAAGATCTTAAAAAGCTTACCTTAGTCCTACTTAGCCTTTATTAACTACTAGTATATATTAGCTAGTACTAGTTCTCTTTTTAATACTATTAAGGAATTATATAGCTAACTTCTTAGTATAGAGGCTAACTAACTAAGTAAGTCTAAAAATAAACCTTATTATAATAACTATAATAGTATAGATAAACCTAGTAATTGCCTTCTTTCTTACTATAATAAATATAGCACCTATAAGGAAGAAGAATACTAGACTTTATATCTAGAACTACGTAAGAATAGCGATAAATCTAATAATAAGGCTTTTACTAAGCTATGTACTAACCTTATTACTAAGCCTACTAATAATAAGAAGGATAAGAAAAAGAGTAAGAATAAGGATAAGAAAAAGAAGCCTATAAAAGTTACTACTAACATAGTTATTAGTAACTATAAGTGATTTAAGGCTATCTATTTTAAGGCCTTCTAGGTTAATGCTAAACTTTAGCTATAACTTACTCTTATAATTAATATGCCTCTACCTTTATTAGATAATAATAATCTTATTCTAGATCTTATCTATGTTCCTAGTGCCTACCCTAATAATAACTTACTTCTCTTAGCTTTTATTAATATCCCTATTACTACTAATAATAATAATACTTTAAACCTCTTACCCTTTAATAATATTCCTATTAATACTAATAATATTATTATCACTATAGATAATACCTAGTACGACATTATATATTATAAGATATACTTAATAGGTCCTCTACCTAACTAGAAGTATAATATATTAGTCTTCTCTATTAACTAGCTTAGTCGCCTTTATAGCCCCTAGTAGCTAAATCCTAGTCTACTTATAGTCGAGTAGGTACTATATGCCTTACTTAAAGCTATTACTAACTACTAACCTAAGGTAATGTCCTTTCTTTCCTTATTAACTATGTCTAAGAAACTAGCTATCTCTAAGGCTATAGAAAAGTTTAATAACTACTATTATAACCTTTATACTTAGTAATAACTTTATTATAAGCTTTATAATTCTGTTATTATTGCCTCTAACTAAGGTATACTATCCTAACCCTTTCCTTCTAATTTAGTTACTAATTTAATAAACTAGATTATACTCTATAGATTAAAGATACTCTTAGTCTTTAGTTTAATTAAGAAATATATTTAGAATTAGACTAGGAGGGAGAAGGAAAGGAAATTAGTAGGTATAGTACTCTATTAGAGCAATAATCTATAAGGAAATACTTAGATAGTAGACTCTAGTACTAGCTTATATATAATAAATAATAAGGTATAGTTTAAGGACTTTTATACTTTCTCTTTTTTTATAGGTACTACTATAAGCGATAAAGAACTCTATATTAAAGGAGGTAGTATTATTATACTTTATCTTAATATTAGAAATAGTTAACTAGTATAACTAGAGCTATATAATGTTGCATATACCCCTAATACTTAATATAATATTCTATCTCTATTGTAAATTGCTAAGAAGGCTAGCCTATATAGTTACTAGTTAAAGGATAAGATAACTATACTTACTAAATACGGCATCTAGATTAGTGTTATGCTGCTTATAGACGGTCTATACTATATATAACTCGCTCTACTTTCTTACCCTATTCTCCTACCTTATATAATGCTTACTTATTATAATACTAAAACTACTAAAGAAAGAGTATCCTTTAAAAAAAGCTCTAGTAATAAATAACCTCCTTAAGATAAAGATAGTTCTAGTAATAAATAGTAACTTTATAATAAGGAAATAGAAATAGGAAAAGGGGAAGTCTCTAGAGAAGATAAAGATAAACCCTAATTAGAGTTAGTTAAGAAAGGAGAGTCTAAAAGCAAAACCTAAGCTCTCTTAGTAGATAAAGATCCTATATTATCTATTAATAACTCTATTATAAAGGATAAATCTAAGGATAAAGAAACTATCTATATACCCTTAGAAATAATCCTACCCTTTATAGTTCTTAAAATTAACTATAATAACCCGGTCTAGATATAGTATTATTAACTTAGATATCTTAGCTTTAATAATATAATAAAGCTACTAAAGGTATCTAAAGGTATTAACCTTATAGAAAAGCAGATTAAGGCTAAAGCTAGAATAATCTACCCTATATATACTATAACTAAGGTAGTTAATTATATGCCTTATAAGCTAGCTTGCTACCGAGCTTAATGCATTAGAGAACTTGTTTATATTAATTTATAGGGCCTATATCTAGTCCGGTTACTTAATAGTTTATACTATATTCTTACTCTTATTAATAATACTACTTATTATATATAGATTAAATGTTTTACTACTAGATACAAACTACTAAAGAAGCTAAAATAGCTTTATAAGAAAATTAAGTATAAGTATAATATTACTATTTGTACTTATTATTTTAATAATAAGTTACCTTATAGTAATAAAGTTAAGTACTAGGTACTTAAAAATAGCATTAGTTAAGAGATAGCTATTATATAGAGGTATTATATAAATAGTATTATTAAAAGAGGCTTCTAAATAGAAAGAGAGTAGTTATCTATAATACTATGTAATATAAACCTTACCGGTTATATTACTAATATTCTTAGAAGACATACTTAGGAAGCTCTCTTAAACACCTTAATTCTAGAGGCACTATAGGCTAAGGCTTTTAAATATGTAGTATAGCTAAAGAACTAAGCCCCTACTCGAGCCCTTAAAGGCTATAAGACTCTATAAGAAGCTTTATACAGTATTAAACCTAAGCTCTTAAAGGAAAAGATCTTTAGTAGTAAGATTTACCTTACTATGCTACCTAAGTTTAGAAGAAAGACTCTTCTAATACTATATAGCTATCTTCTTTATTTTATTAGTTAATAATCTAAATCTATTATAATGGCTTATAACTCTAATAAAGATAAAGTTAAGAGAGTTACTATAGTATAGGTTAAAGATAGCATAGGCATATAAGACTATTATAAATATCGATCCCTATAGGATAGATAGGCTAATAACTATAAATTATAATACTCTTAATTATTATACTACTTAGTTGCCTTATTAATAGTTAATAAAAACAAACTCTCTACCTATAAATACTAATCTCTATAAGATAAAGAAGCTTATAATAACAAGTTATAACTCTCCTTACTATTACATCTATTAGTTGCCTTATTAATAGTTAATAAAAGAGAGCTTACTAAAGCTCTACCTACTAAAGGTAGATAGACTAAATAAGAGGTTATTAGATATAATATAATATTAGATAATAATACTTCTAATTAACTAGACATGGATAAAGACCTATATACGGCTTTACCTCTAGTTAAATCCTCTTCTAACGAATTAGAAGTAGTTATATTATAATACTTCCTAGTTAAAAAGGCTTAGAAAAAGTCTAATTAACTAACTAAGTCTTACTTCTTTACTAACATAGTTAGATAACTAGTTTAGAAAATACTAGATACTATAGTAGCTATAATTATTCTTAAATACCTCTTTAATAGAGACTAAGTCTGCCGTTTCTATATCTTTACTAAAATATTTCTAGATATTAGCTTCTTATAGACCTAATACTAGGCAGCTAAGAAAAAGATCTTTACTCCTAGTGGATATACTAACTACTATAAGAGATATCCTAAGATAGAAGATACTACTATTTACACTTAAATTAAATAACGGGTTTAGAGTACTACTACCTTTTATATACCTAGGTAAGCTTCTATACTAAGGGTAGTTGTTACTAAAGCAAAAGTTAATAAGGGCAGTATATATATATACTTAAATAATGAAAATATCTTCTTTAATATTATATATAATTCTAGTATATATAACTAATAGGTAGTATATTTTCTTTATTATAATATCTTTTTACTATAATAAGATAAAAAACTATTATCTAAATCTATATTTATAAGTAAACTTAAGAACTTAAGTAGATATACTAGAAAGTATACTAAGCTTATTAATAAAGACGGCAAGATATATAAGCACCTTAAACTAGCTATTAAGAACTTAAAAGCCCTTTAGCTATATAAACCTAATAGTGTTCTTTCTACCTACTGGCTCTCCTATATTAAATATAGAAGATGTATTTCCTAATAGAATATATATAACAAAAAGCTATATAACTCTTATAAATAAGGAAGTAGGCTATGTACTATTAGAATTAATAATAATATCTCTATTTTATACTACTATAAAGAAATTGCTTCTAAGTAGTTAAAGGAACTAGCTAAACTAATCGACTATTACTATATATATAATACCTAAAGCTAGTAAGGTTATAAGAACTATACTAGCAATAGCGAATTTCCTTATAAACTATATATTACATTATATAGAATAGAAAAGCACTATAGTAGATACTATTACCCTTTACTAGATAGAGGTATTCTCTACTATTTATAGGCCCCTTATAAATATAAGAATAGTAAGCATAGAGATAGCGACTATAAAGATAAGTACTATAACTTAGATAATAAAGAGAGTAACTTTATAGATTTATCCTCTAATTCTTTATTAGACTCCTCCTTAGATATAGATAGTAATAATTAAGATATTAACTAGGATCTTTATACTATCTCTAAGTATAATTATATATTAGCCTATAAGAATCCTAAGGACTATTATAATAGTAATAATAAAGATAATATTAGTAGCAGTATTATAAAGCTATAGGCCTATTATATACTATTAATATATAATAAATAAAAAGTTTCTTAGAAGCATACTTTATCTAATATAGTTATAGAATTAAAGTAGATAATAAAGTATATATATTTCTTACTTAAGATAGTTAAGGTCCTAGGCTCTAAGCCTAATACTAGAAAATAAGCTATACTATTAACTAAATGCCCTAAATAGAAAGCTACTATATAGGATAAATATAAGAGTCTACTAGCTAATAATATATAGGAAGTTATTAGATACCCTTATAATAGAAAGGTCCTTTCTAGAAGATAGGTCTTTAAGAGAAAACTTAGACTGGACGGTATAGTTACTAAATATAAGGCCCGTTTTATAGTTTATAGCTTTACTTAAGTATAAGGACTCGACTATAACAAAACCTATTTATTAGTAGTTAAGGCCCTATCCTACTAACTATTATTTGCTCTTTAGGCCTAATATAGTTAGTACTACTATTAAATAGATATTAAGATAGTATTTCTCTATAGAGAAATTAAATATAATATCTATATCTAGCCTCCTAAAGGCTTTTCTAAATAATACGGTTTTATACTAAAGCTAAAGAAGGCTCTCTATAGTCTTAAATAATCTCTAAGATAATAGGGTATTAAGTTTTATAACTTCCTTAAGAAGAATAGCTAGGTTATATTGAAATACAACCTATATATCTAGATCTACTATAGCAATAGCCTACTTATTCTTAATATCTATATTAATAATATTAAGATTTTTACTTAATATATATTAGATATTAATGTAACTAAGTAAATACTATACTCTATATTCTAAATAATAGACCTTAGACTATACTTATATTATCTAGGAATATATATAAACTAAGATATAAATAGAGATATTTATCTCTATTAATTAGCCTATGTTTATTAGATCCTTAAATATTTTAGGCTTTAGTAAATCTATCCTTACTATATCCTAATAGATAAGGGATATAAACTTACTTAGAATTTTAGGCCCCTAAAGCTAAAGAGCTTTATCTAGCTCTATTAAAGCAAAGTTAGATCGCTAATTTATTTATTATATATTATAAGGCCTAATATAGTAGAAGTAGTTAGTATCGTATTAAGATATAATATAAACCTAAATAAGACTTATATAGCTACTATCGACTATATTTTTATATATATTAAGAGTACTCTAGACTTAGGCCTTTATTATACTAAAACTAGTAATAACCTAGTTATATACTCTAATACTAATTAGGTAGGCTATAAGGATATAGTAAGGTTAACTATAGGTTAGATAATTATACTATCTAGTATACCTATTTTATAGTTATTAAAATATTAAAAGTTAGTAGTACTCTCTATATACGAATCTAAGTATATTATAGGTTATAAGGCTACCTAAGAGCTTATCTAAACTTAGAATCTACTTAAGAAGCTTAGTATTAAAGACATGCCTACTACTAGTACTCTACTTAATATAGATAATAAGGCTATACTTAAGCTCTTATATAACCCTAAGTTCTATAACTGCTTAAAGTATATTAATATTAAGTTCTATTATCTCTATAAACTAAACCTTAAGGATCGGATTAAGACTTAGTATATTAATACTAAGGATAACTTAGTAGATATCTTCATAAAGCCCCTTCCTTATAAGACCTTTAAGGACTTTATTAGTAGACTTGGCCTTACTATAGCTACTTACTCTAGATAAGTAGAGGGAGGATAGCTTACCCTTAGCTTACTATTTATATACTTATTAAAGTAATAGCTATAAGTCATTACTATTAGGGGGAGACTTATATATGCTTACTAAGACCCTATAGCTATAGCTCTAACTCTCTATTTATTAGTAGCTATAGTAGTTCTTTATTTAGTAGATAGGTATATTAGCTAGCTAGCTCCTATACTGCTAAGAATTAAGTACTCTATTACTCTTTACTACTTTTAAGTATGCCCTACTAGCCTAATAGTATTTAAGACTTAATATTCTTAGTAATATAGTTCTTAGTAATACGAGTTTTTAGCTTAGTAGGATAGGCTAAGAGGAACCCGGGTGAAGGTATATAGAGAATCTAGAATAGGGAGATTGGCATTAAGCATTCTAATCTATATAGCAGGATGGCACTAAATTCTTTAAGCCTACGGCCGAACCGGGATCTTCTAGAAGCCCATGTTGGCTTTTTAGCGAGATAGGGACAAGCATGCTATATTTGCTAATTCAGCATAGAACTTAAGTTCAAATCCTTCAAGCCAAAGCTGTATAACTTGGTCCGTATTTGCCGGAGGGTGCTGTAAAATGCTGAGCTGCCGAGGCAGTACTACCGGTTCGTTGGATAATAATGCCTTGAGAAAGGAAGATGCTCCAATAATGAATATGGAGTGTTGATCCATATGGGCTTTGGCTATGATAGATAGAAGTAGCATCCATGTAGACCGTCTGCCCAGGTACCCATGCGGATCCCTTAGTCAAAGCTATTAGTCAGGAACCTGTCCATCGCTGTACCACGTTACTTACACTGTTTTTCCTTCTGTTTTTGTGCTTCTTGTACCACATGGAACTGGAGAAGGCAAGCACTCATCAGTAATGGTCGAGACAAGGACGGTGATTCTCACCCATATAGTAGCCCATGGGAGTCCGAGTACTCTATTAGGCGTAGGCTGCTTCATTGCAATAAAGGGTTTGTCTTATTCATTCTTCTCAAAAGATCTGGTGTCCATCAGGCTCGAAATTTTGTGCTGCTTTTTCTTTCTAAAATTTCGAGGTGACATATGCAAAAGATTGTATGGCGCCCTAACCATCCATGAATCACAGTTGACAAAATACTGACATGCAACAGCAAGACCATTGACCAATATAAGAACACCAAACAATGGAGTTGCAGATTCATCAAGGTGTTCATTCATTCCGTGGGGAATCATTCAAGTTAACTAAAGTCTAGCCTTACCATCCTTCTGCTTGCTAACCTCAACAAGCAGCTTTCCAGTATTGACACCTTTGTACAGATCTCTCAATCCTTGCTCGGCCTTGCTCAATCCACCTTCAATGATAGTTTCTTTTCTCTGCAATTTGCCCTCGTTGAGCCACTGTGCCAATTCTTGTCTGGCAGCGGCGTACTTGTCTGCATAGTCAAACACAATGAAACCTTGCATACGGATACGCATGGAAATAATCATCATGTAGTTCTTGAGACCACGGGGAGAGGCGTTGTTGTAGTCGCTGATAGCGCCACAGATGACAAAGCGAGAGAAGGGCTTTGCGCGCGAGAGAGCGAGGTCGAGAATATCACCACCAACGTTGTCGAAGAAGACGTCGATCAATCCCTTGGTTGCGTTGCGGAATTTGGTGGTGAAGTCTGCGTCTTTGTAGTTGAGTGCTTCGTCCAGACCGAGGTCGTTCTTCAACCATGATACTTTGTCGTCTGAGCCGGCCAGACCAAGCACCTTTGCGCCCTTGAGCTTGGCGATTTGAGCAACGACACTTCCTGTTGCGCCGGCTGCGCCAGAAACAACGACAAAGTCCCCCTTCTTGACTTGACCGACTTCGATGATACCAAAGTAGGCAGTCAAGCCGGTCATACCGAGGACACCAAGGGCATCGGTGGTGCGACCGTTGGAAGGGAGATCAATACGTTCCAGAGCCTTTTCGTCAACCACTGCGAGCTCGGTCCAGCCGACAAGTCCAGTAGCGAGGGTGCCGACAGGGAACTTTTTGGATTTTGAGGCTTCGACGGTGCCGATGGCGACGCCGCGCATGACTTCACCGATTTGAACGGGAGGAACGTATGAGCGTGTATCTTGAAGCTCGAAGTCAGTCATAGAACGAGTGTTGATCATCGGGATGCTTGAACTCACCATTCAGCCATCCTCTCATGGCAGGATCAAGACTGAGGTACTGAGAACGGAAGATGACTTGACCATCCTTGAGATCAGACTCCTTGGGTGCAGCATTGGATCTGACCTCAAACGTCTCTCCTGCAACAATTTCGCTCGTAGGGCGAGCTTTAAGGTGTACTGACTGATATTGCGAAGACATTGCTATAAGATGTGCGTGTGATAATGATATGGCTATCGATCTTTCGAGGATCTGACGAGATATAAATGTGTACCAGTGAGATGCGAGACGTGGGGAGAGCTTACGATCCAGGGATTGGAGGCCGAGGCCGCAGACTCGCCTCGGCTTACTGTTCAAGTAACATTAAGCGAGAAGTTCATGTTACGCCAAACCCTGTCGGTAATGTTTAAGCGAAGGAAGCCGAATATTCATTGGATAATGAATGTCGTCGGTCGGCTGTTGTCAGACAGGAAATGTTCAATAACACAGGTCTGAATGATGGCTCAGGAAGAATACTGAGCGAGAACAACTTTGGAAAACCACCCTGCCTGGGCTGCCTCGAGCGCCTTACATTTTAGATTGGCCTTGGCGTGGGATTTTTCTTTTTTTTTTTTCTTCTTACAGGTCTCCATATGTTTCCAGCAACAAGATTTCGAGCGAATCAACCACCTACCTTGACTGGAATTATATGTGATGCTAGCTGAGTTTGAACTTGGATTTGAGCAATCGATCCCCGAGAAAATTGGGTATACGTGGATGAGCAGGGTTGATCGCGAAGCTTGGTGAGCGTTTCGTGAACGTTGGCGGTCGGCAGGACGACACTTGATGAAGGAACCAGGGTTTACAGCAATACCGTATCCGTATGCAGCATCGAGGTTGCCAGATGCTAGATATTCGAGTGACTGATGATCTTGGATATTCTTGCTGGCAAGATTATCAAAGACGAAAGGAGTGAAAGTCGTCTGGTGGGAACAACTTGCAGAAAGTCCAACCAGGATGAGGTCGAGAAAATAGGTTCTGCTGCGGGCTCGCGCGATTTGTGTTTGTCAGCGTTGTAAGCTGGATCACTTTGGAAGAGTAGTGATGCCTGTCACTATCACTGGCCTATGGTTTGAGGAAGCAATGTTGGAAAAAGGTCCAAAAGAGGTTCGAGGCTTAGTCAGGATATGTATGCATCCCTCTTAGCTGTTGAAACAAGATTGGCCATCGCATGATCCATGGCGCTATGATTGTCGTGTCAGCGGGAAAGATGGACGAAACGTCATTGTGTGAGGAATGCAGATCAAGCCCTATATCAATGAAGTCTCGACGTCCTTTGAGTCAAGACTGCTCGCGATTGTTCAACGGCCACGAAGAAGGAGCTCCTTTGTAGCGGTTGATCCTTCTTATCAACAAAGATCCCGTCAAGGACAATTGAGAGACTGCACATATATTAACCGGCAACCGGTCCTGTGACAATGGACAACAAAATTCAAGACGAGACATTGTGAGTCTGGAAGGTTCTTGAGTTGCAAGGGCAAGTTGTTGGTAAGGCACGACAGAGTTGACAAACGATCATGGATGTGCGCGTCCAGGTCATTTTATTGATCTGCAGCCAAAATTGGATACCTCATTCGCTCATCACAGATAATCACAATCAATCGGATACTGTTCTGGAAAGTCACCAGCAAAACAAACAAGCAAGCGAAGGCCTAAATGAAGTCATGCAATTTCGCCATGTACCCGGACACCCGTTTGGCAGCGGCGCACGGAGGACGATGCAGGCAGTCCGGAGGCGCAGCGGCGGGCGTGAGATTTGGCGCAATCTGTGGTTGCTCCCCGGATGTTCTGAGTCGAGTGTTTTCACAGCAGACCTCACAACAATTTCCGCAGAGCCAATCCACAGAGCTGCCGTTGACAGTCAGCTGACGATCGCATTCGACAAGAGGCTAGCTTGAGGTACGCGGCAGCAACGCCTTACAAGCGCCACAACCTGCTCGCCCGGCTCTTGTCTTGGACGACACGCGGACCAGTATAACGCATAACAAGAAATAACCGACGTGCATCTATGATTAGCTGCATCAACAGACAAGGCACAGGTTCATCTCCCAAGATGAAGGACTGCAAAGCAATATTCATGTTGCGCATCATTGATTCGCGAACTCAGGAGAAGGCTAGCAGCCTCTTCTCGCCCGGCTGATTCACGGGTACAAGTGGGTACTGGCTGCAATCTTACTATGTTTGGCATACGCTTGCCTGGTTATGCACAAGGTCACGGAGCGGATCCTTCCACTGGGCGTCGCAGACTCCAACTGACACACCGGCGCCGGATGGTGCTGCAGATCAGGGCGAGGACACGCAGGTACAAAACTTTGGAGCTCGCCGCGCCTTCTCAGCCACGACATCTTTTTTTCCTCACAACCTCAACTCGAATATTCAACCCATTGTCACTCTTTCCTTTGGGCCCATATTCGATACACTCATTCGCTATTTTCTTTATTTTCCTGGATTATTAACTCAAAATGCGTGCTTCCTTCTACGCTCTCGCCGGCAGCGCTGCCTCTGCCATGGCCGCTACCCGCGGTTTCAACTACGCTTCTCAGGGCGCCACCCTTGAGACCTTCACCAACCAGTTCGAGTCTGCCGCTGCCATCACCGACTACTCTTCTGCTCGTCTCTACACCATGATTCAGGACGGCACTGCCAACACTGTCATCTCCGCCATCCCCGCTGCCATCAAGACCAACACCACTCTCCTTCTCGGTCTGTGGGCTTCTGAGAACCAGGAGGCTTTCAACAACGAGCTTACCGCTCTCAAGACCGCCATCAGCCAGTTCGGCTCTCAGGGTCTTGCCGACCTGACCGTCGGTATCTCTGTCGGTTCCGAGGATCTTTACCGCATCTCCGAGATCGGCATCAAGCAAAAGAGTGGTTACGGCCAGACCGCCGACGTCCTCGTCGACTACATCGGCCAGGTCCGTGAGGTCGTCAAGGACACCGTCCTCGCCAACGTCCCCATCGGCCACGTTGACACCTGGAACGCTTTTACCAACACCTCCAACTCTGCCATCCTCGACGCCGTTGACTTCTTCGGTCTTGATGAGTACCCCTTCTACCAGGATGGTGAGGGCAACTCGATTGACAACGCCTCGGACCTCTTCTGGAAGGCTTACAACAAGGTTGAGGCTGTTGCTGGTGGCAAGCCTCTCTGGATCACCGAGACTGGCTGGCCCGTCAAGGGTAACGCTGAGGACGAGGCTGTTCCCAGCGTTGAGAACGCCGCCAAGTACTGGCAGGACATTGCTTGCGAGCTTGAGGCCCGCTGCATCAACTTCTGGTGGTACATCCTGAACGACGACGGCTCTTCGCCTTCCTTCTCGGTTGCCAGCGGTATCGACGGTGCCAACACCAAGTCTCTGTACGACCTCAAGTGCCCCAACGCCGGTTCCTGCGGTGCCAAGAACCTCTCTGGTAACTCCACTTCCTCTGCTTCCTCCTCCGGCTCCATGACTTCTTCTGGATCTGCCATGTCCACCGGCTCTGCCTCTGGCGCCATCCTCGCCGCCAACGGTTCCGCCTCTGTCGAGCCCGTTGTCTACGTTACCGACGTTACCACCTCATACACCACCTACTGCCCTGCTAGCCAGACAATTACTGCTTCCGGCAAGGAGACTGTCCTGACCGCTGCCACCTCTTTCATGACCACCCACGCCGTCCAGACCACCATCACCACCAGCCAGACTGTCGTTCCCACCACCATTGTCAACGCTGTCACCCGCTCCATTACCTCCGCCGGTAAGGTCGTTCCCGTCACCAAGGAGAGCACTCAGGTCACCTGGGCTCCTACCTCTTCCATTGCTGGTGCCTGGGTTCCTTCCGGTGCCGCTTACCCCTCTGGCGCTGCTGCTCCTTCCGGTGTTGCCGGCGCCGCTGGTGCCTCTGGCTCCGGTGGTCTCGTCGGCCAGGCCTCTGGCACCACCCTTGCTTCCTCGTGGGCTGCCAACCAGACCCCTGGAGCTTCTGCCACTGCCTCCGCCTCCGCCTACAAGGGTGCCGGTGCCAAGGTCGGTGGCTCCGTCGCTCTTGCCCTCGGTGCCGCTGCCGTCGCTCTCCTCTAAATCATCAATATGATTTGATTCGAGCGTCCCAAACATTTTTATCTCATTTGCGAGCGATTTTATACACCACTTCTTTGTCTATCCTTATCTCTGAAAAAAAGCCAAAAGGGGCTGATTTTTTCACGCATTTTCTGGGCATACTCTTGCATATTCATGTAGAAGTCCAAATCTCAAAAAACTTCATCAAATTTTATACTCGGTGTTTGCTCGCATGCCATCTGTCTTTCATCACGTGATTGTTCTTCAAAAATCATCGTCTTCACATCATTTGACACAATCTTCAACTGGTTCTTTGTGCGGTAACATGAGGTTTGCTGACATCATTTGCATTCGGGATTAGGTACTAAGCTGGCATGTTCTCTGGCCATCGCTTCCCCCTATCATGTACCGCTGAACGGTCCTGAGTCTCCCAAAGCACTGCCCTACGGGAAGCCCTCTATCAGAATGCACGGTTGTTTGTATGAGCTTGTTGCTTCCACTAAGAGTGCAGAGCAAGCAAACTCTCAGTGGACGCGCATGTAAACGGAACAAATTCTTGCATGTTGATAGAGCTCCAAGAAAGAAAGAGCTGTGACTAGACACTCCTCCTACTTCTATCTCTGGCGTCTGCGTCTCTTGCGATCCTCTCTTCTGCAGAATTCACCCAAGTGGAAACTAATGCGCTCCAAAATGAGTTCAAACTCGGTGACACCCAGGGCTCCTGTCTCGTTGGTGTTGATGCGGTGGGTCAGGGTATTGACGAGATCGTCAGTCAGCTCTCTGTGCAGGCGCGAGTAGATGTCTTTGCGCTCTGGTGACATTCGGGATCCGCCTGGCAGTCCTTCCATGGCAAGCCACATGTCAAGGTACTTGGCGGGACCCTTGATTTCCTCGATGGTGACTTCCTTCTCCTCGGTGATGGTGATGTTTATCTCGTACTGGAAGAATGGGGTCTGGTCGTGGATGACGTGGAGGCGGCGGAAGTGCGCGCTGCTCTTGTCACCAACCTTCTTCAGCCACTTGAATGCTTCGGCAAGGAGTTGCGCATTCTCTGTGTGCATGGTGTCGATGGTGAACAGGCAGTTGCTGAAGTAGAGAGGCATCAATTCCGAGGCGATGGTCGAGCAGGTATTCATGAAAGCGGTAGGAGGTGAAGGGCTCTTCCAAGCAGGGCTGAGAACGCAGAGATTGATGGCTCTCTTGGTGCGGTCACGGTATAGGTAGAGGTAGACGAGGTTCTTGACTTCCGAGGGTAGATCGAGGAAGTTGATGCGTCGGGTACCCGAGTCGCGAAGAGGAGCCTTGACAGCGACCATGGGGGGACCTGGGCTTTCCATGATGGTTTGAGATGGACTGGGCCTGTCTTTGTTGTTAATACTTGTATGGTTATGATTTGGTCCGTACTTACACGTCGCGTAGTCAGATCTCCCACAAAGAATGTGGTCGCGTTTGCCGCAGTGGAAACCAACAAAGAAATGCTGCAATGAGAACTGTGACAGCGAAAACATGATTCAGGGCTACGACTAAGCAGCGTTCCGGATCTTTCTATGATGTCGTCTAGACGGCCAGACGAGAGGTCGGCCAGACAAAAGGACGGCCGGACAGATGAACGGCCAGGCGACCGTAAGACTCGACCATCTCTGGCTGCTTCCCTCATGATCTGACAGCAAGATTCGAGAGTTATCTGATAGACGACGTGGTCGGACTTAGTCAAGATTGTCTCGCTTCTCGATAGAGCCTCCCTGTAGCTTTGTTGGGGACGAAGAGCGTCTATCAATGCGATGAGGTTGGTGCCGGAAGGGAGGGAAGTCGGTATGGTCTTCGATGCGCTTGAATTGATGTTGAAGGTAGAACGGCAAGCGTTGATTGAAAGTCGTTCTTGTCAGCTTCGCGTCACGCTTGATGATTGCTCATTCCTGATCAACCTCTCGATGGAGATTTGATATCTGTCTGGCTCAGAGTGATACAATTCATCTCAACTGTCATGGCATAGTGTCTGTCACCCATAAAAATGCAGAATCGCCTTCTGGAATTTGGTACCATCCAAGGAGAGCCCAAAATTATCAGTTGACAAAGTTCCGATGTTTGTTTATCTCACTGGATACAAAATGATATGAAAATGCTACATGAGTGCAAGAAAGTTACTGAAATGATCGTCTTGGCTGATAAGAGCTGAGATCTCGAGTCGATGGAATGGTGATCCCGACTCGCAAGCTATGGTATGAACCTACTATAAGAATGCAGAATCTTAATTGGAGAAACAATGATGTCCAGTGAGAGTGACAAATCCAAGGATATGAGGTCGAAAACGCTCTGTCCCGGCAGACAACACCTACCAAAAAGAAGCTATAAAAAAGCACAGTATATTAGAAAACGCGACAGTGTTCACTGAGAGCCCAAGATATGCAGCAAAAGAAAGCAGGAATCGATTGATTGTAGTCAAAGAAAAGTGGTTTTACCGAAGTGCAACCGTGCTGGACATCATTCCATCCCTTTGTTTTGGTTCTTCATGCCTCGTCCTCGTCGTTGGACATGCCCGACTCGCTGTCCTGCTCATCGCTGTCATCCTCACTCTCCTCAACCTGATCTTCGTCCTCGGATTCATCGTCCTGAGCCTCGGTCTCGTCATCCTCGTCCTCAGACTCCTCATCATCTCCCGAGCGGGCGCGCATGTCCTCGATCTCATCTTCGAGCTGTGTGTTGATGTGATCCATGAGTTGCCAGCTGATGAGACGGACAGCGTCGTTGCGGACCCAGTTCTCGATCTCGGTTCTGAAAGTCTGAAACCACTGCCAATTGGTCTCATCATAGGAAGTATCGTCACATTCTGCATCACCAGTAACAGTGACAATGCGACGGTGGTCGATGGAGACTTCAATTCTTCCTCTAGCGAAGGAAGCCCCAATACCGTCGTAGACGTCGCCCGTCTCGTAGTCGCAGGAGAACTTTCCGAAATGGGTTATGTTGTTGCGTTTGAAGTAGCCGATTTCAGGGTCGAATTGGACAATATCCTCGACTCCGCCACGCACGACAATGGCTTCGAATTGCATCAGGTAATCGAAGCTGGCAAATGCTCTGAAATCGGGGTCGAAGGTGTAGAGGCCAGCATATGGGGGGTCTTTTTCTTCAACTTCGCCTGACTCCTCGATCTCTTTCATGTCGAAGACAAATTCGTCGTCGAGCGGGAGGAGACTATAAACCATGAGGCGGACCTCGGTAGGAAGGTTGTAGAATGTGGGCATCTAGGGCTCATATGTAAGTATATTGCTCTGTCAAACAGAAACTGTAAAAAGATTGCATGCTGCTGCTCTTCCGTTAGAAGCTTACCTTGTAGTAGTGGAGTTGTTGTTATAGAGAAGAGAGAAGAAGGTAGGTCGCAAAGGCCGAATAGATAAGGCAATCGACAAAGACAGACAGAAGATGATAGTCGCAGGTCAACGACACGTACGTGAGCTACTATCCGCGAGTTACGTCAGTCAACGATGGAAGAACGAAAAGCTTATGGGAGTGGCACACTAACCAGGATGTCGATGTAGTAGAGAGAGGAAGTTGGTCAGAAGAGAAGATTATATAGAGGTTCTGGCGGAATCGTCGGGAAGGCTACGGAGCCTCGACGACGACGGCAAACGACGAGGTCGACGACGACGAAGTGATCGTCTACTAGTGAGCAGTGGCAGCTGTAAAACGACATCGTCGAGCTATCCGGGATATCGACATCGAAGACGACGAACGGCAGGTCGACGACTAGTAAGTGAGTGTCTCTTCGTGAACTATACTAAAGCTTCGTTAGCAAGATAGGAAGTCATGAACTTCTCCCTTGCTTCAAATCATACCTAGAAATGCCCCTTGCTGCAATTTGGGAGTCAAAAGATCGCCCTTGCTTCTTGATCTAGATATAAAACTCATGAATCCCACATTCGTATTCAAGGAGAAAACAGCTTATCAAAGTGCATGAAGCATCTTTGAAAACACCCGATTCCACTGAGAACAAGGCTCTGACAGTCTATCGATGGACATGGTCCATTTTCAGGTTTGCATTCTGCATTTTGACATGAGCTTTTCGCGTCACATTCGATCTTGAGATGGCTTTTCATGCACGGAAGTTCATCCGAGTCCCGACAAGGCAAACATCTTTGATGCACGAAATATCTCAGATACGTTTCTTAGATGCACAAGGTCTCCGTAAGATATGGCAAGTTGACTGCCCTCAGTCGATATCATTTGACTTCACGAAGCAATCTTGCATTTTGATGGCTATCTTTTGTTGTGGTATTTAGTGTTGAGAGTATGGAGCAAGGTGGGCTTATCGATCGAAAAGTGCAAGACTTACTGTGGGCTCATGATTTTGCGTTGGCTATGACTTCCATGTTTGGAAATGTCATGCGTTCTCGCAGCATGATTTGGTCATGCAATGTTTTCGAAAGCTGAAAATGTTCCTGGCAGTGGTTTGCTTGCTACAGGCACGAAGGTATTTCTGAGAGACACCATACATTTCTGTCATTACGGTCGGTGTGACATTGGCCACTCAGATTTCGGACTTTCATGTGAGTTTCATGTTTTCCAGCAAGCATCCTCGAAGCAAACGGAGCCATCAATTGTACATCTAAAGCTCATCCGGCGGTGGAGTCGCAGCCCGGATCAATCTGGGCATGCCTTCTTGCTCAGCCTCTTCAACGAGATGCTCCTCAAAGAGCCACCATGGTTGAGCCGACAAGGCCCCGTCTGCTTCCATTCGTTTCCTCTGACGCCATCTTTCCTCGTCGTTTTTCCACAAGAGCCGCTGCCAGATCTGTCCGGGTCTCTCGAAGCTTACGGCTGGAATCAAACGGGGCAGACTCTCTGCCTCTGCCTCTCGCCGAAGATGGTCTGCATGATACTCGTAGCACCAGAAATCGTCACCTGGCCAACACTGCCATGGTAACTCTCCACATTCGGTCATTGTCAAATCTGCTTTCTGTTTCCGCCATTCACACCACTCTTGTAGCTGTCCGAGTTCCTTGACAGCGATAACAAGATGTCTAACGCCCAGGAGACCAGTGGAAGAACTGGCAAGGCTGTCAATGATCTTGTTTCTGACCGCGATGCTCATATATGTCAGAGCACTTGATTTGATCCAGCCGCCGAAGGTGCAGAGTTGGACATGCACGACTTTCGAATCTGTGACTCGGATATCACAATGCACAGCAGTCGACGTTAGTCTTATGCTGTGGAGATAGTCTGCGACGGATGGGTCCAGTCTTTCGTACATCGTCATTGTTCTGAGATGATATTCGTTGATGGGCTCGCCAAATTTTTTCATATTGTCGTAGTCTCTGTTGTAAAATCGCAGGTTGATGGTCCGAAGGTACAAAGGTGTAAGCTCTCTTTGGACTTGCCTGCAGGTGAGCATGAGAACCACAGGCGGCAATACCATGGCTTCTCGTCCACTCAGATCCCAAAGTTCGGTGTAATACCCGTCCGTATTGGGGATTAGAAGACTATATATTTTGTTGCGAATCTCGCCAGGCAGATCCAGAAAAGATATTGTTTGACGTTTCCATCTTTTCAAGGCGCGAACAAAGCTGGACGAAAGTGTGCCGTAGCTGGCAAACATGTGCTCAGGTAACTTATGCATCCTTGGGACGGCGGTGTGTCCACGGGCGCTATCAGTCGTTGTGGTAGCTGCGGGTGGTGGCGGTGATGGTGAAAAAGCCTCTCTGATATCTGCAGATAGAACGAGCGGAGCAATGCCAACGAAGATTCAGCAGGACCGAGTTCAACGTTCTGCGGCAGTCGCGATGGTCGAAACTCGTGATAGATGCCTAAAACGCGGCATGCAGCCTGATCGAAGAGCCTGACGCCAAAGCTGCTGCCATGAGTTCGAGCATCCTCATAGACCAACTTTCTGCTTGCGAATAATCCCTTGAGAAGAGCTGCACATTCAGTGTTTTATCATGTGTCTCGCTCTCATCGTTGCAGCAATGGTGATTGTAGCAAGTTGAAAGTAAACACGATCTGAGATCCGTGTTCGCTACTTCTTGTTGAGCCATTAACTCCGAACTCTTGCATCTTCTCGGGAAAGTGCTTCACAAACCATCACAGTGATACTGCATGTCAAGAAGAGATGACTTCAAGACGATACGATGTGAAGATGATGAATATGTAGAAAGGAGGTGTTAGTAACGCCGATAGCCACAGATAACAGCCCCTTCCACCCCGCATCAGTGACGACGCATTGATCCCGCTATTCCCGTCCTTCAGCGCAACTTTCGAACATTCTCCATCGCATCACAATCGTACATATCACACACTATCAAACATGAAGATTATCGTCACTGGTTGTACAGGTCTGGTCGGCTCTGAGGTCGTCCGCTCGGCCATCAAGCATCAGTTCATCACACACGTCTACGCCGTCACTCGCAAACCCCTCGATCCCAAGATTGCCAACAACCCAAAGGTCACTCAGATCATCCATGAGGACTTTGAGCAATGGCCTGATCACTTGTTGAGGTTGTTTGAGCATGAGGGTGTTAAGGGATGTATCTGGTAAGTCTCCTTTCTCTGTCTGCCTCTCCATCTCAAACAGGCCATAAGAAAGAGAGCGACGACAAGAAGCTAACCACGCTCCCACCACAGGTGCATCGGCGGCTGGGCCAACAACTTCCCTTCCCTAGAAGAAGCCCAACGCGTCAACATCGCCCTGCCCCAAACCGCCGCCGAAACCTTTTCGTCTGCTCTCTCTCCCTCTTCCGCCGAAATCTCGCAATCCAAAAACAAACGCGGTATTGCTTTCCGCTTCATCTACATGTCCTGCCACGGCGCCGAGCAAAATCCCTTTGCGTCTCTGTGGTGGAGCGCCGACAGCAGAAAAATGAAAGGAGCTGCTGAAAAGGGACTGTTTGAGTTGGCGGACACACGCACACCGGGCAGTTTCGAGTGTTATGCTTTGAGATTGGGAAAGGTGCTCGCTGGTGGACAGAGTATTTATAACTTGGTGACTATGGGTGGAAGTCAGAGTATTGCGGATACCTTGGTCGCGAGGTGTGCAATCAATACTGTGCTGGATGGACGTACCAAGGAGGAAGGAGGCAGGATTTTGGAGAATGTGGACTGTTTGGGTGATGATTGGGCTCAAATCAACAGTTTTGCTATCCAGTAAGGGGATAAGGTCATGAAGGAGAGACACGCATTTTATGATTGAGGAAAGGTCAGGGAGGTGTTTGTGGTTTAGAGCATTGTTTTCTTTGGAGTTCGTGGTGTGGCATTTTGGTTTCCCTTCCTTCGTTGCTGCTCTCTTTCATTCTGCCTTGTGTACATCATCCTCGTTGTGCTGTTCCCTCCGCCGCAACCTCATGTGAGAACTGTAGGTCCCGATCTTGCTTTCTCCCTCCGTCTCCGCCACAAAGCTCATGTTTGTTGCTCTGTTCGGTGTGACACAAGAGACAAAACTGTCCCCTGCCTCCACATCAAACCCCTCAAACCTCTGCATCTTCATCCTCATCTCCATCCACTTCCTCCTGCTTAACAGCAACCTTCTGCTTTTTAGCCAGACCTTCCTCATCTCCATCGTCCTCAGCCTGCTCCTCATCTTCTCCCTCTTCCTCGTCATCGTCATCACGAACTCTCTTCTTGCCCTTGTTGGCTTTTCCGTTGCTCTTTGTAGCTCTGGGCTTCTTGACACCAGTCTTTTGCGCAGGGACGGTGGCGGTAGGAGCAGGGGAAGCAGAAGCAGAAGACAGTTTCTTGATTTGGTCCTTGACGGCGCGGAGGGTGGGTGCTTCGCCTAGGGTGGAAGTTGCTAACAGGAATTATTGTTAGTGAGTTGTCTTTTGGACGTGAGTAAAGAAAACATGGGTTGAAGAAAGAAGGAAAAAAGGGTTGGAAAATAAAAACTTACGCCAACCGGCAATAACAGCTTCGGCAATTTCGTTAGTGATGGAAGCATTCAGTGCTGCCAGTGCTGCTCCTAGAATGTAGGCATTCTTGTCGTTCTCCCACTTGACCATTTTGGGCTTGCGAGAAGGGAGTGTTTTGTTGGTTTTGTAAGTGAAGGCTGTTGTTTGGTGGAGAGATTATTTGGATGTCGTGTGGTCGAGAGATCGTTCGACTTCTTGTATCGTGGCGAAATCTTTTGTGTGTCGAGTGGTCGATGTCGATGTCGAAGGGGTTTAAGTAGCGCGACGCAAGAGAGTCGGAAATGTTGAGTGGGAGTGAAGGTTTGTCTTGAAAATGAGTTGGCAGTCTGACCGAAGAGGTGAAACTCAGTCGGTCGATTGTAGTTAATAATGAGAGAAGTGACAGAGTATGAGTCGGAGTGTGATCTGTTTGTGTTGGTGCGCATCCAGTGAGATGTCCGTCTTAGTTAAGATGTACAACGCTGAAGAAGATGGGAAGGATAAAGAAATGTTCGGTTGAGTATCACGGCGGATCTTGATAAGCACTCGTCGTGTTACGGCACGAGTATCGTTGGACAAGGAGAAGAAACTCAAATCAAGGAAGAGGATAGGTGAAGAACAGTATGCACTAACATAGAAGAGAAACACACATGCATGTTTATAAACAGATGGTTGACCTTCCAAGTCCCAACTACTAAGAGGTCCTACACCTATTGTAGCACGATGTCCAATGCCGGAGAACCAGTTCAATTATTGGTGTATTATATATACTTCATCTCCCTCACCACCTCCTTCCCTCGATCTCCTACTATCCAATCTGTCCTTCGTTTTTGGCATTTTTCGCCTCTCCATCTCAAACAACAGTACTCTCCCTCTTGACTGCCTTGCTGACCAGGACTCCCCGATCGTCTTCTTCGCTGATCTGGCGCCGGTGCGAGAAAACTGGTAGACTGTAGTGCGCACTTGGCTGCTCTAGTCTGCGTCTGGGGTCGAAGCGGCGGAGAAAGGCTGTCAGAGGACGTTCAGGTGAAGAAGGAAGATCTGTGTCGACGGTATGGGAGATCGAAGCTCTCGAGCATGAGGCTTGAGTACTGTGTTTTGTCCAGTCAGCACCCAATCCACACAATACTAGTGAGGATCCCTTACCTCTCCGTCTTATTCCACGAGCCATCCCTCCTCAAAGGCATCTTACTACCATTCGTCGATACCGCTCCTCTCGGCGAAGACCCCCTCCCCTCAGGCGCCACCAAGACTGGAAACAACCTTCCCAACCCCATTTTCACCAACCACTCTCTGTACATATTCTTAGCATCCCTCCCCAAGCCAAAGAACAAAAACACCAAGAAGCCACAAGCGAGATTAGCCCATCTGTCATAAAGAACTGTCGACGGCATGACAATCGACGAATTCCAAGTGGCCGGGTTGTGCAGTCTCGAAAAATTGAAGGGGAGATTTTGGTGTGGGTATTGCGTGACGATGATATAGATTTGAACGGGTGTGATGCCGAGGATGAGAATAGAAGAAATGGCGAAGAGGCGAAAGAAGCGGCTGCGCGTTGTTTTGTTGCTGGAGAGGATGTTGTTGAAGGAGGAGCGGTATTTGTGGAGGCGTATGATGACGAGGGCTGTTGAGGGAGGTTAGGTCAGTGATGATCAGAGGAGAGGGGGATGGATGGATGGACTTACTTGCGTAGTATACGGCTACTGCGTTGGTGATGATTGGAGCGAGCCAGATGAGCACGAAACTTATTCGACTGCTGTAGGCCATCAATTGACAACCAGACACTCCAATCAGTCCAAAGCGGTTCAATTGTACGATGTACTGGAGGACCATAGTCAGAAGCGGCAGACCAACACACCAGGCAAGTTCAATAGCTGTATTTCTCCTCTTCTGCGCTTTAGAAGGCCCGAGCAAAGTTTTGTCTGTATTCAGCACGGCAGCAAGAGCTCGCAGAAGACACAAAACTGCAGCATTGAGTCCTGTGATACGACCTCCCAACAGCTTGACCTCGACATCGCAGAGACCTTGCCCATCATACATGTGGCGCATGTCGATGTACGGCCATATGATGACATTGATGATGCTGATGAAGTTCATCAGCATGATCCAGAAGACCATAAAGACAGCGGCTGTATTGCGATTGCGGAGATGCCATATCAACGGTGGAAAGTTGAGGATCAAGAATAGCGGGGCCAGGACAGCGAGAAGTATTCCTTGAGGTATGATGTGGTCTTCGACAATCACGTAATTCTCGTCTTGAGTAGCCATTGCTGTCGGCACTCCTGAGAGAACGCCGAGCAGGTGTTGAAAGGAAGTTTTGCGTGATGAGGAGAGACTTGCAAGAAAGAGGAAGTTGACTGGGTTTCTTTGAAGAGTATGAAAGAATGGATGAGAGCAGAAAACATAGTCGACGAATACTTGACCGTATGTTTTTCCTCCTCAATAATCCCAATAGACCTCAATAAGCTGAGACAAGACGAATAGATCGACTTGCTGTTGTCGCAGTGTTGTCAAAAGCTACAAATAGCAGGACCTTATTGAAGAACTACTTTTTAGGTGTATATGATGTTTCTCGTTCGCGTCGTGCTGGGGGAGGGTGTCTGAGAAGGGGATTTTTATGTACTTACCGGATTGGGTGCTCAATAGGAGAAACATGGTCAAAGACACCTCGCTCTTTCGGTAGGTCGAAAGACGATTGAGTCGCATGTGTACTTGTGTGCATCGAACACAGAAGCGCAAACACTGCATTAGGGAGAAGAACATGGTCATCCGAGCTGAATCTCGAATACTCTTTCTTGGTGAAGAGGCGCCTCGAGTGTTGAAACCATTGGGGGTCTCTCACCAACTGATCTCCACTCCTACAAGCTGCTTTCTTTCCAGGTGTCTGTCGCGAGATACAATACCATACCGAGCATTATAAGTTGGTTCAGTCTGGATCTCGGAATGGGAGATGACGCGCAGGTCTGGCAAAAGGAGAAGAGGTGCAACCAGGAGCTGTCAGCGTTCGTGAGCTCTTCAGGTTGTGACATTGCATATAAAAATATGCTCATGACTGCTGGTTTGATGATTTTCAGTCGCTTGATAATGCATGAAATGAGCATGGTTGGTAAGAAGAGTGAAAACATGAAGCTGAATTCGTTTGTGCGGTGAGCGCATATTCGTGCGCGCCAATCATTCTCAACGAATATAGGTCAAGGATGTTCTCAACAAACGTTCCCTTCACAACCATCTCTGCTCTCCGACCGCGACTGACAAGTAAAATCTTTCCTATCAACCAAGTCCTTACTTAAACTAGACACGACCATCAAAAATTTCCTCCTGAATCAATTCAACATCAAAGTACAGCAATTGTTGCAACTCTTCCAATAACCCCTTCCTGTCCCTAACTCGCCTCTCACTAACCTCCAAAAACTTTTTGCCGTTCCTAACCCTCGGCAACAAAACCTCTCTGCCTATCTCCATCTCCTGCATCACCGTGACATTACCTCCCCCACTCAATCTATATCTTCTTTGTCTGGTTTGTCCGGGTAGAGGATCATATGTGAAAATAACACCATTACGGTCGAATTCTGAGCCATCGGTGACACAGTCTGAGGGAAGGCCAGAACAGTAAGCCAACTCTCCTGCATTGGCAAAGATTTGTTGGTAAACCACCGGATAGTCAGAGGAGTTTAGACCTTGGGAGTTCGACCATGGACCGGTGGAGGTGTAGAAGAGGTTGAGCATGGCGGTTTGTCCTGTTAAATGCCAGGTTTGTTAGTCCTTACATCTCCATCAACACGAAGAATGGCAAAATTGGCAGAGGAAAGGAACCAAAAAACCACTTACGAGCATCTTCCCCCCTATCCACACACCTACTAACCGGCCCTCCATGCTTGGCATCGACCGCGTACTCAACAGCAGAACTGTACGGATACACATTACATTCCATCCCTTCATTCTGACATCGATCCTGTTCAGTATCAGGTTGTCCACTAACGCCCCAGTAACAACCCGCATTTGCCTTTCTGACGGCAATGACATCAGGAGGAAGTGAGGTTGCCAAAGGGTCAAACATGAGACTGCTGCCATAGCCACGGCAGTAAGCGCCGTAGCACATGTTGGAACAGACGGAGGGGATGTCGAGGGTGGAGTCGGTGTTTCCGGTGCAGGACCAGAGGATTGTAGGTGGGTGGGGACCGTTTGTTGCTTGACGAGGAGCTAAGGGGGAGGAGGTGGTCGGGTTGAGGAGGAGGGCTAGGAAGCTGAGGATGAGTAGTTTCATTATCTTGGGTTGTTGGTTTATACGTCTTCAAGAGCTTTTACGTGTTTCGAAGGGTCCAAGTACAGAAACTGAGAACTCCAGGATGTGCGAGAGGCCAAATAGTTATATCTGCAAGTTTGTATGTCGAATCACGGCTCTTTCCTTGAGTGTAATGTGTCGGCAGATGCGATAGCTGCTGATCTCTTGAGCTTGAGTGTACAGATTCAATGTGACTCTAGGATTAAATGTATTCTTGATCAGGTCAAGTCAACGTTCTAGTCTGGCAAGTGCGACGATCAACACAGACCACAGTATGCCTGCTTTTTTGTTCATGATCATGGGAATGGGGAGGACTGGCAGAAAAAGAAGCTGGAAGTCGGTACACATGACAATTGCAGCAAACAGTTCCCAAAATATCATCGAATTCACATGTGTCCGATGCAGTACACACAGCAGAAGGCAATCCAATAGTGAGGTATACTGTTATGCAAGATTGACCAGGAACATGATATGGAGTCGAGAATTTTCGTGTTGGGTTTCTCTGGAGGAGCGACAAGTGCTGGCCATCTATATGATAGGTCTCAATTTGTCATGACCATACACAGGCTGCCTGACTTGAGAAGCTCATTTCCAAATCCACTCAGGTAACCTCTGCTTCTCAAGCCAAACACCTGCGTGATCCTTTTGTTTGCCCTCTGCAACGGTCACACCCAGAAGTGTCCTCGCACTAGGTCTGCCCAGAGCCCTGTGAGCCAAACACCTCCTGACCCACCAGACCATCTTCTTTCCATAGATGTCACCCGCATCCGCCCACTTTGACTCCCTCTCCTTATCTTCGCACTCTTTCCCACCTCTCTCCCTCTGTCGAAGTCAAAAAACAGAAATTTCATGACAGCACCCAAGTCCCATATATTAGATTTGGTTGTCAAGACAACACTGTCGGTGACACTGTCTACAGCTGCTAGACAGAGACGGTGAAGCAGCAAGGTAGAATTCTCAAAGGCTTCTCGAACTTCTCGGGCGACGTAGACATATGTGCCTCGGAGGCCTCTGGTCTGCGATTCCACTCCTGCAGCGCCAAAGTCTGCAAAGACGATATCTGAATATGTGTTTTCAGATGAAGAGGAAGGAGACCTCGATGGCCAGCGCAGCAGAATATTCTCTGGCTTGATGTCATTGTGAAGAATTGGTTGCCACTGGTTTCGTGCACCAGGAAGGTACTTCTTGCGGCGAAAGATCAGCTCGCTGTCTCTAAATATCTGTCAGACACCTGCTCACCTTTGCGCAGGAGTGTTGAAACAGCCACAATGTATCCTAGAACATGCCAATAGATGATAGAAAGGAGCGAGAATCGGAAGAAAAGCTTAGCCTTGGTATTGATAAAGGCCTTGGTATCATGAGCAAGGTTTTTGGCGATGCATCGAGGACATAGACAAGATACAATTGGTTCCCCATTCACTTTACAGCTAGGACGATGTCTGTGCCTGGCGCCAGCGCCATTGCCAGTATTATTCGAAAAAGGAAGATTATCCATGACAAAGAACAAACAAGAACTACAAGACTGGCTGGAGAGTTGTCACGTCGATATGCTTCACCTACCTCTATCTGCCATCAATTGCAGAGTGCGATAGCATTACATTGTTCTAGCTGTCTTGTCTGTAACTCTGGTCACGGAGACGAATAGTGTGAGAACAATAAGTGCACAATTCTCGCAGACCAGCGACAGTCTCGATTGAAAGCATTGTAGTGCCAGAGACAGGATGCAAACAATCAAATCCGAAGACATGTAGCATGACGAACGTGTTCGGAATCGTCAGGCAGCCTGGCAGATGAGAGGTTGAGACGTGGTCAAACGCATGCGTCCAGGTTGTGCGACAAGGCCAGATGTACTGATGACGTGAATTCGACCGTGATAGACAAGATGATCATGCTGAGCAGCGTGTTGATGTCGTCGTTGATGGACGGCCTTGACAAGCGGTCATCGGGTTCCTGAAATCAGGGCCGGCATTGCGACGACGGAGCACATGACACGGACGACGCAAGCAGTAGCAACGAATCGGGAATTTTGGCATGCGCCCATGCATGCACAATGAGCGTCATGGCTGGCAAGAAGTTGTTTCAGCTTGATAATCAGGCCGAGAGTCGACAGGACGCTTCCTGCACAAGATGTCGCATGGGGGCTGTGACTGCTGCAATGTGTTTATCAAGGCCTTCTCCGTTGCAATCAATTGGAGCAGTTTGATAAAAGGTACAGGGTGACGGGTGAGTGATGGGACTGTTGCTTTTCTTAGCAGCTTATCGCCACCGGAAGCAGAGTGGAACAAGAAAGGCGCTTGGGTCCTGCAGTGGTGAACGTTAGAGTTTTGCGGCGAGATGGCAACGGGTCTCCGCTTTGTCTTGGAGGGGTTTGAGTCGGAGGTGCTGGACGGTGAAAATCTTGAATGGTGTCGCTGGCAGAGGCCAATAGATGGTTATATAGCGCATCATGTAGGCAGATAAGGTGGCACGGAGTAAGCATGAGCTGCAGGCAGCCTGTCAAAGGGTCGCAGTGGGCGACGGCATGTTGTTTTGTCCGTAGCAGCAAGCCGCAAACAGAAAGAGACCCTGTCGCTGTTCAATTTGGCAGGAGTCAGTGATTTGAGAAAGAGCCAGCCACAATTCCAATGTCAACAACAAGGACCAGAGCATTTTGAACAGAAGAAACAGGAGGATATTGATAAAAGACTATCAAGGATCCAAGGGTACTCGGGAAAACAGTTATAGCCGTTTATTCAGGGAGACTTTGCTTCCAGAAAGTCGGCTCCTTCTGTGACGGTTTTGTCGTCTGTGTTGACACGCGGTTCCCCTTTTGCAAGAGCTTCTTGTTGACCGCAATCTCGCCCTCCCGCTTTCAATCCATCCACATCCACGTCTTGCACTTGCACTTGCACTTCAACATTCGACTACTCTCTCAACATCCACCCTCCACACATCGCACTGCCGGCTGTCCAGTCTCCTCCTGCCCGACTGCCTTCCCCAGAAACACACGCGGCCTCGTTCAAGATTTGCAATCACCCGCCTTCCGCAGCGCGCAACCACGACCACAAGACTACTGACCTCTTCTGTCTCCGCCCATTATGGCGTCTGGGTAAGCGCTGTCTGCCCGTGTCTCTTGCTCGCTGCCGAAGCCTTGCGAACGACATGCATCGACCTCTCCCTGGCTGCCCTGGCTAACTCGTTGTTCGCAGCATCACCGGAGCATGGCGCTCCTTTTGGCACACCATGACGTCCAATGACCGACATGCCTCTCCCGACATGCCCTACCGTACAGGCGCTCACACTCCTCTCGCCCAGAGTCGACACGCTCCCCTGACTTCGGTCGCTACCGCCGCTGAATCTCGCACCGACCTCAACAACCCCTACGCTCAAGACAATGACTTTATGCCTGCCAATGGCCGCATGTCGCCTAACGGTCCCTACTCGCCTGGCCTCCGCTCCACAATGCAGCGTCAATCCAGCTCAGGGAACCTCGAGGGTGTTGGTCAAGGCGAGATTCAAATGCAGAGTTTCTCCGAAGGTCTCCCCCCTCCACCGCCCGTCGGTCACTCGTGGAGACGTATCGACCAATGGGCTGAGCACAACCACGAAGAACTGTTCGAGAACTTGTGTGAAGGTTGCACTCAGAACGATGTTAACGAACTCGAACACGAGCTTGACTGCACACTGCCTATGGAGATGCGCGAGTCCTTGATGATTCACGACGGTCAAGAACGTGGCGGTAGACCCACCGGTATCCTCTTTGGCTGCATGTTGCTCGATTGTGAGGAGATTGTTCAAGAGTGGAAACAGTGGGCTCGTGTTGGTGACGACTACCTCCGTGCTTCATCTGCTCCTTTCGCTACTCCTCAGATCCCCAACAAGGCTTTCGCTGGTTCATCTACCCAACCCTCCGCTCCTCAACCCGCTTCGGGCGCTGGCTGGCGTTCTGAGCTCATGTCAAAACAGGACTCTCACCCACCAAATGCCGTGCAAAAAGCATACGTCCACCCTGGATGGATTCCCGTTGCAAGAGATTGGGGCGGTAATAACATCTGCATTGACTTGGCCCCTGGTCCCGCTGGAAAGTGGGGTCAGGTTATTCTGGCTGGTCGCGACTACGACTGCAAATATGTTGTCGCTCGTTCGTGGTCCGCTTTCTTGGCCAGCGTTGCCGATGATTTGAGCACTCCCAAGGCCGTCGTTGACGAGGAAACCGGAGAACTCACCCTTCGCGAATTCAAGAACCAAAACGTCGATCCTTCGTACATGGACATCCTGCGCTGGCGCACCGATCAGAAGTACGGTCGTCGCATGCCCAAGGGTGGCCGCCCACAACAACCCCTCCGTATCAACAGCAACGTCAAGAACGAGTTCAGCAGTCTCAATGGTTTCTCTCCTTACGCCTCTCCCACTGGTAGCGACCGTGGCCGCAGCCCTCAGCGCTTCTCTAGCAACGGCAAGGCCCCTGCAAACCAGAGCCCGCGCGGCCACGTGAGCAGCCCTCTTGCCCGTGTCGCCGAAGAAACTGGTCCCACTCTCAAAACCGACAATCTCGATGCCGTACTCGACACATCCAAGAGCAACGACAACTTGATGAGCATGGATTCGCCGCTTCCCCCCACCGTCGAAACTTTTGCCGACCAAGACCGCAAGGATGAGAAGGAAAAGGCCGACTCGGCCATCACATCAACGGAAGAAGCGACAAAGGGTGGTGCCTCGAACGACACTGAAGAAATGAAGACAGTTGAGATCTAGACTGTCGCAATGTCAACATGAAGAAGAGGGCAACTACACAACGCAGCCCTTAACTCTTCGAAGCAGAAGAAAACACACAACGGCCGCTCGACTTTGGGCCTGAAATTCCACTTGTACCTTTTAGACAACTCTATTTTCTGTTATCCCATCTCTTCTTGGTTTGCGACAGGGATCGGAGATCATTAGGATTTTTATCACATCCCGACAGAGCGAGGTCTCGTTTTTTTCTTTTTATTATCTTGTTCATTTTTCGTTTTTTCCTGGGCAAAGAGACAAGAGAGGTTCACGGCGTTTTTCTCCTGATATAATTATTTTCTCCATATGCCCTTTTTCTTTTTTGTCTCTCTGCACAAGTCTGTTCTCCATAGCCCTAGCACTTGACAAAACGAAGCATGGGTCACTTTGTTGTTGGTCTGGAAGCAGAGATATAAGCAAGTCCCAATGGTCGAGAGACTAAGACAACAATACCAAAGGCCAAAAATTTCATATACACATATCTCTGCCTTTGATTTTCACGTTGATCTTTTTTGTTTGTTCTCTCCTCACATAGTCTCTCTTGACACATTTTGAACGAGTGTTTGCACGGTTCAGAACTAGGTGGAATATGCATTTCTCAATTTGTGCTTAAGAGAAGAACAGAACAGAAAGAAGAACAAGTCTATGGTGTTTCAAATGGCGGAAAGTGATGGGAATCTTTAATATTGGGCCATTGCTCTTTTGCGTAAAGAGGCTTTGGTAAATTCTATATACAAAAATGGGAGATGAAAAAGGGGGTGTTGTTGGTCTGAAACCACCACCCAAAAAGGGAGTGAATGTGAAAATAAGTAAAGGGCTCAGAAGAAGCGATATCCAGTATCGTCTACACCTCTTGCAATCCGTCTATGCAATCAAATCCAAACACCCATCAAGCACACCTTCGAGTTCCTGAACCCGACGTTCCAAACGCATCTTCTCCTCACGCATAAACATCCACACTCCAGCGTCAATCTCACAAGTACGACCAGGGATCCTAGCCGTGGTTGAGTCTCGCGAGACGGGGCGAACAGCCTCCTTGATGGGCTGCATGGCAGAACTCCAGCGCTCATTATTCATCAAAGTGTAATTATTGGGATTCGGCGATGTGGGCGTCAGAGGACGCGAACATGAATCTGCGGTATCGGCTTCACTTTCAAAGCCGCTGTCGCTGTGGAGGGAGCTGCCGTCGCTGTGGCGGTTGCGGCGCGGTGTCAAGTCGTTTTGACGTGCGATGCGTTCGTAGTGTTCGCGGTCTTCATGGCGGCGTTGCTTTTCTGCTGCTAGTTCTTCGGCGAGAGCGCGGTTTGTGGCTGCTTGTTCGGCAGCTTGTGCGGCCAAGTTCTCGAGTTGGAGTTTTAGGTGTTGGGCGCGTGTGGAGGCTTCTTCGGTCTCTTCGGATTGCGCTTCACGCTCTGCGCGGGCGGCTTGTAGAGCGGTTGCTTGTTCTTTGTAGGCAGTTTGCAGACGGTTGATGAGAAATTCGGCATTGTGGAGGAGCTCGTCAAAGGTGGCGGGGGTCTTGTCGGTGGGCAGGCCAACGGGGAAGAGTAATGAGGTTGCCGGGTTGAGGATATCCATGCCTACGGTAGTCTCTGTCGGAGGCGGAGATGCAGGAGCAGCCTTTGTAGAGCCGAACCAGGTGAAGCTGCGCAGACCCGAGGGTTTCGGTGCAGGAGCTTGAGGTTCAGGGATACGGCCAGAACCGCCGGTGAAGGATGACTTGTAAGACATGATGTACTCGGACTCTTCTTCAGGCTCTGAAGGAGCAAGCGAGGAGCGACGGGGTGTAAAGATGTCGGTAAAGGATGGGCCCTTGCGAGGCGGCGACCTGGATGAACCGCGATGTTCCTCGGTATCGACGGGGTTGAGAGCAGGTACGAAGCTGACCAGAGACCTTGCACGTGCGTGGAGCGATGCTTTGCGGGATAGAGAGCCGACAGTCGCGACGACTCCAGGAGACTTTACGTTTTCCGAAATGGCAGACAGGACTTGTTTGCCAAAGGCGGCCGAGACGGTGCGCGATGAGTAGGAGGATATGGAATTGGCGGGAGCGGGGGTATAAGTGTTGCTGTAAGAAGTATCCTCTGAGAATGCCTGGTTGTAGTTGTCGTAGATGGTAGAGCGAACGGCGGCAGTGTTGGGTCTTGCGAGGGCGACGGGCGTCTCTGGAAAGGGCGAGGGCGAGAGCGAGGGAGATGTTGAGGTAGAAGAGGAAGTGGCCATGATGGTCGAGTGATGGCTGGATGCTTCAGCTGCGAATGAGAACCTTCGGCGCCTTTCCCCACTTGGTCCACGACAGGGTACTTGGGTGAAACAAGCAACGTCTCTAGCGATTGACAAAGAATGTTCGCACGAGGTTGGGATAGAAAACCGTCACGCAGGCCAAGCAACTCTTGGATCTGATGATCTGCTGTTTTCCAAACGCTTTGTGCTGCTCTTCTGCTGTAACGAGTCCTCGTCGCACCGGGTCGTCGAGGAGATACAATGCAGGGTTAAGCTTCGAAGGCGGCTTGAAAGTGGAGATTGACTTCGGAGTTCAATGTGCGAGATGTGAATGAACGACAGCGAGTGTCAGAGTGATATTGCGTCTTGATTGCTGTTTTGGTGTGTACAGAGTATAAAGGATAGACAGGGGCTCGTTTTCTCTGCAGCACTCAATCGCAGCATATTAAACCTGCAACTGTGCGTTTCGTTGCTGACGACAGTCCAAACGCCTGTGGCTGGGCAATTGGGAAAAGGTGGCTGGGAACTGAGTGCACGTTTCCACCGGCTATCTGTCCGGGCCCTTCTGCCTGACCACACTGCCATACAAAGAGCATATTCGAGTCAGTCTTCTTGACCTGACGCTGCCCTCTTCCTTTCCCTGTTTTCAGTCTTGCGCAATGGCTTGAAAATTTTTCTCTACCAAATGTCTTTGATTTTGTCGTTCCAGAAGGTCGACATGTCTTGCTCACAGCCACAAAGGTCTCGGTTGCTTTGGCACGAAAGACGTTGAGATCCGGCCCTCCACCCCGTTACCAACGGCTCGCCCGGACAACCTTACCCTGTTTTTGCCAATCTCAATCTCTTTATCAATACTTGATCCCTCTGTGCAACGACCCCCAGCCTCTATCTTCTGAAAACGTCATGGTCTCCCTATACCGTTGTATAAACAGTCCCTGCCTCCTGTCCCATATACTGCGCAATAGGGCAACTTGCTTACCTATTTTGACAGCTGTTGTATTTTCTTGACAATCATCTATTTCTAGATCTGGGGCCTTCAGTCTAGAAGCCTTGCTGTGCTATACTTGACAGTTCTGGAAGTGTGCTGAATGCATGAAAACCGTTGCCCCGATGAACTGTCATGCATATGATGACGCTGGGACCCAAAAGCCATGTGTTCATCAATCTTGTTCAGCACAGCTACTATCGATCAACCTCCCTCATCATGTATACAGATTGTTCGTATTCTGTTCTTGCAGGAGGCTATGCGCTCCTACAGTGTATTGAGGGAAGGCTCGCCTCTTAAAGTATGCATGCACGAGAACATGGAGATCATTGTTCTTTCTGCTGCTATAGCACGTATATTCATTGCTCCCTGCAACCTTCGAGGCTTTCTCAGTGTTTGAAAATATCAAAGTAGGCCTGCTCTACAGCAAGAGACAAGGCCGTGTCTTGGACACACATCCAGACATACTGATCTGCTCTGCAATGATACACCATCACAATGCAGTCTCACCATCTCCTTGACTCTCATACATCTTTCTTTGTCCTTGACCAACAGACAACTTTCAGACTCCCTTCCTCATGTGCTCTCAAAAAAGTACAAATCAGAATATCACCATGCCAAATCCTCCACCATCTACCCATCTACCCACCACCCCAACCACTAACACCACACCATCCAAACCCACGACCATGCATCCCACACGCCCCGTCCCTAGACACAGATGGCACAGACAAAAGATCTGGGCTTTTGTACTTCTAGGTCTAAACCACGTGCTCAACCATGACTTTGTCCCTGCTTGGGGGTTTGCGTTTTTGGCAAGGGTGAATGTGCAAGCTTGGTGGTATTATGCGCAGTATGGATTTGATGAGAGGTATGAGATGTCAGAGCAGGATTGTCGAGAGCAGAGTCCGAGGGATGAAGATGAGGAGACGTTGGATGAGGCAGGAAGAGATGGGTTCTCTGGATGTTTCACCAGACCGACAGAGATCGATCTCCAGCTTCTGGGACCGGAGGCGTTCTCCAGGCACCCTTCGACTCTTCTACGACTCCAAATCAGGATAGAGTCAGCTGTACTTCCGAGCCTGCGTTGACAGAGTGCAGTCGGAGTTTCTCTTCTGGAAGACAAGTCCATTGCTCGACTTGTTGTGCTGGCGGCTGTGGAGATGCTGACTTCTGTTATCTGCAATGCTCATGTGGCAATGATCAGATCAAGGCCGAGAGTCTGTTGCCCAGATTTGAGTGGGAAGATGTCGTCCATGAGGAAAACTTTGTTGATCTGTTTTAGTCGGAAGCATCATGTTGGATGTGCTGTTTGCTGGTCTTCCTGCATCTTGTCTTTCTTAAGAATTTGCCATCATGCTCTTCCTCAGCTCGTCCTTGTATGCATCCGTGATAGCACCACATAGGACCAATTCTCTCAATCCGTTGAACTGTCTCAATGGCTCAAGAACCCCTTGGACCTCTTCAATACTCCTGACCTCTCTTTCTCGATTTTTGCCAGTCCCTCTCTTTTCGCCCTCTGGTACTCCCTCGCTCCCATTTTGCAACCTCACAGTCAGTTTTCTCAATCCCTCATCTCCCTCTGCCTCTTTCATCGCCCTGACTAACTTCCTCACTTGCAGTTTCAACCCGTACACCAACCCACTACCTCCGACATTGAACTTTATCATGCCGGTATACTCATCCACCACATCCACAGTCACCATAACTCTCCTCACCAACCCCAAATACCCTCCCTTGACCAGCTGTAAAAAGTCAAATGTGCATGAAGGCGCCAACCCACTAGCCAACACCCACCTGAACCGAAACTGAATAGCGTCATAGGAAACCCAAAGCACAAAGACGTTTTCGCCGTAGAGCAAGGCAGAGCATTCAGAATGCAATTGTTTGCAAACCGCAAGCAGAGACGTCTGACCTCTGTGCCATAGAGTGGTGTTTGCTGTATACTTTGCACTCGGCAACGACGCAAGATGAATCTTGTGTGCTGAAGACGCTGCATTGCTCGTCCCCGTAGAATCCGAAACTAAGCTTCCTGCTGAGGATTTTGTTTCTGTGTGAGGTAAGAGGTAGGAGTAGATTTTTCTTCGTAGCTCGTAGGGAAGACGAAGAAATGGAAATGAAAATTGATTGGGCTTTTGGTTCAAGGGGGATTTTTGGGTTGAATGCAGACGGAGGATCTCGGCTGTTGTTTGGGTCATGGAGAGAGCTGGTGGTGTTGTGTGGGTTGTTGCTGGAAGGGGGAGAGGATGGTAGTAGTCACGGCAGTTGTGGTGGCCGGTATCTGTCAAAGTTGTCATGATTGGATGAATACAAGCGACCAATATATGTGACAGTGATGTAGGAGTCTCCCTTGTTTGTTGATTGCAAGCGATTAGGTGACAGATAATGATGTATTCTTGTTGGTTTCCTCGGCCATCAGGGTGATGACTCTCGAATGCGGAGGTGATGTGGTAACCGGCGTCGAAGCTTTGTTATCAAACACCCACAGTGGAGTTTTGTTCCCTAACATGTTATAACGGCCATTCGTCCGGGGTCGGCAGCTGAGCTATTGATGACCCTTCTAAGGTCGCGTCTTCCGTCTTGGATACGTGCATCTTCGATAGACATGACTGTCCTGTGCCCATGTTCTGCTGGGCCGACAGATGTTCATCCGTGGATTCAACATGATACTTTCCTTGTTAAGCCCAACGCAGGGCTTCTCTTGATTTGAATGTTCAGACCAGTTGCTAGGGTAAAGCTCCAGAACCATCGACTCTAGCACCTGTCATTACAAGACAATCTCAGCAGTCTTCGCGGAATACATCAACTACGCAAAGAATTGACCGCTCTTGGTACATCAATACATGTAAACCGCCACCATGCATATCGAACTCCTTCCGTCCGAGCTGGTCACGGACATCTTCCTCACCTTACCTACCATCTCCTCCGTCCTCGCCCTATCCTCGACCTGCCACCATTTTCGCCAAATCTACACATCGTCCAAGAAACTCCGAATCCTCTCTCAAGCTGCCGAGAACGAGTTCGGCCCAACATCAGACATTGTTCAACTCGTCACCCACAACTCCTCCCAACCCGCCCACCTTCGCCGCTCGGTCCCACTATCAGAAGCCTTGATCCGCTCCATTGTAAAAGTCGGCCGTGTCGCTGCAAAGTGGGAAGCCATATACCCATTCAAGAAGTGGAAAGTCGATTTTGAGAACAGACGATCCATATCGCAGGACGAGCGCTTTCGTCTCAGAAGGGCGTTATACCGTCTCTGGCTCTTTTCTCGCGCCTTTCATGACGGGAGCATCCTTCGTTGGATGAGAAGTATGCCTGCCCTGCACCACGAGAGAACATTGCTTCTACACAACTTCAACTCCATCGAATTGGCCGAAATGCTCGATGTCCACAATATGCTACGCGATACCATCAGTAACAACATTTGCCCATCCAACGGTACCGTGAACCGCAAATTCCAAAAACGCTTCCCAAACTCCAACTACCAACTCCTCTTCAACACACATCTCAACTTTCCTCCTCCGTCTTCTTTTGTGCCTAGTGGTGCTTACCACTGCTCTGAAGTCGCAGCTTCCAAATATCACAACAAATACATCCCCACCGCAACCCACGAACCAGGTGCCGAAGGCTGGGGTGATGATATCCTGCACTATTACGTTGTAGAGGATATGCTGAAGCTCGATCCTGAGCAACTCATGTTTCTCAAGGAGAATGCGCCTTACAAGAGTCAAGTGGAGGCTTATATCAGGAGCCAGGGCGATTGGTTCGACAATAATGGCGAGACTTTTGTGCAAACTTTGCAACAGGTTGTGAGGGATCGTGGACAGGAGATGGATGAGTTGAAAGAGGCGATTGAGGACGGTGAGTTGGGTGTTGCGCTTAGAGTGGACTGAGTAATTACAAGGGAGGTTTGTGGGATTGAGGAACGATATTCAGGTATCAGGGCATCCCTGTGCTCGCATGCAGATGCTTCATAGGACACATATCTAGAGTTCTATATGCTAAGGCCATGAGAACCACATTCGTGCGTTTCTGATTGACACTGAACTCATCTCGAGACTGAAACGTACATAGAGGGGCATGAACGACTTTGTGATTCATCTTCACATGCCCGAGTAAATCGTGCCTTCCTGACTGAACGCCGACGCCCAGACTTTACCAGCCTCGCGCCGCAACGACTTGAGCTCATCTTGCACCTTACACTTCATTTCTGTTATTTCTCTAGTCACATCTTGAACCAATAACCACCACTCCCAGTAGCAAGTATATGGCTGTATCGTCCTGGACCAATTCGACAGAACCAGGAATTCTCCAGCCTTGAATCGTATGTTTGTGTGCAACTCTCGGACACAGGATCCGACATTCGTTCGAAGACCACCTATCACGCCCAACACCACACTTATACGCCCAATGGATCAACTGACCCCGAGACAACATTCTAAATATCGCATAAACCACCAGCAATCACTATGTAAACCTGTTGTTGCTCGGCGCCAGCACCATTTGGTATAGCAGCAGGGTTGTACCACCGGCCATATCAGAAGCCCGTGCATACATCCCACAATCCTCTCGCCCTTCTCGACTCAGTTCCTCCGAACCCTCTCTGGCGAGATCGACGAGCCACTTCGTCTGACCAGAAATTGGGATTCCATCCCGGACAAGACCAAACGCTTCTACCCCTGAATCTTATTCGTCATAAGACGCTCTCGTCGCCTGTTGCATCGATACAGTCTTGATTTTATGATACATATTCATCATTGGCTCTGACTAACTGATCTCCGAGTTTCCGGAAAAGGCGAGATGGCCGAGCGGTCTAAGGCGCCAGCTTAAGGTTGATACCAATCAATACGCTGGTCCGAAAGGGCGTGGGTTCAAATCCCACTCTCGTCAACATCTCTTTTGCCCATCACATGCATACTTTTTGCAGAAAAAGGTGGTGGAAGCGAGGGAGAAATTTCCCAGTTGGGAGGAAGGATTTTGAATGTGTGAAGCCTCGAATTTTGTGCATCGAAGCTTTGCTGTGCAAAAAGGCTTGGCGGGACTTTATGCTGTTTGCATAGGTTTTGGATGTTTCATGCATCCTTGCACTAGAAGCTTTTTTTTCCTATTTCATTTGATGAAGTGTTGCTCTGCTGTTTTCTGTTGATGTGTTTCACTCTGCAAATTTATCATTTCCACTTTGACCAGTATTGTCTTGAAAGAGGCTCAGGTGTAGAACTCATCGACAACACAACATTCGCGCCACTTCACAAGAACGAGTCGAGTCGCGAGATCACAACACAACATCAGCGCAATCCACAGCATCCAACCAAGATGCTTGGATGCTGCATTCCTTGACGATGCGACAGCGATAATTAGACACAAGGGTATATATACCCATCAAATCTCGGTCAACACATCTGTCCTCTCTGGTCTAAACTGCCGGTTTGGCGCAGGGGTAACGCGTCGCACTTGTAATGCGAAGATCGCTTGTTCGATTCAGGCAATCGGCAATAATTAAATCCTCTGGACAGATGATTCTTTTTTTGCGATTTTTTTGCCCTATCATCCTGTTCAGATCTTTTGGTTAACAGTGTGGTATTGATCTTTTGGCCGAGTAGAAAATATCTCTCGGATCAGCTTGCAAGGTCGTAGGCGTCATGTTTGAGAGATTGATGTGATAACAAGTCTTCCTATTCAGGTTTGTGGTGTAGACTGACTCCACCTTGAGTGCTCAAGTAAAGGTGTGATTGGCCGTAGTTTTTCTGCGCGATATGAAACAGAGTTGTTCTATGCTGTCCTTGCATCTTTTGCTACAGGATACAGATAGATGAACGGACACGTCCGAAAGAACTTAGGAACAAGAATGCATTGAACAAAGTGTGATTGGCATACAAGATGAATCGATTATGCAGTGGTAGATATCTTTGTATAACAGCCATTCAAATTATCTAGACAAGAAAAATAGAATCAAGAACAAAACACAAAAGAAAACTCGACCTCCCCTACTCATGCCATTGACACTAGATCATTTCCTTTTCGAGCAAAGAGAAGAACGAAGGAAACAAAAGAAAGCAAATCGTTACCCAATTTCGTCGCTGGCCAACTTATATGACAGATGTGTAGTAGAGATTGAGCAGATTACCAGCACCACAGAACTCGAACTGGTTACCAGGACAAGTCATGAGAGAAGAAGTATCGCACTTTGTCGCAACAGCGCCTTGAGTGATTCCCGAGCCGCAGTAACACTGTTGGCCATACTCGATACTGTGAGCAGAGTTAGTATTCCTGAAAAAGACAAAGACGAGAGAGGTTAGCAACTTACCCAGCATACTTGAAACGCTTGCCCAAGCAAAACTTGACACACTTCTCAACTGTCATCAGAGGATCAGTGGTACTGGCTCCAGTAAGAGCACGAGTTCCACTGGTGGGTTCCTTTAAGCATCCTTTGCTCTGGTATTTGCCTACGCTAGGCACAACCTGCACGGGCTTGTACAAAGGATTGCTGTATACACTCAACACTCCACGGCCACCACAGATCTGCGAAAAGTTTCCTGCGCAGCGTCCATAGCATGAAGATTGTGTGTAGTTGGTGGTAGTATCGATGATCTTGCCGCCAGAGGCTAGTCCATTACCAGTGTAGCACTCGTCGTTGTTCTCCAGGCCATAGAAGGCGGCGTTGTTACTCGCGGCAAGGCTGGCACATTTGGAAAGGGTCATGTTGGCGTCGACTAGGGAGGTACCGTTCAAAGTGCGTGCGCCATTGGCTTCAGTCGCGCAACCAACATATGTTGAATTGAAGGGAGCCACAGGGTAGGTAAGCTGGATGACCGAATTGGCCATGTTGGTTGTGGGCTTGAAGGATGGATCGGTATTGTTGTAGATGGACATGTAGAAAGCTCCACCGCAGAGCTCGGTGCGGTTGCCAGGACACACAATGTTGCAGCCGGCCAAAAAGTTTGTCTGGTCCGTGATGATGGTGGAGGGGTTGATGGCAAGATCGCAGTAACACTGGTTTCCATTCTCCACTCCGGAGTAGCGGTACCCACGCTTGGTGCAATAGGTTTGACAGTATTCGACAGTGAGGCCTGGGAAGGTTGTGTATGCTGCATTCAGACTCCTGAAGCCATTGTTGACATACGAATCGTTACCACAACCCACAATCTTGTTGAACTTGTTACCGAAAAGGGTACCAGCAGAAGGCGTGTATGTAGGCTGGGGAGTAGAGTCAACAGTACTGGTAATGCTGGCCTGAGGAACACCAGCCGCACACTCCATGTCAGCAGCTGTGGCAGCTCCAGGACCGGTGGTGACGCGAACACAACCAGGAAGCTTGTCAATCATGCCCTCGGTACGCTCGCCGATCTGAGGAGGCTGCATAGGGCAATTATTGGAGAAGTTTGGGTTCCAGAAAGGATGGAGCACGTCGCAGTCATCAAGTGTACCAGAATCGTCTTGGCCATCTACGAGACAGTTATTAATGGCACTCTTGAGCGCAGTATCATTCCAGGCATTCTGGAAATCACCGTGGAAGCCATAACCAGTGGCATCGCCTTGAGAAAAGACGAAGCGACCACCGTCATCCAAATTGGAAACTTGAGCGACTGCGTAATTTGTCTCAAGGAACAGATGAGGGAACATGTAAGGATAGTCTGGAGGACAAACTCCATTGTCGATCTGTGACAGGTGGGCAACATGGCTGTTATCGGGTTTGTACAAGTCTTTACCATTCCAGCAAGTCTGAAAGTGGACTTGCGCGCGGAGACCATTGATACAAGTGCGAGGATCAGCAGGCAAACCAGGCGTCTCTGGACCAAGTACCTCGGCAAGGCAGGCAAAACTGATAGCATCAGATTTTGGCCTGTTGGGGTAAGTTTCATTTCCCCAAGTCATGCCGGATTGATTGGCAGCTCTCAAGGCCTTATTACCAGACAGCATCTGAAATCCTTTGGGGAATGAAATGATGTTGCTGGCAGCCTGGCCACGACCCAGGTAGTAGACAACACTTCCACCATGAGGGACCTCCTCGAAAGAGCCGTTCGTGTGCTGGTAGTACAAGTTTGGCGTCCAGTAAGCAGAGTGATCTGCCGAAATCTCGCAAGAAGTACATTGTGAATTGAACAAGCTGTCGAAAGTGGCATTGACACCAATATCTGTCGGGGAATATTAGCTATGTGCAGAACACAACATCAGAAAACCCACTTGAACCACCCACGATAGTGTGGCAATGTGCTGCTAAAGCACCTGGGTTGACAATAGGATCAATACGTCCGACTTGAACCTTAGCGCAGTTGATACGGAAGAATGCATCGACACCACCAATACTGGCAATAGCCAGCGTGGCAACAGCGTTTCTGAGCTGCATGATATCGTCTGACAGCGAGTGATTGCGAAGACGGTCGGTAGAACCAGATCTTCGTGCAGGGGCTCTGTTTATGCCAGATGTCCCGAAACATTTCTTTGACAATATTCTCGACCTTCGAGGAACAAAGTCGGCATGCCGAAATGGCCGGACTTGGAACTCGGCGTCGATATGGCGGTAAGGAATTAGGAAGAGCCAGCTCTAGACAAAGAAATGGCGCCTAGTGTGAGCCGCCAGAAGCAAGGGGTGGGTTGACATGTCTTTGTTTGTCAGGCAGTCTTTCCGAGAGGAATAGCAAATGGGCTTGCAACAAAGGGATATCAAGAAGGGCAGCATGGAGCGAAGGACGCCAAATGTCTTGTGATGCTCGAAACTGGAATCAGAAGGAAGGTCATGATCTGGATCCTTGGTAAAAGTTTGCCAATTTGTGGCAGAGGGGGGAAAGAAACGTGAAATTTGAAGGCCTCAGGGCACATTCCTTGGACCTGTCATGCTGGTGTCTTTCTGCTTATAGCCAAGTCGTTAAATGTCGCGTCCTCAGTGAATCAGTGATGTTTCTTCACGTCTTACCTTGCGAATCCAATTGCGCTGCAAGCCCGCATCTTGGCTGCCGGCAGAGCTGTCTGCTCTTGCGAAGTCACTGGTTCACTTTGGTACCCTCATACCATTCTCGCTCGGAAGTCTGTGATATTGACGTGTCAGTGCCTACGAAGCTTCACACCTTGCCGCCTGTTATCTGCTCCACCACAACCAAAATTTCATGCGCAGCGTCGTAGTAACGATGGCTCTCGCCGCTGAGGTCTCTGTCGTGACCTTCTTTCGTGATTATGCAGGTCACGGAGGCCAAAAAACAAAAAGAATGATGAGAACGGCGGGATTCGAACCCGCGCAACTTACGTTACCAGGAAACTCAATGAACTTGAGAAGCTTTTGATCGCTTGAATCTGGCGCCATAACCACTCGGCCACATTCCCCTCGATGGAAGGCGTCGTCGGCATCAAAATATATGTAGTTTTCATAGAGTTACGCTCAAGACTCGATCAGAGGCTTTCTAGAGCTCGCTGGTGATTCCTTGACGGAACAGGCTGCGACGACACCCTGTTCGGGCTCATGATGAGCAGAGGCATCGCCGGATGACCGTGTAGCCACCTAGAACCTGTTTGATCAGAAATTGGAGGTGGAACGTGGCGAAAATTGAAGACTCGAAAATCTGTTCGAATTGTGTGAATCGTGTGCCTGACGCACAGACTTCCCGACCCCAAAGACAAAGAAAGGCAAGCACTTTCCCATGGCAAGACGCTCAAACTATACTGGGTCATACTCCTGTTCAAAAGCACAGCGAGGCCTATAATCTCACTGGACCTTCGTCTTCAAAGTTTCTGCCAGCAGTCATTCAGATAAGGAAACCGACTAGGTCTGACATTGGGTAGCTGGCCTTCACCAAATGCGTCGAATTCCCGCGATTATTGCACGCAAGATAACTTAAGCTGAAATGGTGAAGCTGTTCAGCTCGTTCATGCACAAAAGATCCCCCAACATCATGCCTACCACACGTTCTCGTCATATTGACATGTCACTGTATCACTTCCTCACAACTCCATCACAATTGCACACGCAGATTGTGAGGACCAAATAAAGGATTACCCCTGCGCATTGGCTTTCTACCTTTCTCAACGCACATCCGGATCACCATCGAGCTGTGGACTCTTAAACCACCCACGAACGTTTGGACACACAAGAGCTTGGTTGAAACAATATTAGTGTATACGGGAATGCTATTCTAGGCTGCCGTCTCCTCCATGGATGACCGGCGTGAAGAAGATGATGATGAGGACCTGCCTCCTTTGTCGAAATCGTCGAATGGAACTTCCATCGTCTCGTTCTCGTCTTTCAGACACAATTGATGGATCTCCGAGGTGCCTTCCTCGCCATACTGTGTCAAGTCGGGACTGATATCGATCTGGTCATACTCTGCCAACAGCTTTCGGACCTTGCCTGTGGCTGACTTGCGCTTCTCTGGTGTGCTCATGAGGTTGTCGAGGACCCACTTCGGCTGCAGAGCAACCAAAGGTACGGGAGCATGTCTGGACCATCGCCTTTGGTGTGCTGGTGTCAACGCGACTGGGAAAAGAGGAATGCCGTCGAAACAGAATGTCCATTTCTCATTTAACGTCTCTTGAGGGATGTCCTTGGGCCAAGGTTTTGAGTCCCAGATTCTTAACCCACGCAGCATATCAAAGAACTCGTTGTTGTATTCTTCGACAGACTTCAATGAGCCTTCGGTAGGTGCACCCATGATGACCAGACTGGTGTTTGGTCCAAGTGACCTCGACACTTGCAGATATGCCCTCAATGCAGGTGCAATGATTCGTACATTTCTTGGTTCCGAAGGGTTGTCTGACTCGAGGAAGACGTAACGATGGTCTCCGGCGCGGTAGCCCATGGTTGCATAGACGCAAGGGAATGTCTTGAGTCCACTACCTTTTGCGAGGATGGTGGTCTTGAACTCTTCGTAGACCAGGCGTTGCCATGCGTTCATGTCATACTTCTCCTCCAATTGCTCCCTGTTCCATCGTCAGCACGCGCTTCAAGCAATTGGCATCCAGGGACCTTACTTGGTCAACAGGTTGTCTGCACCCCTCTTTATGATTTCCTCTGGGGTCTCGGATTGTTCCATGTCACCAGGATGCGACCCCTGTCCCTTCAACCCATTGGTAACATGGCGAAGTTGTGACGTGAAATGATCGAGATCTTTCCGCGCTTTTCGTGGCCGTAAAGCAACAATTGTGGCTATACTGAAGCCGAGAAAGAAAATGATGATATTGAGGGCAAGCTGCATATTGACGATGTACCAGTAACAACGCAGCTGGCAGCACACGAAAGAGATTTATCAAGTGTCCAGGCCGCTACAGACGAAATCATGACGAGTGCAGATATTGTTATGGATGACATTTCTTTGGTCTCGCCGAACAAAGATCTTGATGTCATGAGAACCAGGCGATGCCTCATCCAGCCTGGCTAAATGCTCACGAGTCTTTGTTAAAACGTAACAGAAATCGACATTTGGGTATTTGGCGGGGGAGGCTCAGTCGCAGCCGAATTACCGAGCCAACCAGGCCTCACAATTTGCAAACGTCAGCCTCATCTCATCGCCAAGAGCCATGTTTAGATCTCTCTGACGGCCATCATCCAGGCACGTTTGACGAAACGGGAATGACGTGTCTGGGGTCGATGAGACTTCAAATCCAATACATGACAGATATTGGCTGGTTGCATCGTTCTTTCTCACGATATACGGAGTACAAATCCGCAATTGCACAGCAACAATCATTCCGGATTCGCAAAGGCGCTTGCATCAAAACATCAACATGTCCGACACCATCGAAATCCCCATTCGCACTGGCACTGCCTTCACCTTGAACAAGGGACAACGCTTGACCGTCATTGACCCCAAAGGCGTACAAGTCTCTGATCTGGTTGCCTTCAACCGTCATGATCCGGACGAAGTCATCAGCAACGGCAGAACACTTGACTACGCAAGTCGAATCTACCTAACTACCGGCGACCCGCTGTATTCGAATCGCAGCAATGTCATGCTCAAAATTGTCGCGGACAACTCTCCTGGAAAGCACGATTTTCTATTGACGCCATGCTCTAAAGACACCTTCCGCATCATCTATGGCGACAAGGAACCACACCAAGGATGCTTCGGCAACATCGCTGGAGCCATCGAGCCATACGGCATCTCATCCGATCGTATACCTTGCGCGTTCAATTGTTTCATGAATGTCACTGTCGACTCGAATTCGGGTGAGCTCAAAGTGTTGCCTCCGATTACAAAGCCGGGTGACAGCATCGAATTCGTGGCAGAGATGGACTTGATCATTGCCTTAACCGCTTGTTCCGCCCTGCAGTCGAATGGCGGCTCGTTCAAGCCGATCCAATACAAAATCAGCGACTGAGCACGACGCTTGAGGCACGGCCCGGGGAGGAATGTACGATCGTTTATGGCAGGTGTCTTGTGTACTCTATTTTGTGGCACCCCATGGGCTGGTCGTGTTTTGGAATGGAAGATCTCATCTTGAATTTGGAAGGAGATCTGGGGGGCGGAGATTTCTAAACGTCATATATCCCCTACAAGGTTATAAGGCTTACGCTTATTGCCAACGGTCAACGCTTGAATCTAATCAAAGAACCATTCAGGGTTTCGTAAATCGTACTCCGTCACCAGACTTCTCTGTCTCTGCTATAATGTTTGGGTGCGTACGACGGCCATGACGTCTCGACTCATGCCTTTATGTCTCAGATGAAGATATCGGCTCGACGCCGGATGGCAAGCCACGATCCAAATTGGCAGCAAAGGGTAGTGTTAACAGGCTATCGCTGTCGAGTTTGGTTGTTCGACTTTTCATATTCGACTTTCCTTCAATAACAATTAGAGTGTCGCCTATGTCTTCACTCAGTTCGCCTGCGCCTTCGGGTACGCGGGAAAGTACCGACAATCTCCTCGAACAACATGGATGCCACCTCGAGGATGGAAACACAGTATGTTGGAATGAAGACAGCAAAGATCACCCTAGGAATTGGGGTCCGGTCGCAAAATGCTACACAACCTTCATGATTGCTTGGGTTGAGCTGTTCATGACTGGTATCAGTTCGGCAGGAGTGAGTTTTATCCTTTTCCCTTAGTCTGGTATAGCCCGTCCTGACCAATAACAGACTGCAGCATCCGAATCTGCTCGGATGGAGTACGGTATGAGTAGAACTCTTGCGGTCTTTGCCTTCGTTACCATGTATCTGCTTGGCCAAACTCTTGGAGGCATAGTTTGCGCCCCCATTTCTGAGACCTTTGGTCGTCGCACACTATACATCGCATCCTGCGCTGTATTCTGTGCCTTCTCAGTAGTCACAGCAGCTCCACCCTCTCAAATCGCGGTTTACTTCGGTCGCTTCATCCAAGGTATCGCTGCTGCCGTTCCTGCCTGTGTAGCATATGGCAGTCTTGAAGACATGTGGGGTGCTCAGATAAGGTGAGTAGACTTTATGTCTTTGTACCTACCTTATACTAACAATGTTTCAACAGAATCTGGGTTGTATACTGGTACACCGTCTCCGGCTTCATCGGCCTCGTCTTGGGTCCCATCTACTCATCGTACATCACTCATTACTATGGCTGGCGAGCGGTGTTCTACATCGCGGCTGTGGCAGCTGGAGTGTCCACCATCCTGTCCTTCTTCATCAAGGAGACCAAAGCTGAACAGCTTCTGCAGAAGAAGGTCGACGTTATTCAATCAGAGGCGGGCCGCAAGGACTTGCATGGGCCTGCTTCTGAAGGATTTTCATTCCAATCCTTCGTCAGAGACTCTCTCTTCCGCCCTCTCAAGTTCCTCGTCTCGGAACCCATTGTCTTCTTCTGTTCTGCACTCTGCGCCATTGCGTTTGGATTGATCTATGGTTTGACAGAAGGTCTGACTGTGGCGTACACCAACCCACCATTCAGCAACACATTCTCTCAGACCTCATCGTCATTATCATTCATCGCCATTCTCATCGGTATCCTTCTAGATGTTCTACCACGCTTCTACGACGACTACCTTTTCAAAAAGTACCGCAAAGAGAAACGCCGTCTCTTGCCAGAAACCAAGATCACATCTTTTGCTCTCGCATGTCCTGCCCTTGCCATCGGCCTCTGGCTCTTCGCTTGGACAATCCCACCAATAGTCACCGATGTTAATTGGGTCGTCTCTATGATTGGTCTGGCCTTTGTAGGCTTTGCTACTGCTGATCTCAGTTATGTGCTTTTCGGCTATTGCACCGATACCTATGGACCCATGGCTGCTTCTGCTGTCTCTTCGCTCAGCACCTGCCGTACTATTGCAGCTGCAGTATTCCCTCTGTTTGCCTATCAGATGTTTTCAGGCCTAGGAGCTAATGTTGCTGCCTCTATCCTAGCTGCTGTGGCGACTGTCTTTGCCTTCACGCCTATCTTATTCCTCAAGTATGGACAAAGCTTGAGGAGGAAGAGCAAGGTTGCTGCAGCAGATGAGGATTGCTTGGTTGAGGAGAACAAGCATATGGAAGATGAGTCGAGTGAGAGCGAGAAGGAGAAGAAACCCGAGGAAGTTTGATGCATTCTTTGATGCGAGGATGCTTGTGTTGAAGATGTTATGGGTCATGACTTGTCATATTTATTCTTAATTTGCATGCAGGAAGGCGTTATGGTGGTCATTTACAAGGATAGACTCGTTACTGTAAAAGTATCAGCATGGTTTGATGTATGAAAATTAAATTTTGCATTCTACAACAAGGATGGTCTCACTCTGCTAGAACATCTGCTGCAAGGTACTTGGGACAGGATTGTGCATTTTGGTCCTGAAAACTTATACGAAACAGAGCTAGCAGGTGAACTTCATGTATTAGTCTTCATAAATGCATCTCGACTCAAACCTTCGTGTTAGCAGACACATCCTCCACATGCTCCGACACAATCTTTTCCTCCGCAATAGTCTCTTCCACAGCAATTTCCCTTTCCGTCAACGTTACGACCTTGTCGCCAAACGCAGCAGCAATTTCTTCCAAAGTCTTGCGTCTGGTTTCACTGTATCATCATCGATGTCAGTCCAAGAGTTGTGTTGGAATAAATTGGCCGGAGACTTACGGGAAATAGAGGTAAGCGATGATGAAGAAAAAGAGGGAGCAGCCTACAAAAACGTAGTAGTAGTTTTCTTTGATCTAGATGGGAGGGGTGGTCAGCGGTTTACTGCACATACACTTGATGCTACCTTTGCTTGATGTAAAGGGGTTTGTTGATCCGAAAACGGGAAGGACGAGTCTCAGACTTACGTGAGAGAAAGCACTAGGTCCTGCCTCAGTAATACCAACATTGACGATAAAGTGCGATGCTGCCGCCAATCCCATGACGCGGCTTCGAAGTGCTATGGGTAGGACTTCGGCTCCTATTCGCGATATCAGCTCAATCTTCTCTGATCAGATGTTTGGTGTTGCTCACCATAAAGCCATGTTGTGCTATTGAGCATGCCATCTGCAAAAATTCACTTTTAGTATTCTCGTCTCACGTTGTACACGAGGTAAACCTACAGTAGATTACCACAAACAGATAAATGCCTAGAATGGCGAACCCTTTGCCGACTTGATTATCTGTGTTTTGGAATTTGCGTTGCATGACTGCAGCGTAGATTTCTACGATGACTATACCCGCTAGACCAGTAAGAATCATCCTGAGATTTGTGTTAGTATAACTTTTTGTCGTGTTTGAGAGATGGTTACGTATTTACTTTCGACGGCCCCATTGATCGGTCAGGAAGGTAGTTGTGATGGCGTTTGAGAGGAACGCCACAGTGCCATATACACCTGCCAGAGCTAAGATCTGCTTCTGTCCAATGCCGAGGGATTTGTAGAGGATTGCTATGTTCAGTCAGAATCTTTTGCTCTAGAGTAGAAGTTTTCTTTCTCACTTTGGTAATACTGCTTCGTGTCAGTCTAGTCACAAGTAAAACGAGAAACCACAACATACCTGAATGACATTCACGCCCGTCAGACTAGTCATTGTCTGCACAGCAATAGACCTGCAATCAAAGAGTCAGTTTCAGGCCCGCAACTCAATGCAATCGACAAGACACTCACACAAGAGCTCTATGCCTAAACAGCCGAAAAATCTCCTTATAACTCTTCACTTCCCTCTCAACCTCATATTCAATCTGCGCTCTCATCAATGCAAACTCTTGACCCGCAGCCTGACTGCTCAAATCCTTGCGTATCTTCAAAAACTCTCTTCTCGCATCGTCGACTTTGCCGATACGTAAGAGTTGGCGAGGGGAATCGGGCATAAAGGTTGCAAGACCGCAGAAGAGGATTACTCCCCAGGGTATCTGGATACCGAGGGGTAGGCGCCATTGTGTGGGGCCGTAGGAGGCGTAACTGCAGGCGAAGCCGACCCAGTTGGACATCTGTATGGAGTGTTTAGAAGGTGGGCAAAGGGCTGGGAGCAGGAAAATGTGCGTACCATGGTGCCAAAAGCGATACCGCAGCCAGAGATACCTCCAATGAGGCCTCTGTGCTGTGGTGAAGAGATCTCAGAAAGGTAGATAGGGACTGTACCGACGAGACCGCTGATACACGTTAGCAGATACAAGATGCGTGTTTGGCTATATCTACCCGACAGCATAGCCGGCCAACACGCGGCCAGCAAGGAACATTCCTATATTCACACTTGCAGTCTGTATGACGGTTCCAATAGTCACAACCACGCAAAGAGCTTGCATGAATCTGAGACGACCAAGTCGATCTCCTATAGCAGTCTGAGTCAGAGCGCCTAGAGCTTCTCCTGCAATGTAGACAGCAACAACCTAGAGCTATCAGCATGATCCTGCGACACATGAAATGGAGGCTTACAGCTCCGGTAAGGCCTTTAGACGGATGGTCCATGTAATCGATCCAGCTTTGATGTGCAATTGCTGTATCCAAAATAAGACGTGCCAATATGATCAGAATCTGTGGTCAACTTACTCGTCGTCGCAATTCCCGTATCAAAGCCGAATAGGAATGTACCGATCGCAGCGAACAACGCTATTCCAAAGGTATACCATATTCCCATGTTGATTGATTGGTTGAGCGACAGACTAGATGGGGAAGTGAGTTGAGCAGGTCGCAAAGAGATCGTAAATGGAGCAAGCACAATATGCTTTCAAAACTGTCAGCTCGTGACCTTTTGCATCCTTGAAGATCATTTCGCTCTCTTTGGTTTGTGTAAAGATCCCCGCACTGCATGGGGAGACCATCTGTGGGGTTGAAGGATGGGTGTCGGGAAGAATTCCGCTCGGTGCAATGTAAACCGAAGGATGAGGGCGAAGAAGGAAGTGATCAGCATTAACATATGTACAGTCTCCTATCAAATTCATCGACAAAAAAGTGCTCGCCAACTCCAGAAAATATACCCTCGTCATCAAAGGCATCGACCTGACTCCCAAGGACAAATAAAATAGTGCTTGCTGTTCTCCACCATTAAGTCTGATGTTGCCTACGTTATGAGTTCACATACTCATGTCTTGACGAGGACGGCCTCTCCTCCTCACAGCGGGCTCAAGTGCCTTGGTAGTTCTTCTTCGCACACTTATTGAGCCAACCATGGTTGATCGTTTCAACCATAGAGAATCTTCATACTGCAATATTGCCATACACCAGCTTCGAGGTGATCAATGGCCAACCCAAGACCCCTGTGACGGCTGCACCGTACCTACAAAGAGTCAGTATGCAAAAGAAGCACTGTCGACGGTTTCGGTCCGTGTACTGACCATACGACGGTCCATCCAACCCTTTTCGCCAACATGGTCTGGGTTGCTGGACTGAAGGTACTGTTGAGGAAGCTTTGAGCTTCAGGTCTCTGGAAGGTAGCTCTGATGCTGCGAAGGTTGCGGAGAGCGAGTGTTGGACGCATGATTGTGTGTGTTTGAGGGAAAGTTTGGAAAGATGATCGAATTGAGATGTGGATTCCTCGAGTGGTTTGTGATGAATAGTTTGGAAGATGAGGGATATAAGAGAGATGATTGAGAAGTGAATGAGATAGCAGAGGAGGTAGTGGAAGAATACTTATCAGAGGTCGAGTTTATGTTTATATGTAGGCGACCATTCTCGCCTGTTTCACTTTGAAGTGTTGTTACAACAGAAGATACTTACCGATCTCTTCCGCTTGCTTGGGCAAGTCCCGATAGACTGCAAATATTGCACAACTACTGTCAAAGCCCGAGGGTTTTGGTCATGAGGCCTCATCCAAAACGATAACAAATCTGTACAAGGCAAGCCGAAATTCTGCCGTTCCGGGATTTGAAGCAGACGACGAAGACGAGAAGAAAGTGCCCGAGACGTTCTTGTTTCATGGCATGAGCGTGACCATAGGCGCCCTGAGAATGCCTTAGGCACGTTCCAAACTCTGATATGATCGGAATGAAGTGCTTCGATGGAAAAGCCCGATTCGAAGGACCATGTCCAAACACCGAGTGGCGAGGTTGAGAAGTCGAGTCTGTCCGTCTTTGCGACCCAGAACTGTGCTTGACACCATACAACAATGTGCCAGATGGTACAAGCAGCAATCAACAAGATTGAGCTTGATGTTTTCGGTTTTCGGTGCGTTAATGGTTTGAACAGAGACTTGACAAGGAGGCACTGCCAAGACACCGGGCTCAGCCTTCGTGCTGTTCCTTCTTAGCAGACAACATCCAATTGTTTTGCTCCTTTCCACTGCTGAACCAAGTCGACCGGAATCCGCATGGTCAATGTTATGATGTCCTATCATGTCGTTGTGTCGATCCTCCCGTGTTGATGCATGAGTGCCAGATGGTGATACCAGCAGGCGCCCTTGGCACCACCTCATCTGAAGGACTACTTCTCTGTTTGCGGCATTGCCAATTGCTTGGACATAAGCGCCAATGGACTGGTGCTCAAATTTTACCCAAACGGAAACCTTGAGGACTACATCCGAGACAACCCGCCACCATCTGGAATCAAAGAGTGGATTGGTTTCTCCAGATCCTCGACGCTTTGATTGCATGTCACAACAAAAAAATTCTTGTCTTTGATATCGCGCTGAGGAACTTGATGCTTGACAGCGATTTGAACCTCAAACTCATCGACTTTGCAAACAGTTCTTGTCTTGAAATTGACGAGGACACCGAGCTCGTAGATGAAGATGGTTATACCGCCGAGATCGATCTACTACATGTCTCCTATGTGATCTATTCCATTTCTCGCTGGGAAAAGTTTGAGAACGACCACATCATGTCGATGGACAAATGGCCTGCTGCAGATTCCCTGCCATCGACTTCCAATCTACCACTCGGCGATATCATTACAAAAGCATGGTCTCGTCAATTCAACAACCTTGACGAACTTAAGCTTGCTATAAAATCTGCGGCTCCGAAGATTGCAACAACCGCACATGATAAATGCAGCAGCATTCTTTGAAAGCCTGTCTTGATTGTCGTCGCCCTGGCCTATGCAATATTGTTAGCATCTCGGCTTTGACTACGAAGTTGAGTATATGCTTTTTTCTATAAGCTAGGCAGTACAGCTTAGTTGTGCTGGATGTCTGGTACTTGTATCCTAGATGATCTTGCAATTGCTGTCATGTAGAAGGGCTTTATAGCTGCTTCTCATCGTCCTCTCCAGACGATTATTAATCGTGTTTTACACTTGATCGTGCGTGGAGCAGGACTGTCCAGGAATAAAAAGCTGGTAAGAGCAGAGGTCCAGATGGTGTGGACAGGACAAAACAAAACGCAAAACATACAGCAGCAGGGATTCCCACGTGGTCACCCACCGTAGTACTAATCTGCCGTTCAACTGCTTATGTATGGCAGAGCGGACGGGATGCCCAGTTTTCAGCTGACTGTGGCCGTATGTGCTTGAACGTGGGATCCATTACAATAGATAGCCTGGATGATCGAGATTCCCAGTCGTAATATACTGCACGGTGCCTCAAGCATCCAATTGGCCTCTCGATTGTTGTTTACCCCGGATATTGATGTACTGCTGTACTGTCAGTAGCTTGAACAGAAGTTGAGATGTTCCTGTTTCGGCCCGAACTGCCGCAAAGTCGACCTCGGTTCCCTTAGATTGCGCCTCCTCGACACCGCCTTCTCTGATCCTCCATCAACAAGAACCAAACAGTGCTCCGCCACTATAACATGACTGCAGCATTTTGGACCTTTCCATCAAGATGTTCGTGGCTGACTGTAGCGCACATTTCGTTGTAGACTCAGCCTCGAGAACTGACGTGACGTGGTTTCCTGAATGCTTGAGCAGTCCAAGCCTCAAACCAAGTTCGCGCTAGAAATCCTTTGGAAGGGTTGTTCGCATACTCAAAAGCGTAAGCGTTTGCGGATCACCTGTCGCTTTCCCTCTTTTCTTGAACACAGCCACTTCCTCTCCATTCGTACCTGAAGCCAAAGACGCCTGAGATTTTCAGGCACACTTTCTCAAATCCTTGAGTCTGCCTGAATCTGAGGAAGGTGGGGTTCGTGGATGATTGACAATCATATATAAATAGAGACGCTTCGCAGTCCCGGAACCTGCATCTCGTAACAAATCAGTATCATTGAGCAACAAACGTACCAACCATGCGACGACTTTCAAGAGCCTTCTCCCGAACCAAAAACACCGATGAGGAGAAAGAAGCAGAAGCAACCACGACCAATCCCGTCAAGAGTGCATCACCGCCTCCCCCAACTTATGAGGAAGCTGAAAAACAACAATACAATGTCGAGCAACCTTCAGATGCAGTAGATCCAGACTTACCAAGCCCTGAGAATACAATCGCACATCTCAAACTACTCGAATGTTTCTATCGGTTCAAGCAGAAGATCGCCAGTACGGATGGTCTCTTTGGCATATCCTCCGACATAATCCCAGAGAACGATCAAACCACCACACCACCAAAAGATGCTACTCACAATGATCAGACCACACCAAAAACTGCTCCTCACAATGATAAAACCAGCGAGATCTTGACTCTGCTTGCAGAAAAGAGATGGCAAGTCTATGTCTCTCGGGCAGTAGACCGTTTCGCAAAGTGGAGGTATACTCTGGAACCTGATGTTGAGTACTATACTTTCAAGCATGCTTTGGGGGGTTTTGGAAGGGAGCTTACTGAAAGAGTTGATCCTGTGAAGGCTAAGCCTTTGTCCTTTGATGAGACTAATTTACCGCCTATTGGTAAGTTGCTTAATTGCCCTTCCTGTGTGCTGACACCGTGCAAATAGTCAGCACATGGGGAGGACACCGCAAGGCATACATACTGACCTTCAAACAGATGTCTTAATGGTATGGCATTCGTACATGTTGAATCCGATGATCTATCTAGACGACTGCGCACGTCAAGGCCGAATGCGTCTGTGGCACACTCCGTTCCCATTGCAACTAGTGGCCAACCACATCAACGACCAGGAGTATCACTTCTCAACAGCAAAAGAAACAATGGTCCGCTTCAAAGAACGGTTTCATCTCGACTGGGAGAACTTGGACGGTTCAGACGAAACAAGCATAAAGTGCCACAATTGCGGTGCTCAGAATCCTGTTCCCTGGACTACTTATGGACTTATACCTAACGGACCAGAGGAATTCCCCAGATGGGCAGCTGAGAACCAGACTATCAACCTCAAATCCGTCGAAAGCAAAATTAGTGCCTGTCAAGGCTTCGCCGACAAAGCCTTCACCCTAGGTTGTCTAAAATGCCACTCCAAAATCACACACGACTCTCTCTGTGTAGCAAAACTCCACGCAGACATAACCCTCATTCTGACAGAAAAAGCCGTGTTGCCAGGAAACATCGTGTACAAAAGTCATGGCCTGTCTTCAGCGGATGGTAAATCCATGTTCTGGTCTGAGTGGGAAGACATCATGTTCCCAAGCAAAATGATGTTTTGGGGCATGGGAGAACAACTTCTCAAACTTAGGGGCAAGGATATGCGTATGGCCAGTGTACGCGAAGTCATCGAAGAGTGTCTGTCCGACAGAGAGATGGTCAAATATGCGAAATCCAGCCGTCAGCGCTCACGTATATCAAGAGGAGAGGCTCTAGCTCTCCGTCGCATGATGTCGCGATACTGGAACAACTGCTCAAGTTTCGGCATCGATCTTGTTGGTGCGGTAATTCGCCAGGGCTCTTTTGTCGACAAGATGCACGATATAGATTGGTTGCACTCGCCAGCGCTTTCGAACACTATACCTCGCTTGATACGCAAATACTCGAGGTTTATCGCTATCATTGCTAAACACAACAGATTCGCCGTGCCGACTTTGGATGTGGATTTAGCGTGGCATACACACCAACTGACTCCTGTACGCTACATGCACTACACCATTGCCAAAGCCAAGACCTTCATCGACCATGACGACAAAGTAGCAGAAGCAAAACTCACAGACGCGTTTGCAGAAACCAGCAAGGTGTATCAGAAACTATATGGCGAGCCGTATTCAGAATGCACTTGCTGGTACTGTGAAGCAGTGCGAGAGTCACACACATCAACTGCATCACGCCTGTTTCGAAGCAACAACGCCACTGCTTCCGAGCAATTACATTCAGTGCCCTCTGACCCGAAGAGATCCATCCACATATCCACACACAATGCCGTGCGCCCCACAGGCGACTAAGCCTACGACGAAGATATAACAAGACGCATCGGCGAGCTCGAGAAAGCATACGCAAAAGCCTGTAAACGAGCAGACAAGGAAGGAAATCCACGGCCCAAGAGAGACGACTATTATTACTCTGAAGCGTATGGGCATCCAGTGTTTATACCCATGTATGCGCCATACTACGGTGCCTTGCCGTATACACCAGTCATCTATCCTGTTAATCCAGGGTGTATGGCGCTAGGAGTTGGCGCGGTGGGCAACTGCTGCTCAGGCACTTGTGGTGCAGCGGCGGCTGCAGGAGGTTCTTGTTCGGGTGCTGCAGCTGGTAGCACTATCGGTGTTGGTTGTACTTCCTCGAGCGGTGGGTGTGGCGGAGGAGGAAGCAATTGTGGAGGAGGCGGTGGTGGCGCTGGGTGTGGTGGAGGAGGCGGTGGTGGCGGATGTGGAGGAGGTGGTGGTGGATGTTAGACGGTCTTTTAAGCAATTTTACGCCCTCGGTGTTTATGAGATGGTCTATTGGCGAGCAAGTATCATGAAGTTATGACAGTTTCCATCTCCCGTCAACATATAATCATGTTATAAGCTACGAGAATACATAGATACATACTAGATCAGAAGTGTAGCCTTGAATATACTCGAGGAAGATGGTTGTGATCCAATATAAAACCTGATCGAAGCCCCTTACTAAACCTTTCATAGTACTTATAAGTAAGGATACATCGTTACCAAGAAGCCTATTTGATTCCTTGCCATAGAAAAGATAAAGAGGGGTTTCTACTAGGATCGTATCCATGACAAGATTCTCATGATTTACTCTTCATCGAAAGCTCGGGAGCCATGCATTGTTTGCCTCTAGCTCGGGGCTCAGATTTCTTGCCTGTGCTGATGTGAAATCTGTTAGAGGGGCAGTAAATGCAAAAATAGATATGGCGAATAATCTCACCAATCAAAATCACGCACTTGAACGCACAGAAAATGATGCATTGCGAAGAGCGGTCCATGGAGACGTCGTATTGGTTTTTACAAATATATACTGTAATGTATCGTGTTTCCCTTGCGTCATGCAAGGGGCTGTTCTTCTCCCTATGGGTATACAAAACAACAAACCGACTTGGCGAAAAATTAATCAAAGGACCCGGGCATCTCTGGCTGCAGCGACTTATCGACTGGTGCCTCATTGTCTTTCTCAGTTTCGCTCTCAGTCGTAGTAGCTTGGTTAGCCTTTTCCGGTTGTTCTATAGAGGAGTGATTCTCCGGCTGTTCTATAGAGTGATTCTCTTCTTGCACGACTGGTGCAGGTGGGCTTGTTTCAATGGCCAGACCAACAGCATCCTGTGAGCCATATTCCTGCGCGACAGCCGTTGTCTGCGAGTGCGCATGATCTCGGTCTTTCGCTGTCTTCTCCTGACTGGGCTCAGGACTAGGCGGACCTGTCGGTGTGTTGGCAGTGTTGTCCACCTCGCTTTGTGCATCTGCAAAGTCTCTTGTGTCGGAACTCTCAGAAGTCTGCAGAGAGGTTGTGCTGTCTTCGCTGGCGTTCACAACCAATCTGCTGTTATTACGGCTCGGAGGACGAGGCTCGCCCAGTTTCGGGACTTCCAATGCCTTGGAGCCAACGCTCTCGATTGAATCTCTCGAGAATCTCGGGATGCTTGACTCGGTACTGTTTCTGCGCAAAGGCCTTGCATCGCCACGGCGTTGAGTACCTGTAGGACTCGGCTCTCTTGCAAGTGCTGGAACCACGCCACCTCCAAGCCTGGCCCAGAACATTTTTTCTCTCAGACGCACACACTCTTCCCAGGCAGCTTTCATATCTTCTTCGGTAGATGCTCTCCAGAGTCCATCGCGGACCATTCTTAGGAAACCAAGGAAATCGCCTGTTGCTCTGACTCGACCTAAGCAAAATTCACACAAGGGATATCGCTGAGCAGTCTCGTCCTCGCTGGTACGGAATCTATGGCGTCGAGCGTGAGCTTCTGTTCGGCGAGATTCACCGCAAAGAGCGCATGGGTAAGCGTTTCCATAGAAGCGCGATTGTGGTATGAAGGGCTCCACGACCAGAGTTCCACCAGTGACAGCTGCAATAACTGTCCGTCGGGCTAGCCACGAAAGACCTGGAGCAAGGTCAAGACGTAATGTGGGTTCCACATCCTCGACGAGGCATCTCTTGTAGAACTTGTTGTCTTTGAGCGGCGGCATCGATGACTGGAATGAAGTATTTTGAGGTGATGCAGCAGCGCCAGAACTGAATGAACCGGGAATCTGCGGCGAGGATGAGGCGGCAGAAGCGACAAACATACTCGAGCTGATGCCTGATGAGTTGCGAGAATGAGAAGGAGCAGCCGCTCGCGCAGACTTGAGGAGATCTGCAAAATCGACATAAGCAACGACGTCGTTGCGCATAATAGGGACAATGAGATGCGAGAATCGAAGAGGTTGATCTGGAAGAACGTCGCTGAAATTTGTAGCGTTCGGAGAGAAGGGAAGCGAATCGAACATGGTGCTCATCTTGGACGAATCTACGCCTGGCGTTGAAGGGGCTGTCGAAGAACGAGGTATAGTGTCTGTCTCATCGCGATCTCTGTCCTCGGTCATCTTTTCCATGACACTCTTCAAATCTTGCAATTGTTCCTGTTGTGAGGCCAGAAGAAGTTCAGTGTCGTTGAGTTGAGTCCGTAATTGTGCGTTCTTTCGTTCGGTAGCTTCGGCGTCCTTGCGCGCAGCAGCTACCATCTGATATAGGTCAGCAGATGTAGCTTGCAGACTCTTGTTTCTTGCTTACAGTATTAGCCTCCTCGAACAAAGCACTGGTAAGATTCTCAAGCTCGACTTCCATCTCTTTCCTGCCCTTTTCAGCAATATCTCTTTGCTTTTGCGATTCTGTCAGCTCTTGTCTGAGACTGTCGACCTCGGTCTTGTTGACAAGAGCACCACTCGAGACCAGAGACTCATGTCTTTGTGTTTCTTGTTCTAGTTGTGCTATGCGCTGCCTTGCAGCCTCGAGCTCATGGCGAGTGTGTTGTAGCGAATCGTCCAGATTTGTTTGGTAGTTGATTGCGTTGATGAGTTTTGTGCTAAGCATAGCAACTTCATTACTAAGGTCGGGATGCTGATTCTGGGAGTCTTCTGCGGGACTGGCGCGCTGTGGGTTTGGACTGGGTGTTCGTGGATCGGGAATAGTATTCAAATAATCGGAGTCGTTGTCGAAGTTGGAGCGACCGCGAGGGGAGGTGGAGAAAGACTTCATAGTAGACAGATGTGAGGCAGATTTGGCCTTGGTCAGAGTGGGAGAGTCGGATCTGGTCGTCTTGGGAGAAGGAGTTACTGAACGGCCATGGTTCGAAGTAGGGGTGGCCAGCCCGCCAGCCATGAGAAAGCCGTATCTGAGAGTCACAGTGTTAGCATAGTCATAGAGTGGCTACCAGAAGATTACTCACTCAGCCATGCTGCCTGGACGTGGGTAGAACGCGTAGTGGGTGAATTACAACAATGGTAACGGATGCGACAAAGAAGATGTCATGCATGCAGTGGATTACTCGTGGTCCATCGAGGAAAAGGCTAAGGATGTTGGTCAATCAAGTGGTACATTGTGGAAGGTGCGTTGCAGAAAGACAAGAAGGAGCGCATCGCAGCTCCAATTGCATGTCCAAGTCGGGTCCCTGGAAATCACACATGACGATGACCGCACAGCTGCCACCAGACAAGCCCACTCCGCTGCATTGGCCCTCAACGGTCCGGACCTTTTACTCCATCATCATCATCATCCTCCTGCTAACACACATACGGTTCAAAGTTCGTATGCTCATACGGTTCCAGGTTGGAAGGACTACACATTCTACTTGTCTCTAAACAGAAAACGAGTTGGCTACGGGTGTATCTGATTTCACTGGACAATGGGTCATGATTAAGATTGCACCTTGAGCGAAGCGGGAAGGACTTCAACCTGTTCGGTCGGTTGCTACGGCATGTCAACCAAATCATCTTGATACCGCATGGTCTGTTCCTGTTTTGTTCTCTTCACAAATCAGACCATTTAGGATGCGTCTGCTTGGCTCCGTACAAGAGCTTCCTGTTGGTGGGAGAAGGCAGTGGACTGCCATGGTGGATCCACAAGTCAGGGTGCTATTACCAGCAGGAAGTTGCAAAACTCTCAACATACAGTATACTCTCTTCATGTCGGTATGAGCAGTCAATGTAAGTTCAGGGAAGAGTGCACGCTTGCATAGGATGTGGCCACGAGCTGGACCAGTCGACAAGCCATTCACAAATGAATGACTCTCAAGACTCCTGACTTGACCACAGAAACATCACGTATGCGAATATAGATATTGCAAAAAACTATCTAGCTGAGGCTCGGATTATATTCTGAAAGCCGCGGCTAGCGAAAAAGTCTTGCGATTTCAATCTACGCGTTTATAAATGGTCAATATGCGGTTGTGGAATCGAGGCAATTGATGATAAGGAACGCGTGAGAGAAGAAAGAAGAGCAATGAGACGAGACAGACTTTTAAAGCGCAGAAGCAGCGGAAGGCCCGTGCGGCTTGCCAGTGCCAAGCACAACTTCTCGAAAAGTTGCAGCAGCGACGGCGCATTCGAGATACAGAGCCCAGGTCGTGTGTGTCTATATTTCCACTGCTATTCACCATGAACTCGGGCCAGAGAACCGCCAGGCGGCTGGTCGCATCATCGAGTAAGCCTAGTCGCATACGATTGTTGGCCACTCTAACTCATTTGCAGCCCGCACGACACAAGAATCCGTCTGCAACTCTTGCCTCGCCCGGATATCTCAACACCGCTCAGCATCCACCGCCGCAGCTGTCGCCCCTGAGGTCTCGACCTCGTCGCAAGTCTCACAGAATGCATCTGCCGCCCCAGCCGTCCGACCAGCATATCAGCTTCGCACTGGCGTAGTACTATCACGACCTCCTGTTTTGACTCGCTCTCTTCATCCTTTCGAAAAAGCCTTCTTCCTTTACCAAAAACGCCTGAACGAACGTCTGGCTCTCCCTTTCACACGCTACTTCTACTATAAGAAGGGAACCCCGGGAGAGCGCGAATGGAAGCGCAAGATCGCGCTGAGGAAGACTCCTGCTCGTGATGTTGGTGTCTACAATGCATACAGCGAGTCTGGTTGGAACGATGAAGTTCTGGTCAACGACAAGACAAGCGAGCCCGAATCACAGGTCGAGGCTTTGATCAGAGATGCTGAGGGTACCGATGGCGAGGCAGGAGCAAAGAGAGAGACTAGCCAGGACATTGTTGTGCAACGGCCATTGCCTAGAGTCACAGAGCAGGATCAAAAGGGCGACCAAACCAGCTTGAACAGACTGCTTGACAGAACCCTGTACTTGCTGGTCAAGAACAAGAATGGTATTTGGAGATTCCCCGAGGACGAAATCAAGGGTCCCGAGGGTCTGGACCAGGTCAGTTGGACACGAGGACACAGAAAAGTTATTCAACTACTGACAACTCCAGGCTGCCGAGCGTATTATCGTACAAGCAGGAGGTATCAACATGAACACATGGGTCGTTGGAAACGCACCCATTGGCCACTACTCTGGAAACTTCAAGAAGACCATCACCAACAGCGAAAAGAAGGTCGAGGAGATCGGCGAGCGCACCTTCTTCATGAAGGCTCGCATCATGGCTGGCCAGGCCAACCTCAAGGCCAACACATACGGCGACAAGGAGTTCAAGTGGCTCTCGAGCGAAGAGATTCAGAAGATCGTCACTCCCAAGTACTGGAGCGCTATCGCCAATATGCTCACAGGAAGATAGACTCGAGACGAAAACCACGTTTGTATCAACTTTGTACATTATTCAATCAAGGCAGACTCGCCATAGGACATCATGTTCGTTCTTATCACCTCTACGCCTATCGTCTATATGAACAGAGCTCGCCATAAGACGTTCCTTATCATCTTGACGAGCTCTGCCTATCGTCTATATGAACACAACTTGCCTATCATCCATTCGAACAGAACTCTCCCTATCATCCTTACCGAAAAGAACTTTACCTCTTATCTATACTAACAGAACTCTGCCTATCATCTGTGCCTCTAGCCAGCGACTCCGTTCCTCGAAGCGAACAATGAATATGACGAAGAAGCTATCGAATAGTGCATTAGACCAACATGCGGCCGCGGCACTTGCAATACCTTCTGCCTATCTGATATATGCCTCATGCTAGACCTGCTTCATTTTACTCCGCTCTTTATGGTACCATATTACTACCTCGGGAAAGTGATCAGATGTTGTTTTGATTGTCCTTGATATATGTGCATAGGACGGTAAAAAATCAGGCGGCTCCTCTCCAGACCGCATCGGCAAGATCGCGATGTCCGTCGGCTCTACGATGCCGTGTTGAAATGAAGCCATGGACAAAGGCATGGGCCGAGAGTGTCAAGTAGTCGGGTTGGCTTGGTTAGGACTGCAAGGTAGGGCAGTGCAGGACTCGGCCGAGGAGCTCCACTTCAACATGTTCTTTAGTGCACGCCTTTTGCTGACTCGAGATGCCCGACGTCACGATGGCCGGATGTTAGAGTTCCCATCCGAAAAGATGGCGGGTCGTGGATTGTTGTCGGCTAAGATGCTGCAGATCTTGCCATGTTCCTGGTCTAGCAAACCATGCTCCCCAGACACACGTCGCCTTTTCAGGTTAGGCGTGTATAGATGATGGACCCCGCTCTCCACATCTCCACCCTCGCGCCCCGCTTCATCGCCTGGATTTTCCTGACCATGAACCTCAATGTCGCATTTTCAAGCTGCACGGCGCAGTGTCTTGTGAGAAATCGGACGTGCATCCAGTCGCTGACCTTCTCAATGCGACCTTCGGCATAATGTCTCGGTAGGTGGCAAGGGCATGGTGATCGTATAAAGAGAGGGCTATGCCCAGAGTAGGTACCTTCGTAGCAAGCACTGTCTATCCAGCTCAACATGCATTCTTCTTGGTCATTGCTCTCACTGGCGGTCTCTGCCGTCTCGGCCGCTCCCTCTCTGTTGCGTAGAGCACCCGCCAATGCACCTACTGTCAACTTGAAGAACGGTTCATACTATGGCGTTCACAACAGTCAATACAACCAGGACTTCTTCCTTGGTATCCCATTCGCACAACCACCTCTCGAGCAGCTCCGCTTCGCCAATCCCGAGACATTGAACTCGACCTGGGCTGGAGCTCTGCCTGCTACCAACTATGCGTTTGAGTGTGTGGGTTATGGAGGCGATCAGATCGGCTATCAACAATCCGAAGACTGTCTGTACCTCAACGTTGTCAGACCCTCCGGCTACGAGAACACAAGCCTGCCAATGGTTGTTTGGATCCACGGTGGAGGTTTCTACATGGTAGGTCTATATCTTTCTTCGATACATGACTATTCTGACTATCATACAGGGTGGTGCAGTCGACAGAAGATACAACTTGACATTCCTCGTCGAAAACTCTGTCAAGATTGGCAAGCCCATCATGGCTGCTAGCGTTGCTTACAGACTGGGTCCCTTTGGTTTCCTCAATGGTGATGAAGTTGCTGGTGCTGGTCAGACCAACATTGGCCTCAAGGATCAACGCAAGGCTTTGCAATGGCTGCAAGAGAACGGTGCCGCTTTCGGTGCTGACACAAGCAAGGTCACCATCATGGGAGAGTCTGCTGGTGCTGCCTCTGTCGGTTTCCACTTGACTGCATTCAACGGCCGTGACGACAAGCTGTTCCGTGCTGCTATCATGGAGTCTGGCAACGCTATCTCCTACAACGCTCTAAATGGTTCAGAGTAAGTCCAACCACCAAGTTTCTGTTGTCCATCAGACTAAACAGTCTTCAGCACCTACCAACCAAAGTACGCTGCTCTTACCAAGGCAGCTGGTTGTGGAAACACCACCAACACTCTGGACTGCCTACGTGCCCTGCCTTTCACCGTCCTCAACAATATTCTAAACACCACTGCCTTCAACAGCGGCTGGAACCCTGCTCTGGACGGTGACTTCATCGCCCGTTACGGTAGCGAACAACTCGCCGATGGATCCTTCGTCCACGTCCCCATCATCAACGGCGCCAACAGCGACGAAGGCGTCTCCTTCAGCCCCCTCGGTATCAACTCAACCGGCGACCTCGAGATGTATCTGAACACAACCAGCAAAACACAATACGCCCTTACTCCCGATCTCGTTCAGAAACTCCTTGCCGTCTACACATCAGGCCAACCCGACTACCTCATCCCATCCACCCAAGAACTAGGCCAGAACGTCAGCACCCTCGGTCCTCAATACGGCCCTTACTACCGCGCCTCAGCCGCCTACTTCGGCGACGAAGTCTTCATCGCCAACCGCCGCAAGACCTGCGAAACCTGGGCCGCTGCCAACGTGTCCGCCTACTCCTACCGCTTCAACGCCATCCCCACTGGCAGCGAATTCGTCGCCCACTTCCAAGAAGTCGCTTTCGTGTTTAACAATTTGAACGGGTTGGGCTACGCAATCGATCCTTTTGCAAACAAGTCTGCTGCATTTACCGAGCTTTCGGACTTTATGAGCAAGAGTTGGGTTACTTTTGTGCATGATTTGGATCCTAATGGTTATGCTGGCAAGAACTCGAGTTTGCCTACTTGGCCTGCTTATAGTGTGGGCCAACCGATGAATATGGTGTTTGATGCTAATGTTACGAGTCATACTGAGCCTGATACATGGAGAGCCGAGGGTATCAAGTTGATTACTGACAACAATATCCAGTATCACAGATAGAGGGGTAAACCTCACGAAATCTTGTGGTCTTGTATGTAACGAAAAGCTTTCTTAAGAATACGATATGATGTTTCTCTTTTCTTGCTTTGATTTCCATCACACGCGAAAGTTGTTTTTCTTGTGCTGTGGATCTTTTTCCGTCAAACGTTACTGCTATCTCTCGCCCGTATTGTCGAAAAGACTAAATCACAGTACTTCTGCTGTTTCGACTACGACAATACTTTCCAGAACCAATACGTAAGATAGCCAATAGAGACATCTCAAGAGGAACCTTGTGCTCATGCAACAACAACCAATTTCTAGAAAAAAAAAGCATTTCTTGCCATATTCTGGTAATTGGCGTATCAACCCTATCACTTTCAACGCACTCAAAGAGAAAAATCTTCTGTCCACATCTCTCATCATGACAACGAAAAAACAAGAAACTCATCTTTCGATGGTTTCATTTCCCATACAAGTAACAATACATCAGTCACTTGACGTACTTTCTAACCAACTCCTCAGTAGCATCCTGACAATCCGCAAAGATGTTGATGGCATCCACTAATTTCTTTTCCGCAGCTCCCTTCTTCAACCTTGTGTATCTGATCCTGTAACTCTCTTCCTTGCTCACAGCTTCCAATAACTCTTTATCATGCTTGTCTTCATTCTCGACTACTTCGTCGAAGAATAGAGGAGTAGAGGAAGAAGGGGCAGGAGTAGAGGCTAGAGCAGCGAGCAAGGGAGGTGAAATAGTAATGTGGTGTGCACCACTAACTTTTAGACATTCCTCGACGGAAGTCAATGAGGCGGGCATAACGAGGGTTTTGCTGTTGAGGCGCGAGTACAACAGTTGACAAGAGCGGGTAAGCGCAAAGCCTTTGTCGGTATCCACATGTCTGTTTCCCCGTCAGTATCTCCCTCAAGGACATCAAAAAAAAAAAAAGGACAGAGGTAAGAAGACAAAACTCACCCGGGAATAAAATGCACAGGCAACTCATTCACATAAGGCGCAATATACGAACACCCCGCAAGATGTGCAACAACAGCCTGCTCCATCGAAAACAACGTCGTCGCTAGTGTCACAATGCCCTGCTCTTCAAGCACCTTACACGCCTGAATGCCCTCCCACGTGCTCGGAATCTTGATACAAACCCTCTCACTCTCCAACTGCGGCGCCACAATCTTGTAAATGGCAATAATGCGGCGTGCATTAGCGATGGTGGCAGCAGAAGAGTAAGCATGGTAAGGGTTTGTTTGAATCAACGCTCGACCAGTCAGGTAAGGAATCATTCTTGCAGAGAGGTTTACGGCCAGGACTTCAGAGGCGAATTGTTCAAAGGTGGCTTCGGAGGCATAGTCGGGGTAGAGTTGTTTGGCTTGTTGGATAGATGCAATGACGAGAGGTTCGTTTTTTGGTTTTTGGAGTTCGATGTTGACGATGGCCTGTTCGGTGTTTGTTAGTATTGTGGTCTACTTCTCGCATCGGATACATTTCAATTTACCTGGTTCGATGTGCAATCGACAAAAGGTCCCAATGCTTGGGCGACTGTGGAAAGCGAATAAGTACAAGAATATTGTCGTGTATGGCTCGATACGAAGCATACCTTCCACATCCAAAGTGTCACAATCGATAGCACTACGCAAGCGAAGCTCAGAAAGCAATGTCTTTTGGTTCTCCATATCTTTGCACTCTTGCCGCTAAGAACAGTTTGAACAATATGATCCTGAAAGGTCAGAGGCTCAGGTCATCTTTTTTAAACCCCTTGGAACTCACTATGCTATGCAGCGGAACATTACTAAATCGGGCAGAACCGACTGGGGATCTTTCGGCTAAAGTCGCCAGACCTTCCTGGATACATCAACGAGGCAGCTTTGCCGGTCGAACCAAACTTTATCTCGAGAAGTTACCCAAGTCTGGAGGAAACATTGCCGAGTGCTCTTAAACCTTACTCTCAGGCTCCACAACTTCAAGTGCTGATGAAAATCGTCTTCACACGCGACCACACGTAATGGACTAGGTCAATCATCCATTAGAGCATTTCTGAGAGCAACACGTTACACAAATGCGTGGGCCTGATCTAATGTGGATTAGCCAAATTCTGGCCATAATTGAATTGACCAGATGCCCAACGAAGGTCGAGGCGACAAGCGTACTATCCACATATACTTCAAGTAATCCCTGACAACCTGCATCTCTCATAGAAGCAGATCATGCTCGATAGATGCGCACTTTCTGCTTGATCTTCTTACGACAAACCGGACAGTTGGCAGGTTTACGTGGCCTCGTTCTGTCATGTTCCATGACAGGTGAATGCTGTGAACTGCACCACTGGCACATCACTAAATGCCCACAAGGAAGACAAGCAGTATCAGCGGTTTGTGTGTAGCAGATCTTGCAGTCCAATTTAAGAGTCATGTCGGCATCTTCCTTGGGTTCAGGGCGTCCAGAATCTTCAGCGTCGAGACCGCCTCTAGCACGGTCTTCGTCATCTGATGATTCGCTCTCCTCTTCCCAGTTACCTCTGAAGGGAGCATACGCATCACGAAGGCGACGCCAGACGTCGAGATGGTTACCACTCTCAGACTCTCGGATAGCCGCAGCCGTTCCGTTTTGTTCCATTCGAGCAATGATGGAGCTTCTCTGAGGCTCAGGAGTATTACGCAAGAGTCTTTCCAATGTAGACATCTGCTGAGGTGGAGCTGAGGTTGGCGCTTGCTCAGATGTAACAGTTTCTGCCTGCGTTCCTGCCGACGAATCCGGTAGTTCGACATTCGAGGGGCTGAAAGCAAGCGTAGCATTATTGTTCGATGTGGGCTCACGAATGTTCTGCACCCAGTCTTGCTGTCTAAGCATAGAGTAGTATTCGTTGAGTCGATCCTCGTAGACAGTGTCGGCAGCTGGGTTCGATTCTTCGTTGTCATCGTTGTTAGCAAAGAGCGGCCCAGTGGCAAGTTGCTCATGCTCCAAGACTTGTCGCAAAGTTCTCTCATCTTGTCTAACTTCTTCGGCGACTCTGAATCGTTCATATGCACGAGTAAACATGCCACCAATAGGACTTTCATATTCGGCACCCTGAGTCTCCATATCCTCACGAGTTCCGAACAGGCGAGCATAGTTCTCGGCTGTGCGCTGTTCACGCCGAAGTTGAGAGACCTGCTCCCTGTGTTCAGTCAGATCAAGCTCCGCGCCTTCGAGTATTTCGGAAGTCTCAGTATGACTGGCTTGAGCCAATTGAAATTCCACTGCTGCTTGATCACGGAATCTTTGAGCCTGTTCGAGTTGTCGTTGGGCTTCATCAAAGCGTTGCTGAACGCTAGTCAATTCAGGATCGCGATAGACGGAACCAACAACCGGAGCCCGTGTCTCGCGATTGGCAGCATTGGACGTAGGTGACGACGGCGGCGGATCTCTGACGGACATGGCATCGAGGGATCTTCCTAGTTCCGAGAGTCGATTGGTAGTGTCTGAATGATCCGGTACAGGCTCGCCGAGATCTCTGAGACCGGAGATGACCCGCTCAATGCCATTACGCATCCTGAGGAGTTCGCGTCTAAGAGCGGCGATCCTGCGGGCTTGATATTCGGGGTTTCTTGGAGGAGCGGCTCTCATGACCTGACCTGCAACGCGATGACTGGTACGACTGTCGTTCGAGTTGAAGGTATAAGGTGCATGTACGAGTGTAGGAGGTTGTTCTTGTTCCGTGCTTCGACTGGTATTCTGCTCTTCCTCTTCGGCTTCTTCGAACATCTGGTCAAGGGCATCGTCCAAAGAAGGACCTTCCGGGGTATTGTTTGTCGCGATTTCGACGTGTTGACGTTGATCAGCGTCACTTCGTTCTTGACCAGCTCTGAGCTCATCCAAGGTTCTCGGAAGGCGACCAGGAGAGACATCCCTGAAGCGTTCACCCAAGACAGCAACTCTTTCCTCGGCACCATCAGGACGAGTGACGGTCCGGTAGCCATTGTAAAATTGATACCATCGTTCTAGAAAGTCGGATTGTTCGGGTATCTGTGGAATGCGGGTCTGGGTGGGTAGTAGATTTGTTTGAGCTACTCTGTTTCTCCAGAACTCTGAATGAAGTTAGCAAGGAGAAATTCAGAGTGGGTATTGGGATAGTACGAGAGCATGGCCAACAGTAGCGGTCCCAACGAGCACCTCTAGCAACGAAACCGACACCGTCAACATAGGTCGAGTAACTTGACTGATGTGGTCGTTCATCAGCACAAGCACAGCAGTTGGGGATCGAAGACAGGCGACATGAGGTGGGCAATTTATGGTCACAGTACTCGGGCAAACGAGGAAGGTCGGCCGTCAAAGTGCCCATGGTGGCGGCCGTGGAGATGTAAGCAGCCGAGCAGAGGGGGACGGAGGGAGAGAGCTGAGATCAGAGGGCAATGAGAGGCTAAAGAAGCATAGAAAGATAGACGAGGCAAAAGAAGATAGACAGTGTATTATGCAACCAAAGCAATCGGTATGCGATTAGCCGACCTCGGGCGTAACTTCCGCGTAGACGAGCAATTGAAATACGTCAGAGCGTCCATCAGCGAAGAGCGAAATGTGGGGAGAGTTGCACCAAGGGGCTTTGGTGTTTCAGATTTCACATGCAAACAAAGCCCGAGTTACCTACCAAGACCAGAATGTCCTGACGGCCTACCGGAGCCCTTCGATGGATTTTGTGAGCATTCGACTATGGCTTCTGCATGCTACCCAAGTACTGACGTATATCGTCTAGTGGACCAAACTCATCAGCGGCGTGAGCAACAACAAGTCTGCCACGTCCGCCGCGTCCAGTCCGCAACAACGCCTGCAACGCTTCCGTCGAGCATACAATCCCATCCTACAGCTATGTGGCCGTCCACAAACCCTAGCATCTCACGCCCCCGCCCTCGATCAACTCTATTCCTCCCTGCAGACCATCAACGCATTGCTCGCTGACGAGAGCCGATCCCCTGCTCCTCACCTCTGTCTCAACTTTACCCAGTCCTCGCAAATCTACAGCGTCGTCGCCCGCGCTGCCTCGACCTCTCGCGATCCTCGTCTCGTACGCCAGACTGTTCTCTTGTTCAGCTTGCTGCTCGAGAGCGAGGATGAAGACTTCGTCGCTTCCCCGACCTTTGCCAAATCCTTCATGCGCTTTGCCCTGCGCCTTATAGACTCCAACTCGGCTGGCTATGGCGAAGACATTGAGGCTGATGTCGTCGAGCTCCTGTTTGCTGTCGTCGCAAAAATCCGTGTACAACCTAATATTCTCTCCGTCTGGTTCTCCTCTTCAGCACACAAGGACGATTCGCAAAAGGCTTCAGACCAATTTGCCGGCCAAACACAAAAGGATGACTTCCCCTTATGCTATCTTCTGATCGATCGTATCCACCATGATGGGCGTATCGGCGATTTCGCTCGTACCGGTCTACTATATATCTTCGAGGCCGTCTCCAATTCTACACATCTCGAAGATTGGATCATCGAAAGCGACCTGCCTACCTTGATGGCCTCCGGTCTTGGTGCCTTGTACAGTCAATTAAGCCGAGAGTTGTCTATTCTGCATGACCACGACCGCCTACCTATGATCCTCGCTCTTTCAGATTACATCGATGCTCAGCAGGTATCGTCAACCGAGAACATCTTCTCGCCAACACATGCTACCCATATGGCCACTTTCCTATCTCACCTTGCTTTCTGGCAAGACGTCTTGGAACACTGCAAGTCTGAAAGTGTCAAGACTACCCTGCTAGATCATTTCCGAGTCCTCTTTTTGCAACAGCTTCTCTATCCCTCGCTGCTCCAGTCTTCTGACACAGATGGCGGTTCATCTGTCGCTGTCCTCACTTATCTTTCCAATATTTTCGAGTCGCTAGACCATCCCGATCTAACACGAATGGTACTGCAGTACCTCTTGGCTATTCCTGAAACCAAACAATCAGAACCTGTCTCACCTACTGTCCAAAGGAGGCAGAGTACCCTCATGTTGCTGACACAATCTGGCAACGACGAAGACAAACTTGAACCCACACTCTTTAGTCTGGTCGACCTTGTACTCAATGGAATCAGGTCGCACAATCCACAGACAGTCGTCGCCGCTCTGAAACTCTCGTCAATCATGCTAACAAGGCATCGCTCGTATACAACCCTCACTTTACTGCAATCAAAGTCAACTTTGGAGCCTGGAGAGAAGAGGACTGTCCAGGCTCTATGCATGGAGACGGACATCCTCGTTCAAATCGCTACAGGACTTGGTGGTGAAATTGACGTTGATGAGGCGTACGCCACCGCCTGTCAAGATATCACCGTCCCAATGGAAGTCCAACTGACAAATAGAACCCTGGAAGAGTCCTCGGTGCTGAAGATTTCGCCGCACGACGCTTACATTCAATCAATCCTTGCGGTTTTCGGATCCTTCTTCTCCAATAGCGTAGACGTCAACCTTTCCTTGACCGAGGCGACAATCTGTCTGGCGTCATGTGCTGGCATTGGCCTTGACGGCTGGCTTGCTGTGCCCAGGGCAGACTATCAAACAGCAACATCCGAACCAGAGTTTGACACAACTAGTCTGGACGAGGAAGAAGCTGCAAATCTCCGTCTGCTGCACACCATGTACTCTCAGCAGCGCCGCGATGGTTCTCAAGATCCACAGCTGCCTTCAATCTTGCGTGCTCTGAGTCGCCAGGTCGAAAATATTCGCTCTGACATCCCGATGATTAATCATTTGGTCGAGAAACGTATCGCAATCCTGGGTGGGGCTGGTCGTGAAGACTTGCTTACTCAGCCTAAGACTTCTGCTGCTTCCAATAGAAAATCGACCGAGTCTTCGCGACCTAGCGATCGTCAGATACAACGCGTCCAGGAAGGATCAAGACAGAGATCATCCTCGCGTGAGTCCAGTGGCCCTGGGTCGTCAACACCTGTGCGGGCCAGAGACAGTTCTTTATCAGGAGTACCACCAAGATCCAGCTCTCTCCCGCAAGCGTCCCGCGAACAACAAAATTCGATATTCAGACCGCCACCTCCAGAATCTCCCGAAGAAGATAACTTGCCAGCTGAAAATTTGTCAGTTCAGAATGAGTCCAAGCAGAACGAAGCGCAGGCATTGAGAGGAAGACTCCAATTTGTTGCTGTCGAATCTTCAGACAGCAATACAGTTTTTGAGTACGTACCAAATACTGTGGCTCATATCCAGTCAGAAGGCGATGGTGATAAAGAAACCAGAGAAGCCACTTTGAGCCATGTCGTGACGAACATAGTCATCCTGCAACACTTTGTTGTAGAACTAGCTGCAGTGATGAGGACCCGGGCAATTGTTTTTGAGGAGGTTGCATTCACTTGACGGGGACAGCCACTTAGAGGTGCAAGTTGTCACACTTTTGATCACTAGAATCTGCCTCAGATCGTTAGTATCTAATACATACCCTGCGAAGATGATGGCTCTAATCAAAAGGTCGCTTGGAGGACATCAGTGGGTTTTGTTGGTTCCAACACATACCGTAGGGAAAAGCGATAGCATTCTGTGACTCGTTGGAGGACATATCCAGACAGGAGGACGTGCAAGACGCACCGCGACACCTCGTGTGTAACCGATTCACGCATGTGGTCGCAGGTCATCTGAAATCTGCACTACATTGGCAGTGACATGCACAAACCCTGGACCTCCAAGCATGCTTGCTTGTACGCAAACGAGATCCCGGCCGCACAGCAGAATTGTCCACGATCTTGCAGGCTTACTTATCGCTAGGCTACCATTCCCTCAAGGCTGATTTTGTAACATGCTACATGTTCGACCGGGAAAGCTGAAAACTTGACTGGGTTCGGACAAGGAATGGGGATGGTCACGCTGCCTCGTCACCATGAAGGTGCGGTGAGACCGTGCTTCACCAGAATAATATGCATTTGTGATCACCTCATTACTATCATGGTCCATAATTACTCGTAGCCGTTCATGAAAGTTGACTAAGTAAACCATGGCGTGACCAGTGACAAGCTGCATGACCGGTTGGCGCAAGGCAGCACAATACGCGCATGATCTTTCGTCGACTTGGGAGCTTTCTTGGGCGACAATGAATGGACGAGCTGAAGAACAAATCTCACGTTACACAGGCAGATGCGATAGCATACATCTCATGTATCCTCAGGTACGCGTTGATACAGGTGCAGAAGGAAGTCTTGTCAAAAGTCCAATAGAATCTGATAATTAAACCCCGCCCATTTGGGTGTCTCTTGGCGGCGTAAAGTCGAAGATCCCTGGAGAACCCATGTCTGCCTGCCTCAGTAAGCCACAAAGACTACGTGTTAGTGTGTCTGCCTTAAAAATTAAGAGTTGACCAGTCAACTATCGGTGTACACATATATCCATCTCCCCATCTCTGCCATCATGTACCTCCCGGGTCGTTCACAGTCTTTACTGCCAGTTTTCCCCTCAGCCGTTCGTGGTGAGTGCCCGTGTGTCAAGTCAACTTCGTGTGACGCGGAAACTTTGTCGATGCCACCTGTCCACCGCGTACTAACGTTTGCATCTCCATGAAAACAGGCCTCACTTCTTTTTGAAAAATTACGCTGGAACACCCGAGGCAGAAATACACGAATGAGTCTGCTAAGAAGCTTGCCCGTCACGCCGCAATCACAATTTCTTCCATTTAATAGTAATGGCAGACCCACATGAATCCTTACACTGCCGGATTCATGATCCACTCAAGCCATCTTTTGATTCCTGCTGCATTCAAATTGACGACGTATCCGGAATTTATGATGATTGTCGTATGTTGCGAGCGCATCCAGAGTCACACGATGGCTTGGGGAAAGTGCGCAACAGCGATGGAGGAGAATGGGTGACTTCATCTTTCCACAGCAGTGCCTTAACAGCCTATCCGTATGTGTCAAGCCCCATCCAACCCAGAGCTTGACTAGAGCAGAACACCCCTAGGTCACATCCTTTGACCAAGTATCAAGACAATTCGATTGACTTGCTGTAGGGCTCAGGACCCACGCCGCAAGTCACCACAGAAGAACGTAAAATCAAGTCAAATACCGAGAACTCTTCTCACCGAAACAAGGAACATGAAGGGCCAGGAAACCTCAATTCGGGTATCGGCTTGTGATTCGACAGCAGCGGCAAGACTTGGACAATTATCCCTGGAACATGCTGGGGGGGTTGGAATTAGAACAAGCCCTCTTTCGAAGAAACGACCAGCAAGCTCGGAAGTCTGTACTGCAGACGCACCAGCATTGGTCAAAGATTACGGCAAAGCAATTGCTATAAGGACTTCATGCGCAGCATCAAAATACATCAAACGACCCATTGCTGAAGAAACTATAACAGCGTGTCCACCACTAACAAGTGAACCTTCGGTCAGTGCGACTGAGGGACGTACGTTGTTCCCAGACCCATCCGATCCGCGAACTCCGGAAGAATTTACAGAAGGCTTGAAGCGTCGTCGCCGCCCAACCGAAACCTTGTATCTCGACATTGTACAGTCAATACCTGGGCTGAGCGAAACTAGATCCCTACGACAGGCAGAGTACATGTCTCAAGATGAGTTCACGGCGGAGATCAAGGGTATCTACGCTGCATTGGTTATGGTTGAAGCAAAGTGCATCAAGTTGGATGCTGCACATATGAGTGCCAGCGCGAATCTTTCTCTTGATCAATGGCAAGCACTTTTTGCAGTGCATCGAACTCTGCTGTACGAACATCATGACTTCTTGTCTGCATCACAACATCCCTCGAGCAGTTCCTCGTTGCGCAAGCTGGCCACGAAATACTCTATGCCAGCTCGAATGTGGAAGCATGGTATCCACTCATTTCTGGAGGTACTGCGACGTCGTCTGCCAGATTCGCTTGACTACATGCTTCAATTCATTTACTTGGCGTACCAAACAGTCACGCTACTTTACGAGACAGTCCCATCCTTCGAAGACACCTGGATCGAATGTCTTGGAGACTTGGCACGTTATAGGATGGCGGTCGAAGAAATAGATATGAGAGATCGTGAAATTTGGGGTGGAGTAGCCCGTGACTGGTACTCAAAGGCATCGAACAGAAACCCCGATGTGGGGAGACTGTACCACCACTTGGGTATACTGGCACGCCCGAATGCAATTCAACAAGCATACTACTATTGCCGAGCGTTGACTTGTGTTCAACCGTTCGAATCTGCCATGGAATCACTATCTTCATTGCTCTCACCTTTGACGAAAGTGGAGCCAGAACGAGCAGTAATTCCTTACGTGGACGAAACAGACTCGATTTTTCTTTGCCTTCATGCGAAAATGCTGACACTGAGGTCTCGCACTTGTGGTACTCAGCTTCATACTACCATTTCCACATATCGTGTATGGCTTGACACGCAGATTCGTCGACAGGCACTCAAGTGGAAAGACCATGGGGTTTTCATAGCCGTCACCAACATCTCAGCGTGCTTCGGTTATGGTTACTATGACAATTGTCTAACAAAAGCTTACAGAAAAGGAATAAAGGTAACAAACGATCTTCTTTACTTCCAAGAGCATCACGCTGAAATTCGAGCATCAGGAATCTGGTAATGGAACAAACGACTCTATTTCGGACGACTCGCTCTATCTCCTTTCCAGCACATTCGCACTGGTTCTCTCTCGAGAACACGATTTTAACGTCCTGCCCCATGTACATACGATATTAGCCTTTCTTTGGAGCATCTACAATCTTGCGGTCGGACCGGTCGCACTGATTACAAAAGTACTGAATTCTATTCCCTGGGGGAAGATTGTCGACTTCCTCAACAGTTTTATCAAAACCGAGCCGATTGAAGACCGCGTTGTGGAAGCAGGGCGACGAGGAAGCTTTTTACAAGGCGCACCCAAGCCACTGCCCGAGGACTATCTCTTGCGCGGCTTGGTTTGGTGCAGAGGCTACTTTGTGTCTGGATGGTTTGACGAAAAGCATGACGAGGAAAGCCGGCTTCTTGAACTGCCCAGCACGAACAAGGTGAGGATTGATAGGGTGATGCGGTTGAGCATTTGCTTGTCACAGGTAAGTTTTCCGTCGGTTCTAACGTTTTGTGTCTTTGGCTGATGATGGCCCTTATAGAAAGGAAGATTCATCTCTTTTGATCATTCTAGGAAGGTGTTCCTTAAGCTCAGTCATGTATGTGTGTCTCCTACGCAAGCTCAGCATGCTTAGATTTGCTCATCAGAACGATGAGTGATCGACGTGGAGCAGGGAAGCCTGCCCGGAGTTGGAATATGTACTGACGAGAATATAGTGAGTGGTCAAGCAATGCTTTAACAGCGACACAACCCAACTCAGCCTTTCAACAGGCCATAAATGTCTCCTTTGAGCAACAGTCTCATGAAAGCTATGTGGTAGCATATAGGATGATGAAACAATGGCCGCCTTGAAACGCTTCACCTTTGTAAAAAGTCCAACCCAAAATGACGTATCATCAATGTTCCATACCAAACATGAAATATGCTGCCTCAAAGTGAAGACGAACGAAGATCAAGCAGAAAGATAAGATGCAGATACCCACAGCTAGGCCCAGAAGATCGACACGAGCACAAAAATGGCAGGAGAAAAGGAAGAGCGCGATCCAACACAAGTATACGTTGTAGGATGGGATGGGACAAACAGGACGAAGTCCAATAGTTGAACGGTTGCAAAGCTGCCCCAATAAGCAACGAACGCCCGCGCGGAATAACGAATGGTATTATTGGCAAAAGGGCAGATGGTACCATGCATGGGCAAGCTCGGGCGGGTACAGTTCGTCACTTGATGCCAGAACAACCCTGATATTTTACGATACCAACTTTCAAGAAGAAGATGAAGAGGGTAAGCTTGTGGCATCAACAGTCCAGGGCTTCTGACGGTGTGGGCTGTGAAACGGACAGGGCGGATTTTATGAGACAGAACTGTTTCCTGGTCGACGCGCTTGCCAAAGGCTCGCTTTGAAGGGTCCCGTCATTGACGGATCGGGGGCTTTGCCGCGAACGGCCGATTTGCTGCGGGGTGAGGGAAGAAAAGGAAACAACCCAAGTCGGGCCACGTCGTCATTCGAGCAATGGCTCGGGCGGGTAGGGACAGACAGATACAGGGTCAGAAGAGCTCTTGATGCTTTGAGAGGGATTGTAGGAATACCTGATCACACTGTCGAGTCAAGGCGGCCTTCTCAGTAGTGTGTATTGCTCGTCAGTTGCATTGAGAGCAGCGAGCACAAGCCCGACGGTGGTACCCGCATTCCAACGATCTCATTGCCTTTCCAGCGAGTCTGGATGCGCGCATAACGGACGTTGTTCTCAGGCTCCACTAGCTCTTTAGTTCGTTGTTGGAGTCCTGAGTTAACTCGGTGCAAGATCTCGCACTCTGCTTCGCTCTCTCTCTTGCTTGCCAAAGCTCAGCTCCAGCTCCAGCTTCAGCTCCCATCTGTCGTCGTTAACTTATTCCACCACCGCCCAAACCCTCATCATCCCCTTTTGCGCCGCCAGACGTCATTGTGGTAAATTAGGACACGGAGTCTCAGACGCTTTGTTCTAGCACAGCTGCGGGGCGCGGAGTTTAGTTGTTGCACGACACACAATGCCATCGCTCGGCTTCCTTAAGAAGAAGAAGACCAAGGACGATCTGAGCTCGCCCGTCACGTCTCCTGTCAAGAGCACCTTTGCTTCACCCACGTCGCCAACCAAGCTCAGCCATACCACAACTGCCAACAAAGATAGCCCCGCTTTGTCCAGGGCAACCACCGCTGCTTCAGCTGCTGCGTCGCAAGCCCCTGCGCAATCTCAATCCACAACTCAATCTACAGCCCAACCTCAATCCTCCACCCAGTCGTCAATTCCCTCGACTGAAGTGACTCCTCCTCAACCAGCTGCCCCCACTCAAGAGCAGTCCAAGTCGGCCGAGCCCATGCAGACCCAGCAATCATACCCAATCCAGCAACAGCAGGCGCAACCCCAGCAATCCTACACGCAGTCGCAACCATACCAACAGTCGCAACAGCCCGCCCAGCAGCAACAGCCGCAGCAGAATGCTGCTAGCATCCAGAACCTCATCAACCAACCCTCAGCACAGCCCAAAAATCCCCACGACTCTGCATACATGGCCAATGGCGCCGTCGAGAAGCCTAAGGCTGTCTCCAACCCCGTGCGCGAGACCAAGGGCAAGTACACACTGCAGGACTTTACCATCAACCGCACTCTTGGAACTGGCAGTTTCGGACGCGTACACTTGGTTCAGTCCAAGCACAACCAGCGCTTCTATGCCGTCAAGGTCTTGAAAAAGCAGCAAGTTGTCAAGATGAAGCAAGTCGAGCACACCAATGACGAGCGTCGCATGTTGCAAAAAGTCAAGCATCCCTTCTTGATCACTCTCTGGGGCACATTCCAGGACTCCAAGAACTTGTATATGGTCATGGACTTTATCGAGGGTGGAGAGCTCTTTAGCTTGCTGCGCAAGTCTCAGGTTTGTCTTTCTACTCCAATTGTCAATTCATCGCAACGCGACTGACCCGAAACACAGAGATTCCCCAACCCCGTCGCCAAGTTCTACGCAGCCGAAGTCACCCTCGCTCTCGACTACCTGCACTCAATGGACATAATCTACCGTGACTTGAAGCCTGAGAACTTGCTCCTCGACAGACACGGTCACCTCAAGATTACCGATTTCGGTTTCGCAAAGGAAGTTCCTGACATTACTTGGACTCTCTGCGGTACTCCCGATTATCTGGCTCCCGAGGTTGTGTCGTCCAAGGGTTACAACAAGTCTGTTGATTGGTGAGTTTGCTTTGTTGCGATCGACCGCGTCTCTCGCTAACCATGATATCACAGGTGGTCGCTCGGTATCCTCATCTTCGAAATGCTCTGCGGTTTCACGCCTTTCTGGGACTCTGGCAGTCCCCTCAAGATTTACGAAAACATTCTTCGCGGAAGAGTCAAGTACCCTCCCTACGTCCACCCAGATGCTCAAGATCTGCTGAGCAAACTCATCACCCACGACTTGACCAAGCGTCTTGGTAACTTGCACGGTGGCAGCAAGGATGTTATGCAGCACCCTTGGTTCGCCGAGGTCACCTGGGAAAGACTGGCAAAGAAGGATATAGATGCTCCTTACGTCCCCCCAGTCAAGGGTGGCCAGGGTGATGCAAGTCTGTTCGACAAGTACCCAGAAGAGACTGAAGCATACGGAAGCATGGGTGATGACCCGTAAGTTTTTCCTTCTTTCCTATCATTCTAACGAATTGCAATGAACTGACCATTTTTGCTTTTCTAGTCACGGTCGTCTTTTCCCCGACTTCTAAACAACGCAAACGTCCGAGATGGCGAAGAAATATGACACGAAGCAAATGCATGGGGCCAATCGAGATATGGCAGAAAACGACCTGTTACGAGACAGGAGAGAATGCGTGTTTACGAACAGTTTATCGCAGCAAACGGGAGCAAGAGCCAAGAGGTCCAACATGGTGGGAATCGGCATTGCTATGGGGGAATATGTAAAAGAAGGGAGGGCGGGCTCGATTGTTTCTCTAAGCTTTTTCGGGAAAGAGCATGGACGCAGGAACAGCTTCGCCAAACCTATGGTTTTGTAATTCTCCTTTGGCTCTTTTTTTTTTCTCCTATATTTGATTATCTTTTTTTTTTCTATAACTATACTACTATTTTTTCTCCTTTTCTTTTCTTCTCTTTGTTACGCTAACAAGACTTCTATTCGCTTCTCATCAGTCGTGCTTTTGTCTCAGCTGCTTCATCTCTATCATCCCCTTTGCTCGTTTGTCTTGTCTGAATTTGCTGGATATCTTCTTCTTAGGTGATATTGTTAACTCGACAGCCTTTCCGATCTGCTTCATCAGCGAATCCCTTGTCATCTCATGTCAAACAAAGACGACTCGAATCGTCGGGGCACTGACATCTCAAAAGCGTGATGCATATCTCTACTTGCTTTCTGATTTGCTACAAGAGTCCGAAGTTGAAGGTTGCCGTTTTGGGAAGGCCGAGGCATCTTCTGATCGGATCAGCGCTGACCCCTCCTCAACCCCGCCTTTCTCGATACCATCGTAGGTAACCAAGATTAGTGTTCGGTTCCTTCATACACATATCGTCGGTGCAACCATGCGTTCCTGGTGGTACAAGTCACGAGCCGGACGTTGGAGCGCCGAAGAGGGACAAGATACATATTCAGCTGTGCTCCTCGGTCCCTCGATTCGACCCAGTTTCATATTCTTCATATAAACAGCAACTATCTCAATTGACTACCACATTTCACGTTCATACACGATGGCTGGAGATAAACCTTGGCCTGAAGTGCCCATTGGAAACAAGGACCATGCCAATGCAGCAGTTGTGATTATAGGAGCCGGTATATCAGGTAAAGTTCAAAGATATCAAGAACTACCAGAGACCCTTGTCATTGACCCGATTATCATTTACTAGGCATGTGCACGGCCATCGACCTGATCAAACAAAACAATTGCAAAAACTTCATCATCCTCGAGAAGAGCAGTGGAGTTGGCGGCACATGTATGTTCAAACCAGATCACCTCAACGATCTCACACTACTACAGGAACTAATCACAACGCTCACTCACAGGGCACGACAACAAATATCCCGGAGCCTGCTGCGACATCTGGTCGCAACTTTACTCATACTCCTTTGCCCAGAACCCCTCCTGGACACGCGAATACCCCGGTCAAGAAGAAATCCTCTCTTACTTGATGGGCGTAGCTTCCCACTACAATCTCTACCAACACATCCGCTTCAATAGCACCGTCGAGAATGCAACCTGGAATGACGAAACCAAGAAATGGAAGATCCATGTTAGCACGGCCAAAGGCAGCAAAGATGCCGAGTTCAACCCCGAGTATGATATCAATGCCGACTTTTTGGTCTCTGCCGTGGGTCAGTTGAATGTACCCAAGTGGCCTGAGATTCCTGGATTGAAGGAGTTTGAGGGCAAGCTTATCCATTCTGCCAGGTGGGATTGGAGTTATGATCTCCAAGATAAGAAAATTGCTGTCATTGGGAATGGTAAGAGAACTCTACAACACTTCCTTCTCGAACACAAACCTCTGACCAGAACCCAACAACAGGCGCCACTGCCGTCCAAATCATCCCCGAGATTGCAAAAGTAGCCAAGGAGGTTGGGGTTTACCAACGCACACCTAATTGGGTGATTCCTCGCTTGGATGCTCCCATCTCTTCCTGGACGAGAAGTCTGTTCAAATACGTTCCTCCCCTGATGTGGCGTAAACGAGCCCTCCAAATGGATTTCCGCGAAAGCATCTTTGGGGTTATCGGAGAACCTACCTCTCAAGGCGCCGACGAGATCAGAAAGCTGAATCAAGACATGCTGGATGCTGCATTCCCTTCCAACCCAGAAATGCAACAGAAACTGAGGCCAAATTATAGTCCAGGATGTAAGAGGTTGATTATCACCGATGACTACTATCCGACTTTGGCATTACCTCACGTCCACCTCTTGACTGAGAAAATCTCTGGCATTACAAAGACTGGTATTGAAACTGAAGGAGGACAGCAACACGACTACGACCTCATTGTTCTAGCTACCGGATTCCAAACTTTGGATTTCATGCACCCGATTCAGATGCAAGGGTACAACAATACCCCTCTCTCTTCCATCTGGTCCCAAGGCGCCAAAGCCCTGTACGGCATTACCGTCTCTGCCATGCCTAATTTCGCGATGTGTTACGGACCAAACACCAATCTCGGCCACAACAGTATCATCCTAATGATAGAAGCGCAATCCCGATACATCAACGCTTTGATCTCTCCAGTCCTCTCGGCCAGAAAACAAAACACTGCAATCAGCATCAGACCCAAGAAAAAACGTATGAACGAATACAACAACAACCTCCAGACCGAACTCAGCCACTCCGCCTTTGCAGACCCCAATTGTAACTCTTGGTATAAAACCGAGGAAGGGTTGATCACAAACAACTGGAGCAAAACCGTCATAGAGTATCAAGAAATGATTGCAAAGGTAGATTGGGAAAATGACTATGAAGTTGAAGGTGATGGGAAGAAAGTGCTGGAGAAAAGGAAGGTGGAGAGGATCGGTAGAGTCAAGGAGGAGACGGCGGTTAGTAATGGGGCTTTGGGGGTTATGGGGGTGGTTAGTGTTGCTGCTGTTGTGGCTGCTGGGTGGGTTTTGAGGAATGGTGGGAGGTATGGGGCTGGGTTGAGGGTTAGATGAAGGTGTTTCTTTTTGGTGTATTTGCAAGGGGTTTCTAGATGTCGCGTTGTCGATGTTGGGTCTTTGCTTATCAAGTCGGTCTGTGTTGTCTAGATATGTGATGGCTGTGATATCAATCTTCTCATTTACTGCTTGCTTGGGGCTAAACACTGTCTTGGTCTACAGAGTCGTAGAAAATCCATATCAAGCTTCAAGATGAGGAAATTCTTAGGCTGCCCTACAACAAACGAGATAGTAGGCTCAACTGCAAGTATTCGCCATCAAGCCTAGATATATATGTATATCTATTTGAATGACATGTTCAAGCCTTGGACCTCTTCATAACCTTCTCAATAAAATTCTCCGGCGCAGGTCCATCAATCATAAGCGGGAACCCTTCCTCCTCTCCCTTCTCGCGATACCTCTTGTATGCAGGTCTCTGCACACATCTTTTCAAAAACGCCAAAATGTTCTTGTAAGCGCTCAAATCGTAGCCGTAGAATGTGCGCATGGTGGTAAGAGTAAACACCGTCATGACATCCGCAGCCGTAAACTCTTGACCTGCCAACCACTCTTTCCCGTCACGTCCCAGATGCCCGTCCATGTGTTGCAAGTATTGCTCCATCCTAGCTGTATAGCGTCTAAAAACATCATTGGAAGAATCCAGTCCCGCAGACTTTAGCGACAGTAAACGACTAACACCCGGTTGGAGCGAGCCATTCGCATAATGGAACCAATACAGATAAGTAGCATAATCTGGGTGTGAGGGTGGCAGAGCAAGCCGTCCATCTCCATGTTTGTGGATGATGTATTCGACACATGCGGCAGACTCTCCCATGGTCAAATCTCCGTCCTGGATCACGGGTGCTGTGCCAATCTCGTAGAGGTCTTTGAGGGCTTGAGGAGAAAAGATTGGGTCGCGATTGTGGAGTTTGAGGTTGTATTCGATGCCTAGTTCTTCGCAGAGCCAGACGATGCGTTCGGATTGGGAGACGCGGAGGTGATGGACGGTGAGCATGGTGGAAGTTGAGGTGTGGTATATACTGGTAGCGTTCAGATGATATGAAAATGGAAAGACACAAACCAAATAGTAGGAGATTATGGATTTATATGATTACATTACGGACACTCTGACGTCGTCCAGATTGGATAGAAGGTTAATACTGGATACGAGCGATGCGAGGACGATCTTTGGTTGTTGATTTGGAAGACTGGAAGTGCCAAGGTTGGGGGTTCACGACAGCCGACACGACAGACAGCGCATGACAGCTCCAGCCAGGGAGGAGGAAGTCGGAAGCTTGACGCATAATCAACTCTCCATCTCTGATCTTCTTGCTCATCAACACAAACAATGGCTCCTCCAGGTGCGCATCCAACCTCATCGCGTACACAGGCAGACACTAACACCACCATCACAGAAGCAACCCAGAACACACCCCTCGCGCCCTCGGTAGAAAAGGCCTACTACAGAAAGTGCATCGAGTTAAAGCGCCGCCTGAACGACGTCGAAGAAGCCAACGATGCCGCCCGTCAACGAAAAGCCCGTCTCAACAGAGCAATCATGAAGATGCGCCTCGAACGCGCCTTCCTGCTCGAACAACTCGCCAAGCGTCTCCAAAACACTACCGATGGTTCCGAGAAGCCTGTGGCTACTGCTGCTGCTACGACCAACAACGCAAACAGCGACTAGAAGCCGCAGTACAACTGGTTACAACCACTTGACGATTTTGCTTCCCTCTTCAGCACATTGAGAAACGTTGGAACCGATGATACCGCTACGAGATTGGTGAGCTATCATGGTTCCCCTGGCGTTCTGATACGCCGGCCTGGAAACCCCAAAAGCTCTATTTGAATGATTATTTCTGGCACCCGCAATTCTGCACACGAGATACCCCAGCCAGCGACTCTACCTGGCCTACCAACCACTTGCTTGATCCGCGCATTCATCACAATCGTCTTTGATTATCGATTATCTACAATGGTCTATCATCATCCGTCACCGACCGCGCTATGCATCTTCCTCGTACGAAAGATTCCGTCTCAAGTCAAATCCCTGCACTTCGCGAAACAGAGTTGCGGGCTGCAACAGACTTTCATAATATCATCTGCATGCAAAGGGCAAAGGAGGGGACAACAGTGTGTCGTGCGCGACTTCTGGCGCATTATGGACGCTGTCTTTCATGCTCGGACTTGTGGTGAACAAGACTGCATGAAGTTGATTTCAGTCCTAGGGAGGGAGAAACAGCCTACCTCTCTGCTATGAAAGTATTACTCAACCGGCTTTGCTGCTTCTTTTTCATCTTTTTCCTTGGTGCTCGGTGTCCTCTCACAAAGGCCTTCACCTCTTGTACCCTTATGGAATCTCAAAACTCCCAGGTGAGGAACATGCTCCGCTAGTCCAGTAGTACTGTAGATGTCAATACCAGCAGCATCGGCTATCATTTCCGCCTGTTCCTTCAAGTCTTTTAGTGTTTCACTGCTTTCCACCTCTTCGAGTACTTCAACGTGGAAACTCCAAGGTCTAGCCATGTGGCGGTATTCCGCATTGGTCGTGCTGACACTCTTTGCTTCTGAGATTTGTAGACATGCTGTCAGAACTTCGGTCAACATGACCTGTGCTTCTTGAGGGTTGAACAGAGGATTCTCTATGGCGCCGGGATCGGTGTTGTGGCCGTAAGGGTCGAGAGGTTTCGATAGTGTTCCCTTGGGGTAGATGTACTTTTGCAATGACAGCTCGGCCAGCGCTATATTTGCGTACAAGTAGTGGTTATTCCTGGCTACCTTCAGCCATTGCTGAGCGAGTTTGATGCGCAGCTTGGGCTCATTTGCAAAGGCATTGTGGTGCTCGATGTTTGCTTTTGGGTTGAGATTGATATTTGACTTCCAGAGGAATGCACCAAAGCCACTGAGTTTTTCGAGAAAAGAAGTTTGCGGCGGTGAGGGTGGGGCAGGTGTGCTTGCGTAGTACAAGCCCAATTCATAGGCGGCTTTGTAGTGTCCGCTAGCGGCAGCTTTGGTCATGTTGTAGAGCCAGTCGTTTGTGTATTGCTGGCCTGACATGAAGAAATCTAGACGAGCAAGATTGAAGTAGGCCATGGGATCATCTTGCTCCTGGCCTACCATGTAAGCTTTCATGGCTGCAACATTCTCACCCAGAGTGTGGTGCAGGAAGCCCAGCTCGATCCATGGTGATGAGAGCTCATCTCTGATCCTGCTGTATTTGTCGCCTGGCCGTGTGCCATCATCTTCTCTGATCAAGTCAAGAGCTTGCTCGTAGAGGGTTATGGCTCGTCTGGATTGATTGGTGTGACGGGCTACGTTGGCCTCCATGACCATGGCACGCAGATTGCCAGTTTTTGCGACCGCGCGTAGGCGGTCTAGGGCCATCATGATGGGGCGAGATCTCATAATGCCGGGCTTAGTTGCATCCTGGCGCAGAGCAGAGGCGACGACCTGAATGACGGCCTCAGCATGACCCATCTCGGCACACAGATTGACTATCTGTCGGCCCTTCTTTGCACATCCCACTCCACCTTTGTTACGCAGGATAAAGGAAAGATCGTAGACATCGTCGAGCGAGAAGTTATGGAGCGTGTCTTGATAAGCCTCGAATACCTCGCGAAAGAGTTTCAGTGGTGGTCTACGAGGGTGTGCTTGTATGTTTGTGTCCCATGAACCCAAGAATAAAGCTTGGTTGTGAGTCATGGCTTCACCGGCTTCCATGGTCGTGGAGCAATAAGAAGCTCTTTCCGCAGCATTCAGTTCTCCCATTCTTTTGGCAATCCTGTCGCGTTGGAGCTTCAAATCCTCAGCCTTCTCCCGGTATTCTGCCCAGCGGCTGTCGATGGCAGCTCGTTCTTGAGGTGAGAGGACAACGTCTCGCTTGGCTTTGACCTTCTGTCGTGAAGAAGGCGCCATCCTCAATCCGTCCGATGCCATTCTCTTTTGACTGCAAGAAACACATAAATCGGTAGCCAGTATACGCCGCGGCGCTCGTGTGCTGGCGGGGAGGAACGACATGATGCAAATTCGGTGAGTTGTCCACGACAGGGATGCTGGTCGGAAAGTCAAGCCGGGTCAGGAAGGTGGAAGGTGGAAGGTGGAAAGTGCCTACCTTGGTGGATTGAGATCAAGAAAGTCCAAGCTTCACAAAACTTTATGCAACCCATGGACCGAGCGCTTGTGCAAAACGTCTATCACCAAAATATTTATTATGAATTATCTATTCTGAACACACGGATACATGCAGGTCCATCTTATTAGCAGATTTTCTCTCATCATGTTTTCTAGCGGTCAGTTGCTAGTATTGGCAGGATTCAGCCAACACTTTGCTGGTGAATGAAATCATGAAGCAAGTTCAGCAGCAATTGTGTCCTCCTAGTCAAGGTTATATATAGCATGCAGTATATCCAACGTCCACATTTCATACAAATGAGGCAGCAGTGATACCACAAACGAGTAGCCACCAGACACAAGACAGTGGCTATGCCCAAGGACATCCTTCACGAACCCATGGTCTTTCTACTCACGCTGCAAATCAAGCTGCATCGCCTAATGTTCCATCACAACATCCTTACAATGGTTTCGTGACATAGAAACCCCGGCGAGGCCCACCCAACAGCTCCATGACTCAGGACTCCGATGCAGACATAGGGTTCGCCGATTTTGCCATCAACCATATCATGAAAAGATTTGGAAGTCAATTTGCGGACTATGAAAGCACGACATGAAGCCTTTGCGGTAAAACCAATCAGGACCTCAGGACCTTCTCTGAGAGTCATGCACAGCACATATGCACCACTGAACACCGTCTCAAAGAGAGCCTGGTTAACCAGACAAACACACTTGAGGCACTGAGACAGGACCTCGTATCTGATAGAGAAGATGCCAAGCAGGATCTCGAGACTATCCGTGAAAACCATGACCAACATGTGCTGAACACCGAAGAACGGCTCAAAGAATGCCTGGTCAACCGGACAGACACACTTGAGGCTTTCAGAAGTTCTGAGAAGTGTGTCGAACAAGAATTGTCAAGCGTTCGAGATACGCTGAACGTGTTGAAAGAGGTTGTCACCACAAGACTTCCAGCCAAGGAAGATCAGCCTGAGGTCGTCGAGGAACGTTCAGCTACCTTGTCATATGCCCAAATCGCCGAGATCAATTATGACCCGTCCGATGGAGCAGCAGTTGCAAGTGAGGTCGATGTCCATTTGCAGAGCCAAGGCACACAAACTCTACAGTCCATCGGAGGAGTAGCCCAGGCCTGCAATGACACGGACCTTGAGACTATGTCTTCAAATGGAAAACGTGTCGACGATCGAGCGAAAGCTCTAGAAAAACTTGCTGAAATGTACAGCAACGCAATATGTCCAATGGCACTCGCTGATCTCCTCCGGCCTTACATGGGCTCAACGAGTCCCAGCTTGGAAAGAAGCCAGGAGCCTTCCGTCTCGCCTACAAGGTCCAGGGCCATCTCAGAAGAAAAGCCAGCCCAGCAAGTGTTAGGTAGAGAAGAGGTTCGGATTGAGGCGAGATCAGGCCTTGATCGGGAGAAGGGACAGAAGAAATCTAAGAGTATACACCGAGTTGATCTTGTCGGAGTGTTTGGTCCTAAGCAGCTGTTGTCTAGTACGCCATCTTTGATCAGTAATAGTGGTGGACCTGTACATGGACAGAAAGCCCAGAAACGAAAGTGCGAGGCGTCAGAGATTCCTCAATCTCGAGCGGACTTGCTGCAACAACAACAACAGCAAGCGTACCGCAAGAAACAAAGGAAGTGAATAATTTCAGCTCGAGGTAGCTGGGGCGCAACGTGTGTGCATGTCATCTATAACCGATGATAGTTTCGTACCGGTCTTCCAACAAACGTTCAAACCACACAATCACAAACTGGCTAGATCTTCGATTTGCACATGTCGAGATACCAAAACTTTCAGGCGGCTATCGAGATGTCGGCAGTGAGGTGGTGCGCCCTGTTTCTTTGGTCGCATTGCACGTGAGAAATGTAACGAGGGCCGAGGCGAGACCAGCGACTTGCAGGGACTTCGAAGCAGGTATTCTTTGTACTCCTTCACCCCGCACAGCACGAGCAATCTCGAGATACATGAGACTATACAACGGCGACATGTATCTGCATCGAAGGATGCATATTGAACCATGTATTGGGGTGTTGCACGGCGACCGAGCTTAAGACATTCGATGCGATGGAGGTGACCAGAATGGTATGCAATTATAAAAGTGCAGATGATGGAGGAAACGGCTGAGCCTTGAACATGTTTAGTTTGAGGCTCTGCCATCTGAATCGTGTCGGATTGGGCCGGATGTCATTGGTGTGACGTTTAACTCATCCCCACACATGACATCTACTCCGCACGCGCAGGACGAACAAGAAAATCATATGCAACGGCGGTTTCGAGGTCGAGGTTTGGCTAACCCAACAAGGAGCTATGTTTTGTGTGTACATGTGCGATGGCTCGAAACTCCTTGGATTGGCGTGTAACGGTCAGGGGCTGGAGAAGTTCACAGAGCAACCAGAAGGGCGATGGCAAGGTGGTGGTTGAGTATGTATGCATCACGCCGTGGCCCAACCAATTCCATCTCTCCACAACTTGGAAGCTCCAACCTCCAAGTATTTCCTCTCCGCATTCCTGGTTTTCAGGTTTCTTGTCGTCGTGTGCGTAGAGCTCTCGACTGTTTCGCGACCATTTCTGTTTTCTTGTTTCCTTTCTTGCTACCATTAGGCGTCTATTGATCTTTTCTTTCGCACCCCCGCTGTCACAAATACGTACTTGACAGTCTCGATTACTTTATATCTTGGCGCAACAATAATAACGTCACAGTGAGTTTGGTCACCAGGCTCACGCCATCTTACATCCTAGACGAGGAAGGCGACGCATTTGACCAGGTCCACCTGCCTCGGGTAGAGCCAACTCCATTCAAGACTTGGTACGTACTCTCGATGCCTTGAATCCACGAGAGAACATAACATCCTGTCCAATCCTCTTCTGGCTCGATTCTCGACCCTATCAGATCCCTACTCTACTATCTTTCTTCGAGCAATCACACTGATATCATGGTTTCGACAGTAACAACCGCATCAAACAACCCATCCTCGACCAATTTACAAGCTCCAATTTTCGTCGACAAACCAGGACGTCAGTCACCTCGTCCTAGTTTCACTTACAACAGACCTTCTTGGATCGGAGCACAGCAGGCAGCACGTTCCATCACACCCGGTTCCTCCACCATGGCACAGAAAGAAGAGATTCACTATAGTCACCCTGGCCTTCAGCCCCCTGTCTTCATCGCTGGTTCTATGTGCGAGCCACAATGGGAGCCAATAGAGATGAAGTACAAAGACAAGGAGGATGGAGAACTCGAGTTCAAGCATGAATTCGAAGCGCAACCAGGAGAGTACCAGTACAAGTTTCGCCTTGGTCCTGGTGACTGGTGGGTGCTCGACGAGACTAAGCCGACTGGTAGGCAGAAGCTGGCCCGCAAGTGAGAAAGCATCACTAATAAGTGTACAATAGTCGATGACGGAACAGGTATCCGCAATAACTTGCTCATCGTGGAATCCAAGCCTCAACAACCACAACTCACCAAGCCCCACGAAGCTGAAGTTGAACAAAGAAGTCAAGAGAAGGATATACCAGCGTCGATACAAGTTGCAGGCACTCAGGAAAAGCACGTCGAGCCAGTGGATGATGTGAACGATGACGATGGTATCCCCGAGAGCGAGAAGAACCTGTTCAGACATGAGACTGTTCAGGTGCCTGAGGGTACGGGCGAGAGCGACCGTGAGGATGAGGACATCGAGGGTGACGAGGAGGAAGCTGAAGAGCCACCGCTTTTCGAGCACGAAGCTGGTCCTCAGCGCGTCGACAGCCAGTTCGGTACACCATCCAAGACCAACACTTTCGAGTTCGATAATGTCACCGATTCACCAATTGAGGTTGACGATTTCGCCGTCGAGGAGAGCGATGCTCCCTGCCCTCTCTTCAGACATGAAACTGGTGCCGCGCACGACCTGGACCCTGACGAGGCTCCACTGTTTGCTCACGAGAGCATGTCTCCGGTCATGTCTGCAAGCACTTTCTCGCCTCCATCCCGCAAGCAGCGCAAGCCCGATCTTGAAGATGTCAATGATCCCTCACTGGAGCCATTCCCTGTCGACGAGGCTGGCATCCAAGCTCGGCTTCAACGTGTTGCAACACGCCATCAAGATGATGAAGTTGTGTTCGAGGGAACTCCTCCTTCGCCTTCCTTGGCTCAGACAAAGTCTTTCTCGCCCCAGGTCCGTCCAGATTTGACGCACATGGAGTCCAACGATCTCAGTCATCTTGACTCTATCGACGAAACAGAAGAGACAGACGAGGAACCTGTTGAAGAGCCCGCCCAAAAGAAGGACTCATTGATACAGCCTGTCCCCATTAACACCAAGGTTCAGGACGTCTCCGAGGTCGACAGCAACCCTGTATTCACGGATGTTCCAGATGTTTCCAATCGGGGACCCCCTACACCACCAATGACTCCTACGGAACATGTCAGAACCAAGGCCGCACCTCACGACGGAGCAGCCGACTCAAAGGAAATGCCTGTTCCTGTTGCAAGCCCTCGCTCTCGTGAAGCCAACGCCACGGATCACATCTCCAACCGCCCCGCGCCATCAGAGGCTTCAAAGGCCGTGAAGTCCCCGAAATCGAACGATTCAGAGCTCGGCCTTGCCTCGAAGGCGTGCATTTGGTTCATTGGTCTCTGTGGTGGTAAACTTCGTGCAGCGTAAGTGTATGGCTGTCCTTCATATGGAAACATTACTAACTCTCTGCGCAGTGGAGCAGCCATCGCTATGGGCGTCGCCGCAGTCGCATTCGCCTTGAACACTCGTTCCACTTGAATCCGGAACTGCATACTATTCCAGCAACACCTTCAACAACTTTCGTATCTCATTTTCCTTTGTTCTTTCTTATGTCTACCATATCTCAGAGTCGATTCAATCTCACACAGCGGGCGCAAGGCATGGGTCCAAAAGGTCGGACAAGGTTTTGTCACGAAGCATGTGATTATGGCTAACTCTTCACGACATTCTACAATGCAATGAACGCGGAGACACTACCGAAGCACGCGCAGGCGAGTGAGGAAACCAAGATGGCCATTGAAGCCAGGGTGATGTCTCGCTTAATTATATTTCCTAGCCTTAGTCTTGATCCATATTTGATATAAGCACTTTCCGCTCTCTTCCTTGTACTCTACCAGACCCTCATCGATCAACTTTACATACGAGTATATCGTTTTCGGCTTTGGTTCGTTGACTCGGCGCTCACCCGCATCCGGAGCTCGCCGAGGAGATGTAAATTCGCGCGAGTTCTCGAAAGCTTCCACGAAGGGTTTGTTTTCTAACTCTGAGCGAATATCAGGCACCCAGATCTGAAGACCGATCCTTGTAGTTGATAGATGAACGACTCTGAGCATGATCGAGATATTACAGGGAGGCTGCTGGTCTAGAGAAGAATTGGTCTGGTTGTTGCCCTAACCAGACACTCTATCAACGGTAAAAGCTCCGGCATGTCCGCTTTTCTTGCCCGAGCTTCTTCACCCCACTCATCTAGCTCGATCTCGGTAGATATGCCCACTGCTGTGCATGTACTCGGTACATAGAGTGCGCCTACAAGATGGGCTTCTTTTTGGCGTAACACCCTCGAAAAGGACATGGCGTTCTTGCTTTTATCATGTACAGAGCCATGCATGATTTCCACCCGATTAGTTAGGCCGTGTACCTCGGAAGTTCAACTGGGAGCGCGTCGCGATACTGGCTTCCATACTAGCGTGTATAGCTCGAATGGAGATACGGTTGGGAATTGGTTATCAATCGCTGTCAGCGCGGCCCAGAGCGAGCTGTCACCAAGCAGCTTTTCCCACGAGTAGCTTGCTGGGGTTGCCCGCATCTCTGGACTGCCGATAGTTCATCGATAATCCTCCAGGCACATAAAAGGCTAAGAGCCGCCTGTTCGTTCTTGACTTTGAGTCTTTGCTGTCAACCACCTCTCGTTCCACCCGTGCAACCGTCAAAATGTTGTCCAAGTCTTTCGTTGCTTTGTCCCTTCTCTCGTCGTCGGTGTCGGCCGAGACTGTGTTGGGAGTTTACATGTTCCACAGACACGGAGACCGCACACCAAAGGCTCTTGCTCCTGCCAACTTGACCGACCTTGGTTACACTCAAGTCTTCACCTCTGGTGACTACTACCGCAGCCGCTACATTGAATCCGGCGCCGAACACAGAATTCTGGGCATCAACTCCGATATCGTCAAGCAATCGCAAATCAGTGCTTCTGCTCCTTCTGATACTGGTATGTTTCTTTTTCTGTGCATATCTCCGAGAAGATAGAATGCATTAGGGCAAGTTTCTCTGACGCATTCTTGCAGTTCTCCAGAACTCGGCCACGGGTTTCTTGCAGGGTCTTTATCCTCCCGTTGGCGAGGGCTTGGGTTCTCAGACTCTCCGCAATGGATCTAACGTGACTAGCCCACTCAATGGCTACCAACTCATTCCTTTGGCCCTGACCACCAGCGGTGGCGGCAGTGAGGACAACGGCTGGCTCCAGGCTGCTTCTGGCTGTGCCAATGCTGTCAGCAGCTCCAACGAGTACTTCTCCAGCCCTCAGTACATCGATCTTCTTGCTAGCACTCAGGACTTCTACAACAACCTTACTCCTGTGATCAACGGTACTTTCAGCTCGGACCAGATCAGCTACAAGAATGCCTACACCAGTAAGTTGTAAAGTTGTGTGTTTTTCCATGTTCAAAGCTGATAATGTGCCCAGTCTACGATCTGATCCACGTTGCTGAGATCCACAATGCCACCATCAACTCATCTGACATCCTTACTCCTGACGTCCTCCACCAGATCCAGTCTCTGGCCGATGAGCACGAATGGGGCCTTGCTTACAACTCCTCCAACGACATGCGTGCCGTCGCCGGCATGGTGCTCGCCGCCGAAATTGTCCAGTTCCTGAACAACACCATCACTGGCCAAGGCAAGAGCAAATTCGGCGTCCAATTCGGCGCCTACGGAACCTTCTCTTCCTTCTTCGGTCTCGCCGACTTGCCAGTCACTAACCCTGACTTCTACGGTATGACTGATTATGCCTCGTCCATGGCCTTCGAGCTCGTCACCAATGCTAGCACTTCGCCTTTCCCTGCTGCTAGCGATATTTCTGTGCGTTTCTTGTACCACAACGGTACTGCCAACGCTACCAGCCCTCCTGTTGCTTACCCTCTGTTCGGCACCGGCAACGAACTTACCTCGTGGAATGACTTTGTCACTGCAATGGACAAGTTCAGCATTGGCAGCACACAGCAATGGTGCACTGCCTGTGGCAACAGTACTGGCACTTGCGCTGCCTACGCTCCTGCCTCTTCCTCTGGCAGCTCCTCCTCTTCCTCTGTCCAGAACAAGCAGAAGAGTGGAAATGGCTTGAGTCCTGCTGTTAATGGCGTGATCGGTGCCATGGTTACTCTGGCTGTTATTCTTGGTCTTGAGGCTTTGATTTTGCTTGTTGGTGGCTTCAAGGTTGTGAGCAAGAAGACTCTTGCTGCTAGTGCTGTTACTGCTGAGACCGTTACTGGTGGCAAGGCTGCTTAAAGCGACGACGGAACAATTTCTTATGAGTAAAATAATGGTGGCTGGGGAAGGCGGGTTGAAATGTTTATGACCTCTCGTTCGCTTTTAGTATATATAAAAACGAAAAATTGTATATGATGAGATTTATTGTTTTTTTTTTCTGAATCAATATGCTTCATGATCTTGCCTTCCATCTCGTCTTTTGAGGTTGTGTCTTGTCAGGTCTACAAGGGGCATGTTGAGAATTTGGATGCTCATCATCTCCATGTGCGAAGGCTTGTCACATTATAGCTGTGAAAATGCACAATATATAGTTAAAGGGAGTTATGTCCAGAGAAGCGACCTCACAAGCAAAGATCTCAATGGACATGCTCCTGTTTGGATTAGCGATTGTGCATTTCTATAGCTGATGAACCCTTCGCTGATGACCGTGGGATAGTGTTCGAGCTGAAAGAGTCTAAACTCTCATCTCTCTCCATCTGCGAGGCACTCTCAGGATAGAGCTATAAAATGCACAATATATAACCAATGGGAGTTTTGTCCAGAGAAGCAACATCACGTTCAGACATCTCAGTGGACATACTCGTTTTTGAATTGACATTCTTGCATTTTTGTAGCTGACCGTGAACATTACACATCACTGGGAGAAAGCCCAAAAGTGTTCAAAATCTTCATTTCAATTTCGTTTCTAATTCCTCGTTTCTCGTATTTCTGAAAGGCTATGCAACCTCCTCAATTTCTGGGTCCAACGACCGTCTTTTGCACAACCCAGACCTTGATCGAAGTACCATCTTCCCTTTGAATCTCCTCTGAGAACAACTGACCATGATCCTCCAGATCCTCCAATGTTTGCTTGCGTTGTCTTCTTGCTTCTTCTTTGGCATTGATGTCATGGATACGCATCGATTGATTTTCCTCAGGCCATAGCAGTTTGAAGACTTTTTCATTGGCTTTGAGGTTTGCAAGATCGAATGTGGTGTAGATTTCACTGTCTTCTTCGAGGACGGTGGTGGCGATGGGAGCAGCAGGAGTCTCGTGGGAAGTTAATGCAGCAGGAGTTGAGGTTTCTTGTCTGACTGCAAACACAGTCTTGGAGAGTATACCTTTATCTTCGAAAAGAGGCAGCTCACCCACGAATTCAGTGTGAAGTTGTCTCTGCACCCAGACTTTGACGTGGCCTTCAGGTACATCGAGTTGAGCCCAAGCCATATCGTGTTCGCTCATGCCTTGATGCAGACTTCGCTCCCGCTTGGGGTCAATCTTGATGGCTGAGGCAGTGCCGTGGGGACGCAGAATTTCATTGGTGACGGCGGCATTGGCGGCGTTGAGGTATGTGTAGTCTCCGCATGCAATGGCGATGTCATCGTCTGGTTCTTCTTCCGAGTTGAGCCATTGTTTGCGACACACTGTGTAGACGAAGTAAGTGAGGTCTGCTTCTTGAATGACCTCTGGTGGTTCCTCGTCTACTTCCTCTTCTTCGTCTTTGCAGCTGTTGAGATGCTTGTACAGTGCTTGGATAGCGGCCGGTGGCAGAGATTTTCCTGCCGTACGAGGGTAGCCATCCTCCCTGATGTCACTGATCTCAGTCGACTTTCTGGATTTGCTGCGTTTGGAAGGCGTCTTCTTTTGACCTTCGTCGCCTCCCTCTACATCTTCGCCATCATTCGAAAATGCAAAGCCAGTGTCTGTGACTTTGCCCGCCTTCCTTGCAGCGCCAGCCTGAGCCAGAGAACGTTTGTGAGCATCAGAAATGGCAGCCTTCAGATCTCGCTCAGCTTTGGCACGTAAAGCTTTCTCATCCCTCAAGCTTTCTCTGTGAGTCTGAGCCTCTTCCTTGAGCTTTTGATATTTTTCCTGGACTTCAGCCTTGAGTTTGAGCTGTTTTTCTTGTTCCTTGAGCTCAGCTGTCTTGGCAGCAGATTCTTCTTCGATCGTTTTGATGTGTTGTTGCAGTTCTGCTTCCTTCGTTGCCCAGGCAAGTCGTTCCTGCTCAAGTTGGTCGGCAAGACGTTTCGCATCTGGAAGTCTGACGGGAGGAGCCTGCACGATTGGCTTTGCAAGAACAGGACGGGTGGTAGCTGAAGATGCGGGTTGCTCGAAGTATTGATCTTCGAGAGGTATGATGTCTTGCTCAGGTGCTTCTTCTTCCTTTGGAGTTGTCTCTTTCTTCGGTGGCTCGAGAGCGCGCTTTGCTTGGTACAATCGCTGCCTGCTCTTGAGTGTTTCAAGAACATAAGGTGTTCTTGTCAGGTCGAGGATCTCCTTAACCTGAGACCAGTTCATCGGGTTGTCTTTTCTGTTCATGTAGTCCCAGACTCTAATGTCTGTAGCATCGGGCTGAAACTTCAGCAATTGCTCTTTTGGAATCTTGCTGGCTAAAGAGCTTGACTCTTTAAAAGCATGCGAAGAGACTGGAGGCGAAACATGGTGTTGTGATGAAGCTTGAGTCAAGACTGGTGGAGAGACATATTGTTGTCCTGCAGGTTGAGGGACCGGGGCTTTCTGATCGAAAGGGCTTGATGTTAACACTGGCGGTGGATAGTCGAGATCTTCTTGGAACGGCTGACGCGGCTTCTTGGATCTGATGGAACTCAGAATGTTCTTTTGTTTCACGAAACCTGCTGGGACGGTAGATTTTTTGGGACGAGTGTCAGGTGCAGGGGTTGACTCTGCTCCCTGTGACCGCGAATGATGGTTTGCACGTTCTTGATGTTGCGCATACTGTGCATGATGTGAGGTGTTAAGTGTCTGTGAAGATGCAACAGCGACATCGTGTTGTGCCCCGGTCGGTTCGTTGCGATAATGTGCCCGGCTCGGTTCTCGAGTGTCTTGTGCCCCCGGTTGAGACTGTCTGCGACGTTGTTGTTTTGCTCTATCTGCAGTCGGTATCTCCGGTCTCTGGCGGTTGGTGTGAATTGCATGCTCTCGTGGAGCCGCGTGAGAAATTCTTGCTCGCTCGTGATCAGACGCATGTTGTCGTGGACCGTCCGGCAAGTCGAAACTAACGTGACGGCTCGGTGCAAATCCAGAAGGAGGTGGTTGATGAGGTAAGGTGTTGTACGCGTATCTCGAATTGGATCTTGGGTTCTGGATCTGGGCTTGGAGAGGAGGTTGAAGATATGCCTCTCGACCATTTCGCTGTAAGTGACTTGCACCGCGGCGGAAGCGATTATCGTCGGCTTCATCGTGTCCGTAACGTTGTCCAGTTTGCGAGGTGCGCGTGCCCTCACGGCTTTGAACAAACGGAGGTGGAGTCTCATACTTGATGTCCGTCGGTTGACCAAAATCTTCGACGTGACTACCATCTTCACTTGAATCGCTCTCTTCCTGGAATGGTCGACGATCGAGAATAGAATTTCCTAGGCCGGGAACGATGTCTTGCTGTCGAGTCCGTGTCGAATGTTGAGCATTTTCATTCAGAAGTCGAACTGGTGTAGGTTGACGTGGACTTTCATACAGAGGACTGTAGACTGCGTAAGGATCGGGTCCGAAGAGATCGTCGTTGTGCTGTGTTGTGCGTTGCTGATATTGGTCCTGCGGAGCTCGAGCATACCTCGAGTAGGCGCCATCATACGAAGAGGCACGGTTCCGCTTGAATTCCCTTTCCTCTTCATCGGTGCGCAAGACGTCTGTTGAGACGTTGTTACGCTTCAGGATTCTTTGTACAGGTGGCATATCTGTCGTATGCTCAGAGACTCTTGACCTGTAAGGAGGGTTCATGATGGAAGACAAAGAATGGAAGAGGCTGCGACTATAAGGACAAGATCAGAATGACTCGATGAAAGTCGGAGTACGAATCGATATGACCTACTGTATCCGAGTTGTTGCAAAGTATAAAGAGGATGGTCAAGGGTAGATCAAGGCTCGTCAGATATGGTACACTGCGAGGGCACGGTCCACGTGTAGCAATCACGCTCCGCTGTAAGTCGGTCGGAGTGTGTTCGAGTGAGTTGAGATTGGGTCTTGTTGGCGGGGTGAATGAGGGTAGAGCGCTGGTCGAGGCGACTTTTGGCAAGAACTGTTCCGTGGTAAACGACGCTACGCGCAAATTCGATCGGAGAAGTTGCGATGAACACAATTGGAAGATGATATCTGACGAGTATGTGAGTGACTTTCAATCACATTCTCTACGCTCCGAGTTTACGCTCCGCGCCGATTCGATTCTATGTGTTAGTGAAAGCACAATCGGAGCGGTGATAAAGAATGGACCTTAAGATTGCCGTATCTCGAGGACAGAGATGTCAGGTGGTATATCTAGAAAAATGCAGAATAGTATCCAAGAAAATGGTTGTGTCCAGTGAGATTGACATCTCCATAGGCTCTCTGGACACACTTGTATTCCTAAAGCCATTGTGCATTTTGATAGCATAGAAATTGCCCTGCATCGGGTTGGGAGTCCTGAGAAGTTGCTTCATCTCGTGGGGTGAGAGGTCAAGTTGTATAGCTATAAGAATGCACAATATGTCCTGAGATTGAGTAGTGTCCAGTGAGATACGACTTCCCTTGGGCTCTCTCCGGACACTCCTTCAATCCCGAATCCATTATGCATTTTTACAGTTGAAAACTGCCCTGCATCGATGTGGGAGTCCTTAGAAGTGGTTGCATCTCACATCGCGAGACGTCGAGGAATACAGCTATCAAAATGCAGAATGGTGTTCGAAAAATGAGTAGTGTCCAGTGAGATACAGCTTCGTTTCGGCTCTCTCTGGATACATCTCGAAATCGAAAAATGTTGTGCATCTTGTCAGCTTAGAAGTTGCTTTGTGTCGAAGTCGGGAATCGATCAAGCTAGAAGCTCAGGTCCCAAAACTGCGAGTCAGTAAGTCGGCTCTCCATCTCACGCTTCACAATTTTTTATGGTTGTGGAAATGCACAGTGAATTAGCATTTTGCACTGGTGTCCAGAGAGAGGTGGTAATTTCATATCCCATACAAATGCATATAAACACGAACCTGATGGATGCCTTTAGTCCCTGCTACTTGCCATCTCACCATATCTTCCTCTTTCTCTCGTGGTATCGTAAGCCTGCAACACTCTGGCTTGTGATTCATCGGTCTGCGAGAATGCATATCCACGCTGTTTGCGCATGCGCTGTACTTGGCGAACCTTGCGAATTGCCTTTTGGAATTGTTCCATCCTGTCTCAAGTTAGTGGCAGTCGGCGTGAGAAACAAAGAGAAAACAAATACCTTGGTCGGTAATCCTGAATGTTGTATTTCTGGATCTCCTGGACGTGGTGGTAGGCTTGGGGATAGTACATGCGCTTGGCATACTTCCAGGCAAAGTCTCTAAGAAGACAGAGGACCGGAAGAACGATGATCGTCAGCCAGAAGACAAGACTAGGAAACAGTCTTGGAACGACGCCAGCATATTCCATGCTGAATCCGAGTTTGGGTGCAACAGTAGCGTAAATGGGTAAAAAGATGAACCACACCGCAAGACTGCCAGGTATCGCAATCACAGTGTATTTGGTCCAAAGGTTGGTGATGAGTGCTGCTTTACCAAGAGTCGTGATAAGGCCAGCCGTATATAGAGTGGTTCCCCATACCCAGTGTCCAGCAATCTTGCCGTCGCTCTGAGGCAAATCCCAAAGGAAGATAAGCTCAGAGACAAAGTAAAGGATAAGGGAGTGGTAGAAGCCGTTTGCTACCCAACTAAAGAAGGAATGCATTCTGAAGAACACACCTTTCTGACTGAGTTGGTAAAGTTGAGGGTATCGATCGAGCAAACGAGCCGAGACGTATTGATCGAAGATACCAAGAACAAAGGGTGGCATCACTGTGAAGAGAACATTGTAGAAACTCATCGTCCAGGATTCGAAGATGACTTCTCCAGAGAACCCGTTTTGGAAAGAGTACCAAAACTGGGTCATGAAGAGTGCCGTGTTCTTGTAATAGAAGTACAAGATCATCTTGGAGATTCTTTGGTATGACCAGGCTCCGTGGACGAGCAGTAGCTTGCGCAAGTATCGGAATTGAGCGATGGAGACATCGGCTGAACGTGCTGCTTGCAGACCTTCAACACCTGAGATACCAATACCAATGTGTGCAGCTTGAATCATTGAGACATCGTTGGCGCCATCACCAATTGCTAAAAGAATGGCTTTTTTATGACGCTTGACAAGCTTGACAACAAGAGCTTTTTGGAGTGGCGAGACACGGCTGTAGTTGGTTAGCAGACATTCGAGCGTAACAAAACGATCACACATACCAGCAGATTACAGCCTTGCAAATGACAGCCAAATCCAAGAAGAGCTTCTCCATGTCTTTCTCAAGTGCATAGGTGAGAGACTTTCCATCAATAACGAGTGCCAGAGTTTCGACGGTTATACCAGACTGGAACTGACTTTGTACAGCACTCAGCTTCTTTTGCAAATTGTCCCTAGTAGCGGCTGCGGTTTCTTCGTTGACAATAAGGAGAGTCATGTCCTCGCTGATCAGCTTACAACTCATACCAATATTGATGGCAGTCTCTTGTCTGTCTCCAGTCAAGACCCAGATTTTGATGCCAGCTGTTTGCAGAGTGTGAATAGTGTCTGGTACGCCATCTTGCAGCTTATCTTCGATGGCTGTGGCGCCCAGCAGAGTGAAGTCATGTTCAATGAGCTCAGCCGCCTTATCCATTTCCTCAGCTCGGTTACCGCCAACAGTAGTCGCAGCTTCGTTGAAGACTTGCTGCCAGCGTCTGAACTCTTCTTCTGGGACCTCGCGCGAAGCGAGACACAGGGTTCTCAGTCCTTCAGCGGCATACTCCTCAAGATGTTGCAGAGTGGCTTCGACATATGGATTGTCGCCACCAAGACGCTCCAAGATAACGGTGTCAGCACCTTTACAGTAGCATCTGATTTTGCCATCAGGACATCTGAAAATAGTCGACATGCGCTTTCTTGTCGAGTTAAATTCGCAAACAGCCAAGAGTTCGTACTCCTGTTGTTCTCCATATACCTCGATCATGACTGAGCGAGGTTTGCGTGCAACGAACTTATAGCCGAGCGTGACAGCACCTTCTACCAACGCACCCTCATCAGGTGAGGCTGCTTGGTACTTGATTTTGCCACCTTTCTCTGAGCTCGTTTCTGGAATGACGGTATGACAAGTGGACAGCAAGGTCAAAAACTGGTTGATGATCTCGCGGGATGGATGGTTTCGTCTGTTGTGCTCCAAGCGAGTGAAGTCAAATATACCCATATCACCATCCTCTCCCGTTGATCTTCTGTCTTCGGGAACTTCGTCGGCATACTGTATTCCTGCAATTGAACTTTGCCTGAATTCCATCATGTTGCATGTAAGTGTGCCAGTCTTGTCTGAGAAAATGTATTCGACTTGACCCAATTCTTCAACCAGGGACGATGTCCTGCAGTTAGCAGGTGTGTCCGTCTTGTCATAGTAGATGTCGAGATCCGAGCTGATGAGGATAGCCTGCCAATACTTGATGATTTCGATCGTAACGAAAAGCGAAATAGGTACCAGGTTTGAGTACAGCACCCAGTTGGTGAAGAAGTCGCTGAAAAACTGCTTTCCGCCGTTGACGGGAGTGTAAGACAGGTACCACATCCTCTTGCCTGAGGTGGCACGTGTGACAAGATCACCGATCGAACTGACGATACTCAGAGCGACAAGAATACCACCAAGCATGAGGATTTGCACGTTCACCAAGCGTTCGACGGCGGTCTTCTTGATGGGAGTGGCTGTCGCATTGCGCATGAGTTTGGTTTCATGACCAGTAAAGACGACAATTCCATGCACCCAGGGTGTGTTTCTCAGAGTAGCGCCGCGAAGTAAGAGTTGCTCGGGGTTCAAAGGTAGCTCCTTCTCGCCGCCACCAGATTGCATTGTCATGGTCGCCTCGTACGTATAGAGACTACTGTTGGGAGGTTCGGAACGGATCCTACCACCGAGCCTGCTGATGTCGGCAGGGCTAACGAGGTTTGCAGTCTCTGGGATAGCTTGTTTAATCTTCAAGTTTGTCTCGCCATCAAGGTTTGCAGTCTCAATGTAGCATAGACCTTCAGGTTCAGAACTGGCCAACAGGACAAGATCGGCCGGGAACGGTTCTTCAGACTCTACACGAACGACATCTCCGACTGCGATATTGATCCAGTTGCTATCCTGAAAAGTTGAACCTCGTAGGACGCGGGCTTTTGAAGTGTTGAGTTGTTTATCCTGGGATTTTCTGCGCGAATCTTCAATTATCTCTTTGCCGGCTGAGACCAGAAGGACAATTCCCAATGGCACAATAGTGGTGTATCTACTTGTGGGTGAGACACCAGGGATTTGTTGCAAGATTGCCGTAAACAAGAAGAACAAGTTGGCATACTTGGAGAACTGCTCGAACAAGAACTTTGGCAAGAAAGTTGCAAAGTTGTACTTGGAAGTCGAGACATGGTTGTCCACGTACTTGTTGGCAGCATTTGCAGGTGGATTGTTAAGATGAATGATGCGAGGCCCAGCAGCATTCGGATCCGGGCCTGAGCGACCAAGGCCAAACTTGAATTTGGCTCCAGGCGTACGCTTGGCAGGTGGAGGCGCGGATGGTAGAGCATCAACACCACCAGATGCAATGTGAGATGAACGAGCACCAGCTTCGGTCAATGGCAAATCCATTTCTGAATAGCCGCCGGTGTTTGCACCAAACATGTTCTTGGCGCGATCTACGATGCTTTCTCCAATACCCATTATGCTATTCCTATTGCGGCCATGGCTAGTGAAGCGTGATTCACGCAAGCCTGGCATATTGTCCTCGTCAATGCCTCCACCTGATGCATAGTAGTCTCTGTCATCCGGAAGGTCGTCAAGATCCGAGTAGGGCTGATAGTTGTTCAGATCAGAGGTTTGAGAGTATTGTCTTCCCATAGTATCGTGCATAGGAATGTGTAGACCAGTAGTACTCGGGGCGCCAGGACCTCCCGGCAGACCAGCTGTCGAAGAGGAGCCCACGAAATCATCATAACTGGTAGAGGCACGAGGCGCATCGGAGGAGTCTATGTTGTGGTGGAGGAGTAGGTGATCGTCATCGGTGGGCGGGGGCTTTCCAGTATTGTAGACGGGCTGATCGTCCAGGTCGAGTAGGAGGTCGGAATCGGCAGACGGAGACGCCTGACCATGAGGTCTCCCGGCCATGGTTATTGAGAAGGAGCGTCGGCAATGCGCGCGCGACTACTAGCAATCGCGTCGAGGCGAGAGTATTCGAGGGGTGACTTTACGAGGTGAGCGAGGCAGATGCGACCATTCGGTAGACAGCGGTAAGGACTCCTGAACCGGGACGAGGCAGCTGAGACGTGACGGACAGGAGGTCAACGGCGACGCGAATGGAATTGCGAGAGCATGAATACTCTCTTAGCACTGGCTGTACGTCGGAGACGAGATGAAAATAGTGCTGGGCTGTGTATCCAGCTCTCTCTTAGACGCGTACCGCTTGCGACTGCCCTAACTAGCGGCTGCGACTTCCTTGTCCTCTTCAGGAGGTGCAAATTCACCAATTCACCAATCGGATCGGACCATCCCCGTTGAACCCTGAAAGCTGCTTCCTCCAACACCACCTCAGTTTCATACACAAAGACAAACTGTTGGTTTCTTAGTATATACATCTTTCAGAAACAGGACATCGATCACCAGAATCTCCTAAGATGCCACTCCGACACACGCCAAACCCTTCGCCTTCCACATCAGCCTTTCTCGTACTCCAAGGCTTGGCAGTGGTCTTGACTGCAGACTATCTTGTCGCTGCCGCTCAATCTCGTCCGAGCAGTCTCTCTGCAGCTTTGAGCGGACTCAACATAACCAAAACGCCACCGCCTTTCCGGCAGCTTCACAAAGGAGAGAAGCATGACCTGGATAACAGTTGATGAAGTGAGAGTCAAGTCGAGCTGAAACGAGCTTTCAAGACATTTGGTGTGAACCATGGTCATCGCCGGATCAATGTTCCTCATCAGTTTGTCTAATTCTTCACCTCAATTGAAATTCCATAAAAAATTGCGGAAGCACTGGCAGTATCTTCTGTGGCTCGAATTTTCTTTCAAACGACTGCTTGTTGCTACTGGGATTGATCAGACAGGGTGGTAGGCACAACAATATGGAACAAGGTTATTTTCTGTCTTTGCGTGTGCAACTCTCGTTTAAACAACCAATCATTAGCTATTGGTGACTCTGCTGTCTCTAGGTCGCCCATTTTCAGACTGCATTGCTCGTTCTCCGACGACATCAGGTCATATAAAACTTTCAGGAACTAGTAATTGCCACTGCGTCAGTGAAGCTCCGAATGCCTACTATCTCCCCGTATACTAGAGTATGTAATGCGTATAGCTATAGAAATGCATAATAGTAACAGGAAACAAGATGGTATCCACTGAGAGGCAGAAATTTCTTGACTCTCCGTAGTTATGCCTCTGCTTTCCAAAACGATTGTGCCTTCTTACAATATGAATCCTGCTTGTTGCCGCAGGCGGAGTACGGTAGGAGTTACAAACTTACACAGGGAGGTAGTCGATCAACCATAATATTGGGCAAAGTCAAAACATCACACATCATGTTGTCTCGATATAAAATCTTTGGTGTCTAGATACAAGACTCTGAATTACTGGATCAGAATCTCATAAATACCAGACAGTGTTAGATTGGTAAATGCAGGTGATTGCACAAGCATTGACCACATGACGACGCTAATTACTAGGTGGTGACTTCCCCATAATTTGAACGCGAGACGCGCCTTCACTTTGTTACGGCCTTTCGACCAGAATTGATTCAAGGCAACAACCAAGACCCATCATGGACGACTCTGATTCTTCCAGCCTTTCTTCGGCACCGCCGACTGACGACGAGAAGCTTGCGCCCATTTTCAAGAAGATGGCCAAGAGCAAGAAGGCTGCTCCTAGAAAGAAGAAAGCTCCTGTTACTCCTCCCACTCCACCTTCACCACCGCGACCCAAGCGGTCTCCTTCTCCGCCACATGAGGAGTCCCTCGCCGATAACCCTGATGTAGCCGTATGTCGAACTCATCTCAGACGCGTATAAACGCGACATGGCCCGCATGCTAACGATTCATTGATCAGTTCCTTGTCATGTTCCGATCTCGCTTCAGCCATGCATTCCCTTCGAAACTACCCCATTTTGGTCCTCAAGACATTGAGAGAGGTGTCGCTGAATCTCCTCCATCGCCGCAAGTCGAGGATCTGATGTGCGCCATGCTTGCACTTGTCCTCAACCGCAAGAAGCCCGTCGAGTGAGTCTCAGGCACATCATGGATTCTCTCAGCACAGCACTAACATATAAGCAGACGAGGCCATCATGGTCGCGCAATGGAAGAGGCTTTGTCGACGCAGAAACACCAATGGCCGCTCTCTTGGAACCGTGTCAATCCTCTCGCTGGCAGCAGAACCTTCCCCGACATGTCGCCCGCTGAACGTTTGAACCTCCTCCGCACTCTCGCAATCTGGTCGCTCACGTCATCCGAAATTGTCTCACAAACTATCAAAGACTCATACAAGATTTCGCGCCGCGAGGATGACATGAACCAACCATTGTCGGTCCAGCATTGGGGTTACGATGGCGATAGGAGAAAGTACTATCTGATTGAGGGGCAAGAGGATACCAGCTTCCGGGTATACCGCGAAGCCAATCGTCTCAGTCAACAAGCGCAATGGTGGAGTGTCGCTGAGACTATTGACGAGGTCAATGCCCTGGCAGAGAAGCTTGAGACCAAGGATACCACTCAAGCTGCCCGCCGTTTGGCTGACAAGATGAAGGCCGCTGTGCCACGATTTGAAGCATCTGAGGAGGCAAGTCTATGTAGTCTTATCTGCTGCACATGGAACTGACTATTTCGCAGAAACGCAGACGTCGCGAATACCGCCAAGCACGTAAGGCGCAATTCAGCAAACCCGAACCTGGTTTCTCGCTTTACGAAGGTCGCACTCGTGGCAAGCGCATTCGTTACACATATTCCGATAATGAGGACGAGTCTGATGCTACAGGCTCGCGTCGCTCTGCCAGGTATTCTGGCCACTCAACCCCTGCCGATTCAGGTCCGGTCGTTACCGCCAGCGGACGTCAAGTTCGTCCTGCAAGAACAGGTATCTACGGTGAATCTCTGCTCAGTGGTCAAGGCGAGACACCTGACTACGCCGCTTCGGAGACATCGCGCACTTCTGGAGGAAGAGCAACAAGAAACAGCACACGTCTCTCTCCACTCAATGGAGATCGCAAGAGAAAGTCGCGAGGATACAACTCCATGGACGAAGACAGCGAGGAAGATGCGCCTTCCAGTGGAAACGAATGGGATGGAGGCGACGACGACGACGACGATAACGACGAAGATGATGTCGATATGGCCGATGGAGAAGACGAGGATGACATGGATCTTGACCAGGACGTGAAGAAGAGTCTCGTGGTCAAGCTCAAGGTGAAGAGACCTCAAGAGTCAATCAAGACAGAAGATGCGCCTGCGGAGGAGAAACCACCGCCTGCCACCGATGTCTCTCGAGATTCAGTCGCTCGGCAAGACCTTGAGAACCTGTCAACCAAGGACGAGCCTGCGCCAGCACCACCTGTAGCAGAACAGCCTGTACCAGCACCACCTGTAGTAGCGCCACTGGTAGCAGCACCGCTTGCAAAGGAATATGCTGCCGAGGAACATCCTGCAGCCGTTGATTCGATGGACTTTGAGGTGCCCATCCAGAAGACTTATCATGCTCACCCACCTCCTGGCCCATTGCCTGCAGCGAATGTTCCCGACGAGCAGACTAATGGCAGTGTCTGAGCGACTCATGTTTCTTCAATTCTGTTTGGTCGGTTTGGAGTTTGGAAGGTTCTGCTTTACATTATATCCCTTTGCCAGTGTGGTTGCAAAAGAACTTGGGGGACGATGGCAGGAAGGAGTATCATGGATCATGAGTATCAACAAAACGCACTTTGCTTTCTTTGTGCTATAGTATCGAGGTTAAGAGGTTATGAAAGAGGCTCCGAGATCAAAGCGAAAGCTCGACTGATGCTGTTTCTACTATTACCCGCGTAACAGCCGATATAGCTGCTTGAGATCATATGACAAGTTTTATTGGTGCCAAGAGAGGTTTTCGTTAGTTTTTCGAATGACCATTGGTTGGGTGTGGTTGAGAGTTTAAACGGATATGAGTATGTTTTGTAGAGACGCAAATGGGGTCGAGGTCAGCGTGATGAGTGAAAAGGCAAGATACGTCTCGATGAAAGAAAGAGACAGCCATCCTGCATAACACATCAAGCTCCAGAGGACCAGAGTGCAGAAAGTCATACCAGAGGCACAGCATATCGCATACGAACCCTTTGAACTACGTTAGCAGATCAATCGTCAAGAAGCCCTAGAAGATTAAGAGCAATGCAGCTGCATCATTCCCACAGCACCAGCAACAACGGCATCGCCAAACCAGCAAAGAGCAGTTGCAGCACCGCAATCACTTCACGTAACACCTCAACAACAAGCTCCTCTTCCACCACCTGCGACGAAACAAGCTGTTTATTGCCCCACGAGCGAGGCCCTACACCTACACCACCTGTTTCTACTACACCTACACCACAACGCCAACATCCTCCACAACTGCGATATCCTCCTTCATCTACAACATCTTCAGCAACAGCATCTCTCCACCACATCTTGACGTTACACCCACGCCAAATCGCCATCCTCGAAGCCGCACGAGCAAGAGAAGAAGCCCAAAGAGCTTTACTGCCAGCCCCAGAAGACGAAGAAGAAATGAACAGACACGTACTCTCCAGAATCGATTGTATAGAAGTTGATCTCTGGCACGAACGGATCCGCGACTATGAAGCTGCGGAATTGGGATTGCTTTCTGCTGAAGAGTTGGGATTGGTGAGGGATGTTGAGGAAGAAGAGGGGGATGATGTTAGGGTTGAGGTTGAAGAGGAAGATGGAGGACGGTTGAGTAGGGTTCAAACCTATGTTAATGATTTTGCAGATGTGGAAGGGAGAGGAGGTAGACAGCAAGGACAAGGTCAAGGCAGAAAGAGAAGGAAAGTCAGTAGCATTGCGCAGAGGTTTGGGAGTGTGAGTTTATCGCTCAATCACTTTCATCCTTATTTCTGGGTTGATATGGCAGGGATTTGTTTGTTGATATTGTTGGTTCTGGCTTTTCTTGTCTTTGTTGGGATTGAACTTAGGTACGATAGAGAGGGTATCTGTAAAGGACAGGGAAGTGTAGGCGCAACGGGTTTTTGGGTTGCGGTGCAGATGCTTGTGGCTTTAGGCATGGGATTGATGTTGCAGGTTCCGGTGCATAGGGGTTTGGTGCCTTTTGTGTTGCCTTTGTGGGTAATGGGGACTTTTGGAATTGTGGTTGGGTTCAAGATGTTGGCTGGATGCTTGGGGAATTGAGACCATGACCCGATGGACATGAGCAGTATGGTTATAGCACCTTGTAGAGGTTGACATGTCACCGTCATTGCACAGCGACGCTTTTTCCTTGTCAAGAATTTTGCTGGCCGATCTTTCCAAAGTATTGTGGTAGTAGTCATAACCGATCGTCTCGATCATCCACACACCTACCTTGACAGTCTGATGATCCCAATGAAGATGTCCAAGAAACAAAAGAGCAAAAAACAATTCACAGATTTGGATATGCGTTGCTTGCTCGCTTGTTAAACGAGTAGTTGCGTGTTGCCTTGGTGTGGTGAGAACTGTAAAGCCTTCGAGGCTCCCAGCCTCATGACGAGTTCGGAGTAGCAGCAGTTTCCGCGGATTCTCGATGAGACGATGGACAGTGACACGACTCTTTTTTCTGCCGCAAAGACCAAGCTAGAGTTCAGAAGGGCTGGATGCCAAAGTCAAATCCTTCATGAGGGGGAACCCAAAGTGCCTTTTTAGTTGGGGAGACAAATCAGACGAGCAAAAGATGATTCGTGGAAGAAGGAATTGATCAAATCTCTTTGTTCGTTTGGCGAGATGGACCTTCACCAAAATATATTGCTGCTTCGCCAAAAAGGTGGCAGGGCGGGAGCGGTCGGGTGGGTGGAGCATCAGGAACAGGCACTGTTTTAAGGCAAGGCTGGTTTCGTTCGGAGACCGAGCTCTGGCGGTTTAATCTTATCGTCGGCAAGAAGAAAGTTTGTAACGGTGATACATAAAAGCTACCTGCTATAGAATTGGTAAAGGACAGGCGTGCAAAAATGCTGTCGCAACTTGATACTGCAGTCGCGAGAAGTTTTGAAAGCATGTCAAGCTGTTACAGATCTTCGCTCAAGTATGCGAATGCGTATCAGAGTGAGACTGTCGTGTCAGGGAAACAGGCGCTGTGCGCTTGCTTCCGACGAGGCTGAAACATGAGCCGGGCAATGATCGCCGCGGAAAGCGCGTCCCTGGTTTGGACTGGCCATCGCAGAGCAGTGACAATTTTCGAGTGTGGAAGACCATGTGACGGCTTGTTTTCGACGTCTAGTATCACAGCCAGGCCTTGAAACGGACAAAGCATGTTTGATACAATCCACTACTTTGTCCGGACGCGAAAGACGCCACTGCTGACCTCTCTCTTAATCACCCGCTGCGGCTGATGTTAGACGACTCACATACTCGCACATGCTAGAGTACATGCGCCCAGTACCGACAGCCATCCCACTCAACACTGTCATCTTACCACCCTCTCCCAACCTCGACTTCTCATCCCCGCTCACACTTTATTCCTCACAGCCATGAAGGGGAAGAAGTTGGCTCTGGGCCTAGCGCATCTTGTAAGTCTACAGGTCGCATACAAACGCTGCTCACATTGGCTGACAATCGCCTGGAGATTGGTCCGCACAAAGCGGATGATCGCGCACCCTCATCCACCCCGAATGAGACTCCACCACCTTCGCCGTATCCCGGACGTCGAGCTCCTCTATCGTCAAAGGTCGAAGCCGATCTACGTCTAGCCTGTGCTGGTGTTCTGGTCAACACCAAGCCTTCGCATCAATATGTCCCACCCGATGAGCCCAAGCAAGCACTCGACTACGACGCCATAAAGAGATCTGCATCCACACGCAAGTCGCAAGACTCTCGTCCCTTCCCACCTCGTGTCGATTCAGCCGAAGACAAACACCCTCTGAAATATGCATACCGTCCAGATGCTGCCATTGACCAGCTCTTCTCAAAGACGGATCCAGCCATTGATCCTGTCCAGTCTATCCTTGGCAGATCCAAGTATGACACGCCAATGGGCAGCCGTGCAAAGACGCCGGTACCCAACAACGTTCTGTCTCCTGCCAGTGATGCTGCTACACGTCCTCGTGTCGTCAAGCGTTCTCTCTCTGGCGAAACCGATGGTTCTACCCCAATCACGGACGCGACAGATTACCACTGGAGTACTTCAACAGCCCCCACTTCGGCTGCCATCACACCTGCTCGCACCTCAAAGAGAACGTCCTCGCATGCACCTGTCGAGCAAGAGCTGGCCATCAAGGATGCTGCTTCTGCTATCGAGTGGATGCGCAATGAACTTGAGCGTCGTCGTCAGAAACAGGATGCTGAAGAAGCAGAACAACAGCAACAACAAGCTGCACTTCCACCATTGTCTCGTGCACCTAGCAGGTCACGAAGCATTCGGAGCATCAAAAGTCTTCGCGACAAAATCAAAGAATACATTCGTCCGTCCAGCTCTGGAGGTCCTAATGGAGAAAACAGCAGAGCACCTAGCAGGTCTGCTTCGCGCTCTTCATTGCGCTCGGACTCAAGGTCTCAAGATCCAGACATTCGCGGTGGTTGGAGAAGTTGGGGACGTACCCTGAAGAAGGAGCACGCCCAGACCGACGTGAGCAGATCAAATTCGAGAAGAGGAAGAGGTGAAAGCCCGAAATCTCCAAACGCGAAGAAGTCTGAGATCAATCTCAATCGCGAGCTACCTCCCCTTCCCAGTCTGGACCAGTGGAAGGACGAGCCACTCGCTGCTCCAACGCGACCTGCACCTCAAGCGCCTTTATCCACACATCCTCCTCCTCGTTCTGAACACAGCAAGAACACCAAATCAGTGGATAGTGCAATGAGCGAAAGAGACGAAATCATCGCAGCTCGTCTTGGTTCGCCTGTCAAACAAAAGCCAGAGGTCTATATGCCTACCCGCTCACCTCGTCATGCTGCAGCTACCAAGATGCCAAATCTTGCATCCGCTCATACCAGTGACAAGCTTACATCTGGTGCTCTTCCACGCAGCAAGTCTGCACGTCGCAACCGGACTCCGGAGCCTGCGGCATCAACTGTGCGGGCCATTTCTTCACACCAAAACGGTGACCTCGCAAGTACTCGATTGCGATCACCAAGCAATCCGGCATTCTATTCTGTGTCCACCGGATTTTCCGAGCACCGCAATTACGACAGCTCAAACATTCCTACCCCACTGGGTAGCATCAGCAGCACCTCTACGAAGACTAGAGCAAAAGAAAGACCCGCCACTTCCTCGAGCAAGCATGATCACAAACGCCGTCAGGTAAAGGATGTAGTAGTCCGATCTCCTCCGCCTGTACCACCTAAGGAGGCCAGCGATAAAAAAGCATGGTGGAATCTCAAGTCCAAGAACAAGAAGCCTGCGACTTGGATGGATCAGCTCGAGAAGCTGGGTGGAGTCAAAGATGGTATTCTAATCGCTGATGAGGCTTGCAGCGCACCTCATATCCGCTACTAACCGGGTCAAAGACCTTTACGAATTCACGACTCCTACAAAACATCACTCTACTTTTCATCATTTTATGGCGCAATGGGGAGTTCTGAGCTTTCAAGAGAGTCATCTTTGAGCAGAGCATTCATTCGCCTGTTTGGCATTTTTCTTTTGTTCTATACATACTCATACAACCCTATATCATTCTTATTCATCCTTCATCAACCGTTTGATGGAGAGTTCAATAACATTGGTTCAGATTCCATAACATAGCTCAAAGACTTGGCTTTTCTCTTTCCTCTTCTAGATTCATGGAAAGGCTTATCACCACAACACATCTGTCCAGAGTACGCTCCTATCGACTTGACTGTGACGTCGATGGATTAACAAGCCAGGTTTAAGCAAGGGATGTTTTCTGTGTAGAAGGGCAGAACAATAAGTCGGGCCGATGTTGATGACAGCACTGTGGGCCATCAAGGTCGCGTGGGAAAAAAAGTTCGGCGCACATTCGAGCTGGATGTGGAAAATGATATACAGCAAAAGAGCATCGAAGAAGATTGCAAATCGCACGACAGTCAACAGATAGAAGATGTAGGTACGCATTGAGGAAGGTAGTGGGCATAGCATCATGTCTCAAGACAAGAGCTGTGTTTACACAGCGAGAGATGGGTTAGAGAAAAGTTTTGGTACACACCGTGAAAGCGTGAATCGATATCACAAGACCATCAAGAAACATTGCACGCTAAGAATTGAAAAAAGTGCTGGGCGTCACATCACAATTGCACGTTGAAGGTGGAACAAAACTTTTTTTGCGAATAGCAGTTTTCTGATTTTCAGAACAGCCAACCGCAACGGTAAGGCTCTTTCAGATCCCAAAGGTGCGAGCTTACGAGGCAAGACACCGGTGTTAGAGAAGTGAAGACGAGGCCTTCCAATTGCCAGGCAAATAAAAACACTCCATGATAATCTCGATGAGTGAAAAACAGATTGACCGACTCCTCCGTCCTTTAAGAGACGCAGCAAGCATCGACACTTAGTTCTTCCCCCTCCTCAGCTTCAAGCTGCCAACAAGTGCGCCTTCCGAGCCAACCAGGAAAAGTCGGCTGCAAAGATGGCGGAAACACATGCGAGCGAATCCGACAAGGTGTGTAAAAGAGAAAAAGCAGTGGCCCTCCAGAATTGACGTCGCGAGTAAAGAGATAGCGTTTGTCGACGTCAGTGGTGAGCGTTAGACCGAAGAAAGTCCAAAAGATGTTTGGTGGATTTTGTTCAAATCAAGGAGCCGTGATGATCGAGTTGTCGGGGCGAGTCATTTATTTGCTGTGAGTAGCGGTGGTTAGTCTATGGATGTGGTGCGCGCATTGAAGATAGCAAAACTCACGATCTGGCTCTCGTCTTTCTTCTCTTGCGCTTCAGTCTGCGAACTCTCTTCTTTCTCCACTTGGCTCTCATCTTGGCCTGCAAGAAGGATGAGTTAGTGGCTGCTCAAAGGCCAATTGGGTATATAATGCAAACTTACAGTAGTGTCGAGATGAGTTGCGGTGATAGAGGAAAGAGAGGGGAAGCTCTGCGAGCTGCGAAGTTCAAATTGATAGTGCTGCGCGCTGGCCGTGCGTGCGGCGGCGTTTGCCGTCTTGGCACCGACGACGCGGTTTCCGACGTTTATCCAACGGGACCGAGGGACTCGTCTTCGATAATGTGGTCTCGAGTTTACTTGAGTACTGTCATTGTTGTATTTGTTCGTGAATTGATTGAGGGTGCTATGGCCGAGCAGCTTCCCATCGGCCATCTGACGCTCGTTAATGAGCACCGCTGTCTGTTTGCTGAAGGTATGTCATCGAGCGTTGTTTCTAATGCTCAACCATCCTCACTCTTCCCCATTTAGATGCAATCAGTATCTGGCCCAAGCAGGAAATCGTCCTGGGCTGCAAGCAACTTCAACAGTATGCTGTCCCCTGGTCATTTCAGCTTGGCAGCGTACTTTAACAATCTTCTAGCTTTGTCGATGATTATGATCCAACAATATCATATCGACATCTGGTACTACGTTGCGTGCAATTCGACGACGATGCGGCAACCTGGAACGTCGCTCCCATGCTCTATGCCGAGAACTTGTCTCGCAATGGAACCGTACTTACTCGTGAATGTCCCGTCGAAGATGGCTCAACAGTTCGACTTGATCATCAACTGAACAAGACCATGGGTCCTGTGCTTCTTCAAGACGGCGATTTGCTGTACCTGTCAAAGTCAACCTTTGTGCACTACAGCGAGCTCAATCCTCGACAAGAGCCCACAATGTCATTCATTATGGACTGTGAAATCAAGGTAGGTCGGTGTGTACACACATCCTACGTGAGATACTCATGCCAGGAACAGCGTTTCCAAGAAGACTTTACTATCTTTCCTCGTCTCATTAGTGCTGGTGGCCAAGGTAGTGTGTATGTCGCTTGGGATTGCCACGCTGAACAACAAGTCGCATGCAAAGCTGTCTCTCTGGCTAGCGTGGATCTGACCTGCGACCAAAACACAATTGAAGCCTTCACTCAGGCCGCCTCCAATCGCGCCTCGAGAGTGCAATCGATCAAGCTGCTGCGCAAAATACATCGTCTTGAGGTCGAGTATGAAGTTCTCAAGGATCTTAGTCATGTACGCTGTTTGCTGTTTTGGTCTTGAGCCGGTACTCACTGTGAGCAGCCGAATATCATCGACATGAAGAAGGTGTATGTCACGACTCACCACATGTCAGTCGTGCTGATCGTCCTCAGCTCTGTGATATTACGTTGACCTCTTTGTCATAGCTACATCATACAGGAGCTCATGACTGGCGGCGACCTGTTCTCCTATATTATTCATGAGGGCGGTGTTCTGAGTAACGCTCTGAGCGCAGTCATCACTCGTCAGCTACTGAAAGCTGTCCAATACTTGCATGATAACGGCATCGTTCATCGCGACATCAAACCCGAGAACATCTTATTGTCTTCTTGGGACCACAATACCCGCGTCGTCTTGACTGATTTCGGAATAGCAAAGCGGATCAGCCAGTCTAGTGTCTCAAACAGTCAGCCAGGCAGAATCTATCGCATGTTCTCGAACTGTGGCACGTATGGCTTTACGGCTCCGTAGGTCAATGTATCATCTCAGCAGAAGAGCTCGGCCACTAACAATACGCAGTGAAATCAACAGACTGAATCCAACCATGGCAGAGAACAAAGGCTACAGCAGTGCAATCGACCTTTGGTCAGTGGGTTGCGTCAGTGCACTAATGTTGACCGGCAGTCTCGCTTTCAACCACCGAGATGGCGAGCAAGACATTGGCCAGATCAATTCACGCTCCGTTAGCGCTTATGACATCTCTCAAATCGAACATGGCAAGCAGAGCTGGGAGGGAGTGGCGAAAAGAGCGAGAGAACTTGTCATGTCTCTGCTCGCACTGCAAGAGGACAAGCGTTCAACAGCCAGGAAAGCACTTGAGCATTCCTGGTTTACCAACCATACCTGCTCTGAGAGCTATGACGCTGTCTACGAAAGATCTATCTGCGATTGGAAGCCAAGCACCGTACCCAAGGAGAATATCATCGTCAACATTGACACTGGTGATATCGCCGTCCCTACTCCAAGCGCTTCGCAAGTTGTTCGTCAACGATCTGACTCTGCAGTCGTTCAGTCAGAATATTTCCAGTCGCAAGCAGAGCATTATGGTGAGCAGATGGAGATAGACTCGAATCCCGAGCGAGAGCCGTACGCGAATGATCATCTAGCCGCAAGCCCTGCATCTCAACCATCGCAGAACCTTGGAGACCAACCTGTCTCATCCGACCCTCTTTCAAACACCACGACTCGCTCTCCATGTGCCCGTGCCCACATGTCGGCGCAATTCATGTTGCCTCCTCGGTCTTCTGGCCGCGACCAGGAGCTCGACGTCTTGCAGCCGTCAGCACAATTCCGTCCACCGCAGTCCTCAGATCCCGATCAAGACCTTGATTCACTCAAACCATCGGCACAGTTGAGAAACCTGCAGGCATCACCGGAGTTCACATGGCCTTCATCGCCGCCCAATAAGCGCAAAGTGCGTTGTCCTTCTCCCGAATTCCCGTGGTAGTGAAGTACCAAGAGTCAACTGGCTCACAAGTATGACTTGCAAAGATGCTGATGAATGGCCGGTAAGATGATACTGATGATGCTACAATATTTGATGGCTATGTTTGCTTTTTGTTTCTTGCTATATTCTATACCCCTTTGCTAGAATTGCTGTCATTTACATAGCTTCAGACTCGATAACACGAAATTTGAGAATCCAAATTGCTTCGCACATGCTTGCTCACATTAAAAGACCTTCTTATCCTTCAGCCTTACTGAGACCAGCAGTGTCGGCTGTCAAATTCAAATTCTCCCACTCATCATCTCTAGGGAATCCAAGATGATATCTTCCCGTCACAGCCCATTGCAGAAGTGCATCATCTCCGGTCTCAAAGTCCAACACATGGCCACCTTCAGGGTCTTTGCCTTGCTCAGGTTCGGTCATGAAATGGCAATGTACGCCTGCCACACTAACACCTTGCATCCATTCAGGACTGGCAATGCCAAACATGGTCCCCTTGACATCCTGCACACTCCACTTTCGCGCATTCGCAGCAACTTCTGCGAGATCCTGTCCTTCGTGTTCTTGCGGTCCTGCAATTCTCAAATCCAGCGATTTAAACTTTCCTTTTACTACAAAAGGCACAAATGAATTCTTTCCTCCTGCACCGGGTCCATTCTTCTCAAATACATCTACCAGTCCACTTTTCTTCAATCCTCTTGCATCAACCTCAAACTCGGGTTGAAAATTCGTCACTTGGACGAATGGCAGAGAAGTGGAAGGGTCAGCGGGTTGTACCTTTCCAGATCGTAGCATTTGCCAGGGTTTTCCGCTTAGAAAGAGGAGTTCGCCGTTCATGCGGCCGAAGGTACCGATGCCGTGAGTGCCGTAGCCGGGGAGTTGGCCGGCGGAGGGACCGGAGTGGGCAAGGCCGGCCATCAAGGCGCTGGCGGTGCTGAATTGGAATATGTCGTTGGGGATTTTGGAGACCATGATGTTGTGTTTCTGATGTGGATGTGGATGTACTTGATGTGGTTTCCTTGGTAGTGATCTCGCCGAGAAGATGGCAGGGTTTTGTCTTGAATGCTCAAAATCGTCGGGATTGAGGAAATGAAGTGTTTTCGTATGGGGTTTGATGTCTTTTCCAGAGAAAGGAGGATGGTCGGTGGTTTTGATGACTGTGATCTGATGGATTTGCGTAGTCCGAAGTCCGGCTCCAAGCGTTGACTGACTTGCAAGAACACTCGACAATGGTATCAATTCTCGGCTGCTGGCAAGCAATTTGTAGACAATCTTTGGTTTCTGAAGCTTTCCTTAACAATAAGACCGAGTTTGGCACAAGTATGAAGACGTTGAGTGGACTATCTTTGACGATGGGCAAGGACAAGTTGCGCTCTTTCCAATGATGTCAACGCTGTTTGATTCTCCGAACGTTTTCGGCAACATCTTTCAAGGCCATATCCGTCTCAACAACCACACTATAAATGGTGATATGAAATGATATTGTAGAGGGCATGAATATTGCGGCCTGCTCCTTGATACCCAATTTCATAGATGCAGACATGTCGTTGCTGTCGACCGCTCTTTGAGAGGTACTTTCTACACCCTCGACTTGTTCCACTCACAACACTCATCAAACTTGACTCCATTGCCGCCAAATACATCCAGCGCACTTCCAATAGTCAAATCCACCTTTCCATCACTCAGTTTCTCTACCAATTCTAGGTCCTGCAGATTGCGACCGCCTCCTGCGTATGTGACGGGGATAGCTGACCAGGCGGCAAGTTTACGGACAAGCTCTTCGTCAATGCCTTGTTGTAGGCCTTCGTTGTCAGCTGCGTGGATGAGGAATTCAGAGCAGTAGGGCTGGAGCAGGGAGATTGACTCTGTTGTCGAAAGAAGATGTTCGTTAGCAGATACAAAAGAATGAAGTAGACTATTCTGTGTCTGAAATGCTCAAAAGTTTTAAGGGTAAAAGAAGAACTCACCAGCGGTCAACTCCATATCAGTAAGGTCTTGCCATTTGTTCATGGCGACGAACCATGTTTCGCCCTTGCGGCGGCAACTCAGATCAATGACGAGTTTCGAGGTGTCGTTGTCCAGCGCTTTGAGTACTGATTGCAAACGTTCCAAGGAGAATTTGCCAGACGGGAAGAGGAAAGATGTGATAATGACCTTCAACAAATTGAATCAGCATATACCGTTTGCGATATCTCGGGTTTCATCTTTCCCAAAGATCCTTTCTCGTGCTTAATGACATAACTCATGTCCGGAGAGGAGCAAAACAGCTGTAACGGAATTCATAAAAACTCACCTTACTAGCACCCTTCTCGATCCACTCCTTTGCATTGGTATCCTTGATACCACCACCAACCTGCAAATGCCCAGGCCAAGCTTCACAAGCCTCTCTGCAAGCGTCCTCATTACCAGGACCAAGCATGATCACATGAGCACCCTCCAATGTATTTTCCTTGTAGAGATTCGCATAGTAGGATGACGGCAGTTTGGATGTAAAGTTTGTCTTGAGCTCAGAGCTGGTGGTTGTCAATGTGCCGCCGACGATTTGCTTTACGCTGCCAGCGTGAAGGTCTATACACGGGCGAAATTTGGTCATTGTGTTTTTTTTTTTGCTGATGGTGTTGTGAGTTTGTGATTTCTTTTGGGCAGGGAGTGTGACGCGGCTCTTTTGGGTGTCTGTGTTTTTGATGTCGAGTAGGGTGGTTTTGCAGTCAGAAGCACCTCGAGTCGGCTGGGACTACTCTTTTTTTGTGGGGACTACGCTCGGCTTTTCCTCGATGAAGACCTTCGTTGTGCTTTCATCACACAATCAACACAGCTGTTCTTATTTTGTCTGGTCAAGAGAAGATGAACGTTTTAGGAAGATTCGAGATTTTGTGACTGAGGCATATGCTATCTTTGCATCAAAACATCCACATAGATTCAGGATGTGCATCGACGATAACTTCTCTCTCTACACACTTGTTCCTCGCTCTGTGAGAAGGCGTTGCGGATGATTGCATGTTCGTCCAACCCAAGATCTGGAATGGTAATGTTGCATCGGCGAACTTCATGATGGCTGTATTGGAGGGTGTGCGGCAGTGAATGGGCTTCTGTCTATTGATAGTACAATGATGAATTTTGTCTGTGAGTGGTCTGACGAAATCAGTGACGCCTTTCGAGGTCGCGGTCCGGTGATTGCAGGCGTCCAATACTGAGTGATGGATTTGTTGGGACGAGTCGTAATTACCAGAATCATCTTCTGTACAGGACGCACTTCAAACCCCACAAAGCCAGCAGCATAATAAAAAATCCGGCGACCGCCTCAAACTCTTCTGTCTCCCACCAGTCGAGCTTCTTAGGCGGAAGCATGATAAACGACTTGATGCCGTACAGCAAACCACCGACCATACCCGAAGTGCTGGTCGAGACAATTGCACCAGCGTACACACCACCGGTAGTTGCACTTTGAAGCAGGCTGAAGACTGGTCCGATACCAAAGACTGACTGCCAAAGCGCAGCAAGAGAGCCTGACATAAGAGTCAGTAAGGTCGCATACTGCTAAGGGAGGCAGCCATATGTACCAGAAGCAACGCCCAGAGAGGTGAAAACAATGCAGGCAAGGACAGGGAGAGCCAGGAAAAGCATTGTCTTGACAGAAAAAAGTGAGTTGTACATGAAGAGATGAGCGCCGATCGGACGGCACTGGTAGGTTGCAGGTGTTTGGAGACTTGATGGGTTGATGATAGAATGCAGATGTGGTCTGCAGACATATTTATATATGCTGCTGAGGCCGAGTTGTGCGGTGACTTGGGTCTCACCTACAACACCAACACCTTGTCTGTGATGTCTCTTGGATCAATTCTGATGGTCTAAGACAAAAGGCTTATGCATCGCCAACGATACTTTGTCTGTATGTCCCAAGTGTTGTCCACTCTTGGTATTTGTCTCGAGAAATTCTGAAGTCAGTAGACACTGACCAACCTACCTCGATTTACTCATTAATGCATGTAACAGACGGCTTGGGTCTATCCCGTAAATGGTCATCACCGATGTTCCGACTGATGCATACTTGGAGTCGAATCTGGCATCCAAAGAAAGTACTAAGATGCATATTTTGTGCAAAGCCTGCGTAGAACTTTTCATATCAATACGAAACCATGGTGATGATCATCTTTGCAAGATTATTAGCAGCATCGAGTGATGAATAAATGCAATGCAGAGAGAATGATGAAAAGTGAATGGTGTTCGGCTGCTGAGAGCATGTCCACGGAGTATGGTCGGGAAAAGCCGAAGCACCGCACACACACACGCTAGCGGTTGCTTGGCGTTCGCGAAATACCTTCGAGCGCTTGTCGACTTCGATTTCTCGCACGCCCAGCGACAGCAGAACCGCCAACCACATTCAAAATGGTAAAAATCAGCCTGCCAGGACCCAGCAACTCAGCGCGCAATGTGCTGACAGGATATCTAGGGTCGTGTTATTCGCAACCAGAGAAAGGGCCGTGGCTCTATCTTCACTGTACGTCGTCCATCATGCGTCGAGAGTGCGCAAACATTCGCGAAATTTTCAATCGTATACTGACACAATCTGCTCCCAGGCCAACACCAGTACGCATCTCCATTCGCACGCCTGCATCAATTCCGAACGCTTCCACTGACTTAGACGCTCTTTAAAGGACTCAACAAGGCCCCCGCCCAGTTCCGCACTCTCGACTTCGCTGAGAGACACGGCTATGTTCGTGGTGTCGTGAAGGAGATCATCCACGACCCCGGCCGTGGTGCCCCTCTGGCCAAGGTCGTCTTCCGTGACCCCTACCGCTTCAAGCTCCACACCGAGACCTTCATCGCCAACGAGGGCATGTACACCGGCCAGTTCATCTACGCCGGCAAGAACGCTTCCCTCACCATCGGCAACGTCCTCCCTCTCGGATCCTGCCCTGAGGGTACCGTTGTCACCAACGTCGAGGAGAAGATGGGCGACCGTGGTGCTCTTGGTCGTACCTCTGGTAACTACGTCACCGTCATTGGCCACAACCCCGACGAGGGCAAGACCCGTGTCAAGCTCCCCTCTGGTGCCAAGAAGGTCGTCAAGTCCAGCGTCCGTGGTATGATCGGTATTGTCGCTGGTGGTGGCAGAACAGACAAGCCTCTCCTTAAGGCTTCGCGCGCCAAGCACAAGTTCGCTGTCAAGCGCAACTCATGGCCCAAGACTCGTGGTGTTGCCATGAACCCCGTCGATCACGTAAGGATTTCACGCATTCACCAGACCCAGCAGAAACAGCACACTGACACAATCTACAGCCTCACGGTGGTGGTAACCACCAGCACATCGGTAAGGCCTCGACCATCTCCCGCTACGCCGCCCAGGGTCAAAAGGCTGGTCTCATTGCCGCCCGCAGAACTGGTCTGCTCCGTGGTACACAAAAGACCAAGGAGTAAATCGTTGGTTAGGGGAATGGAGTGCTGGTCGGTTGGGTCGTCATTCTCGTTTACTTTGCCAAAAAACTATGAGCGATGCCTGGCAATTACTTTGCTGTACTTTTCCAGGTCTAGATACCAGGAATGTCAGAAAAATCCACGAGCAAAATGGCTTTTCTTTTTCGCAGGCAGCATCATCGAGGAATGTCCAAAAATGTTTCATGAGCACACGATCTTTCACCTGCAATCTTGAATATACGTAATCAGCAAGGTGATCTGCCTATGTACATGTACAGCACAGGAGCCGCAGGTAGTATAGGTTTTACAATCGTAGATCCTACCGCTTCAGCTGCAGACAGCGACAGGCGGGAGGCCGCGTCAAGCCGCCAGGGGTAGAGGAAGAAGGCTGTGCCTGTGTCGTATCGTAAGTTTGGCAACGGTGGGTCAACTAAGGGCGAGTCGACTTGTTTCGCCAGTGACGGAACAGCCGCCGTCTCTCCACATGGTATCTGAACATAGCGAAAGGCCGTTGGAAGTAGGGCGAGCATGTACCCCCACGTACCGCCTTCCAAGTTCTTGTTGAGAGCTGCCAACACGGCTCAAGCTGGATTTCTGACGTCCCTAGCAATTCAAGAATCAAGATGCGGCAAGAGTGTCTTCCACAAAAGGCCGCGGGCGTGACATCGCGTGTTTGGTGAAGGCCTAGCTTCTGGCCTTTTGGCTAAAAAAAGCAAAAAAGCTTATGGAAACTTCTCTGGTTAGGAACGCGTGTGTTCGGCTCCCCCTAAAAACAGGTGGAGACCTAGACAGTCTGGGGAAAGATGGTTTCAATCGTGTGCGAGAAGTTTAAGTAGAGACATTCAAGTCGAAACCTCCTTGTCCAATAGATTGCAGGCTCAACAGATTGTCGAAGGAGCTTCGATCGTTATCAGACCGCAGTGACCTTCCTTTCATTCGTTTAAGAAGTGCCAGCCCTGCCATCTCGCGTTTCCTCCTGCCCCCCACTCCATCACACGTCACAGCAATCAAATCAGCCGGCAGGGCCCCTCTCGCCAGTGCTTGCCCTCATTTCCCGCGGACTCGCCGACTTGCTTCCATCTTGACAGTCGAACACTTCTGAAGTACAGACTGTTCACCTCTACTCTCTTGACCAGCAGACAAACAACGACAATACCGCCAAGATGAACATCGGCAAAAGATTTGACCGCATGAAGCAATGGACGGACGAGAGAATGGGCAAGGAGATCAAGACTGCTGCATCCGACGAATTCAAGGCTCTTGAGCTTGAGATGCAGTTGAGACACGAAGGTACACATCTATTCTCAAGCGTCAGGAGTATGGCATAAATTGTAGGATTCGTCACTGACACTGCTACTTTCTAGGCATGGAGCGTCTGCAAAGAAGTATGACGACGTACGTCAAGTCTCTGTCCAAGACCAAGGAAGCAGAAGATAAGGAGAAGACGCTACCTATTGCCTACCTCGGATCGACCATGGCCAGCCACGGAGACGACTTTGAGCCCGACTCGGAGTTTGGACAGTGCCTCTCGGGTACGTGACTGCACCAGATATTTGACAGCCTGATTCTGACTGACAGTGCGCAGCGCTTGGAAGAGCCAACGAGAGAATTGCTCGCATGCAGGAGAGCTATGTCTCGAACGCTACAAACAGCTGGCTCGAGTCGGTTGAGAGATCCCTGGCTCAGATGAAAGAGTATCAGGTGAGTTCACCCCGATTCAATATATCTGGCTCGTGACTGATCGTATCTGCTCCAGACTGCCCGCAAGAGACTCGAGACCCGCCGCCTCGCTTACGATACCTCGATGAACAAACTACAAAGGGCAAAGAAAGACGATTTTGCCCTGGAAGAGTCTGCACGATCACAAAAAGCAAAGTACGATGAGTCGAGCGACGACGTACAGCGCAGGATGCTGGATATCAAGGAAGCAGAAGTTGACAGCATAAACGACCTATCGACCTTCCTAGATGCCGAGTTAGCATACTATGACAGAGCACGAGAGATCCTCATGCAGTGCAAGAGAGACTGGCCCGCGTACGTTCATGCGAAGAGGGATATCTGATTTTATGTTCACTGACAATTCACAGCCCCTCTGGTAACGCTGGCGCTGGTTTGGCTGTCCCAGGAAGCCGTGCTAGAGTTCCTAGATCTCGCTCCAACACTGGCAACTCGGCATCTTTCCGTCAAATCGATGAAGATGAGCCAGTCCACGATTTCCGCCCCCCGATCCGCGCAAGAGCACCTTCTGGTACCAACTCTCCTCGACGTGAGCTACCTGGCTTCGATCTCCCTGTTCGACCTTCTGCCCGTTTCGAGGGTCCTTCAAGTCTAAACTCTCGTGAACCATCTCCTATGTCCATGCCTCGCCTGTCTCGAGTACCTACCGATTCGTCCATATCCCTCAGGCAGGGATTGAGACCTACCAAGCGTAATGACAGCGCCAACTCGGACGTATTCGGTGATCAGGATGACTATACTTTGGACAACGACCGCTACGCCGATGAACGTTCTGCTTCGCCGGCCTCATACGGTGCAGCTCCTGCTTTCTCGCGCTCTGCCAGTTGGTCTCAGCAAGATGGAGGACCTAAGAAACTCGCCCCGCCCCCGCCGCCACCTTCGAGGTATGTGTCTTTCAGACGCTTATATAAACTGTATGCTGACTTCTATTGCCAGAGCCAAGAAGCCTCCACCGCCGCCTCCCATGAAGCGCAGCGCTTTGAGTTCGTCTGACGTGCCGCGACACTATTAGTTTGTTGGTTTCGTCTTGAGCGCAGACAGTAAAGGGGGCATTATCTTTTGCGAGCATACTTGGGGCCATGCATTTTTTTCTGAGGCAATTTTGTGAATAGGAGTTGGAGGGACATTTTTTCGTTTTCCTTTTCCTCTTCCTGCTATGTCTAAGTGATCGCAAAATGAAAAGTCGCATGCTTTTGCTTTCTCGTGTTTCAGAGTGCTGTTCGTTGACGGGCACTTATCTGCGTGCACTTTGGAGTGCCTCGAGCAGCATAAAGTCAAGATTTCAGAACTCTCGGACTGCACGACAATCACTTGCTAAACACAGTTTCCAGCATCTACGTGCTATATGGTCAGCATTGTCTGCATCTTGATATATTGACTTTATACATGTTCCATCCAGAAACAACATGAGAAAAGTGATGTGAGAAATCAGCCAGGGTGGGACCTACACCAAGACAAAAAGCTTGATGATCAAGCTTTCGCAGATGGCTTCTTATGACGAATCCACACATGTGAACAAGCCCATCACTTCTTCACAAGACATTCAATACTGGAAGTATTGGTTCGAAGAAGACAGTACACACCATAATGCAAAGTGAATAGATGGTAGCAGTGTGGAAAAATCACGTGCCCGCCAAGAAGTCGCCAAGCAGAGCTAAAACGGAGCGACTTCAGGCTCCATCGGAGGGTGCTGAGCGAGGTTCGGTCGTCGAGCGACAGCATCGCGCCGGAATATTACCACCCCGCTTCGTGCCATCGAGAACTTGTCTGCAACGCGTATCCCAAGGTTCGACGCGACGGTATCTAATTTGCAGACGGCCACCCACGAGGCCCGACGCTCACTTTCCCTTTTGCCTGTCTCGTTCGCGCGAGGCAAGAGCGCGACCGCTCGTACACGTCCACCCATCCATCCAACCACAGCCCGAGTCATCAACGCCGGGCCATCACCAACAAGCCTCATCAACCTTGACTCGATTTAACGCCATCCACTCCCTCCGTTCGCATCTCGTCGGCATAGCGACCACGACCGTCGCCGATCTGGCCTCCGGCACCAATTGACCAAAGTCCATCACGGCTTCGCGCAACAGCCCCTGCCCATCATGGCTTCAGTCCAGCAACAGCAGCCCGGCATGAACATGAATGCCCAGGCCAACCACCCACAACTGACCAAGGAGTACCTGACACAGACCTATCAGGTTCGCTGTCCATACTCTGTATCCATGATTCCTTTTACTAACTATACATCAAGCTCTACACTCAGGCCAAGGCTCAAGGTGTCCCTGACACAGACCCAGAACAGCTCAAGCGCGGTAAGATTCTTGCTTTTGCTCGTCAGAGGTCCGAGATGGCCAAGAGGCAGATGCAGATGCGCCAGCAGCAGATGCAGGCCCAGCAACAGCGCCAACAGCAACAAGGACAGCAGCAGCAAAATGGCCAGCTCCCACAAGAACAGAATGGCGCTCTCAATGGCAGCGCTGCTGTCCAGCCCACCAACGGCGCTGCTCAACAACCTACACCTCAGCAGCCGTCATCGGGCGTGTCCAAGGAGGCACTCTTGTCTAACGACCAGCAGAACACCTTGCGCCAACAGCTATCCGCCTTTAACTACCTGCAGAAGAACATGCCCATTCCTCAGAATATTCAAGACTCTCTGTTCCAATCCCAGAAGACTACCGCTGCCGACCCATCAAAACCTGCCTCGCCCGCAACACAAGCATCCACCAAGACCCACCGCTTCCAGTCCTTCAAGGACCCTCACGCCTTGATCCCCAGTACTATCTCATATCTCGACCACACGCGCCGCGACCAGCGCCAGATCATACCCAGTATCATGCCTTTGGGCATTGATGTCGACAGAGCACGTGAAGAGAGGGAAGCCATTATGTACAACCGCATTATGGCGCGTAAGAGTGAACTGGACAAACTTCCTGCAAACATTGGGTCTTGGGACACAACCTCGTCCACTGTCCCTGTTGACAATGGCAGGCTGAAGCTCAAGGCTCTCATCGAGCACAAGATGCTGAACCTGCTCCCCAAGCAGCGCCAAATGAGAGCAAACGTGAGTCGTGAGATGATGCAGTCGGACAACCTCGCCATGACTGCCAACCGTGCTCTTTACCGCCGCATCAAGAAGCAATCTCTGCGCGAAGCTCGCATCACCGAGAAGCTCGAGAAGCAACAGCAAGATGCCCACGAGTCAAAAGAGAAGAAGAAGCACAACGACTTCCTTCGCTCCGTGTTGTCTCACGGCAGCGAACTCAAGGCCTCGGCTGCGAACCAGCGAACAAGGATCCAAAAGCTGGGCCGCCTCATGCAGACCACTCACGCCAACATCGAGAAGGAAGAACAAAAGCGCATCGAAAGAACCGCCAAGCAACGTCTGCAAGCCCTCAAGGCCAACGACGAAGAAACTTACCTCAAGCTGCTTGGTCAGGCAAAAGACAGCCGTATTTCTCACCTGCTCAAGCAGACCGATGGTTTCCTGGACCAACTAGCCGCTTCCGTCAAAGAGCAGCAACGTGGAGCTGCTCGCAGATACGGACATGTCGAAGAGGAAGAGGAAGAGGAAGACGAAGTTGATGGAGATGATGAAGACGGCGAGGGCAAGTCAAGGAAGGTCGACTACTACGAAGTTGCCCACAAGATCAAGGAAGAAGTCACTAAGCAAGCTGATATTCTGGTTGGTGGTACTTTGAAGGAGTACCAGCTCAAGGGTCTCCAGTGGATGATTTCACTCTACAACAACAACCTCAACGGTATCCTCGCTGATGAGATGGGTCTGGGAAAGACTATCCAAACAATCAGTTTGATCACCTACCTTATTGAAAAGAAGCGCCAGCCTGGACCTTACCTGGTCATTGTACCTCTGAGTACTCTGACCAACTGGAACAACGAGTTCGACAAGTGGGCCCCCTCTGTTTCGAAGATTGTCTACAAGGGGCCACCTGCGCAAAGAAAGACCCATCAGAACCAAATAAGATACGGCAACTTCCAGGTCTTGCTTACGACATACGAATTTATCATCAAGGACAGACCCGTACTCAGCAAGATCAAGTGGTTGCACATGATCGTTGATGAAGGTCATCGTATGAAGAATGCCAACTCGAAGCTGAGCAGTACCATTACTCAGTACTACACGACACGTTATCGTCTGATCTTGACTGGTACTCCTCTTCAAAACAACCTTCCTGAACTGTGGGCTCTTCTCAACTTCGTCCTCCCTACCATCTTTAAATCGGTCAAATCGTTTGATGAATGGTTCAACACTCCTTTCGCCAACACAGGTGGACAGGACAAGATGGAGCTGTCAGAAGAAGAGCAGCTGCTTGTTATTCGTCGTCTTCACAAGGTTCTTCGACCTTTCCTTCTCCGACGTCTCAAGAAGGATGTCGAGAAAGACCTGCCCGACAAGCAGGAGCGTGTCATCAAGTGTAACTTCTCAGCACTTCAAGCCAAGTTGTACAAACAGCTTGTCAGTCACAACAGGCTTATGGTCAGCGATGGCAAGGGTGGAAAGACTGGTCTACGCGGTCTCAGCAACATGCTTATGCAGTTGAGAAAGCTTTGCAACCATCCTTTCGTCTTCGAAGAAGTCGAGGATCAGATCAATCCTGGCAGAGGTACGAACGACACACTGTGGCGTACAGCTGGAAAGTTTGAGCTTCTCGACAGAATCTTGCCTAAGTTTGAAAAGTCTGGTCATCGTGTCTTGATGTTCTTCCAGATGACACAAATCATGAACATTATGGAAGATTTCTTGCGTCTACGCGGTCTTCAGTACTTGCGTCTGGATGGATCGACTAAGGCTGATGACCGCAGTGAGCTCCTCAGAATCTTCAACGCGCCCGATTCGCCTTACTTCTGTTTCTTGCTATCGACCCGTGCCGGTGGTCTCGGTTTGAACTTGCAGACTGCCGATACTGTCATTATCTACGATTCTGATTGGAACCCTCACCAGGATCTTCAGGCACAGGATCGTGCTCATCGTATTGGTCAGAAGAACGAAGTCCGCATCCTACGTCTCATCAGTTCCAACTCTGTGGAAGAGAAGATTCTCGAACGTGCCAACTACAAGCTTGATATGGATGGCAAAGTTATTCAAGCTGGTAAATTCGATAATAGATCAACCAATGAAGAACGTGATGAGATGCTTCGTGTCATGTTGGAATCTGCCGAAGCAGCCGAAGCATTCGAACAGGAGGAGATGGACGACGATGATCTGAACATGATCATGATGCGTTCGGAGGAGGAGTTGCAACTCTTCCAACAGATGGATCGTGAACGTTACAAGGAGCAGAAGTATGGTCCTGGAAAGAAGCTTCCTCGTCTCATGTCTGAAGCTGAGCTTCCTGACATCTACGTCAACGAAGACAACCCGATTGAAGAGATTGTCGAAGTCGCTATGGGTCGTGGTAACCGCGAGCGTGCCAAGGTTAAGTACGATGACGGTCTTACCGAGGAACAATGGCTCGAAGCTGTCGACAACAGTGACGATGATATCGAGTCCGCCGTTGCTCGTAAGCAGGCGCGTATCAACAAACGTGCTGGTAACAAGGAGAAGAGGCTCCGTGGCGAAGAAGGTTTGGACGACACGCCTCCGCCAGACTCTCGCGCCAGTTCAGAATCACCTCAGCCCAAGAAACGCGGTCGCAAGCCCAAGGCAGAGACGCAGAAGCGCAAGGCCGAGGAAGAGGTCGAAGCACCTCAACCGAGAAAGCGCGGCCGTCAAGCTAAGGTGCCCGATATGCTGCCACCGACTGAACGTGAGCATCTGCAAGCTGTTCTCGATACGGTGCACGATACACTCATGGACTTGGAAGAGGTGTCATCAGATCCTGACCTAGCGAACAGAGGGATCATCGACCCCTTCATCGAGCTTCCTCCTCAGAAGCACTACCCTGATTACTACCAGCTCATCCGTAATCCCATCTGCATGGAGCAGATTCAGAAGAAGATCAACAAGAAGCAGTACCAGAACCTGCGTCAATTCAGACAGGACATCAAGCAACTGTGCGACAACTGCAGAACTTACAACGAGGATGGCAGTATTCTGTATCAAGACGCAAACCTGATTGAGGTATGTATATCCATTCATGAAACCGCGAAGAAACAACGACTAACGCGCGCCTACAGGAAACCGCTGTCAAGAAGCTCGCCGAAGAGACGGCCAAGTATCCCGAGTTTGCTGATTGGGAAACTGAGACTGGCAACACACGACCAGTGTCGAATGCAGGCACACCCCAGCCACGTGTCAAGCTGAGTCTTGGTGGCCGTAAGAGCCGTGGTGGTACCGAGTCCATGGCACAGAGCGACGACGACGAATAGATTTCTCTGTGTAAGCATGCCCCCTAAAGGGATTGGCGGGTGTTTTTCTCTTTCTTCCTGTTATCTTTTTCTTTTTCGATTCTGTTATAGTATTTCATGGAGGAAGGGAGGGGAGTACGGCACGTTTTAAGAAGAGTACGGAGCTACGATTACAACAGACAAGACAAATGACGTGTGGCTGTTCAAGGAGGGGATTGTCTCAGGGATTTGGAGGTTATACATTTTGAATTATCACTGAAAATTCAATTATTTCCTCCTCTACTTGCACCCAGGGGTCAATGTTGATTGTGAGCTGTTTTTGATACCCTTTTTCGTCTGTGTGATGTTTCTGTTCAAACTGATCGAACAGCTTCTTTGACTTGTAACCTTTTGTTGTTTTGCTTCTTTAGTCTCAAGATGTCACTGTCTCCCTCTACTCTTTTGCCTGTCTGGTCTTTGGTGCCCAAACTTCAGAGAGATCTCTTCCTCGTCGGCGCTATTGCAAGAGAGGTCCTGTAGGTTGTTGTGGTTGGTGTCCAATGTTCAGAGAAACCCCTCCTCGCAGGCAGTATCTGTTGTGAGTTGTCAGGCTCGCGATCCAGCACTGATGGTGCAATGTAATGTTGTTGGTTGACAGGATACTCAGGCAAATCTCGTAGCGTGGGGACAGACTCGCGGTTCAGCACTGATGATTTGACGGAGTTTTGTTGATCAAGTGAAAGAAGGAGAATAACATGGTGGACAGTGTTTTCTTCTTCTGTGAGAGAGGGCGTATAAAGACGATACACACCAAGCTCTCACGACAATCGAACGGGAAGACAGCAACGGTAGTAGAGAAATGGTGTTCGTACGATAGATAGATATAATATGTACAAAAGTCATCCCTGAGGCTCCTGCCATCGAAGGGTGAATCCATCGTAATCAAACGATATTAGACAAAAGAAAAAGGAAAAAGCCATTAAAGCCTTGACACCAGAAGGCTGTCGTTGTCGTAAAAAGTTGCGCCTGCGCCGTACCCATTGACCGTTGTGTACCCTTGCTCGCTCTATTGTTGTCGTCGTAAGAAAAAAGAAGTAGGTGGTGAGAGATATATGTACAAAGATCCTCTTTTCTGTTTTAGAGGACAAGGGTGATCGTCGGGTCAACGTCAATGTCCAAGCCACCTTTTTAGTTCTCTGTTTTAGTATTAATATCCGCAGGGTAAGGTGAAGGAGGCGAAGAGAATAAACTTACTGAGGTTGATCAAGGAGTTTCCATCGACAGAGTTGCCGTTGCCGTTGTCGTTGCCAGCAGAGTTTCCATTGCCGGCAGAGTTGCCGTTGCCAGCAGAGTTGCCATCGCCGTTGCCTGTGAAAAGAAAGAGTCAGTATTTTGCAACTGATGGAGGGTCATAGAGAATACGAACCGTCACCGTTGCCCTTGGCAGAGGCAGAGTTGCCGTCAAGAGCAGAGTCGGAAGATCCAGGGGACAAGAGGTTGTCAAGGGACTGGAGGAGGTCGGGAGAGTTGGGAGCAGGGGTAGGGGCAGCGGCGACAGAGGCAGCGAGGGCCAAGAAGGCAGTAGCGAAGATGGTCTTGGAGAGCATTTTTGCGGTGTTTGTTGTTAGAGGTAGTGGAGCGAAGGAAGTGCGAGGATAGCGATTGCAAGATAGTTGTGTGGTGTTGGATGAGAGGACAAGAGAGCAGAGAGTGGAATCACCTACTCTTTATATGTTGTTTACTCCTTTGCTGAGCCTTGCCCATCAATGCTAGAATGGCAGTGGATCGACAATCAGTGATGTGCATTTCCACATACGCAATATGGTGATGACCAGCATTGACGGCTGCTTGTTGCTTGTCAGCTTGGCCGTGTTGAATAATGTATTTGGCATAAGATCCCTGTTCAGGTCCTCCAGGGTGTAGAGCCGCGGTGCAATTCATCCCCCAAACATGCGATGATGTTGCAAGCGGCGTGGTCGATCTGGGGAAGGACAGTAGATCAAATCCGAAAAAGGATACCAGAGGCCCACGTTGCATTGCCTTATTGAGGATGGTGCGGACATAGGAGATCATCTACTTGATTCGTACAAACATTCGGGTCAAAGTCGCTTGCCTGAACAGAATTCTGGTTGACTATGCCCGATGGTTGATGATCGTCATTCGTGAGCTGCAATGGGTTTGGTATTGCGGTCGGTGATGTGCTGAAGTTGAAAGGAGTTTGCGCATCGCGGGAGACGTCATCTGCTCCAATTAAAATTCTCCTCCACGGCAAGACAGCCATCTGATGCACCACCACAGGATCTTTGACTCAAAGCAAACCAGGCAAAGTCACAGGAGGTTGAGTCCGCCAGGAGGGAACAAGCGTCTCCAAGCATTTGGGCATAGTAATGATCAGCAATGACTTTTCGGAGAAAAGCAGCATGCACGAGTAGCGCATCCAGTATCCGAAGTGGGTCAAGTCGAGGAGTAGCTTAACCGAACACTCCCCAGAAGATCTTCATAACAACACTTGCCGTCACAACTTCATAAAAAAGAGGCTCTGTGCTCGTTGAACTCCTCCGAATCAGAGACAGAAACGTGGTTGCATCGGAGAATTTCTCAACCGATGAACATCCAAGTCAAACCGTCGCTTTTGCTCTAAACCGATCCCTATCCTCTTTTGGCCTGTTATGGGCATGTGTGTTGAAAATAATCATAGAACAGACAGTCGTTAGAAGAAGGAAACTGCGGAGATCTCTTTTCAGCCGCAAAACGGAAGACTGTCGTTGACGATGGTGGCGCTTTATGCTTCTCCGAGCCTCAAATTCGTGTTCCTGCTTTAACCAAACGTCCGGGAAAAGCAGAGCTTTTGCTGTAGGTACCATATGCACTATGCACACAACTCAAGATGTACATATCATTATGTACTCATCCTGCGTGAATATGGATAAACTCGGCACGTAGTCAATTCAACAAGAGTAGAAAAGACTCACAAGATCAGCGAACAGCATGCCGACAAGTAACAAAGCAGAGCGATCTTCTCTGATTTCAGCTCTCAAGCGCGCGTCGGACGGGATGGTTTAGTGGCAGTGCATGAGTAAGTCACTCGACTTTCATCGGGGTCCGGCAACCAAACGACGATCTTGGTGCAAACCAAATCGAGTGATCGAGAGAGCAACATAGTGGTCAATGGTCACGAATTCAAATGTTGGTTGCTGCTTCGTCGCTCGCCATTGATCCGACGTCTTTAAACACGGCTGGGACAGGAGAATGTCACTGGCTTGATTTATTGATTTGCCGTGGTATAGACACTGCGGAGAACATCTCTTGCCGAGTCACACTGGAGGTGAGTCGCAACAAGTGGGTATATCGAGTAAACAAGAACAGAAGAAAGAGAAAGATATTATCGCCAATTCCGGTGCCGGTACCATGGTCAACAAGATACACGGAACCGCCCTGCTCCCAACCATGTCACATCTACATCACGTTACACCGTTCTTCTCTTTCGGCCTGAGTCATTCTACCACCAGCCCCAGGAGGAACATAGCCAGAATATTGTGGTGCAGGTTGTGAAGCCGCTGCAGCTTGAAGACCTTGGCCTTGACTCTCACGCCTTCTAAGTCGCTGAGAGTTGCTGCTGGTCCGCACAAGATTCAATGCACTCGAGCGTCTACGATGCATAGATGGTGATTGAAGGCTGGGGTTACTACCATTCTGATTGGCGAAAGGACCTTGCTGCATCTGCAGTGCTGTTAGAGCACCTAGAGCGTCTCCTTGCCTTGGATCTCGTGTCGCACCAGCTGGTCTGAATGGTCTGTCAGAAGCCGCCTGCTCGTATGTAGGTGGTTCGTCATCTCCGTCGTCTCTTTCTCGGATATACGGCGCATCAGCTGTTGGAGGCGCGGCGTTACGAGAAGAGGTGGATCTATTGTTGTTGCCCATATTGCTCCTTCGAGGAGGGACTGGAGGGCGTTGTTCCGAGGTTGGGCTACGTCCGGAAGACGCAGATTCACGCTCAAGAAATTGGCGCGAGAGCTCGTCTTCTTGTCTTCGTCGTTCAGCTTGGGCACGACGCTGTTGGTCCTCTTCCTCCTCCTGGAGTTGAAGAGCTAAAGCTAGGTCAGCATCTTCCTGTTCCGACCCGTGTCCGCGAGGTTCTGCCGGTGGCTGTGACGAATTGGCGGCACCACCATGCGAACTGCGGTGGTTACGCGGAGGTACAGTCTGCCACTCGTTTTCGTTCTGAGTTCCGGACGAGGTATTTCCTACTGGTCTGAAATCGCCGGAAAAGAAGCTGCCAGCTGCGCCACTGACATCAACCAAGCTCTCCCAAACAATTTCATCATGGGATGAATAGCCTGCATCTGTGACAAGATTCATGAGCGTACCACTTCTTGGATGCTTATACAATGTCGAGAAGTGATCGTTCCTGAACAAGATGGCAATTTGACCAGGTTTTAAAAAGTCCGCGATCAGCTTGAGACCGTGATCAGTCAGCTGAGTGGGGTAAGTTGTGAGGAACTCTTTGATGAAGATGATATCCTCAAACAACTGTTGTTCTTGCGCTGATAGCCCATCAGTCCCTAGCTTGTGCTCAAGCTCAGCCTGAGCAGTCTCAATGTTGAGTGCATCGTCGAACGTTTTGGCTGAGCGATCAAAAGCTTCGTAAGCTGACGAAGTGGGCAATGGAACCCAGCCGTGGAAGAGTGGCATTTCGAAAGCGCTGTAAAGGCGCATTTCTCGTGTCTCGTCGAACGAGCCGGGCTTTTCTTGTGGAGCATTCTGAGCAGCAACAAATCGTGGATTGACATTCATGCCAGTGTGCAAGGTGATGAGGAAGGTGTAGAGCTCACCAACATCAGGGAGTGCTTTGCTCGAGATCTCTGTTCTCCGTGCGAGCTCTTCGAAAACGGCATCTAAGAGAAGGCCAAGACTGATTTGTTCGCGTGAGCTGAGAGTGTCAACCAGTACTGTCTTTGGTGATTCGGGCGCCGACAAAGTCAAAGCGTTGACAAGAGCAAGCAGAGGACAGGGGCCGTTGGCATTCTGCGTCAAGATAGGAGAGCGTCGCATGTGGCCATTAGGTCCGGCGGCGGCATCAAACCAGTTGATATGCTTGATCTGGTATGTCTCATTGCGTTGTTTACTGAGTAATTCTTCAGCAGATTGAATTGGCGCGGAAAGATCAGTGTTAGGTTCAGGTTGAGGCGTATTGAGTGGCTGAGGATCCTTAGCTTGAGGCGGAGGAGGAGGATGATCGGTACCAAAGTCTATAAGAGGTTCTTCTTGGTGAACAGGAGGGAGGACAGGAGGCTGCGAGGAGAAGGTCTCTGGCTGTGTGGGCGCTTGGATACCGTGGGACGCTTGCGCCGCAGACGAGGTTTGTTGATTTGCGTGGGGATCATAGTGATGGTTCGTAGGTGGAAGCGGAGGAGCCGGGGGAGCAAGAGACGGAGCATTAAAGGCCAAGTTCGGCGCAGCAGGAGCTGGTGGAGGAGAGGGCGTGGATTGGAAGTTCGTAGAGAAGGCATGCGAGGGAGGTGGGCCTGGAGGAGGGTGAAAGATGGCATCAAGCTGCTGTGGCTGAGGACTAGGGGTAGATTGCCAGGGATTCTGCATGTTCTGTTCTCTGTCGAGGTCTTGCTGCCATGGGTTCGAGGATGTTGATGAGATCAAACTTCTTCTACTGCTCTTCTGAGGGATTTCTGGAGGCGGTGGACCGAGAGATTCATTGTGGGTCTCTTGTGGTAGGTGATCGTCCAGCGACAGGGCAGCGAAGGTGGGCGCGGGAGGCAATGAAGGAGGCGGATAGGATGGTGGAGCTGGAGGAGCAGCGGTGGGGTGTGGAGGGGGAGGTGTTGAGCTCCATATTGACTGACTGTCTTCGGTAGGATATGGCAGAGGCTGAGGTTGCGTTGGCGGTTGCGGCTGGTTATGTAGATTATGGTATGGATTATGCGATTGAAAAGAGTGTTGAGCTTCTGAGGCCTGAGGACGACCAACTCTTAGCGAAGCAGGAATGTCGGCCGACTGTGGCTCTGGCTGGTCATTGTCTTCGTCGTCATGATCAGAAGAGAAGCCAGAGTTCCAGGTGTTGTGCGAAGAAGCCGAGCTGCTCCTGGTTCGCTGCAGAGAGAGATCAGAGTCGTGTGGTGGTGGTTGATAGGCAGCCGCGTGGCCGTTAGTTGCAGAAGGTGCAGATGGAGCTGTAGTAGAGGTGGGATACGGCGCTGAAGAAGGCGGCTCGGGGTTGCGAGAGGGGACGGGCTTTCTCGTCACCATGATTGCACGGGTCGAGAAGTGTCAAGAGAGGAAAGCACGCGCAGGCTGCAGCCATCTAAAGAGACTCGATCGCAATGAGCGTCATACTGTACAGGACGCGCGGGCCGACACTACCGATAGATCCCCAGCCGTGCACATGTGAAGTCCTAGTGGCTGTGCAATGAGTATTGTGGCACAGTCATGTCCATTTCCTCATCTTGCAGACCATCTAGGCAGAAGCATTGGCAATTGGCAGCTTATAGATACCTGTTTGTCTGCCTGATATCCCTTGGTGCCATGGTCGCTTGGCATGACGAGAGAGGAAGTCACGACCGACTCAGTACTTCCTTCCGGTGTGCTAAACTGTCACAATAGCTGTAGAAATGCACGATATACTAAGAAACTGAAAAATGTTCATTGAACAGCGACATCTTGTGGGCTCTCTCTAAGCACACCTCTACTTTCGAAAAACAATTGTGCCCTTTTATAGTGTATATTTGCTCCTTGCTAGTTGAGACTACGAGGGAAGTGACGATGGACTGGACCCTTCCGAAGTCGCATGTGGCCGTGCAGCTGCTTTCTCAAAAGTTTTGGCGGGGTTTTTGCACCTTCGACTCGACACAGTCATACACAATGTCGATTCCCAGTCTGCGCGTCTTGTTAGTAGGAAACGGTGGTCGCGAGCATGCTCTTGCATGGAAGCTTGTGCAATCGTCGCACGTAGAACACATCTACGTCGTGCCTGGTAATGGCGGTACCGCAGGGTTCGTTCCCTCATGAGCAGCCAACTGCATGCATACTCAGACGAAGCCTCACAGTTTCCCTGCCAAGGTCACCAATGTCCAGAACGTCAAGGCCGACGACTTCCCTGCTCTGGTCAGCTTCGCCCGCGACAACAAGGTTAACTTCCTTGTCCCTGGTCCTGAGGCCCCTCTCGTTGCCGGTATTGTCGACTACTTCGCTCAGCACTTGCCTGAAGTCAAGAGTTTTGGTCCCAATGAGGCTGCCGCCCGCATGGAGGGCAGCAAGGCCTTCAGCAAAGACTTCATGAAGGAACACAACATCCCTACTGCCGCATACGAAAACTTCAGCGACTACGACAAAGCAAAGGCATACCTCGACAGCATCGACCACGACGTTGTCATCAAGGCCGATGGTCTTGCTGCCGGCAAGGGTGTCATCATCCCTCAGACCAAGGAAGAGGCTGTACAGGCCCTCAAGGATATCATGTTGACCCGCGAGTTCGGTTCGGCTGGTGACACTGTCGTCATCGAGGAGTTGCTCGTCGGTGAAGAGTGCAGTATCCTGACCTTCAGTGACGGTTACAACATTGCCAGTCTGCCTCCTGCTCAAGACCACAAGCGCATCTTTGACGATGACAAGGGCCCCAACACTGGTGGTATGGGCACTTACGCTCCTACTGGTGTCGTCTCAGCCCAGGAGAATGAGGAGATTCACAAATCCATCCTTCAAGCAACTGTCGATGGCATGCGCAATTCTGGCAACATCTTCGTTGGCTGTCTCTTCACTGGTCTCATGATGACAAAGGCTGGACCCAAGGTCCTCGAGTACAACGTCCGTTTTGGCGACCCGGAAACCCAGTCTGTCCTGACTCTGCTCGAGTCCGATCTCGCCGAGCTCATGTACAGCTGCACCACAAAGTCGCTCGCCTCGCTTGGCCCCATCAAGATCTCATCACGCGCTGCTGCCACCGTCGTCGTTGCTGCTGGTGGCTACCCCGGCTCTTATGCCAAGGGCACTCCCATGACCTTGACAAACACTCCCGAGGACACCGTCATCTTCCACGCAGGCACAGACATCAAGGATGGTCAGCTCGTGACAAGCGGTGGCCGTGTCATCGCTTCGACTGCCACCGGCCCTACCCTCAAGGAAGCCGTTGCTCGTGCCTACGAGGGTGTACAGACCATCAAGTTCGAGGGCATGCAATACCGCAAGGACATTGCCAAGCGCGCTCTGAAGTGACCTCTTCGAGGAACACCCCGCTTGCCCCTTTTTCACGTTATATAGACCTCCGTTATGATCGCCAAGACAAAAATTCACACACGCAAATGCTAGATTTGCTCATCCGTCCTAAGTTATCGTCTCGAGTCAATTTGCTCGCATTTTTCTCACATTACTGAGAACCTCTTATCCATCCGAGGCATAAAGGTTACCATAGGCTATCGAAGTGCACAGTTGCAATTCGAACATGAGTGTGACCATAGAGATAGCCTTCGATGGTATTCTCTGTGGGGAGGCAACATCTTTCAAGAAGATATTGTGCATTTTTATAGCTACATTGTGACTATCTTGAGCACACGGAGAGATAAGACAAATTCTTTCCTCTACGAAAATGAAAGCCAAAATTGGATCGAACGTCTCTTGATTCTTGGTGGATTTAATGTGTAGAGGTCGAAGTATGTAAGAGAATTAGAATACAAAGGAAAGTCGAACAAGCCTAACCAATCTGTGTTCGAACCGTTGGCGGCGGCGTGACTTCTTCAAGCTCAACTTGTTCAATATGAGACCGAGTCGCCCAATCCTTCCCACCCATACTGATATCGTCGAAATTCCTCATCCTGTTCTCATAATGCTCGTGTTGTGTAACAGTTGTGCGAACAGTGATTGGTTCCGTGGATCCTCTTTCGGCGTGATCATAATTGTCCACATAACTCGTGACCCTCCTGAGTCTGTAGTCTTTCATTTTGTCCAAGGCTGTCTTGAAGTCGTCAAGGATGACCGTGTCGGTCATGCATTTGAAGATAAACGAGAGTTTCCAGAATGGATTGATGCCGTCGGGTAATCCTTTGCTGGGGATTACGTGGGTGACGCTGAGGATATCGACGAAAAGGAACAGGACCGAGAGGGTCATAACCACGAGAAGGACGCCGAAGCGAGGAGAGATGCGGACGAGCTCGATGAAGCCAAAGTCGTATCTTTTCTTGATATTGTAAACGAGATTTATGATGGTGAATATCCACCAAGGGTCTCTGCGACTTGGTTAGTGGCTGTTTGATGTTTGAAAAAGGAAGATGCCTGCGCACCTAAACAATGCCTCGAAGGGTCGAGTATGTTCAAAGATCTTATGGTTGATGTTGTTGAAGTAAAGAAAGTTGGCAGCAATTTCAGCAACCCAGTAAGGCTGCACCAAGATGACGGTGCCGATATAGATCATGGACATCTTCCGGCTCAGGAAAGGTTTGTTCTTCATCCATGAGATGACATTGTGAAGGCTCCAACTGATATTGAGGAACAAAGCTCCTACAGATTCATACCATCCATAGTATGGTGGGTTGGGGAAGATGAATGTTCCTTGAAATAAGCCAAAGATCAACTGTCACAGCCATCGTGTCAGCAAAAAGTCTTAGTTCTCGGATGGCAGTACTCGAGTAACGATAACGAGCTTAGCAACAGTGGGAAGCCGCGCGCCGAGATGTATAGCACCGCAATGAGACCGAGGAAGACAGGCGCACAGAGCTCCTCCCCCAGCCTGGGGAAAATGGGGCCGAGGATGTGGGGATGGATGGTATACGGACATACGGACCTCTATGAGAATGAGATGGTGGAGTACGACTCTTTTTCGCATATTCGCAATCGTGATACAAGCCATGGTCATCAGGCTTCCAAACATTAGGCCCTTAGAACCAATTTAGCCATATTGCTTATACGGCCTTCATGCTTTTACTTACCTGAGCCCATGCTTCGAGCGTCAAACCCTGCGGGTCGCTGGGCTTCTCAATGAGACCCATGCTTCTTGTCTCAGCTCCAAATTGGCGGACAAAGAGAGCAGATTGTTAATATAGAGTGATGAGGATGAACCCGAACGCTTCATCAATGGTATGCGGACACAGAAAAAAACAAAGGAAAGGAACGAGGCTGGCGGGACTCCGGGACAAGCGCTCCTCAAGAATAAGAACTTTGAGGTACGAACAAAACAGCTACAAGACTTTGTAAGAAGACATTAGGGTATATTCGCCGAAGGATCGTGGGTACCAGGCAGTAATATGAACTAACCCATGTGGAGATCCGCGCGTCGATCGCAAGATGGCCATATCGAGGGAGTCCCCCCCATACCTTACCCCATCTGGGGAGCAATGGATGATGCTATTGGAGAATGGTTCGGCAATGACTACTCGAGGCTGAAGTCCCGTGGATCGAGTAAGCGATGGCGCTTTGCCAACAGCCATGAGATTGGACGGACTGCGGGCGAGTAATAGGCACACGTACGTTTTGCGAGCCGATATAGGGCGTGGTGCGGATTATGCTTTGCCACGAGGACAGGCGTGGCTAAGGTTGAGTCAGGGTACATTCTGCACGAACGCCATGTCGCAATTCTAGTGGCCTTCTATGCCAACGTTGTCAATAGACGAGATTCCCACTACGATGAGCTATGCCAGCAATGGGCAGCGGTTTGTCTTTCATGAGTAAGGCCACTTGGTCACCTTTGGTTGTGGCTTGAAGACTTGTCTTATTCATACAATATTCGATTAAAAGGTCCTCATGTCGGCATACGAGATTCGATGAAAGAGAAACCGACAACCAGGAACGTTGAAGGCGAGGTCTCAGAAGCCCAGATTCTTTCCATGATCACCGCACAGCTCGTGACCTGAGAAATTTGATCTACAGAAGCTTTGACATAACAGCCGAACATCGCGTGTAGATTTTCTGTTTGTGGTGCAGATGAACGTGTCTGACAGCACCTCAAAAAAAGCTCCCTCTGCAAAGATCGGAATATCTCGCCAGCTAATTTGACTAGCCTCGGTTCGATGATCAATTGCGCTCCCTCTTACCTGGGAAACATCCACAGTTCGCTTCCGTGACACTTCCCGAAGTATGCCTGACTGATCATTAGAAAGATTATACAAGTACGCATACCGGCTTGGCTTATGCTCATGTTTACGTTCTACATAGAGGGCATTGATCGACTGATAACCAGGTCAATCCAGTAGGCTGTCAACTCTCCAAGATACGTGGCTTCAGTCCAAGCCTAGGCAATAGACAGAACCTTACCAATTCACTCATCCCGTCACAATAATTAATCCATGACAGCAGCGTCTTACTAGTATGGCTCTGAGAATTGACTCGCGAGCAAGGAACTTTTTATCGTATTCGGTGATGATGGTAGGCTTATTAGCTTTCAGCCGCGGCCGCAGCCAAATCCCTTCTCTCATCCTCTAACTTCCTGGCTCCGTGCAGGTATCATTCCACCATATCCTGGCAACAGTATGTCGGAAGCTAGCTTGAAATTTTCTCAGGCGCTTTTGAAGACATTCACGTCAAGTTGGTTCTGCTAGACTGCGCGACAGGCAGCAATCGAGATTGTGAGCATGGCCTCTACACACGATACATCGCGACTCCCCACACGGGTCAGATCAGCTTGGCTGCGCCTTGTTCATGGCAGGGCACATGTGCTGTAGACACCTTGGCCGGCAATCCTTCTGACAGACATGACTAGTACCTCCCAGGGTATGTATTGCTGGCTTGCCGCGCACCTCAGTCTCCTTTAGAACTGTCCGCGACTCTCTGCCTGCAACTAATACTCGTGACCTACTTCGATCAAATGCGCCTTGAATCCTCATTGAGAAATACAGAGCTGAAATTTTCAAGACGTTGTTCAGCTCTTATAGGACAACAATCTAGCCCGCCTTCATAACGGTCGCCCGTTTCTCGTAACATTTGCCGTTGCTACAGTATTTGTGCGGCCATGACCCCTGCTGACTAGCAACTTCTACTTTTTGCGTCGACCGCGAACATGTTCCGAAATCCGGCATATGCTTTGATATGGATACTGTTTGCGGTCCTTGATTTTGTCAGATGTGATTCTCAAATATCGCTGTCAAAGCGAGCGACCATCGACCTAGCGATTTCAGCCAACTTTCCGGATCCGAGTGTCATCAAAGTTAACGGCACATGGTATGCATTCGCTACCCATACTCGAGGTACAAACATCAAGATCCAAGTCGCCCAGTCTCTCAACTTTGAGGATTGGACGGTAGTGAGAAATGCCGATGGTTCGCAGTTCGATGCACTACCCGTACTTCCTGCTTGGGTGCGAATGGCGAATTACCTGACTTGGGCTCCAGACGTTCAACAACTGGTAAGTCTCGTACGTCTACTGACAAGTTTCGACCGACTAATTGTCTTCAGGATGATGGTTCCTTCATCATGTATTTCTCGGCTACTACTGCCGCCAGACCAGATGGATCGAAACATTGCGTTGGCGCTGCCACTTCGCCAACAATCATGGGTCCATACACAGGTCTGGCCGATGCGCTATTCTGTCCTCTGTCCAGAGGAGGCGCCATTGACGCCTCTGGATTCAAGGACAGAAATGGCAAGCGATACGTCGTATACAAAGTGGATGGCAATTCGATCGGACACGGAGGTGCATGTGGCAACACTGTCGCACCCATCGTAGGCACGCCACTAATGCTTCAACCGGTGGCCGCTGATGGCCACACGTTCACTGGAAATGCTGTTGCTCTCCTGGACAACGATGGAGCGACGGATCAAGGAATTCTGGAGGCCCCGTTCTTGACCCGTTCTCGTGCTGGTGTCTATTTTCTCTTTTTCAGCAGTGGTTGCTTTGCCACTACAGGATACACAGTCTCCTACGCAACGGCGACAAACCTCACAGGACCTTATACTCGCGCAAGTGGCCCACTCTTCAGGACGGGCGACGGAAATGGGCTCAAGGCTCCTGGCGGCATGTCGATATGGGGTGACAACAGACACATGGTTCTTCATGCGAATTATGGAGGTGGTCGTGCTATGTACACGACACTGATAGCGCTCAGGGGAACGGAAGTGATTACCATGTGAGAAGAACGTGGTATGAGCCATGATTGTCGACGATCTGAATAAAGACTTGGTAGTACATATTGATAATTCATGAACAATAATTCAACCGGCTAGCTTACGAACCCGGTGTCATGGCTTTTCCTGTGTTAGATGAAAAGAGCAACTTGACGAGGGAAGGCAGGTCGCAGAAGTCTACTGCTCTGCACAAAGTCTCGCAATTGCCGTACTAAGATCACATGCAGTTCGAAGAGGGATGAGGTCTCTTCGATGTGCATATGTTTCTCAGAAGTTGTCATGTTTTTGCATAGATATGCATGTACTTTATGCGTGCTTGGCATTGTTGCATTACATCAAGGTCGAAGACGTGACTTGTTGACTGACTTGTCCGTCACGATGGACTGATAGTCGCGTCTCTACGCCAGTACCCTCCTTCACCAAGTACAAGGTCGACACCGGTAGCAAGCAGCCATGGAGCGCATCCGCAAGATGTGGCAACAAGAGCAGGATTATGAGCCCATCCAAGGAGACTCGGTGGGCGAGGAACAAGAGAGACAGGAGCTGCGCGAATCCACGTCCTTCTCATGGACAGAATACTCCATATTTCTGCTGCTAGGTGTGGCCATGCTATGGGCGTGGAACATGCTACTTGCGGCAGGCCCATACTTCCAGAGCCGCTTCGCGTCGAGCGATCGCCTCTTGGACAACTTCCAGGCATCCGAGTTGGCCGTGTCAAGCATCACAAACTTGGGCAGCATGCTCGTCCTTAGCAATATGCAGGCCCGCGCTTCCTATCCTCGGCGCATCGTCATGTCCCTCCTGATCAACCTCGTCGCTTTTGCATTGCTCGCTCTCTCGACATGGTTTGCTCTCGGCGTCAGCCCAACTGCCTACTTCGCCTTCCTCATCTTCATTGTCTTCGTCACCAGTCTGGCCGCTGGCTTGTGCCAGAACGGTGTCTTTGCCTATGTCTCTGGTTTCGGCCAACCCCAATACACTCAGGCTATCATGGCTGGCCAGGGTGTTGCTGGTGTGCTTCCTTGCATTGCTCAGATTGTATCGGTACTCTCAGTCACAAATTCGCAGCCAGACGAGCCAACCAATGATGCGCCAGGAGGTCCTCAACCAGTCCCTGGAACAGCCGCCTTTGCATACTTCCTTACCGCCACTGTCATTTGTGCCTCTACTCTTGCCGCTTTCTTCTTTCTCGTTCAGAGACACAATGCAAAGAAAGCTGCCACTCACCAAGACTTGACCTCCAGTGTTGGCAGTCTAGAGCAGCCTAAGAAAAACACAGTGCCACTTGGCTTACTCTTCCGCAAGCTGCGCTGGCTTGCAGCTGCTGTCTTTTTGACATTCACTGTTACCATGATGTTCCCAGTCTATACTCAACGCATCTTGAGCGTCAACGCAACGCACTCGACCTCTCGCATTTTCCAAGCCCCTTCCTTTATTCCTCTGGCTTTCCTGTTCTGGAATGCCGGTGATCTGTTGGGTCGCTTGCTGCCCGCTGTGCCACGCCTCTCTCTGATTCATCGACCAAAGCTCATCCTCATACTATCCATCGCCCGCGTGGGTTTCATTCCGCTGTATCACCTCTGCAATATTCGTGGCCAAGGGGCTGTGATAGAGAGCGACGTTTTCTACTTGGTCGTTGTACAGCTGCTTTTTGGCATATCAAATGGCTATTTGGGCAGCATGTGTATGATGGGGGCTGCCGAGTGGGTTGATCCAGAGGAACGTGAGGCCTCGGGTGGGTTCATGGGCTTGTGCCTGGTGGCTGGTCTAGCGTTTGGCAGTCTGATCAGTTTCTTTGCTGCAAAGGCGTAGGTAGATCCTGCAAAGACAGCTCATCGCTTATGCAAGCAACCATTTGACGAGTCATGATATCGTGTCAATACACTCGGGATCCAATACAAAGACTCTCTTCCCGTCAGCAGGCACAGACTTAATATCCTCGCACCTCCATCGACGGTTCTGCTATCCATTCGGTAGTGTGGCTTGGTGAACAAAGCCCTGGAGTCACCAACGAGTCCTGCGGCAGCCTTTTCCGCTTGTTTCAGCTCTAACAATCGTTGTTTCTCTCACCCTCGATGTCTTATGAGACAAAGAACTGTTGATCGGCTGGAGTTCCAGATCTCCACGTCAAGTAGCACGTGTATGCGTGCAACGGAAACACTAGCCTGCATAGGCGAAGTGCATTCCGCCTCGTCACAAAAACCTTCCATTTGTGTCGATGTGCTACTCGCCCCTGCCTATCAGATGTTACCGGAGCAAACTGCTACGATCCCCAGACCGGTTTTCTGTTTGGGAGTCGCTCAGCCAAGCATTTCCTCTGGATCACGCTTGCTGGACCACGGACACGCAGATAATGCTGGGTCTAGATTGGGCTCAAAAGCGCCCTTTGTATTACAAGACCATGAATCTCTTACTCTGTGGGAAGCAAAGAACAAACCACATGAGAACTACGACCCCCTGCCAGCAGCTCAGCGAAACTGAACATGAATTAATGTGGAGTTGACAAATAAAGATCTGACAACGGGGACGCGCCGGATGTGAACATGGTTTGCAGCTGGTTACATACAGTGCATCCATGCTAGGTGACGGTCATGCAAGTCGATTTGACCTGCTGCAGGATACTGCAGGCACGCGATTTGCTTGATCAGACCATCCTTCATGACGCCACACCCAGTAGCTTCTAATCGACAATCTATTCGACAGCCATCTTTTCCACACCTCTCGCTAGGTCCTCACACGTTGCTACGAACCCCCAACTCTTCGCTGCATTGAACTCAATGCACTGCTGCGAGAACTCTGGGCTTGTAGTACCGCATGCGTCCCTGAGCATCACACAATCATAGCCCTTGCTGAATGCATCTGTAAATGTCCCGCTAACGCATTGATCCGTGTTTACTCCGGCAAAGAGCAAACTGCGTATTCCTTTCTCTCGCAAAAAGTCCTCGCAGTCGGTGCGAGTGCCCCACATACCGCTCATGCGATCTTTATGGATCCAGACATCAGGCTTAGAAGGCAGCTCACAACCTTGTGCGTACAAAGTGTCGAGAGGAGGGTATAGAGCAGAGTTCCAGGCATCGCGCATGAGCAGACGCCCTGCATCAACAGTCGTGCCGTCTGCAAGCTTCACTTCTCCACACCAGGCTCCAAGACCCTTGTAGATGCGTTTATCCTTGCCGTTCTCCAGCACGACAGTATCCTGAGGCTTGACTTTGGGGGTACCTGCTTCTCCGTCTTGTCCACGGAAGACGTCTCCGTCGGCAGTCTCGGCCTCGACTTCTTCATCTCCGTCATCGTCTACAAGGACTTCGAATCCGAAAGCACGTTTGATTGCAGGAGGCATGGCGTCGACGTCTTGATCTGTCAACCCCCAATTCAGCCATATGACTTGCATGCCCGCTTTCCTCGCTGCGGGGATGGCGTATTGCTCCAGGTTTTTTGCTGCTTCGTGACCAGCACCTCTCTTCCTCCCAAATCCTTCTGATAGAAAGAAATTCTGCATGTCGATGATGACGAGGGCTGTCTTCTGCGGATCCAGAGTGATGGGTGTAGTCGATGTGATCAGGTCGAGTCGCGGTGAGATTGCTTCGCTGGAGGGCGATGCTGGATGCGTGAGATCAAAGCTGTTTTCCTTTGAAGAGTGCAGCCAGAAGTTGTCGGCATTGCCAATGATAGTTTTACGCCCTTTGCCCATGATGGATGTAGTACGTCGAGAGTAACTATACTGATTACTCGAGGTCAGATGTTGTTCTCTGAATGTTTAGTCTATTGAAAACAAGTCATTTCACACACAGCTGTCGTGGTATTATACCAGACTACTTATCTTTGCTGTTATCTGTATTATGCAACGACCGGTTGTCCTCGGGGTAGGTATTTTGGAGTAACGAGCGGGGGACGGCTGTTCAGCAGCTTCCTATCTGGGGCATGATCTTCCAGACTTTGCCTATCTCTATACACATCTTCTCTCCAACCCCATCTTCTGGCTGTGAAGTTGCTAGCAGAGATGATTGAGATTTGACTACATGCCGAATACTGGCTGTTGGTATTCAAATCATTTCATTCTGACTTACTTGCAGCACGAACAATGCTTTTGCGAATACAAAGTCTGGTCAAGTGCCATGATAGTAGGATGCAACGTCACTAGAGCTCGAGAAAACATTTCTATGCTAGAAATCAGAGCCTTGAATGCCATATGTCGCAAATTTCTGGCTCTTGTTTGTGCTACTTCCTCACGTTCGCATTGTTGTAGACAGTTCATTGGAAGGGTTTCGGTCTTGCGGATATAGCATTAGCTGCGAGAAACAAGAAGAGGACTGTGATGTTATTCACTGACCATGAAATCAGCTGTATGTTAACTAAGCAAGCATAGTTCCGAGCTAGTCCGTCAGGTGCTAATGCATGAGCAAGGTTGTAGAGATACACAATGGAGGGAGCTGTCTCCGCCTGAGACAAACAACATGACGACTCTGCTAGGTTGTGAAACATTGAGCGAGCAGTCACATCTCTTGTTTCGACGGTTGACAACGGCCGAGAAGGGGACATCGAAGCTCATTCGACGAGAAATGCCTTGGGAGTTACCTGAACCAGAACAAGCCACTCCTTGTAGTAATACTTTTTATTATGACCATCCTCGTAACCAGTATAGTCATCTGAACTCTTCTTCAGTGCTACCATCTAGCAGAATTATCGATAGAACGTCACCATCGCGGCCATATCGGTCTGGAATTGGCATCTATCGCTGTTGGGCAGTCGGAAGGACTAAGTGTGCCAGGGGAAGCCAATGCACTGTGGCTGAGTGAGTACATCAGTAGTCACGGTAGACAGCATGTGAGGGTTTTGAACACGTGCAACCGTAGCGGTAGTGGAACAAGACAACCTAATATCTGTACTGTTGTGTGCAGTTTTCGGAGAAAGCTCCTAGTGATGTATTCTGGCCAAAGTCAAACGCGCAATCACAGCAGCCATAATAATCACATCGAAACCAATGCTTCGAGTCATGATTCGTTGTACAAGACCAAACGGCACTGAGGCAAGTGGTTGGTCTATGAGCAGGTATTGCACACCCATTGTAATATGCGAGCTCAAAACGATCATTCGGAGATATGTCGGTGCCGGCGCTTTGAGCGGGCGGCTAGATGACATGGATTCAATTCCCCATGTGGCTTACGTCCTTTCGACGAAGATGTTGTAACTTGTGGCTGCAGCAGTCATTTTTGGCCTGGATTTGAATCCTGCAGTCGTTGAATCGTCTCCATAACTAACAAGCATTGGTCCATGGGCGATATTGCTGCAGCGATCTCTTGGAGCAGTGAGCAGAGGCGTGATCGAATGTCGCGAGCCCTGGCGATTGTGCTGATTCAGTCGTGTGAATGTTGAAGGGTAGAAGATCATCATGCGCGACATACTTACTTGAGAATTCTATACAGCTCATGTGTTGCAGAACTTCACAAGGATATATTGAGAACGATAAAGCAGATAAGATTACGCACGTCACACGTGCATTCGTCGAGTCGTTCGCGAGGACAGCTCGAGATTGATGTCGTCAAGGAGCACTGCAATAATGGGTTAATGGTTGTCTCGACAAATTGAAGCCGGAGCTCTCTCCCGTACGGAGACTAAGACCGTAGGGAAGCACCTCACCTTGCATTGTGATTTGTAACAGGCAACCATGCTCAATCAATCAAACTTGGTCTCTTGATCCAGATCGCTGGGATTGATGGGAGCCTGCGGCTGGTCAACAATGATACCCGACTCGACCCGCACCTACGATTTCACTGTTTCGACAGATAGCCAGAAGAATATAAGAGGTCAGAAGGAATCGCTTTGACCTGCCCTGGATCCAAGGACGGGACGTCTCTAATCAAGCATGTTGATCATGGCAAAGAGGAGAACAAGAAAATTGCCATGAGTTTGGTGTTGCCCGCATAGCCGGGACTGAATCTTCTGCCGGTAGTTCTTAGCCTTCGACCTACTGCGTATGTGCCACACTGTCGGGTTGCAAGTCGATATGCTGTGAGCTAATGATGATTGTTTAGGCGCCGTTGTGCGTGGATCTGGCCGCAGACATTCAGCGTTACACAACAGGCGTTGTTGGTCGTCTCCTTTCATTCTGGCTTCTCTGGAATGGATCAAGCAAGCCTCCAAGTTGTGGGGCGACACCACGCAACCTCGACCAGCCCAAGATGCGCGATGTCCTATTGGGCGAAACACTGATATGGAAGATTGACCCTGCGCCGGCGGCGCGCATTGCCATGAATCGACAGGCCTAGGAAAACAAGGCGTCTCGCTGGCAATTGCTGACGATGATGATGCCAACGACAAACAAGGTGCAGCATGAGCAGCATTAGCAGCAAGCAACGGCAGCCGTCCTTTCTCCCTCCTGTCTTCCAGTGACCGCCTCGCCGTGTACGCCCATTGTGTCGATTGCAAGACTTGAAGCGTGCATTTGAAATTGGCGGTGTGTCCGAGATGTGTTTGGAGCGGGTGGGGACGGCCTGTCAAACACAAGTTTTTTCTGCTTCGACCTCGAGGAAAGGAACACAATCACGCATGCAGACTTGTGACAAGCAACGAGTTCCAAGAGTCAAGAGTCGTAGAAATGTGACACGTCAAGACTCGGCTTGGTGTACTGATCATGCCTTGCACCACTGTAGATGTTCAGCAGCCATATTAAAAAAGCTGCCTACCACCTACCACTTGGACATATTTCTCTAACCTGGTGCGCAGTGAACTGTGTCTTTTGTCGCTGGGCTCTTCATCCAGCGTATCAGCATCTTTCCACACTATGTATCACTCTTCTAAGATGACTACGGTCGGCGGCCACCATTACCATCACCAACAACAGTCGAATCGAAGCGATCGTTGTAGAGAGATTATGTCGATAGACAACCTCTTGATACCACAGAGGAGCCAGCTATCAGTGCAAAGACACCACTTGCAACCAACACCTTCCCATATGCCAAGCCCAACGGCATCTGAAAGCGCATTCGAAAGGACGCCTCGGGAAAAGCGTGAGCCATACTCGGATCAGGCGCAGTTCTATATCATGTACGTCCGAGTCGGGAAAGAAAAGGATTGGAACCAGATCGAACGCTCGTTCGAAGAAGTGTTTGGTCAACACCGTGCGAAAGATGGATTGACAGCTGTTTACTACCGCATCAGGAGCAAATGGGGTCTTCCACCAGTGAACAAGTCTTCGCAGGAGATATCTGAAGAGGGAAAGGACATGATTCGGCAACGGGTGCGTGGTTTCGATCAGGGATTCCTCAAAAGAGTGGAGTATTTTGAGTGGTTGCAATCGAGTCAGTCATCAGCTGCGCCGAGATGAATTAGGGTCTTCAGAGCTCTTCGTCATCTTGCTCGCCTCCAGCTCCGTGAGAAGAGCGCATCCAGGGATATCTCTTCCAGGGGTTCTGCATTGCCTCATCGCCATCACTCCACTCTTCTGGATCCGACTCCCACTGTTCATCATCGGAACCTCCATGACGATATCCGTATGCGCCTCGGTCGTACTCATCGTCAGAAGCAACCTCGTCCTCTGGGTAATCAGCAGCATAGTAACCTTCGGCTGGAGTTGGGTCATGTGTCAGAATGCGAATTGCTGAATTTGGGTGGGTGGATCAGATGCTTACCGTTTTCGTCCTCGTCGTCGGTCTCGAACTCTTTGTCGCTCTCGGTCTCCTCTTCGAAGTACGTCTCCCACAGGGGCTGGTCTTCTTCGGAGATGACAATATAACCAATCTGAATGTTGGAAGAATCTTCAGCTTCGAGGGTAGCGGGGACTACAGGGTCTTTTGTGCGGACATATGTATCGTAGACATAATCATCGTCATCGCTCATCATGTCAACATCTTCTTCTGCCTTTTGAGTGGTCTGCGCCGGAGCAGCAAATTGCTCGGGATGACGTTCGCGGTATCTCTGAACGGGTTTCTTGGGAATCGATGTGACCTTTGGCTTCACGCGAGCTGATTCGCGAGCCTCCTCTTCTAGAGCGAAACGATGGAGGGCGTCGGCCAGACGATCAGGAGGAGGGTTGGCAGGACTTTGGAAGAGGGCTTCGGCAGTAGGCTTCTTCAGCCTGGAGCTTGCGCCGGGCCTCTTGAGTGTGTTGGGCGTGGAGATGGGGGTGTCCAGGACGGTTTGGGGAGCATCTTCCTGACCAACACGACGACGCTTAGGGGTAGCTTCGACGAAGGTGGGAATGTCATGGGTATCTAATTGGGCTTTGCGCTTCTTGACAGATTCGATGCGGCGGTGGAGGGGACGTGTTGGGCGGGCAAGGCGAAATTCGCGACGGACCAGGGCATCTTGGTGAAGCTGTTGGCGCTGCTCTTGCTGGAGGTGGTCTGCGACGCTGGATGGATTGTATGCGCCAGACACACCGCCGTTTAGTGTGTTGGATTGTAGCTGCGAGGGGTGTGCCTGCTGCAGACGGAACTGCCACACTTGCTGTTTCTTCAGCGTCCGTTCTTCGAGGAACAAGTCGGCCGTGGGCTCCTCGCCACGCTTGCGCTTGACGCGCACCAGTGATGGAAGCTCTGCCATGGCTGCTGTAAGATGCAGTGCCGCTGTCTTTGGAGATAGCGATTGAGTTTTGCGAGAATTGTGGGAGTCTTGTTGTTATTGTTGTCGTTGTCACGCCGGTATTCTTTTTCGCCGAGCGACGTCATCCTACCCTATCCAATTTTTGTCTCACAATACAACTTCACTTCCTTTCACTCCCATCATCTGGTGTACATTGTTGCTCGACAGGAAATCTCTGCTATTCCAGCAGACATGAGTCTATGCCTGACTTCAGATCGTTACATGTTGTGAGACCGCGCAGCTTTGAGAGCAGCTTTGTGCCTGTATGGACGGACTATTGTGCACGTCTGTACGAAGGAAACTTTCACAATATTCTGAGATAGACAGGTAAAATGCTACTGCTGTTGGAGCTCACGAAATAGTCGTTCAAAGACCAGGATGCTCAATGGTAGATCAACACGCTCGAAGTGAATGCCTCAACTGCTCTCACTATACACTATTGAGTCTTAGGTGTGCTGTGTCTTGCGACAGCCCTCAGACAAGTATTTCTTTTAGCATTGCACCTACCGGTAATCATCTCACTCGGTTGTCGTTCCAACTTCCAGTTCTGGCGTAGTAGGTTCACTCGACAAACACACAGCAAACGGCATTGTTTGCAGTCAGGCCAACAATCCCTCAGCTTCACTTCATTGACACTACCTCACTGAGCTTTCTCAGAACTGATCAATCCATCATTCTCAGACGCAAGTGAGCCAACCCCATTCAGTTCCAACTTAAAGCTCGCCTTCCACTTGCCCTTCTATTCCTTTGATTTCTACATCTTTCCTAGTCCTTACATACTTTCTTTGTCCACACGTAACATCTCAACCATGGAAAGATCTGAGCAGCCTCCCACCTGGCCTCCTCGCCCCACCGTCGAAGACGAGTCTCCTTCCGACAACCAAGCCGGCACTACTTCTGCACCTGAGCGCAACATGTCAGATCTTCCTAACGGCCCAACTGCCTCTGCAGATGGCGCCAGTGCACGCATGGCCACTCCTGACACTCCTGTCAACGACGGCGCCGAGATCACTCCCCAAAACCCTGAGGAGCCCAGAACCCCTGCCAATGCCGCACCTGCTGAACCCGTAGTCGACCGTGTCCAGATTGTTCTGAAGGATCAGAGCGGCACTCAGATCGCCTTTGGAGTCAAGTCAAACACTCGCATGGAGAAAGTGCAGAATGCCTATGCTGACAGAACCGGCCGCCCTGTCGGGACTCTGCGCTTCTACTATGAAGGCACTCGTGTGGTTCCAGAGGACACCGTCGCAACCGTAAGCTACTTCTCGGTTTGATTTGTTAGTATCAGAGACTGATTGCAATCAAGCTTGAAATGGAAAACGAGGATATCATCGAGGTGATGACTGAACAGATCGGTGGTGAAGGTGGTGAGACTGAGAACAGCACGCCTGTCAAAATTGCCATCGAGGTTCAGAAATGCGAAATCGATGGCAAGACGTATCCACCAACTCACTTCAGCATGTCTTCTCATACGAAGTTCGGTAAGCTCATGAAATCTTGGGCTGAATTCCATGAAGCCAAGGTTGCCGTGGCCTTCTATCACGAGAAACTCTGCCTGGGTGACCAAAGCAAGACTCGTGTCCGCGAAACAGACACTCCTGAGAAGGTAAACATCTGGTTCGAGACTCTCTTCGCAGGCAAACTCGCTAAAGACAGTTTCTAGCTTGGAATGGGAGCCAATGTCGTCCTCACATGCGTCCAGAATCCAGAATTTACCGGCCCCATCGATGTCGATGATGACTGGGTCGAGATGGACGGCGTCAATGTCAAGTCTGGAGCCCCTGAAAAGCCGTTCGTTTTGATCGTCAAATATCTCGGACAGGATGACATCTCCCGCGAAATGCACTGCAAGATGACCCAGACCATGCCTTTCAAGAAGTTCATCGATCTCTATGCGAAACGTTGGGACATTGACGCTTCTGCTCAGCGTCTGACTTTCAATGGAGAGACCGTCTTCCCCAGCGACACTCCCGCTTCGGTCAGTCAAGTCTTCTTCCTATACCCAATTCCGAAGGGCTATTGCTTACCCTTTCTCAGATTGGTGCAGAGCACGGCGCCGTTCTCAACATTGCAGAGGACCCTAATGTCTTCGCCATGGACCTCACCCTCGCTTAAGCGGTACAATAGCTGGTCGCGTACTGCTTGAAAGCGCTCCGATGAAGCGCATCCGTCCGCGTCTCACAACAAAGTCAATCAAGCAACGCAGCAACAATCAAACGAAGCCCCATGGAATACGACTACAAACATACCAAGAAGGAAGCAAAAAAGGATCTGTCTAACAATTCAACAAAAGAGAGCAAACAAGGCGCAGCAGACATGTAAACTACAGTAGCAAGAGACAGATCCCAGAAGAAATTTTCATCACATTTGCTTCATGCTTGCCCTGCTTTCTGTCCATACCTCCATCATTCCTCTCCATCATTTTTCGATAGGTATTGTCTATTTTGCCAATTTGGGTAAGAGCATGAGATGTCAAAGCTTTGATGAAAGGGTAAGCAAACGGGAAGTCGGGCACACTATCAGATGCAGGAACCCGATGCACGGCAAGGACGTAGACCGCTTTTTCCGAAACTGGGAGGTACAATGTTTTAATATTTGTTTTTGTCATAGATCAAACAGGTCAGAAAAGGACTAGTACATTCACGTTGCATGTTGAAGGGTGCACAACACAAAAGAAGAAGAAGAAGAAAAGGCCAAGTTATCAAAACTTTGTTTTACACAGAATGCTTTACGCGTTCAAGAGTCATCAATCATGTCATCATCATGTCCACTACCCTAAGCAAACAAAGCAGGTGCTTATGCCTTTATACGTTGCATAAAGTCATGGATACCATCAATGAGAACCGGACCCCACGCCTCAAACGATCTGCTGATGAGATTGTCAAAGAAGGTGATGGCTTCTTCTTCACTGAGTTGCAAACAGAACCTCTCTTCGACCTTCTTGACGGCTTGGTCACCAGCGAGCTTGATATCAGGGATATTGGCATCCTGCATGAGTGCAAAGAGGTTAAGTATGAGGTTTGACGAGCGACGTAGCGTGGTAAAGGCAGTGAAGCAGTACTGCTTGAATTCGCCGAACCTACTGTCAGGATTGCTCGGATTTCGGTCAGGACTACCGCCTAGACCGTCGATCATCTCGACACTGAGCCTCATGCTAGGCGCCAAAGGTTTAGGATCGCGACCTAGAATGTAGCCAAAGTCGGCGTGGAAGAAGTGACCATCTGGAGCAAGAAGCAAGTTGTCCATGTGACGGTCACCCACACCCAACAAGTACGTAATAACGCAGTAGCCAGCCAATGACTTGACATAAGTATCCATAACTTCTTTGCGGACGCCCATAGGAGCTGCACCATCCGGATTATGCTCGCGAAGGTAGCCAAGGATAGAGTTGTTGTATTTAGCATTGCCCAAGATTGTGGAGAGCGGGCTGGACGAAACGAATTGAACGGCACCAGCAAGCGCGCCAGTCGCCAGGATGCGGTATGGTGACAATTGGAGGTTCAGGTTCTCTTTCAATAGTAGTTGGTCCATCAAGGTGATGATTTGGATGACGAGTTGATCTTGACGCAAGTTGTCGCCAACTTTGAAGATGAAAGGATAGATATCTCCTTTAGTCGTTCTGAAATGGAGCAATAGCGGGGACAATGTTGATTTGAAGACGTTCACATTGTCAGGTACCGCGCCCACAATCTCCACGTTGGGGTCGAGGGGTAAAGGAAGAGGTGGTTCGATCTTGACAAGGTCGTTCTTGGGGTCCATCAGAGCTTTCTTGAGCTTCTCGACTTTGCGCAAACGATCGACATTTTTGTTCCGCGCATCTTCGCAAAGTTGAGACAAGACAGTAATGAATTCACCTTGGCGAAGCAGAGTCTTGCGACGCGCTTGGCCTTCAGGCGTTTTCTCAAGCTCTTGCATGAAATCATAAGAAACACGAGCATAGAGCTTTTTGAAAGTGGCTGCTTGTGCATCGTTCGAGCTTTCGTCCAATTCGACCATGAGGTACCAATGCAAGTAGTTACCGAGGAAGATATTGGCGGCGGAGCGAGCAACCAGGAAGCTGGCTAGAGATGAGTCGTACTGATCGAAATTCGCGTTCGATTTCACCTCTGGCTCGAATTTCAAGGCCTGAACCAGTTGTAGGAGATACAAGAGCAGCTCTTCATCTCCTGCCTTTCGCAAGCGATCGACAGCGTATGCGCGAACTTCTTTGTTGTCGAATGATGGACCGAGTAATTCGAGGGCGTCGTCAATATCAATCTCTTCCCACTTAGGGAGCAGTTGGATGACTTGACGCACCTCGTTCGCGTCATTCCAGGAGGTTGATTTGATCAGCTTGGTGAGAGCACGTTTGTCACGGGTAAGATAGTGCCTGAACTTGAAGACTTTGTCTCTTTCTTCAGCGCTCAGATCCGTAGTAGGACCGTACGACAGTATGTGATTGAGTTGATCTCTGGTCTTCGGGTTGGGCTTGAGGTGCCGATCGAGCATACCAATGCGTTGATTCCGCACCAAGCTGCGGTGCTTGATCTCAGCAGGATTATCATAAAAGCCGACTTCAGGATCGTAAATGCGTATTAGATGGGGAGCGTACGCGTCGCCATAACCTGGATTTTTTGAGTCGATGCCAGGACCAACGTGAATCTCGGGAGGAGGCTTCAAACGAACGTCGGATCCTGGAGCGGTGCGCACACGAGCACTTGAGACTGGAGGAGGAGGATATTCGTGGTCGGTAAACACAACGGGGTGGTCAAATCGTGGAAACTCAATATAGAGGTAGAAAATTGCAGAGTCGTCTTCTGTATGGCCATTGGCGCCGATTTGATGGGCTGGCTGAGCGTGTATCTTGGAGTCGTCACGGATGTTGGCTCTCTCCATTCGCTCGATCTGACGAAAGACCATCTGGTCCAACCATTTGTGCTCAGACAGTTCGCCCATCTCGTGCTTTTTCAAGAGTCCTTGCAATCGTTCCAGCTCAGCAGCCCTTTGGCTGTGCTTGTCGTCGGCGAAGAGCTGAAGGTTCTCATGGCTGCGGCGGCGACGCTTGGTAGACGGAGCCCATGGAGTAGTCGAGTCGGAAAAAGCATCGGCCTGCTTGTGTCTCCAAAGGCGGCACTTCTGCCTACCTTTCCTCAAGGTGCCGTCGTCGTCGAAGAGGGGTATGGTTGTCCCTCCAAAGGGGATGTGATGACCTCTTGCGCCATGATTGCCAGCAGGTGACAAGTCCCAGACAGTGATTGCGAGCTGAGCATTGAGCGGGAGGAGGGCGTAGTCGATGGGGAGGCGTAGCCACTCGTTCCAAGCACGAGCGTTCTTGAAGGTCTTGTATGGAGTTTGAGCGTGTACAGTCAAAGGCTTGCTGTCGGCGAAAACTTGGGCGGTAACATAGAGCTCGGATGTCGGACTATAGTAGGCGGGCTTCAGCTTGGGAATTATCTAGGGACAGTTTGGGATGGCGAACCTCAGATTAGAGCCCCGATGGCGCAACTCAGGCTGGCGGAGCAGAGTCGAGTACGGTAAAGCTTTCTCATGGCCCTCGAGACGGCCTCTACAAGGGTGTTAGTGGTCTGGTTGGCTGTTGTGAAGAGCAGCTGTATAGCGATACCACACCTTGACGCTGACACTGGTCTTGACCTCCGAGGCACTGGCAAAGGTGAAGGTATCCATGAGACCTCACTTGTGGCCGACACAGAAATGTCAATCCGAGGCAGACAGAAAGTGCAAGATGAAAGTGCTAGACCATGTCACATGTCGCCAGTGTCGCGCAACGCGCTTTCCTAAACTAACTCCGGTAACCCCGCACAGTGCTGCCTCCCACCTTGATTTCACTGCTCAATATCAACATCCATTGCCTTTTTCCATCTCTTCTCATAAGCTTTTCTTTTCGGTCAGCCGATTCTCGCCATCATGGCTGACTATTCAAACCACAATCGCGGTCAAGAGGACGAAGAGGATGAAGAAGATATTGATGAGACGGTACTAAACTTAATTCTCGTCTATGTAAACAGACAGCTACTGATATCTACAGGGCTACAAAACCATCAAAGATGCTGTTCTATTTGCAATTGACGTTAGCTCGACTATGCTCACCAAGCCGCCTCAGCTGGATTCGAAAAAGGCCGATCGCGATACTCCCACAATTGCTGCTCTCAAATGTGCTTATTCTCTGATGCAGCAACGCATCATCTCCAATCCTAACGACATGATGGGAATCCTTCTCTTTGGCACTGAAAAGTCTCGTTTCCAGGATGAAACCGCTTCCTCCAAGGGCCTCTCATATCCCCACTGCTATCTCCTGACAGACCTGGACGTTCCTGGAGCCAGAGACATCAAACGTCTGCGTGATCTTGTCAACGACGAAGACCAGGCCAAAGAACTTCTTCAGCCTTCCAAAGAGCCCGTTTCCATGGCCAATGTCTTGTTTTGCGCAAATCAAATCTTCACCACAAAAGCTCCCAACTTCTCGTCGAGGCGTTTGTTCCTGGTCACCGACAACGACGCCCCTCACAATGACGACAAAGCCTTGAGGTCTGCTGCGGCTGTCAGAGCGAAGGATTTGTACGACCTGGGTGTCGTTATTGAACTGTTCCCCATCTCGAGTCCGGAACACGTCTTTGACCGCTCCATCTTCTACAATGTAAGTTCCTCTCTGGCTGTTCTGCCAAGTCCTAGCTCATACAAGATAGGACATTATCTACAGCGCCATCCCATCAGATCCAGATGCTCCTGCGCCTGTCACCAAGGCTTCTAGAGCTTCTGCCAGTGGCGACGGTCTCACCCTACTACAATCACTTTTGTCAAACATAAACTCTAGGTCCGCTCCTCGACGTGCCTTGTTCTCGAACATGCCCTTTGAGATTGGTCCGGGTCTCAAAATCTCAATCAAAGGTTACATAATCATCAAACGTCAGGAGCCCGCCAGAAGCAGCTATGTTTACATGGGCGGAGAAAGGCCTCAGCTCGCTGTCGGCTCTTCCACCCTCCAAGCAGAGGACACAGCAAGATCGGTCGAAAAAGTTGAGATCCGAAAGGCATACAAGTTTGGAGGCGAGACTGTTTCTTTCACACCCGAGGAGATTTCAGAGATCAAGAACTTCGGCGATCCCATACTTCGCATCATCGGCTTCAAGCCCCTGAGTATGCTACCTATCTGGGCAAATCATCGTCCATCTACTTTCATCTATCCATCAGAGGAAGATATCATCGGCAGCACAAGAGTCTTCTCCGCTCTACAGCAGAAGCTTCTCAAAGACCAAAAGATGGGTCTCGCGTGGTACATCCCTCGCCGTAACGCGACACCTACACTTGCTTCTGTCATTCCAGGAGCAGAGAGGCTAGATGACGATGGATTACAGGTCATGCCGCCAGGTCTGTGGATTCACGTGCTCCCTTTCGCAGACGACGTTCGTCAGATACCCGACACATCAGTGGTTCAGGCACCTGATGAATTGGTTGACAAGATGAGAATTGTGATCCAGCAGCTGCAATTACCAAAGGCTGTATATGAACCCAAGAAGTACCCTAACCCATCTCTACAGTGGTTCTACCGGATATTGCAAGCTCTGGCCTTGGAAGAAGACTTACCAGAAAAGCCCGAGGACAAGACATTGCCGCGTTACCGCCAGATCGACAAACGGGCAGGCCAGTATGTCATTGAATGGGGATCTGAGCTCGAAGAACAATACGAGGTTTGGAAAAGAGCCAATGCTGGTCGTCACACTGCTACAGGTGCGACTAAGCGTGGCTCAGCAGCGGCCGGTGAAAGCACCAAAAGAACCAAAACGACTGCAGTCTCTAAATCAAGCGATAGCATCAGCGACGAAGAGATGCGCAAGGCCTTCGAGACTAACAAGATCAACAAATTCACTGTCGCCAATCTCAAGGCTTGGTGCCAGGAGAAGGGAATCAAACTACCAGCAGGTGCAAAGAAGGGTGATGTCGTTGATGAGGTGACTAGCCATTTCGAGAACAAGATGGCTTTCTAAAAAGTGGTTGAAGAAGCAGGTCTGGAGGACAGGTTGCTATTACGGATTCGCACCAAAGAATCAATTATACCCTAGCGTCATGTATCAAGTATTTTAATGAACACGGAAGTTGTTGGTACGGTGTTTTGCTGTGCGCTCTCCATCTGGAAACAGTGTACCCATAGTCATGCTACTGTCTTGCTGCCAGCTTTGGTCCCGATCTCTGGTCGTCGCCTCTTTTCATGATGCTTTACCTGCTCTCAATGGAAGGCTTTTTGAAACGTACAACTCCACTTCACGCGATAAATTTCAATGGCTGTATAGCTTGTATTTGGTGAATAGCAAGAGCTCACTGAATATTTTTAACTATCGCAACAACAAAGCTACATCGTGTCGAACGATTCCAGAGAAGTAGCAATACGTTGGCCCACTTTCTCAATGAAAGCCTGCTCATCCTGCATATCCAAAGCACCCGCCTGCCACGAAATAACTATGGTAAGATCGCCCTGATATCTAGACACAACATTGAAGTTCAAACATCCAGAAGCTACATTAGCTGGTTGAGAGAAGATCATAGACTCGATGTTCCAGGCTTTTTCTGGTTCAAAGGGGCCAGGGTTGAAGGACATGATGTTACTGAGTTCGTAGGAACATTCTCTGCGTTTGCCGACTTGGCCCTTCGTCCAGGGATACATGTTGCGAAGATAGGATAGTAGGCCGACTGGCTGGTCGTTGAGGGTCCCGGCGCATTTGGCTAGGTTTTGTGTTGTGATGCGTGCAGCGGTCCAGGAAGCATCAGAGATTAGATTTTCATCTGATGTCCTTTTGAATAGCTCATAGTATGCCGTTGGACATAGCGCCATATCATCATCACTAATCCCATCAAGATTTGAACGCAAATCAGCAGCAGTCTGGGAAACAAAACACCCTGCCTTTTCAGCAGGCAACTCTTTGCTCAAAGCTTGCACGATGACTTGATGAAGAAGACCGGTAAACTTGACATTGTGTTTTCGACATTCTTGGAGAATGTTTTGAACGTGATTGTGTTTGATAGAGATGACTTCGAGACAGGTCTGGTAGTTTTCGGGGTCGAAGAATGTCTTGGTGCCTGCCCATTGATCGTCTGCTTCTGGTGTGGCTGAGGCGCGGATGCCGAGTGGATTTGCAATAAAAGATGGTAGGTATGCTCCCAGCAGTGGTGATAGCAAATAGCTCCAGGAAATTGACAGTCGTCCTGCCAATTCAAGTGTAGGCAGCAGAGGGCTACTCGGACTCGTAAATTTGGGATCATCGTTGTAGGCGCAATCAGCACTTTGAGCTTGCTTCAGTCCAGAGAGAAGAGTCTTGTGGAAAGCCAATCCTGACTTGCCATCGCCGTGGGAGTGGTAGTAGCCGAACAATATGAGGTATCTACTTGGCCCCTGTTGTTCTGCAGTTGGCAGTGGCAGCACAGTGATGCGCCATGGAGGAGTTTGGTCACAGCGGGTGAATATATGATCGTTGGTTTGGGCCAGAGTAATCTTGATCAAGCTCTTCTCATCAGAAAGGTTTGGCGTATCCAATATGTTGATGTGGTTATTCAGATCCAAGACAGGCGGTCTGGCGAATTCTGGGGCCTCTGTTTCCTGTCCAATGATACAGGCAGACAGAATTGGGTGCACAGCGATACAGTGTTTCAAGGCTTTGATCAAGGTGTTCTGCAACGAAGAGTCGCTTGACAAGTTTTCAAGAGTGTAGACTCCTCCCACAACCAAAGTGCGGTAGTAGCCTAATGCTTGACGGACGATACATCGACGCTCGTTCGGTCCTGGTCAAGTTAGATGGTATACACCATGGCATCAAAATTGATATATGTACCAGCTTTCCGCAAGCTTTCCATCTTGAGGAGTTTTTTTCAGAACTTCTGAGTCTTGTCAATCTTGATATACGTTTCGTTCAAGTTATGTGAACTGGTGCCTGGCAGGATGAAGGCTGCAGCGGTTGAATACGAAACATCAATCAATACCCGCTATCAGCCTTGGCACGTGTGGTATACTTCGAACATAGCCACATTCTAGATAAACTGATAACGGATATGTAGAGAATGGTGATGTCCTCGTATTTCTGTTTGACAATGTACTACACCATGGATGTGATCTTCAAGGACCGAAGCCGATGATAGCCGTCTATCTGGCCGCCCCGGGTGAATGCCTTCCTCATCAGACCCGCAGGGCGGCATAGGCCAAGGGCGAGCGGGGTAGTTTTTATAGAGCGATGTCAACACCAGCTCTTCTCGAGTATTTCTCTCAATAGTGAAGCCCAAGCCATACGCAGATTCGAAGAAATGTCTAAAGTTCCCCCGCCAGGAGTTTGGGCACCAGCCATCACTTTCTTCGACCCAACAACAGACGATCTCGATCTTAGTTCCCAGAAGGCATACTACAACTACCTATCGAAATCTGGCCTTACAGGGCTTGTTATCTTAGGCACAAATGCCGAAACCTTCCTTCTCACACGAACTGAGCGTGCTTCGCTACTGAAATGTGCGCGCGAGGCTGTCGGTCCCGAATATGCCATCATGGCAGGAGTGGGTGGTCACTCGACAAAACAGGTGCTGGAATACATAGAGGATGCAGCTCAGGCAGGAGCTGACTACGTCCTCGTCCTGCCACCTGGATACTTCGGTCCTGCGACCACGGAGACTGTCGTTCGCAACTTTTACGCTCAAGTCGCAAAAGCTTCGGCTCTGCCAATCGTGCTCTACAACTTCCCAGGAGTCTGCAACGGCGTGGATCTTTCGTCGTCCCTGATCACGGAACTGGCGAATGCGCATCCGAACATCGTTGGCGTGAAGCTGACCTGCGGTAGCGTGGGAAAGATCACAAGACTAGCCGCACAACTTCCCGCTTCTCGATTCAGCGTGTACGGTGGACAGTCCGATTTCCTTATTGGCGGATTGAGTGTTGGAAGCGCGGGATGTATTGCGGCATTCGCGAACGTATTTCCCAAGACAATTAGTCGCATCTACAAGCTCTGGACGGAGGGACAACATGAGGAGGCCTTGAAATTGCACAGAGTGGCCAGTCTGGCAGAGGAACCTTGCAAGGCAGGCATTGCAAGCACAAAGTATGCGGCCAGCATTTTTTCGGCACCCAAGGCTGGCATACAAGATGCAGAAGCCAAATTGAGACCTCGCCAGCCATATCCACCAGCACCAGAAGCAGTACAGAAGAAGATTCGCGAAACCATGTCCGAGATGAGCAAGCTGGAAGGCTAGATCAAGCAGTGGGGGTGACCATACTAAATGGATGTCGTCCACCACACGTATTTGACAGGAGATTTGGTCCAAGAATGCCCACTGCCTGAGCGACAAGAGCTAGAATTAGATTAGAACATTGGAAACTTCATTTCTCATTAGTGATGCCTTAGCCCTAGTGATCTGAGAGCTATTTGTCTGTAGTGGCCTGACGTGTCTCTTATGCATCAGAAATCCACCGTGATCCTTCTTGGAGGGCCAATATGTGATGTGGTCGGTGGTGATATGGTGATATGTCTACTATCCATTGGCCGTCGCTGCTTCTCGGCCGGGAGTGCGATGCTGGAGGCCGGAGCTTGGGCTCTTGTTGAGACGATTGTACGTTGCGCATGATGCATCGAAGCTGGCGACGATGCGAAAGCCGTGTCGTTTAGTCGCTGCTTCCACATCCTCGGCATCCGCAGTTGACGCACTGGATGACTTGGTCCTCCTTGAGCTGCTTGCGAGGCACGCGACAAATGCAGGTGCTGTTGAAGTTGGTTTCCTTTGTCTGAATGCAACGGAGACAACATAGCTAGGAAAGGGTAGTCAGCAGCTGAAATTAAAATGAGCGAAGAATGCGACAAACCTTTTCGTAACCTTGCTTCTTCCACTTTGCGATCAAGTTCTTGTCGGCATAGTTGTTCTTCAACAGCCACTCGTACAGCTGCTTGGAGATGGCTTCTTTCTCGTAGTAAAGATCATAGATGTACTTTGAACCTGGCAAACAAAGTCAGCACTTATAGTGCATGGTATGGGAAATGCGCCAGCCTCTGTCTCGAGCAAAGGGCCAAGAAACTAGAGACGGACCTAAAGGGTGTATGGCTCACGTACGCTGGTGGGTGATTTGGAAGACGGGCCAGACCATTTCGTGCTTCTTCTTTCCTTCGTGCGAGGCATTTTCGGCATCCTTGAGCTTGTTGGAGAATTCGAGCAGAGTGTCTTCGATGTCTTCGAAGCCGTCGGGCGGCGGCTTGCGGTTTTTGGAGCTGCGAATCGGAGGCATTTTGATTTACGATTCGAGGCAACTGCGGTCAAGGCGACAAGGAAATTGACGGTGAGGTGACCGAAGACGTGAGTGAGGATTGCAAGGCGAATGCGACAGGATGGCCAAAAAGAGAAAGAAGGTGATCAGTGACGCGCCAGGGTGGTGCCAAGGCTTGCTGACCTCCGCTCCGGCAGCGTCTCGCGGCGGGCTGGTATGGCCTCGCTCAGTCTGTAGAAGCTGTCGAGTCCGCCATTGAACTCTTGTCCTCTCGCCCCACCACTCACAATGATCAACCCTACCTACCTTGCTCAAAGGACGCGCTCGTGTACGCCACGCATCCCCACCTCGGCCCTTGCGCCCTCACGCTGACTCCTCCTCCTACAGCCGTCAACTGGAACGATGCCCAGAAGAGAGTCCTCAAGTCCTACCGCGAGTGGATCCGCGCCGTATGATGCCTCCCTACAAGACAATTCGCCGTCCGATCAATCCTCTGATTCCTCCCAGGCTCCCGAGATCCAACAGATGTACTCGCTCAACATGCCCGTCTCGGCCATCCGCACAAAGATGAGACAGGAGTTCGAGAGACACCGTTACGTCCAGCAATTGAAGACTGTCGATGTCCTCCTCTTCAACTCCCACCAGGAATACCAGGTGCGTTGCCACCCATTGATGCCGACAGGCTCAAAGTTGACCATTTGTCTACTCAGGAAACCCTCAACTTCTGGAAGCAACTCACCCACGTCCTCAAGTACTTCCGCGCCGAGGAGGACCCCAAGGCCGCATTGCCCAAGAACTTCATCCAAGGTTTCCTCGAGGTACGATCCGCCTTGTTTTGCAGTCAGATTATATGTCAGATCCTTGTATTGACGCTGCTATCTCCAGGGACGCAACTAGAGAACAAAACAATCATGATGCGCCTTTTGATATTTCCCACCCTTCCCGTAATGATACCATTTCAAACCGCAACCCCATTTTCTCCATATGCTCAAAAAAACGCCCGTGACATGCATGCTTCCCGACCAGATTATTATGCTGCCTTGCTGGCATTGAATGCATCTCTTGATACAGTGAACTTGTCGACCACCACATCACAGAGGTCCATCAGATCATTGAGACCCTTTTCCAGGACATCGTAAACGTTCACCTCATCTGTAAACTAGTCAGTAATCTACGTCCCATCATAATCAAATTCGTCCTTACCCCAAGTTTGAATGCGCAAGTTCATCTTTGCTTCTGAAGGATGGGGAATCGAGTAACCGCAGAACTCAACATCAGGGCTGTATCTGTATTAGTACGTAACTTGAGAAAAAGATCGAGTAGCTTCTCACTTCTTCATGATAATGTAACGCAAAGCATTTCCCAGAGTGTGGTCTTCCTTGGTGAACTCGAATGAAGCAGCAGTGTCGGTCGATCCAGGAAGCTATTTTCTGTTAGATTTGCTCGTGTTTCCGTGTCGGTAGCATGTTGCAGGTGTTCTTTGTGAATCGTTCGCGCAGAAGAAAAAGGAATTTATATGGAAAAAAGCATAGATAAAATACTTACAACTCTGATGCGCTGAGGCTCGGCGATTTCAATATCGGCAGCATCTACTTCAGCGCCGACGACAGCATCAGCCATCTCGTGATCTCCGTTGGTAGACATGATTAGTTCTGTGGTTTCTATGATGTGCAGAAATGTTGCGATATAGCAGTTGGCAAGGCTAGTGGAGAAGTTTGCCGCCAAGAAAGTTTGTTATCTTATCAATCTTTCCATCTCCGTGCTGACCATCGGCAATTGGGAAATCTCCATGTTCGTCATTCCGCTTTCGCAGTTTGAGCGATTCCCAGTCACAATCCAACAATAATACATACAAAAATCAACAATGTCCGCCAACAAGCAAGTCCGCAGTGCGGTCATCAACCGCGATACCAACGAGACCAAGATCCAATTGGCTCTCAACCTTGACGGTGGCTCATTGGAGCAGATCGAATCTGAGAACAATGGCGCAGACAAGTCACACGCTGCCCAAGCTTCAAAATCACAGACTATCGACATTGACACTGGCATTGGCTTCCTGGACCACATGATTCACGCTCTTGCGAAGCACTCTGGTTGGAGTTTGAAGCTTAGATGCCGTGGTGACCTTCACATTGATGACCACCACACTGCCGAGGACGTCTTCATTGCTATGGGCCAGGTTTGTTGAATCCACGATCGAGGACTGAATTGTACGTTGTACTTACAAAATGCCAGGCATACAAGTCCGCCCTCAAGTCAACCGCCGGTCTCGCCCGTTTCGGCTACGCATACGCTCCTCTCGACGAAGCCCTCGCCCGTGCAGTCGTCGACCTATCCAACCGTCCCTTCTGCGTCAGCGACCTGAAGCTACGTCGCGAGAAAATTGGCGACCTCAGCACTGAGATGCTGCCCCACTGTCTGCAGAGTTTCTCCCAGGGTGCTGGCGTTACAATGCACGTCGACGTTATCAGAGGTGACAACGACCACCACAAGGCCGAGAGTGCATTCAAGGCTCTTGCTGTGGCGATTAGGATGGCTAGCACACCGGTAGTCGGCCGTGAAGGCGAAATCCCAAGTACAAAGGGTGTTCTCTTCTAGACGTAATACAACAATATCTTGTCAGCACATCTACTTTCCAAAGAGAGCACTCTCAGTGGAAGCTATTTCATCTCTGCAATGACTGTGCATTTTGCCAACATGCTCTTACAAGTATCACATCGTCTGGGAGAGTTGGTATTCCGCCGTCCCATAAAGCAGCACTCTCAATGGAAGCTACTTTGTTTCTGGAAACTGTTGTGTTATTTCACGGCATATCTTCATGGAGATAGCATTTGGAGAATCTGACAAAATGATACAGAGCAGCACTCTCAATGAAAGCTGTTTTGTTTCAGAAACTACTGTGCAACTTCATAACACGCTGTCATTTGTATCAAATCATTTGGAGATCATGAAATAATGATGTAACTTCCCCTTCGGTTTCCTTAGTTGCATTATATACGAGTACAGTATGAAATGGATGTAATGTCATGGCTCAATGCAAACGTCTGCAGAGCTCGACCCTTGTGTCAATTCATTAACTTTTCAAAATTGGAACGCAGTAAGAAATCAAGATCCAAATGCAATATCAAGCTTCTCATCCTGCTCTATCTTTCAGAGCTTCTTCATCTCCCTAATGTGCCTTTTCGAGCTCGTTTAGCAAGGCTCAAAAAGAGCATCCTGAGCAGTGCAAGTAGCAAATGGCCACTTGAACTCAGGAACGCAGCTGGCGTCATCGTTGCTGACTGGAGTGCCGAGTCCGTGACAGACCTCGACAGAGTTGACTGGAGTGTCGGGGTCAACCACAAGTGTAAGACCGTCGGCTGTATCCTTGTAAGTGAAGTTGGGGGAACCGGCAGATTCGCACATGATGCTGTCGGCGCGCTCGGGTTCAACGCTTGCCTTCTTGGTGGGCGTCAAGCAACGAACAGGGCCATCCTCGTCATCCTCCTCGATAACGAAGCGCACACGCTTGTGGCTAGGCTTAGCTGGCTTTGTCTTCTTGACGACTTTGTTGGCCTTCTTCTTGCTCTTCTTGACAGGCTCCAATTCAAATTCGTCGACAATAGGAACCTCGAATCCACGTCCACGGAACGCTTCGGCAACGTCGATCACGAAACTCTTGTACTGATCCTCGAGATAGTTTCTGGCTGCCAAGATAGTGGATGCAGGGATCTTTTCATCGTAGATCACGACACTGGGTGTAGCGACACGGGTGTGTTTGACAGCATAATCTTCCATGGCAGAAACGACGTTGAAGATAGGGCGCTTGCGGAAGTGGAACTTGATGATGTGATGAATACTCGACATCTTTTCTGGATCGTCTGTGCCATAGCCGACAATGATAGCAGGGCGTAGGTTGTTGTCAAGAATCCAGGATAGACCCTCGACTTTGAGCATGGGAGTCTTGCGTGCGCGCAGAGAGCCGAGTGCAATATCCATGACACTGCCTGTGAACAGTCAGTAAACAAACAAGATCCCGGTGTTGGAGTTTCGACTTACCCTTCACATCATCGATAACCTTGCTTTGGGCACCCATGACGAAGACTCCTGATGGTAAAGAAGTAGTCGCATGAGTTTGATTGAAGAGTGATGTACCAGTGCAGAAGAGGAAGAGTGTTGTTGAGGAAGGAAGAAGAAGTGGTGGAGTGGTGTGTAGAGGAAGAGGTTTGGTTGAGAAAAGAAGAAAGCTTTTATAGCCATGAGCGGAGTGTGACTGATCAAATCAGGAAGGCACTCCGAGTGAGAGAAGCAGTAGTGAGTGAATTGGATCTCGGGAGGTATCAATTCTCCCGAGGCAGGTACTGTCACTCTCTTCTTCCGGGTGTATGAGTCGTTGAGCAGCACAGTTATGTTTCAGATGTGAATGTCGAGGAGGAAAGTGAATAGTATAAGAGGATCTCAGTGTAGACATTCTCATTTTTTTGCAACGCATTGTGTATTTGCATAGCTTGTCTTTCCATGAGCATGGCCAGTGGGAGGTCGCAAGGTGATAGGCACTTACTGAATCCAGTCTGTTTTCACAAAGTGTTGTATTTCCTTACACCAGAATTTCGTAAGATATCCAGAGAGGGTACTTGAACGATGGGCTCTCAATGGAGATCCGGTTTTTGAGTTGAACATTGTGAATCGCAGCAGCTTAATTTCTTTGATCGTCTTCGGAGAGAAATGGTTCGACAACGGGCTCTTGGTAGGAACCTTCATGTGTGGACACGACTGTGCATTGTCACAGCTCATCTTCTGGTGCATGTGTCCAGGGAAAGCCGGCGACCGATGGACTTTCAGTGGGAGCTACACTTTCTTGCAATGTATTGTGCTCTCTTGCAGCTTATCGAGCATGGTCTCGAGAGGCGGGAATAACGAGCTTTCGATGAACGTAAGAGAAGGAAACTCGATTGTGCGTTTGGACGAGAATATTATGATGGCGGGATGAGTTTGTGAGATCAAGCTGGATCCCGACTCAATGAATGGCTAGCTGCCTCTATCCTATATTCCAAAGTTGCGGCTTGCTGGCGCTACCGTACTTGGCTTGCCAGGCAAAGAAGTACATGAGTGCAGCTAGTGGTTGGCCAACAAGACAGAATGAAACCCAGAAGATAAGATTGCCCAGTAGTTTTCCATTGCCTCCTTTCATTCTAGCCAACGGGTCCGTCAGAAAGATCAAGGGCAACTGGAATATCATACCAGCAAAAGCCACCCCTGCTTTTAATTAGTGTCGCGGATTAATGTGAGGGGCCTACGATAGACTAACCAAGGATGTTGTGAGTGGGAACACCGACCAGCAGCTCATGAAGCACACCGGAGAAGAGAAAAGTCATGATCTGAGCAACGGGTGGCGGCACACCTCGTCCAACCATTGGCGAATAAATATGTCGCTTCATGAATTGGAAGACTGGTTTGTTCCAGCTAGACCAATATCCCCTCACACCACTGCTATTCCACCAATCCCCGTAAAACTCCCTGTCGCCAAACCGCATCACTTCTGCAAGGGCATTAAGGAACGATTGGAAGAGGGCGTAGAACCCAGCTAGCCAGCAGAAGAGCGAGATGGTTGAGAGCTTCATCAGACGCTCAGCGATAGATGGTAGATCCAGCGAAGATATAGTTCCCAAGGAGTTTCTCAGAAGTGGAGCTGCGTATTGGGCACTTGCGATCCAGATGACGATACTGAGTCCAATGACTTCGACACAACGCTTGAAGACGAAAGGCCAGCGGATCTTCTCTGTTCTAGGATATACCGGCTGGTAGATCAATGTCGGAGCCCACCAAAAGTAGGTTAGGTTGCTGAGTGTGATGTTCTGCGGGTATGGGCAAGAGCTGTAAAGCTTGGGGACTTCGCTTGCATAAGGATATAGCAAGGCGTGTCGTAAATCACGATTGGTGAAAGCATATGAGCACGTCTTGAGCCATACAATCACAGCGTGTAGCTCACACAACGTGCCGATACCAGGATGGTGGATATGGTAGTAGACGACATATGTTGCGAGGGCCAGGTTAAGGGTAGCATTGACGCCATGTGCGAAGGCAATCAGGTGCCATGCTGTGCGAAAAGCTCGTAGTTCCTGTCTTCGTTGATCCAAGTTGGCCGCTGCATCAACATCCATCTTTTTGGCTCTGGCAAGAGCACCCTTGGCCTGCTGAGCAGCAACAAGCTCAATGATGTAGGCGACAAACAGATGGCAAGGGACCAGGAAGTAGAGAATACTACCATAAATGACGTCCTGGCGGCGATAGTCATGGCAACTGATGCAGATCAAGACACCGTACTAAAAAAATTAGTCAAGGACAATAAGTCACGCATGCTTTCGAATCAAGCTACCTTTTTGAAGTTTTCAATCATCAATCGCAAATTAGATACAACTAAAAATATCAGTTAGCATTAGCTTGGACGACGATTGACTGGCTGAACACTGACTGATGACCAGCGCACCCAAGTTTCTGAATCCAGTAAAACTGGTCTGCGCAGCAGAGTCCTGGCTCAAACATGAGTGTCTAGTAGCAGAATGGACGGCAAAGGTGTGTCTATATTTCTTGGGGGGCTGGACTCCGAGTTTCTCTGCTTTCTTATTATCAATGGTGTCCTGTTGCATGACAAGTTTTCCAGAACGATCCGTTGGGACTTCATGACTGGTGGTGATGGCTGTATCAACGAGGGACGTCATGTTTCCGGAGCTTTAAAGCTATTTGCACAAGTAGAAGAGGGAGTCTGAATGTGAATTTGTAAGATGCAGAATCAACGCAGCATCAAATAATCAGGTTGCTGAGAGCCAAGCAGCAAAGAGGAGTTTCAGCGGCAGAGCATTCAACATGACGGTCTTGAAGGATGACAGCAAACAAATCGCATCTTCAACGCGTCGAGAAGGAGCAGCTTCCATGCGGTTGACGCTGCGGGTGCCCCAGCAAACCAGCCCTACGAAGCCAAGCGCGCTAGTGACGCAGGAACACCTCCAGGCGCAATTGTTGGCCAGCTTGTCATCTCGACTTTCCCGATCTCGCGACAACTTCACGTCTCCTACGCCGCTAGTCATTGTGGTCAAAGGAATGGTCCTGCCATGACCATCAATAATTGTTTCTGACCATTTACTATCAGCTGGAGCTTCTGCAGCGTTGTTGTCACCGAGATTCGAGCCCATAACGACTAGGACGGTTCGGATAGATCGTGTCCTCTGAGCTCAAGCCTTGCGCAACGCGTAGCTGAGCAAAGCGCTGTTGTACACTAACACATTCATTTCGACCTATTTGCATCCCACAAAGCGACAATCATGGATCAGGGTGATCAAGGCGCAGGCCATGAGGGCTTCATCAAGAGAACCAGGCTATCTCGACGTACGTGCTTTTGGACTTTCGAATGCTTCCCTTGGAAATGTTACACACCTGGAAAAAGGGCTGACATTCAACTTAGGCCCTGCCACTGACTACAGTGCGAACATGGCACAGTTCGTGCACAATCGCAGGCCGCAGTACAAGGGAACTATGGGATTCGAGATGGAGAGACCCAGTGCTAGCTACGTGATAGACGTGAGTTTGTGCTCGGCGTCTGTTCAGATAGACGATGCAATGAAAAGCTGTGTGTTGACTCGAATCGTAGATGCTCCTACCACCAGCCCGCAGAGGCAATGCAGTAGATTCAGTCCCCGCTAGACATTTACATTCGTCCTTAAACAAGATGCGCCATCCTGTCAACGTGGTCAAATGGACGCCAGAAGGGAGACGTCTACTCACTGGTTCAACAAGTGGTGAATTCACCTTGTGGAACGGCACGGCATTCAACTTCGAGACAATCATGCAGGTGCGAATATTTGTGATATCCCATCCCTTCGACAGGTTGCTAACTTCTACGTCTAGGCTCACGACAGTGCAGTGCGAGCAGTGGCATACTCGCACAGTAATGACTGGCTCATCTCTGCTGAACAAGCTGGCATCGTCAAATACTGGCAACCAAACTTCAATAACGTGAAGTCTTTACAAGCGCACAACGACCCCGTTCGAGATCTGGCATTTGCGCCCACCGATACCAAGTTTGTGACAGCAGCAGATGACGCCCACCTCAAAATCTTCGATTTTGCTGGCGGTGTGGAGGAGCTGGTTTTGGAAGGTCATCAATGGGACGCTAAATGCGTCGACTGGCATCCTACCAAAGGGCTTTTGGTTTCTGGCTCGAAAGACCATCAAATCAAGCTCTGGGATCCTCGAAACGGACGATGTCTTACCACTCTTCATGGCCATAAGAACACCGTAAGCAAGACGCTTTTTGAACCGACAAATGGTGTGCTACTGGCTTCTTGTGCGCGTGATTCGACTGCAAGAGTTTTCGACATACGAATGATGAGAGACGTCTTCTTACTCCGCGGTCACGAAAAAGACATCAGCACGCTTGCTTGGCACCCAATCCACTCTAACTTCCTGACAACTGGAGGTGCCGACGGCGCAATGCATCACTATCTGTTGGACGAGCAGAACCTTCCAGCTGGTTCAGCACCCACATTATCACCTTACGACGCGCCGGAGAACTCAGACGCTCCTGCTCAAACCATATACCCTGCCCATCGTGTCACATATGCTCACGACTTTGCCATCTGGAGTCTCGACTGGCATCCTCTCGGTCACATCCTGGCTTCCGGGTCAAACGACAGAGCAACGAGGTTTTGGTCAAGGCCGAGACCTGGTGACAACACGTACAAGGACGACCGATGGCACATCGGACAGACAGCAGCAGAAGCTCAAGGAACATGGAAACGTACAACAGATCGGACAGCTAGAGACGAGGAGGAAGAACTTGAGGATGAGGCGGATGGTCTTGTTGATCAACAGATGCCCGCTCGTCAAAACATGCTACCTGGCCTTGCGGGTCTTCCTGGCATCTCTGCGCCCAGACCAGCATTCCCAGATGGAACCAGCACTGGAGGTGCTCAGCCGCTGCCCATGCCTGGTATGGCTAGTAATGGACTACCTTTCCCAGGTGGCCCACCAATGCTCGGGGGACAAGGCTTGCCATTCTCCTTGCCGCATGGCGGCGCACCGCCACCACCCCTTCCTGGAAACATGGACATGGAAAAACTCAAGCAAATGTTTGGCGGGCAACTTCCTCCTATGCCTCCACCAGGTGCTCAACAAGGATTTCCACCACCACCACCGCCTGGATTCCCTGGCGGACAAGGCCTTCCACCACCCCCGATGCCTTTCCCAGGCTTTGCCGGAGCGCCTCCTATACCTCCGCCAGGCTTCCCAGGGTTCCCGCCAGGTAATGCACCTCAAGATCTACAAGGACAGAACAGGAGGAGGGCCCCGCTTCCGAGCCAGAGTGAGAGCTTGCAAGAGGAGATCAGAAGAGGAAAATACCCCAGGGCAAGATGATATCCATCCAGCATTAGCTGTAGAAATGTTACTAGAAAATTCGAGCTTCCTCTGAATCTAGTGAAGCATCAGACCAAACCAGTTACACTGCTTCGCTGCGGGTCAAGCCTAGGCTTTGTGACGACTTATAAGTGACCATGTGCCTATGTCCTTGAACGTATGTGACACTCTAGTAAGCTTCAGCAAATCAACAATAAAGTCGTGAAACGTATCGGGAGTGAGACGGACCGGCGGGAGAAGGGTGATTATAAAGCAAGGAGGACTCGGAGATGAACTATCCGAGCGGCAGCCTGGGGTAGAGAGCAACAGCTCCAGCGACCTCTCTAAACTCTCTTGTAAACATACTAAACATTTCTCGAGTTGTTGACTCATCTATACGCAAAATGGTTGCTATCAACATTCAACCCGAATACGGGTAAGACGAACCCCTCGGCGGACCAATCGCGTCGTCCCCGCTCGCTCGATTGCGTGCTAGGATGCTTGCTGACCGACCCCTCGTAGCTACGTCGTCCTCACTGCCGTCGGCACCTGCTTCCTGGGCACCTGGCATGGCATGAGATGCGGTGGCTTCCGCAAGGCCGCCGGTCTGGGCTACCCTACCCCCTACGCCGACTCTGCGATGATGAACGCCGCCTCTGCTGAGCAGAAGCACAAGCTGTACCTTTTCAACTGCGCCCAGGTAACATTCTGCGTACTCTAATGATCAGGAGCTGGACTGACTAGATCTCAATCACAGCGTGCCCACGGTAACTACCTCGAGAACCACTATGTTGCCCTTACCGCTCTGCTCGTTGGCGGTCTCCGCTACCCTCTGCTCAGCTCTGCTTTCGGTCTCGTCTGGTCGCTCGGAAGAATCGTGTACGCTGTTGGATACACCTCGCCAACCAAGGAGAACGGCAAGGGAAGATTGGCTGGTGCCTTCTTCTGGCTTGCTCAGCTTGGTCTGCTTGTCAACGCTGGCTTGACTGGCTACAACCTGGCCTTCTAAAAGAGTTATATACATTATACCCCAAAAACACACCCAGAAACAGATCATACATCTTTCCCAGTTCCTCTTGAGCTCTTTGTTACCTCAGATACACTTTCAAGGTTGCTCTCGCGTTGGATATCGCAGATGTGAGCACAAGGTAAGCTATCTCAACGAGCAATTACCCAGAACGTGGCGCTGAGTCGCTTGACAAGGCTCGAAACAGTAAGTATCGTGCATTTTTATAGCTACATTGTGACTGTCTTGCGCATAGGAGGATGGACAGAAAATACGTTGGGTCGTCACTACTGACAATCATTGCATTGTCTCAACATTCAGTGATGCACTGCACGTGGGATGGTCTGGCGAGAAAAAAATCAAACGCCTCGTCAAATGTCGTGATTGTCTGATAATTGAAGTTGGAATGAGAAAGAAAGACTGTATCGAGGGCCAAGACGCCTCTCGAGATGCTTTCATTGTTCACCTCCTTCTTCATTGCTCTTTCCTGATAAGGAGAGCGAGATGGGCCCGATGCTTATTCCCTTTTGTGGACCTGAGCTGTCGTCCTTGCTGCGCAAACTTCCTTTTCTTCTCAGCGGATGCCCTGTACCATTTTGCTGTTGGCTACTGGTAGGTGAATCCAAGTTCGCGGCCGACATATCACTGCGCACACTGCCTATGCTGCTGACTGAGCTGCGACGTTTGGCCGGAACCGCACCTGCCAATTTCTCCAAGTCGTCTTCATCGTCCTCTTCTCTTCTTCGTTTCTCTGGCACGACTGATAGCGGCGATCCCAGCGTGTCAGGCGTTGTCGGCTCGATGTTGGGCTCCTTCTTTTCAGCGGGCGTCCCTGGTGATGCTGCGAGCATCTCCATAGTATCCTCATCCTCGTCTTCGGGATAAGAAACCAGTGGTCGCATTGGAGGTCCTACCTCGGGAGCTTTTGCAGCAACGGTTTCCGGCAAGGAAGTTGCAGTCTCATCTTCTGTCTCGTCATCTGAAGTGGCATTGAAGTAAGCTTCTTCTTCCGCGTCGGCGTCCTTGAGCCCTTGCCAGCGCTGTCCACCAGCAACGAGACTCCGGTTCGGCGTTTCGCCGCCCTGGGTGGAAAAGCTGCTTTCATCAGGATAGAAGCCACTTTGTATCTGTTCGTACTTCATCACGAGAGCCCCAAATGTGTTGACATAGGTGATGCCAAGCAGCTTCTCCCGGTAGCCTTCCACGAGCGGTATAACCAGTTGCTTGAGGTTCTCGCGCTTGATAAACTCGAATAGCTCGAGACAGGCTGAATTGAGAAGATTGTCTCGAGGCATTGTCTGATAGACGATATCAAGGATTGGATCGAACACCCCTTTGGTGATCATATCTTTATTGTGGTGTTCATCATTGAGGGCAACACATGTTCGGAACCACTTGAGAGCCGCTAATTTTTGTTAGCATCAAAGTCTTGACAAAAAGACATTCCAGGCAAACGTACTGAGCTTCAAATGCTTCTGAGGGCAAGATAATAGCTGCGCAACGCGGCAATGTAGGTTTTCAGCAAGAATGTAATATTTACTTCGGAAGTTATGTTGGCGAATGAAGAAACATAGAATTTCGACCAAATGGACGAAAAGAGAGGCCTCCTGCACAGATATAGTTTGTACTAGAGCGTGTTAGTAATCAATCGATTAGAAAGGTCTCCATGAACTCACAACTTTGGCTGTGCTCAAGGTCCTTCAGTGGCTGGAAAAGGCGCTTCGCCCCATCGTTGTAGAAATTGTCCACAAAGCTTTCCATTTGAGCACTGGAATTAGGATTTGCACCCCTCATCTTGGCCATAAAATCCCCGTTAGTTCTACCTAGCATATCCATGGAAGTCGAGCTAGCATGCGGATCCAGGAGAACCTTAATCGCATCTGCCATCTGAGCTTTGACGCCCAAATCGACCTCGACAAGTAACAGCTCAATCAGTGTATCTGTCAATGGTTTGGTCTTTTGGTTGATGGAACGGAAGATGTGAGAACGCATCATGACAGGATCATGATCGATCAGCGCAACGAGAATGTCGGTGCCAGCAACACGTACAGAGGCATGGCGGTGGCGCAAAGCATATGTGACCACATCAAGAAGACCGCCGTGAATGAAATTTTGGAAAAGGTGAGCACGCGACTGTGCCTGGATGCTTTTTGCGACGGAGCAGCACGTCTGTATGAAGTGCACGGCATCTTTCTTGCGTTGATCGTCTGAATCAGGGGACGTGAAGATGGTAAAAAGCTCCTGGATGAAATCCTTGCTGGACTGGATATGATTAACGATGTCAACCTGGTTGTAGAAGATAAGAGAGTTGAGGACAGTGAAGGTGGGGTCGTCGAGGATGCGGGCTAGTACCACGTCCTTGAGATATTGCAAGCGATATGTGGCATGGATCTTGTTCTTAACGACTGGATTGTCAATGGCGACGACTTCCTTAAAACGAGATTCGTCGGCTAGGTAGTGTCGATGGTTGGCCTTGTGACTGGGGAAGTCTGGGTCATACTCTAGAGCACCAACGACACCCAAGATGGCATGATCCGAGACGGTCAATTCTATGATGGATGTGTCGTTGAGTAGAATGAGTGTCTTCATGATGGTACACAGGCGGTGCAGAGCTTGGATGTCCTCGACGTGTTCGGCGAGCTCTACCAATGGTAACAGCTTGGAAAGATATTGTGTCTCAGGAGCCATGATGAATTTGACTAGGGCATCGCGACCGTGTGTTGTCTGACTTGCTGCGCGCATCGTCTCTTGTACCTGGTGCAGGTTGGCTAGTTCGGGCATTGGTAGCAGCAGACCCTGACCATCCACGAGCTCGTCCGAAAGACCATCGTATTCGTTGGGGTGCATTGCGAGCATGCGCTGCTGGATATCTGTGATGAATTCCCTAGCACGCCATCCGCGTCAACTTTGTCCTGCTTGAGGTGCGAGAAACGACTCCAACTCACCATATCTGAGCGCATCCATCTGCCTCCTGAAAGCTCAAGGCCATGTCGATGCCGCTCGGTTCAGTCCATACTATAAGCGTGTCTGCGCATTGAATGCATCAGCTTGTGTCTTGGTATTTCGTTCGGCTGAGGGCGTATACCCACCCTGTTGTCTCTGATATCCATCGTCGCGTGAGATTCTCGTTTCGAGCAGCATGCGCTGAGCATCGTCTTCGGACTGGACGAAGATGCGCGCTTCGTCATTCTGCGATAGGCGGGCGTGTCAGCGCATTGCGAGTCGACAAATGGTGAACAAGACGGCGAGGCAACTTACGGCCAAGAGCTGACCGGCGCAAAATCCAGTACCACGGTCATACCAGTCATTGTTCTTGAGCTCGTAGACCTTGACGCGCTTGCGATCATTGAGCGGAGGAGCGGCAAGTGCCATCATCAATCAGATGTTGCGCACTGCCTGACTCCACAGCCCTTGGGGGCTCGTTGGATGCGTGTCTCGTGATGTTTCAAGCTCGTCTTCTCGGTGTGCCGTGTCGTGCCCGAGAGACGCGACGCGTGGTGTGCTGTGTAGACGGGGCAGCGTTCCCGCGTGTAGCGATGATGAGGCTGATGATGAAAATGATGGTAATGCGCGGTGGCTCCCGGCAATGGCGTGGGCGCAAAGAATTCAAGGGTTCCAGTCGGACGCGCCGATGGCTTTGATCGAACAAGCGCGTACGTAGGGCTCGATGTTGAGTTGTGGGCGTTGATCTGGCGGTCGTGTGTAGCACGCAACAGCATCCGAGATGCTTGTCGAGCCCAGGTCCCAGCACCCAGTCCCAGAGTCCGAAGCACGGGCTTCGCTTCTTGCGCAACGAACCCTCAGTCCCAACTCACTTGCCAGCCAGCCTCGTCTCTCTTGATGCCAAACACCACCTCGTAAATCCCGCGCGCATCAATAGTCTATGTTTCTTGCTGCCAAGCTCGTGTTGCAAGGTACAAAGCCCGTCCTTTTCAGCTCACGTATACCCATTCGTTCATTGTTATCGCTGCCTTCTTCATCTCGTTCTCGGGCTCGATCCGAAACCCTGCAATATCTCAGCACGTCATACTTGTTCCTATTTCCACAGCTTCACGTGATCTCCAGCATTCTTCCTCAGACTTGGATAGCCGCTTTTTGCAATCTTTGGTCGGCTTTCGCCCGCAGCCCGCTGTCTCCGCTGCTGATCTTGCGGCAGAGTGAAGTGTGTTTATCCCCATGGGCCATGGATCGCCTGCAGCAGATTTACGATCCACGATCGTCGTCGACATGCCGCTCTGTCCTGCAGATGCAGAGCTTGTTTCGAGTCATTATTGAAAGATACATACTGTACCATCTGCACAGACTAGCGAAATCAACTTTCTTGTTTGGTCTTCTTTAGAGATGCGACCCGTCTTCGACACCCACACCATGCACTCATTCTCGTCTTCACTTAACTCAGCTGTACTATACCCCGCAGCCGTGCTATGTCAGCGATACTTGTCACTCAATGCTACCGAACTCATTTTTTGTCTCAGTTTGTGGCTGCGGTCTGGGTCAGCATGAAGCAGTCCATGTGGGATACTGCTACAATGTGACGGCGACCACGACGATGGAACGACAACGTCGAGCCTTCTCCACGTTTGCAGTGCTGGTGTTCGAAGCATTCCTCGTTTTTGTCTCATCTCATGGTCTCGGCCACCGCGTCGTACTCGAAAACCGTTGCGTAGGGCCAGGCCAGATTCCCACATTGGAACGCCAGCCGTGAGCCATACCATGTTTTAAGTACCTGCGATAGCCATGACCCCACGAGTATCGATTCGTCCAAGGTGCCACAGGTTGCGCCTTTGGGAAAATGCTGACTCTTGCCGCTCTACTCTATGACCCTGATGGATTTGAATTTTCGCCAACAACCTTCAGACAAATCATGCGTGGTGCGAACAACGGTAACTCGATCTGTTTGGGCGCTGCTGTAGTCAATTTCGACTTATCTTCCTGCTAGCCAAGTGCTGCTGCAAGGACTTGGTAGTAAGTCCTTGGACGTCTGCATAATGACGGAGTTCATGCAAGTTACCGAGTACATCTTCAGGTACGAACTATTGATAGATGGCCTGCTCGCGAAACATCTCGGTTGTAGAGGCACAGCGACCGCCCAGCCTATCCGGTTTCACTCCTTTTCGTTTGCAGCTTTTCAGCTTCAGCTCCGAATCCAGCTCCAGCTCCAGCTGCTGCACACGTGGATGCGATTGGCATGACCACTATCGTTCTTCTCGAATCTAGCATGCGCCAGTTTCAGAAGCGCCACAGTATCTGTCAAACTCTGATCACGACCGTTGTTCCTGGATCAAGCTAACGTCTGTGCACGGTTCCTCTCGTGCTTCCTGAAGTGGAAAGTCAACGGCACGTCCGGGAGACCGACAACTCAAGATCCGGTTGACTTTCGTTTCCAGTCGGTTCTGACGATAAGAATTACAGTTCTTCATCATGCCAAGACTATTGCTCTGGGATGCTTTGCAGTCTGCCCTCAGTAAGCTGTTACAATGTCTCGGATGATACTCCCATCCAAGTGCAACATCGTCATGGACCCGTCTCCTTTTCACCGCAAAGGTGGAACTACGGCATACCGGTGACCGCCGCGGGATCATAGAACTCCGACGATGCAATTGTGTCGTGTCAATCTTGTATCATGCAGAGCTGCATACTAGAAGAAACCGGTCGCGCTCCAGCTCATGTAGGTGCAATCATGCTGTCCCGATTGAGCGGATTTACAAGCATGAGCCAACCTTAACAGAGACCTGATAGTACCCAGTCGTTTGGCCCTAGCATATTGTATGTTCCGCTCTCTGCCACCCCTGGCTACAAAGCTAGTCAACTCGAGGCATGTTCTTGGCCGTTGCCTGCGCAGTGGATCGTCAACCTTCCGCACGTTTTGACCTCGTCCGTCAAATACTTTATTTTTGGCGCCACGCTAGATTCAGAGCCGTGCGATCAAGGTCCCTGGCTGAGCCCGGGAATCTCTCTGGTGCACCCGTTCTGTGAAGTAATCAAAAGGCCGCTGTCCCTCGAGATTTGCCCTCTAGTAAACAACTCCTTCTGTCCTACTCACCAATTTATCCACCTTCGACATAAGGACTTGAGATACATACGATACTACCCATCCTTCCACCAAACAGCTTTCCATTGTAAACGACCAACATGTCCATCATCTCAAAGCTCAAGGGAGCCAAAAAGGCCGCGGACGACCACAAAGCAAAGACAGAACAGGAACCAAAGCCTGCTACTGCCACTGTACCTTACAAACATGTTCCTACTCATGCCGCTACCGATGCTATGACCAGCTCACCTGGAGGTTGGAAAGCCGAAGAGATTGCATACCAGAACAAAGCTCGTCTCAGCAGAATTGGTAGCGACTATTCTACACGCCCATCTACTTCTTACGCCTCCACATCGCGATCCAATAGCAGACCAGGATTCAACAGAGCCAACAGCGATTCTTCCTTGGACTTCACATCACCCTCTCCAGGTTTCTCAATGCCTGGCAGATCAACAGCCTCTTCCATGAGATCGGCTGCGATTTCACGCAACACCAGCTACCAAGGTCTTGAGAAAGTCATGGAGTCCGATCGTGATCAGGAGCCAGTATTTGCAGCCGCACTGTTGGCCAACAGATCCAAAGCATCACGCTCTCCTCGTGGTTCCACCCGAAGCTCGCTAGGCAAGAGCCCCTTGTCTAGTGTTGGTGAGTGTCTCTCTATATCACCTGACGTTTCTCAAGCTAATGCATGTCCAGAATCGTCCGCGGATTCTTCGCCTGCAGAAAGTGAAAACAGTTCGCCTACTGGCTCAAGCAGTAAGACAATCGTTATAGTTACAATTTCCCCGATCGCGGCTAACCATTCATAGGTGGTCAAATTGAACTCAGATCATCGGCGGTTGCCTATGCACCCGCTCTCGAGATTCATCCTGGAGACAGAGTCAACCAAATGCCCGTGGGGAAGCCTGAGCGCAAGTACTTTGGACACAACAAACCACCCATGTCCGAAACCAAGGAAGCACCTGCGCCAGCACCTGTTGTGGTCAAGAAGGAGAGGTTCTCCTTCATGAAGCGAGGCAACAGTTCTGTTGCTGCTCATTAGAAGTCCTACTGAGGCTGTTCTGTTCGAAACTGCAAGATGTTGACGGCAAACGTCTACACCGAGCAAATGACACCTCCAGTCAGAGGGAAACGCTTTTCACGACTCTCCTATGTTTTCGGATTCTTTCTTGTTGAGTGTTTGTTGAGCGAATTGGGTTGGATCCAGGAGTTGGAAATTACTACAGCACGACCGTAGCGACAGTTGTTTATGGGTCTGGGGTCACGCTTTGAAGTTTTTTTAGAATGCAGGGGTGCTGCAGGCACTCTGCAACTACACGAAGCGAAGACGATACATGCAATCACGATATCACTATTGTTTCCATTATCTTGCCAAGTTTTTTGCTTTTTACGCAAACACAATCTTTTTTCCAGCTCTGGCCTCTATGTGCCTAGATGCGCATGGATATACCACAGGTTCAGAAGACGCTATTGAAGTAACTATTCCTATTTTGAGTTTCAAGAAGCGAGCGGAGGATTCATGACCTTTCGCTATCGGTAGACAACAAACGCAATGATGATCGATAAGGCTGTTGGGAGATGAGGCAATGATCCTTTCTCAGCAAAACACGTGTGGATGCATGAACCCAAGGTCCTGTCAATAAAGCAAGAGAACTACTTGGTTTACAGGTTCGGCTCTATTTTACGGGTTTTTGCTGCAGGGCCACGAACTTCAGCTCGACTCGCGTCAGCCAATCGAGCCTCAGCCCAAACCATGTCAACGGCTATCCCTCGAGGCTCGGCTCAACAGGGGCGAGTGAGCTTATCATTATTGTTGTGAGGGCTCGTACGCTGACCATTCACCACTTCCGTACGAAAAGAAAGGCCGGCCGCCGAACGTGGCATTCGCATGTGCCGCCTCTCCTGAATAGAATACGATAAGGCCAAAGGATGAAGCGAGGTGTGGATTCAAACTTGATTGAGGCTGGACAACGAATCCTTTTAGCACGATGGTCGCTCAGCACTCCGGAGTGATAGCCGCCCAATGTTTCTTGAGGCTCAAAAAGAACACGGCACATGTGGCAGTGCGTTGTTCCCGCGTTGAGATCTGTTGATGGATTTTGCACAAGTTCTGGACCTGGCTTGGCGATAGCAGGATCATGGTGGGCCAATCAAACGAGTCCATGGCACCAGTTCTGGTTCATCGATTGGATGAAGCAGAAAAAAATCGACCGAGCTGATTGACTCGAACATTTGCTATCTTTCACGCGGCGCACACAACTAGACTGGCGTGTTGTTTTCTGGCGCCTGTTCAGCCCTCCGCATCCGAACCAAGTCAGGCGATTGCGCCGAGCTGTCAGCATGAGCCACCAAGTCGAGCAGCAACACGAAACCGACCAGGCCAGCGACATCATCGAGGTCGAGCCTGTCGTCGAGAGAATCACTGTCAAGACCAAAGGAACCAACACAACTCCCGAGCCTTCGACACCCAGCTCGAGCATCCACGGCAGAGTTCATGGCACCCCCGAAATTATAGATGATGGAGGGCTTGTACACGAATACGAAGAAAGAGAAGGCGCAAAGAAGCCACGCTTCGCATACCTAAGGACAAGAGATTTCTGGATCGTGCTCCTGCTCACTCAGGTCATTGCTCTGGCTCAGACTGGAACAAACACTCTCACATCCTTGATCAATGCTCGAGGCACGAGTATCCCGGCCTTCCAAACCTTCTTCAATTATGTCCTGCTCAACATAGTATACACGTCCTTCACCCTGTACAAGTATGGCTTCAAAAAATGGGGAAACATGGTTGTCAAAGATGGTTGGCGATTCTTCATCTTGGCCTTCTTGGATGTCGAGGGCAACTACTTCATCGTGCTTGCCTACAAGTACACAAATCTCCTGTCTGCTCAGCTTTTCAGCTTCTGGACTGTCGTCGTCGTAGTTGTCATTTCGCTGGTTCTTCTCAAGGTTCGCTACCATCTTGCACAGTACGGAGGAATTGTACTTGCATGCGGAGGCTTCGCACTTTTGATTGCCAGTAAGTTGAAATCAACCATCTAAGCACATGGCGCCGTTGTTTGTTTGTCTGTACAACATGCCTGTATTTAGCTGTGGTGCTCGTCATCCAATTTCATCAGACGATGCTAACCACAATCGAAACAGGTGATTATATTACAAAAAGCAACAATTACTCTCCTGTCAACGCTCTCAAAGGAGATCTTTTCTGTCTCCTCGCTCAGACTCTTTACGGTTTCAGTAACACATTTGAGGAATTCTTGGTCTCGAAACGACCCATGTACGAAGTTATTGGCCAACTCGCATTCTGGGGCATGTTCATCAACGGCGTCCAAGCTGCCATTTTTGACCGCCACTCCATTCAGGAAGCACATTGGGACGGAAAAATCATTGGCTACATTGTTGGCTACACTTTGCTGTTGTTCATCTTCTACTCCCTGGCACCGATCGTCTTCCGCATGAGCTCGGCTGCTTTCTTCAACATTGGTCTGTTGACGGGCACCTTCTGGGGAATCGTTGTTGGTACTCAGGTTTTGGGCTACCACATCCACTATCTCTACCCCATTGCTTTTGTTCTCATCATTCTCGGACATTTCGTTTACTACGGCACCGAGGGTGTCTTAGGCGAGGCCAAGAAACCATGGCTTGGAGAGAACCAAGAGCTTGGTGAAAGTGGCCTTGGAACAGCTCGTCGCCGTGCTGAGCACCCTAACGCCATTGTCTGATTGTTTGGCGTTCACAGTCTTGGGATATGCTGCTGCTCCCATTCATCTCGGACATATTCTTTTTGATGTTTTGCTTATATCTCGGCTACTGCACATATGACTTTATGATTCTACGTCAAACAGTTCTACACTGTCTGCTATGTCAATATCTCTTTCTTTTTGGTTTCCAACGTGCTGTTGATAGTAACATCCTCTGCACATGACACTTGATCGTTATATCACACAGAAGATCTCGCTATACGACAAAGAGTGCCTTGCGAACAGAACATATCACATGTATACATAAGGTCATCAGAACCTAATGACCACCTCGCTAATCGCAATACGATAATCTTGCGATCTATGGTCTGCATCTGTATGAAACCGATACGAATAGATGTCCGTTTTCAAAGGGGCAACTCTGGGAGCGACCTTCAGATTGATCCAGACACTCAGACATCGTGATTCAATTCACATATTACGTTTTCTAGAAGTTCAATACCTTGATGGTGCTGACAGGGGGTCCATATCGGACAGGGTTGGACTCACACCCACTACTCGCTGGTAGGGTCACCCTAGTCAACGATGAACATGATCTCTACACGCAACGAGATCGATGATAACAGCGAGAAAATTATCAAGACGATAGAGGTAAAAGAGAATTTCTAAGACTCATGGGAAGTCGTACACTCAGAGAAGTACAAAGCTTATGGAAGCAATTTCGCTTTTCGAGTGCGACATCAGATAAAGGTCTTGACCACCGCACACACACATGTACTACGAACTCGGACGATGGCCACAAACCTCAAATCTAATGATCACCTACTTCAATCTATGTTCGTCTTACTGTAGAGCCATGTTGAGATCAGATCGGTCGAGAAGACAGCTTGCCATTATCTCTTATGAACAGGTCTTGGAGCCCGAGTCTAGAAGAGGCATCGTCGACGTCGAGCTGATCAGATGACTCATACTTGCAGGCGTATCGATACGGTTGAGAGACAGGCAAGGAACCTCGTCTCCATCATTGCCTATGACAGGCTATAGAATAGGCACGCTTGTCAGCAACATGCATGAGAATGCTCTTTGAGCCAGCATCAAGACCCGCCTTTGGCCCGGGAGTTGATGGTCCTAGTATTCTAACTTGGCCACTGTCATCGTCAGAATGAAGATTCTAGTTCAGCGAGACAACACTTAGTCATGATGCACAAGTCAGTATCGAGACTAGCTGGTTCGTAATGGTCGAGGACAGCACAGATGATGCAGAAGTCAGGACTAATCATTCTCTGGCTCGAAGAGAATGCGCACAAAATCAGGAAAGAGGTCGGGGTCATGGCCAATGAGATCTTGTCGATGGAAGTCGTACGACCCCTGTCTCGCAGAGCAAGAGTCGGGTCAAAATGAAAGGGCGTCCATCTTCTAACAACAGACTTGACCATCCAGAATGAGCACTGACCCGTGCTACTTCGCCAGCAACCCATCGCTTGTTTGTTGATGATCTAGGTCATGCTCGGGTTGATGTTGACTTACTGTTTATCAAACGCTCATTGGTAATTGCCTTGCTTTCGTTCAAGATCCGCGTCCTGACCTGCTGTACAAATATCATGTTTTCGTGGAGAATGTGCGAGCTGAAGACTGCCTGAGAGCTGTTCTTTCACGATGTGCACATAGCTTTTTTAGGACATATTCATTGTCTTGATATAGCTGGACGGACATCATCTTGCCGCTGCCATGTCATTATTCGGAAGCCATGTCGTGTACTCAAGGGTATACTGCTTTTCAGCGCGTGTCCACTTACCACGTCAAGAATCCTTCCGGCTTCGTCTTTGAGTTTTCTCTGTGTTGTGTCTGTGTACTCTCGTCCACCTTGTCTTCAGTCGTTGATGCCGTCCGCGCATACGATGGCTCTTGAGCTACTTAAATCATGAGCCGGAGCTTCAGCTTTCGCGTCCACCATGAGACATGCATGAGGTGCTGTGGTCCTGGCGCGATAAATTCTTGGTCGGGCACATGTGGGATCTCTTCGTAGTCTCTGGTAACCTTCGCTAGGAATGTTGTCATTGAGACGTTTCGTGCTGTTTGACGGATATGCTTTGACTTTCGAATGCACCTCGTGAGTTTGAGAAAGTAGAAGGTTCACCCGGGTATCGCATCGCTCTCACCACGTTGTGACTTGTCCTGGGGTTTCCATCGCGTCGGCTAAGTTGCAGGTCTTCTACCGCACGACTCCAGACCGATGAGTACAGTCAGACGACTCTGCACAGACTTGAAAGATTCTTCGAGTTCGAGTACAGTCTCGATATCTTGGCAGGTACGAGAGCCGTTTGACGGCGCAAAGGTCGGATGTTGCATTCCTGGAGTCTATGCCTGCATGACGTTGTGGTCGGGCCGAGTTGGCGTCGGGATTATATCTTATCCATCGCCTATGGAGCGATTGCAAGTTGCGGGTTCAATTCTTGTGCGTCGTGTCCCTGCTGATGTCACCAAGTGATGAAGGTGTTTCAACCTTCCAATCGAACACGTCTTCGATCATGCGCTATTCTTGGACGATAGATGGACTTCCAAAAATTCCTGAAACTTCACAGCCATTGTGGGATATTGATGTTGCGAAGCAGTGTGGCTTTGCAGATTTGAAGTCCTCCAACTTCCGCTCGCGCTCGGGTCAAGATCTGCCACGACCAAGAACTGTTCGTGCATTGCTCGAATTGGCATTGTGATGCTGATCGTTGCGATCGAAAGCAGTAATGCATCACGCGGGAACTTGCCATCGTGATCGAAGAGGTCAAATTTAGGGTAATATTGTAGCGTGTGACTAAGAGTCAAAAGTTGGGCACTCCTGCTTCGATTTGCACGCGTGTACAAGCTCGCTCTCACAGAACATCCATGAAATATGGACGGCGGGGTATGAACTCCGGGCAGAGCGGAATTATCTGGAGGACGAAGCTGACGAGTACGGGAGTATTGTGGGCCTGTGGAGTAATGCCGGTAGCGTTTGTGCGGAGAGATGGAATCTGCATTTGGCTATCGTTGCGGGAAAACAAAGAAACGAGCAAGTTATGATGAACAAAGAAGGGAGCTCACGGAGCGCAGGAAGGGACTCCCCATGCTTCCGCCCGGCAGCCACGGCTAATAATTTTGTCGTGGGATGGTGAATCAAGCAAGCTACGCGGAAACTGAAGCCGCCGCTCATGGCTCCGGGTATGAATGTACATAGAGGCATACTCATTGTCTGATGACTCACAGGCAAGCAATACTCGGCAATAAGGCCCTGGTTGGCGCGGTACTGAGCAGAAGGTGTGTAAAGTTTCGTCGGTGATGCCATACAAGGCGTGACAGACGCGATGTGGTATCATGGGCGGAACAACGCTTCGTCTCTGTACTGTACTCTGGGCAGCGTGTAGTCAAGGCGAAGGACGATGCATGGCGGTTAGTCACGGCGTCTTGGTGCGTAAACATGCAAGCTGTTAGTCAGGAATTATCATAGCTTGCGGGTGAGAATTGAGCAAGTGGGGAGGACGAAAGCGCGTGCAGTCTGGACTGCGAATCAAGTCGACACGAGTTTTGCCGAAAGGCCAAGTGCGGACAAGGGTCTTCTGGAGAAAGCGCCAACCCTATCCATCACCCACTGCGTCGTGGCCGCTTCCAAAGATGTCATGCGTCCAATTCGACCAAAATTGCGAATCGCTCCACTTGCCCAAGGCCACTCAGCGTCTGATGAGCCAAGGGGGGTCACAAGTAGCCCGTTTTATCCTGCACCGTTGTGTGCGTGGACAAGAGTCTCCTCGAGTCTACTTTTACATACTAAACCCACCTTTCTCTTCTTCTTGAAATCCTCCAGATTCCAATTACACTTTGGCAGATCTGCACAAGCTGTCTTGATCTCCTTGTTCATACCGCCTGCAGTACCTGCAGCAAGTACTTCCTCTGTATTGTTCCGGATCGACGACGCCTTTTATTGGCAGCCCTTATCGGCAAAGACCCTCGCTTTCTTTGATAGAAAAGCCTCACCGCTGCAGCAGTAGCATCCATCGACGGGTACGCTCTCGTTTTCTGTATTTCTTGTCTCTGCCTGGTCTAGCAATGAAATCTGCTTGTCGACGAGCATCGAGCAGACCGACTGCGATCTGCTCAGCCGTGTTTCCGATTCTCTGCAAAGCCGATTCAGGGAGCCCGTTCTGACACATTCAACGACAGTTACATTTTTGGGCGACGTCTATCTCCAGCCTTTACATAGATAAGGACGCACGCTCCTCAGCAAGGCGCGCCCTATCTGTGTTCAGTGCTGTACAGTAAATACCGCTGTTTGCTTGGTTACACCTTGCCTCGGCCACCCTCGGCTTAACTTGCATGCCAACCACATTCGTTTATGATAAATCGCGCTCTTGTCCTCGATAAACATGAGTCCTCCGCAACAAAATGCGCGCAATCAGACGTCGACCACTCGCCGAGCTGCACCTACACATACCCGCACGTTGAGACCTCCTCCCCCACCGGGTGCTCGAAAGAATAGCCACTCGGGCCATTCCAAGAAGAGTCTTGCCTGCACGAAGAACATTCTTGGTTCTGGCAAGAACAACAGCAAGACAGAGACAGAAGTCACGGTAGAGGACGAAGACATGGCTGGTCTTCCGCAATTCTGGTGAGCACACCCTGTCCGTTGCTCGTCCAGGCTTGACTAACCCATTTCAGTGCTACTTGCGAAAAGCAGATCCTCACACCTGCTTGCAACTCAATCCTGTACTGCTCAGAGAGCTGTCGCCGGAAGGACCACAACAAGCCTCTCAGTCATTCGATTTTGCCATCGGAGCCCTCACCACAGCCAACTACCCCCCGCAGCTCGTACTTCTTCGATGATCACCAGCCCGAGATTCTTCCTATGCGATCACCGACTGTTGTTCGCCCACCATCCTTGGCTTTCTCAGACGATAGTTTCGACCTGTCTGCCTGTGAAGAGCAACCCAAATATCGCCGCAGCGAAAGCGATGGTTCTCGATGGCTCTCGCAGTTTCACCATAACTCCGCCGACCACAGCCCTCGTCGTGCGAGCTATGATCCGTATACGCCGTCACTGTCGCACACTCCAACCTCGCTGCTCAGTACTGCTGGATCATATCTGTCTACTCGCCCACTTCCAGGTCGCAAGAATCCCTACAGCGCATCTTTCAGCTCTCTCTCGGTTGACCTTGTGACGCCGGTTGTCAACACCGAGTCATTGGCAGCGCCAACCGATCTCAGTCACCAGAGTACTTCTCTACGTAGTAGTGCAAGTACCAGCACTGCGTTGCGCGTCGTCGAGGGCGAGATGAGTTACGGCAAGAAGGATTACCCCGAAACTTCGCCTAGCAAGGGTAGCCTTCGACAACTTTTCTTCCACGAGGCTATGCAGGCTCCTCCTAAAAACGAGTAGCATGCATTGCTCCTCTTGTTTTCTGTTTTGCATATTATCGGTTTTAATTATACGAGGTTTATGACGGATACAGGGTTATGGAACAATCTCTGGTCATATTGACGAAAAAATAGCATCAGCATGGGAAAGGCTTAGATCCTTGGGAGTTTTGGAAGGGGAAAAAGTGTTTTTAGCAGCGTTACGAGAAAGATAGTGTCAGCTTGAATGATAACCTTTGAACATTTGACCGTGTTTAGCAAACACAAACTTCACATCCTTATAACCATCATTATCTGCAGTTGACACCAATTGATCAGTCTGTGTTCAGGGCCTCGCATATGATAAAAGTGTCTAGCACTAGTGGTTACGTGTGGTCGTTCAGAAGAACGAGCATTTGTGCGGAACGTACAAAACATGCACATCTGGTCCGTGCAGACACGCCTTTGCCGAAGCATTCTCGCTGGACTGAAAGGCATATATCCTGTTCCAATTTTGACCAATGCAAGATGCAATGCGGAGGGTAGTTATAACAGGCCTGGGAGCTGTTACTCCTCTCGCCGTTGGTGGGTTGGATAAACATGACATTTCTTCAAGACGTAATACTCATCTAATTTTCAGGTGTTCGGCCGACCTGGAAGCGACTGATTGATAGTCATTGTGGAATAGTAAACATCAAGGACAGGGATCCAAGGTTCGCATCTCTACCATCACAGGTTGCGGGCGTCATTCCTTCTGGTCTCAAATTGAATGGCGGATGGCATTCCAAAGAATGGTTGCAACCAGGCGTGAGCAACACACTACACCGTCCCTCAATATTGTATTAATCGGGAAATTAGGATGACCGGAAGATGGCATTGTTTGCACAATATGCTATGGCTTCGGCAGAAGAAGCTCTGCAAGACGCGAACTGGATACCCCAGTCTGAAGAAGATCTCCAAGCAACAGTACGTGAGCAGTAATCATCGGAACATGAAGTAATGCTGAGCTTGACTGTAGGGTGTCTACATCGGCTCTGGTATAGGAAGTCTGGATGATGCCTACAATACAGCTGTAGAGTTTGAGAAGGGTGTACGTATAAAATAATGTCTTACGTGGAAACGAACTACTGACACCATCTTAGGGCTACAAGAAAGTATCGCCACTGTTCGTACCCAGACTCTTGATCAACCTAGCCGCAGGTCACATTTCAATGAAATATGGATTCAAGGTGTGTGTGATTATCCCAATGGCAAATTGCCTGGACTAACGTAAGTAGGGCCCCAATCATGCAGCGACAACGGCCTGTACAACAGGAGTTCACGCCATTGGTGATGCTGCCCGTATGGTCGCCTTTGGAGATGCAGATGTCATGGTCGCTGGCGGTGCAGAGTCCTGCATCCATCCACTCGCCGTTGCTGGGTTTGCTCGCGCTAGAAGTTTAGCTACAGATTGGAACGACAACCCCCAGAAGGCTTCAAGGCCATTCGACAAATCGAGAGCAGGTTTCGTGATCGGTGAAGGAGCTGGTGTCGTAGTGCTCGAGGTAAGTATCACATACGAAGTATGTTATGGTGCGATATGTTCTAATCACAATCGTCATATAGGAATTGGAGCACGCAAAAGCACGAGGTGCATCTATCTATGCTGAAGTCAGAGGATATGGTCTCTCTTCTGATGCACATCATATGACGGCTCCCCGAGAAGATGGCCAGGGCCCATATCTCGCCATGAAGCGAGCACTAAAGCAAGCCAGCATCAAACCTGGTAGTGTTGACTATGTGAATGCTCACGCCACATCCACCGTACTTGGTGATGCTGCTGAGAACCGTGCTATCAAGACATTACTGCTCGGCGAAGATGGATACACGAGCGCTAGCCAGGTCAATATCAGCAGCACTAAAGGTGCAGTAGGCCACTTGCTAGGAGCTGCCGGAGCCGCAGAGACCATATTTACTGTCCTTGCATTACAGAATGTATGTACTAGTCCAACAACCCGACTAAACCCGACTGACCAGGCACAGAACACTCTGCCACCGACCCTGAACCTCGAACAGGCTGGCGACCCTGCCACCGATTTTGATTGCAACTATGTTCCAAATACAGCTCAGGACTGCAATGTGCAAGTTGCTTTGTCCAACAGCTTCGGGTTCGGAGGAACGAACGCAAGCATTTGTCTAAGCAGATATCAGAAGTAAATATTGACTTATTCGAGCCTGTAGCTCGTACTCGATAGCTAAGCTTCAAGTACCGCTTCTATGAACACATGAGTATGTCAACCTGACGACTTCGTATTTATTGCTCGATGGAAACTGTCAAGCCTCACGAGAAGCGGCGCGCCCCAGATTCAACAGCGGGCCGGCGCCCACACATGCCCCACCTGGTTGATAAGTGACGGGAACTCAAGTCATATCTGTATACTGTGATTTTCTCTTCTCTGTTTTTTTCTTTTCCTCATTGAAGGTGACATCCGGTCGAAAGAATTGTCTAGGAAGTAAGAATGTCGTCCCCGGTCGAACCTTTGATGGTTGGCCCAGAGAATGAGGGCAACCAGAACGCCATTTATCTTCGGCTCAAAAGCAAAGGCAAGCACTACCATGCAAAGATTCCAGTGTTGAAGCGTTTGCCGTTTCCTTCTATTGCAATCATTTCATTGCTGGTTCTCGTGAATCTCTTGGTGTGGATTGCCGTTGGCATAGTTCTTGTGAGTCGGTCCTGAAACGATTATTTCTATGACTAGACCCTAATTGTCTGCAGAGCTATCATACGTAAGAAGAGGACAATACCGAGAGGATTTAATATGATATTGATCATTGGTCAGGTCCCTGGTCTCTACTGCCGTGCTTTCATACTCTCTGGGTCTGAGACATGCTCTTGACGCAGACCATATATCGGTATCTAAGATTCAAACACACGAACGCAAACCTATCATTGACACCAATAGGCGATCGATCTTATGACTCGGCGTTTGATTGCTACTGGACAGCGCCCAGTCACAGTCGGCACATTCTTCTCGTTGGGACACTCAACGTATCTAAATCCTACATGCATTTTGCCCTGTCAAGCATACTGATTGACAAATAGCATCGTTGTGATAACCTCGATCGTAGTAGCTTCGACCGCCGCAGCTGTCTCTTCACGATTTGGAGCCTTCTCTCGCGTGGGTGGCATTATCGGAAGTAGCGTCTCGGCGACCTTCCTGATCGTGCTTGGAATTATGAACGTCTTCATTCTATACAAACTCATCAAACAATTGCGCGAGATCATCAACACTCCTGCTGACTCACCAGAGCCCGAGTTTCAGATTGAAGGTGGAGGATGCCTTTTCCGCGTGCTCAAAAGGATGTTCAAGCTCATTGATCGGTATGCCACTGGAGCGAAACTTGTATCAGATGGGAGCTGACCAGTTATGCAGTCCATGGAAAATGTATCCTTTAGGCGTAATGTTTGGCCTAGGATTCGACACTTCGTCAGAAATCGCTTTGCTGGGCATCAGTGCCATCTCCGCCAGTCAGGGCACCTCATTTTGGCTCATTCTTCTGTTCCCTGTTTTGTTCACTGCAGGAATGTGTTTATTAGACACTACGGATGGTGCACTCATGATGGCTCTATACACATCAACACGTCTGGCAAAGGACACCATCGCTGTGTTATACTATCAGGCTGTTCTCACTGGCGTCACTGTGATGGTGGCTGTAGTCATTGGTGTTATACAGTTTCTTGGTATGCTCCAAGGAGCTGCCAATCTCGAAGGTGGATTCTGGAATGGTGTTGAGGTTGCGAGCGACAATTACGACATTATCGGTAAGTTGTACCTGCTACAAAACAACATGAGCTAAACAAATTTTAGGTGGCGCTATATGTGGTAGCTTTGTCGTCTTTGGCGTTCTGAGTGCTATTCTCTACCGTCCGTGGAGAAGACGTGTTGATGCGAAGCGAAACGCACTCATCAGACCATATGATATGGAGGAGTTCGACATAACAGAGCCTCGCAATACCGAAGGCACACATGGCGAACCTGAACTCGTTCAAGAGGCTCCAGAGCCTTTCGTACGTTCAGATAGGAAAGGGGATCATGTCGTGTGATCGAGTTCATGAGGCGTCTGAAGGTCGTCTTGAACATGAGACTGGCAATGTACTGTCTTTTATACCTTACAAGTCTGATATTGTAAGGCAATCACACTCAATTCAGAACATCCGGCACTGCTTCAATACCACCCGCAAGATAGCGCTGCACAGTATCCGCCTGCTCCGCATAAAACTTGTGCATTGTCTCGTCATTGACATAACCCATGTGAGGTGAGAGAACAACAAGAGATCGGCCATCTTCTCCCCAGGAAGTGGTACGCCATGGACTCCCCAGAGGAAGAGGCTCCACGTTGAAAACATCCAATGCTGCACCTCTGATGACGCCACGATTGAGCGCATCGAGTAGAGCATCTTCATCGATTAGGGGACCTCGAGAAGTGTTGACCAAGATGGCGTTCTTCTTCATCATGGCAATCTCGGCAGCACCGATTGTTCCTCTGCTACGATCTGAGAGCACATAGTGCATGCTAACGACGTCTGCTGTTTTGAGCAACTCTTCCTTGGTCACGGCCTTGATGGAACCTTTCGGAAGGCCCGCGTGTGCGGCTGCCTCGTCTGCTTTCTCTTGCGTCAGATTTGCACTCCATGAGATGACTTTCATTCCAAAGCCAAGAACAGCTGTGCGAGCAGCGTTTGTACCCAGTCTTCCAAGACCAACGGCTCCATAGACTTTGTTGGAAAGAGTAAATCCGAGGCCAGTCTGGAATGGGCCACCTGAGCGCAATGTGGCATCCTCGATTGGTATACGTGAAGCAAGAGCAAGGATGAGAGCAAAACAATGCTGGGTAGTGGCGTCGTACTCGGGTGATGGGGCAACGAGCGAGGGAAGCTCTGGGTGAGTAATATCACGAGTGCCTGGAGCGGTAGCGACGACAATGCCGAGTTCTCTTGCGGCAACCATATCGATTGCACGATTGCGCTTGGCGGTTGTAATCAAGAGTTTCAGGTTGGGCAGTGCAGCAAGCAAGTCTCTGGGAAATGGAGTGCGTTCACGCATGGAGCTAATGACAGGATACTGGCCAAGACGAGCAGCCAGTTTCTTGATGTTTTCTGGAGTGTTTGGAGGTATAGTGTCGGGAAAGCTGTCGACATTGAGATCCTCGATATGCTTGAAATAGGTAGGACCTATGTTCGCGTAATCGTCCAAAATGGCAAGGGAAGGCATTGTACGAGAGCTGAAACGGAGGCCACTGGAGGCAGAATGGGTTCAGAAGGGATGTTGAAACGAAGCAAAAAGTTCTTACGTGTGTGATGATGTGCTGAGGGGCAGGAGCTTGCCCCGGATGCTGACAGCGGTATATACGAGATGCTGCATTATGTCAATGCTACAACAACTTTTGGTGGTGGTAAGATGTACAACATGGGGAAACGACAGCAGAAGATATTAATCGTCAGTCTAGCAGCATTACCGGGCGTGATATCAGGATAGGTAGCCTCTTGACAAGAGACAAAGAAGAAGGCACGAACGCATGTGAAGGTGAGTGACGGCTTGGCATGCAAACGCACTCGACGCGAACTCCGCTCAGTGAGTCGCGCGAGCTTCTATACCTTGCTAGCTTCCATTCTTACGACAGCACCGCCTGCAACCATGGGCTCTCTGTTGCAGTTGTCTGACGTCGCCGACTTGATTCCACGACGCGATGCTAATGACTTTCGCGAAAGAGTCCGACACCTGCTCGGCCGCTCCTCGACTCACTTTCCAGGCGCCCAGCCAGTCAGCTTTTCGCGCCGCCATTTCAGAGACTTGCAAGAAACAGATTACTATCTCTGCGAAAAGACTGATGGCATTCGATGCCTCCTTTATTTCACCACCTTTACCGATGGCAACAATCACCTAGAAGCCCACATGCTCATCGATCGCAAGAACGACTACTACAACATTGACAACGAACACTTCCACTTTCCCTTACCCGATGGGCCCGACGCCAGCTACCATACCGAAACCCTTCTCGATGGCGAACTTGTTCTGGACACGCTACCGAACGGTGAACAACAAAAGACGTATTTGGTCTTTGACTGCCTTGCTGTTGACGGCAAGTCTCTCCAACAGCGCACTCTCGACAAGCGACTGGGTTATTTCCATGAGTCCGTCCTGAAGCCTTACAACAAGTTGTTGAGTCGATATCCTGAGGAGAAGGAATTGCAACCTTTTGTCATTACTGCAAAGAAGATGGAAAAGGCCTACGGTGTCATGATGATGATCAAGGACGTCCTGCCAAAACTGCCACACGGTAGCGATGGTCTCATCTTCACCTGTCGCACCTCCCCTTACACAAGCGGTACGGATCCAAAGATAATCAAGTGGAAGCCACCCCATGAGAATACGATCGATTTCCGGTTACAGATGGGCAAATTCCCATCCATCACAGAGGACGGCCAGACTTTTACAGACTACGATGCTTGTCCATCCATGGATTTGCTAGTATTTCACGGCGACAAGAGGAACGAAGTGTTTGCGAAGCTATACGTGACTGAAAGCGAGTGGGAGAGCATGAAGGGCATGCAGCAGATCTTGGATGGGCGAATCATCGAGTGTCATAAGGACGAACAAGGTCGATGGCGTTACAAAAGAGAGCCGAATGGCGAGCCGCGCTTCCGAGATGACAAGACGGAAGCCAACCACATCACTACGGTCGAGAGCGTTTTAGAGAGCATTGAGGATGCGGTCAGCGAACAAGATCTTTTGGACAATGCCAAAATGATCAACGCGCATTGGAAGAGACGCGAAGCTGAGGCGTCGAGGCCGCAAGCAAATGGCGTGCCACGGTAGAAGAGTTCCTATATGATGACATGACGATTGGAGAAGAGACGATTGGAGATTGGGAGAAGCGATTCGGTTACAGACGTTCAAAGATACCCATTTACGGCGCGGCGTCAGGTAGTGCCAAAGCAAAGAATATGATGATAATTCACGACATTGAGTCGAAGGAGTTTGTCCAACAGGGGTGGTGAATTGATCTGAGTGCAGCATAACCAGACTTTCATGTGCTTGAACCGCCGCCACGGATTTGCGGAGAAGTCCATCCAAGCACCGCGTAACGACAATCATCATCGATCCGTAACAACCCCGAATTTAAACTACCAACTGTCTTTAAAACCCTGTCTCTAAAAATCACAGACATTCCGTCGAAAGTGACAATTCTCAGCACCCGGACTCATCATCTAGCCACAATCATACCGCTCTCGGTATCTGTTCTGCCCGGCCCCGCCATCAACACCTGTTAACACATCCTCGGCCGCAATTATCATCTTGATTTCAGAACAGAGAATACCAACTTCCCGACTTTCAGAACGACACGGCGCCCTCTTATCTGCCTCAAGGCCCGAAATCCAGTCCAAGATCAAGTGAAGAAAGAGACAGGCGGCGAATCAAAGTCAAGAGCCAGGTAATAGGCGGGGACGGTGGATTGAGAGGCAAGCAAGAGTTTTGGACTAGTGGTGCGTGGAGGGGCAGAGAGTAGATGGATCCGCAAAGTGTGGCCTTTGTCCCGCACAGCGACTCCTGGCGCCTGTGCAACGACTTGCTGCGTCTGCAGCAGGTCCAGCAAGACCACACCGACCGTCTTCTACGTCTTGAACGTCGTCAGGACGACGACGCCAGGATGAAGTCGGTCTGGGGCGCCACCTCTCCCTTCCCTAGCGTCTTGAGTGGTACTCCTCAGCAGACTCCCATCCACCACCTCAAGGACTTTGATGATGAACCTGTCAACCTGATTGGTAGCCTCCATCTGGACCCGGACGAAGAGCCTCGTCGCACTGGTGCAACCTCTCGTGCCAACAGCGTCCGCTTTGATGAATCTGCCAACCAAGGACATTGGGCCCATGCCTCACGATCCTCGATCGATTTCCTTCCTCGCAGCGCAAGCAGCTTGGCCGGGCTCGGCATGACCGAACGAACTTCGTCTCACAAATCTGACGGCCGTGCCAGCTCGGTACATTCAGTCAGGTCCGCTGCCTCGGGTCGTGCCAGTAGCATCAACCTAGACACTGGTTATGCCTCACCTGTAGACACACCAGTCATCGCTCCTGGACTACTGATCCTGGGCCCTGCGCCGGCCATTGTACGTTGTTGGATAAACAGAAACTTCAAGCATGACGCTTTGCTATATGCCGCTGTGTCCACTGCCTCTTACAGGTCTCAGATTGACGAACGTCTGGTCCAGCATCTTGGACTGGACGATTGCATAGTGGAAAGCGCTTCGGGTGCGAGGTCGCTCGCGCTGTCTGTCTACTTTGCCGAGGCCATTCCCCATCCCATCTCAACAAGATCAAGTAGTCCAGCGCCACAGGTACCCTCAGTCACAGTTGACTTCAACATAGTCGTCTCGGCGCAACCAGATGTTGACTCCAAAGCTATTCAAATTGTCATTGGCAGCGATGTGCTTCGATCACATAATGCTGACATTTTGTTTTCATCCAACAGCATGACTCTCCTTGACGACGATCAATGCAAGTTATCCATTCCTCTGGTTCGCCCTGAGAATGAGAGCACCTTCAACTCGTTGTTCATTTCTTCATCACAGCCAACGAAGCCCCAAGAGATGATGCCAGAAGCACAGTCTCAACTCAACGGTCTTGGTCAAACAGAACCAAACACCCCGTCAAATGAATTGATGTCCGACGATGAGCCTCTACAGCCGATCATCGACACCATTGAGAGACCGACTGAGAAACCGATGCCCGAAGAAGACGTCAGCACTGACAGACCACAACCATCTGCTTCAAAAGTCGTCCGATTAGAGATCAAGGACGTGGGTTCTACACAGAGTCCAGCAGCTGTACCGCCGGCTGCATCGCCCTCTATATGGAGCAATTGGCGTCGTGAAACATCGAGCCAAAACAATAATCCCGAAGCGGGAGGTACTGCATCCAAGATCAAGGACAGCTATCAACGGCGAGATGCCGGCATCAAAGTGCTAAGACCAACAAGAAGCAGTGGGCGCACATTTTCAAGTGGATCGGTAGCATCATCGCCGGCTGGAGAAGGAAGATCGCGTTACTTTGATGATGGGAAGAAGAAGGTCTCAGATACTGTTGCAGGCGATGAGAAGCTGACGAGAGATCATACCGCTGAGCCAGTAACGACTAAGACGAGAAGCAACCCAGCGGGTGGAGCTTCAGCTTTCTCGTGGTTGCACTCGGGCAATAGAGCCTAGGGCAATGAGAGCAGCAACATACGCGGATCTATGTCCGCAATGCATATTGTTCCTTTCAAAACCAACGCAGAGGGTATTTCAGAATAAAGCAAGCTTATTAATGGTCAACCAATGCCTCACGAATGTTCCGTTGTGACCAACAAGCAGTGACAGTCTGTCTCGCAGCAACATATTGCGATAAGTGAAGTGATGAATTGTCTGTTTGTCCTTGCATTCACAGCTAAAAGCGTTCCAACAAACAGAGAAGTGCAATCAATTAAGTATCATGGTGACACCGGGGTGCAGATCACGTCTCGTTCAAGCCACACCCCAGGTACCGGAGGCAGATCAAAAATCTACGTCAGGAAGCAAAGCCGCGTGGTCGCAGCACAATTTCCATCTCGTTAGCACTAGGACAATCATCGCAGGACGTCTTGTCGCTGTCTTTCCGCGTCCCTTCTCTTGATTGAATCGAGCTGCCCTCTAGCGGCGGCTCACCCAGCGTCAAGACGGCGTCCTCAAAGAAGCAGAAAGTCGCCCATTCTGCCACAGACGATCCGAGACACGCATACCATCACTCTGTGCATGACCCTGACCGCCAGCCTTCATCGCCGCAATCTTCGTCCTCGCCTTCAAGCAACACAGCAGGCCATACGCCTTCGTCGCCGCCGCGCTACATCCCTCCCCACCTCCACGTCGATTCAAGAGGTAGCTCTCCCAGCGACGCCTACGCTCAGCTGAACTTGGCCGAAGACATGTCACACTCAAGCAACCAAGGAGACGCCGATGCTCCCATTCCGACCCAACGCCCTGCCTCACCAGCCAAACGATCTGCTGCCACCATGGAAGGAAATGAGTCTGCTCAAGACAACACCACCTCAAGCGCACCGTCAGATGCCCCTCCTTCATACGATGCCCATCAACAGGATGCCAGTCCATCTGTCACACCCAGCATGGACGACCAGGTTGCGCACATCAAGTCCCTCCTCAACACACCTCTAGAAGACGGTTCAAAAGGCTATATTGTCGCTTCCAAATGGTTCAATCGTGTGGTGGCTAGAACGGAAGGCGCAAACAAGAAGGAATTTGATGCCGAGTTGTCGCAAGGAGAAATTGGCAAGATCGACAACTCTTCTGTAGTTCCTCTTGGTAAGTGAATTGCTGCCACTATGTCAGGTCATTGCTAAAGTTGGGACCATAGGCGCATTCGAAAACCCTCTCACTTTCCCCACCAAGCCCGATCAGCACTTCGTTCCTCTGCGTGACGACGTAGAGAGACTTATCGACTATGAGATATTCACTGAGGAAGCATGGCGTCAGGTCGTCGCATGGTATGGCATAATGGACGGTCAAAAGCCCATCATACGTTTTGCACACAACTCGGCACCCCAGGAGTCAGCATCTGTTCATATTGTATATGAGCTCAGCCCACCAGTCTTCACTATTCGCAAAGTACCAAGTACCCAGCAAACTGCTCAAAATGATGCTGCTGCCGTCAAAGTGGTTGCCTCGCGTACTGAGCGCTTTCAAAGCTTCCTCGCTCGCGCGAAGGAAGCTGCTGGCATTCCTTTGCAACACAAAGTTAAGATTTTCCGACAGTTGGATCCTACAAAGGTCTCTGGAGACATGCCCGATATTGCTCAACAGGGCATTCTGAGCCCCCCAACTTCGAGAAATCCTTCGCCAACCCCGTCCAATTCCAAACTCGTTATTGAAGTCTCGGCTTTCGCCAAATGGACAGAAGGCACCAACTTCGAGTCTGTTGATGGCCAGGATCATACTGCGAACGAAAAGTACAACGGAAGACTGGATCTGGAGACACTAGGCTTGACTTCGAATCAGATTCTCATCCTTGAGGAGCAGCAACGAGGGGCCGAGTTTGCTTCGGACGTGGCTAAGAAAGGGAAGAAAAACAATTCCCAGCTGTCTCAAACAGAAAATGCCAGTAAACGTACCATCACAGCCCCTGTTACGCGGGGGCGTGCCCGTAAGGATGGCAGAATCCGTGGTACTATCGGTCTGATCAATCTTGGCAATACGTGTTACATGAACTCGGCTCTACAATGCATAAGTAGAGTCGAGGAGCTGGCCGTCTATTTCCTCCATCAAAAGCACAAGCCTGAGATCAATGCTGATAACCCGCTCGGTTACAATGGCAGAATTGCAAATGCATACGCCAATTTCCTGGCTGGGCTCTACAGCGATAACGCCACTTCTGCCTACCGACCCAATGGCTTCAAGGGTGCTCTTTCAATGGCACAGCCCATGTTCTCGGGCTATGGTCAGCAAGATTCACAAGAGTTTCTGAGTTTCCTTGTCGATGCTCTCCACGAAGATCTTAATCGTATTCACAAGAAGCCATACATTGAAAACCCGGATTCGGATGACAAAACCGTCCACGATCCGGAGGCCATAAGACAGCTCGGTGATACATACAGGGCGAACCACCATGCCCGCAACGACTCTATTGCTATGGATCTTTTCAATGGTTTCTACAAGAACACCATGGTCTGTCCTGAATGTGACAAGGTCAGTGTGACTTTCGATCCCTATTCTCTACTGACCTTACAACTGCCGATTGAGAATACTTGGCAAGCAAAGATTATGTTCATGCCTGTTGTTGGTTACCCTTCCGCTTTCGAGATTGATGTTGAGAAGAACATCTCCGTCAGAGCACTCAAGGATATCTTTGTTGGTAAGATTGGTCGTGGACTTACCCGCGAAAGGCTCATCTTTGCCGAGATTTTCAGCCATCGCTTCTACAAGATCGGGTACGACAGCCAGACTCTTTCTGAACTCGACTTCTCAAACAATGATGTTCTTTGTATGTATGAGGTTCCAGAGACCCCAACAAATGCAGCCTTCATGCCGAAGAAACAACAAACCTACCGCTCATACTACCACGATTCGCCGGTTGAATCTTTACCAGGAATGGACTCGCCTCTTGCAGAGACTATGGCGATACCAGTCTTCCATTCCAAGACAGACAAACGTTCATCAAACCTCGTTCTCAACCCAACTCTGGTCACTATCACAAGAGAAGAGGCCAGAGACTACGATGCGATCTTGAAAAAAGTGCTTACCTCGATTGCCACAATGACCACAAAGCGTATTCTCGACAACGTTTCGAACAAGCAAGACCAAGACGATACAACAGAGGATGCTCAGCCTGATACTGATGTCTCTATGCGTGACGGTAGTCAAACACCTTCAGCGCAACTGTCAGAGACATTGCAATCTGTCAACGACCCCAGAAACATGTTTGAGCTCAAGTATGTCCAAGCCACTGGTGACATGTTCATGACCGGAACCAACGGTATCGGCAATGGTCATGCTATGCAGACCCGTGTCAGAAATTTCGAACGGCGTAGAGGCAGTACCAGTTCTGTAACTTCGAACACGTCTGGCAGGAGTAAAGACTCTGGTTACGACGGTCAAGGCAGAAGCTCGTCTGACGATGATCAGGACGCTGACCCAATGGTGGAATCATTCAAGGCCCATGGGCAGGGTGGCTTCGCTGGCGATGTGCAGAGTGACGAAGAGTCAGGCATGGGTTCCCTTGAACAATTGTCAGCCAAGGACAACCGCAGACGTAAGTTCAACAAGAAGAAGACGTATTCGCGTAAAGGCGGTCGCACGCACAAGCAAAATCGAGCGCGTTCTAACCTACTTCGCTCTACAGCAGCAGACGAACCCACAGACGATAACGAGTTTTATGTCAAACTTGGAGAAGGAATCGTGATAGAGTGGCAGGCAGACGCCTTTGAGTCCATGTTCGGTGGTGGCAACGGCAACGGCCAGTTCACATTCAACGAGAAGGATGTCCCTCTGGTAGACGATACCGAGCTCCAAGTGAGGCGAAACAAGCGTATGCAACGCAAAAAGAACGGCATTACGCTCGAGGACTGCTTCACCGAGACTGGCAAGACTGAAGTATTGTCGGAGGACAATGCATGGTACTGTGCTAGATGCAAAGAGCTTCGACGCGCCAGCAAGACATTGGAGCTCTGGACCGTGCCTGACATCCTCGTCGTTCACCTCAAGCGCTTTAGCGGCGAACGCTTCAGACGTGACAAGGTAGACGTCCTTGTTGATTTCCCTATCGAAGGACTCGATTTGACTCAGAGAGTCGGTTGCAAGGAAGAAGGCAAAGAGTATATCTACGACTTGTTTGCTGTCGATAACCATTATGGTGGTCTTGGTGGTGGGCATTATACAGCCTACGCCAAGAACTTCTATGATGGTAATTGGTACGACTATAATGGTAAGAGGCAAAAGCAAATATTCTCTAGTTCGCATGGTGGCTAACGCGGTTAACAGATTCTTCTGTCGGTCGACAAAACGCAGAGAGCGTCGTATCGACAGCTGCATACTTGCTCTTCTACCGCCGCCGCTCAGCAACGCCGCTAGGTCCTCCGTACCTGCAAGAATTGGTTCTCAAGGCACGCAATCCCGACGAAGCCTCAGAGGCAGAGGATGAGTCGGGGGAAGGCGAGCGTCTCGGCGACCACTCCTCAGCTACCTCTCGCCTGCTTGGGTCGTCGGACGCTGGAGCAGTCGGAGCAGGAGCCACGATCACCGGGACGCTTCATCGGGGAGCCAACGCAGATGGCCCTGGCAGAGGAGCGAGCCAGGCAGTGAAGTCGATGAATGAAACGGATGACGATGAGGGTATTTCTCTCAACGACGAGCTCTACGGTAGCAACACCAATACGACTGCCGTAGCGCTGGCCAACCCAGAAGCCACTTGGTCATTTGCAGGCTTGGGAGACAATGATAACACCACCTCTGTCAATACACCTGTCGACTCGGCCTCGGATCGTCCGGACGTTGGCTCTGATATCGAGGACAGATTGATGGATCTGGATCGTGAGGAGTCTACGCCACCACTGGTGAATGACGAGACGATGACCACAGAAGGCCAAGAGCAGTTTGGTGAAGAATCTCGTGCAGACCGAGACGAGTAGATTTCGTTTCCTTGGGTTCGGCCTTAGGTTTTGGGACATGGCTGAATGATTCGCATTGAAGGTTGAGGTGACATTTGCACAAGTGTGTCTCCTAGCAAACAAATACTTGGGATCAAAGATGGACAACTAAAAAGGCAAGACATAGAGTAGACAGAGGAGATGGTCAAGTCATTGCAAGCCTCAAAAATGTTTTGGTCGAATTGAGATACAAGTAAATGCTAATCGTGGATAATATCTGGTATAAAAAGCATTCGCTTGACACGTCGAGACAAGAATTACGAGTCTTTCAGTCTGCCCCATTCGGGCTTGAGTTCAACTGAACCATGTTCATCTACAACCTTGCCTCGATCCCATTCTCGACCTTCACCCTTCTTTGCCCATACGACATCCTCTTCTGATTTTTCACCACCCTTCTCCCATTTGCTGACCTCTTTCTCGGTGAAGCCGGCGGCACGGAGTCTGTCTGCTCCTTGCTGTTTCCATCTCTGGCGATCGCGTAGAGCTTCGAGAGCTTGGTCCCAATCCAGGCCATCATCTTCTTGCGGATCTGGTTGTACATCGACAGATGGATCGTAATTTGAGGAGAAATGGCTGTCGATGGCAGAAGTATGATTCTGAGCGCCACGACCCCGTGAACGAAGTGGAGGATTCGACGGAGGAGCAGGGCCGATGAGAGCATCTAGAGGATCCGAATCTGATGCGTCAGATGGCGAGGAATGTCTTCGCCTATGGCGTCGACTTGAGTCATCAGATGACTTTGATGGCCTGGTCGATGCATGGCGGTTGCGTGGTGAAGAAGAACGTTGTCTCGAGTGATGACGGCGTCTGTCTGAGTCAAGGTGTCTCGAGTCTGGCGAGCGACGGTCTCTATGACGACGATGTGAGGAATGGTCGTCTGGGGATGTGTCGCGACGGGTGGAGCGCGAATGTGTGGCTCGTTGATGTGGAGAATGGCGACGGTCAGAGCGAGTTGTGTGCTCAGTAGATGTAGGGGCGTCGCTAGGATCGAGGCGTCTCCTTTTAGGGTCGTGCCTGTCGCGAGCGGAATAGAGCTGCTGAGCAGGACGGTGCGAGTGGCGCAAGTTTCGCAGGCGGAGTTTTGCTTCGTCGGCTTCTTTCTTGAGCAGAGCAGAGTTGTGGTTGTCTGTGTCGCGGAGGATGTTTCTCAAGAACCTGGTATTTGGTTTAGGGGCATTGGCAGAGCGCGAGCTGGTAGCGAAGGCATCAGCGATGCGCAGTTGAGGTATCGGTGCTCAAGGAGGGCACCTTTTGTTCATCAGCGAGGCGAGGCTGGACGAGGATGAAGACAAGGCCTTGGCATCGCGCTTGAGCAACTCGGTGACATAGTCGTCGGTGATGTCGTCGTGTGCAGGGGCAGGAGGCATGATTCTGGCGATGGGGCTGAAGAGGAGAGATGCATGTGAAACGAGTGGAGGAACAAAGCACCTGGCTGACGTCGGTCTCCCGCCCAGTCGGTGTGGGGAAGCGGGCCTTTCCTGCCTTCGGTCAACATGTAAACAACAAAATAACAAAAAGTCAACTTTGGTCCATTTGACTATCTGACTTTTAACATGGCCCAACCAGAAGACTTGTCGTCGCTGACCATTCTCAGCCTCGCTGAACCACTGCTCTCTGCTGATGACAGCGCCCATCGCCTCAGCAAGAAATCTCTGGACGCAGAGCTCGAGCACTACAAGGATCTCTTCTCCAAACTGCGCTTCTCCTATGTCGAACAAGTCACAAAGGAGGGCTTCCTCAAGGCCATCGTCGCCGACCCTCCCCAACTAGTCGATGCTGCTGAGAATGCTCGTCTGGAACAAGACTTGGCCCAAGCAAAAGCCGCCCTCAAGGCTAAGAAGGAACAAACCAACCAGAAACTCCAAGAGCTGCAGGAATTGGGAAGTCGTCTGGCACAATGTAACTTTCCTCCTCTCGACCTCTGCTGCTGCAACCCTAACATACTTCCTCAGCTCATGATTTGATTCAATTGCAAACAACTCAACTAAATTCCCTGCCTGCCGACATACAAAATCTCGAAACCACCATCGCAAACCTCAAAGCTGCCCAGGAAACTCCTTCATCCTTGCCCATGCTCAATCTGCCACTCCACTCGACAAATCAATTACTGTCAGAGAAAGAATCAGACCTTGCCCGACTAGATCGCGACATTGCTCAACTACAATCTACCCTGCCTGACAAGAAACGTCACGTCGCATCTCTCAAGGCCGACCTAGATCCTATCGAATCTCGCAAGCGCTCTGCCATTGCCGACGCCCAAGAGGCTCAGAAGAAGCGAGGACAGCACGCTCTTGCTCAAGACCTTGATGAGAGGGGAAAGTGGCTCAAGTCTGTTGATTCCGGTCTTCGCTTGATGCTCCAGATCTGATGCCTTGTCCGCTATAGCCGTGTTATGACCTTGACTCTTCTTTACTTGCTTCCTAGATACCCCCACCAACTTTGTTTTGTTCTACTTCAGATCGAGCCTCATTCGTTGTTGCAATCACAATCACCGTCACCTTCATGTGTACAGCAATGCTTATCATGAAACCGAAAACCAGAGTATCTTTGTACTGACCGCCCGAGTAATAACCATTCTACACATCTTTGTCGCCGTTACTTCATGCAAGACCTTCTCTCATAGACAAGTTACATCAAGCAAAGAGGCCAAAACACAAAAACAACCAAAACTAAGGTATATCGCAAACAAGACAAGAATCAATCAGAAATCAGCATAAACAAAACCAGAAAAAAAAAACGCATCCAGGTCCATAAGTCATCACGAACCGTCTCCTTGTTGCAACAAGCGAGCAACACAAACCTCGCAAAAACATGACATTCGAATTCTTGTCACCATTCTCATGCTCTTTCCTTGACTGCTGGATGTGCACTTGACGAAGAGGTTGCTCGTGGCGCAGTTGAACCCGAGGTGCTCGGTCGCTCATCATCGTCGTCGTGACCAACTTCCAATCCACGTCTCCAATTGTCCAGACCAAACTCAGCTGGCGCAGTGCCACTCGTAGGTGTCTTCTCGAACTCGAGATCACTGATACGGTACGACTTGTTGGTCGTCTCCCACTGCGTACGCAAAGCGTCCAGCTCTGTAGCTAGGTTGTCGAGCGCCAGGCTATCACGTCCGTCTGGCGCTTCAATATCGCCAGTCTCCGAAGCTGCAATACTCTGCGAGTAGATACTGTCCCCTCCCATTGATTCGCCTCGAGAGTGACCGCGAGAGTGGCCACGAGAGTGTGCGGGGATGAAGTTGGCCGTGCTAGCACTCACATTGCTCAACGCCCTGTGGTGGCCAAATCCGTTTGTGTTACCGTTTGGCATCGACGATTGACGCCGATAGTTGTCGACAGATGACTCGACCTGATCAAGTAGAAGCTGCACCTTGTTTTCGGCATCTCGAGCGCGCTCCTCTAATTGGGCATTTTCCCTCTGCAGACGCTCAAGGTCTGCTCTTGAGGCCTCGTGAGTTGATTGAAGCGCGGCAAAGTTCGATTGTGTCGTTTCGTGGGAGCTACGCAAAGTGCTGAGATCGGTTTCTCTCTCGCCAAGCTGACGGTGCAGACTTGAAATTTGAGCCTCAAGGTCAGTCTTCATCTTTTCGAGATCTTTTCGGAGGCTGTCGCTCTGGTTGACGTCGGACTCATGGTCCAGGCCACGAGTGTCGTTCTCTTTCGTGCGCATCGTTTCCAGTTCCTTAGCATAGTCGGCAGCTTGGTTCTTCACACGCTGCAGTTCCTGCTTCATCTTGCTAAGCATCTTCTCAGTGCCGCGAAGGTACTTCACAGCAGCTTGATGGTCGTTGTGCAATGTCGTAAGTTTTTCCTCGTACTCCTTTCTGGTAAGACCTTCGCGGTCCTGCATTTCCTCAAGACTTGTCTTCATCTCTTCATGCGCCCTGAGGTTGGCCTCAAGTTGCTGTTCTAGCTCCTTGACACGCTGTATATCTGGAGTGCCAAACCTGATTTGCGATGAAGGTGAGTCAAAGCCTCGAGACTTGCGCACATCGACAGGGTTGACACCACGCTCAGACAAGATGTCCTTGAGCGCACCGTGCTGTACAGCAATAGCATTTGTTTCCAGCTGCTGGCTCTGCAATTGCTGCTGCAGGTCGGCTCGTTCTTCGGCCAAAGTTCTGGCCTCCTTGAGTGCTGCCTGAAGCTGCTTTCGAATCGTCAAGCCTTCGCGAGAGGCCTGCTCTTGATAAGATTCAAGTCCAGCAATACGCTCTTCGGCACGACGCAACTTCTCAGAAGCAAGATCGGCTGCGGCTTGGTTTTGCCTGGCCATGGCGTTGGCCGTTTCAACTTGACCATGGAGGATAGTGACTCGCTCATCAACGATGTTGCGAGTATCGGAACCGCGCAGAGAAATTTTGCCAAGGCCATCCAGAACAGCTTGACGATGAGTACGTGCTTCAGCTGCATGTTTTTCGGCGAGACCTTCTGCATCCTTGAGGCGACGATTAGTGGTTTCGAGCTCCATCGCACGCTCTTCATGTTGCGATCGAAGTGAAGAGATTTGCTGTTCCAGCTCGTTTCGGCCTCTCTTCTCTTCTTCAAGGCGTTCCTCGAGAAGATTGGACTTGTCAGTGGACGCTGCCAGTGCTTCACGCAGTGATCCAAGAATTGCTCCATGCTCCTCTGCCTCTGCTAGAGCATTCTCCAATTTAGTGTTGAGTTCGGTCTTGTCAACAGTGAGAAGTTTGTGTGAGGCGAGCACATCAGCATGATTGGCAGAAGCTTCCCTGGCAGTTTTTTGGGCTTCATGTAATTCGTCGCGCAGTGATTCAATCTCGGAAGCAATGCGTTGTCTATCCGTATTGAGTTCGGTGACGCGCTGCTGGGCAGCCTCTGCGGTCTCCTCTGCCAACAATCGAGCTTGCTTCTCGGCTTCCTTTTCGTGGATCAGGCTGTCGATCTTACGGGATAATTCGGTCTGGGCTGCCAGTGAAGATGCAAGTCGTCTACTCATGTCGCCAACGCGATCCGTGTCAGGGGTGCCATGTCGGCTAGAATCCAGTATAGGCGAAGCGCCTCCTTGACCTGCAAGCTTTGCTTTGGCGAAGACGGCCTCGCTGATGGCAGTATCTCTCTGCTTTTCTATCTCAGCAATACGCGCGGCCGCGGCTTCTGCTTGACTGTCGATAGAGCCTTGCACCTTGGCCAGCTCTGCGCGCATACGGAGCAGAGCTTCCACAAGCGGTCTGTCATCATCGCCGAACGTATCGGTAGAACGTTCGTCGAAGGCTGGAGTATTTGTGGCGCTGCGTGAGTAACCTGCCTTTCGTGCTAGTGCAAGCTCCGAGGCGAACCAGGCATTCTTAGTTTTCTCATTTTCCAGCTCTTTAGTCAGATCGTTGGTATCGTGATTAGACTCGGTTGCTTGATCCAGTGCGCTATCGACAAGAGCTTCTCTCTGTACATCCTGACGAGCATTATCCGCTGCGATTTCCCTCTGAGTGGGATGAAGGGACATATCGACAGGCGTTCCACGCTCGAATCGATCTTGTGGCTCCACATTTCGGAGCGATGGATGCGCACGGTTCGTTGCTTGGGTGGGTGTCTCCTCAGAGATCTCACGAGGTGTTTGTGGCCCTGCCGTTCTTGAACTAGTCCTGGATGGGGGAGCGAACGTTTGATCCACAGACTTATCAACTGAGGAGATTGGTTGATGAGTTGGTTTGTACGTTTGCGGTGTTCTGTCCTGGTCGTCGTCTGGGTTCCTTGAATTGATGTTTACGTTTGTGCTAGCCATTGTGGGAGTAGCTGTTGTTGGTGACATTGTTCTTGCGCCCATGGAGTCGTTGTGGAAGGGTCCGGGAGCGGTGCGAGTGACAACAGTAGGCGACTGGCCAGCTTGATTTGGGCTCATCACACGTTCTGGCCTGGTCGGTTGACGGCTTGGTGGTGTTGTGGGCTTGTTTTGTTGTTGTTGCTGTTGAGGCGCTGATCCAGGGCCTGAAGGTCCAGCAGCACGGGGCAACCTCGAACCTCCAGCCATTTGATCAGGAGCTCGGTTGATGGGTACAGAACTATCTCTACCAGGGCGTCGAGGACCATCGAAATCTGCTTGATCTCGAGGGGCTGCACGACTTTGTGGAATACCAGTCCTTTCACCGCTCGGACGTCTATGACCCTGAATTCGTTGGTCGGCAGACATTTGCGACTGGGAGTCGTTAGGATACCTGATCTTACTGGTATCCAAATAGTACGCCAGGCTAAGTTCAGCAGCATCGCGTGGAGCTGAGCTTGGCTCACCACCGGTAACAACAATGTGTTTTCCAAAAGCGGTCATACTATGTCCGGAACGAGGTGAGGGCGAAGGTCCCATGTTCTGGAAAGTGTACCAACGCCGAGTTGTGATGCGGAAAGCCGCAAGGTCACCGAGATCGTTGCCCTCTTCAGTGCGGCCTCCAAACACATACATGACATCGCCAACCAATGCAGCTGCATGTCCCTCACGAGCTACTGGAATATAGCCGATACATTCAAGCTGCGACCAGGAATTGGTTCGGGGGTCATAGGACCAGACGTCGCTGAACCAGGTGACTCCGTCCGTGCCGCCGAAGAGGTATAGCTTCTCGTTCCACGTTACCACAGAGTGGTTGGTGCGTGCTGGAGGGATCTGTCCATGAGGAGGGCCTCCATCTATAGTATTCTGGATTAGCGTCTCCCACCGATTGCTAGCCTGCTGAAGCGCATTGAGGTCAAACGTGACTAGATCGTTGAAGAAGAAGCCCTCGACTTGACCGCCGAAAATATAAATTTTGGAGCCGATTATGTTTAGCGAGTGGCCGTAACGGCCCGGAGGACGGGGGCCTGCTGGAGCGGCTCTCGACCATTGCTTCGTAGCTGTAAACAGTTAGCAAAGGCTCAAGATTTTGCCCAAGAAGCATAACGCACAGGTGTTCAACAAGTAAAGGGTATCATCGAGCATGTCGGTCTCGTCCGTCTTCGTGTCTCCTCCAAAGACGATAAAGGCGTTTCCAACAAGCAAGGCAGCGTGGCCGACTCTTGGACCAGGACCCTCGGAAGTAGTTGCGACAGGATAGCAACTGAGATTATTGGGAGCAGCTTCGATCATCCAAAGATCGCCTTTGACCGTCGAGCCGTGGATCAAACCACCCATGATGTATATGGAGCCATCTTTGGAAGCGAGTGAGTTGGCGGCGGCGCCATAACGAGGGAAAGGATGGTTTGTAGGGACGGTGAAGTTTAGATGTCGCTGAGACCAGGGATACGGCGAGGAGTCATGGTGAGGACGCATACGTGTGTGCTAATAAGCCATGTCAGCAGATATTCGACTATAGCGAACTTGATACAACGGCTTACTTGTAAGTCGCTGTCGGCACGGTCGCGCAAAGCCTTTTGCTCAGGACTGGGTGTGTTTGAGGGCTTTTCGGACGACCATTGAGGGCTGTCTTGTAGTTTTTCGCCCAGAGAGTTGAGCGAGTTGACACTGGTGCCAGGCGTAGGAGTCTGCTGGGACTTCTCTCTTGGACTACCATTGGAACCATCTCGCGCATGTCCAGGAGCCGAGGGGATATTTGAGGGAGGACCGGAGCCGTCCGAAGACTTGATGTTGCGCGTCGCAGCAGGGAGCGCAGAGCCCTGCTGCTTCTTGGACGACTTGAACAGAAACGACATGTTTACAGGGGCGCTTTAGAAGCGCGAGAACGACGAGAAGGGGACAGAGGATGAGACAGGCATTAGACGTCAAAGAATCTCCGGAGACACACGGCGGATGTCATGAGTGGGTTAGCGAACGGGCGACGACTATGCTGAGGGAAAGGAAAAAGGCAGGGAACGTTGTTGGAATGGCGATGAGCACGCGTGTAGATTGGGAGGCTGGCAATTGTGCTTGAGTCTTGGTTCAATTTGGGCCTCTCTCCACACGCCAGCCCGAAGCAACCATCAAATAATATTATTTGGTGCAGGCTAATTCGGCGACCTGAAACGCCCAGGGCCATTGTATGTATATTGAGTACAAGTATCCCTGTCCGACAATGAAAGAGTCTCTCGACGCGCATCTACAAGGCGTCTCATCGTGGACCGTCTCAACAGTTGGACGGTGTCGGGAGAGACTAGCCACCTCGAAGCCTCGACCAAGAAACTCCCGATGGCTGCTTCTCCGTTGAACAATACGCTTGTCTCTGTCACACGACTGCCGTGTGTCACAATGCAATAAGCAAGAACCCGAGTGCCAACACTTTTGCTGCTCCCACATACACAATGGAAATACTTATTCATGCATCAATGACAAGGGACGGCCAGCAATCAAGAGCCAGGCAGGCCGGCCTTGAGAACCGGACCCGATGCAAGCCAGTGCTACGATTGGAAAGAGCCCGTGCACGAGGTTGTACAAACCCATGCTTGCACTTGCCTGATTCATGCACCGACTGTATCTTATCAGATCCTGCCCCAGCTGGCAGAACGTCCTGAGTCGTGACTTCGTGCATAACGACCGACTGCCTGCCCAGTCTGCTATTCATTGCTGTCTGTACCTGTTCGACGCCGTTCGCTCCTCTCGCTAACCCTACGCGTCTGTCGTTCGCATCCGTCGGCCCCCGATCTCCATCTCGTCGCAGTGTCGGAGATGCGTTCGTGAACACTCCTGCACGAACCTGATGTCAATGCAGTCTGCCCTCGCCGCGCAACATGAGGGTGGGCGTGCTGCAAGACGATGCTGCTGCCGGTCAATACCGTGCAGCGAAGCATCCGCAACCCGTTCTCGATCCTCTGCCCTCCAACCTGTATGAAGGCAGTATTCAACACGCCGCTCATCCCAACACCGACCCTCCGCCGGATCCTCAGACCCAGGCTATCAATGGCAATACCGTTGCTCATCTTCCTCCTCCTCATCAGTTTCTCAACCACTCTGCAAATCCGTCGGCAGGCACCTCTGCTATCACTGAATCTCCATCAGAAGATGGCCCGCCTGGTCCACGTTCCGAGCGGCCTCTGATGCTGCGCGCAAAAAGTGACTATGGTCCAGGACAACAAAGACAATCAATTTCCTCGTCGTTCGAGCACAGGGATGGAGAAGAAGCTTCAAAGTTCAAGATGCGCCACGGTTGGGAAGATCAACTCATGTCACCAGAGCAAGCAAATCTATTGTCGCAGACGTTTTATATGTATTACACTGACAAGCGGCACGAGACTGCTGGCAATCCAAAAGATGTCAAGGACGACTATCACGTCCAGGAATGGCGTATGAAGGACCGTCTTAAGACCATATCCGCTCTTTTGACCGTCTGTCTGAACATTGGTGTCGATCCACCAGATGTCATCAAGACAAATCCATGTGCACGTATGGAGTGTTGGGTCGACCCCATGGGTACCGATGGTCCGCAAGGCTCTGGTGGTGCTAATCCTCAAATCGGAAAGAATTTACAAACACAGTACGAGACGCTCAGTATGCGTACCCGCTACAAGCTCGTTATGGATCCCAGTATCGAGGAAATGAAAAAATACTGCACCACCTTGCGTCGCAACGCAAAAGACGAGAGAATCCTTTTCCACTACAACGGCCATGGCGTGCCGAAGCCTACCGCGGCCGGAGAAATCTGGGTTTTCAACCGCTCCTTTACACAGTACATTCCTATCTCTTTGTACGATCTACAAAGTTGGCTCGGGGCACCTGGTCTATTTGTGTATGACTGTTCTGCCGCTGGTCTTATCATCAAGAACTTCCATCCTTGTATCAAGAAGCACGAAACCGATCAAGTAGAGGCTAGACGACGCGATCCTACAGCGCCATTGATGAACTGGAGCGATTGTATACATTTGGCTGCTTGCCGTGAGGATGAATCTTTGCCCACCAACCCCGACCTTCCTGCCGACCTATTCACATCTTGTTTGACTACTCCGATCGAGATGGCTGTTCGTTTCTTCATCCTTCAAAATCCCTTGCCTGGAGGGCCTACTCTTTCCGAAGGCCGCAATATCCCTGGTAAAATCTCCGAACGCAGGACTCCTCTTGGTGAGCTGAACTGGATTTTCACCGCCATCACCGACACGATTGCCTGGAATTGTCTTCCTAAACCGCTTTTCAAGAAGTTGTTCCGACAAGATTTGATGGTCGCTGCCTTGTTCCGTAATTTCCTCTTGGCTCAAAGGATCATGCGAAAGTACCACTGCCATCCTCAGTGTTATCCTGAGATACCAGAGACTCACAATCATCCCTTGTGGCAGAGCTGGGATTATGCTGTTGAGATGATTCTCTCTCAGTTGCCCAGTCTCATTCAGCAAGCAAAAGAAAACAAGGAGCTGGAGTACCAACACTCTGATTTTTTTGCGCATCAACTCAGCGCTTTCGAAGTATATCTCAGCCAAGGCGCGCTGGAGCAAAAGGTTCCAGAGCAACTGCCGATTGTCCTGCAAGTACTTCTGAGTCAAGTTCATCGTCTGCGCGCCCTGATTCTTCTGGGTAAATTCCTTGATTTAGGGCCATGGGCTGTCAATCTTGCTCTTAGCATCGGTATCTTTCCGTATGTCCTGAAACTTCTTCAATCCCAGGCGATTGAACTCAAGCCCGTCATGGTCTTCATCTGGACTCGCATCTTAGCTATTGATCAGTCGTGTCAGTCGGATCTGCTCAAAGACAACGGATACGCCTATTTCATTAACATCATAAGCCCTCAGACCGGTATTCCGGTTGGTAACATGGCAGAACACCGTGCCATGTGCGCGTTCATAATTGCCATGTTTTGCAAAGACTTCCGCCCAGGACAAAATGTATGTCTGAGCACTAACCCGGAGCTCATCGAGAGTCTCTTGAGTCATCTAGTGGATATGGAGAATCCTCTGCTCAGGCAACATTCTTGCTTGTGCATCAGTATGCTCTGGTACGACTTCCCTGAAGCCAAATGGCAAGGTATACGCTCTCAAGCACACATGCGCCTTTGCGATCTTGCTCTTGACCCTGTTCCCGAGGTCAGAACAGCAATGCTGCATGCTCTAACGAGTTTCTTGGGAATCCCTGATGTGACAGATCAAGTCGCTTATATCGAAGAGACCATTGCTTCAATTATTCTCGCTATGGCAAACGACAGTAGCGTCATGGTTCGTAAGGAGCTGCTTGTTTTCCATTCCACCTTTATTGCAAGGTACAAGAACAAATTCATTGTAGCAGCATATGAGCAATTCACGGAAGAGTATACGGCTCACTTGGCTCAAGATGCCAGTATTCATCGCCCAGCAACACCTTCGGAAGCAAATGGATCATACGACAGCAAACGCGATTTAACATTTGAGTCGCACAACACTTCCTCGAGAGGTTCTGTTGAGTCAACGGCTTCCAAAAACACAGTGTTCTCGGCGATGTGGAAGCAAATCTTGATCATATCAGCCGATCCTCACCCTGAGATCGCGAGGAATGCAGGCATCATTCTGGACAATGTTTTGAGTGCCTTGTTCGATTCCCCACTTGCCGTATATGTCCATCAAATGCTGGACGATATGGCAGCCCGACCTATTCCCCATGCTCAGGTTCCAGTCACTCTGCCGGATGGGCCTACAAGACTCCAGCATTCAGACGTCCCCCGAGCTCCACCATCTCCTACACCATCTACAAGTTCCAAGAATGATGGATACTTTTCAGTGTCCGCAGGTCTTAGGCGCACAGCTAGTATGGCCGCCTCAATCAAGAATCTTGCTTCTTTTGGTGTGAGCAAAGCTTCTCAGGATCCTTCTCAAAGCCAATCCTTGCGTGGACCAGGAGCTGGCAGACGTTCCCAAGTGCCCTCAGATTGGAACAGACCGCCAGATGCGGCCGATCCGCAACCAACTCGTGTTCGCGGTCATCAGATCGCGAAGTCACCATCAGTGCCCAATTTCGAACCCAGAAACTTCTCCCAGCCTCCAACAATTCCGTTGACTTCGAACTTTTTCCAATGGTCAGCTTCGTACTTCAGAGAACCTCAGATGCGGCCATCTGAGGCCGATGAACCAGGCTCTTTGGACTACAACGAACGACTGTGGCGACGCAACCGTAATGACAAAATAATTGCCTCGACACAACCACTCAAGGAAGTTGCAGGCACTGGTCGCTGGGATGTTCCCGCTGGAGTGCTTGCAACAAACAGTCCTCCTATGAAAATGGTGTTCCATCAATTCGAAGATCACCTTGTTATTAGTGATGATCAGGATGGTATTAGTGTGTGGGATTGGCACCGAGAGAGAAGGTTGGCACGATTTAGTGCAGGCAACCCTCATGGCAGCAAAATTAGCGACCTTCGCTTCATCAACGAAGACGATCAGGCACTGCTCATGACTGGTAGCTCGGATGGAGTCATCAAAGTCTTCAGAAACTACGAGAACGAGAAAGAGGTCGAGTTAGTTGCCGCATTCCGTGCTCTCACAGATCTCGTACCAAGCACGCATAACGCAGGGCTGGTATTTGACTGGCAGCAAGGTCAAGGACGTGTCTTGGTTGCAGGTGATCTTCGTGTCATCCGCGTGTGGCAGGCTGGAACAGAGCTGTGCACTGCAGACATTCCAGCAAGATCGGGATCTTGCGTGACCAGCTTGACTTCTGATCAAGTAGAAGGCAACGTCTTTGTGGCAGGCTTTGGCGATGGCGCGATTCGTGTCTATGACCAGCGCAACCGACCAGCAGAAAGCATGGTGCGAGTATGGAAAGAGCATAAAGGATGGGTCGTGGGATGTCACTTGCAGCGCGGCGGTATGCGAGAACTCATCTCAGCAGAACGTGGCGGTGCAGTCAGGCTCTGGGACATCCGTATGGATCGCAGCGTTGGCGTAGTCAAGGGCAAGGGTGAGGGTGGTATTGGCACGTGTCGAACCTTGAGCGTACATGAGCATGCGCCCGTGTTTGCAACGTAAGTCGAACGAACTTGTGACTACAAAGTCTGGTACTAACAGATCTACGCAGAGGATCTTCACACAATGCTGTTCGGGTCTTCTCGACCAACAACGTGACGGCGACGGCAGCGAACTCGACACCACTATCAACCATCGAACCTTTCAGCAACTTTCTGCACACCAATGTGCTTTCTTCGCATCGACCAACGCCGATTGCCTCGACGGCGTTCCATCCTCACAGAATGATGTTGGCCTGTTCTACGGTCAATGACGGCCATGTCAGTCTGTTCAAATGCGCATCGAGAGACGGCTCGATGCTTAGCAGTCAGAATGGTGTCGTCAAGGAATGGGAGGCGTGAAATGCATAACCTCGCTTAGCCTGTTGTCCAAGCCAGAGACTTTATAACATTGCTCGGAAGTCGGAGAGTAATGGCTTCTTTCGAGGCGATACAAGCGCAGTTTACGCATAGCGAGAGGGGGATAGGGTAAAGGCGTTCATTGGTTAGCGATGATTGCTAAATGTGTACTAATGCTAGTCTGAAGTGAATGCCGCATTTTTATAGCAGAGGATAGTGCAGATATAGTAGCGGCAGATGTCCGGGAAATACCAAGTCCATAATACTCTATTCAAACGGAAGTACCAGCACGTGTTATCCATGTGCGTGTCTCGAGTGAAGCTTTATCTCAAACATAAATCATCATTTTGCGACAACAACACCTCATTGCAGATGCTTTGCATAGGACTACACATAACACATTACTCTTGGAACGTACCAGGAGCTTCAGAATCTGCAAACAAGGCCAGGTGGCGAAGCAGGAGGGGAATGCTAGGTCGAGATGATAGTTGACGGGGTGACCCTGTACTGTATACTGAGCATACCTTTCGGGTCTTTCCACTGTGTTTGTGTAAATTGTACGGTCTGATGGGCCGAGTGACTGTAAATTGGCTGCTTGGACTGATACAGAGGTGGAGGTTTAGATGATGGACTCGAGGACATGTATTGTCAAAAAAAAATTACAAGTATTTAAGAATGTCGTGCATTGAGATCTTCGTGTACGACAGGCACCTGATCAAGATTCTCGCGTTGGATCATGTTGACCTTGCCCTCGACCAATTGCATCATCATGTAATTGCAGACGCATTGCATGCCCATCTCTTCACCTCTCTTGACGATGTAGCCATTGATGTAGCGGACCTCGGTCTTCCTGCCGGCGCGCACATCGGCAAGCATACTGCTGATATTTTGACCCGTCTTGTCTGCTATGCTGACAATCAAAGTCTCCAAACGCTCCGGCGAGAAGCGATCCTGGACGTTGGGCAAGCCTCGTGATTCGGGCAGTGAGCGGATGACCAAAGAAATCTCGGCTAGTAATAAACGCATGGTGCGAGTTATTGCAAAGTTGTATAAGATGGAGCCATTAGGAGCGTCCAGCATGACGGTCAAAGGATTAATGACAGCATTGATGGCCAGTTTCTCGAGTTGCTGTTGCATAAACTCAAGAGGAGGAAAGCCTACGGCAGCGAGGACAGGGCTACCAGTTAGGGTGCGCAGTAAGTAGCGGGCTGTAGGTGCAAAGGGAACAGAAGCCAAGGGATCGTCCTTGATGTCAGTCCTCGGCAGGGCAGCCAGAGCGATGGTACCATGAGCAGCATGAATGGCGAAGAAAGGATTGTCGCGGTCAGGAGAGTTTAGACCGTGGGTAACGACGCCCTGTATGAAGTTGGGGCGAGTGACGGGGTCCGGGAAGATTTGTTCATTGAGTTGGTCTATGATGCCCATGCCGTTCTGCAGCAAACATACAGTCGATTCTGGTCGCAGGCGGTGCTTGACGGCGTCGAGAGCGCTGAGAGTGGCGGGAGCCTTTGCTGTGACGATCAGGTTGTCAATGGGCTCTTGGTCGGTCGAGTCGAGTGGCTCGTGGTCATGTGGATCGAGGCGACTGCCATGACTGCGTCTCGGTGGAATGGCGAGGTCGACGTCGAAGCCTGAACGAGGAACGCGGTGGCCATCGGATTCAAGAACAATAGACTGGTCGCTCTGATTCCACTGATCTAGCAGGCGTGGGCGGTGGAAGAGCAGAGTGATGGGTGGTGGGTTGCTGTCGGCGCGCAATGAATGGGCGATCAGCTTGCCCACATTGCCGACACCATAGACGTGGATGCGCCGTGGGACGCCGCTTTCACGCGCATACTGTTCGCTAGCCGCTGTATATGTGCGCCGCCCGAGAAAGCTGCTGGCGATGATGGATCGTCGAACGAGGAAGGTGCATGGCTGGAGTGGCATGATTGCGCTCAAGAGCGAAGCTGCGAGAGATGTACATGACGCAGCTGCTTCCTCTGCTGTTCCATCTTTAGCACATCTTGTCATTCGACAATGCCTCTACGCATCCAAACGCGCTCTTTTTCCGTCCTCAGTCGCCCAAAGCCAAACTATCCCGGCCATGTGCCTCTGACCTGGGTCGAGCGATGCGGCCTTGCTGTCGGCTCTGCCGTTGGCTCCATGCTCGACCACCACCGCCACGGTACTCAACCTCACTCTGAGCTGCTTCCATGCTCCGTCCTTGCTGACCTGTCTAGATCTGGTTGCTGCTCTAGGCGAGGCAACATGCAAGCCCTACTTCATCACCCGTCTACGACAGAGCATGCTATCGCATCCCACTGGCCGCCGCATTCTCCGTGACCGTCCCCGCATCTCCAGCAAGACCATGTCGCTCGAATATCTGCGCACTCTGCCTGACAACTCAGTCGGTCGTGTCTACGCCCAATGGCTCGATCGCGAGGGCGTCACTCCCGACACTCGCGATCAAGTTCGTTACATTGACGACCCCGAAGAGGCCTATGTCATGCAGCGCTACCGCGAGTCCCACGACTTCTATCACGCCCTCACCGGCTTGCCCGTCTTCGCAGAAGGCGAAATCGCCCTCAAGGCCTTTGAGTTTGCAAACACTCTATTACCAATGACTGCGCTTTCCCTGGCCGCTGTCGTCAAGCTCAAGCCTGCCGCTCGCCGCCGCTTCTGGTCTATATATCTGCCTTGGGCCGTGTCCAACGGACTGCGCGCTGAACATGTCATCAACATCTACTGGGAAGAGGTCCTGGAGAAAGATTGCGATCACTTGAGACAAGAGCTTGGTATCGAGAAGCCTCCAGACCTCCGTGAACAAAGAAAGATGATGAGAGACCAGAAGAAGGCCGAAAAGGCTGCTCGCGAAGCTCATCAAACCGTCGGTCAAGGTATCATGTCAAACTGATCGTCTCGTGTGTATACAGCTTCTCTTGTCTATATATCACCATACATGGGTATTCGTCCCGAATTTTTAAAAACACAATCGATATTTCCTTCTTAAATCATGATTTCGCCGGTTTTGTTTTCCACTTCGTCACTTGCTTAGAGCTGGTCCAAGAGTCCCTCAGCCTCGAGCAGCAACACAATCTGGTGAACAGCTGTGCGCACGCTGATCTTGGTCAGGTCAACGGTCAGGTTGGCCTCGCCCTCGACGGGAGTCTCGTACGGGTCGTCAACACCGGTGAAGTTCTTAATCTCGCCGCGGCGAGCGGCGGCGTAGACGCCTCTGCGGTCAGTCTTCTCACACTCCTCGAGCGGTGTGGCAACGTGAACGAGGTAGAAGGATCCGTACTTCTCGACAAGCTCACGGGCGTGCTTTCTGCTTGACTGGAAGGGTGCGATGGGAGCGGCAATGACAGCGGCGCCAGCCTTGGTCAGCTCACCAGCAACAAAGCCGATGCGGCCGACGTTAGTGTTGCGGTCCTCCTTGTTGAAGCCAAGCTCCGAGCTGAGCTCCGAGCGGACAGTCTCTCCAAGAAGAAGCGAAACAGTGCGACCACCCTGCTGGTTGAAGGTAACGTTCAGAGCGCGGGCAATGGCGTCCTTGCCGCTGTTGGCGTAACCAGTCAGGAAAACAGTGAAACCCTGCTTGTTGCGGGGAGGGTGCGACTCGCGGAGCACACGGACAACCTCAGGGTATGAGAACCACTCTGGAATGTCGCCACCAGTGCGCAGACGGCGGCGAAGCTCGGTACCGGAAATGTCGAGTGTTCTGACGTCCTTGGGGACCTGGTCTCTGGGGCGGTACTCGTCCGAGTCGGGGAGGTAAGTCATCTGGAGGAAAGGAACAACCTCGATACCGAGCTCATCCCTGTACTTCTCAACAAGGTCCTGGGCATCGTAAGGTCCGTAGAAGTCCTGACCCTGGCTGTTCTTGCCAGGTCCGGCGTGGTCACGACCAACAATGAAGTGGGTAGCACCGTGGTTCTTGCGGATAATGGCGTGCCACAAAGCCTCACGAGGACCAGCCATACGCATAGCCAGGGGAAGAAGGGCGAGGACAGCCATGCCGTTGGGGTAGCGGGGAAGGAGGGCCTGGTAGACACGGACACGGGTGAAGTGGTCAATGTCACCGGGCTTGGTGAGACCAACGACGGGGTGAATGAGGACGTTGGCCTGGCGAGAGCGAGCAGCGCGGACGGTCAGCTCACGGTGAGCGCGGTGCATTGGGTTTCTGGTCTGGAAAGCGACAACTCTGGACCAGCCAAGCTTGTCGAAGTGCAGACGGATCTCTGCAGGAGAGTCTGTTTAGATGATCAGTTTGCTGTTGCCCAACAATCGAGTTTTATGCCGTTTCTTACATCTGAGGGCGACGTAATCGTAATGCATCAGACGGTCGATGGCATCAATCTTGCCACCAATGTAGAAGTCACCAGCAGTTCTGTAAAGGTACTTGACGGCAGGGTGGGCCTCATCGTCGGCACCGAAAACCTCGACAGCCTCCTTCTTCTTGTCGGGGCGGTAAATGTCGTCGACAGTAATGATGGCCAGGTTGCGGTCGTCTCTGAAGTCACGGAGAGTGATGCGGGCACCGGGCTTTGCCTTGACTTCGTCGATCGTCTCTTGGAAGACATCAAGACAGATGGGCATGGAGAACAGGTTGCCGTCAACGAGACGGTTGTTGTCGACCACACTACACTCCAGTCAGTGTCTGTAAATGTCATTCTTTTGGCTTGTAGAGCCGTACCCATTGTAGTCCTTCTCGTTCATGAACCCTGTAATTGACCGGTCAGGAATACACCCTGGCACCAGTTTGCTTCCTAGACTTACCCTCAAGAGGGGAGAAGCCTCCGTTCAGGATGAGCTCGAGATCACAAAGCTGACGCTCATTGAGGACAATGGCAGGCAGCTTCTCGGCCTCTGCAATGAGTTCCTGGCGACGAGGGGCATCGCGAGCAATGAGATCCTTGAGGATACCGCCTAGGCTTCAATCAGTTTCCACAAGCCACACGTCTGTGCATTTGCCGCCTTCGTACCGTGGGGAGGGTTGGCCATGTTTGCTTGTATTAACAGATACGACTGAAGAGTTACAATGAAGGAAAGAAGTCAAAAGAATGGGGAGGGACAGAAGAGGTAGGAGCCGGGGAAAAGGTGCGAGACCGGAGAGGCTACATGACGACTTTATATTTACACACGCACACTACGGATACGCAAACAAGGCTTTTGGTTGAGTAGCAACGATCCGAATCTCAATGCTCGATTATCCCACAAAAATTCGTCTCCACCCCTCCTCTAGCATGCCCCTCAGGAACCACTAACTGCCTTGGCGAAACGTGCCCACGTACGTCAGCGGGTGTTGTTGCAGCGTTTCAAAGCCACCCCGGCCAGTAACAATATCAATCAATTCTTTGTTTCCGACGCAGATTTTCATTATCATGCTATTAAATTCGGAACTTTTCTGAGACAACTACATAAAGTGCTTCTGCACAGGTGTGTAATTGTATGACTATAAGAAGACGTGGGTCATCATGTATCCAACCTCCCAATGCGTTGAGGTATCGATTTTCCCATCCAATGCCATGTAAGAACAAACTCCAATATGCCCCGTGGTGATCCGACCAACGCCGATGCTAAATTCGCAGAAAGATGTAACAAAGACAAAAAGAAAGATGAACGAGTCAAACTCAAACGGCTTGCTCGAGGTTCAGTCCCGACTTGATAGCCTGGCTGAGCTCATCTTGACGCTTCTGCTCTTGCTCTTGCAAGAACATAGCGTAGCGGCTCTTCTTGTTGTGAATGCCGCACTCTGTCTTGGCGCGGCCCTTCCAGCGACCGGCTCTCTCGTCCTCACCCTCCTTGACGGGCTGGGTCGAGTGCCAGTCACCGATCGAGCGGTAGCCTTTGGCCATCAAGGCATTAACAGGAACGTTGTTCTCCTTGATGTAGTCGTTGACTTGTTGGAAAGACCAGTTTGCCAAAGGGTTGACCTTAATCATGCCTGCATCATCAAGCTCGACAATGTCGAGATCCCCACGCTTGCCTCCCTGGCTGCGGCGACGACCAGTAATAACAGCAGCGACTCCCAGCTCAGCATAGGAACGCTGGGCAGGCTCAACCTTGGCGACATAGTCGTAAAGTTCCTCATTGGTTTCCCATAGCTTCTCGCCGTGCTTGCGGTTGAAGTCCTCGACAGTCTCACATCCCTCAGGCTTGTAGGTGTGAATGGTGAGGCTAGGGTATCTGTCTTTGATAGCCTGTACAAGCTCGTAGGTTTCCTTGAATGCGTGTAGAGTGTCCAGGTAAATAAGATCAATGTTGGGCTTGATAGGACCGTCAAGCTTTGACACCATATCGTTGATTGCAAGTCCAGTAAGTCCAAAAGCAGTGGTTTGGAAGAGACGGGGCAGGGTCATAATGCACCATTTCAAGATTTCTGAAAGGATTGTCAGAACATAGGTCTTTAGCGGCTGTAAAATGTATGCGCTTACCTTGAGGCTCGAGGTTTTGCAATTGCTGGTTGATAAACTTCAAGTGTGGACGAGAGAAATAGACCTCAGGAAGGCTGGCACTCGAACTACCACTGGCATAGCCAGACTCCGCATCGTGGTCGGAAGAGTATGAACGGGGCATTGTGGCGTGTGTTGCTGTTTCTTTTGCTTTGTTCTGCTTGTGAGTATGAATGGCTGCAGAATCAAGCCTGGATTGGAGTTTGTATGACAAAGTGGATTGAGAAAAGAGAGAAAAGAGAATGCCAGATTTGATATTACTTGCGAGAGCCGGTCACGGCACCTGGGTTCATCGCTTTGAAATCACCATAGAAAAACTCACTGACGTGCTCTTTCTCAGCGATGTCGTGCTCAGGGCTAATCGTTTTCGGGTTAGAACAGCCGCGACAACATACCGGTCCAGACTCCAGACTTCGAGTCTGAGCGAAGAACGATAGAGAACGTAGGGTGAAAGTGTGGTTGACGCCTCAAAATATGGAGCAGTGTTGTAAATGGAAAGCCGTGCGACCCGCCACCGGAGCTTGACAGGAGAGCTGCCGTTTAGCCCAATGCACGCCAAGTACATGTCCCTCGCCGACATTGCTACGTTCTCTAGCCTATATCGCGGCTATGATCTCGAAGCTTGTGCCGGTCCAGGAATCGCCATGTTGACAATCCTCGTGCGTTAGGCATCGGTTCACCATCTATGGCAAAAATCTCGTCATCGCTTTGGCGTCCGGGTGGTTGAAGACTCCAGTCTCCAGGATATGTTTGCGGCTCTATTGCGCACCCCACAAGTATATACATAACCTTGTTTTGCTCGATCATCTCGGTGCTTACTTCCAGAAGCGCATTGAAGGCATGCGCGAGAAGGCGCTGTCCTGAATATGCCGAATGCGGACAATGGCTGATAAAAAAAAAAGTGTTCTCAACCGATCGAGCTTTTGCCCCTGGACCTCTTCCCGATTTCTCCGCTACATATGATCCAATTCCGCGGCAAGTGAATCATATCAAGACCGGCACACATCGATGATGTGACTAGAGGCTGCTGCTTGGAAGCACGCAAGAGATGATCGTAGACCGTGACAGCAAAATACCCTACGAGCGTATTTTGCTTTCCATATTCGCAAGATGGCGCCATATGGTTGATGGAAGGCGACAATGCGGAGGCACGCCAAGAGAAAACAGAGTTCAAGTTCACGTGCCGTGCTTCGTTTTATGGTCGCAAACATTGCTGCGAGCATTGATCACTTTTTCGAGCCAACAATGAGTGATATCCCTCACGCCCTCAATATCATCGTAAGAGCCTCAAGCTGGAGTATTATACTATACAATTACGTTGGCATCAACCATAGAGTGTGATATCAGCCCACTACTTTGAATAAAGACATGATGCATCCAGGCTCTTGAGGAACAAGAGAGATGTGAAAGACGAAATATTACATGAAACGCAGAAGTATAACGTGCAAGATGCGAGAAGGAAAGTCTTAAACCTCGGCAGTCATATTCTAGCCACCAATCACCGTGCCATTAGCCAAGGTGACAGAGTGGTTGTGGAGATTCGCACTGATATCAGCACCAAGATCAATACTCGAAGCATTGATCTGTTGTCCGGTGCTTGTGGTCCCGGAGGTAAAGTAATTTTGGAGATTTTCCTGAGCAGCGATCGCGTTGTTCAGTTGACCAGACTGCTGGAAGACGAAGAGTACAGCAATTCGAGCAAAGTCAAGTGTTGTCGAGTCAGCCGATGCAGACGAAGAGGGCATCGAGGATGATGTGGTAGTGTCAAAGCTCACCGAAGCCGAAGAGGATGGTGAATCGCTTGGTGATCCGCTTGCAAAGACGATACCGTTACTAGTGACTGCAGCTCCAGCAACAGATGTAGAATCTGCGCGCCCCACTAACACTTTAGTTGGAGAAGGCTTGATATCAGAGACAACCTCAGCGAGAGAGCGAGCAGAAAGACCGTTGAACGTAACCAATGCATTCTCCGAAGTACATGTGAGCTTGGACGAAGCGAACAACCCTAGAATGTTGGTAGCGTTGAGTGGCATGCTGAAATTGGTTGCCGAGCCAGTGAGGAGGCGTGGAATAGAATCTCCAAGTGTGACATTGTTCATCTTTTCAATAGTCGTGGTAGTGCAAGATGCACTTGATGCTTGAGTACATTCAGAACCAGCGAATCCATTGACGCACAGACAGCTGCAGCTGCCGTCACTACCTAGGATGTTGATGCCACCGTTCTTGCAGTCTAGTGATCTTTGGCATGTGGCAAGCGCGGAGGCCGAGGCACTGCCCGAAGCACTCTTTTGTTGAGGAATGACGACGAGAACTATGGGGATAATGACAGCAGCAGCAATGAGAACGACTATGAGCAGAAGTAGCGTAAAGAAGAGCCATAAAGGCATACCACAGCATCTCCTGCGCGGCTCAGGGTCCTCACCAAGATCGCTCGCCGAAGGAAGAGCGCTGTGCTGCAAATTCGAAGACCATGGCATTGCCCTAGAGCTCCTCGACCCGCCTTTGGAACCTCTGGATCCTGTGGGAGTAGCGAGTCCTGGTGGGGGAAACGAAGCAAGGATGTCTGAAAGAGAACCAGATCTTCTGTTGTCCGAGGCATGTGCTTGTGGTGCATCGTCATCAAAGAAATTAAGACCCAGTCTGCTGGCAGTTCGACCACGATCAAGGTTTGACGCAACTTTGGTCGCTCTGCGAATGAGGTCTGGAAGACTGGTAAGACTGCCGCGAGCTTCTGCCTCGCGGACAGCATCCACGTTAAGCCTTGGTGGTCGCTTGGAGCCAACTCTCTCGGCAAGTGTCTGTCTTCCCAAGTCTTGAGTAGTACCCTTCTCAGACAACTCGAACGTGGAGACAGAAGAACTACCCTTGATAGATTTCTCAGATCCAGGTATCATTGTGTCTTTGCCGAGAATATCGGAACTGCTCGTCCGTGTGGACAATTGTGGGAAGGACTTGTCGGAGCGCTCCTCAGGTGACATGTCGACCATAGGATAGCTCATATCCTGTGCCATGCGCTCAACATCCTCCAAATTGCCACCACGGCGAGATTGATCCAGGGGCCGAGTCTGACTATCTGGCCGTAGTTCGCCATTCTTGATCGTGGTCAAGACTGGTGTCGACTTACGACCAATGCTAGCCTGGCGGACAGGTATGGGGCGCATCATCTGCTCAGGCTCACTGCTGTCAGAGTCCTCCTCAAACTGGTCTCGAAATGGAGACTCATTATCTTGACGCATGTCGTGCTGGTCAGCAAGATGCTTTGAGATGCCAATAGGAATTGCATTGCTGGACGCGAAAGAACTCTTTGAGTCGTGTAATCCTCGTTGACTGTCTGTCTCTTCCAAGATAGGCGCAACGTGATTTATCTGTGGGTAGTACGATGCAGGACCTTTGCGCGCCGAAGGAGGAGGACCTAGTGGAGGGCGGCGATTGGGCTGATAAGATGGTCGGGCGACTTGTTGAGGAACTTGTGGAGCTTGAGGAACCGGAAAATCAGGGAGTGAGTAGATGGAGGATCCAGAGGAGTCGCGGTGAGTATTTGCAAAAGGACGAGGCATGTCCAAAGACGACACCTTATCAACCCATGAATTTATAGGCTCTTGGTGAATGTATCGTGTGACTGGAGGGCCTGAGTCTTGACGGTATTGGGGTATAGTGCGGGTGGCTGGCGGTTCTCTGTTGGCAGCTGGTCGTGGTCGACCCAGCACGATAGGCACCTGGTCTGGTCGAAGTGGTCTGCTGGGTTGCGGTCTCTGAGCAGGGTGCAGAGAAGGGTTTGACGCGCCAGACCTTGCGTCTCCATAGCTTCGCGAAGATTGATGGTGTGGACGCTGTACTTGATGTCTATCGGTAAGAGAAGGTGCTCGACCATCTCGTTGGTAAAACATTTCTGTATCCTCCGCAATGATCGAATGGTAGCAATAGATGATCAGAGCTGGAGCTAGGTTTGAGAAGGGAATAGAGGAGAAGACCGGCTCTCTGGAGGTATCGTGCTGTCAATATAGAAGTGTAGTCGAGTCGATACAAGCGAATGTGGTAATCTCATGCAATGAGCGTGATAGATCCAGATCGATTATGCTGTTTTGTAAGACAAAGGCATACGAGCAGATAGATGAGAATTGAAGATAGCGCAGCCTCCGGCAAGAACACTGCCTCGTGCGAAGCGTATACGAGTATTCGCACTTGCGGCCAAGGCTGTCGAGGGTCGGAAAACAAAAGAGTGAATGGCAGGTCGCGACCAGCGTCCAATTGACAAAGCAGCGATCTACGCGACCTTGAACGAAGCAACACCAAGAGAGAGAAACAGAAATGATCAGGAAAGACTGCCAGACAAAACTTCATGCAGCATGTCTGCTGCAGGAGACACTTAGCTTAAGCCTTTAGCGAGGCATGGGGATAATCGTTGGTAGCGCGCCGTTGCTCGGGCCATCGTGAAACACTGCTGCTTGACCTCTGATTCGTTGATTGATCTTGACACTTTATTTAGTCTTGAACGCGAGGTCATCCCGGTTGCCTCTCCAGTGCCCTATACACATCCATGACCGTTCAAATCGAGTAGCCTCAGATTTAGCTGTGTTCTGTCTCTTTCGTATACATGTTGACGACAAACGTCGTTGATGATCCGCGAGTTGTTTGTGTATCGACGGGAGTTGTTTGCCGGCATGCTGAAACCAAGATTCGAAACGAGCCTCGCCCTTTCCTGGGGAAGGTCAATTTCCGCTCCTGGGGATCGCCGTCCCTGCCATGTACTATTGACGCAAAGTGATGCATGCTATATGCCCATGCTCAATCCAATGTCGACTATAGTACCTTGTTGGATGGCTCGATGTAAATACTTCCCCCATCAGAAAAGTTGCTGCTTATTAGAGCGTCGAGTCGCATACTCCTCTACACAAGGTAGCCTGAGCCTTTTACACACTGATGCTTTCTTGAATGGCAGCTCGAGCCATCTCACAACCGCACGAAGACGGGTGTTCGACTCGACACTGTCTCAATTAGGCCAACTGTTTGCACCAGCCTAGTAGAAACCATCCTTCATTGTTTCGTACTGGACCTTTTTACACCGTGTCTGGCAGTCGGTGAAATGGCCAACGCTCTAGCTCACGATGTTCTAAAGACTATGCTATATATGGGATAGCAGCAGGTCGTAGTGATCGGCTTTCAGACAAGCTTCTTGAGCACGTACTGACCGCCCTCCAACACCATCTCCTGGCGCAGAATCTCAGTCACCTCCTCGACAGTACAGCCGAGGATGTAAGCAACGTCCAACAAACTACTGCCGTTGATTTTGGTAGGGGCTTGCAGTTGGACCTTTGGCTTTGCGTTGAAAGCAATTCCAAGACCGGCTTGATGCATCATCAGGAGATCATTGCTGCCATCGCCAACAGCGATCACATTTTCCAAAGGAATGCCCTCCTTCTCAGCGATAGAAGAAAGCAATTCACGTTTCTTTTCGGCGTGAATAATAGGCATACCCTCTACCAGCTCGCCTGTCAATTGACCATCCATCTCGACGAGGTGATTGGCATAGCAGTAATCCAAGCCCAATTCTTGTCGTACCCATTCAGCCAGAGGCGTGAACCCACCACTCAACACAGCAGTCTTCCAGCCAAGTTTGCGAAGCACGCGTATCAACTCACGAGCTCCCGGAGTAAATGAGATGACGCCAGCGCGGAGCTGTTGCCAGATGTTGATATGTACACCGGCAAGATAACCGACACGAGCGCGTAAAGATGCCTCAAAATCAGTGTACGGAGCCTCTCCGCGCATAGCTGCTTCGGTGATGGCGGAGACTTGAGCATAACGACCCACAGCGCGAGCCAGCTCATCAATGACCTCCTGCTGTATCAAAGTACTGTCCATGTCGAACACAGCAAGGCCCGGTGTTCTGTGAGCCACGTACAAGGCTTGAGGTTGCAACACGACCTCAATGTTGTGACGTTGGCATAGACTGACAATCGAAGCAGTTCTGGTGATTGCGGAACATTCCAATAGCGTGGGCGATGGGTTCTTCTGAGGTAGTGGGATGGCAATCTCCAATACTCGGCAACCTTGACCGTCTTCGGGACCATCCAAGAACCGGCGAGGTGCCGAGAGTGAACGTCTGATTGAGAGCTCTTCTTGTAGCGTGTAGGTAACAAAGGCGGCAACATTTTTCCACTGCTCAGCGTCCATGGAGCCCTGTCTCAGGAACACAAGTGCAACAACCTGATTTTTACGCGCATCTGATCGTTCGCGCTTGACTCTGGGCTTAGGCTGTTGTTCAGGTGCGGACTCCTGAGGGTCCGCAGCGAACGAGAACGTCTCGTAATTCACCGACATGTTGACACTGATAGATTCCCCAATCAATGCTCAAGAGAAAAGTGCAGCAATCGTAGAGCTTTAAAGAAATACAAACGTGCCAAGATTGGCCGAAGCCGGAGTTTTTGCCAACAACAAAGACACTCGACATTGTGCAGTTATCACATTTACTTGTTTCTACAGTAAGCATAGTAAAATTCGACTGTGACATTGCCTAGTCGTGCTCACAATGAGGCGATGTCCCGTTGAGAAGGTGCTTGCTCCTTTGAGAAAAAAAAAAGGTCATGTTGATCCGCACAGATTTTATGCAGAGTTTTTTGTGACTGCATAGTCACGGGACCATTCAAGCTAGCCCAGAGAAGGTATACATGTGCCGTTCTCGCAGTTGTAAGTTGGCTTCAAAAGCATCACATCTCCTCTAGAGACCATGATCGAAACTCGAAATGACAACAGAATCATCCCCGCAGCAGTGTAAGTTGGTCTCGGACTTTATACGACCCAAGAATGGTGAGAATATCTGCACGAAAATGTAGCTAAGGAAGATCTGGTGATCGAGGTTTAGAAAAGACGAATTGAAACAAGACTGTAGGCTGCCGCCATAATCCAGCAGCAGACGTGCTAGCAGCAACTTTTGGCTTCGAGGTAGGTCCTTAGTACTACACTTGATGAATGCTGAAGAAGCAGGTGGAGCTCTGGTATAGTCCTCTCTGTGCGAGGTCTTTGAAGACAGTGTAGTGAGATTCGACATTCCTACGAGACTTGACGGTCCGAGGACTCTTGGATGTGGAATGGCACTGATTTTTGCGGAGACAAACACGGCGATCAATCTCGAGGACCATGCCGGACTCACCTAGATTTGTGCATGGTGACCAAGATGGGCGACCCAAGGTATGATCTGGCGCTTCAAGGATCCGAGTCTCGTCAAGTCATGAGGCTCAGGAAAGAGTGTGATGGGTTCGTGATGCAATCTGCCCATCAAGGTAAGAAGCTGGCCATCAAGGTAGCTTCATCAAGGTGTTCTGATGGCGCACGATAAATGGTAAGGACTGCTCAATGCACTCTCAAGCATCCACTGCAGAAGGTCACAATGGCTCAGTGCTCTATCACTCACGACGTGCTCATCATTGGAGCCGGACCATGCGGTTTGGCAACTGCAGCACGTCTATGTGAGACGACCCCCTCAGCAATTTTCTCAGATACCGAGCATCATCGATACCATTGGATTAAGAAGCACGGAGACCGCGCTTCGATCAAAGACAGACGGACTGGCCAGATCAAAACACCCAGGAAGTCAGAAGACTGCCGCAACTACTCCACTCTTGTATTGGATGGCACCGACAAGGACTGGATGTCACGATGGAACCATCTATTCAAGACGTTCGAGATCTCACACCTGAGAAGCCCAATGTTCTTCCATCCAGATCCTCAGGATCGAGACGGCTTGTTGTCGTTTACATATGAGCACGGGAGAGACAAGGAACTGGTTGAAATCCCAGAGTGTGTAGGCAAAGAGATCAGCAAGCACAAGAAGAAACAACGACTCAAGTGTAAGGCTCATGGGTAAGTAGCAGCAGTCGAGTTGACGACATGAACACAGAACTGATCGTGTCTTCTAGCGCCCGACCTCCAGTCACGATCGACGAACGTGACCGCAAAGACTATTTTACGCCCTCCTGCTCCCTCTTCCAGGACTATTGCGAGTGCGTAATTGATCGATACGGGCTTAGAAGCAATCTCATACAGAAAGAGCGTGTCGAAGACATCGACTTTGGGTTCGTACCAGAAGTCTCTGAGACCAAGCAAATCTTCACAGTACATTCTGACCAAGGCGTGCATCATGCTCGGGTTGTTGTACTTGCGGTTGGACCAGGAAATCCACCTTCCATCCCTGCTGGGCTTGGGCAGATGGGTCAAGGATGTTGTCATGCCATGCAAATTCGAGAGTTTCCAGACCCTTCGGTGACAGCGAAGTTGCGACAAAAGAAAGATGTGAATATTGTGGTCGTGGGTGGCGGCTTGACTTCTGCTCAATTGACCGTCATGGCGAGCAAGCATGGAGCAAGGAAAGTATTTCATCTGGTCAGGGGTCGACTGAGAGTTAAACCTTTCGACGTGGACTTAAACTGGATGGGAAAGTTCCGCAATTTTGAAGAAGCATCTTTCTGGTCGGCGGACACTGATGAAGGTCAGAAGAAATGTATGCACTTGAGCCGCAGAAACTCTGCTGACAGTTCTTAGAACGGCTCGAAAAGATCAAAGAAGCACGTGGAGGAGGTTCCATTACTCCCAGGTATCACAAACTGCTCAAGCAATATATAAGTGCTGGCAAGGTTGCCCTGCATACAGAAACGACCATCACTTCATCAAGCTTCTCCGACGGATCATGGACGCTTACAACAAGTCCGCCTATTGACCTACCAAGCATCGACTACATCTATTTCGCCACGGGCATTGCCAGTGATTTCAAAAGCCTGCCCTTCTTACAGACCATCAACCACAAGTTTCCCGTTGAGTCATATGGCGGGCTTCCTGCCCTGACGGATGATCTGATGTGGAAGGAGAACGTTCCACTTTTTGTGACAGGACGACTTGCAGCGTTGCGGTTGGGTCCAGGAGCGGGCAATCTTGCTGGTGCTCGCAGTGGCGCGGAGAGGATCGCTTGGGCTATCGAGGACATTTTGCCGAAGGAAGATGGTCCAAAAGAAGATGAGAATGAGATGAAATACAACTTCAAGACCGGCACAGGAAGTCAATTTTGTAGTTTGGACTGTGAAGCATGTATCTAATACTTTATCATTCCTTGTCCTTTCTGGCACGTATCTGCATCCTCTCCTGTTCAAAAGTATGTAACGCGTATAGCTGCAGAAATGCACAATACTACCAGGAAACTGGGCAATTTGCACTGAGAAGCAACAAAACATGGTACACCGATCTAATCATTGTCCTACACAGTAGCAGGTACCGCTTGTCCGTGAGGTCCAGGATTGCCACCCGCTCGGCCTGCTGGTTCCGCCACTGATCCGTTCTTTCTCTCTTCGGCATCTTCGTCGTCGTATGCAGATTCTGTGGCAGTTCGATGAGTATAGAGCTTAGTCTGACCATCAAGAAGAACGAACCTGCCATGAATGGACTCCTGGCTCGGATAGCAGAGCCTTTGACAAGAAGAAATACAGGAGCCAAACTCAGAACCAGGGCAACCAAGCCCAGCAAAGTCGAGGCCCATTGGTAGCCAAGGTTGGAATACAATTGAGGAGATGCGAGAGGGAGGAAGGCTCCGAACGTATTCCTTCCAAATGAGGCCGCTGAAAGTGCCGAGGCCGAATACTTGCTGTAAGCATCCGTAAAGTAGTTCTATGAGGTCAATGAGCGATATTCTTATATGATCACCTCCTCAACTTACCACCACAGCTTGGTAGATTGAATAGATACCGAAACCAACCATTGCAATTCCAATAGCTGGTGCGATCCATGGTACGAAAGTGTAAGAGGTCCATCCATAGACGAACAATCCTGCTGTAAAGATCAGAGAGCCCGGGATGGAGAAATAGAGTCTAGCCTCTGGTATAGGCTTTCCTGGAGACTCTTTGTTTCTGCTTGCTGATCTTAGATAAAGCTGGTCTTGTATGGGATTAACGATAGTAGCTATCGTGGCCCCTGCACTCAGAGACAACTGTATGAGCGAGGTCTGGAAGACACTGAATCCATAATTCGTGCTGAATGTCTGTGTAATCGACGATTGAAACAAGAAGAGTAGGCCCCACTTTGCGAATGATCAGTATATGAATATGTAGAGACATTTCAGAACATCACGTACGGCGAATGACACCCAAAGCTAGGAAGGAGGTCAGCATTCATGTGCTCCTTTCAAATAGTCACAGGACTCACAGTGAACGAAGCGACAGTATACTCTGTCAAGAGCATCTTGGTAGGTCTTTTGAAAGATACCTTAAGCATCTCGAGTACGCTATCTTTGTTAAGCTCGCTTTTAGCATAAGCGTTGCGGCCTTCTTTGCGAAGCTTTTTGGCCTTCCTAGCGAGAATAACGTCGCCACGAGTCTCCTTGAGAAGAAGCCAGAAAATGGGAAGACATCCTGCCTGGAGACAACATTAGTACAATCTCAAGAGCAACTCTTGTATTAACGCACATTGAAGATGATCTGAATATAGTAAATCCATCTCCAATTGAGGTTACGTTGAATGGCTCCACCAATGAACGGCCCAAGTGCAATGCCTAACATACAAATTCGATCAGTAAGTATCATCATTGAGGTTGGTCAGGCAACCTGGCTGGTGAGAACCAGATAATTTTTGTTCATGATACGTACCAACTACAGAAGTCCATCCGAAGATAGACATCGGGATTGATCTGCAGACATGTGGTTAGTTGGCCGTCAATGAGTTGTTGTGCGAGCCATTACCTCTCTTTCTCTGTACGATATAGATCGGAGATAGAACCTCCTACTAAGTTGATACTGACTGATGATGCACCGCCTCCAATAAATCGAGTAACAATCATGGTGGCAAAGTTCTGTGCAAATGCTGACGGAAAGAGGAAAATGATGAAGATGATATACGATGCACTGCACCATCGAAGTCAGTATAATACACGCCAATTGGGAGTACTCTTTACCTACAAGTAACCAGGCATTCGACCCCTAAAACGGCTTGTTAGCTTACGGTTTGTACCAGAAAGACACCCTAGCCGTGACTTACAGGTTTTCAGTCAGAGGAACAAAGAGCAGAGGGAACAATGCAGCTCCCATGTTCCAAGATACTGTTGCCCAAGTTAGGTTAGGGAATGGATCGTTCTGGACGTGCCACAGCGAGCTCATTTGATCGTTGGCAGCACTGTAACTGCCAGCCGGCAGGCCTGTCAAGATTGAACTGTAATCTCTTAGCAAGTAACCATTAGACGACCTGAGCTGATCCATACATGAAACATGTAGTAAGTGTCATGACCCATTTGCGCGAAGTAGACCAATTGAATCTATTGTAAGGAGATCAGTTATGTGTTTTTGGATACATGCTAGTATGAATCGCTTACGGGTTTGCTGGATCGTCTTGACCCTCCCAGTCAACGATCTCAATATCGCCATTTTCATTCGAAGGATGGTCTTTCTGCCCTTCACCATCTGAAACTTTTTCGGACTCGGGGTGACGACCGAGAGCTCTATCTTGGCTGGAATCCATTTCTTCCTTATCGCTTGAACATGACATAGATGCTCTATTGGTAGGCATTCTCAAGAGGCGAAGTTAGGTGAAAGACCGAGAGCAATTTTGGGGACTCGAAAAACCAAATCTTCGGCCTTAGGGCATCGAATAGGTATGATGCAAAATAAACCATGGCCTAAGTAGCACTGTGACATCAGTCGCAACTCAATTCTGACTGCGTTCGGATTACAAAGATACTTCTTTGCGAGGGAGAAGGGCCGAGTAAGTACCAAGAAACGGGTGGACCGTGGAGGCGACATATGATGTCGGCCCCAGAAAACGTTTCTTACTTATATGAGATCACTCAATGTGTTCGTCTTCAGCCTTGTGTCTGAAGACTATGGTACCAGTTTAACAACAATGTTTTAATCGGCTGTGACGTGGGTGTAGCGTGTAACTGATAAAGATGCGGAGTGAGTTATAATGATTAAACTTGAGCAGAGCCTCAGGCACAGTCGTTAAGCTTTCCGGTTAAACCTGCCTATTTGTCTTGTCGGCTACCTGTTTCTAGATTTCTGGTACTCGAAGTAGTGCTTCATGAAAGCTGTGAAGATTGTACTCCAAGCTACGTGCATGTTTCCTATACGCATGATTTCTGTGAGAAGACTCCTCAGAAACTTTTCGCTATCCTAAAATGCTGTGCGGTCGTATCTTTCTAACAGCCTGACGATCGAGTTTATCCTTGGGTGGTGGGTGAGCTAGGACGGCGTCCACTACGAGGTCATGGGACTCGTCAAATCGATGACCTTCACTCAGGCGATAGCCGTTCCTAACGGCTGACCGTTCTGCGAGCAAAAGGTAGGTGGAGCTGCGAACATGGTTGCTGAGCATGTAGAGTCATGCATCGTGCGCAGTTGACCACAGACCAAGATCTCAGACTCTCACATAGGCTAGAAAAGTCAGTGTTGTGACAAAGCTTGCAAAGATGTTGAGTACGTACTGGCATCAATCTTCGAAACCTGAGGCAAAGCTAAGCGGACCTTGTTACGATATAGAACAGGATTAGACTTTTGTAGAGGGTTGCCCTCAAAATAGACTTCTGAGAGCTCCTTCTTGTCGCCGAGCTCTTTCTCCAGCTCGTCGAATCGATCCAGCTTGCAGCTTGTTGCCCAGAGATTTTCGATATGGACAAGTGCTGAGACACCACGCAGCGAAGTGATGGGGTTGTTCTGAACGTCTAGAATCCGGATGTTGGGAGCGTAGGAAAGAGGCTCAAGTGAGGTCAGCAAGTTATCCGAGATGTACAGCTCCTCGAGTTGAGGCAGCTCTTTAAGCCCTTCCAATGATGTGATTCTGTTTGCTTGAATAGAGAGGGTCTTTAATTTAGTGAGAGTGGAGAGCCCCTTGGAGAAATCAGCATGCGTAATCCACACATCATCAGCCTTATCGTACCTTGAGCTCGGTGATCTTGTTTTGACCAAGCCATAGCGAGTCGAGATTGGTCAGAGTGTCCAAGCCAGAGATTTCCTAGATGACTATAAGTTCATACTCGTATGAGCAAGATGAAGGTTGATAGATACCCTGATTCTGTTGGCTCCCAGCTCCAGGTAGGTAAGATTCGAGAGACCATCCAAGCCCTCGATGCGAGAAATCTTGTTCTGGACAAAGTAGAGATGATCCAGTTTCTTCAAGTGGTCGACGCGCTTGATGTGTTTGATCTTGTTGTAACTCAGGTCCAAGCTGCGCAGCTCAATGAAGGAATCGAGACCTTTGATGTGCGAGATCAGGTTGTCGTATAGCTCGAGATCTTGGAGGGTAGTGGCAAGGGATTCGGGAAGCTCGATCGAGGAAATGGAGTTCTGGCGTAAACACAGTTTCTGGCAGAGGCAGTCAGTCCTGGCTGAGCGTGAAGTCGGGAGGCTTGTGTGGACTTACAATGACCTTGTTGAAGCGCTCGAGACGGAGCGCAGGTATCGAAGAGACGCGACTGTGCTGGACGTCTATTTCCTACACGCTCATCAATATCAGAGGGCAGGTGCGAGAAGCGAAAGGAGCGACCTCGGTCTCGGGATCCTCATCTTCGAGCAAGTCTGGCGAGCATCGTCAGCACTTCGGAACAGAGGTTGTTGACAGGCACAGCCTAATACCTTCATCTGCTTCGATCTGATCAACCGGAGGGGCGTCTTCGTCAGAGTATTCAGGATCCGACAGAGCCTCTGGGTTCGCCAGGACGGCCTTTTTGTTCTTGTCCAGGCGCAGCTTGCCGTCCCATCCTGATTTGTTGCTATGCAAGCCGTTGCTCTTAGCGCCTGCTTCACCAGATCCGGATGCGACAACCTGGTCGGCAACGGGTGCGTCGGTAGGCGTCGACATGGCTGTTTGATAAAATAATAAGGCGAGAGCACGAGAGAGTTGACAAGTTCAAGGGTCGCAAAACGGGCGTCATTGTGTGGGGGGATGTTAACTGCAAACATGGCACGCGTCACACCATCACATGCCATCCCACAATCACACCTACTTGCTAGCGCTCCAATAATACGTCTATTGCATGTTGATTAAAAGTATACTGGGAATACAGTCGAAGAATATCAAATCTCAAGTCCCATGAAAACGCCGCGCTTTGTCAGTTCATGCCGTCTATACGTTATCCATCGTACACTTGACCCTTTACCTTCATCAGCTCCTCAGCTCGCTGAAGATGTATGGGAACAGCACAACGCAGGCCTTGTACAACACTCCAACACTCGCCACTGCTCGAAAAGGCATCAGCAAAGCATTACCAGACGTGATGTAGACCCAGATCGAGAGGAAAGCAACCGCGAAGAAATGGTAAAAGAGGACCATCGGTTGCCGGATGATACCAGCCAGTAGCCCGACAGGTCCATCGATGCACTGTCCTCCTCTCTGGAAGTAACGGAAGCATCCCTGCTGAAGTGCTCGAAGTTGAGGATCTGTTGATTGTCAGGAACTTTGATTTACGTAGATGCTGCCCGAGGAAAACCTTACCGTTCGCAGCGAAGAGAGAATACAGCGCTTGCGCAAGAATGTTGATGACACTCGTCAAATTCTTTCTTTTCCAATGGAACACATCTAGCTGAGCCAATACAGCTTTGGTGTCTTCGAATCGCGGTACTTGTTCAGGAGAAAGGAGCCTGGACAGCAGTAGGGCGTCGTTGAATGCCACAGTCATGCCACCTCCTGTCAAAGGGTGACGCATGTTCATTGCGTCTCCAAGCAGTATCACACCTGCATGTTTGTTCTTGGAAGCAGGCAAAAACGAGTTGGGCATAGAGCGCAAAGCACCACGGTCAAGCGCGGCTTCAAATGATGGCCGTACCCGTGCAGGTAGCGAAGGTAGTACGACGTTGCGTAGATGGTTTTTCACACCTCCATTCTTGACGGATGCAGACGGCAGGTTCTCGGGAATATCTACGAGAGCACGCGTCTCATGTGTACCAATCTGGTAGAGCAGAACTGGAGGACTGTCGCTGATCAGAACGTGACCGTGATTAGGCATCGGCAGGTCAGCATCGATCAACTCGAGGCCCCAGAACTTCGACTTGACCACAGGAGCTCGAGTATTGATCTCTTTACGGAATTTGCTAGCATAGCCGTCCGCGACAACGGTCAGATGGGCGAAATAGTAGTCCTTGCGGTCTCTAGTGGAGCACTCAACCCCCAAGACCTGTCCGCTGTATCCACTTCGCACTAGATCCGTGGCCGTGGTCTCAATGACTGTGACGTTGGAGCACTTGAGGGCACGCTCTCGAAGTTTCTGGATGAACCGGCCGTGGTGGAATGAGCGTCCTTCTGGTCTCGACTTTTTCTCCTTTTCATTCAATTTGGTTGTGGTGGCGGCAGCATTTTCGGGATATGGGATGGCAACCTCGTCGCCGTGGTATATGACATCGTAGCCGAGGACCTTGATAGCGTCAATGTCCTCGAGACAGTCGGCCATTCCAAGCTCTTCCAAAGCAGCGACTCCGCCAGGCTGCAGCAGCTCTCCTACAATGCGATCAGGCTGTTTGAGTGATTTCTCGAGTAGAATGACGCTCCGGCCCTGATCGGAGAAGGCGACGGCGAGTGCGCACCCTAGGATGCCAGCACCAATGATGACCACATCTGCTTCGTGGTGCACTCGGCGGCGCGACTCCAAGGCGTCGGGTACAGTGGGAGAGGATGGAGGCGAGTCGAGAATGAGCGGCATGATGTAGGGCGTCGGGTTCTCAGGAAGCAGTCAAGGATAACAGCATAGCAAGGTAGATTTGTCGATGCGACAAAGGTCAACAAAAGATTCGGAAAGGAGCGATTGTCATACGATTGAGTTGACTAGTTGCTGGTAAATTTGACAGGGTCTGCAACCGCCTCATACGTATTGGAAGTCACCCCACTGTCTGGACCATCAGGCCATTCCCGCTACTCTCACCGGAACAACTTTCCAATCGAAGTGACCGAGTCGCGGTTTGTGTATGGCGCCTTTCAAACGCATCAAAATAACCCGCGCTTGTGCTTGTGAACGAGTAGATATGATCTCAAGCATTGCGGTGGCGGGGGACCCCTATTGGCAAATATCGGAGACAAGCGGGAGTCGAACGATAAATGTGCTGACATTGTCGTACTACGAGTAGTGCAAACACTTCTTCAACTTCTCGAATAGCAATAAAGGATAAAAAAAACCTCTGCAATGTCAGGAAGCGAGCGAATAGATTAGGCAAGCTTCATGCTTTATTGTCACCCATTCGTCCAACGCAGAGGAGACGCTTAGATGAAAAGCAAGCCACAGCTACCAGTATCCAGTCACCCAGGTCTCGTGTGTACAACCGAGCTGTCAGGCGCGGCGTCACGCATGCATGTTTTTTCGCATTCGAAATCGCCTGCATACTCGAAGACCAAATTGAATGCATTACTTCGAGTATTGGGTGGCCAAAAAGGGGACACTTTTGCTCTTGTTAGTAGATAACTCACAAGCTCCATGCCCAACGTGTTGCCATCAAGCTAGTGACGTCGACATCCTCGTCGTCGATCTCGACCAAATAAACAGTGCCTACTTTGCGCTGCATTCATACCCTGCTCACAACCAGTGATCTAGCAAAGTAAGACACAGCAATGGCACCCGACCTCAGTAACTGCAGAGTGCTCAAAGAAGAGCCACTAGCTTCTTCTGACGCTAAGTGGACCGCTTTGAGAAAGTGAGTCCTCAGACCACGACTACCTGTACTCGATTGCTGAACATCTCCAAGAATAACTTATAACAATGCAGAGAACGTATCGAAAATCTGGTAGGTAAATCTCACGAGCATTGTATCAGATCGGAACTCAAGCAAGCTAGGGAATCAGCCGTACGGCCAACTCGACCATCAAATAGCTCGATAGATGCAGTAGGCATCGTCGCCATCTTGGAGAAACCCAGTGGGCCAGAATTACTTCTGCAAAAGCAGTACCGTCCACCCATCGACAAGGTATGCATAGAAGTACCAGCAGGCTTGGTAGATGAAGGCGAAGACGCCGAATCTTGCGCGCTTCGAGAGCTCAAAGAAGAAACTGGCTACGTGGGAGAAGTGATCAAAGGCACTCTGGGAGTGACACCTGTCATGTTCAATGGTATCCAGACCCGAGGATTCATTGAAGGTACCACGACTAATCGTGTATTTACAGACCCGGGGTTTTGTAATACAAACCTGAACATGGTCCACGTACGTCTAGATATGTCGAATCCCGACAATCAAAACCCACGACCAGAACTCGAAGAGAACGAGTTCATTGAGTGTTTCTCGATACCGTTGAAAACACTCTATGAGGAATGCAGGAGACTCGAGGCTGAGGGATATGCTATCGATGCTCGTGTACTCACACTAGCTGAAGGAATTGAGGTAGCTCGACAGTTCAAGATTGTCTAGTTGAAGCTGGAAGAGCCGTCGAAAGACAAGATACCTCCCGAAAATCAATTTGAAAACCACTAAGAAAGACAATTCTATATCCACCATATTGTTTCCATTTACTGATCACGATTCGCATGGCACAGCCACCAGAGTATGGCCAGGGAAGAGGAAAGGTTCGGATCGAATGCGATCTCTTTGTCGACTCCCAACTCTAGGCCATCCTCCACAGCTGTCAAGCGCGGCGCGCGGAAGCAAGTGTTAGCTTCCTGTACCCGGGTTTGTTGATATGTCTCCAATTTGTACGGTATGCGAGCGATGATCCTCAACAAACGTGCCGCGTTTCGCATGTCACTATTTGGTTCCTGAGCATCGAGACAGCAATCTATTCCTTTGAGGAGAGTATCCACAGCTAGTCTGGCTTTCAGGGAGGAAAACGAGGGTCTAGGCATGAGTTCAACGGCCCTCGGGAGGGGCCGCTGTCGCCAACGTTGACGGGCGAGCGACTTGGAAGCACGTTTCGCCGAGAAAAACTTGATAAGAACAAAGCTAGGATCACCCTTTATGCACCATCTGCGCGAATCACGAAAACTTGTGGTCGGAGATGCAGGAGTTCTCTGCGGTGTGATTGGGTGACTTGGCTGTCATTCTTTCTATCACTACCGATCGTTTGGAGAGGGGGGCTGACTCGACGATGCACAGCACAAGTATATTCGAGACATGGTACAACACGACCAGGAGTGACGGTGACATTGTTCAGACGTACATTTCCAGATGAGGACCATTTCACGAAACACGAAACAAACCAAGAACCGACGAGCATAGCACTTGTTTTTGGAGCGAGATGCACCGGTGAGTGTTTTGGTATAGCTGGTAGCAATCAAGCACAGACGGGGGGCTGAACCACCTCGGCTTGACCAAAAGAGCTGCATACCTACCTGTTAATTAGTTCCGATACCTTGGGCAACTAATATGCATCCCCACTTCCATTTCACGCCAAGGTCATGAAAACCTGGTCCGCTGGCCTTAAACTCATCAGCATGGGAAAGAGAGATTTGGGTGGGTTTGACACCCTTGTCCGGGTACGCATCCACGCACGGGCAGACAGGGCTCGTATCACAGCGTACCAGCAAAATGGAAAAAGACGAGGCGAGACTAGCAGCCGAATGGCCAAATGAGATGCACAACCTCGGTGCGAAGATCTCCTGGAGCGGCGTAGGAGCCAGCAGAAAAAAGCGGCGTGTCGCTTTTCATAAAAAATACCCTCGCCAGAAGACCCTACAGTACAGGCGCCGGGCGCTACCCGAATCCACACAACGGGTCAATGCACTAAACCAAAGCAGCATGTACGTGCAGATGCTCTCTCGCGTTAGTTGACTTGTGTGTTCCCACCGTCAGACATTAAAGATCATGGGTCTGGCACGATTTCATCCACCGCTCTCCCCTCTCCCCACCTTCTCTCCGGGATGCAAGGATTGCTTGCCTTTTTGCATGTATTTCTAGCAACCCACGCATTCGCTTCCATATCTGCATCGCCATTGTAAGACAACCCTCTCTGGCTCGGAACCGTAACCTGGCTTTGGGCTCGTCTCGCAGCTGCTGTGCTCGATCGCCTCGCGCCCATTAACCCTCGCCGATTGGGTGGCCGAGTCATATGTGACAGGAGCATGCACAGTATATCAAATTCGTTTCGTTGCACTTTTCCAAGAATTTGTCTGTATCACACTCTTGCGGACATTTTGAGACTCGCCCTGCTACTTCTGCATACCCCTTTCCTGTCAACATCACTGTGAATATTTCAGTGGTACACTCCAAATGCAGTTGTAGGATATCAAGTGGGCCGAGAACACTCCTAGATACCACGTATGTCTGGTTCGCGACCTCCCTCGCCCGTCCATCCTCGCATTGGCAACACCTCTTTCAGAGAGATGGCGGCAGAGGCTCAGAGACCACATCACTCTTCAGTCCCGCAGTTCCTTGGACATCCTGAGCGACAAAACTCTGTCGGATACCAGTTCTCGCCGATAGTGGGACAAGAACGGTCGAGTATATCGTTTCACCCACCATTCACCACTCTACCACCACCATCATCGCGTCCAGGAGCTTCGACAAATCCGCAGAACTATGTGCAACGATCAGTTCCAATATCAAAGTTATTGTCCGATGCCCCTCAGGATCCACTACCGCGTCCCAGACAGATATCAGCACCTGGTCCCTTCTCTTCTGGGCTACCTTCGCCACCTCCGCCTGTAGTGTATCAGCGGACTGTAGCCAACCCACCACAACATCTGCCGCTGCCAAATGTGCGAACCTCGCCCGTCTTCCGTGTGCCACAGTACCCGCCGCAGGTTACGAGCCCGCACCATGTCTCACAGTTTCCACAACAAAATTCACCCATTGCTTCAAACAGTCCATCGTCAGGCTCTCTTGATTCAGGAACCTCTCCTCGAGAGCGTCAGCCTGCCATTACCGAGAAGTTCAGTCGTCTGCCATCCTTTGCTGCACCGTCTCCGAATTTGAGGTATGAGCTCAATATGCGGCAACAGCCTGTCGCTGCCAGAGCATGCGGCTTTGGAGAACGTGACCGACGCGTTGTTGATCCTCCACCTATCCTTGAGCTTAAAGTTATCGATGCCGAAACAGGAAAAGTGGACAGCGAAAACACGCCCTACGTATATACGACACTGCATTGTACTCTGATCAACTCCATGACATACAAGGACGAATCACAGATTGAACCTGCTCATCCAAATGCGCCAGCCACACAACGCCTGATGGGAACAGCAGTGGCGTCGCCGTTCTCTGGTACAGATGAAACAGGAAAGAGAGGGACATTTTTTGTCTTCCCTGATCTCTCTTGCCGCAATCCAGGGAGGTATCGGTTCCAGTTTCGTTTATTGATAGTCGATCCACTGAATCTTTCTGTCGGAACAACCTCGCGAATACAGAGCTCGATCATCTCTGAACCGTTCGAGGTGTATACTGCAAAAGAGTTTCCAGGAATGCGAGCCAGCAGTGCTTTGCTTAAAGCTCTGAGAAAACAGGGTCTGAATGTAGCTGTCAAAAAGGGCCGTGAGGCTACGAAGAAGGCGACCAGGAGACCTGGCCATGTTGACGAGGACGACAGCAGCGGTGAGGATGGAGAAAACGTTGCCGACGAGGACGATCAGGACAGCGACGATGCACGCCCTCAAGCTGCCGCTGGTGGCAAAGATCGAAGAAAAAGAAAACGAAGAGAGTGAATGAGACCACGAGCGACACGCCCCACTAGATGTATGATTTCTTTCTTAGTGCCTCATTTTCGGTTGTTGATACGGGCATGTCTTGTTGTTTTAGCTCTGTATCTTGCACTTTTCTCCTCGAACTCGAAGAACTAGTTCACTATCTTGGCAAAGACGGTCATCGGTTGCATGTAGGCATTCTGAGTATTTAGCTAGTCCAACAAGATAGCATTTCGGTTGGTGGGTGATATAAATTTACTATTTCTTAGTTGATTCAAGCCCACGTTCAGAACCATCCCTAGCCTTGACAAGCATCTACACTTGAAGGTATGATCCATATCTCTCATTGGAAGAGGACATTTACGCGCCCTCTAAACCTTCATACAGCTTGACATTCCAGCTCTTGCTTGGATTATTGTACCTGTATGTAAAATCGCGACCCAGCTTTGCGAGGATTTCAAGGTCGTCCGAATCCAGCTCGATATGCCTACTCTCAAAGTTTTCGTTGATCCTCTCTACGTGTGCACTCTTGGGTATGACACTTGTACCTCGACTCATACCCCAAGCCAATGATATTCCCGCAGTCGTGGAGTTGTGCTTCTTTGCCAGCTTTATCATGGCTTTGTTCTTGAGTAAAGGTGGAGGCATATGTTTTGCCTTTTCTTGGTAGGTGGGATTGGTTCCTCCAAGCGGCGAGTAGGCCGTCACATGGATGCCCCGGACCTTGTGATAACTTATCCAGTCTTCCTGCTGCAGATAGGGGTGTAATTCCATTTGGTGGCAATATGGAACATGAGTTGTATGATTCAGCAAGGTGTCGAGTTGCGATGGCGAAAAATTTGAGATTCCAATGCGTCTAGTCTTGCCTGACTGAACCAACTGCACCATGGCCTCCCAGGTGTCGAGGAAATAGATTTCATTGCCCTTGCTCGTTTCGGCAACTGGCCAGTGCATATGATACAGATCCAGGTAGTCAAGGTTGAGATCGGATAGCGTTTTGTCGATAGCAGCCTCGACTTTAGAGGGATCGTGGTGGTCCTAATTGAAGGTATAATTAGCAGGTTGTACAAGAGTGGATGTGAAAACAGCACAGCTCTGCTAAACGAGTACTGCAGTCCGGGACGGTGTCTCAGCTGGAGACTGTACGTGCAGGCTGAGATAGAATGCCAGCAACAGTCGTGATGTTCGTACTTCGATTCAACTTACGTTCCAAAGTTTGGAGGTAACCCAAATGTCTTCGCGTGACAGTCCAGCTTTCTTCAGGCCCTCAGAGATGCCCTTGCCCACAGCTTTCTAAATGTTGTTATGAATTGGCCGATTGAGATCGAAAAGGCATTGTTACCTCATTGCCGTATACGGCAGCACAATCTATGTGTGTGTAGCCGGTATGGATTGCGTGGGACACTGCCTCTGTAGCATTGTCCTTCAAGTTCCATGTTCCAAACCCTATAATAGGGATCTGGAAAAGAGTCGATGGTCCGAGAGGTGTTTGACCCTGTGATGGTTGCTTGGCAGCAACAACCGCTAAGGTTGCCGCAAATGGCAAGAACGAAAGCAGATGCATGCTTGTGGTTTTGCTGCAAAAGCGCAATGTCTGCGAAGGTGAGATAAGTCAAGACTAAAAGCCCATTGCTACACCTTTATATCCGTTATCCGATTCCTGCGATATCTGATGTCATGAACTGCTCATTGCAGCTTTCCCCGCAGTCTGGGTGCCTTGGGAGGTCGTAGCGAGCTGATATCAGTCTGCAGGGACGCAAAACACGGCATCTGATGTGGCTTGATGTGCGTAGTTTACCATTCTTGCAGATGCGCGAGCTGGGTAGGATCAATATTGCTGGAAGCTGGTGGTATAGACACTCATATCTACCTAGGTCGTAGACTTACCTAGTACTCCACACAATTGGCCATACCCCACCATATTTGTTTGCTTAGTTTGCTTTGGTGAAACAGATTTTGTTGCATGCCGACGACTGAACTGACTAGCCGATACCAGTCAATACAGTAAGAGCCACTGAGAGATAGAAAGTGATAGTCATGTCAGCGATTCTCTTTGATCAATAAGCCTCAATCGTGAGGCAGCAGGCAAGCATTGAATAAATAGCCATGTCATGCATAGGGCGCTTTGACGCCAGGGCCTTTTTCGAGTCAGAGTGCTTCCCCAGGAAAATGGCAGCGAACGCGTTTTTCTGGCGTTTCGCGAAAAAAATTCCACCTTCTTTCCTTCCCGCTGGCATAAGCTAGTGAGGCGACCCTAAGGTGTATCATCTAAAGCAAACATGAAATACGTATTGGTATCCGGAGGTAAGAGCTGGAGCACTAGCATCATGGCTCGATCGTGGACTAATGGCTCGTCCAGGTGTTATCAGCGGTGTCGGCAAGGGCATTATTGGTATGACCAGCGTTCACGAGAATGTACGCCGATACTGACATGACTGCGACGTCAAGCCTCGTCCACCGGCCTGCTGCTGAAGACTATGGGATTGAAGATATGTGTGACCTTGCTATGGTTGTCTGTTCTTGTGCTGACAACATGTACGTCTCCTCGATCAAGATTGATCCCTATCTCAATGTCGACGCCGGTACCATGAACCCCAAGGAGTATGTCCACTATCCCCGTGCTGCGATCGCGCAGTTCTGACATTGTCAAGGCACGGTGAGGTCTTCGTCCTCGACGACGGTGGTGAAGTCGACCTCGATCTCGGCAACTACGAGCGCTACCTCGACATCACCCTGACACGCGAGAACAACATCACCACTGGCAAAATCTACCAGCACGTTATTGAAAAGGAGCGCAGAGGAGATTACTTGGGCCACACTGTCCAGGTCGTTCCTCACATTGTTGACGCTATCCAAGACTGGGTCGAGAGAGTCGCCAAGATTCCCGTTGACGACACAAATGAAGAGCCCGACGTTTGTATCATCGAGTTGGGTGGCACAGTCGGCGACATCGAGAGCATGCCCTTCGTCGAGGCCATGACTCAGCTCCGCGCCCGCGCTGGAAGAGACAACTTCATGCAGATTCACGTCAGCTACGTGCCCATGGTCCACGGCGAGCAGAAGACAAAGCCCACTCAAATGGCTATCAAGGCTGTGCGCAGTGCTGGTTTGATTCCCGATTTGATTGCCTGCCGTTGCGAGCACCCTCTTGACGCTGGTGCCCACCAGAAGATTGCTCGCTTCTGCCAGGTCCCCCTTCCTCAGGTTCTCGTTGTCCGCGACATGCCCACCACATACCAAGTCCCCATTCTCCTTCAAGAGCAAGGTCTCTTGCAGAGTCTGAAGGACATCCTTCGCATCGATGCTTTGACCATCTCTCCCCTTCTTGCAACCAAGGGTGCCGAAATCTGGACCACCTGGAACAGCCTGGCAAACGGCTTGGCTACCGTCACTGATGTCGTCGAAATCGCGCTGGTTGGAAAATACCTTGAATGTCCCGACAGTTACTTGAGTGTTGTCAAGAGCGTCGAGCACGCTGCCATGAGATGCAAGAAGAAGCTGAAGATCGTCTGGGTTGATGCCGAGCACCTCGAGCCTGAGTCTGAGCGCGCCAACCCTGCTGCTTACCACAAGGCCTGGCACGATGTCTGCACCGCTTCCGGTATCCTGGTTCCTGGTGGTTTCGGCCAAAGAGGTACTGAGGGTATGATGAAGGCTGCCAAGTGGGCCCGTGAGAACGGCACACCCTACCTTGGAATTTGTCTCGGCATGCAGATTGCCGTTATCGAGTTCGCGAGAAATGTCTGCAACATCCCTGTTCCTGTCTCGACCAGTCAGGAGTTCGATGCTCGTGATGAGGACCGCATCATCATCTCAATGCCTGAGCACCACCCTGGACAGCTCGGCGGAACCATGAGACTCGGTCTCAGACCTACTTTGTGGCAACCTAATTCAGAGTGGAGTCGCCTTCGTGCCCTTTACGCCTCTACCACTTCCGCTGACGGCCAATCCCAAATTCTGGAGCGTCACCGTCACAGATACGAAGTCAATCCCAACTACGTCTCCACTCTGGAGACTAAGGGTCTGAACTTTATCGGCAAGGATGAGACCGGCGTTCGTCAGGAAATCATCGAGCTTAAAGATCACCCCTGGTTCGTCGGTGTCCAGTACCACCCCGAGTACCTTTCTCGTGTCCTTCATCCCAGCAAGCCTTATCTTGGATTCATTGCTGCTAGTGCAGGCATGCTTGACACAATCACTGCCGAGATTGTCAAGGAAAAGACGGCAAACACTTCATTCTAAAGATGGGAACAAATCACGAATATGAATGGTTAGATGCATCGAAAAGAAAACAAGATGGGGGAAATCACAATGCATTATCACGGCGTTTAGAGGCGTCAATGTACGTCAGAGGATGGGATAGAAGATTCCTTGCAGTAAAAAAACAGACCACATCACATTCAAGTTGGATCTGTAATCATGAAAATCAATTCTTTCTCAATACATGCTCCTCTGATTGTCCCATGCTTGTCATGACTCGTGGACCCGATGGGTACCAGTTGATAATGCAAGGTTGAATACTGGAGTCATGAGGCGCTGGATAGAGAAGGGAATACCCTCTGTGGTATTGATCAAAATGCTGCTGTGGCTGCTGCTGTCTTAAAAACGTTCGTTGCGTGCAATATCCTACAAAGTACCAACACTATTAACCTTCCAAACGACTCTTGAGGCTGGCCACTTCTTTTGTCAAGCTCTCAATACGCTCGGCCTGTGCTGCCATGTCCTGAGCCTGCTGCACCAACAGACTTCTGATTTCGGACAAGGCACCCTTGATGCCCTCAGCGGCTCCCTTCGCTGCGCCTGTGGCTGAGGTCGGTGGCTCTGCGCTAGTAGGCGCAGGTTTGGGTGTCTCGGCTACTGGCGACTTGATGTCGTTGATTTTGGGCTCAGCAGGCTCGGGAGCTGGAGCAGATTTGGTGGTTGTAGGTGTCTGGACTTGTGGGGGCGTGCGGACCCCAGTCTTCTCCTCTTGCTTAGTAGCAACAGTTGAGGTGGGCCGCTGAACGGGCTTGGGGACTTCGTCGAATTCATCGTTGGCGTTGCCCTTCGATTGAGTTACCTCATCCTTGTCAGCGAATCTGTCAGCCATGGCGGACATGCTTGCTTGGTTGTCCTGCATCGATCCCCTGGTGACGGGAGCAGGTGTTGGCTCGGGTTTCGCAGGCGAGGCAGGAACAGGAGTTGGGGCGGAGGAGGAAGAGATTGAACCAGGAGCGGGAGTGCTCTTGACCTGGGCGGCAGAAGGGGCCTTCTCAGCAGGAATCTCGACGGGGGTCTCGCCCTCGTACAGACTCTCGAGAGAAATCTTTGGTGGGAGAGCAGCTTCCTTGCCCGAGAACCAGTCCTCGCTAGACATGGAAGGCTTGCTGCCAGTGGCGGGAGGATAGATATCGTTCTGGAAGACCTCTGCACGGCGGGGAACAATGAATGAGATGGGCTCAATCAGGTTCTCGTTGACCGTCTTGTAGGCACGCATGACCTCGTTCTGGTGCAGGTTGACACCACGCTTGGGCACGAAAGCAACGCCACGTTGAGGGTCGGCCGATTTGTACTCGGAAAGATACTCGAACTTGTCGTTCTCGTACTCATAGTAACGAATGTTACCATCGCCCTTGCCAGCAAGGTACAGCATCTGGGTGCCATCGTCCCAGAAGGGCATGCAGACACCGCTGATGGAGTCGAGAATGGAGAAACCACCGATGGGTTCTTTGGGGTTGCGCACGTCCCACAGACCAAGTTGACGGTCGCTCATGCGCGAAAAGCCAGTCGTGGCTACACGATCATGCTCGCCCATCCATACTGCTCTACTGTTCTTTGCGCCGGGGTGTCCCTGAACCTCATGAGCTGGTCTTTCTTGTCTTACATCCCAGAAACGGATCTTCTTGTCACGGCAAGTGGTCACGAGCATGCCACCATCGGCTGACCATGACAGAGACTGAACAATGTCGTTGTGCTTGAGAGTAAGGCGAGGATCGTTGGAAGCGAGATCCCACAGCTTGATGGTGTAGTCGCCTGAGGAACTAGCCAGGACGTTGGCGGCCGAGGGGTTGAACAAAACGTGGCCGACTTTGCTGCGGTGGGTTAGTCTGAGGCAGATGGAGACATGAGCAGAGTGACATACCGGGTATGGCCAGACAACTTGTGCACAGGACTGACATCGGTGGGCTCGTCGGCGTCGGTGTGCAGACTGAAGTCTTCGGGGACCTTCCAGACAAAGACCTGCGAACAAAACTGAGCAAACAGCGCACTCCCAAGGCAGTGGATGTGGAGAGGGTACCTTTCCGTCATCGGAACCAGAAGCAATGATGGAGTCGTCAAAGGGGTTCCTGTCAATGGGCGTCAGGAAGCTGTGGAATCAGAAACGGGCATCTGGAAAGCGCACCAGTCGGTGTCGAGGACGGCGGCAGTGTGGCCACGGAACAGTGGCATAACATCGGGCAGCTTTCCACGCTCATCGACAGGGATAACTGCGAAGGCGCCACCACCGCTGGCCTCCCAATTGACCGAGAGGTACTTGGGGTTGGCCTTGATCAGGTTCGTGTCCCAAGCATTCTTAGAGATGCGGAGGTTGTCGTAACATTGCTCCTGCTCGGAGAAGGGTCGTCAGAGAGAAACACGGTAGGTACTGAGGCGTGCGATGGGATACCTTCTTGGTGGACTGCCCGAAGACGTGTCCTGCTTAGCGTTAGCCATGTCGTGTGCTTGGGACAGGCGCGTCATGGCGCTTACGGTATTTTGAAGCTCTAACGAAGCGGCCAGACATGGTGAGTTGGGCAGGCGTCTCCACCAGCTACAAAACAATATGGAGCGAGGACGACGAAGCTTGCGACTGGGTCGGCGAGGGTACGGAGTAGATTAGTGGAAGTGATACGGTATGCGCACGGTACCCCCGGCCGAGGCGCTTCGCTCGCCAAACAACGCCCTGAGCTCCACCCTCGTCATCTTGTCGACCAAGCCACATTTTATTTTGTTCCACCGCTTGTGCTTTTTTATTCAATCTGTACTCATTCCATACCGATTTTAACCAGCGATGTACAACGCAGCATGCTCTTCGAGCCATTCATTCGATTGCAACCACTTGAATCGCCTTTCTCCGAATGACCGGCACTGACCCATTCAAGATGTTTCATTCACCTCTCCTGCTACTCACCGTCTCCGCTGTAGCAGAATGCGTTCCGTAGTTTGGTCCACGCGTACTGTATATGTTCATGTCTTCTTGAAACGAGGACATTCGCTGCTTGCAAGTCAAAATCAATACCCAGATACCCCGTAGCAGAGGTTTAGCAGATTTTACTCATCGTCGCTCGTGCGAAGCTCGAATAGAAGCCAACTTATCCTACAAGTGACAGCCACAGGTTCACCGCCACATCAGTCGTCGGCGTGACTTGCTGACGCTAGCTGTTTTCGGCGTAGAGATGCTGTACTTCTCGCTGCATTGCTCCAACTATGATCGATACGATCTTCTGCTTGCCTGCCTGAAGACTATCCTTCTCAACTAAATTCAATCTTGTGAACTTCAATGTTGGCAAAGTCGATGGTGATCCTGCATATTTGTGCACCTTCGAAATCTCTTATACATGTATTTGCCGTTTCAGATCAAGATACGACCAATTGAGACCAAGATTTGGTGATATTCAATTCTTCCCCTCTCGCGACTCTATTAAGGTCCTTCTCATGTTCTCGAACCTCTGACTTCTACCGTACTCCGACGACACGTTGCCTCTCAATAGCTAGGTCTGTTCTTGTTCACCGTTGCTATCATGAACTTCTATAGCTATACGTGTCACGTACTTACGTACACGGAGGGATATTTGTTGCTGTGTTATTCTTCCGATAATTGTGGCGTATAAAATGATCGTAAGAGTGTAGTTCTACAGGTCTATACAGCTATAAAATGGGTATCACAGAGGCGAGATAACGTACAGGATTTCTCAACGAACGTCTTCGCCAACTAGATCAGAGCGCTGCCACGGAACATTCCATCGCGAACCTCCTTGACAATGTCTCTGCGGTCTCCCTTGCCTACGAGAACAATACCTCGGCCGCGTCTGCCCATGCGACCAACACGACCCAGACGATGGATGAAGTCGATACTAGTGTGGGGTACATCATACAAAATGACGTTGCGAACCATCAAGGTATCGATGCCACGAGACCCAAGATCAGTCATGACAAGCACCTTTGTGTTGTTCAATTGCCTCTTACCAGGCAGAGGGCGATGCATTGATGGCTCAGCCTGGCCAGATTTCGAACTGATAGCCGTACCAGTGAACTCGGCAAGCACTTGAGCTTGCTTACGTTCGTCAGAGTCACGGCTGAGAGCCATGGCATCGACACCTTTACTCTGGAGGTACAGCGACAGCTCGAAACACTTTTCGCGCTCGTTGACAAAGACAATCACCCTCTTGACAGCATCTTCCCCTGCTTCGCGACCAAGATTCCACACAGTGTCTGCGCAAGCAAGATCTCTGTTGCCCTTATAAGGATCTTTCTCGACATCCACCACGCTCAGCTGGACACGACGAGGAATGGCGTGCAGGTTTGGAGTAGCAAGACGACGAATGTCCGGGAACCGCTTACGAAGGTAGGCATCAAGACTGCGGGGAATGGTAGCGGAACAGAGCACGAGTTGTTTAAGGCTTGGAGTGGCACGATCGAGGATGCTGCCAGTGATAGGTGCGAAGGAGCGGTCAAGAAGCGAATCGGCCTCATCAATAACCAGATGAGTTACTCGTGAAAGTACATTGGGGTCGTTCTCACTAATGCTCGCAAGCAGATGTGGGGTAGAAATCAGGAGATCGACGCCTGAAGGAGAGAACAGGCGATTGCGAATAACGGTACCGGTAAAGTTGGCAGAGATAAGAGCTGCACGGAACTTGGTTGTGTGGGATAAGGACTTGGCCAGGGCGCCGACTTGCTGCACTAGCTCTGCGGTCGGGACCAAGATGATGGCACGTGGACGGCCTGTCGTGGGATGAGGTTCGTTGGACAGTGGTGGTGATTCGAGCTCGAAAATGTTCTTGCGCGCAGCTGCTTCCTTCTCCACTTGAGCATCTTGTTCGGCCTGAGCAATTTCAGCGCGCTTCAGCGCATCGATGATGGGTAACAGATAGGCTAGGGTCTTGCCTGATCCGGTTTCTGCGGCCAAGAGGTACTGTTGCATCGATTGAGTGTTCTTGGATCCTTTGCCATTGGTCCCGAGAAGAGCAGGAATGGCGAGCCGTTGAATGGGTGTGGGAGATGTGTCTTCCAAACCGTTCAAAGCCTGAGTTGAGATGGACTGATGAACGGTAGGTAATAAACCGAACTCGTTGAAAGATTCAGTATCGGCTATGCTCTGCTTGACAGCAGAACGATGGCTGTAAGAGACTTGACTGAGAGCACGCTGCATCTTCAAAGCCTTGAACGAGTCCTTCTCTTTTTCATCCTTTGGCTTGTACTTTTCTGGAGCATTTCGAGTTGCTCTCTTTTGCTCGGCCGACGAGGGACGTTGGCGAGGGGCATTGCGGAAGTCGGCATGTGTGACATTCATGCCACCAAAAGGGCTATTTGTACGTCGCTTCGGGGGTTTGGCATTGGGAAGAGCGACTTTGGGCGACAGATCCATTCGCGAAGGTCTCGGTTTTTGCATGGTAGCCATGTGGCGCGCGGGGCGCATAATGAAGACCGGGCGCGCCATCATAGCTGCGGCCTCGCAGAAGGGACATAGACTGGGTCGCATCCTGGAGGAAAGCATGTGTAGACCGGTGACCGCGCTGGTGACAGCGGCGGCGACAGATGACGAATACGGCGGCAGCGGTGCGACGACAAACACCTGCGATGAACTGAGCAGCAGTCTGTAGACAAAAATAAATTCCGGCCAAGTTTCAGAAAGACGGCGCGCAAGACCGATTAGGTTCGACTATCACAGGTCTTTGTAGCGAACGTAGAGGGCAAGACTAGTCGGATCCTTGTCAAGTCTTGGATAATGTCGTCGCTGTTCTAAAGAAATTTTTGGAGTTTTGTCAAGAATTTTGGTTGCATCTTATCATGATTTATGTTAGAAGAGTAGAGCAGAATGAGGGTCTTTTGATCTCACTTTTTGAGAGTAAAGAGAAAGGACAGGCAAACAATGATATTGTGCTACAAGGGTAGTCAACAAGAGAGGATGCACTAATGCGTGCCGCAGTGGAGACAGTGTTCTGTATCTAGTCTGCCTCTGCACATGGACATGGACATGGACACGGCCAACTCTGCGGCTTGGCCGTTGCTATGCCACTCGGACCCTCGGGCCCGGCGACAACAAAGACACTCCACGCTTGTTTTTGTATACCTACTTTAGCTCGCTTTCCGACCGCGATCGTTCACTTCTCCGTTCATTCCACTGCCTTTGCTGTTTGTTCTGCGCTTTGGGCATTGCTTTCTTTGCTGTTGCAAGTAGCGGTGCTGCATTTCCATCTTAGACCGAGCAGCCCACCTCCCTCACTGCACAGACAAGCGCGCATTCCTCGTCAACAATGGCCACCGAAGAGGTACCACAGTCTGGATTACCTCGCCTGACATGCGCTGACGTTCGCCTTAGGTGCAGCCGCTCAAGATAGTCAAGTCCAATTCAACCGCTTCGTCGATTGGCTCCCCGTCCAAGATGGCTCGCCCATTGTCAGAAATCGGCTCGACTGAGAGGCGGAGAAATTCTCCCAGTTACAACCAGGCCACCAAAGTACGTTGACCAGACCACAACTTGATCCTCCTCACCACCAGCTGATCTCCCACACTAGAAGATGATCACCACCAAGGATTCGTCGCCCTTCGATTCATCCCCGCTGCAGCAACAGCGCTCACCGCGCATGTTCTGGGAAGACCGCACCTCACCTTCGCGCTTTGGCTCCGAGAACAGTCCCGAGCGTGCAGAGCGCTCTGCTTCCCCTACCGCAACTTCTTCACACCGTCGCTCATCCATTGAGAATCTCAAAAAGGCTTCCCGTGTCAAGAATAGCACCATGTATGCTCGCGAAACAAAGCACAATTACGACCCTTCGAGCTCTCCCATCATCGAGCGCCCTCTGAGCAACCGTGGCTGGGGCGGAAACTTCCAAAACAACGTCTTCACACGCTTCGATAGTCTTCGCAAGGAGAACAATCCTCTCAAGTCTCCCACTGAATCCGATCCGAGCCCTTCCAAAATCCCTGGTCCTTCGTCTGGCCCTTCTGTCGTAAACACATCCGCTCCGAGCTCCCCTCGGCGGGAGACTCCTTCGCCAACCAAGTCTTCTCTCACATCAAATGGTCGTTTTGCTGCTTCTTTCGAGTCCGACCAAAGTCACTGGCCTGAAGACCAAGATGACGGCAGAGTTGCTACTCCTCGTGCGCAGCCACGTCATGCAAAAAGCGTCACCTTCGAGACAGCTCCTCCCGAGATCAACGAATACGAACAGCAAACACCAGAGCCATCATCTATTGCCTCGGGCTCACGAGAGGGTAGCTACGATTCCGATGATTATGAAGATAACAGCTTCGAACGTGCCTCTTCAGTCGACGAAGACAGTTTCGACGCCTCACTGGAGGATACAGATAAGACACCGGTGGTCCTTCCTGAGGATTGGAGGCACATGAGCCCTGATGTTGCTCGTAGTCATCTTGCCAACGACTATGACGACGTCTTTGATGATGATGACGAGACTACCGAGAGACATGCCTCACACTCCAACAACGAGCAACGACCAACCTCTAGCCGCTCTGAATCTGCCAACTCCGATGCCGAAGCAAGACCTTTACCGCCACTTCCTGGCGTGCCCTCCTTCAGAAGAGAACGTGTTGACTCTGGTGGTCTTGCCGCTGCTGCAGAACGCGCGAGTAGTATCCAACGTTCTCTGCCTTCTCCACCACGCCCTGCTTCGGTCTCGAAAGATGAGATTCTCCGCATGCGGGAGGCCAACATGTCCATGGAAGACAGGATGAACCTCCTGAAATTGCAAACATCTCTTGCCGATGTACAAAAATTACAAGACACAGAAGAACATACTGGACAAGACGCCAAATTCACTGAAGAAGATGCTGTCGCTGCTTCTGAGCACTCAGACATCGAAGATGATGATCTTGCTGGCTTCGACTTTGCACCAAGCATCTCTAGAGAGTCCATCCTGCGAAACGTCAAGTCGCAGAAGTACGACCAGTTTGATGCTGATTTGCATGAGGAGTCCATGGTCTCATTCGCCGATAGAGATTATCGCGAACTCGCCAATCTCGACCCCGACGTCCCAATCCCCTCTCGTGAGACATCGACCCAGTTTGACGCTGAGGTTGATGCTGACATCAAAGAAGAGGCTGAGAATAGCTACCTCGACCTTAGTGCTGTTCCATCTTTCCACTCTGAACCTGAGGAACCCGGAGCAGACGACTATGACAGAAGGTCCGTCATTCATCATGCTGATTGCGACGAAGACTCGCAGGCCGAGGACGACGAGAGTCGCTACTCGTCCCCTATGTCCGTCCTGATCAACGAACAACCAGAAGAGCCTCAACACATGCCTGCCGAAGATGACCAAGAAACACCTATGCAGGACGAAGCATTTGCTACTCCTCTGGGCCATCCACAATCCACAGAGGAATCGAGCAGCATGGGTCTTCCCCTGAGCTTCCTAGGCAACGATGATTTCGATTTCGGTCTGAAAGACTATATCACTCCCACACCTCCTTCCTCATCTGGCACCCAGGAGCAGAGCAAGAAATCTGTTCTCGAGCCACCTGTGGTGTTGCAGCCTAGTTTTACTACTGAGGCTCGTTACGGACGAGAAGGATCCAGCGAATCAGATCAAACTATCGGTCATGAGTCTTTTGGCTCTGTCATCCATGGCTCCATGATCGATATGTCCCCTCCTCCAGAGGACGCACCTATCATTCCTGAGCGCAAAGCCACCATCAAGACACAGGGCAAACTCAAGGCTCGACCCTCTGGAACTCCAGCCGATTTGGAAGCTATGAGAGCTCAACGTCGTCATGTGAGCCACGAAGTGCCTCCTATCCCCGATCAATACCTTTCAGAGACTTCGGCCCAAGCAGATGAGCAGGCCTCTTCCGATGAGGGTGAAGATGATGAAGAATCACACAGTTCGGAATCTCTCTCTGAGCATGATATGACTAGCCAGGAACTTCAACAGGACGAAATCGATGGCGAGCACGACAGCGAAAAGTCCCTCCACCGCGAAACAAACCTCGACAAAGATGGCCAACTCGCAAACGATGGAACAGACGTACTCTCTGAACAGGACGAACAGCGTCGACAAAGCCGCGAGATGAAGCTCGACCTTGACTTCCCTCTCGAATCTTTCGACAATGACATGGGTCTTGGAATGGATGCCGAGTTTGACCGCGTAATTGAAGCTCAGAAGGTAGGAATTGGTACAGCTCATCGTTCTCTTGTGTATATGCTAACCAACATGCAGAAGGGCTATCTCATGCGTCAAAACACCAAAGTCATCGTTGCTAGTAACAGAAACTTTAGCGACGAAAGCCAGCGTCCACTCTCTCCAAATGGCCAAACCAATCCCTCGACTACTAGCAAGAGCAAACGTACTGCGCGCAAGTCGAGCGCCGGCGAGAAGTATTTGACGACCGAGCCATGGAACGGCAAGACTAGACGTAAAAGTTCTAGGAGATCCTCTGGCAGAAAATCCAACATCGGTGGGCCGGCCCCTCCTCTGCCTGGTCATGAAAGTTCTCTGGGAAAGGTCGATGAATATCTGACGACTGATGAGACCAACGATGGTGAGGAGAGAGGAAGACTTTTTGTCAAGGTTGTTGGCGTGAAGGAGCTCGATTTGCCTCTGCCGCGCAGTAAGTGCTTGCATCTCAAACCTGTCCGGGTCGAACTAACATGATTTTGCAGATGATCGGCTCTTCTTCCAACTCACCTTGGACAATGGCCTGCATTGTGTGACAACTGCTGATCTTCAGCTTGGTAAAGCTGCTGCCATTGGGCAGGAGTTCGAGCTTGTTGTTCTTCAAGACCTTGAGTTCCAGCTTACTCTGACTACCAAACTGCCGGCTCCTGCACCTAAGCCTCAGATGTCAATTCCTGTTCCCGTGTCTCCCACCAAGCCTATCAAGTCGTCAACATCAAGATTCTCTCGCCTTCTCACATCTCCCAAGAAGAGAGCGGAGCGTGAAAGAAAGGAGAGAGAAGAGGCCGCGGAGGTCGAACGTCGTCAGCAAGAAGAGATGCAACGCAAGCGTGCTATTGTCAAGCCTACGCCATGGGACATAATGCGCGAAGTTGTTGATGCCAAATCTGGATCATTTGCTCGTGCTTATGTTTCTCTCAAGTCTCACGAGTCTCAGTGTTTCGGACGACAACTGACCGTCGACGTGCCCTGCTTCAATGAGTGGGCGATTGAGAAGGATGCCGACGTCGTCAGCAGTGTGCGCAGCAAGCGCAACAATGGCAACCCTGGATTTGGTGGTAGAGACGGCACCATCAGACGTCCGCCCTACGCGATAGGCAAGCTCGAGTTGCAGCTCATGTACATTCCAAAGCCGAAGGGGGCTGGTGATGAGCACATGCCCAAGAGCATGAGTTCAGCTATCAGAGAGATGAAGGCCGCTGAACAAGTCAAAGAGTCATCGTGGGAAGGTTGCTTGAGTCAGCAAGGAGGCGATTGTCCGTACTGGCGCCGTCGCTTCTTCCGTCTACAGGGTACGAAGCTCACAGCCTACCACGAGCACACTCGCCAGCCCAGAGCCACTATCAATCTCTCAAAGGCTACAAAATTGATCGATGATCAGAAATCACTTGTCGCCGATCCGACATCGGGCCACCCCACAAAGGGTAGGCGCAAGTCTGCCTTTGCTGAAGAAGATGATGGCTACCAATTCGTCGAAGAAGGATTCAGAATGAGATTCGCCAACGGCGAGACCATTGACTTCTATGCCGACAGCGCTACAGACAAGGATGCCTGGATGAAGGCACTTGGCTCATGCATAGGCAAGCCTTCGACGAGCAGCACAGCCAAATGGACCGATGTGGTGTTGACCAAGGAACGATCGGAAGCCAAAGCAGTGAAGGCACAACAGAACTCGGAAGACCCCAGCCGATCAGGACCAGATGCTCACGATAACAAGACCGGTGCACCCAAGCTCAAGCGTACAATGTCACAACAGGATAGCACGCGAGGTGACACGCCACCCACAAGCAGCCCTCGTACAGGACAACGTGACAGACACCAGGTCAAGAGCATGGTCTTCTAGAGAGGGTCAGACAGAACCGACCTCTTTCCTCTTACCTTTCTCACTCTTTCTAGATACCTTTCTTGCTCTCATCTCTTTCTCTTGTCTTTTGCACCTTTTTTTCCTGGCAAAAACAGCATGGCATAGCCGTCGCCCGTTCTTCATTTTCATTGTTTCATTTCTCTTTTTTTTGGTTTATTGGGTTCTGGGAAGGGTTTGGAGATTCGGAGTTTACGATTGTAATGAAACACAATGCATGCGCTACTGCTACAGACAACCTTTCAATTGAATGCCTCGGTTTCCTTCAATATCATAGAACGCGTCAGTGATTTGTGTATGTTGCCAATCAAATTACATGGTTGTCGGAGAGGATGCATTTGAAAGTCAGGGTCATTGTTTCAACGAGATTTCTGGCAACCGAATATCAACTCCACGCTCATTCGATATGCACAGAGGATGTATGGAGGAGATGATGATCGAGATGATTGTGTTGTATCTAGATTAGAGGAGTAGCTTTTGATATTGACTCAATTCACCAAGCCTTGCCGTTTACGGCCAGCTATTGGTTTCACAGCATAACATGAGAGTATGCATACTAGTCACGCTGTCGTTGACAGTCTGATAAGGCGTGATACTTGAATAAAGTATTTATTCATACACAGATAGAAAAATAGTAGATGCGTGACCCTGCTTAAGAAGGATCAAGAAAGCCTCCTGGTCACGCGGGTATCTCAGAAGACATGGAAAATGATATGACAAGAAACGCCCTTTAAAGCCCCCTGCAAAATGCTTTACACTTTTGCTTGCAAGAAAAGACGCCATGCTGAAAAGTCCAAACGATGCGCGCTTAATCAATAGGTTTAGAAACTAAAGTCGTGTTAGCAAGTGACCAGGACACTGGTAGATGCTGAAGGACTTACCGTATCTCGTAACTGCCCGCTCGTGTCATGTACCGCACCCACTTCACACTGCTATACTGACTCTTCTCAAAGACTTTGAGATATCTCACCAACAGACCTGAACTTGTAAACATGAGCAGCGAGAAGTTCAGACTTAATGGCGGTCTACTCCAAGCCTTTTGGTTGGTCATGGAGGTAAGTTGAGCTTCAGCGCTGAGCACGTATTCAGAGCCACCGGTGAAGCGGGCAATCTTCCAGACAATGTTGTTGTGTTCAGGCTCGTACTTGGCCTTTCCTTGAGAAGTTCGTTCGGTGATGGAGGCAGTATTGAGAGGAGTCGGGATGCGAATGACAACATTTGTGGCGAAGAGCTTTGTGCCATAGTTTGCCTTGATGGCAATGCTATACTCAACCTTTGTCTTTCCAATCTCATTCACAATGGCGTGAACCTTGAAAGGTAAGTTGATGTTCTCGGTGGCACGGTATCGCATTAGCTCAAAGCTACCATCGGGAGGAATAAAGGAGATTGTTCTGTCGGTGTCGAATTTGCCCAAACGCACGCACTGATGGAATTGACAATCTTCGAGGGTGACACTTCCAGCGGCAGCCTTTGTGGCTTTTGTGCCGGCCATATTTCCAGAAGGCGAGGCCAGAGCCTCCTCGCCAAGTGTAAGACGGTCGTTGAGACCAAACTTGCATTCAGGAGTACCAGAGAGGTAAGCGCGCATCTCGATCTGACCGTTGACATCGGCACGCAGGACGGTTCCATTGGCGGACATGAGGAGGTTGACATCTTCGATAACGTCGACAAAGGCTTCGTTCTTGCGGTACTTGATGTTGTCTCGTCTCCAGGACATGGCACCGGTGGCTTGCATTGTGATCTTGGACGAATCCTCCTGTTGAAGTGTAAGCAATTGGATGTACAGATGGCGAGGTAGGCGGGCGTACGACGAGGTTCCTCTCGGACTTGACACCTTCGGTGGTGATGTACATCTTGAGAGTGTCTGTGTCAGTGTTCTGAGGATAGCCAAAGTCGAGGATCTCTAGACAGAGGGTGGTGAGCAGATTGTGGCAAGATAATTCGAAGACTAGGACGGACCATCGAGCAATTCGTAGATCAGGACAAAGTTGTTCTTGACGGCCTCCTCGTCAAACTTGGCGAAGTAGGAGCGGCCGAGCTGGATCAAGCGGTACAGGAACTCAAAGACCAGAGCGGCATTGGCATTGCCCTTTGTGACGGCGACGATGAAGATGTTCTCGTGCTTGACATGGCTGAAGGTGGTGGAACCAAGGGTCAGGATGGGCGAGCGAACCAGAGGGTTGGAGATGACCTGGATACGGAAGACATCGGCGAGACGCGGGCGGCAGTCATTGCGGAAGGCGCGAAAGATGAGGTTCTCGCCCTTCTGGTTGAAGATGAGGATGCCCGAGATCATGGCGAATTGCTCGAGTGCTTGTGACTAGATGCTACAAAGTGCTATAGGCTGGCTATAGGTGATCGAGGGGTCCAGCAGCGGAGGTCGGGGAAGGCGCTTGGCAAACGCGGCCGACTGCAACCAAGCACGTCAGCTACACCTGCGACGCTGCGACTGCCTACTCGTACCTTGACCCATCCCACTCTAGAGGAAGCCAATTTACGACCATCAACTCTCCCGCTTAAGCAAAAGACGCCAGCCACAAACTTCTGCGTTGCACATTCTACCACGTCATCCTTCGAACCACATCCTTGACCCAACCGCGAACCGCCGCCTCGACGACTGCACGCCTCAATTCACCACCATGAAGCCTGTCGTATCCGCCTTTAATGCCTGGACATGGTGCGCTCTTCTTGTGTCGACTTTCCTTGGGATCCTATTAACGTAGCGACAGTGTTGTCATCTCCGTCTTCGCCATCGTCATTCTCTCCGTCATTGGTGCTCTCTTCAAGACAAACAACCACTCCATGATGGGTTCTGAGGAAGACCCCGCCGACGGCGCTGCCGTCGCTGCCTCTGTCTTTGGTGCCGTTGCCATCTATGGCGTATGTCACTCTACTGCTCCTTACCCTCGCATTCTCCTTGTACTGATTGCCATCCCAGGCTTTCCTCGTCTTTTGCGCCGGCCAAGCTTATCTGCACCAACGAGACAGATCAAGAGGCGCCATTGCCCTGTCATAATCCCACAAAATCCCTACACAGAGCAACAGATACCTTCGGTAATCTGACCCTCGTTTTTCGACATCATGACCATCACCACCACTTTTGCTTTCTCGGCGCGGCGTTAATCTTTCTTCGAGGTTCGGTTTGTTATAGACATTTTCCATTGGGAGGCAACCGGGCGCAATCACCCTTGTGTATACCTATCATCTATCTTTTGCAAGTTTGCAGCTTCCATCTACTTCGACCTGTCCTGTAACGCCGCCGTCCATGTTGATATCCGTTAAATGCATCATAACTCCACCAACCATCAGAAGTTAACATCAGAATCCATCGTCACTCTCTTCGTCATCCTTGGGCTTCAGCCATTTGCTCATGTACGGTCCGTCGAGCCAATATCCGAGCTTGGCGTAGTAGCTGCGTACTCCCACACCTGAAATGATGCTGAGTTTCTCACTACCATGCTCGTCACGCGCGATTCTCTCAGCCTCTTCCATCAATAGCGTACCGTAACCTTGGTGTTGGAACTTTCTGGGATCGCGCCCATGCACCGGCACTGCCGAGCCGTACACATGTAGCTCACGCACCAAACTCGTCGGCTGTCCAGTGAGCTCTGGTCGGAACGTGTGCGTTGAGCTGCATTTGCGTAGACGTAACAAACCAATCAGGATATCTTGCTTAGGGTCCTCGTAAGCCAGGAAGGTTTCCCATCCACCATTTGCTGTGTAGTCTCGGCGGACCAATTCGACTTGCGAGGGTCGAATCTTGTTTTTGACCTCGTTGATACCAACCTCGCGAGTACGGACATCACGACATGTGGTGCCAAAGTCCTTCATACGAGACAAAGCCAGCTCGCGTAAGTTGCCGTTCTCAACGCCTGATGTAACAAGAGGCATGGGAATATCACGCTGTACACGATAGATACGGGTCCATGGCGGTACCAGGGCTAGGATGCGAGCAACCAGATCGATCAGCGCATTGGGTGTGTAGTTCTTGTAGCGACCCGTTCTCCAGAGCTCGTACAGTCCAGTTCCTCGAATGACCAATGTAGGGTAAATTTTGAGACCGTCGGTTCTGAAAGCAGGGTTCTCAAAGTACTCTCTGAACTGATCCAGATCTCTCTCCATGCCAACATTGGGCAGGTCAGGCATCATATGACTTACGACCTTGAAGCCTGCATCCTTTGCCAATTTGAATGTCTCTGCGACTGCTGCTACTGTGTGGCCTCTGTTGGTATCACGCGCGACATCCTCGTACAAGGACTGGACACCAATCTCTAGACGGGTACATCCATAACGCAGCATATCGCTCAGGTGTTGGTCCAAGCAGTAGTCGGGTCTCGTCTCAATGGTGATACCAACGCATTTTGTGCTGCTCATCTCACCAGCCAAGACAGCCTCATCGACGTTGGTCGCCTGGAAACCACTGAGGGCATTGTGTAGTTGGGATATGAACTCTTCTCTGTAGCTGACTGGAAGCGACATGAAGGTACCACCCATGATAATGTATTCAACCTTGTCAACAGAGTGACCCAGAGATTTGATCTGATCGACTCTTCCTCTTGCTTGTTCAAAAGGGTCGTATCTCGCGCGGATGGCACGCATCGAAGTAGGTTCGTAGCCGGTGTAGGATTGGGTTGAGTACTCAAAATCGGAATCAGGACCTCCAGGACAATAAACACAAATGTTGCCAGTGTATGAGATATGCGGACATCTGTGCGGCTTGCACATGACAGCGACGACGGCGATACCAGAAGCACTTCGGATGGGCTTTGCGATCAGGCGTGGCAAGATGTATTTCTTGTAGTGCTCGGGGACGGCATTGATAATGGCGGTGAGGGGTGGAGTGTTGCTGAGGAAGTGCTTTTTGGCAATGTTGTTGCGTAGCGTGTTGAGGTTCAGGTCCTTCTTGGGTTTCTTGCCATCCAGTTGACTCTCGTAGTCTTCGACTAATGCGTTCGCCACATCCGAGCAGGCTCTAAGATACCTCTCGCTTTCGGGAGCGAGCTTGACTCCCTTGGGGACCTTACTATGTTTAGTCTTGGACTCGGTGGTCATGGTCATGGTGGCCATGGTGGACTGTAGCTTTTGCAAGCTCGCAGCGGCGAGGCTGAGTTGACGGTTGATGCCTCTGCAGGAGGATGGTTGTCGAGGTCTGTCGAAGGTTGAAAGACCGAGTTGTTGGTCGAGCAGGAGCAGAACTATGACGATTATGTGCGCCTGGTCGAGATGGATGCGGAGTGAATGACAAAAAGTTGATCAAAAGTTTCCCCGCATGAGGCAGGCGCGAGTCGTGTATGCAAGAGCCAAGGGCGCGGGCTCGAGAAGGCTTGAATCGGCTGAAGCCGGCGCTTTTGCTTGGTCTTCGCAAACCTGGTCGGGAAACAGCTGGGTCAAGAAGTTATTGTTGTTTTGTCCAGTACCTCCTTCCTCACCACCTCCACCCCTCTCTTTTCCTCAACAATGCAGTCAATCAGACAGCCTTTGGGCCGCGTTGCCCAGCGCGTCGCCCAGCGCTCTTACAGCAGCTCCTCGTACCTGACCACCAACACAAACCTCCGTATCAACGACCAGACCAAGGTCATCTTCCAGGGCTTCACTGGCAAGCAGGGAACCTTCCACGCCCAGCAGGCCATTGAGTACGGCACCCAAGTCGTCGGTGGCACCAACCCCAAGAAGGCCGGAGAGACACACTTGGGCAAGCCCGTCTTCGCAACCGTCGCCGATGCTGTCAAGGAGACTGGCGCTACCGCTTCCGCCATCTTCGTCCCTCCTCCCGTCGCCGCAAAGGGTATCGAGGAGGCCATTGAGGCCGAGATCCCTCTCGTTGTCTGTATCACCGAGGGTATTCCCCAGCACGACATGGTCCGCATCACCGACATCCTCAAGACCCAGAGCAAGACCAGACTCGTCGGTCCCAACTGCCCTGGTATCATCGCTCCTGTATGATCTTCAAGACACCCAATAGTGCGCCGTTACATCTCTGACCATGCTATAGGGCCAATGCAAGATCGGTATCATGCCTGGCTTCATCCACAAGCGCGGTCGCATTGGTATTGTCTCCCGTTCCGGTACCCTCACCTACGAGGCCGTCAACCAGACCACCCAGACCGGTCTTGGTCAGTCGCTCGTCGTCGGTATCGGTGGTGACCCCTTCTCTGGTACCAACTTCATCGACTGCCTCAAGGTCTTCCTCGAGGATGCCGAGACTGATGGTATCATCATGATTGGTGAGATTGGTGGTTCCGCTGAGGAGGACGCCGCAGACTTCCTCAAGGAGTACAACACTGCCAACAAGCCCGTTGTCTCTTTCATTGCTGGTATCTCTGCTCCTCCTGGCAGACGTATGGGTCACGCTGGTGAGTAGACCTGATGTACTTGATTCGACTTTGCATTTCTGACAAATCAAACAGGTGCCATCGTTAGCGGTGGAAAGGGTGGTGCCGACTCCAAGATCTCGGCTCTCGAGGCTGCTGGTGTCATTGTCGAGCGCAGCCCTGCTTCTCTCGGTAAGACCATGCACGCAGAGTTCGTTAAGCGCGACATGATCTAAATCCGTGCTTTCACTCCGTAATACCCACTTGAAGTTTTAGTAGACCACCGGGACATGGTCTGGGATGTTGAGGGAAAGAGAGAACCCATTGTGTATAGGCCGGCGCAGACTCCAGTAACCTCTCTTAGAAACCTTTCTTGTTCTAGTTTCTTATATTTTTCCCGATTTTCATTATCATGCGCGCATGGGTTCGGCAGGCTCTTTATCTGTTCGGGTAGTTCTTTCTGATCAAATCTACTTGCGGAAGTCTGGGATTCGGATCTGACCCTTGGGATTCAAGTGCATTGTGCATCACAGCTTGAAATGTGGATTATCTATGTCTACTTCAGAACGAATCGCTCATCGTCATCACTTTTCACAACGCGAGACCCGTGTTCCACCAACGGTCTCCCTTGTGCCACCAAATAACACCTCCCCACCAGCACCAGAATCCATCGCCTTTCCCACCCAAGCCCAGCGCTCGGAGCGGACTGACAGGCAGCGGCTCAAACAACCAGATACCACCGCGGGCAAAGTCGTCGCATAGCAGCGGCGCGGTATAGTAGAACCACACATGGACGTAGACAAAATTGGCTGTACGTTGCAACCACGTGGGTGATCGCTGCACCACACCGAGCCTACGCAGGAGCGACGTGAGTGCTAGCTGTGCACTTATACCTCCGATCTGTGAGATGAAAAACAAGAAAGGACCGGAAAGCGGATACGTATGCCCTAGCTGCGTGTAGCTGCCGCAAGCGTGCAGCATACCCGACAGCGCGAATGCGATGGACAGCGACAAGAACTTTCCAGTGGCCGACCTTGGATTGATGTCCAATACCTCCATCAATTTTGAGGCGGGGGCTTCGAAGGCGTAACGGAAGGTCTGATGCCACCAGCCACCCCACCAACCCGCGAGTCCTTTATCGAGCACGTTGCTGAATGAGCCAAAGCTATCAGGATACATCCAGGGCTCACCTCGTACGCCAATATACCGAGGGCCGATCATACCGACGAAGAAAAGAGGACCCAGCGCGAAGATAGCCTGCAGTGCTGTGTAAACTGCGGTCAAGCTGAGCAACAGACGAGCGCTTCGCACCGCGACGGGAGAAGTTTGAAGAGATGCTGGTAGGTAGTTCGGCGTCGCCGCAACATTTCCATCCCAGAAGTAAGCGTCATGTGAAAGCAAGGTTTTCAATACATCAAGAATCACAATATCGCGACAGACGATCCAAAGGTTGGCTTTCAGCAGAGAGGACTTGTCGTGATAGCGGTGGACACCGGTACGGCTGACCAGAGTTTTCTTCTCGTCTTCTTCTGGTGGCGGCGTGCCAGAGTTTCCAGAAAGCTGTGCTTGTACCCATAGTGGTGGCGAGGGCAACCCGAAGATTCGCCAGTTCCATCCCATGCCCCTGAAGTTGGCGAAGATATCTGCGACCCAGTCGAGACGCTCCACGAATGGCGCCGATGGATAGCCTTGCCAGGCAAGGGTACCAGTTCTTTGAGATGGCGTCTGTGTCTTGCCTACTTTGCTTGTACGGCTGTGCAAAGTTGAGCCGCTTTGGAAAGCAGTCCCAGTTGCGTGGCCGTTCGACTCTGCAGTCTGTGGAGGTGTAGACGCAGAGATCAAATCCAATTGCGATTCTTTCCTTTCAATTCTCGAGAAGTCTTGCTGCACGTCGTTGATCACAAGCATCATACCGCACCACAGTATTGACCAGGCAGATATCAGACCGACACCAAATGCGGCGGCTGGATTGCGTGCCCGAAAGCTTCTGATGTTCCAGATAGCAAATACAGTGATGAAGGTCCATGCTGCAAAACGAGCTTTGCGAAGCCATGGCCGTGATCGATGGTCTACGAGAAGATAGAGAATGACTACCGTGGCACCTAGAGTTCCGAAGGGGTAGGTGAAAGGGTAGTAGTCTCCAGATGCCAGTAGTCTGTCATATTGTCCATTCAAACGGTCTATTATGTCGTAGTGCGTGACCGGAATGAATGCTTCTTTGAGATGCATGCCTTGATTTGAATCAGGATGTAGGCACCTGATAATATGCTCAAGGAAAGGTCCTACGAGTGGTACTAGCCCATGTGCTGGACGAGTTTCCTGGGAGATCTGAAATCTACTGGACGTGGCGTAGAATGAAGAGATGAGATGGACGGTCCAATAAACACATCGTCCACGACATCACGTACCTATCGGCGACTCGTCCAGTCTAACCTGTTCCAGTATTTGGAAAACAAGATGGCGCGTGGCACTGTTTTGGCAGAGTCTCGATGACGTTCGAAAGTGCGGATGGTCTGTGCTTGTGGGTGGGACAGAGCCTCTGGCTGGTGGCTGGACTGCGGTGGAGAACGTCTGCCAAAGAATTCGTGAGGTGCTTGCGTGCAGTTTGTATTCGAACGGCGAGCCATTACCACCTTGTGCATATTGCCTTGTTTATTCCACTGTCCAAAGAGAGCAGAAGCTCCCAGTAGCCGCAAACATGGTCAACATCACGGAAAAGATCAAGGAGTATGTCTAAGAGGAAAGAAAAACAATTCTTACAGCATAAAACTAATTGTTCCTCAGGATCGAGGCCGAAATGGCCAGGACGCAGAGTACGTATGATTGAATTAGCAGACATTGAATCAAATGGCTAACACAATTCGCAGAAAATAAAGCAACAGGTGCGATCCGAATGCTTACTCGAATACAGAAAACACGCACTAACACCGGTTAGAATATCACTTGGGTCTTCTCAAGGGGTCAGTACAAGAACATTGCCAGAAAGAGATGAATGCTTACTATCGTCAAGAAAGCTTGCTCGTCTGAGAGCGCAACTGCTAGAGCCTGCCCCAGGTGCTGGCGGCCCTGGTGGAGAAGGATTTGATGTCAGTAAAAGTGGTGATGCTCGTATTGCGCTCGTCGGTTTCCCCTCGTAAGTAATACTCAGCCTTTTTGTTGTAGTGTTGCTTGCTGATTCTTGTTTCTCAGGGTCGGCAAATCAACATTCATGGGAAAGATCACAAAAACAAAGTCCGAGGTTGCAGCATATGCTTTCACCACACTTACCGCTATCCCTGGTGTGCTCGAGTACGGAGGTGCTGAAGTTCAGATTCTCGATTTGCCAGGTATCATCGAAGGTGCTGCAGAAGGCAAAGGTCGTGGACGACAAGTCATTAGTGCTGCTAAGGTATACTTGCGCTCTTGTGCCGTTTTTGATTCTCCTTGCTGACTATCTGTAGACTAGCGACATGATTTTGATGGTCTTGGATGCAACGAAGAGAGCTGAGCAAAGAGCTCTGCTAGAGGCTGAACTAGAGGCTGTCGGCATCAGATTGAACAAAGAACCCCCGTGAGTAAATGTGCTCCCGACTTCCGCTGCAACGTGCTCAAACAAGACAGGAATATCTACCTGAAGCCCAAAAAAGCTGGTGGCATGAAAATTACCTTCCAAACGCCTCCCAAGAACGGCCTCGACGAGAAGATGCTGTACAACATCCTCCGCGATTACAAGATCTTGAATTGCGAAGTGCTTGTTCGTGATGAGAATGGTATGTGTAGACAAGTACGGGAATTCAAGTTGCGCTAACAGTTGCCAGTCACTGTCGATGACTTTATCGATGTGATCATGAAGGACCATCGTACATATATCAGATGGCAAGTCCTCTTCTCATAAGACAAATATTACGTTGCCACTAACGCCTAAGAAGCCTCTACGTTTACAACAAGGTTGATGCCATCGGTCTCGAACACATGGACATGCTAGCAAGAGAACCCAATACTGTCATCATGAGTTGCGAGCTTGATCTCGGCGTCAGGGACGTAGTAGATCGATGCTGGGAAGAACTTCGCTTGATTCGTGTCTACACCAAGAGGCAAGTCTTTTTCTACTCTTTTCTTCTGCAGCAACAGCCTTTCGCTTTCCACACGACTGCAAGCTAACGACTTCAACAGAAAGGGTATCGACCCAGACTTTAGCGAGGCACTTATTGTTCGTGGCAATTCGACAATCGAAGATGTTTGCGATGCCATCCATCGCAGTCTCAAGGATAGCTTCAAGTATGCGTTGGTTTGGGGCGCCTCTGCCAAGCACATACCCCAAAGGGTTGGTCTGGGTCACGTTGTCTCTGACGAGGATGTGGTGTCGATTGTTGGTACAAAATCTGGTCTTGCAGCAAAGTAGTGGAATTAGAAGCTAAGAGAATGCTTATCTATGTTCGCCAAAGGATGGTCATGACAACCACAGAGCAATTGAAAGTTACATACTCAAAGAATAATAGTGGTGCAAGACAAAAAATTGTCGCGATGCTGCAATTGACACTTTCCCTTCTGATTACGAACCTGATTGTAGCGATATCTGCATTACTGCGACAGACGCATGGACATGTCAGTGCGACATGGAAGAGGAAGAAAGTCTGGAAGGTGGTGATGGTATGAAAAGGTAACGAAGCTTCTCCACAGCAGTTGGTCAAGCTTCACATGCCGCAAGCGAAGGCGGGCAAGTGCTCTTGATGCATCGTGCATGCTGCTGCTGTTTGTCTTGCGACTCCATTTTTCTGTAACCAACGTATCCTAGTGAGCGGTTCGCACCACTCATCCAAACATGGCCGAGCTCACGTCGACCAAACTCAATCCCGACCAGCATCTGCTGCTGGTATGCGTCACCGCTCCGCCATCAATGTAGTTGTCGATTGACACAGCGAACAGGACCAACCCCTTCTACGAGTGCCCTTCGAACTGACACGCAAGAATTTCGCTCAGGCACGACGACACATCGAGAAGACGTCGGCCGAGACCCTTGCCGCTCTCAACGCTGCTGCTACCGCTGCTCCATCAGCCACTCCCGACCACACTCTAGCCTCGATCGACGCCATGATAGCCAAAGCTCAGACTCTCAAGCGCAAGTTGGAAGCTCTTCATGCCGAAGAAGACATGCTGCATCGCCACCAGCGAGCCCGCATCAACCACCTACAAGACCTGCACGACATCCCCAACCTCGCCGACGTCAAATACGACGACTGGAGCAAAGTCCGTCTGGATCGCATGCTGGTCGACTATCTGTTGCGGCAGGGTTATGTTCAGAGCGCCAGTCAGTTGGCCAAGGAAAAGAAGATAGAAGACCTGGTCGACGTCCAAGCCTTTGTTGAATCTAGTCGCATAGAACATAGCCTGCAGAACGGCCGTACCCAGGAATGCCTGGCCTGGTGTTCAGAGAATAAGCAGACCCTGAAGAAGATCAACAGCAACCTGGAGCTCGAGTTACGCTTGCAGCAATTCATTGAGCTTGTCAGGAGTGGAGACCCGCAGAAGCTGATCGAGGCCACCCTGCACGCAAGGAAGCATCTAGGCACACACCAGAATGATTCATACGGTCTGCGTGCCGGAGGCCTGCTTGCTAATCCTCCGAATACCATGACAGAGCCTTATAAGGTATCTGCCCGCCAGAGCTTTCTTCGTATGCCATCACTGACCCTCTTCTAGACCATGTACTCAGCCGCTCGCTGGCAACAACTCTCTGAGCTCTTTGTCAAGACACACCACGAAATCTTCTCGCTGCCGCCACGACCTCTACTCCACACTGCTCTGTCTGCCGGCCTCAGCGCTCTGAAGACGCCGGCCTGTCACTCACATTACGCTTCCTCTTCATCAAATGCTTCCTCATCAACCACACCCGTCTGTCCTATTTGTTCGACCGAGCTCAATGAACTCGCTCGTACCGTTCCCTACGCCCACCACAGCAAAAGCTATGTCGAAGACGATCCAGTCATGCTGCCTAACGGCCGCATCTATGGCAGAGGCAGACTCATGGCGCTGAACGAAAAAATCGGCACTGCCGAAGGCAAAGTCAGAGACCCCACCGACCTCTCCCAAGAGTTTGATGAGGGTGACATCAAGAAGGTCTACATATCATAATTTCCTTTCTGTAATTGGGCTTCTGCGATTGCGTGCATTGGTATATCACATTGGGCGTTCTTGGTTATTTTGGCTCGTTCTTGGGTTAGCGAGGGGCTTCATAGACACCAGAGTTTGGGTGTAGCATCTGGGGACACCGTAGGCGTATTTCTTCCACTCGATCACGAATGAAACGTATTTATGACTTGTGTTTGTTCTTCCAACCTCGTCGCCTTCCTCGAATCATGATGAGTTCATGCTCAGCAGCCTCTCAGCTCTAAGCACTTGCACTTACCAGACTCGTCCGAGTACAACTTTTTCAGCATGCAGAGTGTTATTTTTGACAGGACATATGGATTCTCATTTCTCATTTCTGCTTTATCGAACTTGCTAAGCACTGCTTGATCTGTATTGGGGGAACGACTGGAACAAAGGAAAACGTGCTAAGTATTCTTTTTGGTCAAGACAAAGGCAGGCCGTCGAAAATCCTCTCCAACTGTTTTCTGATTTTGCAAAGAAAACCATTCCTCCTGTTGCTTATGTTTTTTGTCTTCTCCGTATCATTCGGGTGTAGTCTGCTGTGAAAGGAAAACGCTCATGCTGTTGCTCTTTGGGGTATCGTGCTGGATCAGACAGAATAAAAGAAAACGCCGTGCTGTCATAGTGGCAGCTCAAAGGTGATGAAAAAAAGCCTCCGGTGGATGAGATGATAGGGACGAGACGAAAGACCAAAATAGAGAAATGTGGACGTGCATCCCACCAACTCAAAGTCGATCAAGCTCAGCTTGAATCATCCATCGTGAGGTAGGAGCCGTCTTCTTTCTGGTTTTCGAAGCCAGGTGTTTTATAATTGTGATGGTTTTGGGTGACACGCAGGTGTCAAAGGATCAAGTTTGATGTTCTTTGATCGAGACAAGTAACCGGTGTACCTCAGTGGTGAGAGGTGGTTTGCTTGTAATCGGTGTAGATGTTGCTGCCATTGCCAAAATTGGAGACGTCAGCGAAATCTGCATACTGCTCCATGTTGGGCTTCATGTCGTTGCCGTCAGTCTGCATCTGCGCACTATCGTCCGAATAGAGCTGCTGCTGAGGAAGCATGTTGCTGGCAGGACCGCTGTCAAAGCTGTAGTTGCCCAGCTCGTTCTCGAGTTGAATATGCTCTCTAGGCAGAATAGCGGTGCTGTTCATGATACCCAAGCCATAAGGTGAACCATGATTGTTGACGTTGCCGTATCCATGACCGTGGCCATTGTTGTACTGCTGCATAGGGTAGCCGCCCTGTCCCTGCATTCCAAGATCCCAGCTCTGTTGTTGCTTTCCTCCAGAAGCCATAGCCGACACACCGTGTCCGTGGGCAAAAGAGGAGTTGTGACTCGGCATCATATGATTACCGTAGCCATTGCTGGGGTAGCTGTGGGCTAGGTAGTTGTTCTGCATCTGGGGGTGGAAATTGTTTGGGTTGAACTGAGCAGAAGTGTCGAACATAGACTGGCTGGGGACTGTCGACATAGTGGACTGTGAATCGAAGCTGTGACTGGCTTGATGTCTACCCATCTGGAATTGGCCCTGAGGAAGATCTGCGAGCATATTCTCGAGCGATTGGGCCGGTATGCTGGGAGCTTTCATGCCGACTCTGCCATAGCTCTGACCAGACTTCTCTGTTTCGTTGATCGCGGCTGAAACGGTCTTGGGAGCAGTGAGATTCTCAAGCACAGGAGTAGCGTTGACCATGGCCTTCTTTCTGGGAGCTCTCGGTTTCTTTGATGGGGTCGCAGCCTGCACAATGTTGGTTCCGGGCGAATTGAACGCCATTGCTGACATCTTCTTGTTGAGTGTCGAGGGTGTCTTTTTCGACTTTGTCACTCCCTTGGGCTTGGAGGGTGTGACGCTAGTAGCAGGCTTTGCAGCCGGCTTTCTCTTCGATGCTGCAGGTGTGTTCTGAGCCTTACGAGTCGGCTTTTCGCTGTAAGCAGCATCGTCATCTTGCTCTACCTTGACGACCTTCTTGTGAGATCTGCCCTTCTTCTCGCTTGAAGCAATTGGAGCACTCTCTTCCCTGTCGGCATCCTCTTTGACTGTTTGCTTGCTCTTCTTCTTGCTTGCAGCGCTTGCGGGTTTTGATGCTCGGAGTGCCTTGGCCGGAGTCTCGGGAGGTTCTCGCGACATATTCACCTCAGTTCCTGTTGTAGGGTCAAAATGAGGAAGGTCGGGTCTGCCAGCAACAGGTAGTGGGGTATAATAAGGCCGCATGGTACCAGGAGCGCCATCAGCCTGGTTGTCGCGTCCAGGCTTGGTGTAGGTAAGGGTGCTCCAGACTTTGACATCCTTTTCGGTGACATTTCCGAGCTTGTCTGAGTCCGTCTTTCTCTTGCTCGGGACTAGTGGGGGCACAGGAAGCCCATAGTAGATACGAGCCTTACGTGCCTTTGTGAGGTGCTGCGGCAATGCTTGACTTTCAGGTCTGGAATCAGCTTGGATATGCCTGCATACCCTGGCATACGGGATTGTGACATTGTCCATTTCGAGTTCGTAGATCAAGGCCATCAGTGCAAGTTGGTCCTGGCCGGCTGCCAATGCGTTAGTATGTCATGAGCTGCGTTGAGTCTTGTAGTCTTACTGTGCCAGCGAATGAGGGAACGTGTGCCACTGTATGGCTTGCGTTTGCCTTTCTTCCTCTGACCGTCTTCCTCCTCTTTGGTCTCCTCGTCCGCTTCCTCGTACTCATCGTCATCCTCGAATTCATCATCAGAGTCACGCTCTTCGTTCTTCAGAGGAATTTCGTCTTCATCGTCCTCTTCCTCAGGGGCTGTGATATCATGCTCAATTGATTCTGCAAAGGGGCCTTGATCATGCTGTGTGGTGTAGGGAAAGGAGTTGCTGTTGAGGCTGGAGGCCATCGCGAGCTGGTGCTGCTCGTGGCCTTGCTGCGAGTTTGGAGAGGACATGTGACCATCGAGACCAGAAGAAGCGAAGGATCGTTGTTGCTCATCGCTGTCGAGTAAGGGAAGACTACCTTGGCCGCTGTTGTGGTTGTCATTGCTGAACATGTCGAAAGCAAGATTGTTGTTGTAGCTATGATAGAGGTCGAGAGGATTTAGATCGAAGCTGTCATGAACGGCATCATGCATGTTATTCGGATATCTCTGAGACACATCGTGATCGTTCTCTTCCAGATAATCGTCAATGTCCCTCATGGTGTATCTGCAAACGTTAGCTGCATCGGGCAACTCGCGGGGCGGATGGAAAAGAAGAATCCTGTAAGAGTGGACTTACGAGATCTTGACAGTACTGGCTGATACTTATAGATGGATGGGCAGATCGGTTAGGTAAGAAGCATACCCAGCAATGCAATGCTCAAGAGAGACTGTTCGCAAGGACGTCAGCGAGGATAGGAGTGAAAGCAGACAGCTAGGCAAAGTGTCCTTGAGTCGTCGTGCGCTTGTAGAAGCACTCCGTCTAACGATTATTCGTTGAGTGGACTCGCTCAACAGATTGAGTGAATAGAAACAAAGTGTGAAAGATGTGATCGAGAGGGCAATGGGAGGATATGCCGTAGAAGGAAAGGTGGAAAGGCAATGGAGATGTCAGAGTGGAGGGAGGATGAAGAAGATGATCGCCCAGGAGCTATCGACGTGGATTTGCAGCGTAGAATGCTCGACGAAGTGGTTGCAAAGTGAGATCAAATAGTAGAGCAGTGGCACAATGCACGATACATTCCATCGAACAGAGCGCGAACCAAGTTCGAAGGTGCTGATACGAGTAGAAGATTGTTGACAAGGTGGATGTCGAGGGGCAAGATAGAGATGCTGTGCATGAAGGGACGCGTCGACTGGCTGCGGCTTGAGCTGCACCTGGAAGGGCGAACTCGAGATGACATTGTGGAGCGCGGGAGATGATTTGGCAGGACAATAGTGATGGGCGGGAGAAAAGGGAAATCAACTGACGGTACTGGTGAGAGCGATGGGAACAAACGGCGTTAAAGAGTGGTGATGTCGAGAGCGAGCAGTCGCAAGCTGCGCAGCGAGGTGTTAGCAGGTTCGAAGTATGTGTTCGTGCTGAGAATGGAAGAGAGCACAATGTGGAACAAAGTCCAAAACCAATGTCGACAGGGAAAAACTTGTGTGCAACGTAGATTAGCGAACTTACGAGGTTGGAGACGCCGAAAGGGGAGATTTTGAGGCGAGATGTCGAGAAAAGACAATGGAAAGCTGCTTGATCGAGCGTCGGTTGGAGGCGTAGGTGCACCGACTAGTCTCGGAAAGACACAGTATGTATCTGAGGGTAAAAGATAGCGTCAAGGAGCGGTAAAAAAAAAAACCGAGGATAGTGTCAGATCACTGAAGGAAGCGAAACAAGAAGTGGTTGATGAGGAAACAAACAAACCAGGTACCAAGCAGCCAAATGTCCGGGTCCGGGTCCGCACCTTGCGACGGCAGCGATGACAGCGACGACCAAATCGACGTTGAGCTCCGATTGGGTAAGCACTGGCAGTCTGCGAACCTCGACGACGATGCCCGCCTCGACGACGATGCCCGCCTCGACGAACCGTAACGAACTAGGGCACTGGCCCAGCTCCCAATAAGAGCCTCCCTGCGAGCTTCGACACCATTCTTTCCCTCAAGTCCATCGGAACGCGAACCGTCTTCTGAGATGACTCAATTTGTTTTCCAACAGTCTCACTCGTATTGAACTGTCGAAGCACATCCTTCGCGCACCCGGGAGGCTAAATCTCTAAACAGAGTTTATAGCATCCGCACAATTGTCAGACCTAGGTGCACCACACACACAGGATCCTTTGAGTCGACGCGGCATTTATCATTTCTCCGTTCTTGTCTATTTCCAGTAGGCTGTTGGTTTCTTGCTTGCCAAAGACTTCTAGTGAGCATGCTAGGCTAAATCATCCAGCGATAGCACCTCTGGAGGGCGGTCAACCAGAGTAATAAAATATGCCTGGCTCAAAGTGCAAAGGTATGGAGCCAGTCGACACGGAGACTTGGAAGCTACCAAGGCATCGTGATCGTGTAGTTGAGCAAACACTCGAGAACGTCGGCTCAGAAAAGTTTCCCAGTGCTCATGAATGTCTGCAGCAAAGACAAAATCGCCGATCTGGAATTGTCGATAGGCAGACAACTGCGGCCTACAATCACTAATTATGCCATGAGTGATTCTGATATAGAGCTGAAGTGTCATTGATACTCACATCCGAACCTTAGTATGGGCAATGAGGCACAGCAAGTACTAGTGTATAGTCAGTATGGGTCTATACTTGGTGGCTCTGGAGTTAGATCATCAAGCGATAACGTTACTTACATTGAACAGAAGGTCTGAAAGGAATTAATGGAAAAGCAGAATTGCACTAAACACTCTCGGCATATTTCTGTTGCTTGTCAGCGTCATTGAAGAGTATTCACCAGGCGATACTGGTACTTACATCATGCACTTGAGGTTAAGAGAGAGAGAGACTGTGGATCAGTATTGTCGCACCCGACGTGTCAGGGACGCATCGATATTGCTTAACAGTACTTGTTACTAGAGCAGAGGGGCCAAAGAGAACTTTGATTGAAGATGAAAGAATGAAGGGGGAATCAAAGTGTGGATAAGTTCTGCCATTGAAAGGTTATTATTTGCGCTCGATGATACCGCTTGGTGCCGTGGAAGCACGTGTTATAGCATTGAAAAGAAAGGTAGAAGTAACCAGGATCACCAAACCTCAGCGCATTCAACTTGTGATGGTCCCACTGTGATTCAGAGTGTGAACCTAAGCTTCGGCATCACTGCCTTCGGCTTTGATCTTCAGTTCTTCCTGGCCAGGAGCAGCCTTCTGGACCCTCTTAGTCAGAGGAGTGCCCTCTTCGTCATCGTCCGAGTCATCAGCGACCTTGCGCTTAGGGGTAGCCTTGCCTTTACCCTTGGTCTTGGGACCGGCAGAAGAACCAGCAGTACTAGGAGAAGTCAGTGAGTATTAAACGTCATGCCAGCATGTCTGCAACGTACCCAGTACCCTTGGCCTTGGTCTTCTTGACGGCAGGAGTCTTGGGAGCAGGGCTGTCAGATCCCTCACTGTCCGGTCACATGGTCAGTACGATTCAAGAAGTCCTGTGTAAGTGAGGACATACCCATTGTCATCTCTGGCAGCGATGCGAATGCGAGAGATGTGTTTCTTCAAGGCAGAAACAGTGCAAGTGACACTGTCGGTGCTGAGTTCAGCTGCGAGAGCGTCCCAGTCAATGTTGGCTGAGGCGCTTGGGTCCTTCAAGACTGCGAGCAAGATCTTGCGATCAGCCTCAGCTGTGACAAAGTCAGTGATATTCATATGAGAAGTTCGTGGACTGTTGTCCTTACCGTCCCAGGTGATGCCAGGCATTTTCTTAGACTGAGTGGTGATGTTTGTAAGGATTGGTGGAATCCTTGAAAGGATGGTTGATGTTTTGTGAGAGTTGTTTCAAGTGTGGACCGAGGGTGGGGATTCAAGGAAGGTCCAGGGGTTGGACTGATATATGGAGTGGACGAAGACAAGGAACTAATGTGAAGCTTAAAGATAAAGAGAGAAGGAGGAAGAATGTCACGGAGTTGGCAGATGTAATCGAATCCGTGGGTTGCAGTCGTGTGGCACTGTCGCAGAGACTTTCACTTGGACGAAGGACGGTGCTGTCGACACATCATCGTCAAGGATACATGACCAGAAAATGATGTGAGGCAGGGGCGAGAAAGAAAATAGATCGAAAGGACAAAGGTCCCCACGCGAGGACTACACAAAACCAACATCGCGAAGCATCACAAGGCCAAAAGATACCTACTTTGTAAACAAGTGTCGGTCCTGGTCCACAACTGCTTTCCTGAGCTAAAGAATTTGCAAGGTGCCGAATTTGATAATCTTGTATACTTCCCACAATAGGTGAGACCGAACAGATGCAGAACCTGCTGTTCGAAAGTGAAGATCGAGCCTGGTGTTGGCGATTTGTGCCAAGTTCGCATGGATAGTGAGCGTACAATCTGGTCAGCCAGATCCGTCTTCGACCACCGAGAGTCCAGCACAAGGAGCTCGTTCTATTCAAGTCGGTCTGCAGCCATCTCAGAGTCTGTCGTAACTATGCTGAACGATGCGGAGTTTTCTGGCTGAGGTGCCTGTTTTACTGAATGGAGGTGTGTATTTAACCCAAGTCTAACACCATGTTACTTCTTGAGAACAAAGAAGAAACCAAGTTCACAAGATGAGATGTCGTTGAAGGGGCTGGCGGCAGAAGCCGTCTATGAACGACGGACTTGGCAAGGCTGAATCTCGCGCCTTCCGCTGCCACTTCTATTCACGAGAACTCCTTCTACCTTCTACAAAGGACCTTCTACACAACGCTAGCTGGAAGCGGTTACTGTCTCTCGCGGTCTCTCGTCTTTGATGGTATCGTCGCTTCTCGTATATTTGGCCGCCGTATGATTTCCTTGACAACAATTCGGATCAAGATCAACGAAGGTTTCTGTCACGAACATGGAAATGAGGCAACGAAACTCAGTAGGTTGTATCGGATGAGTGAAGTATGGAAAGCAGTCTCATTTTTGAAGTTGAAACATCATTGGAGGGGGCTGTTGAAAATGAAAGAGAAAAAAAAAAAAATACAAAAGCACAGCCCTCCCTTCTCGCTGAGTTCATGCAGTCTCTTTCACTGCAAAGTTTCGTCATCTTCGGTGTGACGGTATCAAGTCGCTATCGCAATTCAAGCATGAAAACAAGATGTACTTGATTAGATGAGCTCAAGCAATAGCCTATCCTCATGGTCAGTCATCATTGCAGCTCTTATTCTTAGTATCAAGACGCACCTCTTCATCGCGGTCTTCAGTCTCGGGCTCGGTCTTGATCAGCTCATCTTCGCCATCTTCGCGGTCCAAGGCATCGTAGTCGATGACCTTCTCAGCGCCAGGTTCGGTCTCATCTTCATCTTCGTCTTCAGAGGTTTCGTGCTTCATCTTGCGCTTCTTCGAGCCTCCTGCCTCTGAGCGCGTTTGGCGTCCCTTTCCTTTTGCTCGCGACGAATCTTTTTGCGTGTGGCCTTGCTCTCCTTCTTCATCTCCAGCGCGATTCTTGGGACGAGCAGCAGAAACGCGGCCAGTGCTGCTGCGCAGTATTCCACGGACCCCATAGTCGTTGGCGAGTTTGTTGTAGCGCTTGCTTCTGGAGATATTGTTAGCGTCGAGAGTTGTCAACAGGTTGTGAACTGGGACGTACGCGGCGTTGGTAGTGAGGCCGGTATCTGAGGCGACGCCGCTCCAGTCAATCTGGCCTGCGCCTTTGCTGTTCTTGATGCAGGAGAAAAGCAAGACGATCTGTTCGTCCTTTGTAACAGGAGGCATAGTCAGTTGGGTTTGCTGTCTTAGGAAAGAGAACAAAGGAATGTTTGTTGTGAAGGATGGAAGAGAAGGAGAGAGAAAGGGAAGAGAAGCAAAGGGATTTAATCAAAGATCACCGAGTGAGGGCCACGGAGAAGTGGACAGAAGCGGCTGGATGTGTGAAAGTGGTTCGTGAGGGACAACGAACGACGGACGGGATTAAATATAGTGTCAGGATGGATCGGCTTACTCACTTGTGGGTACTTTCGTGCAGCACGATATTGAATGAATTTTGGTGAGATATCTCCGTTCGAGAGGACAAGGCCAGGACTGATATGTTGAGCGATAGGTCTTGGAGTAGACAGGCGAAAATGGTGATTTGTTTAGAATATAAGGGCACGATCATCTGTTGAACTTCACGTGTAAACACAAGACGTCTTTTGTTACTGTCATGTGAGAAGTAATTGCTTGCGTCCATTGTGCTTGAGATGCTAAAAGGACAAGAATGGCACAAATGGACACACGAGCTTGCATGACATTCCCTATGAGCCTTTGAGTGAAATGGTAAAGCGAGCGATTGTGTGATTGCGATGAAACGTCAGATTGATATCCGCTGCATGAAGAACGACTTATTTGGCTTTAGGACTGGCCTTGGCCTTCTTGCCTGCCTTGTTCAAACTCCTCCTTTCCTTCTTGCTTTGAACCTCCGTTGAGGTTCCCGCAGCATGTCCACCGACCTCACTGACACCATTCTTGACTGGCTTCTCCGCTACTTTGGGGCTCTTTGTACCTGATGGTGACTTCACGGCCTTCTCTTCTATTTGGTCCTCGGCATTTGGTTCCTCGGATGAGACTTCCTTGTCCTTGGACTTTTTGGTGGCTTTTGTGGCCTTGGGATCAATACCCTTCTTCTTAAGCTGCTTCGCGCGTGCACGTTGGATGATAGCCTCATCCTCAGAGTCTGAGAAGCCTCCAAATTCATCGTTCTCCATTTCTTCGCTGATGGGCGTTCTGTCAACGATCTCCTCGTCATCGTCCTTCTTAACGTTCTGCTTCTTGTCTTCCTGGCCTTGTGCTTTGACAGCGTTTGCAGGTGTAGGACCAAGCTTCTTGAACTTGGCGACGTAGAATCCATCCACGTTATAAGCGTGAGGGTAGTATCTTCTGGTCTCCTTCAAGCTGGGGTGGAACTTCTTGCCCATGAAGCTGGTGAAACCCTCCTTACCAAAGACAAGACCGGTGCTGACGAGCTTGACGTTGGGACGTCTGTTCAGAGCATATTGAACAACTTGCTCGTTCTCCTCGACTGTAACACTACATGTTGAGTACACAATGTAACCTCCAGTCTTTGAAGCGTGGTCTACTGAGTCGATAGCAGCGAGCAAAAGCTGCTTCTGCAGATGGGGCAGACGCAGGAAATCGGCTTCAGTCTTGTTGGTCTTGACACTCTGATCCTTAGCAATAACACCAGTACCAGAGCAAGGGGCATCAAGAAGAACTCTGTCAAAGCCACCCATGACCCTAGGGAACTCAAGGGCGGAGTAGTGGCACACGATGGTGTTCTTGACACCGAGACGGTGGATGTTACCAATCAAACCCTTCGCACGGACCTTACTGGCATCGTTGGCAAAGATGACACCAGTATTGCGCATCAGAGCAGCGGCGTATGTTGTTTTACCACCAGGAGCAGCAGCCATATCAAGGACACGCTCGTTCTCTTGTGGTGCCAAAGCCATGACGGGCAAGAAGGAACTGGCAGCTTGGAGAATGTAGTGTCCAGCAAGATATTCAGGGGTGGCACCCAAGGGGACCTGAGACTCGAAAACCTGCAGACCAACCTTGCTCCACTTTCCAACAGGCTCGAGAGTTACTCCACGGTTGATCAAAGAATGAGCGAGGTCACGACGGTGAGTGCGGAGGGTGTTTGTTCTGATAACCAGAGGACGAGGGGTTTCGTTGGCGTCGAAGAAGGCAAGCGCTTCCTGAGGGGTGAATAGTCTCCACAGCTTCTCGGCCAAAAAGCGTGAGTATCCATAGTAAGCACAAATGTCGTTCATTAGCGAGTTGATGTAGTCGGCACGCGAGCGCGAGGGGTCGGACAGCTCCTTGAAGCTGGTCAGGACACGAGTGGTCTCGGTGATACGAGTACGGAGCAGCTGGAGGTCGGGAGCAAGAGTGGCTTTTCGTTGGGCGGCATCATCATCGTCTTCGTCTTCGGGAATGTCGGCGGCAGCAATGTTGGTCTGCATGGCATCGTCCTCGAGTTCGGCTTGTGCATCAGCGGCTTCCTGGGCGGCTTCTTCATCGAGGCGACCTGAAAGTCCAGCAATGTTGGCAGCATTCAGAATCTCTTCAGGGTCCGAAGCGTCTTCATCCTCTGACCACATGGCGCGCTGCACATCCGGATCATCAGAGTCCATGAAATCGTCGTCCTCAGCAGGCTCATCATCGTCCGACTCGAGAACGCCCAAATCGTCAACGGCATCCGAATCGTCTTCAATATCCTCGTCATCTGACTCCACTAGCTGTTGAACCTTCTTTGCAGCCGTCTTTGGTGTCTTTCCATTTGCTGCGAATTGGCCCTTGGTAGACTTCTTTGCGGCCGAATTCTTTGACTTGTCGGTTCTGCGTTTCTTGTGTGTTGCCTCAGGCGGCGGAGGGGCGTCCTTTCTCTTTCTCGAAACCAGTGATTCGTTCAGGGGTTCGGGAACACCCTGTTTCTGCATACGACGACTGGGTGCCATGTTGTATTGTGATGTCGAATGCGACTGAGAAAACAAAAAAATTAATTGCAAGGAAGACGACGCTGCTCTTTCTCAAACTTTACGAGACTTTTTCTGGAACGACTTTGCGGGGAAGGCCGCTCCCATTGGCCACCTCGTGCAAGCTCGGTCTTTAACAAAGACGGTATCTTATCCCCGTCCGCAACCAGATGAAATAATCATAACCTGGTCAGACTTAGACTCGTTCTGTAGTGCAAGAAACGTGAAGAAGCTCAGTAGCAGAGTTCAATATTGGCATGAACTAATAGACGAATCCCTCGCTCAATCGCTGTCATCGTCGCTACCATATCCGACTAATGGACCTGCAGGCTTATCTGGAGCTTTGCTGGCTGCCGCTCCTGAGCCTGCTGTGAAGCCCTTCAACGCGCTCAGTGTTGACCCACCAAGGATTCCGGAAGGCACATCCTGTCTCTTCATATCCTCAATCCTGAGCGGTGCGGCGTCATCGTCCTCATCCTGTAAATCACCAGCTTCGAGCAGATATTGCTCTTGTGGCGCTCCAAGTCTAGCCTTCTCTGACGCGTACCACACCTCGTCGCTGGCCTCATATCCTGGTAATCCAAAAGTGCCTTCAACCTTTCTCCTCTTCCTCGCCTCCTCCCAGCCCTCACCACGACCTTCAATCTCGGCCACGTATTCTGCCGGTAGCGCACGGCGGATTGCGTCTGCCGCCTGCTCCTCGATCTTGCGGGCTTCTCGTTTCTGTGCTTGTGGATTCGGATCGACAGTTGCCCATCGTACATTCAGTGTCTCGTTGTTGTCCAGGGATTGATGCGCCATAGCCTCTTTTGCGAATTCCTGATCAATTGTTAGCTTTCTTCTAAATGCGCAAGTCCAGACGTAACTTACAGCATTGGCCAAGTGGACATAGGTCACGAACGCTACGCCTCTTGCTGGCAGTACACGTACGCGCTCAATCTGGCCCCATTCTTGAAAGTGTCTGGCAACGACTTCCTCGATATCGTCTGATGTGTGAATCCTTCCCACGTATAGAGTCCTGTTGACGCGCATGAAACTTCCAACACCACCCATGTCGTCTCTGTAATCGCTGAATTTGTCTCGTCCAAAGCAGTCGACGTTTGAGGGGAAGATGTCGCCCAGGCCGCCCTCTTTTTCTATGCGCGAATTCGGCAGACGGTGAAGGTACTCACAGTCTTGACCCTTAGGGCAAAGACCGCGTGCGAAGAATAGGCAAAAGTAGCTACCAGGGATGCTATCGGCTTTTGTGTATCCAGAATCTGTGGCAACGTTGCATCTGCCCTTTGCCTGTGTCTTGGAAGAGTAGGCATCCTCGCGATCACCGCCAGACCATTTGTTGTACCAGATGTTGAAGATTGTGCCGGTTTGAGCAGGTCTCTCTGACTGGAAGCCTTCTTGTTGTACTCTTGCGGGTCTCCTTTTCTTCTTGACCATGATTTTCTTGGTCTTCTTTTTCGGCTCCAGGACAGTGTTATCCTGATTCGTGGGTACGAGTGCTGACGAGTCTGTGACTTCCATGATTGCAAGAGGATTCTGATCGGCGGCGGTGGCCTCCTGCACGACAGGTGTATCGAGGTCGGCCATGGGTGTGTGGAATGAACGGCGAGTCGCGTAGATATTCGGCAGTGAATGTGGCTGATTAAAGCCCACAGATCGAGATGAATGGTCGTGGTTGTCGCATGGGAAATGGCAATGAAGGCGAGTTTGGCGCGGCGGACAAGTCGCGGCGGGCGCGACAGTCGAGCTTGGCAATCGAAGCTCTCCGGGCAGCTACTCCATCATCATCAACCACACGCCTGCCATACCGCTCATCATCTCCCTCCTCTCACACTTCTCACATACTCCCTCAACATGCCTGGATTCGACTTCTCGCTGCACAACCGCAACCTCGCCTTGCACGCACAAGGTGTGCCGCTGCCCAAAGCAACCAGCACCGGAACAACCATTGTCGGCTGTCTTTACGATGGCGGCGTCGTCATCGCCGCAGACACAAGAGCAACCTCGGGTCCCATCGTCGCTGACAAGGTCAGAATCTCTGTGTCTACCTCATCACTTTCTCAACACTGACTCTGCATCCGACAGAACTGCGAAAAGTTGCATTACATCGCCCCTCAGATCTGGTGCGCCGGCGCTGGTACTGCTGCCGACACCGAATTCACCACCGCTCTCATCTCGTCCAACATCGAACTGCACGCCCTGTCTACCGGACGCAAGCCTCGCGTCGCCACCGTCATGACCATGCTTAAGCAACATCTGTTCCGTTACCAAGGCCACATTGGCGCCTACCTCGTTGTAGCTGGTGTCGACCCCACAGGCAGCCACCTCTTCACTGTCCACGCTCACGGCAGTACCGACAAGCTTCCATACGTCACCATGGGCTCCGGTTCGCTGGCCGCCATGTCCGTCTTCGAAACTCAATGGAAGTCAGGTCTCAACAAGGACGACGCTATCAAGCTCTGCGCCGACGCCATCCAAGCTGGTATCTGGAACGATCTGGGTTCGGGTTCCAACGTCGACGTCTGTGTCATCACCGCCGAGAAGACCACACTGCTGAGAAACTACATTACCCCCAACAAGCGCGAGCAGAAGATGAGGAATTACAAGTTCCAGAGAGGAACCACTGCTGTCCTCAACGAGAAGATCATTACTCGTCAGGACATCAGCAAATACGTCACAGTACACGAGCTCAGCGACAACGATGCTGGCCAGGCCGCAGAGAAGATGGAGGTCGACTCATAGACAGCACGCATGTTTCTGGTCATAAACTGGGCCAATGACTTTTGACATTTTCTGTATTCTAACGGGGATTCACGATCGGGGGCTTCTACTTTTACAAAGCAAGCACAGGCATTTTTCGGGGAGTTTGCAAATTCGAAATCGGTCATAATCTTTTTTCTTTTGATACGTGTCTCATGTTCTACCACCCAGGAAAGTCTATGAAGTGAAGGTGTATGATGATGATGATGGAAGCAACGGTCGTGTGGCAAGGTCCAGCCTGCCACGATGCGAATGTCGACGAAGCATCAGATGTTGTCTAAAATCACAAAGTATAGGGGAAGCAGCCGCTGTACGCGGGGAAAGCGATTGTTGAGACCATCCCTGTCATCAAGGTGTTCATAACATTAAGTGCAATCCCAATAGTAACCATAGCCTGCAGAGTAGTGTTGGTATGAGTGTTTTCAGAGATAGTGTGTTCAGACGTCTCACTATCCTCGGCCGAATGGCGAGACGCAAGAGACGTTTGAGTTTCGAGGTTGGACGTACCGTCGTCGGTTTGGGAGGCCTCACTCTCAACTGTCGAAGACGCAGCCAGAGACGAAGATGGATATGGAAGATCGTCTGCAGCTGTTGCGTTTGTCGTGACGTGAGCACCAGCAGTAGTGACCGTCGTTCCAGTACCTGTACTAGAGCTCGCTTCACAGTCGGAAGTATCGGTACTCGTGCGATTGAAGTAGGCTTCCACCGAGCGAATCTGGAGAATGCTGTCCTGAGCCGGAGGACCGAAAGTCCAGACATACCCATTCGACCATGAGTTCCACATCAGCCAGCCTGCTTCGCTGGGCACATTTCTGTTTATCGACATGACCAGCACGCCGTCGATGTACAAGTTTGTACCGGTAGGAAGCCAGTCATATCGGTACTCGTGGAACGCAGAGGCCATGGTGCTGGGTGCGGCCACAGCATATGTCGTCTCACCATTGCCTGGATGTGTTTGTTGATTGGTGAAGTGGACATGGCTGGGATCACCTGTCCTAATTTCGATATCGGTTTCTTGTGTGTCGTTCATGTACATGAAGAAACCTGGTCCAAACGATCAGCATGTCTACTCCCACAAAACAGAAATCTGACGACCCACCATGAACTGTCCCGTTTACAGGACTGGCTTGTGCTACAGTTCTTACACTGGCATAAAGCACATCGTCATATCTAGTGACTATCTGACAGGTCTCTAGAGGGTCTGCAGTTTGTCCACCAGGAACAATCATCTGCATGGGTTGACCAGATCCGAGTACAATATTGCTAGGATTGAAAATGTGCGAATATGGAGCATATGGTCCAGAACCGACTTCATAGGTACTGGCGATCAACTCATCTGGAAGCGTGTCCATGGTGGTGAAATCGAATGCAAGATGAAAATTAAAGGCACCAACGCCTTCGACTTGATACTGACAGCCATTGGAGGACTCGTTTGCTCCAGTTGTTGAACGAGTAGCAAAGCTGCTGTCAAAGTCGAATTGATTTGGGTAGTCGGGAGTGGCTTCTGAAAGGGCAGCTGTGACAATGATCACGAACACAAGGGATGATATGTTCCTGAGTGGCATGGTGCAAAGTCAGGATTGACTGCTCGGCATGGTTTTAGCTGATCAAGTATACGAAATATAAGGAATGAAAAGAAGAAGAGAACTGAAGCTGTGTCTTGAGTGTGTAGTGTTTTGAAAGCCTCGAGATCTGGGCACAGATGGGCATGAGTATTTGAATCGGCAGTTGCAAAACGGGCGGGCGAGGCGTCACTCATCGGACAAGACTAGTAGACGTTTCGAGCACATGGGTAAGAGATGCAAACGGCATGGAAAAACTCAGTATGAACAAGGGTCGATTCTAAAGATGGTGATACGATTTTGGTGGTGGAAAGAGTCAGGAGACTGCAAGACTTGAGTTGACGAGATCCCCGCATCTGGGCCCGAAAGTGATCGTCCCGGGTGTGCCTGCAGATGCGAGCCGAATGGGCGGGTCGAAGCCAAAAAGGCAACCAAGAGCTGTGACGATTGATCAAGTAAGGGACACGCAACTGCCACGGAGCTCCGACTGACGATTGCCAGCTTCGTGCATACCATACCATGAATCTTGGGCTTGTCTTTTCCAGTCTCTCACTACTGGCACCATGATCAAATCACCGTCCAAGACGTCAGCTCCTCCATCGCCCGACGAGGCCTCGCAAACACCTGTCGGCAGCGCGTCGTCATCAGCTCTACCTCTGCCTCCTTCCTTGACACTACGCAGTCGTTCGTCAACAACAAAGACAACTTTCCCTGCCACTGATGGAACTCCTCCCATTGAGCCATCGCTTTCTCGCCGTCGCTCGTCCTTGCTCTCTTTCTCGAGCTTGGACGACACGCGACACTCGGCTGGCGACTTCATCCGTCCTTCCCTAGGCCTCGACCAAGATGACCCGACCGCTCCAGAGGATCTGTCGCACTGGCACAGCTCTCCTCTGGCTTTTGCCTTTCTCCCCGCTCTTGCCGGTCTCTTCTTCACCAATGGAAGCGCTTTCGTCACTGACATCATTCTACTCGGCCTAGCTGCCTTGTTTCTCAACTGGAGTGTCAGATTGCCCTGGTACGTCTGTCTGTTTCCGTCTTGTCGTGTATACTGATTTTCCCAGGGATTGGTACCGCTCAGCTCAGGCTCAATTCATTCTGGAGCAACTAGGGAAGGAGTCAGACGAAGACGAACAACAGGGTCAACCACCCGAGGAATCGCAGAAAAGTCAAGAGCAGGAAGACGCGGCTGCCAATCTCCGCCAACACGAGCTCCTGGCTTTGATCTCTACCTTTGTGTTTCCTGCTTGTGCTGCATACCTGCTGCATGTCATTCGTGGTCAGCTTTCGCGCCCTTCAGAAGGTCTGGTCTCAGACTACAACCTGACTATATTTCTTCTCGCTGCCGAGATACGCCCCATCAGGCAGCTGATTCGCCTATTCACTCATCGCACCATTCATCTGCAACGTATTGTTCGTGGGAACAACGATTCTTCTGCTCTAGGTAAGAAGGACAAAGCTATCGCCGAGCTTGCGTCTCGTCTGGTCATTCTAGAAGAAAAGTTCGGCGATCAGCTATCATCTCCAGGTGCCTCCATCGTTCAGAAGGACGAAGTTGCTGCGCTTTCTAGCGATATCAGGAAGCGTTACGAACCTCGCTTGGACGCCCTGGAGCGAGCAGTCAGGAGATACGAGAAACGAGCCACGACTCTGACATTGCTCACCGAGCAAAGGCTACAATCATTGGAAAACCGTCTGCAAGACGCATTAAGTTTGGCTGCTGTCGCTGCCCAATCGTCTGGAAAACCTGGCATTGTCGCTGCCATTTTATCCACGCTGGCCAGGATACTGTCAGTCCCTTTAGAGTTTGCCTGGTTTGTGTTTGTATGGCCTCTGAAAATGACAGAGTCGGCGTTTAAGAAAGTCGGCGTCATGATACTAGGTCCACCAAATCCGCCCTACCGTCGTAGTGACTCTAAGGGCCCCAGGCCAAGATCAGAAAAGAAGAAGGACGACTCGTATTTCACTCGACATTATTGATAGCCCAGAGTGGTTCTTACATGTTCGAGCGCATTGCACTAGCATAGCGTTTTATCCTATTTACGACCTTATGACCCTGTATCATCAAGTATGGAGACCCCTCGAGATTTTCATATATGCACATTGCGTGTTTAATCTTACAACCCTCATTTGACCTTCTTCCTTTCAAGTTATTCCGGGGCACGATTTCCACCATGAGTGGTTGTATCATGGCCACTCATCTTCGCTAGTTGCGAGCCAGACGCATCAAAAGGTGCTATGTTGTGTCAACAGCCGACCACCCCTAATCACCTTCCCAATACCTCTATAGCTACATGTTCTCCAGGTCAGCGCTTATTAAGTATAATCTTTAGGCCTGAACTCCCGATCTCATTAGAGTGCTCAGTGCTGTTGGCCCAGGTTATTGTCGAGGACACGACCCTGGTCAAAAATTCCCTGTTGTCTTCTACCTAGAAAAAGATTGGTCTTAGCTACGGATATCTTGACCAAAGCTTGAACATGGTATACATGTGGAAAGTTGCAGCCAGAGATGCTTTGTGGAAGCATGTTTTGTATGAGTGGCTCTCTCTTTAGAGAATTCCACAGGAAACAGGACCACGACTACAAGGATAATTTCGGGTACTGAGGCTATAGCTCAAAATCATTAGCATCAAGCACTTCCAGGATTAACGCTGCTGCGGTGCCGTATCATCTTCTGCGACATCACGTACTTGATCACCAAACATTGAAAGCGTAAGATATGCATGCGAGGCTGCCCACTCCTGTTCTGTATATTTCTTCCTTTTCCCACTTTGTCACATAACATAACCCAAGACCCTTTCTGGGAACACTTTCCCTCCCCTTCTTGTATGCACATTAACACATTTCCTCTTCTCTTTGACACATTGATGATGATGGTGATGACGAGGCAAGACGAGCCGCAAAGAATGCAGAATATTTTTCCATTTCTCTCGTTTCTGTTCCCTAGTAGATCCCTTGAGTACGGTATTGGAATGTGTCGTAACTGCATTGCCTCTGTGGTTAGCATCATGCAATCTCGAAAGGGGTGGCAGGTAATACTCACAGCCTGGTATAATAACTTCCTGCACTCTTAGCCACGAGCTCCTCAACCCACAATCCAGCTTCCTCTTTACTCTTCTCCAGCACGAATCTCGCACGCAAAGCATTCACCACATTAGTGACGCCACCGCCAGAATAGCATGGCATCCTGCTTTGTCTGCCCATAAGATCTACCAACATGACTATTCTCTCTGCCTCACGTCGTAAAGCTTGGAATGCTTCTTTCATGTGTTGCTTGAACTTGCCAAAGGGAGCAGAGTCCATGCCTCCTAGGACATCAATGTATTCTTGGGTCAGTTTGAAAGGCGCGGCTTCGAAACCCATGCTGCCCGGTGTGTTGGAGAGCATGAAGCCGAAGTCGATGTGGACGATATGGCCCACATTGTCGATGAGAATGTTGCCGTTGTGACGGTCTTTGAGTTGCAGGATGTATGAAATGACACTGTATGCCGCTAGACTCTTTGCAAAGTTGTCCACAGCCGCAATGTAAGCCGCCGAGTCAGGTTTTCCAAATGTGGTGGTGAAGTGGTCGTGCAGAGTGGCGATGCGTTTCCGTGGGTTTGTGCCAGAGGCGATGGAGGAAAGAGTCAAAGAGCGTTTGAGTGAATGCAGTGATACGCCGTTTGTGATTGTTTCAATCAAGCCTGAGGACTCACCCGTCACGAGAATACGCATGTTCTTGACCCAGACGTCGCATTCGGCTTCAGCCCAGATCTTTGAGCATACTGCGATGAGCTGACAGGCGAAAGCTTCCTGACGTAGATCGGCCCCAGTCTTGACAATCATGGAAATCAAGTCCCAGTTCTTCATCCAGCCGTAAGGCGAGGAGCGACGTATACGTTCTTTTTTCATTTCCCAGGCTTCACCAAAGGTTGCTGCTGAAGGGTCGTCTCGGTCACCCTTGCGCTGAACACCTCCCGTCTTGATATCGTTTTCCATGCGTGCAGCACCTGCGTTTGAACTCAAGTTAGGATCCGCATCTGCAGCTTCCAAGGCAGGGTCCTCGATATCGGCCGGTTCTGCATGTGAGCCAATGTTGTTCGCATTAGCCATGATGGCATCGAAGTTCGTGGCGTGTGTGCTATCGTCAGTATAGAAGCTCTGCTCTTCCAGACTTTGCATACTGGCAATAATCCTCGCCTTGATAGCGGCGACTTCAGCCTTTGGCCGTTTCGAACTGCTCAAGTCGAGCTGTGAGAGCATGGATGAAGCAGCTCGCATGTGAGTTGCCAAAGCAGAAAAGTCGGGTTGATCTGATGCTTGCGAGCGGCCAGCCGCTGAAGCAAAAGGTGAAGGACTGACAGATCTACTCATTGGCAGATCCGATGTTCGTGGTGTCGTCAGGCTCAATGATGACAAGGTACTCACACCGCTGGATAGTCGAGGAAGCTCTCTCAACATAGTGGCGTTGGAAGGGGTATGTGATCTAGAAATGTTACGAGGAGTATCATGTCCATCTAGTTCTTGCAGTAAAGCAGGACTAGCCAGATCGCCTGATGCAGGCTCCAGGACGCTATCGTTCTCGACTGTAGTTTCAGTCTGATAGCGAGCAGATTCTCGTGAGGCATCTGTGATGTCAAATAGACGCCGCTTAGGTTTTCCCTTCTCAAGTACCAGCTTAGTGAGAAGTTGTGTATTCTGGTCAGAATCAGGATCGAAATCGAAATCTTCCCTCAAGACCTCTACCATCAGCAGATACGGTACTCTTTCAGCACTGTTCAGACTAGTGGCCTCGGCAGGGTTGAGCCTGATGATACGGTGATGCTGACTACGGCTCGGACTACCATCTGGAAGAGTTGCAGGACAGAGCAGGGGTACGTCGACCTCCGCAGGCAGGTCCTGGGCAATCAGAGCGAGCTCGGCACGGAGAGCACTCAGTCTAGCAGGTTTTGGCACAGCAACCAGACGGTTAGAGATATCCTCGAGGGCACTTAAGAACTGTGTCTGACTGCGGAAATAATTCGAACGAAGCATGCGAACTTTTTGCGAGCGTGACAGGTTAGCAAGATTGATAGCTTTTGTGCTAGCAGAATGGCGGCGGACAGAGTGTTCTGTATGCTGGCGGGATAGACGAGGGGCCTCAGAGACTGGCTGTGAGGGAAGCTCCGGAAGAGAGGCTGTGCTCGCAAAGGCTTTGTTGTTTTGTGTTGCGCGCAAAGCCTCTGCCATGGCACGACTGCTAGGCGAGTCTCTGGTTGGTGTCGGGCTATCTCTGACAAGCAGTGACATTGGTCGCGAGGCTCTCTTGGGGGTCGAAGTGCCTGGTGGAGTAGAAGCATCCTTGGTTGCTTGTGGAGGAGGACGGGGTTTTCTAGAGCGACCAGAAGCACCAGAGACAGTATGACTCCTGGAAATACGCTGTGGTTGTATGTTGTCGGAGATTGTCTCTTCTACTGGACGCGGCCTCCTGGCCTGTGCAATGGCCAGCGGACCAGCATGACGGGGGAGGAAGGGCGCAGCTATAGCACCGAGCACAAGACTGGATAGCAGAGTGACGGGCAAGACATTTTCGGTAATCTTCTCTCGGCGGACAGGCTCAGATGAACCAAAGACGATTCGCTGGACTCGGTTGTAGATGCGACGGCACGTCTTGAAAGCGTTGGAGGTGGGAGTTTGGGCAAGATCGCGGAGGTAGGTCTGTAGTAGCCAGAAGGTCTGCAAAAGCAATGAGTATCAAGAGGTGGTGGTGGGGCGGCGCGGCATACCAGGAGAGCGCCATTCACCGACTCCTCGCATAGATCTAGGATAAAGTCCTCGAGGGCCATGCTTTCGTTGTCCAGCGACATGACCAGGTGGCATAGCTGCGGCAGGAAGAACTCGATGTCTTCATAGCTGAACTGGCGCAGCTTGGAGCAGAGGACGTATTGGATTCCAACATGGTCGGCGTATCGAGCCAGATAGGCCACAGTCAACGACGGATCCCGGTTGAAGTGTTCCGACTCGATGAAGCGCTCGAGCAAGTTCCAACTCATCGAGACCAGACACTGAGCATGTTCTTATTCGTAGGGTGACAGGCAAAGGTCGCACGACTTGGCTCAGCAATCCCGTACTTGTGGATACCTTGCAGGGAGACACCGAGGCTGGTCGACTTGCTTGGGTGAGCGTGTGCTTGTGCTTGAGCCCCAGGGTCCAGCCAGATCCACCTTCTCCTGAACATGTCCAACCGCCCACTTTTTCACCCATCCATCAACAACACCAACATCACAACTGTGTCAACCGTTGTGACTGTTGAATAACACGAGTGCCCCTATAATACACGGCCATCTTCGGCCCCTCTCCCACGCGGCGCATCTAACTATCTTGTCGGATACAAATCTCGGAGAAGACAATACGAGTACGAGCCAATGCACAATGATTACTACTCCTCATTTCGCCTCCTCATTCATGTCTATGCCTGTATTGTCCTGCAATGAGGCATTGCGGCACTGCCCACTATAACCCAACTCTACTGCTGCTTGCTACCTATTACTTCCTCAATCCACGCCTGCGTACAGATCGACCACAATGTTAATCACAGCCACCATGATTTCGGCCGCGATCAGCACAATTACAATCCATTCCAAGTACTCGCCTGCATTATCTGTTAGCCTGGCTCCATCGTCTTTCCTTGGTTGACTTGCCATGTGAATGCGTTAATTGATCCTTCAACACTGCCAGTAAATCCGCAATGACGTCCAGTCGCTCCGTCAAAAGACTCACTCTCTGGTCCATCTCCAAGTAGCTTCTTACAGCCTGGTAGACCGGGTCAAGTTGCGGTTCTGCCCACATGAGCTCGGGAGCGTCCAAAACTGATCCTTGAAGATGGATGTTGATTCGCAAGATGAAAAGTTCTCCAATTTGCATGTTGATCTCTTTTCGTGACATGTTGACTTTGCCCGTCAGTGCGATTTGTGCCGGAATCTCCTTGTTGACGTCAATCGTATTGTCTACCAAGTCCTCGTATAATGATGTCTGCAACGTCGGTTAATCTCGTGTCTGCTCGCTCTCAATCAAACTACGAACCTTTGTACTCTGTGCCAGGGCATGGCTGATGGCAAGCTTGGTCATGTAATTCTTCTTCTCCCTCAGACTGATAAAGTCGTTGTAAATTCGAGCCTGGTATTCCTTGGTGTAGTAAAAGTTGAAGTTTTCTTGCTGGATATCATCCTTGGAGAGTTTTTCCGTTTCGAATCTGGCAAGTTCCTTCAAGAATTTCTGTTCGTGCTGAACAGACATGCCCCATATTACAACAACTCCATACTCAAAGCAGAAGACCTCGGGAACGTGGACCGTTGTGTCAAAATCGGGAGTATCGGTCTGTGGCATCAGGAGAGCTTCGTTGGACGTCGATCCCTCGTGGTTCTCTATTATTGCCGATTCTTCACTCTCGGCCTGCAGATCCAGCAAGTCTTCCCTCCTCCTCTCGGCGTTTCCTTCGACCTCGATAGCACTGTCAGAAAATCGTCGTTGAGCTGTAGAGTGCACGATCTGGGCTTCTTCGATCTGCGGCTCTGATTTGGGGTTGTACTGGTATGGGGTGTAAATGCATTCGTCGAATTGCTTCGGCGCGGCCTTCTTCAATTTGCGACCCTTGAGAAAGCGTAACAGATCCTCCATGCGGTATGAACTGGCAGTACAGTATGCCGTGACACGAGGCAGTTTGTCTCTATCGTCTTTGCCTAGCCTTGCGGCGTCACGACGGGCGGTTGGATCCTTTATTCTGGTGAATTGCGAATAGACATCACGGCCACTCTCTTCGTCAGGACCATCTTCACCATGTTCCGGGTTGGGCAAGAGTTTTAATTTTTGGGCCGTCCTTGTTGTGCGTTGAGGGCCGATCTTTGCAGCGGGAGCACCGGGACCTATTGACAATGGAGCGCCCTGACTATTTCTTCTGCGGAGTTTGCTGTTAAGAGCCGAGAGCATGGGCTGACTGCCATCTCTCGGCGGAGTGTTTACAGTTGCGACTGAGCCTGTGGAATGTGCGGAGGCTGAAGGGAACATAGGTCTTCGGGTCGGTGGACTGCTCGTTGCAATGGTAGGATTAAAAGTGACGCTGCGAGCAGGACGATCGGGCTTCTTGCCCAGGAGGGGAGTCGACTCTGCTGTTGTCGCCATGATGCAGTTGATTTGTCCGAATTTGTTGCAGGACGTTCGGCGAGAAGGTCGAGTATCGACGCACGCCTTGCTCTACCAGAATAAATGGTCGAGAATGACAGAGGTCAAGGCACAATCGTCTTGAATCTCACACCAAGCACGCCGTTCCGTCGAGGGCTGGGCGTCGCAACTTCCTCTTCTTTTCTGAACACATCGACGTCATATAAGAACGTCCGAGCTCTACCATCAATCCATGTTTATTTTCACCTTCATTGCACAACTGCTTTCTGAATTTGAGTCTGGCTATGGAGTTAACCATGTTTGTATGTCTCTACACACTGTTCTCTATTCCTTCCAAGCCTCGGCATCATCCCACGAAGGAAGCACATACGGGACACTGTCAGGAGCGTGCTCTGGCAGCTTTTCTGCAATCAGCTTCATCAATTCCCTGTAGATGATTTCGTATCCTTCAGGGTTCAAGTGAAGACCATCGTGCAGCATTTGAGCAAGCGTCTGGTTCTGCTCAATTTCACTCGAGCCTGGCAATGGCTCGCCCTCGGTCCAGCCAGCCTCCTTCATGAACGCAGCCCAAACGTCAAGCACAGGAAGCTTGAACTCTTGAGCAATTTGACGGACTGCCTCTGCGTACTTGGCTGTGTTGGCTGCAGTACGTCTCATGACATTGATGCCGTTGGTCTTGTCATGAGCAAGTGCCTTCCTCTCCTCGATTGGAGGAGGCGTAAGCAAGATGAGCTGAGGCTTGTGTGCTTGCAGCATAGGGTGGTTGATGATGTCCTTCAGGTTCTTCTTGTACTGTTCGAGCTCGACAGTCTGGGGGAATCCTGGGGTGTTTGGTAAACGAGCATCATTGGCACCCAGAAAGATGGTCTGCAGGCCTAATGAGTACAATATATCGTGGTGAACTACATGTCAAGACTGACCATCAAGCGGATGCGGCCCTGCTCAGGAGTGGGGAGGATACGAGGCAGGACCTTTAAAGCCTGTGTGGTGTTGTATCCACTAAGGAAGACTTGTCAGATAGAGGTAATGATTGAATAGTTGAGACACGACTACCTGAATCCTCTGTTGACTACATCAAGACGACGGATGTATGCTGTAACGGCTTAGCTGAGCCCGAGACGTGTCTCTGGAAACACATACCATCTTGCAGTGCTGGTGTCCATCCAAAACCTTTGGCTTGACTAGCACTCTGCTGTGTGATGGAATCACCAAAAAGGATGAATTGTTCCATTGTGAAGAGCGTTCGATGATGAAACAAACAAGGAGAGGTACAAAGCACTAGCGCGATGATACAAGTATGGCAGTTGTGGAGAGTGAGTGGAGCACGGATTCGGCGGCTCTAATCATCGGGTAAACAGGCGGAGGAATCGCCCATCATTATCTTGGTCCTTAGCACTGAACTCGTGATGTTTCATATCATGATGTTAGATACAGTTCATCTGTGGGTAGTAGCGCCGAGGAACAACGTCTATCGATTTCTAAAGAGTAACAACAAAGAGGAAGGAAAAGGAGAAGGAGCATGTAGAGAAAACGACGATACGATCAGATATAGAGGTGACGTCCAGCTGCTGTCCATTCACACCGCTCTGATGGCCCTTGGCACCGCAAGCGCAGGGTCCCTAAAGCTTAACGGTAGGGTCATCTGCACCTTCAGGCGCGGGATGCAGCAGGAAGGGTAATAAAACATGACGGCCGGCGACGATTGGCAGCATGAACGATAAGGCAGGCCAGCTAAGAGAGCCCCTTGAGACGTCTCGCATGTCATGAGCACACCCCAGATCGACTGGAATGCCCGATCATGTGCCAAGGGATCCACCAGCCCATCGCGTCAGAGGCCATTTGATAGTCACGGGCAGGTAGCGGTAGCGACTCGAGGCATGGCCAGCGGTCAAGGGGGCACTGCTGCTCTGTCATCTCCGACTTGCGGCCTACATCTTGTCCAACACCTCCAGTCCTGCGTCTTGGGTGATGTGGTGCTTCCTCGTACATACCTGCATATGCAACCATCTTAACCCCTAATGCCGAAATCTGTAGCCTCGTATGCGTACGACGCAGACGCTTTCGACCACGACAGCACACCACCGACTCCAAGGAGCAGCAGAGGCAGCACTGTGAGAAGACATGGCCGCCGCCTCGCTTCCGACTGGGACCTCAAAAGCCGACTGCCTTCACGCCTGATTCTCGATGACCACGCTTCTCTGCTCGACAACCCTGATGGCCGCCCATCCTATCGTGCCATTGCTTCGGCGCCTCACTCTCCAAAGAAGACATTCAGAAGAAGAAACAGCGCCCCGAGCGCCGAAGGACGCTCAGCAACCCTCACTTCGAGAGTCGCAAAAGCCTTTGGCACTGAAGCGAACCCACTTGAAGGTAGTCATCCTGCTTTCTAAGCACTACTGCCTTGCTGACACGGATTGTAGAAGACGATGACGATGATGACAGCCACCAAAAACTATCCGAGTCAATCTACTACGACGACCGCGCCTGGTACGATCAGTATACGAGTACAGATTGGGTACAAGACAGCATAAGCGATGCCTTTCGCTTGAAAGAGCTGCGAGGTCGCAAAGGCTTGAGGGGCAGAACCGAAGCTCTGTTCGATGCCGCTCAGGGCTGGATACTGGTAGCTGTCATTGGATGCGTCACTGCCGGTATCGCATACATTGTCGATGTGTCCGAATCTTTCATATTCGATCTGAAGACAGGCTATTGTTCCTACAAGTGGTACTATGGCAAAAGAAGCTGTTGTGAGGGTGCTAGTACCTGCGATCAGTGGACTCGGTGGTCGTTGCATTTGACGCCCGGTACAAAGGAGAATGGCTGGTTCGACTATGCAGCTTTCGTCTTCTGGGTAATAGCTCTGTCTCTAGCAGCCTGCTTGGTAACATTGCAGACAAAAACCGTCGTCAGCTCGGCTGTCAGTCTCTCTACGCTCGATGAGAACCTCGCTGCACACGCTCAACCCACTGCCGAAGCCCGAAAGGACAGTACGGGCAGTCCCACACGTCGCTTTGCTGAAGCTGTCCAGCGTCCTCCTATGGTGTATTACCCGGCTGCTGGAAGTGGTGTGGCTGAGGTCAAGGTCATTCTTAGTGGCTTCATCATTCGAGGATATCTCGGATTGCGAACTCTTGTCATCAAGACTTTTGGCCTGATCCTAAGTGTTGCTTCCGGTCTCTCGATCGGTAAGGAAGGGCCATTTGTCCACGTTGCGACCTGTGTCGGTAACGTCGCATGCCGTATGTTCGAGAAGTATCATGTCAATGACGCCAAAAGACGAGAGATTCTCAGTGCGAGCGCTGCAAGTGGTGTTGCGGTTGCCTTCGGTTCTCCCATCGGAGGTGTTCTCTTCAGCTTGGAGGAAGTCAGCTACTACTTCCCGCCCAAGACTCTGTTCCGAACCTTCTTCTGCTGCATTGTAAGTCATTCGAAAATCTCTCGCATGTACGGAAAGCTAATAGATCCTATCCGAAGGCTGCAGCACTGTCCTTGAAATTCCTGAATCCTTATGGCACTGGCAAGATTGTCCTTTTCGAAGTCCGCTACTTGACAGACTGGCAGTTCTTTGAGATGATCATCTTCATACTTCTGGGTGTCCTGGGTGGTACACTGGGAGCACTTTTCATCAAGGCATCACGTCTCTGGGCAACCACTTTCCGACGTATCCCGAGCATCAAAAAGTACCCAATCCTGGAAGTCTTCTTGGTTGCTTTGGTCACTGGACTCGTCAGCTTCTGGAATAGGTATACCAGGATCCCTGTTTCAGAACTACTGTTTGAGCTGGCTAGCCCGTGCAGTTCTTTCAGCTCCTCTGGTTATGGACTTTGCCCTACTGAAGAGAACATCCCGAACGTTATTGGATATCTTTGCATCGCGTTTGTGATCAAGTCGGCGTTGACGGTGGTGACGTTTGGTATCAAGCTGCCTGCAGGTATTTATGTGCCCTCGATGGTGGTTGGTGGTCTCCTTGGACGCATTGTTGGCCACACAGTGCAATTAATCACCTTGAAGTACCCACAGTTGGAAATATTCGGAAACTGTCCTGCAAACGGCAACCCAGAGTCGTGTGTTGTGCCAGGTGTGTACGCACTTGTTGCAGCCGGAGCGACCATGACGGGTGTCACGAGACTTTCTGTCACTCTCGCAGTCATCTTGTTCGAGCTCACTGGCTCCCTGGAACATGTCCTTCCATTTTCGATTGGCGTTCTGGTATCAAAATGGACAGCCGACGCCCTAGAACCTCTGAGCATTTACGTGAGTAGCCAACCATCACTGATTCGTCACCTAAGCTAACAAATTTGAAACAGGATCTTTTGACTGACATGAACTCGTACCCCTACCTCGACGCAAAGTCTCACCCACCTTTCCTCGGTGACTTGGGCGATATAACTCATGGATCAAATCCCAAACGCCTAATCGACATTTCATCCTCACCCTTTTTACCTGCGCACGAACTGCGCAGCAAACTCGAGTACATGCATATGGCCGGCGAACTTGATGGTGGTCTCCCCATCCTCAAAGACGGCGTCTTGGTCGGCATAATCCCAGGCCCTGATCTCGAATTCGCACTCGACCACCTCCAAGAAGGCGAGCAAGACGCAATGTGCTACTTGGGCCGCCCTGCCTCTCGCGCCTTTCCCCAAGATTCCGTCTCTTCTCCCTCCGAGTCATTGCAGATCCTCGAATCTTCAGATGCAGAGATTGGACGAGGGTTGAGAGATGGTGAGGTGGACTTTTCTAGCTGCGTGGATCCTTCGCCCATGGCGTTGGATATCCGCTCTCCCCTCGAGTTGGTCTTTGAGCTGTTTTCCAAGTTGGGATTAAGATATTTGTGTGTATTGGATGGAGGCAAGTTTGCAGGGCTGGTGCATAAGAAGGCGTTTGTGAGGTATGTCAAGGAATTAGAACATCAGGAGAGAAAAGGAGAGCATTGATGAGAATGGATGAATGAGATGATGGAGGCAGACCGCAGAGAATGTGCATAATCTGCGATTGAAGAGACATGGTCACGCAATCGAACAGTAACGTACAACAAGGGTCTGGTCATACCAGACATGCATGGAGTTTTAACGAATATAGATGTCTTTTTTTCGCTTTCGTTATGCAATCAGACGGTTATGAAACCACACCTAGCGCTGACTGACAAAAGGTGTCGTCAATTCATCACGGACCCCCTCTCGTCTCTACCTCAGCCCTGCTGAAAACCCTGCTCTTTCTGCCACTTGTCTTCCCATCCAGGAAACCAAGGATACTCATCCAAAGTCTTCGCCTCCCACCCCTTCTCCACAACTCCCTTTGCCCTTTGTTCTCTGTCCATCTCTTTTAAAGCAGGAATAACGATATGCTCAGTATGCCACGTACCCTTGTACTCCATCAACTCTTTTTTTACCTTCCTGGAGTACTTTGACCAATAGACCAGGTACATAAGGTTCTGTCGCCAGAGCAGAGACGGGTGTAAACAGACACTTGAAGTTGAAGACTATGCCACCGGAAAGCGGGAGGCGACGTAGGGTTTGCCAATCTACGCGCACGTTACAGCGAGACAGGTCATGGGTTGGGTTTTGGACGTCACGGAGAGCTGCGTGTGGGTCGTTGGGTGGCATGAACAAAGGTTCGTCGATCTCTAGACCCCAGGAACCGCGTTGAATCGGCTTGTCTGTGGGTAATTTCGCGAAGAATCTGCTTTTTGGTTTGATGTTAGCAATATTCTTATTCCAGCCGTGTAGTGGCAAAGGTGCATGGTTGAAGTAAGCTGAGATCTCGACTTACCTATCCATCGAAAACTCCATCTTCTCCTTGTAGTCTGGAATAGGCGCATGTATATCCTTAAGATCTTTGCCAATCTTTGTGCCAACAGTCCACCCCAATGAACTACAAATCACTCCAGCGCGGAAGCTATAGTAACCAGTTTGTGGGTTTCTGAGTACGATAGCGAAGTCTTCTGGTACGTTATTTAGCAACACCTCTAGAGCATCCATTTCTCTGAGGTTTGTTGTAGTGCCGAGGATGTTGTTGTGGAAGAGTAATTGCTGCTTGTTGATGGAAAAGTGTTGTGGATATCTGGCGGCCAGGAACTGAAGAACCATTTCCATAAGTTCTTTGCATGCTATCTCTGAGCCAGGCAGGGATTGAAGGATTTCGGAACCGTGTTTCGAGTAGAGGTCTTGACGCTGTTTTATGCGGGAAGCGTAGGTCTTGTCGAGTTCGAGCCACCAGTCTGGCTCTAATTTCTTATATGCTGTTTGTGAATCTATCAGATGCTGGAGCAGTGGTGATCAGATAAATGTTGTACTTACACATTGTTTGGTGATACTCCCATCTGAAAGGTCGGTATGGTCTGGCCAAAGCAGTTCTGATGTCGAAATTGGTATAAGATGCAGGCAATGGTACACCACTCAAAGTAGCATAATCCGGGAAGTTTCCCAAAGCCTTGACTTCTTCGACAGTAAAGCCAGTAGGAGTTGAGTACTTCCTGTATTGCGGAGCCAAGACGTTGGTATCGTTTGGAAGAGGTTTGCTGGTGTTGTGTGGTAGTTCACTCAAGCCCTTTCCTGATTTTCCACCGACGCTGAAGCGAGTGTCGGTGAGCTCTGCCAGAGCCGGACGCCTGCAAGGCGGAAAAGTGTCCCTGTATTCTTGACCAGCAGGTAGAGTGGGTTTCTCGGATAGTCCTTGTTTTGCTGGAGATGGAGACCTTGGAGGTGCCCATGATAGTTTGCGTTCACTGTCAAGGCCAAGTCTGCTCAGGAGCAAAGCTCTTTGGTTTTCATTTCGAGCAAAGTATAAGACAGTAACGATCGTGAAAGCGATACCAAGGATGTATAGGTAGGTACTCGGCATATTGGTGACGGCCGAGGAGGGGGGAGGGGAGAGGAAGGAGGAAGGAGGTATAGGACGGAATATGGAGACAAATATTATGTAAACACAGAACAGTCACAAGAGCAAGTGCAACAGCTCCAGGGTAGTGAGATGATTATATACGCGACTTGATAAGAAAGGGCAGATTGATAGGATCCGAGAACGGAGAGTTCAGGAAGACTTACAGAAGCTCTGTCGTGTACCGACTTACCTTGCCTGATTTAGCGGCCATGTACGTAGCAAGCCATGGCGATGGGAGCGATTGGAGGACGACTACGATAAGTCAGACGACGATAAGTGGCAGATATCGAGGCAGGACTGCATTTCTGGAAATGGACAAGCAGGGCGGCGCTTGGCATCAGATTTGGCGGGGTGTTTGCAGCGCCAACGAGGGGTCTCAAGACAATCAAGCTCGGGGGACTTTTCGTCTCGACAAAGATAAGAAAATCACAAATTCCTAACTATGAGCGACGCCGATCTTGAACAGGTAAGTAGACACGATGTGATTCTGTCAGGGCTTCTCTGACCTGGCGTGGTAGATTAGGCGTGCGCGCCTGCAAGAGATGCAGCAGCAGCAGGGCCAGTCGGGCGGTCAGGGCGGTCAAGGAGGCGACCAAGAGCAGAAGCAGCAGCGTGAAGGTGAGGATGCTTCTTGAAATTCCTCGTTGATGTCCATGCGACTAACACAATCACGGTACAGCCGAAGCACGCGCAAGCATTCTGTCGCAAATCCTCGAACCAGATGCCGCAGACCGTCTAGGTCGTATCCGCCTCGTCAAGGCATCGCGTGCCGAAGACGTCGAGAACAGACTAATCATGCTGGCACGCAGTGGTCAACTCAGACAAAAGATCTCCGAGGCTCAACTCAAGGACATCCTCGGCGCCATGTCCGAGCAGCAAGAAAAGAAAGAGACTGTCAAGGTGTCCAGAAGAAAGGGAGGTTGGGATGATGACGACCTGGAGGACTTGCTGAACGATGATTGAGGCGCCACGCATTCCTGCTTGCCGTCTCGACAAACGAGTCTTACATTCCGGCGCAGATTCATGCATTTAGCCTGGACCAACCCAACACTGCCAGGCACGCGACCACGAATTATACTGTCGACTGCAGCCAATTGCATACTCACACATGCCATTGTAAAAAGCTGCATCGAGAAAAGCAACTTCTCTTCCACCCCGATCAAATTGGGGTAAAATCTGCAATAACACATACTCTCGAACCAACATTTTTAGCCCCTTGTCTCTTCTCCAACCAGGCCAATCGTAAAACTCAAGTAGACAAGAGCAGGTTGAGGGCGATTTAGGGCGAGGCACACCGTGCTTATCAGCAGAACACAAGATTGAATACTTCAACAAAGGTTGACCGATCCACTATATGCCTTGTTGAAAACTTGTGTCATTCTTATCCTTCAACCTGTTCTTTTCTAGATCTCGATCTCAACTTTTGTGCCACGGCTGAGTTCTGGTATTTTTCAACCATAAATCATTCATTTTGGTGGGGTTTCATACCACACTTGACTTTTTGTCGTATATCTTTGCCGCGTAAATCGACTCTCGCCAAAATCGCCTCTCGCTGTGACATTACCTCGAAACAGAGTAACTTCAACCTCTTGCCTCAGGCACCGAACTTGTAATTGCCGTGTGGCGAGGACTTCATTTCGATCTAGATCTCCGCCATCTAATAAATTTCTGGTTGCCCGGGATCTTGGTTGCTACCCCATGGATTCTATATTAACCCAATCAAAGCCATATTGACCCTCTGGACCACATGCGGCAATGGAAAACAACGTGAAATTTCGACAGTTGAGAAAGAGACCAAAGTAGCATGCACTAGAGACCGACCAAGTCGTAGCTAACGAGACTTTCTTCATTACTATACATTAGAAACCATAACACTCTATCCTCAGACCACATCCAATACTCTACTGGGAGTAGCAGTACTTGTCGAAACAGGCAGTGCAAGCATCAGGCAAAGCAGCACCCGTCTTCTTCATAATCGCACATCCAAGACAAACAGGCCACTGTGCGTCTCCATCTTGTGTAGCAATAGCATTGCCATTAGCAATGATGCCGGCAGTCTGAGCCTCGCTGGTCTGGATGATAACAGTCGGGATGTTGGAAGCGTAGGTGTAGTTGTTGTTAGGTAAATACACAATGGTAGCGGTATCAGGGGTATCGCAGCCAAAGAAGACGGCATGTTTGTTGAGACCTGCAGACAGGAACACATCGAGGGTGGGCACGAAAGGCATGCGAGTGAGGTTTTGAGCTTGGGCTTGCTCGTAGGCGCCAACGATGGCAGTGCCAGAAGGGAATTGGTCGGAAGTGTCTGCGCCATTGTCGGCAGCGATGATGACATCGACATTGCGTTCGGGCTGGATCAAAGGCCAGAAAGGCATGGCTGAATTGCCTTCACCACCATCTGCAAGCTCAATCTCGGTTTGTGCGTTGGTGAGAGTAGAGGCAGGGTACTTGTAGAACGGGTTAGGGTAGGCAGCCCAGAGATCGCGTTCGATGGGGCTGTGGGCGTTGAGGACAATAGCTTCGAGTGTTTGGACCAGCGATTGAGTGTTGTTCACCGCTGCAGGAGCGGTTCCGCAGGACGGTACCAACTGATTGAACAAAGCTGAACTGGTGCCTGCTACATAGCCAATGTTATCGTAATTCTTTACACACTGGCCACTGGTGGTAGGGACACCGTTGGTCAGTTTCGATCCGAGGTAGGCAGTCTGTGTAAAGGCGTTGATGTTGGAGTCCCAAGATCCAAACTCATAGGGGGTCTGTTGAATGAGAGATTAGCTCAAGTCAAGGCCAGCATACTCCAAGAGACATACAAATTCGTATTGGGTTCCGTTGGATAGGGGAACACACTCTCCATCAAAGTTGTTGACACCTCGAGCGGTGATGATGGGAAAGGGCACGGCATGACTGGTGAAGTTGGAAGAAGTGACCACGCTCGAGAAAGTCTTGGTGACATCACCATCAGTCGGGATGTCTTGCGAGTTGGTGCTGAGAAGCTGGTAAGAGAGTAATCTGCCCCAAACATCGATAAGAGTGGGCTGGAAGCCAGCCTTGGCTTTGTCTACAATATCTTTAACCTGATCTAGTGTCAGTCAAAGGTATGCAGGATGATTTCGTATAAAGACCCACGATATCGGCGTATGCAAGAGCGGTCAGGAGGCGTGCAGGTACAAGAAGCGAGTCGGCAAAAGCTTCAGACCAAAGATTGTCTCTCAGGTAGGAAACAGTGGGCCAGTTCAGACCTGTCCAAGAAGTCGAGAACCATGCACCTCCGGAAAGAGATGTCTCATAAGTCAATGCCTGGTAGAGACCACTGGTAGAGAGGTCAGAATCACGGGCATCCAGCCCCTGAATAAGACCGGCACCAGAAAGCAAGGCACGGTAGCCACCGCCGCTCAATACCAGTCCAATGGTGGGCAAGTTCGTGTTGCCGAAAGCAGAGTCGGTCTTTTGCAACCAAGCAGCGAGAGCAGTGTCGGCCTGGGGCTTACGAGCAGCGATGTATGCAGCTTCACCTGAGCCTAGGCTATTGGCAGTGCGGACTAAGGGAGTGCTAGGGCAGCTTGCTGAGACAGGAGCATAGGGAGTAAGAGAACGAGAGTCAATGGCAGCGGCAGAGACATGGCCAGCAATACCCAGTAGAGAAAGTTGCAGCAGAGCAGCGTAGGGGGCCATAACGAAAGAAGGAATGAGATGCGATGAGAGAGAGAGAGAAAGACTGGAGCGAGCAAGAGAGACAACAGCGAGGACCTACCTTTCATACTAACGGACCGGTTCATATATTCTCAGATGAAGCGCAAAGCAAGCACAGACGAGGAATGCATACGAAGGGGATTCATTGGTGGTTAGTGTGTAAGCGAGCAGTCATCGGCAGTGTCTTCGAGAAGAACGGAAGAAGAGGGCTGCTCGGCTATGTTGATCAACGCGTACGCACGTCCTGGGTAAGAAACGTGCATGTTAGATAGATTGACCTGCGGCAAGATCACGAATGCAGGAGTTAGGATGTCGACGAGAACCAATAAGACTCATCAGGCAAGACATGAGAGATTGGCGGAGGGAGCACGGTCGAGAATAGAAGAGGAAATATAGCAGAATCTCGACTCTGGTCTCATCATCGGCGAAGGAAGGTTTGAAACAAAAAAGTCGCGTGGGACGGATACTCGGGCTGCCGGCAAAAGTGGATCATGGTGAACCTTGGGTGCACGCGATGCTCGAAACAACGACCAACGGAACAGAATGAAGAGGATACAGTAGCAAGAGGCATCGAAAAGCAAGTCGAAATGGAAGCAAGATGCACAAACCAAGAAAGCTTTCAGACAATCCGATAGTGAAACAGGTGGTCATCAGCATGATCCGCAAGCCTGGGCAGCGGGCCGACATAATAAATAGAGATACGACCCCACGATTAGCGTCGTCGGGCGGTTGGACAGAAGTGACAAGAAAGCAAGTGCAGTCAAAATGACGGACAAAGCGAGCGAGGGAGGGCGCGATTTAGATCTGGAAAAGGAGTTGTCATGCTCGGTGAGTGACATCTAGGCGAGATTCAGAAGGAACGGGAAGGCCGTCAACAGCGAGGGACTAACGGTTTGTAACAGATCTGCACCGACGTCCTCTACCGGCCACTGACGTTACTCGACTGCCTTCACAGTTTCTGCGGAAGTTGTTTGAAAGAATGGTTCGCATGGCAGTCTTCGTCGAAGAGCCATGTGTACTCATGCCCAGCATGTCGAGCTGTCGTGCGCGACACCAGGCCGAATGCGACCCTCAGCACCCTGCTTGATATGTTTCTGCAGGCTCATCCTGACAAAGGGAAGACCGCTCAGGAGAAACTGGACATGGATAAGACGTACAAGCCTGGAGACGATGTTATACCACCAGTAGACCTGGGACAGGTATCAGACGACGACGAAGATGAGGAGGAACAACAGATGCTGGCTCAGGCGCGCGAACTGAGTCTCAACGACGTGGGTCTTGGGAACCGCTCAACTCCTGCAGAACATCAGAGGCATACACGCCAGAATCGCCGTCGCGACGACTCGCCACGATCAGCCCAAGTCGACGCTCTGTCGCATCAGTCCAGTATACGCTCGCTTCTGAGCCAGTCAGATATGGACTTGGGTGACATGGAAGATGAGATTATGCGTCATATCATTGATCATGGCCTTCTGGATGGTGTCGATCTCAACAATCTGACTCCAGACCAAGAAGACGCCATCACTGACTCCATCGCACGAGCATATCGTTCTCGCCGCCGTCAAGATCGCCGTGATCGTCATCATGATCGTGACCGCTCTGCTGCTCGTCCCTCTCCACGAACATCTACTCATCGTCATTCTCCTCACTCCTCATCACACAGGCAATCTCCTTCAGCCTCAGCCCATCGGTATTCTCCTTCAGACACATCCTATAGACATTCTCCTTCAAATACATCCCATCGTCGGACTACTTCAACTACCACGACACTTAGCCAGCATGCCTTGGCCTCTGTCGAGAGTCAACTCTCACCAGCCAGACGCCGTGCTGCTTCAGCCCATACCTCTCGTCGAATCGATACACCAGCCGATCGGCACCGCCATCTAGCCCCTGATTCGCCTTCACGGCCTTTGAATCATAGCTCGCCTGCTCTTCCCGTCCTCCCTCAAGAACAGCAGGTGACGGATGTTCCTGCTCCTTCTATCATTTGTTCGAGATGCGAGAAACCTGATATACAATACTCGCTATATTACAATTGTGACAAGTGCTCCAATGGCAACTTCAATCTGTGTCTTGGGTGTTACCGCGCAGGGAAAGGCTGTTTGAATTGGTATGGGTTTGGTCGTGCCGCTTTAACTCGCTACCTTACTCAGGCAGCCTTTAATTCTGACCACCCAGATCACGACCCACCTCATGTCTTGTCTGCTAGACGATACGATCAAAACACTGCACGCCTAGAGTCAGGCCTGTTTTGTGATGGATGTCAAGCATTTGCGAATACGTGTTACTGGCATTGCTATACATGCAACGATGGAGCATGGGGTTTTTGCAATGCCTGTATCCAACAAGGCCGACATTGTATTCATCCACTAACCTCTGTAGCGCATGTCACGCATGTGTCAACTTCTTCACAACGACACTCGCCGTCCGAGCTATACCCATCGCCTCTGACACCGACTAGCTCTGCCTTTCACTTTAACGTCCCTTCAGCGTCTATACCTCTGCTTCCACACGTGCCGGATCCATCTTCCTACACTCCGATACCCCTATCTTCCTACTGCGATGTGTGTCACTATTCTATCCCTCCTTCGCACGCTCGTTTTCATTGCAACACATGCAATAAAGGTAACTACGACATTTGCAACTCCTGCTACCACTCGCTCGTCAACACGGGCAAGATAGCCCGAGAGAATGGACCTGCGGGCTGGCGACGCTGCCTACGTTCACATCGCATGAGTATCGTCGGATACGAAGACAGAGAAGGCGGATCTCATCGCGTGGTAGTCAAAGAAATGGTCGGCGGGTGGGCTCTCAAGGACGACATGACCACCAGGGCCACAGCCACAGGTTCATCCCCACAGCGCCAGCACCAAGACCACTGGCGCTGGAAAGAAGACGACGGCACTGCCAAAACCGTAGCGTCCTCAGCGAACCTATTCGTTTCTTCACCACATGCATTCCCACCTTCTGGGGGCATAGGACTCAAAGTTCAAGCTTTGTGGTCTTACTTCCCCAGCGATGAGGTACAAGATGAACTCCGTTTCCCGCGCAATGCGATAATTACCGAGGTGGAGGATATCAACGGGGACTGGTTCTGGGGGGTATATTGTGGAGGCAAAGGACTGTTTCCGGGGAATTACGTTAGGGTCGTATGATCTACGAAAAGAGAATGGAGGAGTTGTTGTGGTGGTTTTTCTCTTCGCAGGCAGTGTACCGCCAGGGCAACAACGGCACTGCATGGTATGGAAGGAAGGAGCGTGGATGGTGCAAAGTATGGGGTGCAGTAATCTTGGATGCATCCCCCGGAGTGTGTACCGTTGTTGCATGAGGAACAACAGCATCGACATTACATGCATCTATAGGAAACATATCGTCGTTGCATGGAGCACGGAGAAGCGGCATCGTTGTTGCATGCAGAAGCGAAGCAAGGTCGTTGTTGCAAACATGAGAAAGCAATATCGTTATTAATCGCAGATTGGCCGTTTTGTCTTTCTGACAATGCATAGATGCATGCACGATGGACGATCTACTAATGAGACACATGACCGCTTTTTGACTCTGCATGTTTGCACGATCCCTCTGGACTCACCATGATGTGTCTAAGGGCAACTCTAGATACCCTCTTTTAGCTAATAAAGTCGTAAATGTGACTTTTACTTGGTAATGTACAATGATATACAGAAGAGCACGACATACCTGATGTCTTGTATGTGCCTCATAGCCTCCAATCGTAGTAATATGTACCAACCCGTATAAGTGTCAACCAAGACCCCAGGTGGCAGCAGGCCCTCTGCCTTCTGCGCTTGTTCGCGCCTTAGTTTTTTCGGTCTCGTGTGCGTCTTCTCTTCTTTCTACCGCTGGCATGCTGCTTCTCTTGATCAAGGAGCCTTTGTCTTTAGCTGGACACCATGCCATCCCTTAATCTCGTCCTTGAGCACAGCATTGACCAAACGATGCTGCTTAATCACCGACATGCCCTTGAACTTTGCAGACACAATGTCCAATGCGTACATGCTTCCACATCCTCCACTGACATCTTGGACCTGTTGTTGCCACATAATCAATGTCTGTTGCTCTTCTTTGCACTAGCCTTCTCCTTTAGAGACAGCGGGCGAACTGTTTCTCATACCTCTAACTTTGTAGGTGACAACTCTGCGGCGAGCTTTTGGAAGATGTGGAGTTCTTTTTCGTCTAGGTAGTCCGGGGCTTCGACTGCGGAAGGAGCCTCGGCTGCTGCATCTGAGGAGGTGGAGCGGCGTGTAGGTGTGGTTGTGAAGGTTGCGGACAGTGTGCTGCGTGTGAGGGGTGTGAGGGGTGTGCGAGAAGAAGAGGAAATGTGATGCAACTGTCGCGCTGCGGGAGCTGCTGAGGCCAATGTGCGGGACGAGGTTCTGAGTGCGGCGAGAGCGATAGACGCGCTGCGGAGGACTGTTCTGGATGGTGCCATTGCCGGAGTGTGTGGTTGCTGTACAGATGGAACGGAAACTCAAAGGTTTGATGGTTGCGGCGAAGACGTCAAGGGCGCGGTCACGAATTCCTGCTCAGAGCCATTGGTCAGCTTGACCTTGACATCCCCGCACCATCACCAACTTCCTTCCCTTCACGCGTCGCGTCTCCACTCGATCAATTTTTTGTATAGCGGTCTGACATTTCAACGCATCAAAGCAATGGACCAATATCTTATTCACTTGACTGCTCCTACGGGAAACACAGAGGAGCACATCACTATGACTCCCTCGCAACCTACCCAACTGGCAGGCACCAAGCGCAAATCCACTGATGCCTCTGATCTGCCAACCATCAACCTTGATGACTATGACATTCCCGATGGTCAGCCAATGGACTCCTGCACCGTAGTCCGTGGTAAGATCAACCGCTTCCTTGAGGCTGGTGAGATGAAAGTCGGCCAGTTCTGCGATGCCATTGGTGTCTCGCAGAATGCTTATAGAAGATTCATGTCTGAGAATGGCAAGTTCGGTGGTGCTGGCTGTGATACTTATCAAAATGCTTGGTTGTTCTTCAAGAAGAGGGAGATGGCTGGTTTGAAAATTCCTACCAAAAAGCAAAAGACTGCTGCAAATGCTGCCACATCTTCTGCTGCATCCTCATCTGGAAAAAAGGACGCTGTGACTATTGATACAACTAACATTCATCTTGATGGTAATCACAAGGCTCGTGTCCGTATGTTTCATGATCTGGGATCAGCTGACGAGACAATGCAAACCAACAGGAGAAGAAACCGACTCAGTCAAAGTTTACGATAGCTGCGACGAGATACGCAAAAAGATAGCTGCTCACCTACGCAAACCTGGAGTAACAGCAGCACAGTTCTGCCGCGACCTGCTCGCCCAATATCACGGCGACAAAAAACCCCCTCAAATTCAATCTGGCCAACTGACAAAGTTCCGCGGTTACAAAGGCGCTGATACTGGAAACACTTCTTGTGTTTTCTATGCCGCCTATGTTTTCTTCGAGAAGATGAGGTTGGCAGAGGGTAAGCCGAAAAGCAAACACAGATTGGAAATGGAGAAGATCTGGAGTCCGAAAGGATTCAATATTGAGCGAGGCCATCATAGAGGGTACGTTGCAATCTTTACTTTTGTTTCTTCGTCGGTGTGCATGGGTTGTTAAAGGCTGGTGGACTGACTGAGATGTCAGATATCTCTGTATGGGCAATGACAGACCTGTACAAGATCAGTACGGTCGAGTTACGATTGTACGAGGCTCTTGAGTATCTTGAAAACAGATTTCGCAATGCCGTAGTCAACGAGTCTAGGCTTAGTGGCTGCCGACAATTGTTTTTGGGCGGAATGTCTGATGAAAACAATCATTTTCATTGGTTTGTGGTTCTACTTGTGTAGAAAGGCAGCTGTCATCAAGACTCACTCACTATATTCCTTCTAAGCGCTTTCCCGAAAGATGTTTCTTCATTTCAGTTTAAACTACCTCGTCTCTTCACCGGTGCGTCAAGAGCATCTCCGCGGGTTCTTCAAGGCGTTCAAGGCAACACAAGGGGCAACCCAGCCTCACACAAACCGATCGCAAGAATTGGCTCTACCTACCCTTTCGTGTACTGCTGGACACACAACCAGAGATCAATCAAGGAGACACCACAACAACTCGTTAACACGTGGCTTATGGAGCGGTCGCATCGTCTCACCACTTGCTTGGATAGCAGCATCCATCTTGTTCGTTTCCAGAATTGGTATCATGCCACACGACGTCGCCTTATCGCCTTCGAAGAGATGCCACAGCTATCCCCAGACTTCCCCTCATTGATCACGCCAGCCATGGTCGTATAGTACGTGCTCATACATGCATGTAATCTGGGGCACGTCAGAAACGGACATACATCCCTTGGCGCATACTTTGCATTTGAAGGAGGTGATTTGAGGGGCAAGCAAAAAGAGGGCCCTATCATGTCACATCTGCATGCTCATGTTTATGCAGGGCTCAGAAGAGCATATATGCAACATGTAATATGCTGAGCTCACGAGAGATTGCACGTCGCTCGGCGCGTGTTGTTACAGTCACTCACAGCACCCTAGCTAAGAAGTGTTGTGGAACTTGCATATAAGCAATACTGCACACATGCATGCATGCAATCACTCCAGAAACAGCATGCCACCTCATCTCGAAGCGAGCAAGTCACTCGATGAAACCACTGCCCTCTCTCAGAGGCATGTAGAATATTTGGAATGGCATCGTGAAGCAGTATTTGCAACTTCGCGCAGGAAGTAAAGTGAAAATGCGTTTTCGATCAATCACATGTTCTAAGACAATGATTCTTGATAAGTCTTGGTGCATGTTTTAGCTATTGAACAGTCGTTCCCGTTCGTCTTGCACATGCAAAATGTTCTCGACCTTTCAGAGGTGGGACTTTGCGTGTGAGCAGTTGGATTCCGCAGACCTATGATCCTTCGCGCAGCCCTAAAAGCAACAGTTGTGGTGGAGCTGTGGACGAGACCTAAGGTCCTGAACTAGCGCTGAGATCTACCTTTGCCAGAAACTCTATCTCTTCTATTGGTCAACAGTCACTCAGATGGAAATGGTATCTAGGTGGAGCAATGACAAGTTGGCAACGCTCCTTCCCGCTGAACTCTTCTCAGGTCACGTTGTTCTAGTTCTTCGTGATCCGGTTTTCAGCCACAGCGAAGAACGATCGACACTCAACCTACTTGTCACGAGAAGGAAAAAACAAGAGATGTACGAAATATCGTTTTGCAGATCTCCGTAGAGCGAACGTCTAATCATATGGCGTGGCGCAATTCTTGTCGTCTGTGATGAGCGCTCAGACAACTTCAAAAGCGGGCAAGGTTTGTCGCTAACGTGTCGAGATAGACAGGGGGTGGATGGGGACTACCATGTACACATGCCACTCCATCTAGAGCCTCTCATAGGTACATTTCTTGTCTACTTTCGACCTGCTCTCGCCGTACACGAGAAACTGATGCTAAGAGCTGTGCCGTAAGTACATAGATATAGTTCACCGCCCTTTCTGTCAATGCTTTCTTTTCGCTTGTTACATGTTCATGTACCCCAGCTCTTGTGTGAGTCGTGAGAGTTTTTGGCTGTTGCATGGAAGGAACGGAGACACATGTACAGGTGTAACTGCGGGTGAGGGAAAGCGCAAGGCAGGCATAATAAAGCTGAGGTAGTTACACCCGATTGCGCAGCGCCTGGGCCTCGCTTGCTCTGTGCCGTCGCCGCTTCAGGCTGCAAAACGAGGTAAGTGACTGTTGTGTGCTGTTGTCCTTTTGATGGGTTTAGAGGTCCCGAGTTTGGTGTACGGATGCATGCAATCATACGTGGCTTTTGTCGCTATAACTTACCACACTGTTGATCTAAAACAGCCTTTTGATAGCCATGTTTGCCGGAGACCGTGGTTGGAGGACTTGGTCCGCGGATATAGGAGGGATAGCCACACCTCAGTACCTCTTTGGGAAGTCGCAAGCTGATGCGGCTGGCCAGTAGCAGAGATGTATGATATCTTGGACTGTACGGCGTACGATGGTCAAACTCAAGATACTGCAAAGGTCAAGGAGTTTCCTCTCCTTTCGAGTTATGGCACTGATGTGCTGTGGCTGAAGGCGTACATAACAGTAATGCACGTTGATCAGGGTCTCTACCTTTGGACAGTGTACCTCAGATCTCAGCCGCGAATTACTCAGGAGAAGGGGTTCGGTCTTCGAAGGATCATCTCAGATGCGGAGAACACTCCTCTCTGTGTTTCTCCTCCTCCAGAACTCCTCTGCCCCAACGAACTCCGCGCACAAAGCACGAGACATGTTGTTGATCGACGTCGGGGTCTCCGCGTCCCCATCACTCCACCCTGTCTTTGCAATCGGACCGAAGGTGTCGTATATGTCACAATTGTGCGAAAGCAGCGCCGAAGTGTGGATACCATTTTAACCCACAAAATCCTCCGGACCATTCTTGAAAGTCGGACGTTGAGATATCGAGAGTAGAAGGCAGGGTACAGACTTTGGTGGTTTCAACGAGATTGCTCTCATGTGTGCGACCAATAAACATGTGCGGGTAGAGGTGTGGTCTGCTTGAGTTTCTCCACGGATGTCATGACTCTCTAGCCGACGATTCGACTTGCAAGAGGGTTTTTGGTTGACGCGCACAAGAATAGAAAATGGATAGGCAATCCGTGGAGAATTGCCCGAGTTCGGAAGGCCCTTTGGGGTACTTTTCACGATGTACCTTGCGGAGAAGGGTACATCTCTCGAAGAGTGCGGGGCGTCTGCCCGTGCGACAAGCAAAACTTCTCGAGTTTCTAAATCTGCTGTGTCTGGCGCGTGTGCGTGCGTTTGTGCTGAGTTGGCCTGTTCGAACATACAGTGACTTTGCTCTCGCTTCCCCGGGCAAACAGACCTAGATATCGTTATATCCATATGGTATCGGAGAAATTGAAACAAGCCCTCAAAACCCAATTTTCACAGAGCAGTGGGAGCGAGGACGAGGTAGAATGTTAGGTGAATTCCACTCGTATGCCGTGCAATGCTCTCACAATCAGAGTGCTTTGATGTGTTTTCCCTGCCTGTAAGACGTGGTGTGATTGCTGCTGCCAAGGTCATGAATGTCGTCTAGCATTGAGTTGTTGAGTTGGGTGATCTCGCCGTCCAGAACTTCTTGTTGTAGCAGAAATCTGCACTCGAGATCCATGTGTATTGCTACATATCAAAGATGTGCATGGGTCGGACCTGCACTGTCGACGGTTACCCCTCCAAGTCCTGCTGCATCCACAAGCCAACGGTCTTCCCGCTCCGAAGGGTACCCATGTACACTGGAAAAACACTGCTTGCGCATGATGAGCCGCGAATCATTGCTCCCAATCAAGAAATGAGTTTGTGTATTTCCAATGGTCGGGATATGGATCCGTTGCTGTGTCAATGGGCATGTCTTAACCCAAAGTAGACAACAGCAAAGGAAGCAAAGAGGCTGGTGGCTAGCAGAGCCTCAGACATGCCACAGCAACATTCTGATTGACAACGACATTTTCATGCATAATGGTTTCTGTTGCGTCGGTTGTAAATGCAGCGCAAGCGTTGTTGAGATATTGTATGGTGTTGAGCACGGATATTTCGTGGCGGGTAAAGTGAGAACCGCCTCCAGTCTCACCAACGTCTTGTTGAACCTCTTGAGAACCTCTACAAAAATTGGCGTGGCTTTTTGATGCGCGTTGTGTAGAGAAGTTGTTGAAAAGAACGCCTGGTGAGCCGCCAGTTATTGGACGTCAGAGGCGTGCGTGGCGCGCGTGTGCTTCGCGCTAATCTTGACCAACCATTTAATTAAATCGGTCGGGGCCGCAAGCCGTGATTGTTGAAAGTGCTGAATTATCTGTGCCGAACGGAGGCGTTATTGTGCAGTCCGCAAAGGTCGAACGTCAGGATGTTTTTACGTCAAAGACAGCTGGTGCCGATAGCGAGCTGTCAGCAATATGTGTAAGTTGTACCGACCGGTCAAGGCAACCTTTTGAAAGTTGACAGGATCCTTGTGCCTCATCAGGCGGTATCAGACTGGTTGCGCTTGTAAGATAGTGGGACGCGGAAAGCGTTCGGAGTAGGGATTTTTGTCGAAGCTGTTGAGGCTCTTAGCAATAGGATGAAGGGTGCTATAAGCGTCGTGGAAATTTAGGCAAGTTTGCGATTGATGTGCCTCGTGTTTAATCAATCGCGAGTGCTTGGAAAGACTGCTTACACTATCATTTTGCGCTTTGACCATGAGCTGTGCTGTCCTGTAGCTAGTTATCGCTTCTTTCTACACTACGGCCCCGCTGCTTGTCGACGCATGTACCATTAGGGTCTGGGGAACTTGAGATAAAAACTCGAGCAGTATGTCATTGCCTCGTGCTCATGAACGGACCATAGTCGACTGAGTACTAGTGTTTGAATAAATCCGTCAAGTGTAATTGCGAAGCGCAGTGGTATGGAGAGAAATCGTCGCTGCACGGTGGCTGCTACCTACTCGTAGAGGTGACCGATTTCGCAGAGCGTAGTACAAGGTGACAAGAGTGTATGATATGTATAAGAAATCCTTCTGGCTTTGCGCGGCGGTGAGAACGTCTTTCTATTTCACAGCAGTGATGTGCGACAGGATGTCGCTACTCGATACAAAAGAAAGAGCCCTCAATATCATGAAACGGGTAATGACGCTGGCCTCAGCTATTCGTGCCGCTGGGTGGAGATGGCCGTTTTTGAGCCTCCTGTTTAGCACCGCTCAGGAGCCAGTGTCCTGCAATATGGGTCTGCCCAAGCTATCCATAGCACGACAGCGTCATTGCTAACAGACAAATTCACGCACTGATGCCGGCGAACAAAATCGTGCACGCGACGCGGTGGACCTGCTGACGATCTCTTCACCTCAACAGAGAGAGATATTGCAGGCAGAACTTTACCATCGTGATTCGTACTCGGAGTAGATTGCGATCGAAGATAGAGTCGATGCGATCGCAGCAGTACACGTACTTAACTCGTCAGCTTTACCTCACGATATAATCTTGTTTAGGTTGCCTGTCACTACCACACGAATCAGGGATAAGTGTGATGCTGCTGCGGAGGTGAAATATGTCCAATTTCTGGGCACAGCGGAGATGTGTGGGCATGAAGGAGAACAAGGACTGGTTTTTTGCTAACTGGGTCAGACACGCGCCAGCAAACAGTCTTGACCGATTTGCCGGCCCGAGCTTAGCCGCTTGCGCACAAGTCAAGAGTCAAAAAACATCAAAGAGGAACATGGACGTTTGGGGATGGTCTGGAGAAAGTCTGTCGGGCCCCGGGCCAGCACAACTACTGATTCTCCAGAGAAACCGCGACTGCGTGCCAGAGATAGGGAAGGTCGTTGCAATCGCGAATCCACGAAAGCGTGAGTTTTGCACAACGTACTCGAGAAATGAGGTGTTATCCAGAAGTGGTGTCACTGTCAGCAGATATGTACGAGGCATGTCGGAGTCAGCATCGCAACGGAGACAGCATGACAACGACACAGGCATCCTCGAGGACACGGACGCAGTCTGTCACTAGCCACAAGACACTTGCGCGCTTGTGGCTAGACCTCCCGTGGCCATACCACAGGAGACGTGATGAGCGTTCGGAAACGGCCACGACCGCGCAGACCTGAAGCCTGATGCTCGCTGAGATCGACAAATCGTCAACATCATCGGCTTGTGTTTTGGATTTTGATGCTGAATTCAGATGTCTCTTGCGTCGCGCAAAAAAAAGGTGGAGAACAGCAGTAAAAAATGAGGCAGCCAAGTGATCGGATACGGCACACATCTCTCCTGACACTCAAGATTTGTCGAGTGCATTAGTCCTGGCTGCGCAACCGCTGGGCATATCGAGTGGAGTGGCATGGTACAGAGACAAGATACCTCCAGTAGCACCAAGCCTGCGCGTAACATGTGGCCGAGTATTTTGTCTGTGCCTGAACCAGCAGCGGCGCCAGGGCGGACCTTTGTTTCTGTTGTATTGTCCGGGGCCCGGGCTGCCCCCTCGATTAGGAGTGGTGTCTGCTGTTGCCGTTGTGCCCGTCGCCGGCCAGCCCAGAACAGCAAGCTGCTGCAAGTCGCTGCTCACTACGATCCCCAACGCGCTGCAGGCGGAACGCTGGCAGAGCCAATCCTCGCTTGTCAAACCTTGTCCCGGCTCCCTGTTCCTGGTCGTGCATGGGGTTTGAAGCCACACTTGAATCCTGCCGCATCCGTGATTCGCGCCCGCACCCGCTTCAACCCTTCAACGACGCTCAACCAACCGCACCACCAGTTAACTGCCCACACTTCCCCAATCGACCTGGAGCCTGGGTTCCTTGCTTTTTATCACTGCCTGTTCCCGCACCTCGATTTTTCTTCCTCCCGGGCTGTGTCTTGACCATCTGTTGTTTGCTCGACTTTGCTGCGTTTTGTTGCGTCTCGGGCTTTTCCTTTTATCAATCGTCATAGCATCAGCATCATCATTCCAGCCGATCCGGTTTGGGAAGTGACGACGCCCTCTAGGTTGGAACATACCAAGAAGCCGCAACTCCCGCTTTCGGTTGCAACGAGGAACTGCTGTGCCTTTCCTCAATCATCAGGAAATACCATCTAATATTTTCTGTCGACGGTGCGGCTTTCACTAGCTGATATCGCAATACCATCACCAACCCTATACACTTACCTACTCTTCCCTCTCACCAGCCTCATCGATATCCATCCGTAAGTATCCGGCAAACAAGTCAGGGCGTATTCTCCGCACGTGCAGGATCTGACTAGCAACCGCAGTGTTGCGCAGCCCTTCTGATGCTTGCCGGCCTTTGAAGTCCACCTTTCTCTCTCCCTCTGGCATCTCGACACAATACAGGAATGCCTTATACACCGCCCTCTCACCAATCACCCGCCTCGTCTAAGACGACGAGCCCGGCTATGAGCCGCTCATCATCATTCAGTGCAGAGAGCTCAGGAACACGATCTCCCGCCTCACCAAGACCTGCACTTCCTCGTTCAGTATCATCGACAACCTACCTGAACAAGCAACGACGAGGTCCTTCAATCTCTCAACAAGAGCCAGCTGGTCTGCCGCAATCACCTGTTGGCGACGACGAGTCTAGCACTGTCCGTCACATCGAGGGTGTCATCTCTAACAACGGTAGCATCCGCCAGTCACCTTCTCCTGTGAACAATCTGTTGATTCCGACAGGTGCCATCTTGTCACCCCCAGACTCGTCTGAAAATTCCGATGGCGAAGACGGTGCCGACACACCAAGGGGACGTAACGGTTTTTCTCACAACTGGGGTGAACTAGAACAGGCCGTGCGGTCCATCGAGCTTAAGCGGGAAGGATCACCTGCAAGGGGTGGTGTCTCTTTCTCAGAACCTACCACCACCATTCACTCACCCACAGCACTGAGCGCCACAGCACGCAAGATCTCTCACTCGAGGTCATCCACGGAAACAGCAATCATCATCCCTGACCGTATCGTTACTGAGTCACCGTCAGAGGAAAGTGACGATGATGACGAATTGCGTGTCAAGCCTCCGCTTGTAAGAAAGAAGTCTGGCGAACTGGTCAAGCCTGCTCTTAGACCGTCTTCAAGACGCAGATACTCAAGCATGCCTGGCACCCCTACTTACTCCAAGTCGGTCCACTTCAATGACAACGGTAACCAAACCAGACACTTCCTGCAGGTCGAGAAGCCGTCTGCTATCAGTGCCGGCTCCTCGCCCGTCGACACGTACGATGAGGAGAATGAGTACCCTTTCGAAGGCAGGGACAACTCCAACAAGACTGAGTGGAACCTCAGGCTAGCAAACTTTCCCGAGGATACCCATGAGCGTAAGCATCAACCCGTCCGTGTCGAGAAGGTCTACCTTTCAACCGACACCAAGACACTGATCGGCACTGTCGCTGTGGCAAACATCTCATTCCAAAAGCATGTCGCTGCTCGCTTTACTCTTGACTACTGGAAGACGACCTCTGAGGTAATGGCCGAGTATGACAACGATGTCCGCAAGCAGAACCCTCACGACGGTTATGACCGCTTTACATTCAACATTCGCCTCTCTGATCAAGCGAACCTGGAGAACAAGACACTGCTATTGTGTATTCGTTACAACTCTGGAGGCCAGGAACATTGGGACAGCAACAACGGCATGAACTACCAAATCGACTTTGTCAAGAAGTTGGCAAAGTCAGCTTCGACAAGCTCTCTGTCCTCTCTTCCTTCTTCAAGACCTTCACGCAACACCATTCCCCGTAGCAGACACTCACCTCCTGCAACGTCAATGCGTCAGGAGCGTAGCCTCTTTGGTGACGAAGACTTGCTTTCCAAGAGCTCGACTTACCACTTCGGTTCCCCGGAAAAGCTCACTGGTGACCATGCTGCCCAGCCTCAAGTCAAGCTGAAGCCTCGCTCCAAGAGAGTGGATCTTACTCGTGCTGGCTCTGCCCCTGCCAATGGTCTCGGTGGGAGATACGACTTCGGAGCATCGCTTAGTGCCGCCTTGTCGAATGCTCAGGATAAGCTCGGAAAGCAAAGTGGATTACTTCCTCACACCCAGTCTTCTTCCCAGTCTCAGGGGCACTACTTCTCACCCAGGGTTGCCAGTGAGGTCAAACCTGTGGTCCCGGAGCGACCAGACGCTATAACCACCGATAGACCCGCCATCGGATCCCAGCAATACAAAGACCTCGTGAACAAGTTCTGCTACGTAGGTTCCAACAAGACTTCCACCAAGGCCTAATCCCCATGGTGCTAATTATCACATCAGTTCACTCCTGGATCTTCGGGCAAATCATCACCTTCGCCTCAAAGCAGTTCCGGATCGAAGCCTAGCAGCACCGACGGCTCTGGTGACGGTGCATCGCCGAACGAGTACAGCCCCCAATCTGGGTCTGTTACTCCTACGCCACCTCAAAGCTTGTCGCCTTTCCTCGACGGTGCAAACGACGGATTGACTAGCTGCAACGATATCAGCAAGTTGATCTCCCGGTCGGGCTCACCTGCATCGATCAGCAACAGCAACAATTATGTTGCACGAGCTTACAGCTACCCCTACGCAAGGGACGGATATCTTTCGGAATCACATACCCCGACCGCCATCCGTGGCTGAACGCTAAAATTGATCTATGAGACGCGTTCTTGCAGCACGACTGGGGTCAGCACCTGTCTCCTCAGATGCTGCAATGCGACGAACACGATCAACCTTATATGAACCTGGGCAACCCCCTGGTCTGATATGGCTTTTCGACAATTTCCTTTCTTCTTTTTTTTTTCTTTTCCTTGGTCTATCAAAGCGATTCGGCATTGATCATTTCATCTTGCAAGGCGTTCCGGATTCTCCATGAATTGTCTCGTGGTGTATAGATGGCTCTCGAAACAATGATCGACAGACACTTGTGTTTTGACCGTCGTCAAACTTGGGCCTGTTTTCGAGCGCGATACCTTTTTCTGAAAAGTCGTTTTCGTTTTTTCTTTTCGCCTTTGCTATTTTACATTTTCCTTTCTTCATTCTATTCCCTTTCTCTTTGTATTTGCTTACTTTTTCCTTTCTCACTCATCGACGAACATTGGGAGGCAGGTTGCTGTGCATGTATGTACAGGGCATTATTTGCATCGACTCTCGACTCCGGTTGCGAGTTAATTCGAAGTTATGGCAACAAGGATGGTGAATTTTTGGTGGCTGGTATGGGATTTCGTGGGTCTTATCACGACAAGACGTGCATGGCATGGATGTATCATGTTCTCACGCTGGGTTCTGGATGGGCGGAGGACGTGTTTCCTTTAAGTGATCGTCACGAATCAATACTTAGGAGGATGAATCACGGACTGAAGGCAACAGCAGAAATTCAATACTTCTATTACTCTTATCATTCACTTTCTCCCTCTTCGTGACTGCCTATCTTGTTGGAGGATTTTGACATGCGCACGAGCAATGATCTGGCTTGTGCACGCCATGGCACTCTTACCTCTTTCCTCCTTCTCGACATGGCACTCAAGCAAGAGACATCACAACCCACCATTATCATGTCTTCATCTTCGGCCCCAGAGGGACTGGTCATTGATCAGACAACCATACTATCGCTTCTGTCCACTTTGGCGATTCTGGCTGCGGCCTACCTGACATCTCTCTATACACTGCCTAGCACCGCGAGCATCAAAACCCGCTTTCTCTTCATCTGGCACGCCTTCGACGCACTGATTCATTTCATCCTCGAGGGCACATTTCTCTACAACTGCTTCTTCTCTTTTGGTTCCACTCTGCTCACCGAGCCTCTACTCCCTGCCAATGTCTACTTCTTAGGTCGTGCGGGCAGAAACTACGGCGCTGCGTATGGAGAACATTGGCACAGTGCGCTTTGGCGCGAGTATGCCAAAGCTGATAGAAGGTGGGCGGGGACTGATCTTACTGTTGTGAGTTTGGAGCTCTTAACGGTGTTTGTGGGTGGACCATTGGCTTGTTGGATCTGTTCTCGGTTGGTCAAAGAGAAGTGGGGAAGTGCGTGGTTCTGGATGTGTGTGCTTGCTACTGGAGAGCTCTATGGCGGTAAGTGTCTTGTTCTCACCCTCACGCTTTCACGTTCTGGTGGCTTTTGGTCAGGGTCGCTTTCGCGGACTACAACAACTTTTGCACACTTGACGCTCAATTATTGTACTGATCATTCTGCTCGCTCAGGATTCATGACTTTCGTGCCCGAATGGCTCAGCGGCTCGCCTAATCTAATCACATCGAACTGGATGTACAAGTAAGTTTGCTCGTTTTCGCTTTCGATAATGCCCTCTGTACTCGCAATGCATTTGCTACCCCTCACTCTACCAAAAGACATGGGAATTTCTGGTCCCCAGATCGCGCAACTTTCGCGCCTCCGCGGCCACCAAACTTTCCCATCGAAGATGTGGCTGTCTATGAGCAGGCATGCTGTGGTCACAAGACTTGCTCTACTTCCTTCTCTATTCTTAGTTCTCCACAGTTCCCCTCCCTTGACTATCGAAGTAGCCGAGGAAATTATACCGAGGGCTGGATATCGACAAGCTAATGCAAAACACAGATGGGTATACCTTTTCTTCTTCAATACCATTTGGGTTTGGATTCCCCTATGGATCCTCTACCAAGGCTACGGAGTCTTCACATCTGCTCTGAACACTACAGCTTCTAAGCAAAAGAAGAGATGACGCATCGAAGTCGAAACGCTTAGAAGCTTCCTGACTCGAAGATCAGAGATCCTGGAATACAGTTTCGACGTGTGCGTCGGAAAACATAACTGGCTCTGCCTGTCTACTGTACTGTTTCAAAGCCACTTGTGCAAAGGTCAAAGGCAAAAGCCTCAGCGAAGAACGGAAAAAGGTCTCAGGTGATCAGACAATTGAGTTAGTGGATAGCAGCGGAAGAATGCATCTTTCCAACCGTTACAAAAAAACAACGGGTTTAGGGACTATTAGACAAACCATCTAACGGGCGAACCACCCCGATCGTCTGAATCAAACATGGCTTCTAGAAAGAGAAGAAGAACTCAAGACAGACATCGCATGCTATGTCACAACTTACCCATAGCAGAGATCCACTCTTCGAAGATCCGGTGCAATCCTTGGGTGTCCCCTTCGTATGTCTCCTTGAGCTCCTCGTCGACAAACTGCACATTGCAGTTTCCACCAAAATCAATGACCCAGGCATCGTTGTTCGCATCAATGAAAATGTTGTGGACATTGACGTCGCCCCAGACGACCTTGTGCCGGTGTAACTCCTTCACAGTAGCCTCTACTTGCTCCTGCCAGAGCTTGTGAAAGCTGAGATTTGACAGCTCAGGATGTTCTGCTAGCGGCCACCCCTCTAACCATTCGAACAACATCCCGGCCACGAGTCTGTTGTCGAGGAGGACCAGCCCTTTGAATGGTGACACCTTGAGCGTTCTATCTAATCCAAACCTCGTTATTTCACCAAGCACAGATACCTCGCGATCAAATTCAGGAACCATGAGATCCAAGCGAGGCTTGAAGAAAAACTTGGTTCCCTTGGTGGTATGCACTTGCCGCATTGGACCAGCTTTGATGGCTTTTCTGGTGACAAACAACTCGCTCGCTTGGATTGTCTGTACCGCAGGGCTCAGTCTCAAGTCTTGTTTCGGCACTGGAGCTGCGTCCCAACAGTAGCTGTTTGTGATATGATCATTGGCTAGTGCGGCCCTAGATGTATCCCAAGGATAATTGCTCGAAACGTCTCCGATCACTTTCCCAACGACACCGCCTTCAACGCGTGCGTCTTTGCTAAAGGCAATGTGAACTGTCGGGGGCTGGATACAATCTTGCAGGCTTTCTGGTTTGGAGGGATCTGTGTTTGCATAGGCTTCAGAGACTGGCATGCAAGTCTTCCATACTAGCTGTTGGAGGGCTTTAAAGATCTCGAAAGGGAGGTTCTTTGGTAGATCATTTTCATCTTTCTCGTTGAGCTCCGCGAGCAGTCCCTCATATGTAGAGAGAAACTCTGTTCCAACCAGGTCGTCTAGAGGTACACGGATCGAGTATTGCGTTCCAGCATGCCAGACAATCATGTAATGGGGAGGATCGCCAAAGAAATTGGACGAGTGTACAATGTATTCTTCGTCCATGTCTGTAATGGTGAACGCAGCTGGATTAAAAGTAGAAGCGCGGATAAGAAAGGCGTCGATTGTGACGAGTCGATGGGTCAGCTCAATTAGTACATACAAGAGCACAAGTAGAAGCATGCGCCAGAGAGGGTGCAGGAGCAAAATCCAAGGCCAGGCCAGAATCGGGCAGAGGACCGTAGCAGATGATAGAGGAGGCAGGCGACGAGCTGCAAACAGAGCCACTCACTTCCTCATTTGATGTATAAGCGAGTTCGCTTCCACAACTCGTGGGTGCTACGTAGCAGCTATCTACCCATTCCGCTTTTGGCAGGAGCAGTAGAGTTCCCCACACACACCATGACATAGGCTGTCCTATGCAAATAACGACCCTTCGAACGCTCTTGACAATAAATGATATCTGATAGTGGTCTCAAGAAGTCGTACCGATATAACTGCTAAGCTTCCTAAAAACGAACGTGTTTGTGCCACGTGGGTAAATATATAACCATGGTGATGTAGATAAGGTCTAAACTTTCATCCTCTTCGTGGGCTGAAGACTGTCACTTTCATTGGCATGTTGCTTATAGGGGAGATGAGCACCAGCACTGACTGAGATTATCAATATGGCTGGACAGAGTGTAAGAGTCGTGCAGAGAGTGTGTTACATCGTCAGCGTATGTTATTTCATGCTTCGTGCTTCATATTTCCGTGACTCCCCGCTGAGCTATTGAGATGTTGTTACCCATGTTTGACAAAAGAAAAGAAAAGAAGAATAAAGAGGACATACACAAAAAAGCAGAAAAGCAAATGGCCTCAAGCGCCTGCATTGCAACTCCTCAGCAATGGTATGAATGAGTGTATCGTCGTTCCTCGATCGTGGTGCTCCCTGCTGTGAAACCCTCACATGATTGTTCTTGGTGTTTCCTTTTTTTTGTTTCTAATTTCCTTACATTTGGCCAAAGTTATTGGCAGTTCTTGTTAGCTTCTCTCTGAAGCTTCCTCATGGCTTCTTTGTGTGCATCATCGAGATGTCCGTGTCTCATCGAGTTTTCAGCTTGAAGACTTATGCGGCGACGTGCGTCTTGTCGCCTCTTTTTCTCGGCCGCATTAGCCGTACCCCTTCTCTGAGTGTCACGTAGAGTTTCTCCGGTCTGTCGTTTCTTATCCTCATCGAAGTCCACGCGATGCATCAGAGTTGGCTGCGCTATAGGGAACGGGGCTAGGGCTGAAGATCGTCGTGGCATGCGTGGAGCCCATGAATCGTTGTTCTGAGTGGCAATAGCTGTATTGTTCATGCCACTCAGAGTAACATTCACGTTCGGATTGTAGACTCCGCTTGAATACCGATATGGTGAGGCTGGGGGCTGAAAAGTCTCACATGGAGGCATTGGATACGGATTTCGGAGAGGATAGGCGACCATCATGAAGGGCGGACAGTTGTTGTGCACGGGGGAAGTTGCAATTGGAGTCGTTCTCGCTGTTGTATTGGCAGGCGATTGGCAGCCCACACTGCTCGAAGCACGAGGTGCGTGAGATGAAATTGTGGAGACTTGGCTGTTACTCACACTTCTTGCATGTAAAGTCGCTCGGACTTGCGAAAGTGTTGTTTCGTCAAGGTCTGTCGACTCGACATTGTTAGAGTTGCGATCTGCGAATTTGCCATGAGACCCGAAATTCCTTCTCGCGATAACGCCCTGAGTCTCGTTGCCCACGAAGTTGTTCGTGAGAGAGACTTGCTTATTTCTCTGGTGTGCAATTGTTGTACGATCGTCTAAAAGAGTGGGTGCAGTATTGAGCATCGGAAGCGAAGAGTTACGCTCCTTGACCCTTGCGGACTTGACTGGTGCAGGTATCATAGCTGCTTTACCCTTGATGGTTGAGACACGTCTAAAACTGCGCTTGTTCTGTTTGATAGCGCTTCCTCTTGACAGACCATGTTGCAATGGCTGCGGCACTGCCGTCTTCTGGCTTTCCAATCGCTCAGAAGTATCATCTGTTGTGTGAGTGCCCTCAAATCCTGACCATACGCTTGGCTCGTTATTTGCGTCGTATGAATGTGCGCTTGAGGGTCTCGAATTCAGCTCTGCTTGAATCACAGTCGTTCTCCACTCCAGCGTTCGATTGACGATTTCTTCCCTTGAGATTGTGGCAAGCCCAGAGAGGTGTTTTGAAGGCCCATCATGGTCACACTCGTCAAGAACCTCGCCCAGATCCAATTTCTTGGGTCCATGATGTGCGTATTGGAGCGGTTCGTTCGTGGCCTCTTGGTCCAGCGGAGGTTGGTGCTTTTCGTTCGTCTCATCTTCTTCAAGTGGTTGCTGTGGGATTTTTTGTCGGAACAGCTTGACTGCTACAGGAATGTTCTCTTCGTCTTCATTTTGATTACTGGGTTGGATCGAGAACTCGGTTCCTGCTGCGTCTTGATCAGATTCCACATGTCGTGCGTGATCTTCTAGCATATCTGAAGAGGTGTCACATCTGTCATCCATTTGTGGGACAATGGGTGGTGGTGGATATGAGGTTGGTCTCAGACTGGGATATCTCCGTGGAGACTGTGGACGTTGTGTCTGCGGGTTGTCGGCCGCTGCTTCTGTGTTCTCGATGGATGTTTCGACAGGCCGGATCTCATCGGGATGCTGTTCTCGATCGCTTGTTGTTGCTGAGTTGCGAGTGTCGGGCTTCAACTTGTCCAGTATAAAGCTCGCTGCGCTATGAAGTTTATGACTATTCTTCGACGGAGATGGTGGGTAGACTTGTCTCTGCTCGACAACAGGCTTCTTCTTCTCCGGCTCCCTGTATCTCTCTTCCCAAGCTGCACGCTCTCTGTCGACGTTCTCTTGAACCGCGCGTCCGGTGTCAATTTCTTCCTTTTCGAGTTCTTCTCTGTGTTCTGCATCTACTGCTGATTTTTCTTGCTTTCGGCGTCGAATGGGTTTGAAGAGTTTACCCTGAAACACCATTGCCAGAGCAAAAAGGACAGGAATCATGCCAATTTCGGCTTTGATCCCTCTTGTCAGAGGATAGGTCGCGGTCCCGAAGCCGAAGAGCTTGACTCTATGGAATTCTGCGACAGATTAGTGAAAGAATACTATGATCCAGACTCGACATACGCCACGTGTACACCCAGAACTCCTTCAACCCAGCACGACTGTAGCAATCGATTCCCAAAACAAGTGCTGTGGTGCCAGAAAATGCTGAGCAGATCATATAAGCCGGCTCTTTCGTCTTCTTGAGGAATGACGGTGCGAGCGCGGCAAGACACACGAGTGCAATGAACAGCGCGAGCATCGAAGATGACGTGATGAGGCCTCCCGGAGACAGTACCTCGATCCACATGGCAATGCAGAAGCCTCCTACAATGCATCCAGAACGTTTAGCCAGCCATTGGACGTATTGTGAGAGTACTGCGCCAAGTATGATGCCAGGCAGGACAGTGGCGACCAGATATGCGCCCTGAACACCGTTGCTAATGTTTCCATCCGGCACAGACATTACATAGACTATTAGGACCTGCGCGGAGATCAGCATCGTGGTGCAACGAGAATGGTTACACACATACCGTGATACAGATGCTGGCGAGGTAGGCACAGCTGAGGAACATGTAGAGTCTGCGATTATTGGTTAGCAAGCAAACATATGCGAGGTCGTGGTGAAACGGACCTCATAAAATGAATGCTGGCGCAGGCGTATGCGCAGCCAGTCATAATGAGCAGAGCGCCAGCTACTCCGAAGGCGGGCGTGAGACGTGGATGAAGAGGCAGCCCATCGCGAGTTGAACTGGCTGAGGTACATTATTAGCATCTGTCAGACATTGGATCTTGGGCTCAGCCAGACATACCCGGTGATATTGCTGTCGTGTTGAGTCCATCTGTGGCTTCGAAACCTGTCGTCGCGTTGAACCCGATGGTGGGATTGAGACCGCTCGTCGTATTGAAAGAAGTCATCCTCGCAGAGCAGATCAGGCGCGACTGAGAAGCCAGCGCCTCTGAGTCTCTGCTGGACCAATTTGTGCAGGCGCTTCGCTTTCTCAGTCGCTTTCCTCACTCTTCAGAAAGGCATTCGCAGAGGAGAAGTGATTGATGCAATAAACACAACGACGAGCTAGATGTTTCACGTTGGTGGGGGATGAACGTGATCACTATGATCAAATATCATGCTTTTACTTTAGGGCAGTGAGGGATCAGTTCATGACACTCTGGGAAAGTTTAGAGGGCAATATGTGAATGATTGAGGGACAATTGACGCTGGGGTAAGATGGCAGGAGGACCTGCCCGAGGTGGAACAGTGCGAAGATTGCGGAACTTGCATCGCCTATATAGGGCAGGGACGATATGCCTCGCAACTTCGACATCGAGTTAAGCAGGACGAGGCCCGCGGGCATACGTGTAGGTGAATGCATGCAAGAACTCTAAGGACGAGTAAGCATGCAGAGTGATGAGCGTCGGACTGCCTGTTTAGCCTTTAGATAAAGTTCTTGCCGCTTACCGGATTGGATGTCTACTCTATCCAACTCGACCGTGTCTCAAAAGAGGTGGTTGGATTTGAACCAAGTGAACGGCACGGGCTGCACGGGCGGCTGTTGTCCGCCCGATGCCAGCGAATCGTCACTGAGCGTGGTGCCAGGATCTACCGGCTGCGCAGAAACATTTCCAAGTCTTGCAAGGTGTGGCTGCAACTTTTCAGGTTATAATCCCGGCGGAGAGGAGCAAGGCTGGTGCTGAATGCATATGCAAGTGGAGTACGCACTGTCAAACGGTTATCCCCACTCCGAGAACATGCGGAGGAGCTGACCATCACGCACAAACCTGGCCGAGTACTTGTCATCGTTTCCTTCATTGTATCAGGCTAGATGACATGGTTCTTGCTTGAACAATGCACAGAACTACTCTGCCGTACTCTCTCACGCCTGTCAGCAGAGCTTCAAACGTTCAAAACTCTGTCCAAGGTACTCGCATACTCACAGGTCTGGTCCTCCAACTTTTCCAGCCGTTGCGCATTTGCAAGACAACCCTGGATAGGCACAAAGATTACATATACAGACACGACCGCTTGACTGGTGGTCTGATATGAGGGAAGACTGGGCACGGCATCACTACGACTACGGAGCTATTCTGCCCTACAAGACATGGGGGAATATGAGGTCGTTACAGAGTTGTAGCTATCTTGCGCCGTATCACGAAGGCTGGATATGAGATGGCAACTTTACACTCGAACTCTGTCTGCGAACGCCATCGACATTGCGACCCGGTTCAATTGACAGTTAGATTCCTCGGAACACAGAGCAGTACACGAAGGACAACTCATCATCGATCAGTGATCCAACAGTAAGCTACAAATCTGTTGTTGTCTTAGCGCCTCAGTCATGGTCCGCGTTGAAGATGCACAACTATCTTCTAAGCATGGATACATCCTCAACAGAAGAAAGAGCTGAAGAGATGACGGGCGCTCGGTAGCCGACTTCCCCGCATCTTGACCGCCCAAGCACAAAGCTCTTGTGCCAAGATATGCAGGCTTCGCTTGCATAACCTCCTCTACCCATGCATACCGACGAAAAAAAACCTCTCCTCAACCATCTTTATACCTCAACAAAAGATACACACGTCTGTGCCCCCTGACGGAGTCGAACCGGCGACCTCGGCATGATCTAGCGATACTAGTGCCGCGCTCTACCAACTGAGCTAAAGGGGCTTGATGAAATGTGGTCTGATTGTATCAGATATGTCTCACGAACATGGTGTGTCGACAAACGACCAGACCATCCTTTTTTGGCTTGCTAGCCCTTCTGAACAGCAAGTCTTCAACATCCTGCACCTAAGGGACAGTCTTCGAAGATTTGAACATGTTCACGGCTAGTTAAGCTGTGGATTCGCCATAGCAACACGTCTTTTTTGATGGCCATATGTGTGTACCGTTATTAGGCCACATGCAGCTCGCCTATGGATATTGCTCAGCATTGGACTTTCACTTTTGATCGTCTCGCAGAACCACGATATCCAGGCAGAATCTGCCACGAATCCCTCAAATGCCGCGGAGTCATCGCCAACAAACCTGCTACACGCGCTGTTTGCTTGACTCATGCTACGTATATACTATTCGAAGGTCCAAGTATTAAGGATGGAACCGATGATGCCTACCTAAGGCTTAAGATCAGAGTGTTTGGCTTTAGTGTCGGCATGGCACTGGCAAGTTTTGTATACTGGACAAGGCTCTTTTTCAGTAGACCCATTGCTCTCGGCAAGTTTTACGATGCGACCTTTTGGAAAGAGGTCAATCTCAAGCCTGATCAGGAAGAGTGTAACACTACAGACTAGACATTTGTTAACAGACAGAAGTCGATGAAGGATGATGACAGACACATAGAATCCTCTCTATGTGGCCTCCAAGAGATGGCAATTGAGGAGTCGTTTGAGGAGCATTGAGATGGTTGGAGTCTGGCGGCTCATGTGCTCACGTGGCTGACTGACTATACCACGGACATTGTAGGCACATCCAGAAGCACACTGGAGAGCAAAGGATCGGAAGACAGAACACTCCAGTAGTATTCAGCAACGTGAATTTAGGACCAAGAGAGGTTCTGGTATGATTGTTCTGGGATTGGGGTTGTGATTAACTATCTTGCATATAGTAGCACAAAAAGGGTTCTATGGGATAAAAGGGATGCCAGTGCCAACTCTCTGGCGATAGCTACGATAATCATCACCAAAGAATTTGACCAGATCTTGTTCTTCGTCTGCATCATAATTGGTTAGTAACAGATCAATAGTATTTCAGGTAGATGAACCAGAAACTTACGGTTGATCCTGTCCTTGAAGAAGAACCACAAGATGATCAGATAGGACACACAGCAGATCTTGTTAGCTACAACGACTTGTGTACCTACAGCAAAGAAGAAATAGCCAAAATAGCTGGGATGGCGGAAGTAAGAGTATAGGCCCTCAGTAACCAAGACATGGTCATTCTTCTTGCTCTTTGCAGGGATATGGTTGAAACTAACGCCTGCCTGCGCCATAGCAATACTGCGAATGGCCTGTCCCATAACCACCAATGCTAACCCAAAGGCAATTGTGTATGCATTGCTGTAGCGATCTTGCAGGCCGGGGAAGTAGAAGGAAGTAACGATGATTTCGATCATGGCGGCGAGGTGAGCGATGAGGTAGGCACTTCCGTTGGAAGTGAGGAGGTAGGAGGAAACTTTCGCATTGGCCGTGTTGTAGCGTGCGGTAGTCCAGAACTCGAGAAAGTGGAACAGAGACAGTGTTGCGATGAACTCTGTGAGGCGCCAGATGCGGTAGCCGGAGAGAGCGAGTTGGATGGTAGCGATGGTGCAGGCTGAGAGAGTGATTCCCAGGCCTAGAGCGTGCAATGCGATTGACGAGATGGAGCGCGAGTTGCCTGGGTAAATAGTCGGGTCGACTAGGGGTGCGCGTGATGCTATCGCTGCTCCATTGTTGTCCGCGACTGGCGATGCTGGAAAAGGTAGCGAGATGTTTGGGTCGCCCTGGTGTGCCATCTTCAAGTGCGATGTCGAGGTAAGATGGCGACACACGTTGGCGACAGCGCCTGGATTAAACACCCAAGCTGGTCAGAGGCAGAAGTACCAAAGTTCTGGAATGCATGTGAACAATATCAACGTCAGGGTCTCCCTCACTGAATTCCCTGAATGCGGCTGCCTTGGCGCCCTCTCACTATCTCACCACGACCTCATTCATTTCATTCACAAAGACAAATTCTGCAAATATTGTTCTATTCATCATGCCTGGTTCCGAGAACAAGGCCAGGTCTCTCAGAGGAGAGCTTTACCATGCATTCACTTCTGAGCTAGTTGCAGAGCGTCGTCGTTGTGCTCGCGCCTGCACAAAATATAATAAAGCAGGGGAAGATGAAACAATGACCAGAAGACGTCAGGTTGAATTATGGAAAGAGTAAGCTGCCTTCTTTATCTACACAACATGCATTTCTCCCGTATACGTCTACCATAACACCAGTGCTTAGAAGCCAAACAGCATCCTAGGAGACACCAGACCACTACCACCTCGTAAGGAAGGTAGCACAGAGGATGAAGACGAAGAACTACTAGGCTCTGAAGCCTGGGTTGAGGCTCCTTTCCACGCAGACTACGGCACGAACGTACGTCTAGGAGAGGGCGTCTTCATCAACTTCAACTGCACCATCATCGATACGTGTCTTGTTTCCATCGGCTCGAGAACCCTATTGGCGCCGAATGTCAGCCTGTACTCTGGAACCCACCCTCTTGATCCCGAATTGAGAAATGGAACAAATGGTCCGGAGTCTGGGAAGCCCATCACAATCGAGGAGGATGTGTGGATTGGCGGCAATGTGACTGTTTGTCCTGGTGTGACGATTGGACGTGGCAGTACTGTGGGTGCGGGTAGTGTTGTGACGAAGGTGAGTCAGGCGATCTCCTGGGCATTCAAATGCTGCCTAGTGTGCTCATATACATCAAGGATGTCGCACCTTACACTGTTGTGGCGGGTAACCCGGCAAAGGTCATCAAGCAGGCGCCCAGAAACACCACCACTGCGGAGGAGAGAGCAGAAATCCGAAAAATTGCTGATGCTGCTTGAACTTGTCTCACGCATCAACTACCGTAAAGACGAGTTCGTGAATTCATTATACTGCATAAGGATCTCTCTGCGTCTCTGGTGCTGTGATTGAGAAGATCTTGATTGGAACCGCAGTTGAGTGGAAGAGGGAAGTCTGCTTTTCCATAGGAATCAGAGGGTAATCCACCTCATGTACCTTGAATTCATTGTGTGCTTCTCACAATCAGCAATGGACTTGTCATGACTTTTGGAGACTTACCACAAGCATATTCGAAAGTAGCAAATGTATCGGTATTCCGTATGGTTGCTGAAATGATGATCTGGACTTGAGGCCAGACTTCGAACATATCTCTCATGGTAGACACCAGGGCTGGTATGACTGCCTTGTCGTATGTCTGGGACGAGGATAAGCACGTTTTTGTAAAGTTGGAGAATACAAAACTCACGACATCGGCACCAAGGACCAGATCACAAGAGAATGAAGGATCTTTCTCGTACATCCAAGAACCCTTCAAAGCTCGACCCCACCACAGTACACCAATGTCCATTGAATCTTTGACATCGTTGAAGGCCGCGTTCTCCTGTAAGGCTTGCACAACACCTTCGTCACCATCGGTGGCTGTGACATGGGCAGCACCAAGATGGCTGGCGCATAATATGGATAGCAATCCTGTACCGGCACCAAGTTCGATCACCTTCTTACCCTTGATGCTTGATACCAATTCAGGCGAAGATAGCAGATAGGAAGAGAGATGGAGGGCCGCTTCCCAAGTCCGCAGTCCTGTAGTACCGGCACCTGAGATTACTGCACGGTTCTCAAGCAGCTTCAATTCAGGTTCTTTGTCTAAGATGGATGAATCCCGAGCGAGTGGAGTGTATGTCACCCAGTTCCGCTGTTGAGCAGCAGTGGCATCATCCGGCATAGGAGAAAACATGAGTTCAGCTAATGTGGACATGAGATTATCCGATATTTCCTGATGACAACGAAAACACAAACATCAGAAAAGCAGACAAAGCAAGAATGAGACAAGACGCTCTTACATCTTCTTCTGGGTCTACGATGGAGTTTTCAATCTTGGACATGAGTAACTTCAAGACACGAAGACGGTACCGCTCAGGAGGCAGAAAACGGGAAACATCGTCTGCTTGAAAGAGATTCTCAAATAACCATTCTTGAGCTTGAGACGAGCGAAGTGTCTCTGAAGAAGGCCAAGCAAGGTTTTGAGTGTCGAGCAGCTGCAGATATTGCCTGCGGAACAGACGAATCTGGTGCAGTGCTTCTCCCGACGGTATATCCTGGGTCATGGTATGCAGACTCTCACTCGAACATGTGAAGACGAGAGGATGTAAAAATTCACGATGGTCGACGTTGCATAAGCTTGCACAAAAGGTGACTAGAAGCGGCTTCACATCGGGGAAGGCACGCTAAGCACATGCAAGCACAGACCACCCACACAAGCCAGCCTGCCCGTCGAATTTGCCGTCCGTCCTGGATTCTTCTTTTGCTTCTGCTGAGACGACAATACCTTTTCGACGACCATCGATCCCATCCCCATACCGCAAAAATGGCCGACGCTCAAGTTACTCTGCGCACCCGCAAGTTCATCCGCAACCCCCTGCTTGCCCGCAAGCAGATGGTCGTGTGAGTCTTTCGCCCCTCCCCACCGCTAGAGCACCGACGCTGTCCGTCGCCGAATCGAATGTCGACCCTGGCCTATGGAGACGAGAAGCAAGAGGAGGATCTATCATCGCATCTAGACGACATTCAACATTGCGCGCCGCCATGTGTGAAACAAAGATCAGTGATTGAAGGAAAATTTTCCGATTTACTCTGCATTTCTCGGTCACTCGTCTCCATGGTCAAGGACAGACAGGACGTTCAACGGCAGTGGCAGCAGAGGCAGCCGGCACGATTGATCTCCTCTATATTGAGATCGCACAGATGTACTGACTAGGGCTTTTTTCCTTGCGTACAGTGATGTCCTCCACCCCAACCGTCCCAACGTCTCCAAGGATGAGCTCCGCCAGAAGCTCTCCGAGCTCTACAAGGCCGACAAGGACCAGGTCTCCGTTTTCGGTTTCCGCACCCAGTACGGTGGTGGCAAGTCCACTGGCTTCGCTCTCATCTACGACTCCAACGAGGCCATGAAGAAGTTCGAGCCCCACTACCGTCTTGTCCGTGTTGGCATGGCCACCAAGATCGAGAAGGCCTCGAGACAGCAGCGTACGTTTTCGGCCGCATCTACCGTCTTCTTCATCCAAAAACTTACACATCACCACAGGCAAGCAGCGCAAGAACCGCATGAAGACCCTCACCGGTACCGCCAAGGTCAAGGGTGCCAAGGCCAAGAAGGACAAATAAGCGGATCGCCCATCTCTCTAATCAGAGTAGCGGTCTGTCGTCTGTCGTCTTCTTTTTTCTTTGCCGGGCTGTGGAAATCCTGCTGTTTTTGGTACTATGCGGATCCTCAGCAGCAGTCACGCCTCGGCGCGCATTGCTTCGTCTATAAAAAGATACCACCACTTTGCAAGTGGTCCATGGATGGGGATGAAAAAAATGGCGGCGTCCGGTTCTTAGCTTTTCGTAGTTTATACCACACTTCGAAAAGTACGATCATCATAAAAGTCCAGTCTTTTGTCTCACGCTTTTCTCGTTCTGTGTGTTGGGACTTGCCATGTCTTGCATTCGTGTCGATCATGGACCACAGTATATTCGAAGACTTGCTCGCATACCTTCTCTCGCCTTTGTTCTTGTCTTCATCTGGAGCGCTCTGTACAATTTTCGTCTAGGGCTATTCCCTAGATCAAACACTCTCCATCAATGTTCTATGTCGTGCTCGTTACACATATCAATCTCTACATTTTCCCGCCCCTTCTTCAATTTGCTCTATGTTTTTCTATCAGTAGCCTTTGTCTCAAGCACGCCTACATGTATCACTATCATCATAGGCAGCTTACTCGAAGGCATCGAAACCAAGAGAGAAAATCTAATCACATTCAAATGTTTTCTCGGTAACCAAGACTTGCGATCCCGATTGAATGAAGAAGAGAAAGTGTTTGTATCATGCAAAATCGTTAAAATTGGGTATCATGTTCTAGAATGCTTAATGCTGGATGCTAGTGTTTTTCATGGAGCGTTTGCTGGTTGTGTGTTCGCAGCAGGTGGAGGAGGCGCTGGAGCCGATGCAGGTACAGGTGCAGATGCAGGTGCAGTAGCGACAACAGGAGCCACAGGAGCCATCGGGGCAGCAGCAGCAGGCGTCACACCCTCCTTCCCTCCCTCCTCAGTCTTGACCTTCTCCTCCTTCTTAACAGGAACCTTGCCCGTAATAAAACACTCCGGAACACCTCTAGCAACCCGCCCCATAACTCCTGATCCTACAATCCCCATCCAGCAATCCCAGCCTTGTCCTCCCCATCTACATCCGCCTGCGCTAACCCTCTGCAGCGCTTTATAAGCGTCCAGGCCCTGATATGGCAACTCAGTCTTTGGATCTCTGAATCTTGCTGGTTTTGCTGTGATTGCACAGACAGGCCTGGGTGGCGGGGGAGGCAAGAATTCCTTCTTCTTTGTGGATTTGGAAGTGAGGTATTTCTGTTCTTGGGGAGTGAGTGAAGGTAGGGCGTCAGGGGTGAGGACAGATGAGATGATGGTAGTTGTGGCGGTTGACTTTTTGCTGGAAGGCGCTACGGGTGGTGCGACTTCTAGTTCCGGGAAAGCTTCGAGAATTATGAGAGTGCGCTGAGCTTGTTCACGGATAAGAGGGATTGGTGGAGGTTGAGGTGCGGTCTCCGATGGTGGTACTTGAGGATATACGTCGAATGGTGTTGATGTTTGTTGTGCAGATTCTGCTGGTTGTGAGGTAGAGTTTTGTGTGATATTCGGTGTAGCCGAGTCGGTTACTGCTGCCGGATGAAGCTGGTCTGCCACATTTGGTAGTGTAGGTTGTGTTTGAGGTGCTGTCTCTCCTGTTTGACCTTCAGGAGCTGGTACTGGCGTAACGATTTGTAACGAGGAGGCCTTGTCCTTTTGTGCAGTGGCTTCTGGCGATTGTGAAGCCCAGTAATGAATGCCATCCAAAAATGATGGTGGTTTCTGTTCAGCAGCAGCGTCTGGCTGGGTCTCCGGCTCAGCTGGCTTTTGCTCAGATGCATTGTCCTGATTTGGCTTCGACTCAACTGCCATCTCATCGGTCGCAGTTAGTGTATTTGCGATTGGCGTATTCGTTTCTATATTGTCCATCGCAGCTGGTATAGTTGCCATTGGTGACCCGACTGTAGCTTTTGGCGATATCCCTTCGTCTTTTTCTGTAGTTGCAGACTCTTTTACTTCGTGATTTGATACCGCAGCAGCTTCTGGCTCAGCTGTAGCGTCCACCATGGGAGTGTCTTTGGTCTGCTGGACTCCCCGCTCAGGTGCAGACTTGACTTCAGGAGGATTGTTCGAGAGAGGTTTATCGGCCTTGGTGGCATTCGGCTCAGCAGGTGTCTCGGTCGATGGTTTTTCAGGGACGGGATTTGGTTTGCTTTCGACGACAGCTTCGATCTTCGGTTGGTGGACGCGCTTGACTTTTATCTTTTCTCCTTCCCACATGACAGAACCGCTCCAGTACCTAAAGACAGGGCCTTCGAGTTGTCGATCGCGCAAGGCTTCGAGTCTCCTTTGTTGAGCAAGCTGGCGTTCCTCCTCGGCCTTCTCCCAGCGATTGAGAGTCCTGCTATTCTCTTTCTCCACCTTAAGCGCTCTCTTCATGCGATCCTCTTGGGTCAGAGCAGGCATGGCAGAAGCAGCCTTTTTCTCGGCAGCAATCTTCATCAGCTCATGAGCCTTTTCCGAACGCTTCTGGCTCTCCTTCAGCTTGGCCTCTGTCTGTTCCTTGTTGGCGACGGTTTGACGACGGCGCGACTGTCGCGTGGGGGCATCGTCCAAGGTAGGTAGCCAGGAGATGCGTTCGGACTTTTTGCGCGGTCGGGGAGCAAGCAGAGAATTGGTAGCGGCGAGTCTCTGGCGTTTCATGAGGGGATTGAGCGGCATGTTTGCAAAGTCGTTGGCCTTGCGCTTCTTCTTGCGTGCTTCTTGACGTTCGGCCTTTTGCAGCTCTTTCTCTCCTTGTAGCTCTTCATCCTGGCCTTCGTCGTCCGAGTCGTCGCTGGATCCAAATGCAACATCCTCTGCGTCGGAGAGTTGGTAGTCGACTTGATCCGTCTCGTCTTCTTGTAGGAGGTCGTTTCTGACATCTTCGTCTTCGAGATGTTGCATGAGAAAGTGCATGCGGTTGCCGGCGGTGGCTCTCTTTGCGCGGCCATGGACCAGCAGCTCCTCGGCAGGAAGCTCATCTTCGGCGTCTTGCGACATGTTGGCGGGATAATTGGCAGGTGCATGATGGAAAGTGGAAACAGAGGGAAGGCACATGTCAGCCGCGGTTTCTTGGCGCCACTTGGGTGCCTGCCCAAACTGTCGAATCTTGAAACTTTTTTTGTCCATGACTTTTTGTCCACCAACATAACAACCAGTCAAGATGCCTCGCCGCGTGTTGTATGTGCTTGCTTCGACTTGCAAGCCCTGATCTGAGTCTGACATTTGCATAGCGATAAGAAGAATGCGACCACCTTCGCCCTTGTCCATCGTGCCCAAAACGATCCTCGCATCAACGATGCCGACGCCCCGAGCATGGTCTTTGCCGAATTAAGAGGGCCCCAAGACGCAAAGAATAGACGCAAGATCAAGGAACGTGTCGACCTGGAGGATGAGTTCGGTACAGATTACAAGCCCCACGAGGGTGAGGCTGCCCAGCACGGTGTCTACTTCGACGACACAAAGTACGACTACATGCAACATTTGCGCGACCTGGGTACTGGAGGCGGCGCTGCCACTTGGGTTGAGGCGCCATCGGCAAAGAACAAAAACAAGGGAAAGATGAGCCTGGAGGATGCTCTGCGTGGCATGAACTTCAAGGACGACGACTTGGAGAGTTATGGTGGAGAGAGTGTTGCTTCTACTGCAAGTTTGATGCCCGAAGACATGCTGCCCAGCGACTTTGTCCGCAAGACCACCTACCAGGATATGCAGAACGTACCTGACGCTATTGCTGGCTTCCAACCCGATATGGACCCCCGCCTGCGCGAAGCCCTTGAGGCTCTGGAAGACGAAGCCTATGTTGACGACGAGGATGACATCTTTGAAGAATTGACCGGTGATGCTGAGGAAATCGATCGTGACGACTGGGAGGGTCTTGAATTTGACGACGAAGAGGGCCAGGGTTACGTTGACGATGACGATGAGGGCTGGCAATCAGACGATACAATCAAGGCTGGAGACAAGGGCGAAAGCCTGCCGCCCCCTGCAGATACTGCTGCTCCGCCTCCCTCAGATCCAAGTGAAGGAGCTTGGATGGAAGAATTCGCCAAATTCAAGCAAGACGTCAAGGCCGCAAAGGCTCTTCCCAAGAAGCCAGCTCAGCCAGCGCCGTCAGACATGCAATCCATCAATACTGGTCTGTCTTCTCTGGCTTCTGGCCGCCGTAAGAAGCGCAAGGGTGCCATGACCTCAACTTCTGGCTACTCCATGTCCTCATCCGCTCTGGTCCGCACTGATGCTCAGAGTCTGTTAGACCAAAGATTCGACAAGATCGAAGAAGCTTACGCTGAAGACGATTTCGATGACTACGGTTCCCAATTCGACGATGCAGAGTCCATGGCTTCAGGCATGACTGGCATGTCACACGCCTCAGCCATCAGCTCATACTCAAGAGCCACCGACTCTGAAGCTCCCAATCTTGTCCGTAGCGACTTTGACAGCATCATGGATGGTTTCCTTGCTGGCCACTCTCGTGCTGGTAACCGCGGTCGTCACATCAAGAAGTCAGGATACCAGACTGGTATGGAGCAGCTCGATGAGATTCGCTTCGGTCTTGGTCCAGCTCGTCTGGGCAAGTCTGCTCGTGCTCAGAGCACTCGTCATAAGTAAAGTCAACAACACTTGATCTTCATCTTCTTGTTTAGCGTGGAGTTTTGGGAAAAGATATACGGATATATCACAAAAAAGGGATTATCAAGCGTAGCATTTTACTTATATCACGATACAACCATGTCAAAATTTACCCATTCACGACAACTATCAAGACCCTCTGTTCAGGACATGCCAGATCGATTGAGATTATCGTACCTGTAACGTTTCTTTCTTCCTGTAAGCTAAGCCTTAGCAAACACAAACCTCGAGCCTGTAGGTGTCTTCAACGGCCACGGCTTATCCCTATACATCGCCAACCAGACCGCATCGCCATTAAACTCTTCCAAACTCTTCCTCACATCGTCAGACAACTGGCTCACAGGCCCCAACATTCTCAACACATCATCAAATCTCTCGGCATCCACCTCGACGAATTTTACAATAGCAACCAGCAACCCTTGCAGACTTTTCACCTGCGAAATTGTCGATGTATCCACATATCCTCCCAATTTTTCCAGACTTTGTGTAGCAATCTGTTGATGAGAAACTTTCCTCTGCTGTTGCTGCGAGGAAGCAGCAGCATTAATCTCCTTCCACAACTTCTTTTGCAAAGAAACCAATTCAGGCCACAAAGACTCGATCCTTGTCCGCATAAAACTGCCTGCATGTTCGCATATAACAGCAATAATGTTCAAACTGCCACTCACGATATACGCCTCTTCGTCAAACAGCCTTGAAGTAACTTCTGGCCACAATGTGTTGACGAGTGGCAAGAACGAGTTTTCGTGTTTGGCGAGACTGGGGATTGTGGTGTTGAGGAGAGAGAATAGAGAGGTGCGTAAGGAGGGTGAGGACGAGGAGAGATAGTGTTGGGTTAGTTGGGTGATTTTGAGGAGAAGGTTGTAGGTTTTGGGGGCTGGTGGTGTGGACTCTTCTGTTTCTGGCTCGTCGAGTTGGTCGTCGGTTGTGTCGTCCTCAGGATCAAGGAGACGCGTTGGGATATTCAGAGCATCATCTGACTTCTGAGAGAGGTTCTTGATGACTTCGATGAGTTCCTTGAGATCAGCGGGCTTCCATCTACTGGGATCTTTCTTCGGTGCCTCTGTTCCGTTGGTTATAGAGAGCATGGGTGATTTGACTCCCTCTTCAGCCATGGTCCGAAGAACAGCGAACAAAAGTTCGACCAAAGTAGTATAGCCATGATAATCCTCCAATGCAGCAAAGATGCTTTCTAAAGTATCTTCCAGATAGGGCAGTAGTGATGGGCCAGCTAGTCGTACCATCATGAGCAAAACCTGTGGGCCTTGTGGTGATACATCAAAGGCATTGAGCTTCAGCGCCACAGCATTGACGAGGTAGTCGACATTAGATACGATGAGCTCGCCTGCATCAGAGAATTCGCATGCGTCTGCAACGATGTTTAGACATGTCATTGCGTGGTTGCGGACATAGCCTGATTCCGAGCCAAGGTGGTGGAGGATAGGGTACAGTGCCTCTACAAGCTCGCCCCTGAACTCGACGCCATGTCGTTGTGCATGCAGTGCGACGGCTTCAAGAGCCAGACTTTGGAGTCGCCAGTCTGTGGATTCGTCGTTCTCAAGCACTTCCAAGGAGAAGGAATATAGCTGTTCCCGCAATGATAGGGACTGGTCTTTGGAGTACAGATCGCCGATCAGCATGTCGTTCATGAAGCCATCAACTTCATCTGTGTTGTTCTGAAGATCCTGTAAGATAAGCCAGAAGGTTGCAACCTGACTGGTCTTTTCTGACGTTCTCAACGCCAGCATGAGGTCTGAAGCGAGTCCGAGAGAGGGATGTGCGCCTTTCAGAGTCTTGAGCATCTGACTTATGTAGTTCAGTATCGTTTCCTGAGACTTGTATTCGGCTAGCGGTGAAGTAAATGTCAGTGACTTCTGGCTCGTCTGAATTGAGAGGTCGGAGATAGTCACAGGTGTGACTCGAGAATTCTTTGCTTCGGAATCGACAGAATGTTGCAGGATTGTTGTCACACTGTCTTTGAGACCGCTCCCAAGCATCCTTGAGATCATTGACATATCAACCTCTGTGCCAGCCAGTATTGTATATGCGCCAAATAACTTGCCGAGTGATCGCTCTTTGGCGAGATCATCATTCGACTGCATGATTCGTACCAAGGATAGCTGTTCGTTTCGAAATACCGTTGACAAAAGGTCAGAGATTGCTGGACTGTTTTGGGCCAAAGTCGCAATCTTGTCTCTGTAGGAAGCATTTGAATCTGCTTGCATGAGTAACAAGATAGTTTCTGCTGCCAAAGCACAAGAATCTGCTAGTGCCCCGCCGCATTCAGAGAGGAGTGTCAAGTTGAGCTCTAGAACGCCTTCCTGTACTTCTGGACGTTCGTGCGTACGTAATCTGTCAATGTTTGCTATTGCAACCTTCAACTGTGCTGCTGTCGCTTTCACCCAGCTGCCATCCAATTTTGTGGTGTTTGATCTGCTCGAAGCTGTCTTCTCTGCTGTTGATGATGATAGCTGTTCAACCACCCTGTCGACGAGGAGTGTTTTGAGGAGTGATTCGATGGTCTGCAATCCAGCTACAAGAACTCTCCAGTGTCGACGAGTTTTCGTGCTTGGGGTTAGAGCCTTGGTCCACGATGACACAATACCAGGTAGAAAGCTGGACAACACTTCCAGATCATCTATGCACGCAACTAGAGCTTTCAGAGCATTCGCTGCTGATAGCTGAACGTGAAAAGACTCTCCGTCAACAATGCCCTCAAGAATCACTGACACAGCATGTCCCAGAGATGGGACATTTGCAGCTCCAACAAGAGAAGTCTTCCCTTCGGTTGTTGCCGCAAGAGAGTGGAATAGCGCCTGCATGCACTGAAATCCAACTGCGCGAAGCTCATCCGTAGCAAGCCCTGTAGGTACCGTCTTTCCGGAAGTATCACAAGTAAGCGTCAAGAAGATCAATAGCTGGCCGCTCAGATTCGAGTCGATCTTTGTCGTCCAGCCTTTCGAAATGAGAATCACGAGACATCGTAAACATGCTTCCATGGCATGAACTGGAAGATCTCGACTCGCTTTGAGAACCTGTGAGATGGGAAAGAAGACATAATCGGCCAATTTGTGATCGAAAGTATCAGGTCGTGTAGTAATTTCTTCTAGTGTTTTCGATAACTTTTCGAGATTTTGGATGATGTTGTCGACGTTCTTGTGGTTGCCCGCAAAGGCTAGGGTTGACTGGCTGAGAGCGATGCAAATTGGTTTGAGCTGCACATTGTGAGAAGAATGTCATCGGCACCACCACTGAGGGGCTTCATACTTTCTGGAATGCCTCATTTCTTCTTTCCATCATACCGTGTATTCAGATTTGAGTTGCTAATGATCATGAAAAGCAGACTTGTGTTTAGCAGAAATTCGAGACTTGTTGGTCGTGATTGGCTAGTTGTTCATATTGCTTGGCACATCACGCTGGTGGCATCACCCTGGCCGTCTTTTGTCTAGCTCAGATCATTGCCCTGTCACGCATGCATCCGTCTTTTTGCGCATATGAAACAATTTGTCAATGACTAATTATTGAGCTTCAATGGATATCTGGTCAATCAATCGAGCAGTCTACAACAAAGAGACGCCGTTGAGAGACCAATCACAGCTCTCACGCACAATATTCCTGAAACCAGAGCCCAAAACGATCACTACGCCGTGCCCATTTGAAAACACGTACATAAGGTTAGACGTATACAATCTGGATTGCATGTAGCGTAATTCTAGCTGACATGACAGGTACATTTCGATGTCAGAACGAAGGATTATCCTCCCGCTCCGAGGACCTTTTAAGTATGATGTTCTTTACTCGAGAAGGGTCGTGTGCAGATCCGGACATGCAGCTACGTTGTCAGAGCCCGTCGCCTGCTTGTCCCAGATCAACAAGTCCAAAACCTTGTACCAACTACACGCCGAGCGCCCACCGACAAGCAATCGGAGGATGTGCCGACCGACTGCTGGACAAGATGTTGATTTTGAGTGATTCAAGTTGTACTCTGGGTTCTGGTGCATACGAAGGAGATGCACGGACTGAGACAAGTACGGATGATCTGCACACACGCGATACAGCTTCGAGCAGCATGATGAATCTCCCAAATCTTGGTACACTTGGTACAAGACTTTTGCTGTAAGAATTGTTCTAGCCTTGCTACTTCGCCTCTTGTCATGCGCTTGCAACTCTGGGGGTAGTTGCAGCATTGCGCAACATCGCGTTGACCGGGATGGAGCAAAAGAGTCATGTACCTGAGAAAAGCTCAAGAAAAAAAATCGCGATGCGCGCGTCGACCGTTCAAAAGTCGTTGCCCACTTCGCGCCTAAATTTCGACTTCTTATAGAGGCTTAGCTGGACGGGCCCTATTAGCGTACCTTATTGTGAGCTCCGGCTCTAACACATTTAGGTTGTACTTAGCGAGGGTGCACCTCTGCCTGAGTCACGAAAGTGTACCTGGATACTCGAGGGCCTGCAAAGTGCGTTGGGCAACGAATACCTCAGGTATGTGGTACATCTTCCGGTTTGCCTCTGGGCGCATGGCCCAAATTACAGCATTAGCCCCGATCGATTTCGTGGAGATGATTCCAGCCTCAAACTATTACCAAATATGGACATGAGGCTCCGATTGCACTTGGAATCGTCAAGGGGGAGGGATTTGATCACCAGGCGTAAAGCTCTGATCGATGGTGAACTGTCTTCCAGACGTAAAACTGAGGGGTTCAAAGTTTCTATGGCGTGTTCTGTGGCACAAAGAATTCTCGGCCGTACACTTTCCATCAGGCAACCCAATCAATCGACCTGCATGTCTCTTTCCTGGGCCTGTATGAGAGACTCTGCCAATTGAAAGTCAAGGTGCATTGCGATCTCTTGCGTTGCGCATAGAGGCAAAGCAGTGAAGGTTCAAATTTCAGAACTCGGAGGAGCGCGTTTCATCCAGCGGGCTGCCTCGTGGTTCTGAAGCATGGCGGAAACTCTGCAAAGACGGAGACTGACGGGTTCTAGAAAGAAGGATTCGAAACCTTGTAGACGAGCTTGAGAATAACTCTGGCTAAAAAAGGTACCTCTTGACGAGAGATTCTAGGATCAGATAAGCGATAACAAAAGTCGAATACGAGAAACACCAGCTTCACCAGGATCCTGAAACGAGCGCGCGAAGGGAGAGTTCATTGGGCGAGTGAACTGATGGACTGGGCAGGGCAAGTATGTGACGAATGATAAATGGCGAGCACACGGCACATCATGCGTCGATGATGATGGGAGGATCATGTGGGATCGGATGTTAGCCGATTTCTTGCGAAGCAGCAATGATGACGTCCAATGGCAGTAGAGGGAGCCGTGGACCAGAAACGCGATAACGAGCAGGGCAAGGTTGATGGTACAACAAGGGCATGGCATCGCGTGGTGAACGGGTTAAGGTTCGTCTACCAGCGTGTGGAGAAGCTGAAAGTTCGAGCAGGCTAAAGCATAAAAAGGCTAGCTGATACAGTAGCCATGAGTAAGAGGCAGTCTTGGTTAGCTGGTTGTTGTTGGCGGAAAGGAAGGAATAAGAGAGTCTTGTGATGAAGATAGACATGTTGAATTGAGAGGAGTCGTGTCTCCTGATGGAGAGTGTTCGCGTGACAGGGAAAAGACAGAGATGCAAATGAAACAAGCGGCAGGTCAGAGCGAATGTTGGAGGGGGAAGAAGTTATGGCAATCTGCGCAGGGCTAAGCTGGGAACTAGCGACTCGTGGCAGAGTCGGGTCATGGCGCTCGGAGGTTGCGGTGCAAAACGAAGAAGAGGAAAGAGTGGGACTCGGCATGACAAAAACAGGAAGCTGGCAAGAAAGCAGGAAGAACGTTTGGGTGATGTTTCTGAAGCCAACGGCCCTTGTGGGAATGGCGGGCCCGATAGGATGGAACGGATGGCCGTTTGAATATATGGAAAAGTCATGGAATAGGCAATATTGGTCGTCGGCCATCTGCTCAGCATGCAGGCGACGAGACAGGGCAGCGAGCGACGCGAAATTGGGACACAGCTGCAGATTGTCATCTGGCACGACGAGCACGATAGGTGGGCGGCGGGCGAGTGTCAATGATGTGCCTGCGCCCAAGACAGGGGACTGTCGGATGGTCAGCCAAGGACGCGAAGTTAGTTTGGAGCCGGATTAGATTGACTCTGAGACCCTTAACCATGGGCGTTTTTCTGAGGACCGAGCTCAAGTCGTCGATTCAGGCGGGAGCGCTCAGAGCATATTCTGGGTGATGCCTCATACTATCGGCATCGCAGACCCAGCGACAAGTTCGTCATTGCGACAATCTGCTACTTGGACATGGCTGGCCCTCAACACTCGGCGCCTGTCAATTTCGCCAACATCTTTCGTCCTGGTTCACGGAGTAGCAATCTGAATCCCACCACTCACACGGCCACCATCACGGCCAATCCCACGACCTCGCCCAAGACGACGACTCGACGCTTCGCCTCGCTCAGAGGCCTGCATGACCGCCCAAACTCGTCTCGTCTGAAGAAGCACCAGACGCAGAATCAAGCCCTAGCCCCGGCCCCGACGACCCTCCACGACGAACTCGGCGACATGATCGATGCTACCGGTCCCAAATCTCGACGGGAGCGTACCCTGATCGGCACAGAATGCGCTGCATGCGAGGAGCCGCTGGAACACACGTTGCGCGGCGAGCGCATCCTGCAGCTGTCGTGCGGCCATGTCGCCCATGAAGCTTGCTTCTACGAGTTCATCAAGGAGTTTGAGTCCCAGGAATGCCCTTCGTGCAACGCTCCATTGGGGCTCGACACCAGCCGAGGCGGAAATCTCGACTTTGGTAACACAGACCGACCTGTCAACCACTCCATCGGTAACTAACAATCTGCAGCAAAACTCAACAACCTCGTCAACAACCGCAGTACAAACAGCCCGGACTTGCGCGCTACAAGAGACTCGGACAATACTCCCACTCCCTGGGACGACCCACCTCGCCATACTCACCAAAGCTATGCCTCTGTCCAAAGTCAATCGCACCACAACCACAATTCGCTCCCAAGCCATGCCCACCACAGCTACAACTCAACTCAGACAGCCATACTCGACCCGAGCCCGCGTCCACCTACTCAAGCCAGCTTCACTCGCTCTCACCAACACAACAACAGCGTCAACACGCACTTGACCCACAGCAACAGCCATCATAATAGATCAGTAGAGTCTCGCCAGCATGAGAGAAACAACAGCCAGGCCACAGACGAGTCTCGAAATCGCAGAATCGAATATGACCTTCAGTCCATCGCCGCCGACGTACCGAGCCCACGACCCAACATCAAGAACCCAATACCTGCACCCACAGTCACTGTGCGTACCGAGTTCCCTACGTTGAACCGAAGCCGGCAGCAGCAAAGCCTGACCTGCTTGGTCACGGTCGAAGTCGTTGACGGAAAATGGCGGCCCGATCCCGAAGACATTATCTCTCCTGCTGCCGACAGCATCGATACAATGTCGATGCCTCGTTCACCCGAGCCGCAAAAACAACTCGACATCCCCCATACGCCTTCTCACGTATTGGACCGTGTCACTGAAGACCTGCACGCCAAGGTCGACAATTGGCATGGTTTGGACTTCTCAAGGTAAACATGCGTCTGGCTGTTCCGTCTAATGTAGTGCTAACAAGTTTCCCATAGGTTCGGCAGACTGTTGCTTCATGGTACCATCCGCGTAGGCAAAGACCGCCAGTCGTGGCAAGATCTAGAGTGCTATCTTTTTACCGAGATGCTCATCTGTATCAAGGAGAAAAAGCCCCAACACCAGTGGGAGACAGCCTCGGAATCTGCCAAGATGAGAACCAAGTGCACCCTCAAGGGCTCCATCCTGATCAAGAGACACTTGAAGCAGGTTCAGTTCGTCCCTGAACACGACATACTCACTCTGAATCTTTCAGTCGCCGAGCTACCGCATTTCCACCTTCAATTCCACGATAGATCACAATTGGATATCTGGCGCCGCGCTTTGATCAGCATCAACAATCTCGAAACGTCTGAGAGTGACGAGGATTTGGAAACTTCTGGCACTGACGAGGAAGATTTGGCTTCAAGAGGAGGAAGACGTTCCTCCATCCCATCATCTTATGGTGCCGGCAAATCCGCCTATACTGCACCCACCGAATACACCAGCCCTACTTTCCGTGGCACGCATGGTTTCAGAATGCCTATCGCTTTGCACGTTCCATTGGACATTGTTGTGGTGATACCAATCTCCTCGTCTATGCAAGGCCTCAAAATATCTCTACTTCGCGATGTCTTGCGGTTTTTGGTCAACAATCTTGGCGAGCAAGATCGTATGGGCCTTGTGACTTATGGATCCAGCGGAGGCAGTATGCCTGTTGTAGGCATGACATCCAAGAACTGGAATGGATGGTCTAGAGTCTTCGAGGCGATCAAGCCAATCGGACAGAAGAGTCTGCGCGCTGATGTTGTCGATGGCGCGAACGTAGCCATGGATCTTCTGATGCAGAGAAAGGCGGCGAACCCTATCTCAGGAATCATGCTTATCAGCGACTCAACAACTTCTGACATTGAGAGTGTCGATTTTGTCGTCTCTCGCGCCGAAGCTGCGAAGTAAGCATATCTTTGGACGCACAAAACTACACAGAAACTAACTTTTCATAGAATCGCCATACACTCCTTTGGTCTAGGCCTAACGCACAAGCCCGACACTATGATCGAGCTCTCCACCCGCACCAAAGCAACATATACATATGTCAAGGACTGGATGATGCTTCGTGAATGCGTGGCTGGCTGTCTAGGATCCTTGCAAAGCGTTTCACATCAAAACGCCAAGCTCAAACTGCGCCTGCCTGAAGGCTCACCTGCCAAGTTTGTCAAAATTAGCGGAGCGCTCCAAATCACAAAGCGTGCCACTGGTCGTGATGCTGAAGCATCATTGGGCGACTTACGCTTTGGTGATAAGAAAGGTAAGCCAATCATTAACTCTGTTTGTTCTCCAGCTCTAATGATTGTATAGACATTCTTGTACAGCTGGCCATTTCGCCCGATAACTCATCTCCCGAACAGGATTTGCAAGATCCTTGGGAGACCATCGTGTCTGGACTAGAGGCTCTAGGCGGACCCCTCGACCAGGACGATATGCGACCCGTTTCCGTCGAAGAAGTGCCCCTTATTCAGGCAGATCTTGCCTGGGGCGACATCCTTCGCGAAGGCAATGTAACTCAGCTGCCTCGTCCGTCACTGCTTGCAATTACTATGCTTCCTCCGGTTTCGAAGAAGGCTTCGATGAGCCGTACAGTAACGCCACCAATTCCACCGCACCCCTCAGTGGTACAACGACGCATGGAGCTCCTCACATCCGACATGCTCACGCGAGCTTTGACACTGGTCTCACGAGGCCAACACGAGAGAGCTTCTCATCTTCTCACAGAGACCCGCAGTATTCTGAAGGGTCTTGGAAAGGGTGGACTACCTCCTCTTCCACCACCTTCAGCGCCACCGACTGCTCGTCTTCCACCTACACCTACAGCAAGCATCCACAGCAACAGCACGGACTACCCGCCTTCAGGACCACCCACAGGACCTCTTCCACCACCTCCCATGTCCGCCACCCACCCTCCAGTGTCAATGGAGCCCAGACGCACTCCCACCCCTCCTCGTCTCGAGCCTTTGAGCCCATTCAGCCCTGCTGCTGGCATTGACGCCGACATCATGTCAGCACTTGACACCGAGCTTGCTGCATCGTTAGAGTGGATCAACCATCCTGCCGTTTTTGGTCGTGACAGCCGCAAAGCTGTTTTGCAGGCCATCGGTGTCATCAGCAGCCAGCGCGGATTTACTATGCGTACACCAGCCGAAAGCCTGTGGGCCACACGTGTCCCCGGTACAAGGCGTCTCAACGATCGCAGCCGCGAATGGCGCGAGACAGGAGACGAGCTCCTTGCCGAGGAGTCATAGAGAAGAGGCAAACATCTTTCTTTGCCCATCTTTAACGACGATCCACGACTCTCTTCTCTCTCTTTCCCAACTCGATCTGCTTCTTTACTTCTTCTTGTCCATCTTCTTCTGAGATATCCCCGATTCTGTTCTTTGTCGATACCCGTTCTTATCTATTTTGAATTTTTTTCTTGTTGTTTTCAATGTCTATGGATTTTTTTTTCTGGGCAACGACCCAATTGGGATAGGAAGGATGGAAATAGAAAAAGTATATCACGCCTGCGGTACATTGTCTTGTCTCAAATCATTTTCCTTACATCATGCCTTCTTCCACGAATGTTCCTTTGAGCCTTGCTTCGCGTGAAATACACTGTGTTCAATTGATAGACTCCTTCATAAGGCAGGTCGGCGAGAGTGATACCGAGAAAATACATCACGAGCGGATGCGTTACAAGAACTGTAATGTGGTCAATGAATCACGGAAAAAAGGGAGCCATGTTTAACAACAGATGCTGATGGAACAAAACGTTATGACCTCTACTGTACAAACTGATGTTACAATCGAACAAAAGACAAACAGAAAAAGCCAAACAATGCTGAACAACAAACGCTATGCTAATGCTTGTTCGCTATGCATGCACCAAACAATAAAACTTCTTGAACGAAGCTTGCATCGACGATAAAACCACAACTCAACTAAACTCACTTCCTTCTCGCAAAACGACTCAACTCACTCCCTCCTCACAAAACGACTCAACTCAACCTCCCAGGTGAGGAGGAAAAGGAACCTCACAGACCAAAGCTCGAACTCGAAAACAACAAAGCCGCACCCCTTACTCGTACGAAGCCATCTTCCTCCTGATGGACCCCGAAATATGCCTCAAGATCTTAGGACTCTTGTGCTGTGGGGGTTGATGTTCACTCCCAACCACACTGCCTCTTCTGCTCAACTCTTCACTCGTCAATTCTTGGCCTTCTCTGAGGGCTTCGAATCTCTCAGGTGCAATGGAGAAATCCATGTCGTCGGCTTGGCGGTCGTCTGCAGTCATGGGACGTCGTGAACTGTTTCTGCCTATCGTGCTTGAGCCTTCGCTGATGGAGTGTTTCGAGTACTCGGGGCGTGAAGAGGGAGGTGGAGTGGAGACGACGCGGTGACCTGTGGTGTGAGGACGGGAAGGACCAGAAGCCGAAGAACGAGAAGAGCGAGAGGAAGAGAATGGCGACATCTTGCCAATGAATTGCGAAAGTCGACCATGGCTGCTCTTACGACGTAGCGAAGTGTGCGACTCGGCAGAGGAAGACTGAGGGCGCGCAAAGCTAGGCGAGTCTGTTCGTGCCGTAGGATTGTAAGTTTCGATGCTGCGGTACAGGTGCTGGTTGCCTTGACCGTGGAAATGCTCAATGGAGGTTTGTGAACGCAAGGGTCTATGACGGATAGAGGCCGGACTGTTGGTTGCGCTGTGCAGACGATCGATCTGCTCAGACATTTCCTCAAAGCGTTCAGGTCCGATGCTGAGGTCGGAGTCTAGCATGTCCTTCTCGCCTAGCAATTCGGCAATCTTCTTGTCATACTCATCACTCAGGGCCTGGAACTGCAGATTGTGATGATGTTGAACCTGCGATTTTCTGTTCGCAAGTCGCTCTGCATGTTCTGAGGCAAGCCGTGTATCTTCCATGTGGAACTCGTCGACGTGTCCGTCGAAGGGCGTAGTAGAAGCCGAACTCTTGGCGCCAGTGTTGTGAGGAGGTTGAGGGTAGTTTGCTCTCAGCTTGTTGCGAGCGGCTTCGAGTTCGGTGTCATGCTGAGACTCGAGCTGTTCCTCACGACGAGCCCTCTCGTCATTCATGGCTTCAAACCTTTGCTTATACACATGATTGAGCTGATCTCTGGCGTGTTCCAGACTGTCAACGTGCTCCTTGATCTTCTGGACAAAGACAGCTTCGTTGGCAGAGAAGACCTTGCCCATATCCGAAAAGTCGGACTCTGAGCGAACAAAATAGTCTTCCGCGCCTGATCTTTGGCTCAAGCTTCCCATAGAAAATGATCTGCCATAAGAGACGGTCTTGTTCATAGGCGTCGTAGGTCTGAGGAGTTGGCTCTGCTTGCTAAGCGTTGCATTCTCTGCTAGCGTTTCTTGGAGCTGCGCTTCGAGGGTCCTGAGCTTCGAGTCTGAATCAGTACCATTGTCGACCAGGCTTTGCTTAGTTTGTTCTAACTCAATGGTAAGGCTTTCCAGCTGAGATGCTAGGGCGTCAAATTCCTTGGAGCTGTCGTCCTTCTCGGAAGTCAATTTTGCGATCGTGAGCGCAGCTTCTTGTCGTTCGTGTTCCACAGTGGCCAGTTTGGTTTCCAGTCTCTTCTCCTCAATCAGTCTTGTATTTAGTGTCGTAGTTCTCTCCTCTTCTGTCGCAATCTGTCGTTGTTTTTCACTCTCCATCTCCTTCCTCAAAGCATCCAACTCGAGCACCAACCTCTCTCTCTCCTCAGCAAAGTTCTGCATGTCCGACTCTTTTTGCTCGAGCTTTTGATTGGTGATCGCAAGCTCAGCTCTCAAACCCATCACTGCAGATTCATGCTCTTCCCTAGCCTTGGCTAGTTGTTGACTCCGCTCTTGTTTTTCTTTGATACTGTTCTCTTGTGCCCTTTCTTCTACTTCTGTCAGTTTTTGCTTCTCTTGCTGGAGCTCTTCTTGAAGGGTTTCTTGCACACGCACGGCCGATGATTGGTTTTCTTTATTTTCTTCTTCGAGCTTCGAAAGTTGTTGCTCATAGGACTGGACAAATTGGAGTCGTTGATCTTCAGCTTGTTGACGGACGGAGGTGATCTCTTCTTCGTGGCTCTTCTTCATTTGTGCAAGCTTTATCTCTGCTTCTTCCTGGCTGGTCGTTAGCAGTTGTTGAACCTTCGCTAGTTCCTGCGAATGGTTCGAAGCCATGTCTGTAAGTCTGGTCACGGTCTCGCTGGCTTGGACCTCCAGGGCTTTTTGGTGGCTAATTTCCAACTGCTCGAGACGGGATTGCAACTCGCTTTGGGCCTGTTCGGCAGCTTGTTGAGCTTCAGCAAGTTTCTGCTCATGATGTTCGTTGGCCTCGGCAAGCTTGGCGTCTCTTTGGGAAGCATGGTTGCTGATTTCCTTCTCATGTTGTTGGCGTAGATCATCAAGTTGAGACTGCAACTTTGCCTGAGCTTCTTCTGCAGCTTGCTGAGCATTGGCGATGGCTTGTTCATGGCTGCTCTTCAGTTCGGCGACCTTGTTGTCATTTTCAACTGCGTGGTCGTTGAGCTCCTTCTTGTGCTGCTCGCGCAGGCTTTCTAGCTGTGCCTCTGTCTCACCGTTTCTAGCCTGCTCCACTTCTTGACGGACGGTAGTCAGGGCAATCTCGTGAGTACGCTTGAGCTCAGACAGCCTCTCTTCAGCTTCAGCGGAACGACTGCTTAGTTCCTTCTCGTGATCCTGACGAAGAGCATCAAGTCGTGTTTGCAACTCAGTCGATTTGGCTTGCTCGACTTCCTTACGCACAGCAGACAGTTGAGTCTCATGCGAGCGCTTGAGCTCGGCCATCTTCTCCTCAGCTGCAAAGGCTTGGGATCCAAGTTGGCTCTGATGTTCCTGACCAAGTCTGTCGATCTGAGCTTGCAAGTCGTTGTGCTTTGCTTTGGCATCGCTAACTTCCTTAAGCAGAATCTCAGTCTCTTTTTCAGCCTTTTGAGTTTCGGCAGATTTGTTCTCCACCTCCTTACGAAGGGAAGACACCTCGGTCTGATTGTCCAAATGGAGCTTGCTGAGCTGCTCGTTGAGCTCCTCCACTTGCTTCTCGACTGCCTGACGAGCTTCATTGGAGCGCTGCTCGTGAGAGTCAACCTGCTCGCGGTGGCTAGTTCGCAACTCTTCGAGCTCCTGTTGATGATTTGCAACGATCTCTGAGGAAGTGGTTTCAGAAGCTCTCTTGGCTTCGTCGAGCTGTGTACGATGCTTGGCTTCCAGCTCTTCGATTTCCTGCTTGTGCTTTTGCAAAGTCTCTTCAGACGAGGTCTTAGAGGCCTTCTGAGCCTCATCGAGCTGAGCGCTATGCTTGGCATTGAGTTCTTCAATCTCCCGCTCATGCTTTTGCAAGCTCTGTACATGTGTGGTCTCAGAGTTCTTCTTGACTTCTTCGAGTTCTTCGCGGAGCTCGGCTTCAGTATCCTGTAGAGCAGAGCGATGCGCTTCTTCGAGCTGCTTGAGACGGTCCTCGTGACGTTTGTCGAGCTCGCCACGAAGAACACCAATATTCTTAACGTGGTTGGCCTTGGCTTCCTTGAGAGCTAAAGCATGAGTCTCTTCGAGCTGTCGAATATGCTTCTTGTTGTCTTCGGCGACCTGGTGGAGAACAGCCTCGAGAGTCTTCGAGTGTTCTTCTTCGGCCGCCTTAGCGTGCTCCTCGTGCTCACCCTCGGCCTGACGAAGTTCCTTTGCGTGCGCCTCATTGCTCTGAGCTAGTGATTCTTCGGCAATTCTGGCCTTTTCTGATGCTGCGTCGAGTTTAGACTTATGATCCTGCTCAAGGCGCTCGAGTTGTTGCTTTAGTTCTTCTTGAGCTGTTTCGGCTTCCTGCTGAGAGATCCTGAGTTTCTCTTCGTGCTCGGCTTTCAAGGCTTCGATCTGATCTTGCAATTTATTCTGAGCTGCTTCGGCCTCCTTGTTGTTGCTTTCAAGTCTTTCTTGGTGTTCCTTTTCCAGAGCGTCCATCTGCTGCTTAAGCGTGCTCTGCGCATCAGTGGCATCCTTTACCGAGTTCTCAAGCTCCTGAATTCTCTGTGCTGATTCTTTTCTGGCAGCATTCTCAGCATCTTGGCGTTGTTGCTGTTCCGTGGCAAGTCGTTCTTCATGAGCCTTCGTCAGATTCTGTAAATCATCCTCGTGCTTAGATTTGGTAGAAGAGAGCTCTTTGTCGACTGCTTCATATTGATGTTTGGCTTCCTGAATTTGTGCTGTCAGGTCATTCTGAATTTCACCAATGTGCTTTTCAAGTTCGTTTGCGCGATGCTCTGCATCCTTAAGAGCTTTCTTGTTCTGCTCAGAAAGACGACGCTCTTCTTGCACTTCGGCCTCGAGCTGGCTTCGGGCCTCGGCGTTCTTTTCCTCGTAACGGTTCTTGATTGCCGTAAGCATGTCCTTGTGACTTTGGGCTGCATCTTGAAGACGCTTCTCTAGTGTGGCATAGGCTGATTCGTGAGTTTGCTTGGCGGATTCAAGGTCCTCGAGCAATCTCTTCTCACGCTTGTCGTGCTCAGCGCGAGCCTCTTGAACTTGAATCTGAGCTTCTTCTCTGACTTGTTCTAACTCCGTCTCGCGAGCCGTGGTGGCTGATTTCAGCTCATCAAGACGGCGCTCGAGCTCAGAGATAGTGGAATCATGAGCTTGCTTAACATCCACGATCTCTTTATGTGATTGCTCCGTAGTGGCTTTCAATGCATTCTCGTGTTCATGACGCAACTTGGTTAACGTTTCTTCCTGATCACGTTCAGCTTGCAGTCGAGCGGCTTCGTTGGACTTTTCGACTTCTGAAAGATTTTGGGTCGCCTTCTGTAGTGCATCTGAGACCTCTGCTAGCTCTTTGTCCTTGGCCTCACGCAGGTCATCCAGACGCTTCTGGGATTCATCTAGCTGGGCCGAGATTTGCGAAAGTTCCTGTTCAACTTGATCCTTGGATTGACGTAGTGTTTCGTGTTCCTTTGATGCGGAATCCACTTGCTCGCGAGAACTGGCCAGCTTCTGTTCAAGCTCGCGCTGAGATTCACGGAGTTGCTCGAGCTCATCAGCAGCCTTCGAGGCTTGTTCTTGGGAGGCAGTGAGCTGTTGCTGAATTTCGTCCTTGGAGCTACGAAGTTGTTTGATCTCTGCCGACAGTGTGCCGACCTTCTCACGGAACAGAGTAAGCAATCTTTCAACTTCGTCCTTTGATTTTTGCACCTGAGTAAGATCTTGAGATAGAGCAATTGTCTTCTCCTGCGAGGCAGTCAATCGTTGTTCGATCTCAGCCTTGGCTTGGAGAAGTTGCTCATGCTCCTCGTTAGACTTGAAGAGTTCTTCTTGCAGAGATTCCAGCTTTTGCTCGAGGTCGCTCTTAGCTTGTCGCAGATCCGCAAGCTCCGACGATGCTGATGAACTTTCTTTGAGAGCAACGGCTAAATGGGTTTCGGCCTCTTCCTTCGAGCTGCGCAAGGTATCGAGCTCTTTGTTAGAAGCCGATGCTTGCTCCCGGGAAGATGCGAGTTGCTGTTCAAGCTCGCTGTTGCTGTCGCGGATGCTTTCGAGCTCTCCCTTGGAGGAAATGACTTGTTCTTCCAACGAAGTCAGCTGTAGTTGGATTTCATGCTTTGATCGGCTAAGCTGTTCAAGCTGCTTTTCGAGCGACGATGCATGATCCTGAGAGGTACTGAGTTGAGACTCGACCTCGGCAATTCGTGCTCTATTTTGCTTGTCATCCTCTTCTCTTTGTTTGGCGTCTTTCAAAGACTTCGCAAGCTTTCCTGCGACTTCTGCGAGTTTCGCCTTCAAGGTATTGTCGGACTCTGCAGCGTTCTGTCGGACAGTAGCCAGGTCCTTGAGAAGAGCGTCATGCTGTTGCTTGAGCTCTTCGTGAACCTTTTCAGAAGATGTCTTCTGATCTTCGAGTTGACGTGTGTGGTCATCTTGAGCCTTTGAAAGCTCTATGCGGATGTTGGCCAACTCCTTGACCTTGTTGGCAAGTGAATCTTCAACGGCCTTTTGAGCATCGCTGTGTTGTTGGAGGGCGGTCTCGAGCTTGTGAACAGCATCCTGTCGTTCCTGTTGGGTAGAAGACAATTGTGTCTTTGTATCGTCGAGTTCTGCGACGACGGTGTCCTTCTCGCCTTTGAGCGACTGCAATTCTTGTTCGACTTTGCGCTTCTCAGCTTCGCGCTCGGAGTTTGCAACTTCTAATGCCTTAGTAGCGGCTGCCAACTGTTTCTCCAAGTCGGCGGCCTTCTCTTTGAAAGTTGCAAGCTCGGCGTCAACATCGGCCTTGGACGACTTCAGGCTGTCCAGGGCCTTGTCAGCCTCGTCTTGCTTAGCGTGATTGTCTTGGATAGACTTTTGCAGATTCTCAGCAGCTTGTGCATTTGCTTCTTGAAGGGCTGCGACCTCTTGTGACTTGCTCTCCAGAGACTCGCGCAGGGTGGCTTCGAGTTCTTCCAAGCGCTTGATTTGTGACTTGGCCTCTGCAGCACTAGCCGAAGCTTCAGTAATATTGTGTTCCAACTCTTGAATCTTGTGGTTGGCGGCTTGAAGAGAAGTATGAAGACTCTCGTTGTCTTTCTCGGCGGCTTTGGAGGCCTCCTCAAGTGTGCGTAATGAAGTAGTGGCCTCTTCATACAGCTTCTGGTATTTGTCACTGTCTCCACGCAGTTGTGTCAAGGCGGTTTGGCTCTCTTCGTTTTCTGAGGTCAAGGCCTTGTTTTTTGACACCAGCTCTTCAAGAGATTGCTTGATCTCATTCCGTTGTGCCTGAGACTCTTCCAGCTCTTTCACGATTTGCTTCAATTGAGCAGCAACTTGGTCTTTCTCGTCGATCAAGATATCGATGCGGTTCTCGGCATCCTCCAACCATTGTTCTCGGTCACGCTTGACCTTCTCCAACTCTTCGCGGAGTTGTGATAGCTCTTGGAGGTGTCGATCTTGTGCTCGCTCGAAGTCGGCATCGGAGAAGGACTCGTCTTCAGAGTCGGGACTGGGGGCGCGAGTTGGGGGTCTTGACTTGCGTAATCTCTTCTGGAGAGAATCGAGTTCTTGAAGAATGTGTTCTTGGGTGATGTTTGCGTGGAAGGATCTTCGGAAGACCTGGTGACTAATGCTTGAGCCGGAGGATAGTCGTACCAGCTCCTTGATACGCTCTACATCTCCCGAGAGAGCAGAAGGAGCTACCAGCGAGCCATTGGCAGCATCGATGGGCGATGATGACATGACCCTGGTGTCGGTAGAGGCGATGTGATTAGATGCAATGCTCGGAGCGGCCAAGAATCATAACGAAGGCTTAAACACAGAATGCTATAGATGCAACAAGACAAGGTAGAGAGGAATATATACAGAGCAGAGGAAACACATGATACTCTCGTGACAAGGAAATTATTAGGCCGGGCTTCCTGATTCAGGGTCGGTCCCCTTGTCCGACACTGGCCGAAGCTTTGGCTGCTGTTCGTTCACCGCTCACGTCAAAAAGACAACAAACATCGTCCATTTTTTCCTACGTTGCAACAGCCCAGTGCGCAAACAAATGTTTTGTTTCGAAAGTTCCATGCCCATGTTGCGAATGCACGAACTCGTCGATCGAGCACCGGCCTCCTGCAGCCACACCGCCGGTCCTGCAGTCCATGTTGAAGCCTCAACCTGTTGACAATGAAGTCATGGCTCTGCAACGTTGAGAATGAAGACTTCTCTTCCTCCTAACCCGACTGACAATCACTTCACTTGCCATCACAATGCACAATATCTTTCTGAAAATGATGACTGCCCTTTGAGAGCTTGATTTCGTATCTACTGCGCGCCTTTTCTCCATATTTTGATTTCCATGTTCAGACGATACTGGATTCGGCCTTCTCCTTTTTCGACTTTCCAAACGACATCAGGCGTTTGTATGCTCCAGGAATACCCATCCACTCCTCGTTGATCGGACTTTCTCCTGTAAACATAAGAAGGTCGTATAAGAAGCCACCGAAGGTGCAGCCGAAGAATGGCGATACCATTGGAATCCAGAAGTAATATCCTCCGGCCGACCAGACCTCATGACCGTATCCGAGGAAATACGACATGAGACGAGGTCCGAAATCTCTGGCAAGATTGATAGCGTAGCCTGTCTCCCAGCCCCAGCATGCTCCGATACCGAAGATAATGAAGAAGAGTCCAAGCGGTGTGAGGTTGCCTGAGCCAAGGTTTGAATCATCTTTGAGAGCGAAAATAAGGACTGTTTTGTTCGTCAGTAACCTTGATGGATGCACATTTCTCAGGGATGTTTGCTTACACATAAGAAGAGCACTAGCAATGAACTCTGAGAAGAACATGCCCGTCCGCGTCATGAATTCGGCGGGATATGTGCAGAAGATACCTGCTGTTGCGTTGGGACCGCTGACTGTTCTGATACCAGCGCCACCCTCGAACACGTCGATGGCTGACTTGTAGTTTCCATACACAACTCCGGCCGCACAGCTGAACAAGCGGGTCAGTAAATGAGGACGACACTGGATCATGCTGGACTTACAAAGCACCAAGGGTCTGAGCCAACGCGTAGATCGGGAACTTCTTCCATGGGAACTTTCGGAAAACACAACTCGAGAAGGTGACCGCAGGGTTGAGATGAGCACCACTTTTGCCGCCAGCATACACGCCCAACATGACACCGATACCCCAGCCCCAACTGATGGACTGGTAGTCACCCTTCTTGCCGTTGGATAGGACGACTTGAGCCACGACACCATCACCGAACATCAAGATGATGAACGTTCCAATAAACTCGGAGAAGGCATCTTGCAATGTCAATCGAATCCTGGGCCAGAGGAATTTGGGGTCGGTTTTGTCGAGTGCGGCTGCCGACTGATTTCTATTGAGTGGAACACCAGTCTCGACGAACTTTGGCTGAGATGCCACAGTATCATCTGAGCGTTCACTATCGCTTCGATTATGTTCAATGTGTGTGATCTCCAGGTCGGAGAGCTTGTCGGAGAATACTTCGTGATGCTTGATATCTGACATGACAGGCAATCGTACGAAGGGGATTGAATGAGGAAAACAAAAGATGTTTGATGAGATGATTGAAGCATCAACATGGACTGGGGCCAGCCTTTATTAATGGTCTGAGTACGATTGCTTTTTGCTCTATGATCCCATTGTATCCCGCCTCCTTGTCTTGGGTCCGATCCTTAGCAATAGCCTTGGTTGACCGGCAGTCGGGCCTGAGAACACAAGTCACGCTATCATCACAGATCTTGATCAAGCAACCACTCAGCTGCAAGCCCCCCAGGATGCCGTTGCGAGTACGCCGTTGCTTGCATCGCGGTGAGAAGTGCACCTTGCCACGGCTTGACTCCTTCGAAGTAAGCCACCACTTAGCTGCTCAGAGCTTCCCTGCAGGATTCCATAGTGCTCATGCTGCCGACGGTTCCAGATGGTGGAAAGGCCTTCCAGGAACTCCCGTACCTCCCCAACGTCGTTACCCCGCTGCTAAAATATGTTGCAAGGCGTAATGTGTACCACTGGTCTCCGATCATTGGTCCAAGTCTGGTCCATCTTCGCCTCTGATGAACTCTACTAGCCATGCCGAGCAAGCAAGCAATCGAACGACTCACGAGACGCCATGGTCGTAAAAGGAGAACCTCGCTTGTTTGAAAGCTATGGCTCTATCTCCAACTCTCCTGCTCTTCTCTCGGCTCCTCCGTGATCCGTGATGGGGCATATTGGACACGGACATGGAGCCCAAGCGCAGCAGGCATAGCATGGTACGGCCGTCTTCCAAGAGCCAACGCTTGGACTTGCACCATTTCGGACATCGAAAGGCGTGCTCTTGCCTCCTTTTGACCACACGCCTGTCGGCCTTGAACACGTACACGAGCAAGCGTAACAGCCGCCATCGTGTTTACAGGCATTGGTCAGAGCGGATTGTGTCCGCTAGATGCCTAGTTCAGATCGGGATAGATATAGGTACGTATAGTTTTGTGGCGTCTGACGCCACACAGCGCGATGCTACTTCAACGCGGCAACACCGGGTGAGTTGTGCTCCCTGGCCGTTGTATGGCTTGTATTATAGCATTTGCACGACTCGCAAGGACATGGCGCCGGCGTGATTGTCGGCTGTCTTTTCCAAACTTTAATACTCTATATCCACATCGAAAAATATGATTGCTAAATGTTTGTCTCAATGCGCGAATTTAGTTTGTCGGCAGCTCGTGATCGTGGGGATGCAGAATCCCTTGGGTCAGAAAGGAGACCTCTCTAATTTCTTACGAAGAGCAATAGCTCAAACGTCATGTCTTACGACATTTCGACCGGTATCAAGGAGATCATCAGAAAATCCAAGGACTTGGGGATAGCGCCCAGAATTCTCGACCCTAGTAGGAGCTGTAGTCTGTAGTTGGTCGAGCGGCTCGAGCCAGAAGAATTGATCTGCGGGCGGGGAGCCTGCCGAGCGTGGGGTTTGTCTGGGGTCAGCACAGGACAGCAGCAATAATCTCAATAATCTCAACAATCTGGATCGGCAAGAAGACCGTGACAGCGGGATCCTTCGACAACCGTGGAACTAAGGGCTGGGGAGCATGTGATTGTCGCAAGATTATCCTGATGCAGCCATGCGACCCATAGCGCTAAGAACAGCTGCATCAAACAGTGAACTAGCATCGTAGTTTGGAAGTCTCGAAGTATTGGCATCGTTCGGCCAAAGGAGATCAATGCGGGGCTCCTCTTTTATCTGCCCATCCGTGCACGCCGCTGCCCTGGAAAGATTTTGAGAAGGATTCTGCTGAGACGCAGCTATCACGAGCTCGCCTTGGAGAGCGGGGACACGTTGTAAGAATTCACGGCAAGTAGCCTTTGCTTTCGAGGTCCAGTCCCATCCCTCGGGCCTCGCGATAGGAGATGTGGAGGCTAAAGGGACGGCCTCGAGATTTTCCGTATTGGCAGGCAGTGGCACGTGAAGATGGATATGTGCCCTCGGTACTTAAGTATACTCGCACCTGCCCAAGATCCTCGAAGCTGTCATTCAGAGGTCAGCGTCTATTCTTTTCCACGCGCGTTCGTCTTTTCTCCAAACAGCACATCATGGCCGAATTCATTGGTAGCATTGATCAAGGAACCACCAGTTCGAGGTTCTTGATTTTCAACAAGGCTGGAGAGCCAGTTGCATCTCATCAAGAGGTACGCATACGATAGCTGTTTCCTCGGTTCGGAGATGTCAAATTGACAGTCATCAGGAATTCTCCCAAATCTACCCTCAGCCTGGATGGCATGAACATGATCCTGAGGAAATCGTCTCCTCCGTACACAACTGCATTGAGGGTGCTGTTGAAGCTTTCAAGAAGGACGGAAACTCAGTCGACAGTATCAAGGCCATTGGCATTACAAATCGTGAGGGCCTCTCCATCGTTGTCTCAGCTTATCTCATGCTAATTTCCATACAGAGCGCGAGACGACCGTTGTGTGGGACATTGAGTCAGGAGAGGCACTTTACAACGCCATTGTCTGGACAGATACTCGTTCTCAGCACATTGTGAAAGAGTTGAAGTCTCGCAAGGGTGCCGATGAGTTGACACAAAAGTGCGGTCTGCCGCTCTCGACCTACCCCAGTGTCACCAAGCTTCTGTGGCTGCTCAAGAATGAGCCCAGAGTAAAGGAGGCATACGAGAAGGGCACCCTCGCATTTGGAACTATCGATGCATGGCTTGTTTACAAGCTCAACGGACATGAGAAGCGAGTCTTTGTCTCTGACCCCACCAACGCTTCTCGCACAATGTTCATGGACATTCACACACTCAAGTACAACCCTGAGCTCATTGCCTTCTTCGGCGATGAGGAGTTCGATCTCTCCAGAATCCACATGCCCGACATTGTCAAGTCTTCGGACGCAAAGGCTTATGGCACAATCGGTTCGGGAGTTCTGTCCGGCTTTAGCCTCACCGGATGTCTGGGTGACCAGTCTGCTGCCCTGGTCGGTCAGAAAGGTTTCGATGCAGGCAGTGCAAAGAACACGTAAGTCATGCTTATATGGTGTGTTTCACAGAGCTGCAAACTGACAAACAAAAAGATACGGTACAGGTTCGTTCATCTTGTACAACACTGGCAACAAGCCCGTCATCTCTACCCATGGCCTCCTCACCACTGTTGCATATGACTTTGACGGAACACCAAGCTATGCTCTTGAGGGATCTATTGCAGTTGCAGGTTCAGGTGTCAAGTTCCTCATGAACAACTTGGGTTTCAGCTTCGATTCGTCAAAAATCACCGAGCTCGCTGGTACAGTGGAAAACAACGGCGGTCTTGTCTTCGTCACAGCATTCAGTGGTCTCTTTGCACCATACTGGATCACCGATACTCAAGGTACCATCTTCGGTATCACTCAACACACACAAAGAGGGCACATCGCTCGCGCTACACTCGAGGCTGTCTGCTATCAGACAAAAGCCGTACTAGATGCCATGGAGAAGGACAGCGGTCACCCTCTCCAAGAGCTCAAGGTTGATGGTGGCATGTCAAACAGCGAACTGTGCATGCAGATCCAAGCAGACGTCCTAGCTGAGAACAAGATCCCTATTGTCAGACCCAAGATGCGTGAGACCACCGCATTGGGAGCTGCGATCGCCGCTGGCTTTGCCGCTGGTGTCTGGAAGAGCTTCGAGGAATTGAAGGAGGTCAACACCCTTGGACAGACCACCTTCGAAGCCAAGATGGACGCAAAGGACAGCGCAAAGGGAGTCAAGCGCTGGGAAAGGGCAGTCAACATGTGCCGAGGATGGCTTGTCGACGACGAGTGAGGAATGTATCCTCCTCGGTCTCTTCTGCTCAGATAGAAACGCCTTCTTACGGCCTTGTCCACTTTTCTTGTTTGCGAGCTCCGGCAGCTTAGATACCACGAATAAACTTCAATCTTTCTATCAATAAAGTTCGTACGCAATGAGTAAAGTCTAGCGAGAAGCTTTGAGACCAGCTGGAGAAAGAACGACTGGGGATGCGCAGTCAACATTTCACGGCAGTTGACACATACTGTTTTCTGACACCAACCTGTCCACGTTTCACACCACAAAACCATAATCCCCAACTACTCTGTACCCCAGAGCGGGGAGAAACTCTATTCCAACAACTGCTCCAAAATACCATACCACATGTCTTAGTATGGCACACAAACGTCCAAGCCACAGAGCTGAAAGAAGCCAACCGCTCTTCAATGCCTTGTCAAATCCTTCCCGGTTTCGAAGCGTACAACTGCCGCTGATTACACTTTTCTTGAGTCTTGGGAGATAACGCAAGCAAGTGCTTGTCTATAGTGCACAGAAGCCACACTCTAACTCCGCCAACGCTTTCGTAACATGGCGCAGCACAAAAGTAAGGAAGAATATATGATCCGAGGGCCGAGCTTATAGGTGTATAACCGACGGGTATGACTGGCATACCATATCGCAACCGAAGCTGTTATCTGTCTTAGCATCTGCCGATGTCACCTGTCTTAGCAGTTTTGAGACCTGCCGACCTGCAGAATTGAAACGTAACCGAGCTGTTTTTGGTGTAGGTTTGGTCTGTCCGCTGCCCGCTGAACAGCATCGTCATCTCGAATCTGCATGGCAAACGGGTTACCTGCATGACTATCCTTTCTCATGGCGTTTGGGACAGTTTGAGGCAGAGAAGGGGTGCACTCCTTAGGTAAAAACGAGGCGTCTGGGGAAAGAAGGCGTAGTCTTGCTCATGTGATGGATAAAGTCACCTACGAGGCTTCGACACGGCATCGATTCCGTCTTTCGTCTATAGACTTTCTTCAGATTTTCTGGTTTTTCAAAGACAATCGAGATTCCGGGAAGTGAGGGGCTGTACTGTATGACTGCAAAGTGACAATGATGACCTTTTACCGAGCATACGGTAGCAACATTGACTGTTTCTAGTATGTTCTTTAATGACCAATGTCAGCAAACGAAGGATCAGGATTCACAGAAGAGACATTACGTATCTCGACTGCGTAGAAGATCGAAAGGAAAGAATCTGGAACATCTGACTAGAACGCCTGCAGATGTACTGTACATCTACAGTCCATCTTCAAGCAAACAGCCAAGAAATCGCCATCAAAACGACACGATGGATGCGCTAAAAGCACAGGTGATCTTCTGGGAATGGTGTGTGAGACTAGTAGAAATAGAGCAAACAAGGCAAGACCGGCACCGATCAGAGTCACCGATCTCAGGTCTGGCTATGTCGTTCTGGCCATGATCCTTGGGAGGTTGTTGCACGTCGTGTCCTAGGCATCGGGCACTTGACGACGCAGCATTATAATGAGGCACTTGATCTACAGTGCATACAGCAACGCAATCATCACCTGAAGGAAAAGGACTTGTGTGGTCGTGGCGACACACGTCCATGCATACTGCTTCACCAGAGACCAGGGTCTTACTGACGTGAGCCACGATATCGACTGGTAGTGACATCTGCTTGCGGGGAAGCGAATCTTCGGTGAGTACGTATACTGGCTTGGTCTCTGGTGCAAACATTGAAAGGGTCTTCGACTCAAAAGAGCAGGAGAGAAGGATGATCTGGAATGTTCGTGTGAAACTTTCAGATAATGTCAGCATATCCAAGACTTCTACCTCAAATCGCGATACTTGGCCTCCTCCTTCATCCTCTCCTCAACCAACTTGATAACCTTAGCCTCGTAAACCTCTTCAGGGGTCTTGTCACCCTTAAGCACCAACTTCTCGTGCTGAGTAACCTCATCCTTAGTCATAAGTACCAAATCCTTGATCGCGATGTTCGAGCTCTTTTGTCCTGCAACGCTGGTATCGATGAATTGGCCCTCTGGCTTACGCCAGCGCACAAGTGCGAGACGGCTGGCTAAGCCGCTGACTACACTGCGACCACGATAGACTTCTTCAACAACGTAACCGACATCTTCTTGTGTGATGGGAATGCGCAGACCGAGAGGATCGAGGGACATGTGGCGGGCTACGCGCTCCTCTGAGCCTTGTAAGCTAGCCAGGATACCATCGTACATCTTGTCTCTTGATTTCGAAGGTAGATATTCGTGGGGGTAACCGCTGATGGAGAGCATGACGTGGTTCGCGACGCAGAGACCGAAGATTGCTGGCATGGTTCCTAGCACGGGCAGGATTCTAACTCTGAACTCTGGAAGTACGCCGAGTTCACCGACACTTCCTTTGGCGTGTTCTTCGTCGGAGAGGGGCAAGAGTTGGGCTTTGCCTGGTGCAGTCTTTTCGCTGGAGAAGACGACAGGGATGCCATCTTTGACGCCCTTTGCACGTAGTCTGCGTCTTGTGGAGCGGGAGAGAGGGTCGTCTGTGCTGGTAGAGATATCGCCAAGGAACACGCGAGTGGGGTCAGATTTGCAGCCTGCACCCATGGAGGAGATGACTTTGATATTGTGCTTGTGGCAGTAGGCGAGAAGGTCGACCTTGCTATCGATGTTGTCGATGGCGTCAATGACAAAATCTGGCTTGTGGCCATCTGCCCAGGGTGCTAGTTGTGCTTCGGCCGTTGAGCCTACGAAGAGTTCATTCCTGCAGTCGAAGTGTGTCCAAGGTGTGATTTGCTCGAGACGCTTGCGCAGACAGTGTACCTTTGGTGTTCCCACGTCTGCAAGCGTGGCTACGGCATGTCTGTTCAGAGAGGAAAGAGTGACCTGGTCAAAGTCGATGATACGTAGTTTTCCAGCTCCAGATCTAGCAAGAGCAGCTGCGGCATGGGAACCAACACCACCGACTCCAACAACGATGATGAATGCATTTCGTAGCTTCTTCAGGCCGTCGTCGGTAAGGAAAACACGGTTACGGGCCAGTTGTTCCAGGATCAATTCTACAAGTTCTGTCAGACTTATGATCCTGCACCTTTCAAGATATACCCACCTTCGTCGTAATCTCCCAAACGAGCTCTGGCAGCAAGAGCAGCACCTCTCTCATCCTCTTTCGACGATCTGGAGCCATCCTGCACAGCACCACCAAAATTGTTTATCTAGCATAAAATCAGTATACTCGAACTTGATCAACACATTACCGGAAACATACTTGAATAACATTCTCATCCTTGTCAAGATCAGGAATCGAGCTCTTGAGGTCAGAAACCCGATACTGCTGCTTTGCCTTTTGCAGTCCTAGAATTGCACTTCCAACCAGCAATCCAGAAGCCACTGCAGTAGCTGCTAATTGCAGGTTATGCGACGACCTGACATTATCAATCCAAGTCGACGACATTTTTCTGATGGCACACCACCTGCAATTTAATTGCAGCTCTCACAAGAATCAAGCAAAAAGTAGGACAAGATGTGAAGCACGTGAAGCAAGATTGACGTCGATTTCTATGTTGTGGCTTGTGTGGTTGTGGCTGGTAGAGTCACATGCCAGATGTGGCGTTTCTCGATAAGATTATACATCTCTCTTTTGAGTCCTCCTTCTGAACCCTACAAAGTGGAAACCCATACAAGAATTGGCAAGCAGTGGTAAGACATTTGGCATTTCTCATACTGGAGTGTGCGCTAATAGTCAATTGTCTAGCATGTTCACAATCCCCGATGCCGAGAACCAATCACAACAAGAACAGTCTCAAACGCGTGCCTGCAGCATACCTGTCCCTCGGGTCTTCCAAGAACAAGGCGTGTTCGCATGGTGCGCACATGACTGAAACAATGAACAGAGATCATAGGGGAAGCATGCCGCTTGCTAATTTCACTGGGTTTGCCTTTTTCTTTTCTTGAATATCCTTTTTCTTCCTCATCCCCGCTTCCTCTCTTCCACTTTCTTGTTCACCATCTCTTGTTCTTTTGCATCCGGACCATAAAAAAGAAACACATTCAAAACGTGATGCAACCAGCGCAAAAAGGACGAACAGGTCGGGAAAACAGAAAAAGACGTGTTTAGCATCTTAAGGCGCTGCTTGACGATACCTAGTTCTTCGCTCGAGCCACGTCACGATTTCCTCGAAGTCAGGCAATGAGAATGGAAAACAAAAAGATAGTTTTCAATCGGATGGCGCTGGCTCCGTCTTTTTCTTTCTGTCTTTTCTCCCCTTCTTGCGCTGGTTTGTATCTCTGCTTCGATGGAGTTTCTGCTAATGTGTTCTTGGAAGCAAGCAAAGAGATTCTTGCAACATGAAAGTGCCAAGAGGATGGAACAGGGAGGTAAGGAGGAGGAGTGTTGGGAGAGAAATCCTATCTTTCGTCCTGTGATGAATATTCCTAAGCCAAAGTTGAACATGACAGCCCGCTCGTGCTTAACACGCATGAGATCTGTGGTTGTCACTGATAACATTGGAGAGACTATAATTTCTGAGGACACTAAGATTGGAAGAAAGAGACTGGGAGATGCGTTGGTCGGATGGATGGCTCTGAAGAATATATGTAGAAGGAAGTAATTGCAGTTTGCATTTTTGATCTTGTGCTTTCCACAATCCAGCAAGTCCTGCTTTTTTGTTTTCTGAAACGCTCCCACTTTTGATAACAACGACAAGGTAAACATAAAGCACAGAATAAGAGATGACTCTCAGAATCTGTCTCGTCTTCTGTTTGCGCGGTAGACGGTGAATCCAACATAAGCTCCTGTCAAGGCCAAGCCGAACAGGATAAACTTCAAGAAGAACCAACCCCAGCCACCGCCTTCCTTCTTTGCATATTGATTCGGCTTGTACGCGCTCTTGCTATAGTCCTTGGGAGTGCCAGCGGCGCCGCTTGGGCTGTACAGGTTCTTGGTCTCGACCTTGATGATGTCGTGGTTGTCGGAGAGCTCGCCAGTTTCGGCAGAGAAACCGAGGTAGGTGACACCAGGGAGCTTGACGCCGGGGACGTCGAAGCAGGGAGTCCATTCGTCTTCCTTCTTGTACATCAATTCGACCTTGAGCGACTTCTCCTGGAAGTAGGTGACGCGGGCCTTGGTGGGGATGTTGGCGTTACGGAGTCCACGTGCCTATGAAATGTCAGTAAAGAGCCAAAGATCAAACAGACACAGTGTGGAACGTACGGAACAGCCAGCGAGTTCGTTGGCCTTGCCGTCGTGGGCCTGGTCGTAGACAGTTCTTCCGTCGCCAAGCATAGCCATGACATAGGGGAAAACAACACCAGGTCTGTTGTTCTTGTATGTGTCGAAAAAGATACCCAGACCCTCGAACATGTCCTTGTGACCAAAGACGGGACCCTGCTGTGCTCTGTCGGTGGTCACCCACATGGCAAAGCCGTCACCGAAGAGGTTGCCCTGGCCATTGATATCGAACTCAACCTCAATCTCCCAGTTGGTAGCAGTCAGGGGGACTCTCGAATAGATCCAGCCGGATTGCGAAGGGCGGTCGGAACTAAGACGAATGTGCTTGTCGGCGCGGATGATGGTGTCGCCGCCAAAGTCCCACCATCTGCTTTGAAGGTCCGAGTCAAGGTAGGGTTGAATCAAAGAATGCGTGCGAAGCTGGTCAAATGTCAGAGATATGGTCAGAGTTTATGTCGTGGCAGGTCGCATGTCATACGGGGATGCTCTTCACGTCAGAGGAGTCCTGAGCATTTGCGCCAGCTAGCCACGTCGCGGCAGCAGCCCCGAGCAGAGACAAGAAGCGCATGGCGAATGGAATAAAGAAGAAGCAAACGGCACCCTTGGCCTATGGCAGAATGAGAATAGCAAACTGGTCTACTCTAATTCCAGCGCCAAGGGGGTGTGTTTCGTGTCATCTTGGATCTAGAGCTCCGCAAAGCCAAACAGTTCAAACATGGAGAGGCCCGCCGCCGACATGACGTGCATATCAACTTTTGTACCTGCGACCAATCCCACCACCAACCCACGCATTCCACGCACATAGCCATGTCTTTCCTCGGAGGTTCATCATCACCCGCTTCGGGCGCCAGCCAGACTCAGGCCATCAAGCAACAAGTCGCTCAAGAAGCCGCCGTCGCCAACGCAAGACAGCTTGTCGAGGTACCACAGAATCCAGCTTTTCCACATCTCGTCCACACGCGCTGACCCTCGGCGCATTAGAAACTCAACGAACACTGCTTCGAGCGCTGCATCCCCAAGCCCGGTTCCTCCTTGTCCTCGGGCGAGTCCACCTGCTACTCGCAGTGCATGGAAAAATACATGTCGGCCTGGAACGTCGTCTCCAAGCAATACATCAACCGCATACAGAGAGAGGCCGGTTCCGGAGGCATTATGATGTAAAAATGTTACATTTCTACGACAAAGCACGATCACGAAGAGAAAAAAGAGATGAGTGGATAGGACCAATTGTACGATATGCATGGAAAGATGCCCCGGTCCAAAATAATTGTACATTATCGAACAATTTCTCGAATTCATTAAAGATTCGCCTTGGGAGGCGGAGGAGGGTTGGCCAACGTCTTTTGTCTCTGCGAGTAATCCTTGACAATGATGGAGCACTTGATCTCCTTGCACAGCGACTTTCTTTGAGCGGGAGGAAGAAGCGATGCGAATTCAAGACCGGATGCTCTGTGATTATCGTCAGCTCACTTCCAGTCTGCATACTGTCAAAGCATATGCGATACCTTTCCACAGCCTCGAGGGGTACCTCAAAGTCTTGAAGGGGCTTGTCGTTTGAAATCTTCGCATTGGGCAAGACAAAAGCACCCAGACTGACGTTTCCGCCAACCTTTCCATCTTCGGCAAAGATGACCTTGTAGAAGTGTGTAGGCACAGCAACGTTGGGAGGGTTGCCAATAACCTCGTAGCTAACCCTCCACTTGCCATCTGCATCCTTCTTTGGCAAGTACAAAGGTCCAGTCACAATGCGAACCGAAGGGTAACGTCCGGTCAAACGACGGCAGAAGTCCTCAAAGTGAGCCCAGTAATCTCTGTTGAAGCCCTCGCCGACCTGAGGGCACATGTTGCTCAAGGCGAACGTATCGTCCATGGCTTGCTGCGACCATTTGGCATCGGCAGCAGGCACCTGGTGACCTCTATCATAGCCGCTACGGAAGTAGTCCTTGAGCTTAGCACGGAACTTTTCTGGAATGGCCTCGTCCTCGACAAAGACCGAGTGCTTGCGGTCTGCGTTGCTGTTCTTGAGCGACTCAGGAGTGATGTGCTCGACGACCCATGCAGGGTTTCTTGTTCGGCGGTCGTATGCAGAGGTCAAGGACGCGGCGGCTCTCAGGTCGGACACAGGGCCAGGGAATCCATATTGGTAGAGTCCATTGGGATCGACGGGTCTGGCAGCAGCAGCAAGAGCTTGCTGAACACCTGCAGGCTTGCCGACAGCCAACGGCGGGTTGACGGGAGTAGAAAGGGGAGCGGTCGGAGTGTTGACGCTGACTGGGCCTGCTGTTTTACGAGGGAATAAGGCAGCTGTGGTTGCTGCTCCGAATGCAGCGCCGCCTGCGGCAACGAGTGCGAGCGTGACCTTGGACATGATATCTTTCATTCACTCGATCGATACCGAGGAAGACGGCCGAGGGAGCAAACAACGACACGTCCGTCCGCGCGCGCTACAAAAAAGTGCTCGTGATGCTCTAGCGCCAAACAATCTGCGCCAAGCCATCAATGTACAAGCTCATCTGCAAGTAGTATCATGCACGACCATGCAGGAACATCTTCGTAGGGTCTCTTATTTGCTATAGATTATTTCAGATGTAAGAGACCTTCACGCCCATCCCTATGGTCCTCTGTACTTTATGCAATCCGCCCTGTAAGCTCCGCTTGACTTTGTCCCTAACGTCTCGACGTGCAAATGCCAATGTGAAAGCCATCAAAAAGAGTACAAACCGGAGCATCACCATGGGATTCTGGCTGACGGATCTCCCAGCTTTCAGAACAGCCGCCTGCATGGTCGCGAATATCGAGCGACGATTCACGCGCGATGATGAAGGCGTGGCTTTCTTCTGCGGAGCTTTCGCTCTCGACGCAGGTTGATTTCTGTTAGTCTGCCCTGCTCTGGAGTTGTTGTTGCTAGAGTTCGAAGGTGTTCTGTTTTGCGAGCCAGCTGTACGTGGTCTCTCATCAGCTTCCCGTCGCCTTTTCTCCTGTTCTGCTCTGGCTTCTTCTTTTCGGCGTCTCTCTTCCTCGAGACGCCTTTGTTGCATCTCTTCGTCCTGGCGACGCTGAAGCTCCTTCTCCCTGATTCCATCCAGCTCTTTCTCCTCTTTCAATGTGTGAAGTGCTTGTAGGAAAGCATCCCTTCTCTCGTCATCTAGAACCTCGCTCATACTGATAAAGTCGCGGGCGTAGTCCCATTCGTCATTCTGAGGCAGAACATGAAGAGTATAAAGCTCGAGAAGCTTGAGACGGGTGTTCAAATCGCGAGGGGTACTTGTTCCATTGTGGTGGGACGAGTTGCGCATGGATTGCTGGGAGGCTTCGAGGTGGGCAGTAATGTCAAAGCTGGGATTGGACAAGGCGGACAGGTAGGTCTCGAGACGCTGCTGGTTCAGCTTCTGTGACGGCATGTGTGCCAGAAGCAAAGTCGCACTACTGCATGTCAGACACTTTGGGACGGTATAGCTTTGGAAGCTTCTTACAGATTGACGACGACCTCGGCGTCCACGGCGCCCTCGTTACCTTGATAACCCTGCTTGACAACGAGGTCCCAGATGGTACCCTGACGCGCGTACGAGGCCAGTTCCCGCCATTTAGTACTTCCAAAGACCAGTTTGCCTTCCTCGGGGCCCAGTTCTATAATGGCATTGAGCAGAGTCAGGTAGAAGCTCCACACCTTAACGCGGCTAGTCTTGGATGCGAATGCGACAGGCGCGGCATGGCGGTCAGTCAGCTCGTCTTGCTGGAAAGGCGATTCCGGAGCTTCGGGCGAGATGATGGGATCAATGGTAGACAAGGCTTCATAAAGCCGGCGGGTGAGAAACAATTGGGCGGCCTGGCGGTAGGTTCTAGCGATTTGCGACGACTGAGCGCGGGCCGACGAGAGCGACGAGATGGACGAGGCCAAGTATTGCGATGACAGTGAATCCTCATACGACATGGTGGACGCCGTCGAGTCCGTTGGCATGTCGCTCAATGCTCTGTTCTCAAGCAGCAAATGTACAACTGAAAATGCCCCCTGGTCGGCTATCAATCTTGTTGTTATCCTCACCTTTCCCCAGTCATTCCTTCCTTCACCGGCTGCTGATCGCGAATGAACCGAGGTTGGCCGGCGCTCGGACCTCTCACGTGTACCTCTCCAGCCTCCGCCTAACTAACCGCTGCATCATGACCATCATCGAAGCACTCAGCGTGCCCTGAACACTCTCTCGCTTTGACCTTCATATCTATATCATCAACACACTGCAGAGTCAGTGAGTATAGATAGGAGAATAGTCCTTGAGGTATTTGCTCTAGTTTCAGAGCTTTTAGCGTTAAAACAATTGACTTAGCGCGGTAGGTATTCGTTTGCCTCTCAATTATTTGTCTTCTCCATTCATCGCAAATAACCCCGATCTGCTGCGATTTGCCTCCCTTTTACTTACAAGGCCCTGTACGGCCTGCCTGACATCCTCTCATCATTCTCCAACATGGATGTAGATAAATCATCTTTTCCTTCGCGTCTTCTTGACGTGCTTGAGGCCATCGCAGAAGCTCATTTTGTGTCTTTCGACCTAGAACTTTCTGGCGTACCTGTCAAGGGACAAGCAAAAGAAAAGCCTGGCAAACCCTCGTTGCAGGAGCGCTACCTCGAAACCAAGAGGGCTGCTGAGCAGTATCAGATCTTACAAATTGGCCTCACATGCGTTAAAGACGATGTGCTTCAAGGTGCCTACGTCTGCAAGCCCTTCAACTTCAATCTCAGTCCAATCCTCGAGGAACGATTAGATGTCGATCGCACCTTCTCTTTTCACAGTGGAGCTGCTGAGTTCCTGCTTGGAGTTGGCTTCAAGTTCGATCTTCCTTTCACCTCTGGAGTTCCATATCTGTCCAGGGATGAAGCACAACTAGCAGAGGAAAGAGCAGCCGCAAGGAACGACAAGTCATCTTTCACAGATATTGAGATCAAGCCAGAAGATGTGCAAGCTCTGGAGTTCCTTAGAAGGGTTCGTTCTGAGATCGATGACTGGCTCAAGACCGGAAAGCCGAGTGCATACTCTGTCGTCATTGGCCCCTTGGATTCTAACGGAGATGCCAACCCTGAGCTGAACCGGTTCGAGAGACGTTTGGTGCACCAGATCGTGCGTGCAGAATACCCTAATCTTGTCAGCATACCCAACAAAGGTCTCGTCCGTGTTTCCAGGCTCGATCCCGAACGTGAGGAGTATATCAAGGCTCAGCGCAAACGAGAGGTTCACGACCGGATTGTCCGACAAACAGGATTCAGATGGATCGTGGAAGCTCTTTGTGGAAATCCTCCCGAAGGCATTGACATCCGATCATTTGCCACAACTCCAGGAGGTGTTCCTGGGTTTGTCGACCTAGACATGTTAAAGTCACGCTTCAACCGCGCCAAACACATGATCCGCAATAAGAAGACTGCTCTTTTCGGTCATAACCTCTTCCTCGACCTAATCTATTTCTACAAGACCTTTATCGGAGCCCTACCCGACACTGTGGATGAATTTGCCAGCTTGATCCACGAACTCTTCCCAATTATTGTCGACACAAAATACATGGCCACTCACAACTGTGGAGACATCAATCCTCAGTCATCTCTCGAACAGATAGCAGAGAAGCTTTCAGAGCAACAGAAGCCTAGAGTCATCACACATGAACATTACAACAAATACACAGATACTACGGCATTCCACGAAGCTGGCTACGACAGCATGCTCACAGCTGAAGTCGCTGTGCGTCTTTCAGCAAAACTTGAGCTCGCGGGAAACTATGATCACGATGAGCTTCAAAACACAATTCCGCCTACACCGCCAGATGTCGACGTTGGCGGCGTTCAGCTCGATAACAACACGCCCTCTGTAATAAACTCGGCGATCGATAGTGTCAAAGGCCTTCTTCAAGCGCCCTTGAAGGTTTGGGGAGGACAGACAACTACACCAGCCCAGCAGAACAACGAGACATCAGATCAATCAACACCAGAAGATTCACTAGCCGAAAAGACCACCGAGCTAGAAATAACTGAGAACGAATCAAGCACAACGAACAAGAAGTCAAAGAAGAAAAAGAAGAACAAGAAGTCAAATGCCACCGCCCCTACACCTCCAGCACATCAAGGCGGGCGCTTTGCTCACGCCACAGCTTTCGACCAACTTCAAGACACTCTTGACGTGTCCGAGGAAGATGAACTCAAGGCACCAGAAGTACTCGAATTTGATGCTCTACCCTCTGAAGACGCACATGCATCTGATCCTGTGGTTGCAGACACGGATGGCATCTCCGACTCTCGTGTAGGAGCAGCTTGGGACACTATTCCCGTGCTGGCGACAGCAGAGATTTCAAATCGGGACGAGCGTGAGGTAGGCACTGTGATGCCATCCTTCAACTCTGGCTTCTGGAAGGTCTACAATAACAAACTGCGTGTCTTTGGCACTCAGGAGGGCGTTGCCATTTTGGACTGACAAGGAAAGATTCGAGGTTCAAAGGTTAGGTAGAGGGTCATGCCAAACAGTTGATTTCACTCTTCGGCAGTAGTCCTATACGGCCATGATCAATGGAATCACCTTGCTGAGAAGTCGGTAGTGGATGTGGCGGAGGAGCTCTAGCAACCAGAATTACAATCTACGTTTCGACGACTATTGGTTGAAGAATTATTGAAGTGCTATGTTCAGTCCTATCTTTGTTGTGATACAAAATTGTTGTAGCCAAGTCTCGTATTCTCTCCCCTGGCTCTACACGATCTCGATACGAGGCCCTCGGATAGCCTGAAAGCAAGCAAAATTAGAATCGTTTATCAAGCATTATCCCACCATCTGTTGAGAATCAAGCAAGAACAAGGACAGAAAGAGATGGTCACTAAACTCAACAACAAGGAACTTTAATTCACAGAATATCAACAGACATCAAGCACCACAATCAGGCACCCAGGCACAGCACTGACGCCATGTCGCCAAAAAAAAAAGCGATCGTCCCGTAACGACGTCAGTCAAACAACGCAGTGTTCACTTCTGTTTTTGGTGTTTGTCCAACAATCAACACACACGTGTGGAGCAAACCAGACGGTCGAACTGATTCTGTTCATAGATCACGATTCGCGGTTCCAGGGCTTAAAAAAATTGGACCCACGTTGTTTACTTGAGAAAGTCCGAATTCTTTTCGTTTGCATTGTCGATCACGATCACTGGCAAAGCTCGAAAATCGACGACGGATGTGATGATCAAGAATATTCGTGGAAGGCACGATCAAAGAGCATTTTGATCGGTGGAGACCATGGCTTTTTTTTTGCTGGTGACAAGATGCATAGTATCCGGTCTACACTCTTCCGAGCGAGCAGGACAATGGGTTTAAGCTTGAAGATATGTATGTAAATTGTTAATTATACTGTTGATGACTATACTTGCTGGAAATTGAGTGTGTTCTTTAGATGGCATGAGAAGCAGGATATTTTATATTCTCTAGCAGAGGAATTCTTGTTTGTGTTTTCGTGCTGGTTAGTAATGCCCTTGACCCGAGCGCGTGTAATCGAGAGCACTGACAAAAATCACCAAGGACATTCGCCTCACGTGCCTTGCTTGGTAGTAGAATGCAGTCAGACTGCAGTGAGACTCAATGACTCTCCTTCTACGTACGTTATAGAACGAGAGGACCATTGACTGCCAACCTAGTGAGCACGTGTGTTTGGATTTAGTGACACGCGACACGAGTTGACCGAATGATGATGGTTGTGAACAAGAATCAAGGTAGGCAGAGAATGACAGTAAGAGAACATGTGAAGATGGCCCAAGAGTCTGCATGCATATAGCAGGCTTGTGTCCATCCTACAAGCGATTACGGCACGAAAGAGGAATATGTGGCTCTCAAAAACTATACCTCGTGATGTGTTTTCAATGCAGGGTGAGATCGATATCATGCTGATAGCCTTCCCGACCATCTGCAGGTGCCGAATCAATCTAATCATGAGGAATAGACGTGGGGGATTGGCAGAGGCACCGAGATTAAGCTCGTCAAAGGATGCAAAAGCCGTGACCCTTAGAGATGTGCCGTGAGTGGTCGTGTCCTGAGCTGTTTAACTTCTTGACTCGCTTATCTGCATGCAACAAGAAGCTCAGTGGTTGTCGGCATAGCTGAGCGAACGCAAGGCGGACAAGTATAGTGTTACTCTGGACCAGCGATAGATGGCGACAAGGCGCGGGGTTGGTGTTTGCGTGGTGACAAACTACCGAAGTCAAGCCAGCGCAGAGGCATAAGTTGAGTTACAAGATCCTGACAAGCAGCGGATTGGTCGGTGTGCGAGATCATCAACCATGTTCCTGCAGGTCGACCGATGCGGCGACCACGGCTTGCATCGACTTCTTGCAGCTGTGCGCACGAGTGCAGCCACGAGGTCAACAAGTTCAAAAACAGATACCCAGCCGAAGCCTGACAGCATTTTAATGCGAGTATGTGCATTTTCGCTGGTATTTCTTCATTGAGGCAATTGTTCTTTGGCTGTCGTCAAAGAGCGTGCTGTAGGACAGCGAGGAACGACTCACTAGTCGAGACGAAGGATTGACGATGTTCCATCAATCTGGCACTGCGCGCATCAGTTGTGGTTCACCAGAAGTATGACAACGGTTCAAGACGATGACGGGTATCAGGTCCGTTTCTGCTCTCGGACGTGAGACATCCCGAAGTGCAACAATGTTTGATTTGTGCAGATCTGGGATTGGATGTTTCAGCGTTGAGCCTTCAACACAAGGGAGATAAACATCAGAGCAGCCGAATTGGTAGTTGTTGGCGGCGGAAAGAGACGAAATGAGCAAAGTTCTGGGTCAAGCAACAGACAACAAAGTCAACGAACATGCGGCTGTCATGTAGTGCGAACTTTGATTCAGCAACTTCCTTCAACAAAAACCGGAAGGAATTGTCCGTTTCACCAGCCAAATCCCATGTGAATTCAAACATGAGCTCGCAATGCAGACAGGCGCTGTTGGTCAGCAAGTGAAGTGATGTTCGGCTGAGAGGCTGTCGAGATCGAGAAACAGCGAATAGACATGATCATGATGATTATCCCTGCATCCCCTGGCAGCTTGACGCAATGCAGTGACATGAACAGGGCGCGGTGCCGCACACATTTGTATGGCTGCGGGTGAAGGCAACAAACTGCAATTGGCTCTCTCCCTTGGAGTTTACAGAATCATGATGCACTTGCAAGCTGGGCAAGACTTGTGAAAGAGAGATGGTCAAGTGCGGATCCCGGCAGACATGTCAGCCACTTGCGTATTGGGTGCCCTGACGAATCAGCAAGAGTGCAAAGCGCCTGGGCCCGACGCTAGCGACCGAGCAAGTCACATGGACAGCAGAGATTGAACTCCTGGGCGGGAGCCGTTGAGGGCCAGACGCAGAGCAGCGATGTGGTAATGGGCTCGTTTTGAGATGGTAAACAAAGATGAAGATGCGCAAGGATATCGAGACAGTATAGACGGCAAAAGCTTGCCAATTGAAGATTCAAACGGACAAATAGGTATTGAGAATAGCAAGATGATGGCAGCCTCATCAAAGCGGCCTGTAGGTCATGCGTGCATGTTCAGGATTAGCTCCATGATGAGATGAGTGACAATTGGGCGAGGAGTAAAGCGGGGTGAGGGATGCGGTGCGCAGCGGATGGGCAAAACCAACGTTTTAGGGAAAGAGCTGCTGAGGCCTTCAACTACCACTTGAACTTCCCTAGCAGAAAGAGCATCGTCCCTTGGAGCATTGTCGAGTCCTCCAACAGCCCAAGCTAAAGCGGATTGAAAATAACAAGAAACAACAGCATCTCAGGTAAGACAATCATCAGCTAGGCAATCACGTGGGCAGTGGTGTTCCTCGTTTCAAGCGCGGCGCAGGTGACACTCTCGACCCTCCCAATTGCCTGTCCTGCCCACTGCTCTCTCTGTCCTCGTCCCCCACCAGACACTGACTGCGCACTTTCATCACAGCAGCCCTCCTGTACTCTGCACCTGGCGCGGCACACTTCACTTTCGGCTTCATCTCAGTTCCCAATTCCCCTCGATCGCGCATCGCTGCATAACATCCGTCAACACAAGCTCCGAGCACAGGCCCGCATCGACGCATCCTCCGACCTCGTCAACCACCACCGCTACATCACCCCTCGACATCTATCTGCCCCCGACCCCTTGGTGACCTTGCTTCAATTCGCTTTGCATCACTCAGTCATTCGCAATCATGTCGCAGAACAGGCCTTCGGCTTTCTCTAGCTTACGTATGGGCGGTAAGGATACCATCACCTCCCCCGCGCTGTTCATTTCCTTCCCTTGTGCCATCTGCACATCCGCCATATAGCTCGCCATTTTCCATTCATTGACCTATTCCTGCGCTTTGCTCGTGCTGACGTCTGGTCCAGAGGTAATTCGCGAAAAGGTCCAGGATGGCTTGACTGGAGAGACAAAAGAGATGCAGTACACCCAGTGCAAAATTGTCGGCAATGGTTCCTTCGGTGTCGTCTTCCAGACCAAGCTCTCTCCCAGTGGTGAAGATGCTGCCATCAAGCGTGTGCTCCAGGACAAGCGCTTCAAGGTCGACAGCCCCCGATCTCCATTCTTCGCTCTTCTCAACTGACTCCGCGCAGAACAGAGAGCTCCAGATCATGAGGATAGTGCGACACCCGAACATTGTCGAGCTCAAGGCGTTCTACTACTCCAACGGCGATCGCGTAGGTCTCAGGCCATCTAATCCTCCGAATACAGTTACTAATGCAGGCTGTACAGAAGGATGAGGTTTACCTCAACCTCGTGCTCGAATTCGTTCCCGAAACCGTCTATCGCGCATCTCGCTACTTTAATAAGATGAAGACAACCATGCCCATTCTCGAGGTCAAGCTGTACATTTACCAGCTGTTCCGCTCGCTCGCCTACATTCACAGCCAGGGCATCTGCCACAGAGACATTAAGCCTCAAAACCTCCTTCTCGACCCCAACAGTGGCATCCTCAAGCTCTGCGATTTTGGAAGTGCCAAGATACTCATTGAGAACGAGCCCAACGTCTCGTACATTTGCTCACGCTACTACAGAGCCCCTGAGCTCATCTTCGGCGCAACCAACTACACAACAAAGATTGGTATGTCCCTGCGGTGCGCCGCATGCTGATCTCAGGCTAATCCGTTAAACTTGTTAGATGTCTGGTCCACTGGTTGTGTCATGGCTGAGCTCATGCTTGGTCAGCCTTTGTTCCCTGGCGAGTCGGGTATTGATCAATTGGTCGAGATCATCAAGGTTCTGGGAACCCCTACCCGCGACCAAATCCGCACCATGAACCCCAACTACATGGAGCACAAGTTCCCTCAGATCAAGCCCCACCCCTTCAACAAGGTAATTTCATTTCGCTGGTCATATACTAGATTTTTGCTCACTCATCCAAAAAGGTCTTCCGCAAGGCCGATCCCAGCGCCATCGATCTCATTTCTAAGCTCCTCGAATACACA